AATTTTACTACCTTATTACTTAGTATAAACCTAATTACCTTACCCTAACCCTCGACTTATAGTATAACCTTTAGTAAAATAATATATATCTATTATTAGTCTTATAGTCTTAACTTTTATAATAGAAACCTTATTATTACTAGCTAGTAATAATATCTTTATTATATTTCTAAATTTATTATATTAGTTTATAAAAAACTTATTATCTTAATATATTTATAGTTTACTATTAGATTAGTTTTTAGGATATTTTAATATATTTTTATATTTTAATCTATATATTATAGTAGAAAATATCTTAAACAGCTTTCTTTTTTTAAATTTATTTTTTAAATTATTAAAATTAAGTAACTTATTATAATATACTATTAGTTAAATAATAATAGTTAAATTTTATCTTTTTAAAATAATTTAAAACTACTAACTAATTAAGAAAGAAAGTTAAATTAGTTATATAGTTACTTAACTTTACTTATATAAGTAAAATAGAAATCTATTATCTTAATTTCTTATGTTTTATTTATTATTATATATATATATAAAATTTTAAATAATATAGCTTATAAACTAGACTATACTATAGTTAGTTATTTAGAGTTTTAAATAAAGTTAAAAATATTTACTAAAACTTAATACTATAATATAATTATATATTAAGAAATAAGTAATACTAATAATATACCTTACTTAAGTAGTTTCTAATATATAGTTACTACTATAGCTAGCTAGTAATAATTAGTTTTTTATTAATAGAATTTAAGGCTATAATACTAATAAATAAGTCTTATATTATATATAGGTAGGTTATATTAATAGATTAAGGGTTAAGGTAAAGTAATTAGTCTTATACTAAGTAATAATAGTAGTATTATAAACTATAAGCTAAGCTAAAAGTTATTAGAGGATAAATTATAAGTTAATTACTAAAGAACTATCTAAGAAGCCTTAAGTAAGTACCTAAGTCTTAATCTATATATAAGTCTTAAAGTAAGTATTCTAGGTAGTTTTAGTAAGTACTTACCTTACTTATTATAAGTACTTACTTATCTTAGTATAAATACTTACTAATTCCTTATTAATACTTACTTTCTTATTATTATGTAATCTATATAATAGTTCTTTCCTTCTAAAGATAACTTATTATTTCCTATATCTCCTATATATATCTAGTAGTATAGCTACTAACTTAAGTAAGTCTATTAACCTCTATTAGGCATAATAAATAGATTATAATAATTATATACTTTATTTATAATATATAGTATTAAGACTATTATACCTTTTATTATATTAATTAAATAAGTAAACTACTTTATTTATTATATATAAAATTATTAGAATTTAACTAATAAGTAAGTAACTTAATTAATTTATTAATAAATTAAATCTTTTATTAACTATAATAAATTAATAATACTTATTTTTTAATTATAGTTTTATTAAAAATATTTTCAATTTTTTAAAAATATAATACTTACTTTTTAATACTTATAATTTAATTATTTTAATTATTATATATTATATATAATTTTCTTTAACTTTATAATATTTATTTAGTTTAAATAATGTTTATATAACTATAATAATAATTAATATCAAGTATTATATTTTATTATTTATACTATATTTTATCTATTAACTTAAAATAATATTAAATTTTTATTAACTATTAATATTATATTGACATAGTAAATATATATATGTTATATAATAGCTTCTAAAAACTATTACAATTAACGTGCTAGCGATCAAACGGAGCTTAGTATAGGGTGATATTAATCTTACCTCTGGCGGCTAAATCAGTATTTCAGACGTTGCTAAAGAAACGGACTGTATAATCCCACAGAAGTTACTACTCCCCATTCCTCCAACCTCTCGTTCTAGCATCTTAGCCACGTAGTCAAACATAGCCATGACTGAACGGTTGACTCTCCCAAATCTCGAGGCCTACATTTCTACACATCCCGATTCGGACAAAGATAAGGCGAAAACAGGCTCATCGCCGGTCTTTCCTCTTTTGAATAATGATGAGACGTCGAACCCACTGTCCACTGATAACGGAAGACAAAAGCATATTGGTGAAGATGATGCCGAGGAAGAGCCAGCTGTTGCCAAGCCATTTGTCCGACTGTCCAGTCCCGATTCTGCGGCGCGAACGGCAGACGCTTATGATGAGAAGGGTCTCGACCGTCTAGATCGCAAGATGCACAAGTTTAGTCTTTACGAGACCGCTACCAGATACTACATCGTTGGTGGTGATGTTACAGAGCGTCGGTACCGGATCCTCAAAATTGAAAGGACCACAGACGACTCTGAGCTGAGCATCACTGACGATAAGATTATCTACAGCCAGAAAGAAATGAACCAGCTCCTCGACACAATTGACGATGGGAATAAGGGGACTGGCGGTATTAAGCTCCGATGCACTACTTGGGGGTTGCTTGGTTTCATCAAGTTCACAGGTCCCTATTACATGCTTCTAATTACGAAGAAGAGCACGGTTGCTATGATTGGCGGACACTACATTTATCAAGTTGATGGCACAGAGTTAGTGCCGTTAACGCCGACTCGATTCAAGGCTGATGTTCGAAACACTGAAGAGTCTCGGTTTCTGGGTATACTGAACAACCTAGATTTGACGAGATCATTCTACTATAGCTACTCCTATGACATAACTCGTACACTGCAGCATAATCTGACGAGGGAGCGTGAGGCGCTAGCACATGGGCTGCCGGGTGCCATGGACGACTTTAACGGCATGTTTGTATGGAACAGTCATCTTCTTCAACCAGCGATGAATGCCCTTAAGGATCCTTTTGACTGGTGCCGCCCTATCATCCATGGCTACATTGACCAAGCAGGTAGTTATAGAACAAAAGCTTCAAACCCGTTGTGCTCAACCCCACTGACTTGACATTATAGCACTCTCAATATATGGGAGAACTGCGTATATCACGATCATCGCGCGACGATCCCGTTTCTTTGCTGGCGCAAGGTTCCTTAAGCGAGGGGCCAACGATCTTGTAAGTAATGCCGATGAAGTACTTGACAATTCATTTAATGCTGTACCTTTGTTGACTTGCGTGGAGGGCTATGTCGCCAACGATGTCGAGACAGAACAAATAGTTTCTGAGGCTCTCACAACGTCCTTTCACGCGCCAGGACCAAAGCTTTTCTCCAGCCCGCAGTACACCTCATACGTCCAACACAGAGGCAGCATTCCTCTATACTGGACGCAAGATAACACCGGCGTGACCCCGAAGCCTCCTATCGAATTGAATCTGGTAGATCCATTCTATAGTGCGGCTGCCTTGCACTTTGACAATCTCTTTGAGCGCTATGGCGCTCCCATATACGTTCTGAACTTGGTCAAAGCAAGAGAGAGAACGCCACGGGAGTCCAAGCTTCTGTTAGAATACACAAATGCAATCAACTATCTCAATCAGTTCTTGCCAGAAGGACGCAAGATACTGCACAAGGCCTGGGATATGAGCAGAGCGGCCAAGAGTCGCGACCAGGATGTCATAGGGACGCTGGAGCGCATTGCTGAAGATGTGGTTACCACCACTGGCTTCTTCCACGACGGTGATGGGATCGTGAACCTGACCAGTATTCAGAATGGGGTGGCCCGCACCAACTGCATTGATTGCTTGGATCGCACAAATGCCGCCCAATTCGTCATAGGCAAGAGGGCACTTGGGCATCAACTGCATGCGCTTGGAATACTTGAGGACACCTCTATCAACTACGATACAGACGCAGTGAACCTTTTTACACATATGTACCATGACCACGGGGACACCATTGCTGTTCAATATGGCGGCTCGCAGCTTGTCAATACGATGGAAACATATCGCAAGATTAATCAATGGACAAGTCACTCGCGCGATATGATTGAGAGCTTTAAAAGATATTACAACAATTCTTTCCTGGATGGTCAGCGCCAAGAGGCCTACAATTTGTTCCTTGGAAATTATATTTTTGCCCAGGGGCAACCGATGCTGTGGGATTTAGCAACAGACTATTACCTCCATCATGCTGATCCACGAGCGTGGGCAGAAAAGACAAAGCGAGACTATATCCATTGGTTCACACCAGAAAATTTACAAGATCGTAAGTTTCCACCGTACAGTCCACCTCCGGGGGAAGCAAAGAAAATGCCGTTGTCTTTCTTTGACGATTACTGGGTTGAATACTACCGGCCGTCAACACTATCGTCGTTTCTCAAAATGTTTCCCTACAAGATGAACTCAACCATCAAATATATACCCTTCAAATCTACCCAGGATGGTCGATACGATTTGAGTCCATTCCGAGTCCGCAATGAGACCGACATGGATGCACACGAGAAAAAGAAACCCAAGAAAGAGGTGACGATTGTCGACCCGCAAGACTACCAGCCTCCCCCAGATATGGATGCATCGTCTGTAATGTCTGACCGGACGACTGGGGCCAAAGGTATATCAATTCACCGTTGGCTACAGCCAATGCAGGACAAGGTGGTTGGCCACCATGGAATCATGAAAGAGACGCGGACAGAGCCCCAGGGTTCACCAAAAATAAAACCTACGGCCCAAGAAAAGACAAAAGCAGCGCAGTGGACCTTTACCAAAGTGGTCAATGAGTCACTCAATCCTTCGGTTAGCCAGCAGGAGGCCGAGGATTACGAGCGTTATATCAGTCACCCCCAGAATCTTCCGTTGGTTGTGTCGGCTGAAGTTCAGGCCGAGAATCAGTCAGAGTACCAACACTACGTCCAGAGCAGCTGGCAAAGTGAAGTACCTATTGCTATGGGCACTGAGGAAGACATTGCCGTTTATGCCGAGTTACTCAAGGTTGGAAGCAATCCCCTCACTGTCACTGAAGAGGACGCACAGAAGAAGCGGTATAAAGCCTATAGAAAATGGCTTCGTGGGAAATCCTTTTTCAAGCAGCAGCCGCTCGATTAACACCCCACTATAAATTTGATTAGAGCACTCTCTCATCTTAAATCTTGGAGCAGCCAAATAAGTCAACGAGCTTGGGTTCGGCAGCACTTAGGCGGGAAAATTGCTGCTGCAGAGACAAGTTGGCAGAGTCGAAGATGGAGGACAATATGGGTACCAAGCTGGAGATTGCGGCCAGAGCCTCTTGAATTTCTTTGCGATCCGGTGCTCTCGATTCTTCATCTCTCAGGTTTAACCAGCAAATGCTGATTGCTCTCAGCAGCTCGCCTGAGTGTGTTGGTTGCATCACCCTTGGCCAGCAATTGAGCATGATGACTGAAAGCGTGTGCGAAGTGGTTTGGATGCATGATGGACAAGAAACAAAGAAAGGATCGGTCAGAATGTTTGTGGACATGGTCAACAGCTCCTGAGCATGCGTGAGTACCCAGTTCAGATCATACGAGAATTCTTACTCACTCTTAGGTGTGGGACTGTGAATGCGCCTAGATGCTGGACAACTGATGCAACCTGGCGCGCCAAAAGCTCAACAATTCTAACGTATTCCGATGCATGCCAATAACCAGTAAGGAGGCCTTCTCTGAGTATTTTGATAAGGAGCCGGTTTCTTTGAGGTCTCGCCCCTGCCTCAGGAAACTGGGCGTTCGCCAACCGTATAAGGGCATTATAGGCCGGATCGAGTAGCTGAACAGCTTCATCCTCGGCGGTCAATGTCGGGAGGGACAGCAGCGAGGGAAAAACTGACTGTTCGAAGATCTCGCCCAGCCCTGTCTCCCTAAGTATATTGACCGGACATCGTGCAAGGAAGTCCTGCAGAATATTAAGGCCTCTTGCCTTGCAAGTAGTGTCCGTTTCGTCTAGCAGAGCAAGAAGTACCGGCGTATATAGTGGCCAGCACTTTTCAATGAGAAGTTCCTACGCAAACACTGTGTCAGCCGATGTGCGCTGCCAATACATGGTGATGATATGACGAACATAAGACTGCTCTACGGCCCATGCAAAAACTGTGACGGCATGGAGCTGGGTATTTTTCCAGGGTGTCATCTCAACACTGCCTATCGATACATGTTGGCTACCGTGATCGTGATCGCTTTTACCTCCGTAGTGGGATTTTCTGCCACTGGAAGTAAGACGATCTGAGGAGAATTGGGAGAAAATTGGCCGAATAAAGTCTTCAAGTAGCACAGATTTGATAAAATCATATTTCCGGTCACTGATCAGTGCGTTGTCCAGCAATTCTTTGGCTATGAAGGCCACATTCTCTGTCGACCAGATAGCCCCACTATCCGTATACGCAATCGCGGACAGTAGGGTGGCGTCGTCAATAACCGCTGAGAAATCGAGCGCGAGGATCCTTAAGACACCTAGTATCCCTTCTACCAGCGCAATGTGATTTGGTGAGCTGTCAGGGAGAGGTATGTCGCCAGGCGTGCAGCCTAGAAATTCTGCAACATGACTGGTAATTCGGGTGACGGCTTCATCATCATTAGATACTCTCTCTATGGAGTCAGCTTGTGTTAAACAGAGGCTGAGTCCCGCAGTGACGTGCTGCGGCGGCTGATATTCATTGTCAGCCACAGGCGTCTCGCCATAGACCATGAAACTCACCAAAGACTGGCACTTGGGCAGGTCGTTGGCAAGGTCAAAGAGGGTGTATCTCTGTGGGAGGACTGCCACATCTCGTTAGTCGTCATACACACTTTCGGATAAAGCGAGTAGTATTCCCTGTAAAATGGGGTTATGCGTACCTTGTTCCGCAGTGAAATGACAAACAGCACCTGCTTGCTGCAATTTGGTAACGACTTGGCGAAGCATGATTGAGAAATTCTTTGGGCTCCAACTTCAGAATGGCACCCCGTGTGGCTTCTTACTCCAAAATTTTGTTTCTGTTGGGCAGAACAATCAAAAAGTGTTGTTGGCAAGCTTAAAGGACAGCGACGAGTGGGTTAACAATCTGACAACACGGCTAGAATGCTTTTAAAAGCGGCAACGTAAATTTGCAGCTCATAGAGCATCTAGCAAAACATTAATCACGAACAGAGATCGCTAGTGGCGTCGGCACAGGGAACCGGCACCCACTGCAAAAGATCATCCGGACGAGTATACAGTATACATACAGTGTTTCTTTTTCTTTTTCTTTAGACATTTATTTGCCAGTTCGCAAAATAGTCTTGAACGCTCAATCCAAGGCCGTTTTTATCAATATGCGACGTCATTTTCCATACCTAAAGCTTCCAAATTTATTTTCAAGACTTGTTCGCCTCATGCCCATGATTTGGTTTCAGATCCTCATCCTACAACCCTTGAATCCCCAGCTCATTAGATCGCCGTCGCACTTCAGCGATGGCCCCGGCCGGGTCAGTATCGTCGCGATGGCGAAGTTGCCAGGCCACGCACACGTCAAGAGCCTGCCCCATCCACTTTCCAGGGCGAACACCCAGTGCCTGTGTAAGTAAGCGGCCATCCACTATGCGCTTCAAAGACGGTGCATCCATGACATCCAGGTCAGCCAGGTGGTCTAGAAGCAATTGCCATCCTGATGTGAACTGAGTAGTGTCTAGATTGGATATTAGTTAGACTCCCGAGACAGGGCCAGCATTGACAAAGGCTATGAGTTTTGTAACAACACTTACCACCATCTGAACAAGATTCTAGCTTTTCCATAGCTTCAACAAGAAGAGCGTTTAAAACCTGGACGCGCCAGTGACTTCCTTGGCTATCCCACTTGCGGATTGCCATACCGACAGTGTCTCGCTCAGTAGCCCTAGGTTCTCTGGCACAGGTGCTCTCCTTTAGAGCTGTAATCTCGCAACGATGACGTTGTGCTCCTGTGATTGCATCGCAAAGTTTGTTTGGGGCCTTGATACCCTCTCGGGCCACCAGCGTCGTCAATGGAATGGTTCCTTTACTCTTCGGGATGGATATCTCAGTCTCCACATGTGCGTAAGGGGTGAGTGCGGCCAGTACCCAGGCAAAGTAGGCAGCCTCATCCGTTGTGATAAGAGTGTTGTAGATGGACCCTGGTGCCGTGTCGCGGGCCAAATGATCGAGAAGGTCATACACAAGTTTCCACTTGGAGACATCTGGCAGAGGCCGCTCATCGCTGTTTGGATCTGTGAAAATGGCACCGTACAAACCAATATTATGTATAAGCTCCAGAGAGCTGCTTGGGTGGCTACCCTTGAGCATCTTTTCAACCTCAACTCCAACTCTCTCGCGGCTGATCTTCAGTTTCAGCGCATTCATAACAGAAGACTCCGCCATCACTGCTGTAGCCGCAGGGTCTATAGCAAACCCGAGGCGGCTAGCAAAGCGAACAAGCCTCAAAACTCTAAGAGGGTCGTCTGTGAATGTTTGGAGTGGCGGCATCGGTGTCCGAATCAAGCGAGATTCCATGTCCACAAGCCCCCCCGTGAAATCTTCTATCAGGCCAGTGTGTAAATTGTAGAACAGGGCATTGATAGTGGCATCTCGCCGCAACGCATCTTCCTGTGCAGTTCCAAATTCCATGGTGGGATTGCGGCTGTCTTCGGTGTAAGTCTCTTTCCGGAGATTAACAAAATCGACGTCGAGACTAAATATGCGGGATGTAGCTGTTTCGAGATGCTTAGACTTGTCAGGGTTCGCAGCAATCCTGTGAAGGCTACCCAGATCATCGGGACCGATATTGTGCTTCGTGATGTTCTCCTCACTGGCGCAGAAATCTCGCATCTCCAGGCTGAAGGCATAGCCGGTCATGGCATTGATCGCCGTATCGATATCGTGACTCTCGATACCAAGGAGCTTGTCACGGACCCAGCCGCCGGCCCAGCGAAGAACGAGTGGCTCCGGCGACCGTCCTGCCGCATCGATGGAGGCAGCAACATCTAAGAGAAGCTGCTTGAGCCTTTCTTCACTGGTGTTGAGTTTGAATGCGGGCACAACTGAGAGAGATTTGGTAGCCATATTGCGCGACGTAGGCTGGGTCTGAAACAGAGCCGGACTAGAAAGGCCTACGAAGGTGTCAAAGTTCCTCTTCATGGAATGCGGTGCAAAACAGTGTTTCCAGTTGGGGCCAGTTCGAGCACAGGCACGTATCATGACATGATACAGTCGATAAAGCGCTAGCAGGGGCTGTGGCGTTGGCGTTTGAGTATGAGTATAGCGAAGGGACGAGAGTATAACGAAGGGACGAGCGAGTAGCGAGTAGCGAGCGCTACGCTGCAGGCCAACTATGACTCAGTGCTAGCTGCAACGGTGAGGGTACACGCGTACGCAGTTGCAGGCACAGGCTGCGGCAAACCAAAGATGAAATACGGATGGTGCTGGCCTAACCAATTGAACGATGGCAACAGAAGCTGAGACAATCTGGTGCAATGTCTCTGGCTTGGTTGATTCAGCGGTCAAGCAATCTTCCTTTTAAAACACGCCTACAGGTTGGCGGCAATGGTTATTAACGGTTGTGCTGAGCTCAGCTCGAGATGGGGACTTGGGGTGGGGACCTGACGCCTAGTCAGTAAATGAACTCGAGATCATGGACATAAGGCTGGAACAACTAGGGCCACAACGTTTCCGATCGAAATGGACAGGCGAGAGAAATGTGTGCATCAAAGGCGCTGTGTATTGTTTAACTCACGGGTTTCATATGAGTTGCGAAAACCTTTAAAAAAAAAATTTGCATTCCACACGAGCGGAAGGTCACAGTAGTCGTGAGGAAAGTACGATATTCTTCCTTGATTTGATTTCACATTGAGAGTAAAGGTAAGTGTTGATGGCGATTGGGCGCGTGGCTCTTCCGATCCACTCTGGCTACCGTGCGTAAACTTGTACGTAGTAGGTGGGTAGTGAAGAATCAGCCGGGTTTTTAGTGTCAACACAGCATCTCACTCAGGTGCTTTTCAAGTGCATTCCCCATCCTACACCACCTACTCAGCATTAAATCCCCCTTTTACCCTTCCTCCCCCAAAAGGTTCACAGTGTCCCATCTTATACATGTGATGTAGTTAATCCGAGCGGTGCATTGATAGGACATTTCGTACCTCGTATTGTACTTGTATCGTATTGGTGTGTCGTGTGCCACGGCCAGAGCCGCAGATCGTGCTACTCGCCTTACTTCGTGCAAGTGCATAGAGCAGACGTGCGGCAACTCGTATAAACATGGCCGCCATTTTGGCGCACTTAAGCCATATCCAGATTGCCAGCCAATGCCGCGCCATCGTTGCACGTACCCACCCCCCCCCCCCCAATGGCCAAAAACACCATCACTCAAAGCTCAAGCATAACTGTGTGTACTTTACAGTCACTCGCTGTCGTGTTGTGTCTATCAGTTTTCTGGGAGGCGAACGTCGGCCATAAAAGTCATATATTGGTTCAGCATGCCAAGACGATGAAGCAGGGAACACGGCGAATAGGTGTGGAACGGAACCACCCGCACTCCGAAGAGGGGTGACCATCCCATCCCGATGAGGACCAAGTCCTGCGGCGTTTGACCTCAGTTAGATGGATTGAAGACCCCAGCCCCCACGTTGTGCTCAACTATGACTTAACCTCATGAACGTTTACCTTTCCTGATTCAAGCATGCAATTTAGCTTAAATTGAGCACCCACATGCTACCCCGGGTTGTTTGTTATACATTCCATCTCAATGCCCAAGATTCAACCCCTAATTGATGTGTGATTCAACCCCAGCCTACCTCATCCTGTTGCAAGCTCAAGGTAGTCCCCGTTATTACTTTGTTTCCTCTCCTCTTCCTGTATTTGGCCTTCTTTACACCGTACTGGAGAAACAAGTGGGCTTATGCTAGAAGCACCCCATGCGATTGGCTCTCCAAGTACCGTTAAGTAGGTTTCACTGACGACCGATGCCTAGCCATGTCGCCGTTCCAAACAGGGACCGTCTCATCGACCTATAGCTCCACGGCATGCCTGGGTAACTGGCCATTGCTTCTGTCCGTGCTACTTGCGTTTCTTCTATTCCCTACCCGCCTGCATTTCTTGCCTTCGTTCACTCTCTCGCATGGGCTAGCCGCTTGTGGCACGCAGTCCAAACCAGTGTTGTCAACCATGTCTAAAGTACGCCGGTTCTCGTACCTGTCTCGGCTTATGGTGAATCTGATTCCATACAGTTCACAGCACGTACAGTCCAGCCAGTCATATCGAGTGAGTCATTGCCTCGTCTCAACCTCGCAGACTACATGTGGCACCTTGTCCGCGGTTCCCCCTTTCTCTGTATCATCTATTTGGGGGCTCTGGAATGTGACACTTGAGGCGCCGTTGCCGATTCCAGCGGCTGTGCTATTATTTCCGCTCCTGCTCTTGCCGCATGTCATCCTCGTCCTGGTATGTGCGGATGTGTCGCCATCCTAAGGTTGAGAGCCCTTCTGGGGATGAGCATGTGGCTCGGTTCGTTTCGATCCGCATCTTTTCGAGACCACCTTAATTGGCTTGGGTTATTCGACTATGCTTTGATGAAAATTTGACCGCACCGCGGCTCTCCCCAAGAAAGCTTACCTTGTCCCTATGTTCAATGATTTACCACGAAGATGGTGCCTGTCTTGGCCTCCTGTTCGCATCGACACTCGCCGGTACAGTAACAGCAACGAACTCTCCAAATTACCAATATGTCATTTACCTCATAGAACAGGCTTGTCAGTGCATCAAGCAGCTTGCAACTTGTTCGGGGTATCTGATGGCTGACCGTTGGTGTGTGCAGATTGTACAAACGGCTACTGGTATGCCACTCTCATCACAGACACTGGTGGTTTGCTTCTATTACCCAACTTTTGAATATGTTCCGCGCCTACTGGCCGCCTCAATGGTGTTCCATTGCACCCCATAAAACCTACCCGTTTTGCACCATACCGCCCGATGCAGGGCTGCCTAAGTTACTGCGGCAGATCGTCAGTGGCCGTGGGTCAGCCGTTGGCACCAGGTCGTGCGCGGATTGACTGGACCCCCAACCCCTGGCTGGTATCTCAGGGTGGCTGCCCTGGTTGCACAGGTTCGGTTCGAAAACTCCCGTAATAAGGTCGAAACAGCATCGCCCAGTGCCCCCTTCGAAACATCCGCAAAGTACCTTGCTCGAGGCTCCACCTAACTGCCTCATTCCGGGTCACATTGTAGTCACCTTTTCAGGGTGGAGGCCCTGCCAGGATCGTCGTAGATGGTATTGGTCATTGTGCGCGTACACCAGGCACTTCGCGACTGACCTATATCCTTTCTCGGCAGGGGGTGGCGGTTGGTGGTAGGTATGGACGCCGTGTTGTAACGAGGTGTCTACCGGCGTCCACTTAATGAGGTCCCAGCTTTCCATCTCACGGCTGCTCTTTGCATATACCCCAAACTTCTATTACACTTTGTGATAGGAAGGAATTAAGCCAGAAGAATCCTTTCCTGAGCAGACCAGTATGTGTTCTGCGCTTTCCAGCTAAGCAGCGTACAGTCCAATCTTTACTCGCATTTGTATCGCCTGCTACAGATGCTTTACTGCCGAGGATCTGATATCAGAATTTGGGAGTTGCCGGGTCTGCGAGCATGCAAGTCATTCGCTCCTGGGCCTCACTCATCCCCCTTCCCTGCTTTCCCTGCTTTCTCTGCCTTCCCTCGGCATCATGGTGGGCTAGCTGTGCCAGCCTAAGGCGATCCTGATACCCAGTCGTGAGCTCGGGCTCTCCAGCTGACATTCGGGCACATCCACTCCGGAACCTTGATACCATCCTTGCCGTTTACCGCCCCATGTTTCTCATGCCCCTGGCCCGAGGGTCGCATGAGGCTCTGCTCTGGCAATCTCGCCACAACTTGACCTTTGAGGCTCACTTTGATCAGTTAGCGGACATCCGCGCGCGCCCAAGCCTAAGCTCCTTCAAACTGTTTTCTCGCATTGAAGCTCACTTGTAAAAACATGTTTGGCTTGGCGGTTTAGGATGTCGGATGAATTTTCAGCTAACCTCCTCTGGTATCATGAGACTCGGGGAGGCTGGCAGGAGAGTAGGCAATGAGTGGAAAAGGTATGTCGTCCCGACATCAGATAGAGGAGACCTTTTATTCTGCCAAAGTGGCCTTCTATAAAGATTGGTCCGGCCTCCTGCCTCATTCTAAGTTTTCTCTTTTTCTTCATCAAGCAATCAGCAGTCTTTTTCCAAGTCTCTCACTCTCCTTCCAATCTTTTTTGTATTGTATAATCCTTCCCTGCCGGTCAGGACTTACCTTCTCTCACATACAACATGTCTTACATCAAGAGTGTCTTCGCTATTGGCCTCCTGGCCACCGCCGACCTTGTCGCCGGCCACGCCGCCATCGTCGGTGCTACTGGCGACCAGGGAGGCCAGGGCATGGCGCTCGGCATCGACTCTGCCACCCCTCGTGACGGCACCCGCCGCGACCCCTTCCAGCAGGACAGCACTCGTTTCAAGGGTGAAGCCGCCGACACATTCGGCGAAACCGTCGGCGCCGGTACCAACAGCCTCGAAACTGGTACCAAGGCCATCATGGCCGAGACCGGACAGATGCTTCCTCAGATCAGCCCCGGTGGCTCCGTCGATATGACCCTTCACCAGGTCAACGGTGACGGTGGTGGTATGTGTTTCCCGAATTCATTGGAAGCGTTTGGAATCATGAACTGAACTGAATTCAAAGGCCCTTATGACTGCATGATCAACGCCGATGGTACTGGCGCCTCGTGGACCAACATCAACGTCGTTACTACCCCCCCGGGACAGAACTCCCGCAACCGTGACGGTGCCATGACCGACTTCCCTCTCAAGGCTGCGATCCCCGCTGACCAGACCTGCACTGGTACCGTTGCCGGCCAGTCCAATGTCTGCCTGGTTCGCTGCCAAAACGCTGCCCGTGCTGGCCCCTTCGGTGGTGTCGTTCCTGTCCAGATGGCTGGCACCACCACCCCCGCTGCTGCTCGCCGCAACCTCATGCTCTCTATGAAGAGAAGCGAGGACCTTCTTGCCAAGATGGTTAAGCGCGCCCAGTCCGCTGCTGCCGCCCCTGAGGACGATCCTGCCTACCTGGCTGAGCTCCGCGCCGACGGCGAGGAGATTTAAATGGCTGCTGCCGCCTCCGGTTTAGGCTGCTACGAGCATCGGATGAGGAGGATTCGCGGAGGCTGGAAAGATTGGCGATGTAAAGAGGCTGCTGACTTGATGCTGATGCTGACGCCTAATATTTTGTAACTGGAGAGGACTTGACTGTGTCCAGTCGTCGATAGTGCACAATTACATTCTCTGACTGCTTTGCTAACTTTTGGATTATTTGACTCTTTCCATGGTTGTCGTGAATCAGTATCAGATTGTGAATGAAACATGTAATTCGACAGGCCACCCTTTGTTCACCACAAGTGCTATATAGGACCAAGTGGCTGCCAGTACGGGGTTTTGGCTGTGCCGACGCGTAAGCGACATCAACCGTTTGGAAAACCTGTTGTCGGCAGCCAAAGCGACTGGGTGAAGTAACGTATCAGGCACGACAATTAGAGGGTGGACAAAGAAAAGAAGGAGGTGTCTGTAGAACGGGCGCAAAAATTGTCGGTGGTAGCCCGAGGAAGCCGCGAGAATGCGATAGTGGGTGCGAAGCGCATCAAAGAAGCACAGCCACTGGCATGAGATCACTCACTACATTGGTATAAGAACCTGGGGACCATGAGCACGTCATACAGCAACAAGGCACGGTGTGGTCAGGGATGGAAGTTGAGATGGCCTGGGTGGCGAGGCCGACAGTGCAGTGGTCACGATGACTAGGTTCTGAAGGTGACTAGAGGTGGGATTGGAAGATGATGGGGGGCTGTGGAATAGGCAATCAACTGCAACACTGCCGCCATCAACAGAACCCAAAAGAGACATCACAGCAGTCATTTGCAAAGTTGAGCCACTCTATCCAAACTGTAAAATGCTTCGCCACCTCCATCCTACGTAAACTTGCTTAAATGAGCCAGGGTTTTTGTTGTGCAGTGCAGCATCGTCAAAAATGCCGATTTTGTATGGATGTCAACCAAATGTATTAAATGTTAAACAGACGCAATGGGTGGAATGCGGAAAAACCAGGGAGTGAGCGTACATAGTCGAGGTTGTTAGATTCTGGGCAAATGACATGTGACGTCAATGTCGTTCGCAGATCATCAATCATTTCATACAATAGACCAAGGCGACTTGCAGTACTTATCAGGCTCCTCGCTAGGTAGGTAAATCAAGCCTCAACGCACCCCAAGTAGGCATAGTATGTAGCTGATTCCCCTCATGTGAAGTAGTTGCTCTTCCTCACACACCCACCCCGCATGTGCGTGTGTTAAGACCAAGTCAAAGACCAATGAGACATGCGTGTGGCTTTCTACTACTGCTGATTTGGGAATAGCCACCTCCAGACAAGCTAAAGTGCCAAGAGCAACTAATCGATGGTGAGAGGGCACCTTGTATGGTACTGAGGTCAAGTAGATACCTCGTGTGCTACCCTACTTACCTCCATTGTGCTTCTTTCCATTTGTTCACTAAAGACACCGTCGAGGAGACATCAGGTAGCTCCTTGTCTCATAGGCTGACTGGCTCAAGGAACCCAATCCAGTCCATGTCAATCAGAGTCATCTGTGCCTTGTTCAACCGCAAGAGTGCATTGGCAGATGACTTTCCCAATCAGGCATTTGGCATGCCATCCCTTCCGGTACCGTCTCTACCTTTCTTACGAAGGGACTGACACAACCGTTCCTTCTCTCCTCAATTGGTCTCGCCCCCAATAGCACTCGATTCGCCAAAGACTAATTATCTGTCTTCGTTGACGCAAGGTGTGACTAGGTTTGACAAGATGCCTCAACGTATCTACCTGGCTGAACCCTCATAAACACTGGCACCCCCCAGGTGGCATACGCACCGTTGTTCCCCTCCTTTTTCTCCCACAATTCTCTGGCTGTCTTATCAAGCCTATACACAAATTCACAGTAATCATATTTGCCTAGTACAGTCTCCATTCAACTTTGTCGTCTACAAACAGCTACCAGCATTGAAAACAGCCGATTTTGGAGTTTTGTAGTGCAACACAGCATTGCTCGCCCTATCAACTTACTTTTCGGACACGCCTCTGCCACTAGTTTTGACCATGGCCAGTAAGCGCCTCATCACATGTCTCTCTTAACCTTTGCCATCCCATATGCTTATTGGTGTAAACCCCCAGACGACCAGGACAGAACTGATACCATGCAAATCGAGACAGAACCTTCGCCAGTCGCTCTCAATGGCGAGGCTGCCCCGGCCCTGTCCTCATCACCTGCAGACCGACGAGCCAGTACCGATGAATGGGGTATATCCTCACCTATCTCTTCGTCATCATCGCTTCAACCCGTATCCACCGCTAACTGAATCCTGACAGACGCATCTAAAGTGCCGCCCAGCCGCTTCCAGAAGCGCAAGGGCTCCATCTATGCCACCCCTGGCTCTCGTGATGGGCATGTCGATAGGAATTATGCAACCGGGTTCCATGAAAAACATACCGAGAAGGGGTATGGCAAAACGCCCAGCAAGTAAAAGGCTGAGCGTTTCCCGCGCCTTGCGAGAGTAATTGATACCTACTACGAGAGTGTTTGCAACCTGTTACCTGCTGAAGTTGGGGAGAAGAATCAATGAGGAATGTATTAAATTGGCAACATGGGATCGGAAATGCTCTTGTTGTCCTCCTGTATCATACTACTAGAAACCTAGCCAATTGCTGCAAACCTAGTCCCCCGAACCTCAAAAGAGGACACAAATTGTTACACGTTATTCGTCAAGGTCGTCGATGTCGATGGCATCTGGGTTTGCTGTCACAGCTGGCACGTCTGTTGGACCACTAGTTTTTTGAGCATCGCTAGCCGCCACAAATCCAGTCGGTGCTCTCGCTTGTCGTTCAAGAGCAGCCATAGCATCTGCAACATCTGGATCCGCGGACTCCTCCGGTCGTTGCTGGCTACGCGCAAGCGCTTGCGATGCAATGAAGTTGACGTCAGTGTTATATTGTGCCTGTACGCTTCGCTTGATACGGAGCATCTCCTTGAACGTGTCCTCGTTACCATGCTGCACTTCGAACGTCTCCCACTTGGTCCAGAAATCTGGGCTGGTGCGCGGGTCACAAAACTGTGACGCGTGACCGTAGATAGCTCGCGCCCGATCGATCTCGCCAAGCCGCTTCTCCATGTCGGCAAACTTTAGGCACATATCCCGCGCCTCGTTGTCGGGTAAAGTGGAGATGGCTTTTTCGTAAATGGGTCTCGTAGATGGCAGCCCAAAGTTAGACGCAGACTTAGTGATATAGAAGTTGAACATGTCTGCCCGGTCTTCGTCGGCCACTGCCCTCGTTGCGCGTTCATAGATGCGCATGGCGTGTCTTGCAAGTCCTCGCTCCTCCTCAAGATTGCCGTACATAAGATATATTACCTTAGCAAACTTGGGTGGACAGTCCTCGATTGCTTGCTCAAACAGGTCGCGCAGCCGCTCAATTCCAATTTTGCGGTCCACTGCTTTGGTCAAATAGAGATTCCATAGCTCGAAAGCCACAGGATAGCTGAAGAGATCAAGACCGCGTTCATAAATCTTGAAAGATTCCTCGTAGTATTGGTGTTCTTCCAAAAGGTTGGCGTAGTTGACCACCGTTTGCGGCGTTGCAATTCGTAACTCGAAAATGCGCTCGTAAACTTTTCGCGTTTCTTCCAAAGAACTAACGCTTTCAACGAGATCCACATAGAAACTCCAGAGTTTCCAGCTTTTGTGCACTCGTTGCTGCGGTGACAATGTCTCGTCAAAATAATCGACTGTTGATCTTTTCGGTGCCTGAACAGCCTTCGCCATTATCTTGACGGCATCGTCAAAGTTCTCGTTCCGCAGTTCCATTTCAGCCCACTCAATCCACATATCAGCTAGTTCTGCGACGGATTTGAATGGCACTTTAACGGCCTTTTCCATGATGATGCGCGCGTTTCTGATGTCACCTCCCCGCTCGTAAAACTTTGCATAGTTGGCCCAGAGCTGATGGAACGGCCCAACAGCCTTCTTTGGCTGTATTGTTGCGATAGCAGCAGTGTAAGTCTGCACAACCTCAAGCTTGTTGTCGCCCCAAAGCGCAACCCTTTTTTCCCACTCGGAAACATTATTCGGGTTTTGTCGCAAAACGACATCATTTAGAAGGAACGGTCTCCGATCCATCAGCTGCTCAAAACGCATCATGCGAATATCGAGCTCAAAATCGGCCTCTTCGTCAATGACACCCTTGTCTGCACGATCTGAAGCAACTTCCATGAGTGCCCCAATGATAGACTCTTCGAATTCGGTATACGAGTCGAAAACAAGAGTAAAGTCTCTTACAGTCATCACAGTGGTGATAGCCTCTTCGAATACGTCTCTAGCACGTTCGAAACTTCCTCGTCGTATCCAATAAGTGGCCAGCCCACACCAGAGCTTGCCACGTTGATCAGCAAATCGAACAATACCACTTCTAATGATTCTGTCGACATCGATGCCAGTTTCATACCCAGTCTCGATTTTGGCAGCATGCTCCACAATAATGTCGACCATCTCGCTCCACAGCTCGTAGTGACCTTTACCATGCTTGCTTACGAAGCGTGGGTTGTCTAGGACATCAATGTACTTCTTCACAGCCTCAGTGAACATGCCGACCTGCGTAAGAAGCTCTATGAAGTCTTCGGCGTCTTCGGGGTGAATCTGCATGTAGCGACGCCACACCTTGACAGCACTGATCCCTGCCGCCGAGTTTGCAAAGGGTTTGTAAAGGGCCCAGATTCGGTTGTGTTGAGTCAGCGGCAAGGCACGAAGAGCTCGATCGAATGTTCGTCGCGTGGTAGTCACGAGTGGCTGCTGTAGCAGAAACTTGAGATATAGCACCCAAATGCGCGGCATCTTGTTGAGAAGGATCAAGGCGCGCTCGAAAAGTGCGTTCACTTTTTGGTACTCGGCGGCGAATATCGCAGCGTTCAGCTTCGAGACGTGTTTGACACGGAAAATGAGGTACTGCAAGGTGTGCTTAGCATAGGAGATAACAATAAAAGCTACCACAGGTGTCACCTCAACGTACCATCTTCCAGAGTTTATATGATCGCGGAAGCTGAAGGCAGGCTCTTTCGAGCACGAAGGCGCGCTCGTGCAGAGTTCCATGTTGAGACTTGAAGTGTATGTAAGCTAGCCAAGGCTTCGTACTCCCAGGATTACGTAGAATATCCTGCTCATAGACCGAGTCTTCGTCGTTCTGCAGAAAGGTTAGCGTATTTGGCCCACAGCAGCCGGAATGAGACGCCAATCTGAATATTTGCTTACTACCAGGTATATGTCAGGACGTCTTTTGGAGCCGTTTGGAGGCACGGGGGCAGGCATGTTGATTTAGACCACTTGCCCAAGGGCCATGAAAGACCGGGAGAGTGGCGAGTACGAACTAGGCTTCTGGTTCATGCGAAAGTCGCGATACGCAAGAGTTGGCAGGAATCAGGAACTGGCAGCATAGTTCGAAGAACACCATGGCGCGAACAGGATGTATTTGCCTGTGCTCCACTTCTCTATTCTAAGCACGGATATAGAAATAACACGCCCCGATTGAGCAGTACAAATGCAGGAGATTCAGACCTGCCGATAAGCTGGCCCCACTTTCTAGCTTTATCAGTCGTATCAGCCGCGATATGTGCTGCCGCCATTGAGCTAGTCGTGGCACTGTGGTCCTGGCAGTATCCGTATGCCCCCTCCGATTGAAGCACTGACGCAACGAGCATATTACATTTGCCCGCCCTTAACAACACCTCTAGCCTAACTCGCGTCCGCTTGAAGAGCGGTTCTGCATTTATTTTTCTTTACTTTCTGGTGTTGTGAGGTTTGTTTTAGTCACACCGTCAATTTGCGATATTATATTCTTACCGATACTCTCCAACTCAACCAATTCCGACGCCTGCCTTGATAAATTATTACGATCATGTCGGGCGCTCCTGTAGGCCAATGATTCCCCTACCCAGCAACCACGTCGGTTCGACTCACCGAGCTGATGACTTTTATGCTGTTTTATAGGATCGAGAAGCCGTGTTTCCTACACGTCAGTCCCTGGGAATCATGAAGGCTAAGCTCAAGGGTGCCGAGACGGGCCACAGTCTGCTAAAGAGAAAGAGTGAGGCTTTGACCAAGTATGACCCCTTCAAAGCTTTGGCACTGGGAAATTGAAATGTTAAATGCGTTTGTCTGACATGGTGTCGCAGGCGATTCCGAGGTTCGCGGCTCTGCTCCCCGAGCGAGAGATACATAAGTTGACACTACTGAAACAGAAATCACAAGACGTATTGACGAAGCCAAGCGGAAGATGGGACGCGTGATGCAGATTGCCTCTTTCTCTTTGGCTGAGGTTACATATGCCGTTGGCGGTGATATCGGCTACCAGATACAAGAATCGGCTAGATCAGCCCGATTCCGCGTGCGCACCAAGCAAGAGAATGTATCCGGTGTTTTGCTCCCAGCATTTGAGAGTTACGTGACCGAAGGAAACAACGATTTCGGTCTTACAGGCCTAGGAAAAGGTGGCCAGCAAGTTCAACGTTGCCGCGAGACGTACGCTCGAGCGGTGGAGGCGTTGGTCGAGCTCGCCAGTCTTCAGGTACGTTGTGGCCAACTACCCGTGTTCATATCGTGTACCTAAACTAACATATCAAGACTGCCTTCGTAATTCTTGACGAAGTAATCAAGGTTGTCAACCGGCGTGGTAAGTTCTCTCCTTCTGCCAGACCCCAGACTTTGTGCTGACATGACCCAGTGAATGCGATGTAAGCAATCATTGAGTTTTCTGTGTAATTTACCACTGCTGACAGTCACTAGCGAACATGTCATTATTCCCAGAACAGAAAATACCATTAAGTGTATGTCAGGCCCAAAATACATATTTAATGGGTTAAAGGGAACTGACGGCGATATAGATATCAATTCGGAGCTGGATGAATTGGACAGAGAAGAGTTTTATAGACTTAAAAAGGTGCCTTTGATTGGTTCCCGTATGCGCGTCAACAGTTACTGACATCAAGTTAGGTTGCGAACAAGAAACAAAGAGACACCGCGGCTGCAGACGCGGAGATCAAGGCCAAAAAGGCTGCCAAGGCAGAACAAGCAAACAACGAATCTGCAGGACCGACCGATATGCTTGCTGCTGAAGATGACAACGATGTTATCTTTTAAGCACTGAGCGCAATACATAATGAGGAGTAAGACGCGTATATGTAGCCTAGAACATTAGCTTGTGCAACCGTACCTGAGAGCAATTTCCATTTCCGAATCGTAAAGACCGCTCTCCCTTAACCACAACAGTTGAATAGTGCTGGCCTACTGCCGCTGATACGTAACTTTAATGGTATTCGCCTCCCCAAGAACCATGCCAGCCGTATTTTCCTTTGCTGTAATTGCTCCTTGCTCGCCTTCATATTCGACAAAAGCTATGCCGCGGCGACCAGGGACTAAACGAACTTCTCGGAAACCTTCAAACCGCCCAAATATGCTGGTGACAGCCTCGATATCGTAATCTTCTGGAAGATTCTGCACAAACAGAATTTTGTTTGGGGGAAGGTACTCGTCTGGGATTACGGCGGTAGTAGACGGATTTGTAGACTTGAGGCCAGTGCCGCGAGCTGCTTTGGCTGGACGACTGGCCATATCTGGCGCTGCGCCGCCAGGACCAGGTCGTTTCAGTCGCTTTTGCTCCTCGGCAACCTCGTAGGCCTTTTTCTTGTCTAAAATGAGAGAAACATAGTATTAGCGGTCGCTCTATAACAAGTGAACATAGGGTGGAGAAAACATGTCAGCAAGGCCACCGTACCCTTCTCAGCTAAGCGGCGACGTTTGTGTAGTTCAAACTCATCTTCACTGCCCGTGGTTTTGACTGTCGCATCGCTCCTGGTACGTGCCAACGCAAGCTGCATCGGTTTATCGAACAGTTCGAACCCTTGGACTTCCTCGATGGCTTTGTGAGCGGATTCTGGGTTGTCAAATACAACGAAGGCCTGGCCTTTGGCTTTCAAGTTTGTCTTGGCGACAATGTCCAGCACAGTGCCGTACTCGGAGAATATTTGAAGCAACGCATCCTTCAGCTGGTCGATTTTGGCACGTTCCTCAAGGTTCCGTACATATACTCTGTAGCAAAAGTCAGCCTATGGCCCGACGTGTCGTAGTGCAATGACACGTACGTGGCAATTGGGAGACCTGAAGCCATTTCAACCGCGAGCAATTGTGGTTCTCGAGTTTGCAAATGAGATGAAGAAAGAGGCCATGAATAGGTGAAGTTTCTCCAACGTGGTGTTGCTGTAGAAGGCTGGAGAGCCCCCCGGGTGGGGCGATCTCACATAATTGGTGCTTGTCAGGTACGTACACTATCTTCCGAGCTCGCACCGGTTAGAAAGCACAGGGCTCTGGAATGACAACCTATCCAATTGCGACGCTGCCTGGGCCACAATCCATCATGTACGCTTCTTATTACTCAGGTTCAACTACACTAGGATCAGGACTCTGACCTAGATGTCGATTGCCCACCATAGCCGAGCTTAGCCCAAGTACTAGATTATCTGACTTTTTTCAGAGCTACATACACCAAACTGGACCAAGGACGCTCGTTCAAATGCCGTTGTCAGACTGCACCTTACCATCCCGCTACCAGGTCAAATGCTTCTTACGCCCAATACTACTCGGGCTATAGACATCTTTGTTCGATGTCTTCGGTGACCATTCCAGTCTGATCCAGCCAAACGCAGCATCCCCGGCCATACTAGCCTGCCTCGTAAGGTTTCCTCTAATCTAGCTCGACTAAATCCATGCTCGCCTAGCTGGACTACTTCGAGCAGATTCACTTGAAGATGATGTGATGTACCGATTATGCCCGTGGAGCAAAGGGAAGCTCACCAAGTAACCCGTTAAGTCGTTGATTCGGGAAACTGACGCAGAGATGAAACGAAAACCCATGGATCCGGACAGCGTCGCTATACCGTCTGTCCCGACTTCAAGTAGCCTCCGCAATTAACCATGGAATATGAAACTCTTGGTTATAGACGTGTCCAAGGTCGACTGTGGGAAGTATGCAGCCAGCATTGGTGGGTTCACAACAAGAAGGCTGACCTGACCACCGTGCAAAGATATTTGGCGATGGGAAGGAATGGATGGACCAAGCCGCTAATCTGCCCAAAGTATCCGCCTGAGAGCTCACCTGCGAATACTGAACTTCTGTTAGGTGATGTTGTGGATGATTTCTCGAGAGATGAGCAGGTTCAATAAGTTTGAGGTCCGTGAAGTGAAGCCGCTTTGCAGTCTGCAGAGAGAGCCACCGACGAAGATCTCTTAGACGCATATATAGGGGACGATGAAGTGGCACAGTAAGAGGCTGGTGCTTGTGAACATAGCTCGAGGGTTCTGGAACGCAACAGATGCCCACTCGGAAGTGATGCTTCTTCCAAAGTACAATGCCGCTGCCTTTATCGATCGCTGCATTTCCCTCGACCATCTCGTTATGTTGGAGAAAGCTCGGTTGGATGACTTCACAGACACAATTATGCCTTAAGCCACGAGACGCTTCTATTGCTCTTTGTGTTTCTGGGTAAGAAACATAAGCCGCCGTCTTCTGAATAACGTCCTCCTTGGCGCAGAGGTGGGGGTAGCGTGTCCAAAGGCGTACCTTCATCAAGGTCGTCGCCACTGCCTACCAAATTGCGTTCTAGCTTTACTTACAGACATGGCCCTCGGCTTCGAGAAGGTGAGGCAGAAGTCATGGAGGCAGCGCGTTGAGTGCATATGCTTAATGACTGGCAAAGGCTGGCAAAAGCTGGCCGAGGGATATATGTCGCTTGATTCGAATGCAGTAAGTGAGTATTAACCTTGTTCCTGCCTCAACTCAGACGAAACAGCGAAGGCAACATGCCTTCGGATGCCACAGGGTTCCGCGAAAACACCCATTCAGCTCGAACAATGAACGTCAGTAAAGCCTCGAAAATCGCATGCCAACTATCTGTTGCAGCAAAAATGCGTTCGGGGAGTGGCTGGTCGAAAGTCGGCGACTGCGAGACTTGCCTACCTGCCACCACAGTTCCGGGAGTCTGTATCGGCTTCGACAACCTCCCTCGCAACACATCCGATCACACCTCCCGAATCATGCACGATGGCCATGCAACTCTCTCTTGGACACTACTCGATGCAGTTTTGGAATAGCACCCTGCAGCTACCTCACATAAACCGTCACAAGCTACTTTCGCGGACTTTCCAGCTTATCAACGCATTGTAGCAATACTCTATGAAGGGGTAGATTGCCATGCCATAGACTGGTTTTCAGACTCAGCAGGCTGACTTTGGCATTTGTTTGTTCTGTCGTTGGTGCACTTTTCTCTTTGGAAATACGGCCCAATTCCTTACTGCGGCTTCTGACTAACCCGATATTGACTACCGGAAATTCGTAAAGCAAGATACTAGCATCGCACGATATTGCAATAAATTGACAATGTGTCATGCCTAGCACTGCCAGTCTCAGATCATCTCAACGAGCAAAGTATCACGGAAACTCGTGGAAAGACAAAGAATAGACAGGCCCGCAAGAACGTCAGTTGGAAAAATAGGATCCGGCAGGACCATCGGCAGCTTCGTTTCAGTCCGCGAAAAAGTTTGCCGTGTCTTCACATCACAGGGGGCGAAGAGCTTGCCTCAAATTAGCAAAGTCATAACGGCCATCAAAGCTGCCAAAGCTAACGTCAAAACTAATTCCAGTTTCACTCATTACCATGATAGCTAAGGATGCCTTGCGTGTTTCGTCGTACCCCTAGAATGCTAGCTCAGTGAGTGGTGAGGCTATGTGGTTATATATGACTTGGAGAGGCCGGCTTAAGCGCAGCTGCTATTTCCACTTGTGTACCAGTCATACCGTCTTCCTTGGTGTGTCGCCACCAGTGCTACAACTCATTCACACCTCATGCTGGCTTCTTCTCATCCAGGAGGTGAATAAATATGTTGAAAGACGTGGGAGACGCTTTGCTAGTGGTAAGCGACGCTCAAAACAACCTGCCACGCGTGGAGTGGATCGAGAACGGTAAACGACGCATCGTCTCGGAGATGATTCCGGCGAGCGTGCCTGACGACGACCTAGAGCTCATGGCCTGTTGACGATCCGAGATACATAATTGCAGACGTCACCATGGAAACATATAGCTCTGATATTGGGGCATCATTTGATCCCAGTGGTCGCAAGTACAGCACCGGAATGGGTTGTTCCAATTGCTGTGAGGTGGCAATGACTCTTTAGAGGTTTACAGCCAGGAACACGCAAATAGAGCCTACAAATGTTTCTCAATTCGAGATATAGACATGGTTGTTGCAATAACCTTCTATGACGTTGACATTGTTGACCAATAGGTAGTGCAAATTGGTGCCGAGCTATTGTTATGGAGGCTCGGGTTACTTGAGCATTTCCATTTACATACTCGTTTCAATAACTGCTCTAAAGTCTACGTCCCACCATTCCATTTTCTACTCCTTGGAATTCCTGCAGCCTGTAACCATGGGACGCAGCTCCAAGTTCAATGCACAGTAGCAATTTCCAGTGAAGTCGTTGCCAAAGGTTCAAATACTGGGCTCTCGTCCGTGTAATTTTTTTCCTGCTTTGACTTGTGGATGTTGTTATGGAAAGACTCTCCGCGCCAGAAGTAGTGACGCGAAAGCCGGCGGTGGAAAGGCGCTTTGGCTCGATAATGAAGGTATAACTACCTCCAAGAAAACAGGGTGTCTCAAGTAGTACGACCACCGGACACCAGTCATCCATAATACCAACTTGCCTGGTAAGATTTTCCCCTATCTATGTACCCGCGAACTATACATGCTGGGTTCAAGATTATACAACTTGTGCATATTCTTTACGTAACATTGCTTTCGAAACATTATCATGCATTCGCCTCCAACGCAGGTGCCTGTTCTTCTTCTGTCCTGGGCTCGTCCAAAGCCAGGTCATTCTTTAAATCTGGAAGGAAGCGGTCGATCCGTTTCCAGGTTTCGTCCCATAGGTTTTCTTTGGAAGGGTCCTTGCTGGGTGCAACTAAATACCCGCTACTTGCCATGAAAAGGACCACGTTCTTCAGATTCTCTCGAACTGCTTCTTCCTGTTGTCTCGCGTCAGTTCCTGGTGACTAACTGTAGCTGTATTGGAATAAAGAGGATTTACCAAACTGTCACCTTGGCCACTGTTCATCAACCGATCCATGATGTCAATGATTTTAACCCATAGATCCAACATGCCGTCCCACTTCGAGAGTAGTACCAGATATTGAAGGAAGACCTTGCATAGCAGTGAAGCAGCTTGCACTCGCATTTCGCTCATGCCGTCGCGGTCCGACGAGAAAACTTCTGGTTTCAAGAGCTTGTGGATCAATGGGAATAATACTTCGCCAAATATCGCGATCCACTCTTTGTGGTCACTACAAGTAAGATCAGGAGAAAGCAGCGATCGCTGGAGTGACGTAAAAGCCTGAAGGCGGACATCTCGACATGGGTTCGTGCATTGTAACGTTAAAGCCTGGAAGACAGGCAACCAATACGCAGACCATGCTTGAGACATTGTTAGACCCCATATAGAGAAGATAATATCTCGTCCTGCGAAAGCTGGAGTTGTTATGCATACCTTCGTTACTCTCAAGATGAGACTGCTTCATCAAAATAGGAATGCGGGCCGTTATGCTGTAGACTGTGTTGATCGCTTTCGAGCCGCGTGCTATGGTTTCGTTGAGACTGTGAGCTAGTTAGTTACGACAATACCGGTGCCAAACCTCGAAAAGCCCACCTCTTTTCTCGTGTGTCTTCATTGGATTTGCGCTGCCTAGTGTCTTGCTTACGCTCCGCCACTACAGCCCGGCCAGCCGCCGACGCAAACTCGCCAAGGAGCGAAATAGCCGCCTCGTAGTTATCTGCGATGATTGCTGGTGGTGCTCCCCCGCAGCCTAGCTCGAGAATATCGAACACTAGAGGTGCAGACTCTTGTCGTACAGCCAGTGATCGCATAATAACCCAGAAATCTGGAGAAGTCATGATTTCGTTGCGCAAGGGGCTTGGCTCATCAACGCAGAGTCTAAGACCCTGTAGTACCAGAATGGAGGTCTTGGCGAGAATGTCCTTCGAGAAGCTCGAGATTGTGTGGAGCAGAACGGGCACGTTGATGTAGTCGTAAGTCTAACAGACATGGAAGTTAGATTCATTGTTTAATCAGGGAGAAGTGGATAATGACAAGACGTACATAGCTTACTTGCAGCAATTTGAAAAGATAGAAGGCAGCTCTTGAGACAATGATGTAGTGGAACCGACCGGCGTCTCGTAGGACTGATTGTAGAGCTTCGATGATACGTTTACCAATAAATTCCACAGTGGCTTGGTCCCGAAGAGCAAGTACTGTGCCAAACTCTAATATATATGCCACCGCAGGATCGTAAACGACGCTGGCTTGAGCTGTCTTCTGTCCGTTCATAGGCGAGACGGGCATGTTGTCCGATTTGACCACAATTACTGTTGAACTGTGATCATCAGGTAGCGCGCTTAAAAGCGCCTCAACCAGGGGCTCTAGGTCATCAGGTGAAAGTTTTCTATGTACACAGATTAGCTGCGATCGTTTAAAAGTGCCGAGTCTGTTTGCTCACGAAATGTTGGCGAATACATTACCCATATGGCATGAGTTTACGCAGTCAACGGTACAGAGGGTACTTTCCAGTTCCTCATCCGAAGGCTCTGGAGGATCATCAGCAGCATAGCTGGAGATGTAGCTGGTAAATGCTGAGAAGAAGCCCGTATCCACAGCCTTCGAGGCTCGGTCGATGACTTGTGATGGTGTCTGTAATGGAATGGGAGTAATATCCATGACTGGAGAGTCCGCCAAGAAAAACGGTGGTAGAAGAGAGTTGACGAAGAGATTCAGCCAAATGCGACTGATCTAGGTATTATCAGTTGCATGCCTTTAAGGTCTTGGTTGTCTTTGACTCACAAATTTCCAGCCATTATTAATCAAGTGCTCGTTGCCAGTAACGACTCGGAAGAGTACCAAAGTCGCCAGCTGAGCTCTAAAGTCCCTTCCTAGCTTGACTGCCAGCTCGCTGACCATAACACTGCTCTCACCAGCCTGGACTTCGGTATTAAGGCTTGTATTGAAGGGGGTCTCGGTGGCCAGCGTTGTCATGTGGCCGAGGGAGTAAATAATCTGATCGAGAGCGTCACCGTTTTTATACTTCGCTGCTATCCGCGCACATTCATCAAAACCGGTAACGATTCTGGCGAAAACCGCATCGTCAGTGGCAGACATGAATACATATGATAGAGTAGAAACGATGGGTCGCCACGTCGAAGCAAACATATCAGCGTCATAAATATTAGTATCGCAAAGAACCAGCGGCCGGACAGACTCGGATTTAACGATCAACTCCCGCCAGGCATAGTCAAAAGCATGCTTGTTGTCATGTTCGTCAGGGAGGATGATCTCGTTAGTCCTGATGTTGTCAAATATTTCCTGCAGGTACTCTGGGGCAAAATCTTGACCGTCATTCACCCCCCTCAGGTTTCGTGCGAAATCTTCTACCGTCATGCGCTTTTGACCTTTGAGGTTAGGGTTATGCTGATCTGTGTTCAACATGATGATGGCATAAGTCAAGACGAAGACCGCATCTGCGTTGGCGACCTCTGTTGGCGTTGCCTTCGAACAGTATTTCGCAGCAAAACAAGTAACGATTCTCTCAATCAAGGCCGATTCTCCGGGAAGTCTAAATGTCTCCAGAAGACCCCTGAGAGCCTCATCAACTCGTTTTCCCGAAAAGTCAAAAAGATTCATGTACGCCTCAAGCACGTTTTCACTGCCCTTCTTAGACAGGTATTCACCGAGAACCTTTTTTGACACTCGCGATGTTCCTTTCAAAAACTTGGCGACGGCAACAGGATCTTTAACATCCTCGATGATGCCTTGAGCTTCGAGGTATGCCAGGCCGCCTTTCGGATTCTCGTTGAACTTGCTCATTCCTTTGATAATGATCTTCTTCTTTCGTCGTTGTTCCCGCAACTCTACCGGATCTGGATATCCGTTCACAACTGACGGTTCGTCTAGGCGTTCGGCAATAAATTGAATGTACCTCAGTAGTGCATCTAGGCAGAGCGGAGGGACACTTGTGGTGCTCCAAGTCGCGGAATCTGGGAGTGCGTTTCGCGAGAGGAGACCTATCATGTCTTCACACAGATCCGCACGATCGGCGTCACAGTCATAGTTGACAAAAAGCTCGGCCATAAATGTAGGCATTCTCGACAAAACGCCAATATTTTCGACCATAGCCTGCCTGGCGTCAGGTTTCCTTGCACCTCCTTCAAGACCCAGTTTCTGTCGGTCCTTCACTGGTACGGGCGTAGAGCGTCCGCTACTAGTTTGTGATGGAGGCGGCTTGACAAGTTTGGGAGATTGCGGTATGCCAGAGTACAAAGATGGATCGATGCCTGGCTCGCGAGGTATTTCTACAGACGGATGGAGGCATGCAACAAGATATGATAGGAACAGCTCTTGTTGTAGCTTGAGAACGCCACGACAAGTGGCTAGTAAGGTGCCAGCGACAATGAGAGACTCTTGCAGAATCGCCATGTTGTCAGACCTGACAAGCTGGAAAAGATAGCAACAGAGTCTGTCTTCAGCTATGCCAGCCAGTGCCGGATGTCGTGCAATGGACGGTCCCGAGACCTCGAGAGCAACGTGAATTATGCGCAGAGCCATAACCCTCATTGTGTCTGTGTGTTGGCGATCGTTGGGATCCAAAAAGTTGACCAAGACCCGGAAGAGCTCCCTAACCGATGGGAGCGAGTAGGGTCGCAGGTCCAGAGAATCGGAGCTCTCTTCGCCATCACCTTCGCCATCGTCATCACCTGTGCCTTCCAGATCACCACCTGCAGTGACTTCGGGCTTACTTTCACCAGAGTCTGAGTCTCCTTGAAGCGGTTGATTCGGGTCCAACGGCCTCGAACTCGATGTCGACAAGCGGGTCTCAGATTCGGGTGCCGAAGTTTGCAGGCCAGCCGTGGTATTAGCAGCTGGATCCATCTTAACGCTGTCCATGTCTGCACTTGTCTGCTTATCAAGAGCATCCGACTCGTCACCAGCCTCAACCTCGAGATGTTTGACATCCTCGAAAATTATTTGGCACATGCGAACCATTGAAGCCTCGGCAGTTCGGCGGAGAACAGGTGAGAAACGAGGTTGTGAGCAGATAGCCAATCCTCTGCCCATCATGTCGCAGACACTTTCGTCGCTTAATATATCACCACCCGGTCCCGACATCATATCTTCCATGAGATGAAGAATCATCAGGAGCACAACTTCTACTTGGCCAGAATCGCTGCCATCAAATTGACAACGAGTAACTGCCGCGGATAGGGATTGCATTGCAAGAGCAAATCGTGGCGAGGCGGGACTGATAAAACCATATGCGAGGAACTTGCGGAGTGCCCCGAGAGTGAGGATAGTTATAGGAGCGGCGGTGCCTTTGGTTTGGATTATTTGCAAGAAGGGGTTGAGTAGAGAAAGGGCGTCGAACGAATGAATCTCTAGAATACATGGCGGTCAGCAAAACTGTTAAATACATAGGACGTATGGAGGGAACAGCACGTATCATTACCTTTAACGCTGGCCAGTTCGTGACGTAGCTTTCCAAATCCAGCCATCAAAGGATTATCTTGTATGCTACGGCCCTTCTTTCCACGTAGGCCCCATCGATTGGAGGATGCGACATCCTGAGACTCTTCGACATTGAGAGCGGTACCAGGAGCTTTCGGGCCCCTTGGCGAAGGGCTCTGCGTCCCTAAGTGAATCGGATTTGGGCTTCCGCCCAGGATGGCCGACACAGAGGAATGTGGCGAGCGCGCATGTTTTTGTATTGCCGACGTTATCGAGATACACTCGGACATTACCAGAGACACGGGGTCTACAGCTACAGAGACCGGTCGACTTCGATATTGCATTCTGGGCGCGATGATGGAAGGACCCATGGCTCGGCGGAGGTCTAGGCTCGACTGGCCACTGGCAGCAAAGACTGCCTCGTTTTGGTGCAACTCATCGACATCTTGAATCATGATCTGCTACACACGAATGTGTTGGGCAGGTGGGCGCAATGTAAAAGGTTCAGCAAGCTTGCTACTCTCGATGGGAGGAAGAGAATCGACAAAGAGAAGGCCAAGTGGATAGGTTGCTCCTGTTGTGTAGCTCGTCGAAAGATACGATATTAGAAATAACTCGAAAAGAGCCAGAAAGGGAGAACCGTTGGTGATTTAGGCCTCCAGTCTGCGAATTGGGGCTTTGGGTGTTAGGTGTCTTGACCAAGACAGCTGTCGCCGAAAAAAGGATTCGCAGACGCAGATGGAATTGACCAGGTTGCAGATGGAGCTATGCTACGTTTAACGGCTGTGGACCAGCTTCAGCGCACTACACTACGTTGCAAGAGGTACCTGACTTATGGCTGTTGCTGTAGTTAAGATGTAGGTACCCACCCGCGTGCGGAGTGAGTGACTAGCCCAGGTTGTATCCAAGGGTGCAAGGACACCCACCACCTGACCCAGGCAAAAAGACTTGGGTGCAGGTCTTTCCTTTCACAACTTAGCCTTGCTATCTGCTTTGCAATTCTCCGACTTATCTGATCAAGTGGGCTAAAGCCCGCTCAGGGCACATCCCCTGGGTATCTTGATTCTGTGGCACTTGTCCACGATGCAGACATAGGGCACGTACGCTCTATCAAGGAGCGATGCGAGATCGCATGGTCCCGTGTCATTTACGTGGAGCTGATGCATATTGGCGATGCCTCGACGAGAGTTATACATATTACCTTTGATGGTTGTTGACAATTCGTCTGCCTCGCCACCACGTGCCATGTATGATTATACACTTCTCAAGCATCAATTAGAACTGCAGGTGAAAAGCAAACATATATTTGTTATCGTGACTTTTGGTCGATAGCACCTTGGTGGTTATAATGCCCTATCCGTAGAACACTCCCCCAGTTATCAACGCCTTTCTACAACTTCATCCCTTTCCAAGCCATTTAAGGGTACATAGAGGTATGTTTAGTATACACAGGAAACACGCAATGGAGAGCCAACTCGGCCCCCACATTCAAGAAGTATGGGCGGTAACCTTACATGCCCATGTTAAGGGAAGTTGTTTCAACGACCACTGTGACGAAATTCGACGTCCTGCAGTCCGCCCCTCCGGCCTTGGGTTCTGTCCCTACCCCCTTTAGCTTTCTGGCTTCTTCGCAAAACTTTCGCCTTCCTTTTCCTTCTTCTTCTCCTTCTTATTCTCTGTCGCAAGGTTCTGCATGTCAGACTTGTCCTTCTCCCATTGGCTGCTGGCATCTCCAAACTGCTCTTTGACCTTCTTGGCCTTCTCAGCCTTTTCTTCCTCTTCTTTTTCTCTCGCGAGCCTTTCTTGTTCCATTTCCTGTGTCCTCTTAGTTTAGTGTTCTTACCTATTCTTTATTGGACAACATACCTCCATGTGCTTAATGTCATCAACGCTTGGCTCGTAAAGATGCCAAATTGTATAGTGGGGCAGGCCAACGACCGAGTAGTCCATCCGTTTCGCCATCTGCAGCATTATTATCAGTTATGACTTCTAGCCGTAGTTAACAAGGGGCGCCTTACCTTGCCAAATCCTTCCGTCTCAGCATGCTTCTCGAAACTGAAAGCCGGAAAGTGAACACCTGACCGGAAGACCCTCGCCTTGGCCAATATACTGACACCTCCTACTCCGTCAATCTCCATCTCCATGTCTGGGTCGCCGTAGGGATCTCGCAAATATGCAAGATGAGGACGCCACGTAGCATATTCGGCGTAGCCTTCAACGATCACGGCGTCCTCGTCCAGGGTGTCGGCGAGGGCCAGTGCAGTCTCAGATTCTTGCCAAGAGTTCAAGTCGTACGGCTGCTCACCCCCGAGCCAGTCTGGCAATGGACGCCAAACGTCTGTTTCTCTCTTAGTTCCAGCATACGGCTTTGGGCGGTGTAAACTTACTAGGTACAATCACATCCTTGTTATGCCGCATTAGATCTTCTAGGATAGTAAACGGGGCTGTCTCCACGTCGACATCACGCCAGTAAACCCAAGAGTGGTAGGGTCGCAGGGCTGCACTAAGCAGCCAATTACGGGCTTGCGCCATCAATTTTCTCCTGCTTGCCTGTGCAGCAAAGCCATGGCGACTCTCGACATCCTGATTGACCTTTTGTCCGAAGTCTTTTTCGATGATGGAGATCTCTCCATACGGCTGCTTAGCGTCTTCGTCGGCCTGGATCTCTTCCAACATGCTAGAAAGAACCTCGAGAGTGCGGTCTTTGGAATCGGAAACGAGGAAGGCAAGGTCGATGAGATGGTGAGGGTACGTGAAGTTGCGCAGATGGGAGAAGAACATAGGGAGATGAGGCTCGGCGTCTCTTAGAGGCACACAGAGAAGGATACGCTCCTCGCGCTCCCAGCCACGTGCGGTGCCTTGCACATTGCTGAGGTCGTAGTATCGCACCGTTTCTAATTGTAACTCATCGCTAGCAGACAACAGACCGAGAGAGACGATTGAAGTCAGCGACGCGCCTGGCCAAACGAAAACCAGGAAGAGGATAACAACTACGGTTATAATGGCGAGACGGGTAAAAAGACGTTGTCGACGACGGTTTGCGGGTGTCGCTCGCGGCTGATATCTGTTGAAGGAGGCTAGCGTTAGCAAGACCACGGCGCATGAAGTAGCGAGGATGTAAAATGTTTAGGCGCAGACGGCTTCTGAACTACCTGTGAGGAGATATCTCGAACGTGTTTCCCCTGGGATATCCATTGGAGAAACCACTTGCATGATGGCGTGGCATCACCTTGGAGCCGGCCGAGGATGCATATGACGGCAACATCCAGGGCGCTGGGTGGATTATTCCAGATCCAAGATGGAGAGTAATGTTGAAACGGCGACAAAACGACTCGCCCAGGTCTTGGGAGTCGTAAGGTTCAAACAAACGAGGGCATCTAGTATCCGTAGCTCTCGGGCAGGAAATGACTGAACCAAGAGAGAAAACAGGATTGATGCAGGCAAGCGAAGCAACAACGAGCGTATGGAAAGTTATATCCCCAGGGTTGTCAAAACCACGATCCCGATAGCTAATAGCGGTCGTTGAGGGGTGGGTGGAAGACAAAGGTTCAAGTCGTTGGACAAGATACAGGGGAAAGGAGGTTTACGCGAGTATGGGTTGGACTATGAATACGTATTATTTTATTTTCAGACCACGCCTTCCGCATCTACCTTGGCCCCTGCACTATCACTGTAAGGGTGCAGCACAGTGGATTTGGTGTCTTGTCTCAGCACAAAAAACAGGGTACGTCTGACTGCCTCAGCAAGCTGCAGACTCCGTGCTCGAACACCGCCACATTCTCCCTCAAGTAGAGCCCAGCTCCAAAATACGGGGGAGTACCTCGCACAACTTACAGTGACGGCCCCTACCTTCAGACCATACTGTTTTGGTAATTTGGCCTGCGAGGGTTTGTGTTCCTGGCCGCTCTTCCATTGATACGGCTGTGCCAGGCTGAATCAGCACCTGGCCAAGGCAACTACCGCGTCGCCTCAAGACACCAAATTCGACCAATCGTTTCTATTCCAGTGTCCTCATGATTTATCGAGACAAGACGACATATGCAGCTATGATACCCCCTTGAGATACCTTGGGATACAGCAGATCTTTCCAGGCGGCCATGATATCATCTGAGGGATGGCTCTCGAGACACCGCTGCTATTTAGCTCCACGACGCCGTATCCGACAATTTGAGCTGGTGATAACCCTGAAACACCCTGCCCAGCAGTTTCTTTCATCGACGGCCTGCAATAGCAGTCAAGACCGAGACCGCGAATAACAAAAGAGACGTGACAAAGATTGATGAGTCAGATTACGAGGGGTGATATGAGGCTTCCCCTTTGGGCTATGAATTTTAGGAAAGTGGTTTTCATGATTTCAAATTCTGTCCTCACATTCACACAAAAGCACGCGAAGAGAGCATTGTCGTGTTCGTGTAAAGCTAGCTTACCTGCTTGCGGGACCTTTTGGTAAAGGTGAGCCCAAGTCAAGAACCATGACTGAATGCAACTGGTATACTAGATGCGCTGTCAGCAAGTAACAGACATTTGATTGTTGAAGACAAAACAGATGAAATGTTTCTGGTCAGACAAGCCGGTTTACTCATTCAGTCGAGCCGGCCTCGGCACTCAGAACGTCAGAACGATGAACTGAGAGCAAAGACACTGAAGCCAAATCAAGGTTCCAAAGGAACCAACTCCACCACATTCCTCGTAGCTGAAGCTACTCCAGTGTGGGAGGATGGCTCGGCCAACTTGAAATAGTTGAATGGATAAGCTGTGGTCATCATGGAGAAACAGGAAGCGGCAAGTACCGAAATTGAAAGCTTCTTACCTTGGTAAATCCTGTCGGAATGGCTAATGTGTTTTCCAAAAACTGGTGAGCCTGATAAAAAGGGTTGCAAGTGTAAACCACTATAAGTGCCTGCCGAACTACTTCCGGTTAGCAAACCAGCCCACCCCACTGCATCCATTGGATTGGGAAAAAGATTGTTCATCAGACAAGAATTTTTGGTAAATGGGTATCATCACAGATCTCAGTAGCAGAACTGAATGAAAAGGTTGTTCATCATGGACAATTGGCTAAAGCCGGACATCAAATAAAACGTAGAAGACAACTTACCAAGTATAAGTGCAGAAGCCCGATTTTCAACTGCTGTGTCAGGTCATAGCATAGCATCAGATTCAAGAGATCCTAATTGAATGAAGTCAGCACCTTTTTCGAGCATTAACGTAAGTAAAACAAGTTGATGTCCGAGAAATTAAAGTCAGATGGTAGTGCATGTTGTTCGTGCGCTCAGGATATCGCGTGAACCAGTGGAATGGTTTGCATCAGAGAAGGAAGTTGAGCAAGAGAAAAACGCGAGGTACTTACCAATTAGGAATAGCAAGCAGCTGGTATCTCATTACATTGACGGCTGCTCAAAGTTTGAGGCTGTCGCGATGGAGGAGTGTTAGAGTCAATGTATGAAAAGCAACAGCCGCAGAAAATTTCGAGCTTGAAGTAGTTGTGGTTAAATGGTATAGATGCATATATCCACTTTACTTCGTTTGTTTACGTGTGGGGTGATTTATGGAGAGGAAATTCAATTATGAGTGTTCTGGTTACCTGAGAGGGAAAACTTCACTCTAGTTCGACCGCATACGTCCACAAGACCAGTCTGCCAAACTGCCAGGCAATTTCCTTGATGCAGCTTCTGCTTGTCAGACCTGGATTCGGCAACTATATCCAGTGCCTAGTTCAATCCATCCAACGTTCACTTTAAAGAATCTCGGTGTTGCTGCAGCAACAGCTTATCGCTTGCCACTCTCGACCCCGTCTCTTACTATTCTCACTACTCATCTATCACCTACCGCCTGCATTGCTCCGTCTCATCATGGCCGATCGACGGAGGATTAACGGACCAGCTGGTGCCACAATGCCCCCGGTCTACGAGACATCCGACGCGCAATCGACCCGTAGAGCAAGGCCAGCGAACGGTATTCGAGGACTTTGTTGGTTCAGCCCTCTCATCGCTTTTTGCTTTCCGTTGAAACTGACAATTTCTATAAGTCCTCAAGACGGGCGTGACCCCCACAGCATCAGGTTCTGCTTATATGGAAATTGAACCTCCCCAATGCCAAACCAACGCAAATTTCAACTTCAATGGCATGAAACTTATTTGCACCGTACATGGACCCCGCTCTCTTCCTCGGTCCGCACCTTTCTCTCCCTATCTCGTACTTTCAACTCACGTCAAGTATGCACCATTCGCTACACGTCAACGCCGGGGTTACATCCGCGACTCGAGTGAAAGAGATCTTAGCGTTCACCTAGACACAGCCCTGCGAGGAGTCATTATTGCTGATAGGTGGCCCAAAAGTGGCGTCGACGTCATTGTCACCATCATTGAAGGCGACCAAGAGCGTGAGGCTTCTTATGCACAGGGAAACGATGAGTGGGACATCATGAATGTTTTGAGCGGGTGTATTACGGTTGCGGCCGCCGCTTTAGCAGATGCTGGCATTGACTGCGTGGATATGGTTACGGGCGGTGTTGCAGCACTAGTCGCCGGGGCTGGCGACGATTCCTCTGCGCCTTCGATCGTCCTGGATCCTATCTCTATAGAACACGAGAGAATCTTGGCCGCTTGCTGCATTGCCTACTTACCGAGCCGCACCGAAATCACCAATCTTTGGGTCAAGGGTCAGCTCCCGCCAGCAGACCCCTTACTCCACGCGAAACTTATGGGCCGAGCAATTCAAGCTGCCAAAGGGAACTATCGTGCTGTCTTGGAAAGGCTTCAGGATAACCAACCACCCAACAGTTAAACAGATGCTAAGTCTATGGCTCTGACAGAGCTTTGATGCGCAACGCAGCGTCTCACCATTGTTGAGAATTGAGAATTCTCGGTGTCCAAACCGCCTATATTATAGCTCTTTGTTCAGGCCTAGGGAACGCAATAATGTGAGATTGTCTCACAATTCAAAAGCCTGGGACACTACCGAGAAAATTATCTCTGGCAACTGGGAGAGATATTTGGTGCTCAAGGGGGAGCAAATCTCAGCCGTTATTGAAACCTACAGGTGCTTATGTTCTCCTCTACGGAGGACATTAAATGGGTTACAGCGATGTTCACTTTCTGTATGGACAGGGAGCTGTCTCTAATGGGATTTTGTATGATTCTTGCAATATTCTACATCACTTGAATAGCCAGTCGTTTTGCTGAGGTAACATACACCAGGATCCCGTGGGGATCCTACTTCTGGAAAGCATACGGCGAAGAAGAGGCAATGGCTTGCCTGGAAGTATCACTGACAGCACCCATAGATAGACATCGGGTTTAGTGTCTTTGGCAGCACAAAAAGAAACAATGACTGAGTCATACTATTTACCAGTCTGTCTGTAGTATTCTTTGAGACAAGAAATAAACAGCCGGAATATGCGATCACGGTTTTTTTAACAATCACAACCGAGTCAAAGCCCCCCACACTGCTCTAAGGGGGCTTGAAGTCTTGATTTCCACGCGGAAAATTTCCCACATCCGGCGGAAATGATCATGTTGAGATGCTTTTTACTCTTGGTTTTGATAGTGACAGAGGCAATCGGAGCTGGGTTGCTAGCGCGGGGTCAGCGTTTAGCGCTAGGCTCGTTGCACAGTACCAACCTTGCCAGCCAGCCAAGCCGCGTCAGGTACTTGCCACTCCAGTACCCCCAGGTATGTACACTTGCTGCGGTAGTACCCCAGCTCTTGTTCCGCTACCCTTATTGTCACCCCCGTCCTTCCTTACCTGACCAACGTTCAGCACGCGACAAGAACCATTCACCTCATCCGAGCTTCCGACGTCAACTCCTCTCCGCCCACTACCGATCCTGGAGTTGTTGACCGAAGTGCCTCGACCGATCTCGACCGATAACAAGCACATTCCGGATGACAACGCCTTTCCGGGACGCTCCGTTTTATCATCCCACTCGCATCTAGATATCCTTTTCCTCCAAGGCATATCCATCATCGCTGATCCATCTGCTTCCCGCGTTCACACTCTCCGCATCATGCTCTTCCGCCTACAACCCTACCGCCCATGATTTGCGTTGCGACCCTCCCAGCCGCCCTGAGCGAAAAGGCTCTTGCCGCCGCTGTTGTCCTTCTTGCAGTTTATTTCTAGATCATCGCTCCTCTTCCGCTAACCATGGCGGACCCGTCCGCTTCTGCATATGTGGAGAACACCAGAGCCTGGCAGAAACTCTCGCTGTGGACTGCTGAACAGTTTCAATACGCCGTCAACGTCACCAAGCTCACCCCTTCCATCGAAGACTTGATATGGGCTGGCCCGAGAATAGTAAAAAAGCTCACGGCTTACCTTCCATTTCCCGACTCACTTGACGCCTTAGGCCAGAGAGTCATTCCCGAAGCGACGGAAACCGCGATCCTACACACCACCGACGCCGCCGCGACTGCTGCTTTTAGCATGAATATACCCCCGCATCTAGAACATTCCCACGGGATCGGCGCTGAAACTGGGCCTGCGGTATTGTTGGATCACGAGCCTGGGGTCGCTGGCCCCAAGTTCACGATGGAAGGCGCAAAGGGCCTCGGTAGCGTTTTCAGCTATGCCACGAGCAAGTGGGCCCTTTGCTGTATCGCGATGGCCATCGTTCTCAACCGCACACATATTTTCGCCGCTACGAGGCGCCGTCTACGCCTGAACTGGCCCATTCGGCTGATCTTGCGCAGCCTTCCCGTTTTACTCTTTCTGGTCCAAGCTCGCGGCCTTTTACGCTCCATTCAGTGTCAAACGTCTCCCGACTTCGCGGAATTGCGTTGGGGCAATACTAGCAAAAGTTCTGAGTTGATGTTTTCTCAAGCTGGCGGATTCCTTCATACCATGAGCTCCACTCTCTTGCTGGGAGCCTCGGATGAGGAGTCTTGTATGGCGGTCGGCATGGTGCCTACGGAAGATGATGACTTGGCCCAGGATTTGCGAGGGTCCTTGTCTCTATTGTGGCCTTTGTTTGGGACATTCTGTTTGAGCCAATTTCTCGAGACACTTTCGTGCGCGGTCCAGGGTCGGCCTGTCTCGGCCGAGACGGGCATGACGCTTTTCGAACACTCTCTCGCTTTCGCCGAAGCTGATGCTGCGATAAGTAATCAGCTTGGCTGGGGACTTTTTACTCAAGCAAAAGCAGCTGAGACTAACTCGAATGCCGCCAGCAGTATTGCCATTAGTCGCTCGATGATTCTTCGACGGGTGAACACCCCCCCTGAAGTTCTCTTGGTAGCTTTTCTATCTACCATGAGCCACATCACCAGCCATGTATTGGGCATCTTTAATCTACAATCAAGATTTCGCCTTATTAGTACAGGTTTTTGGGGGCTTTGTTTCATGGCGAGCATTATTTGGAGTGCAGTGACCTTCTCTTTGGACAACCCTGCCAAGCAAGGGCTACTGCGGTTCCCGACAGTTTGCATCATCGGTTTCATTCCTCATGTCCTCGTACTCGGCGGCATACTCATTTGTTTCTTCATCTATCTTCTCGCTCTGGGCTTAGCGGCCTTCACACCGACAGAAGGGCCTACAGGCCAACGCCTTACACTTCAAAACCGACTGACGCAGGCTCATGAAAATATGCAAGCCAACCTCTCCCTGTCAGATATTCGCATAACCATGGAGATGGACTTCTATACGGCTTTGCTACGAACTGGGTTTGGTGCAATCACCATGGCTAGCGAAGCAGTATATTTAAATGAGGACCGAGACGTGAATTTGAGACCACACACATGGCTTGAGGAAGAAAGGTTCCAAGAGCTCGAAGAGTTGCGAGCGCAGTGGATTGGTACCAGTGCTTCCGATTCCCAGTATGACGCTATTGGCACCATCGGATTGGTTCCTGTAAAGGACGACCATTCTCTCACAACAAACGGCTATACTCGTGAACGAGCAGCACAGAAGGTACCCAAGTCTCGCTCAGGCGAGCGGAGGGTGAGAGATGGAGTTGGTGCTGCGGAAAGAAGCGGCAGATGGCTTATGGCATTGGACTTCCTCATGAATATCAACAGATTGATACTTCGAGCTTGGGCCACTGCCACTCTCAAGATTCTCTCCAAAGTGGGCCTCCGGTCGCCACAGTTTTTGCTTTGGATAGCTCAACGACCAAAGGCTGCCAGTGATGCCAGGGTCAGCAAACGCAATAACGATGTAAATCATACGGATATTCTGGCGAGCTTTGTTGAATCTAGCACAGACATTCCCAAGAGCGATGCCGTGGATGTCGAGTCTGAGTTCAGAAAACAGGCGAGGAAGGGTGAAAGCTTGGCACCTGTTGACGAAGCTGACCTCGATTTGCGACTCTATGGGTGGTGGCTAAAAGGTGGCTGGTGGGGTTCGACAGATAACAGCGGTGAATACCAACCGGAAGGGCTCAGTGAAAACGATGATACCACAAGCGTCATATCTCTTGATACCAACAGCGAAAGCGAGTGGGAGTCGGAAGAAGATGGTCAAAGGACACCAACGCAGTCCAGATCCTGGGCTTCTCGAGAAGCTACACCTACACCGGAGGATGCATTGCAACTGTCTGACTTAGCACGCCTGCTACACCCTAGCAACCCTGAGGATCGAGAGGAGGCGCACGCGCTGGCTGCGCACTTGAATTGCGACAAAATTATGACTCGGTCTCAATACAAGAGGTCGCAACATCAACAGAGGACAAGAATATTGCATCCGGCTGGACCCACGAGCCGCGTTGTCGTGCGACCAAATAAGATGACGCCTGACGAGGAGGCCCAGCGTCTAGAGCAGATGCTCCTATCTCGCCGATCGAAAACCCATCATTCTCCTAGTCGCAATTCGACCTGGGCTGAAGGAGCCGCCGGCCTAGGTCCTGATGGTCCTCAATGTGTGGTCTGTCAAAGTTCCCCTAGAACTATTATTGTGTGGCCTTGCCGTTGCTTAAGCCTCTGCGACGATTGCAGGGTGTCTTTGGCAATGAATAACTTTGACAAATGCGTTTGCTGTCGCAGAGAAGTCATCAGCTTCAGCAGGATCTATGTGCCGTAAGATTCAACTTGGAAATACGAGTCACACCCAGGTTCTTTGCATCTTGAATTTTATTATGTGGTACTAGTGCCTTGACCAAAGGTGGTAATGTCGGCGTTCATGGTTTGTAGAGCAGTGTAGTTTTCATTGTTCAGCAAAGGGTATCATTCTCAATATTGTACACAAACAGGTCGACTTGGCATTGGCCAGGAAAAAAAAAAACTTTTTTCATAATCATTATTCCCGTGTCACATACCAGCCCATTCCACGCAAAAGGTGCGCACTTGATTCGTTCGTCCCTTCAGGTCGGGAACCTCGCCGCCAAACAGAAAGCCTTTCTTGACCGAAGTGCCTAGGCGACCGCTGCCTACAACATCGAGCATCGGTACCTTTTCATCCCATTTGTAGTTTGTTGCGAGAAAGTGGGCGTGATAGCGCAGCGGATCACCTGGATAAACACTGTAATCGGCACCGAAACGGAGTCCGGGTGTCATGAAGTACCCTCTAGATTGTAGGTGCTGGTGTAAGGGCCTAGCAGATGGCCGAGGTGTAGCAAGTACAGTCTCAGTCAAAGGTACCTCCACGCCTTCACTGGTTGTCGGCGTCACGGTCAATAACCTTACATCCGAGCCTTGGTGAGGTGTGAGAGAGCGGTCTTGTGACGATGTTTTCATTACAGATGGCGTTTCTGTCATACTAGCATGCGTCGGAAAACTTGGTGTTTTGGTGTCACGAATTCTCCGCGCCTGCTCAATGGCGACCTTCTTCGCTTGGTCATCGGCCAGCAACTTCTGTGCCTTGGATCGGCGGTCCTTCAGGATCGCAATGTAGGCCTGACGGCAACTTTTATGTGGGGAGCCTAGAGAAAGCCGGTGGTACAAGATCTCGTCGACAAGGCAGCCTACCTTTTTCTCAATAAGCAAGCTGGCTTCCTCGGGAAGCAACTCTAAAGGCAAGCTTAAAAACACATTCTGTGTTGGGTTTTGGGGCGTAGTCCCAACAAGGACCGAGCAGATGTTATGGTTGCGCCTAATGAATGCAACATCGTCGGCATCAAAGACAAGATAACGATCGGCAATCTTGGAGATGCGCACAGGAACCGAAGATGCTTTTAGTGTCATGCTCGCCTCGTGCTGCCGCTGTTCTGCGATTTGCTTTATTGTCAGCCAAACGTATGTAATAAAAAATCGAAAGAGCTAACTAGTCCAAAAGCCACAAAATCATAATTGAAAATTGAAAAAAAAGTCGTCACAGAGTTTCAGTGGATTGACAGATTGATTGAGATTAGGTGTTTAATCATATGCGTATGGATTGATGGGGGGAAAATGACTTGATAACGTACCTTGACTGATGGGTTTGGAGTAAAGAAAAGGAAGAGAGAAATTTTCAGTGGTGGCAGATTTGAATGTACTGTGTTTTGGTGGGGTAGGTTCCGCTTGTTCTGAATATAACTTAGTAATCCGTCTCAATTGCCTCAGAACTAGTTAAGTACCCACCTAGTACGTGTTTAATATGCGTGAAATTGAGCCTTCGCTTATCGCTCGCGCCTGGTCTCTCGTCAATCGGTCGCACATTATGTAGCATAGCTTTGTGTTGGTTGAACTCGTAACTGCATGCTTGCTAGACACAGACCCCAGAATCTAATTGAACGCTGCCGTTTCTTGACATCTCGCTAATAAGCCTCTTGTAGCCATGTTTCTTTTTCCCATTCAGGTGCGGGCAAGTTGTTTTGTCAAAAATCAAGCTTCTCTCCGTTACTCCGTGTTTCTTTTAGCTCCTTATGATCCTCTCCATCCAACAACGGTGGCAAAGTGTAAGGCCTAAAGACAATGCCACTTGAGCTGCTTAAGCGGAATGAAAGATTCTCTCTCGATGATTGACCTTCCGGACCACCTCCTTTTTCATGATAGATAGGGAGGCTATGTATCTTAAGTATACCCTGGATGATATCTTCCGACTTGGTGTTTGGTTGTAAATGGACTTTACGATGTAAAGGCAACATTTCTAGCACCCCGTCACACAAAAGCTCCATCCATCTTGTAAGCCCTGCCGTTCGTGGATAAAGCGATGTCGACAGCGATATGATTGCTGATAGGTTTCCGCTATTCTGCCGCAGTAAAACTCGCAGCATATGCAGAAATTGCAGCGCATCTGCAGGTCGGCAAACTGATGGGCCATACAGTGTAGGCGATAGGAGATTCGGAACTAAAACGCGGTGGACTGTTCCCGGGGCAGACGTTTTTATTTTTGCTGACAGGTGAGCAATGAAGGCTTCCAAGGGCGACGGTGCAGGATGGCCTGGAGGTGATTGGAACCAGGTCGTGACGGGCATAGATGCTGTTACATGGAGGTCTCCCTTGATGTCACTAATCTGTAGACGTTTGGCAAGGTCAAATGAATGACAAAAGTTGCTTGATGTCCCCCCGCCTCCTTGGCTTGTTTCTTTATATAAAAAGTCAGTATCTTTGACCACAAACGGGATAAGATAGTAACCAAAGGGGGCATCGTACCTTTACTTGTTTTACTGCTACCAAGGCTTTCGTATCGCCATGCAATCTTCATTTTCTCCCCAGACACTAGTTTTGACTGAATCCCATCTGAGCCACTGGTCTTGCTCAGGCCAGGAAGCTCACCTCTCCATGCCTCAGTTGGACCTAGTACATGGACTTGGTGTCCTTGCACAAGGCCTTCCGCGGCGTAGTATTTCAGAAGGATTCCCGAAAAGTCGGTTGTTCCAGATTCTTCAATCAACAGACAACATCCAAGAGGTAAACCCGCATGCCCTGCGAGAAGTTGATCTAATGATGCTGTGCCTGTTGAAGTAGTGAGACGGCCGTCGAGGGGCGATGGACGTGTTCCCGGCGGAGATGATGTTACTTGTCTTTGGGCCACAGGCTCCCTCACAAGGCCTCCGGCTGATGAACCGAGAACCACATTCTTCTTGCGGAATGACATTTCTTCGAGTGAATAACTTCGTGCACGGCTACAATAGTCACTCCAGCCACCCTACATACAGTTGTGATAACTTCTAGGAGTGTTAGCGGGGCAACATTAACAGGCGTACAATGTAATCACTTGCCTTTTCTTGGTTAGGGGGTTTTCCTCGGCAGCGAGTGCAGATAATTAATGTTAGTTTCGAATAGTTCGGTTGACCGTTGGTTGCGTCTCCACGTCACTGAGAGGAAGGCTGCATATAAGATATTTGGGATTTGGTATCGGGCTACTTACACGATCGAAATTTGACCTGATATTATGGAGCAGTGACTTAGCTTAGAAGGCACGTACCCACAACAGCCCTCGATAACAGCACATCTATCCATAACAAGACCATTAGTTGCATGTTATACCTAATAAGTAAATATCAATGGGATTTTTTTTTTCCCCTTGTTCTCTCCCCCAGACACCACAATTTGGCAATAGTCTTGATTAGACCTTGCGCCAACGATATTCGAGCCTCTGCGCTTCACATTCTGTGATTATAACTTTTTTATTCATGAACCAGGACTCTGAACCTCTATCACAGCAGTCTCGTGCGCTTTATTTCAAAGTTCAGCAACCATGTCGGGTGGAGGCGATGTGACCCTCTTTGAGGAGTCTTTCACCGTAACGAACTACGACCAATCTAAGTACGACCGAGTCGCCCGCATCTCTGCTACTTCAACGGACAACCAGACTCTTATGACTCTTGACATCAATATCGAACTGTTCCCTGCCTCGGTTTCTGATAGCTTGCACGTTGTCCTGGCTACCTCCCTGGCCCACGATGGAACCAAAGACGACGAGAAGGGTTGGAGAGACGTTACCAAGGGTAGTCACGACCGAGAGCCCACGCTCGCCGACATGTTCGACTACGTCTGCTACGGCAAGATCTACAAATTTGAGGATGCCGACGACGGCCAGACTATGTGAGGGATCGCCCATTAAATATATGCAAGGCACAGGCAGAAGCTTACAAAGTTCTATAGCAAGGCATACGTCTCGTTTGGCGGTCTTTTGATGTCACTTGAGGGTCCATTCAAGAAACTTACTCCACTGAGGGTCGATTATGTCTACTTGCTGGTCAAGAAATGATGAACAACGCTATCTCTCCTTACGACGGCTAGCTGCCTCCGGCCTTTTCGAACTCGAGCGAGCGCGCGCCCGCGCCCGCGCATGTGGGAGAGGAGCTCACCGAGGCTCCATCTATATTGTTGAGAGGATTCGGAGTTATGGGCGTTTGGGTAACCAAGCGGCCCGGCGTGGCCGCTCTTGACAACCGCCTTAGTCGAAGCCCAGCAAGCTTAGCCATCGATGGCCCCAAGGGAGGGGTCGCTATTGTGAGGTCCTGGGAAAGGTAGTCTTCGGTGAATTCGCCGCAGAATGTGGTCGTATTCGGGTTCATTGTGTTTGGTCAAAATCCCGTGACGGATGAAGAAATCCAGGACTACCAGGGCACAGTTGGGTTTGAATTCTCCTTGCGCCAATCCCTGCTGTACTTCTTCCACGGTACATAGGCTAAACTCGGCGACTTCGCCATCCTTGGGCTGCGGCGAAACATCTTCGGGTAGCTCGAGATCGTAAATCCACTGGACCTCGGGATAGATGAGCCCTTCTTCCCCAGCTTCTGCTTCGGTGATGTAAATGTATGTGACACCGCCTACATGCTTCGCCCGACTGCGTACAATTGAATCAGGCAAACTGGCCTCCTCGTCCGCCTCACGAATCACGCACTCAAATGGGTCCTCGCCTGTCATCAAGCCTCCTGCGACTGTGTTGTCCAACATTCCAGGAAACGTAGACTTGGTTGGGGAGCGACGCGGGACCCAAAGCTTGATGCCGTGACTAGCAGACGGGCAGCGTACAAACGCCGTCAGGTGAACGCCGTACCTCATGACGCCGAAGAGTCCGGAGGCAGCCCTTTCCATATTGAATAGCAGATCACCATGGCGGCCGTAAATGGGCCATAGTTCATCACGCCAACCTCGGAGGATGGGGAAAACGTCATTGCGTCTCCAGTAATTGGAAAGGTCGGCTGCCAGCTTGCTGCGACTTTCCGGCGTGGACGTCTGAAAGGCGGAAATAGTGCGTTTTATGGGGTCAATTTGTACCTCACCCTTCACACTAGCTGGCGCTTCAACCAGCTTTTCCACCACGCGTGGCAGCACGAATCCCAAGGGCACATCGCCCTCGTCATCTCTCCAGATCAGAGTGTACATAGGTCCATGCATCTCGGCATATCGCGCCGTATCCCATTCGTACGGGTACCTATATCGGTGGTTAACTGTGGCGATATGGGATTCTGCAGGACGATTCTTACGAGTCTACCTGATCTATGAGGTCCAAATTGCTCAGCTTTGCCATTTTGTAGAATGAGGCCTGCCTAGGAGGCAACGCGATCGGAATCAGGTGATGGGTAAAGGAGAAGCCTCTAAACATAGGACAGTCGACAGTGGTCAAGATGGATGTTCTTCTGAAAGTCAAATGCTCTCAGAGTGGCCTATATGCGGATGTCCTGCAGTGTGTCGTTTTTATGAGCGGCTGTTCATTCGCAACTTGCTTGTTGTTACCAATGATATGTGAACACGATGTATGGTTACCTTCTTAACATCACGCTCCTGGGAAAACCGGGGTAACTGGCGCCTGAAGTGAAAGGAAGTACTGACAAGGTTGTGGAAAGGCATGCATCTATCAACTATGGCACATCTGCTATAGTGATATTCAATGCGCAAAATTTTGCGGGACATGGAGTTTTCTCCAAGCATCTCAGGGCTTCCTGCTGCCCCTCACCCCACATTGCAGGATGATGACTATTACCCTATCCGTACCATAGGGCAGCTTAGCTTCCTGTGTCATTTACGCCTACTTAACCTTACGCCTCATCATCAATCTCGCAATATCACATTTCTTTAAACGAAGAGAAAAGCTTCTGAATTCTGTCTCAAATCTCTTTTTTATGTAACTGTAATCACTAATCGCGTTCAATACAGGCTATTCTTCTGCCTCCCTGGAAACACAAGCGAATGATATAGCCGCCAAGCCGCATTTCTTCGGATTGATTGTTGGTTCAACAGAAGTGGATTGTAAATTGTCGTTTTACTGGCACCTTCCGACAATTTGCGGGCTCTGCGGACATCATATCGGAAACAACCAATCCAATCTTGCTACTGGGTTTCCAAAGACGTAGCACTTCGATCACATCTTGTTCTCTCACAGAAACTGAACTGCCATGTCCAACCCTCTTTTTGGCATTGTCCCGGCTGGTCAGCCCCTTTTGACGGAGCCGACTTCGGCTCTGTCTGAGACTTCGTTCCTCTACTCGATTTCTTCTGCTCGCCCATTTTCTCACATCACCGTTATGCTTCTACCTGGAACCGTCCTTCCATCGGATACTGCAGCTGCGATATACTTCGCCACGGCTGCTGATGTATCCGCAGCCACTGCATCAGGTCAGACACCTAACTTCAAGTTTCTCGGCGGAATTGGAGCCGGCAAGGAAAGCGCTACATTCAAAATAAGTGCTGGCAGCGCGGGAAGCGGGACATCGGCCGCCCAGAATCCCGGCAATGTCATGATTGGGATATCGGTTGAATCGGCTGAGTCCGTAGCTTCACGCATCCAGGAACTATCTGCGAATCGGCCATCCGACTTGGGTGCTCCCTCAACATCCCAGCCATCTCCCCTGCTCCTGGCCCAGAATATCATCAAAAACGCATTCAACTTTCTTGCGAGCTTCAGTGGCACTGCTGGGCCTGGTGGTGTCGAGGTAGTCCCACTCAAAGCATTTGAAGAGTGGTGGAAGAAGTTTGAGAGTCGAGTAAGGTCTGACCCGAGCTTTCTCGAGAAACCACAAGATTGAGGAGACTGCTACTCGACTACTGCAGCCAAATCGCTAGTTTCTTTGCTCAATACCCTTGAAGCAAATGCTATTTCATTCGAACGTGTAACATGTAGATATGCGTATAGTTATGCTTCATCTTGCTTGAATTCTGACAAGAGCGCTTTGCAAATGCAAGTCGAATTTGACGGTGTGTAACCTCTTACCGAGGAAAACCAAACACTGTGAATCATTGTTGTCGTACCTCTCGACGAAAAAGTATGTCTAGTACACGGCCTATGGCACGCCTTTGCGACAAAATGCCCAAAAGACGTGTCGAACCCAGAAAAAACTAAAGAGTAAATACCTGGCAACATCACCGTTCCACAGAAACGCCTTCTCATGAATAGAAGAAATAAACACCGAAACCCCTCCTAATGCCATCATCCCATAGCTAGACATGCATAATTGTATACACCGAGGACATTGTGCAGCAACGCGGGATACCCGAGTTTTAATCCTCATCCAAGGGCTTCATCAGGGGGCTTTTCATCCTCGTTGGGCTACCAGCACGGCTTCGGCGGCCTGCGTTCACCAGACTTGGCACTAGCCTCTCTCGGCTCTCAGTTCTTACCGCCAAGCCACCACGATCAAGGGAAAGAGTTGGGCGTCCATCATCAAACCGCTCGATGTTGAGCTTTGGAGTAGCCAGACCCGAGGAACGACCAGCTCTTGAACCCTCGCTACTATCGGACTGCTCGTTTTCATCTGAGTCCACATCACCCAACTCGAACTGGTCGGCATCACCCTCTTCTAGAACACGCTCGTAGGTCGCCGAAGACCGTCCAAAGAGTTTATTGGTGATGGAAAAGCCACGTCCAAACTTCCGGGGGCTGCCAGGTCGTCTGTTTCCACGTAGGGCAGAGGCTATTCTGCCAAACCATCTTGTGCGACGATCGCGTTTGCGCAAGATAAAGCCCAATACGAGAAGAATCAAAATAAAGAGTAAGACACCAGAGCCAGATTTTGACTTGGCTTTGTCAAGCAGTTCGTCCGCAGCGTCATCCCAGTCGTCATCATCGTCGCCTTCAACAAGAACTGGGGAATATCGGGACCCCGCAGGCTCGAAATCTGTAGCGTCGGCAACATTGCTACCGAAGCCGACTGGCAATGCAGTTCCCTGAGGTGGAATTTGGCCAGCGGCATATAGCACCATTTTCCCAAGTGTCCAACTGACTTCGATGCCATCAATTTCATTAACAGGCTGGAAAGGGTCCACAAACCCCTTCTCCTTCACGTCTTCCATAGTACCTTTCGAAACGTTTAGGCCAGGGTTCGGCGTGTGTTCAAGACCCGGTCTAGGGATACCGATACCCTCGTACAGAACGTTAATCAGCCAAGACGCCTTAAAGCAAGCTTCTTGTGCACTTCTGGCCTTTTGTGCGGATGACTTCTTTCTCGCCTCTATACTGGCTTCAATATCTGTCCAGTCGCGAGTGCAAAAATCCACAACGTTTTTTTGGTAGGTTGCCAAGTCATACGCTGTCTTATGGCCCTTGCCGAAAACGCCATGAGTCGTATGCCAGAATTCGGAAACGCCAACGAAGTGATTCACGTCAAAATCAATGCTTGGCACGTGTTGGCCATTGAGGAGACAGGGCTCGTCTTCACAGGGTGTGTCCTTCCCAAGGAGAGGCTCAGTCTGTCGGAGGCATTCGTCAAAGCGACCAGTCCCGACAAGGGACAATTGTTGATTAGACGGTTTGTTGATAATTGGGTCGCCGCTAAGAGTCGTCCGCAGACCCGATGGCAAGCATGGATCCGGGAGTTCAAGGCTGTCAGGCCTGCCATATTGTTCCTTGAGGCTATCGACATATCGTTCTCGGGCCTGGTTTGCACCGTAGCCAAGCCAAGTAGCCGTGAAAACGCGATGTTCGATGGTGGATCCGTCAATGGTCCGCAGGCGGACAAGCTTTAGGTCGTTCGCATGCTTCTCTGCCTCAGTGCTGTTGGGAGCAAAGGCAATTTGTGCGGAAGCGCCTCCCATATCCAAAAAGCCATATGTATGGTGGCCATTGCCATGTTTATGTTTATCGGGATGGTCAAAACCGCCAAGCAAGTAGTTTGTGGCGAGCCAGCCATACAATCCTTCCGTCTCGCCCGAAATTACCTGAATATTCGTGTTGCAGTCGGGCAAAGAAAACCTTGTGTTCTTCTGCAAATAGGAGCACATATTTCGAAGGAGAACTTTCTGTTGGTGATCAGGGAGAAGACGCATGCCAGCAGTGGCCATAAGGTATACGGGTGTGTCAGCGACCTTTTTCTCGGGAATTTCTTTGAGAGCGATGTCAACAAGAGATTGCAGGTGTTCGCGGCCTATTTCATCAGGCTTCTCCGCGAATGAAGATACACCAGGACGTATCTTTTCGCTGGTCTGTAATTTGATTTTAGGCAGGCTGTGGAGCTCATCGGCGGAGGCATTTTTGATAGCCTTGGTATGGTCCTTCCATTTGTATACGTATAGACGTGTCCCCGAGGAACCTGCGTCGAAGATGATGCCGTATCGCCCTATTGAGGTTAATCTTAGGTTAGCAAGCTGGATGTCACATAATAGTCTAGGCAAGGCAGATGGAATATCTCCAGTACTTACATTTTTTCCCCATGAGGAGCAGCGGGCGCAGTCAGGCTGCGTCGTAGTGGTAGATGTATAATATGGGCTGGTTGTGTTTGCACAAGACGAGCTCGAGGACGAAACGTCTATATGGATTCAAAGTTGATATGACAACACGGCGTGATAGGGAATCGAGAGATGTTGGCTGTCGGCCAGGTCGTTGGTGGGCTGGCTGGGTGAGGTTGGTTGGTTGGTTGAGTAGACAGTATTCGTAGTCGGCACAAGCGCGTGTGGAAGGTGCTGGTTCGGAAAAGAAGAAATAAACCTAGGAATGGGATTACAAGATCAGATCGGATAAACGATGAAGCTGTTGATTGAACGCGGGTGATGTCAATGGATGAGTTGAATAGGGTTGAAGCGAGCGTCGGTCATCCTGAAGGTTGTCAAAGATAGGAGCGAGGGTAGGCAATTGATTGTTGGATTGATTTACCTGTGTCACTGTCAGGGGGAGAACTAAGGCCTAGCACGGGGAGTCTGGAGACTTGGGCCAGACTGGACTGCGTGGACTTGGCTAAAAGTGGGCTTTCTTGAAAGGAGGGATGGAGACGTAGACGGGAAAGGGAAAAAAATTGTGGGCTCGTGTTGGATTGCTGGGTGACGGACTTCTGCGAGTGCCAGGCCAAGCCTCAAGTTGGAACCGTCTAGCGCGTGCTGTGTGCAGCGCAACACTGGGCTGAACTTCAAACGGGGATACGTAACCGTCCGATGTCTATCATGATTGGTGGTGCTTAGTAGTGGACATATCACCCGCAACGTACAGTATATTTTCATCCTCCCCTTCTCTCCCCTTTACGGCCTTCATTTTCTCGTATTTGTTGCTGTCTCGTTTGTTCCCTACATCACATGGTGTTACTTCTTATCTCGCAGTTCCTAGTACTGCATATCCGAAGCGTCTGGTTGGTTCCCATCCCTCCCTTGTTACGCAGCTTCGGCAGTCCCAATGGTGTTTTAGGGGGGTTTCTTTACTTCGTTCTTTCTTTTTTCTTTTTTCCCTCCTCCCTTTGCGCCCCCTAAAGAAGATGAGCACGCCTCGGAGGGAGAGAGGATTAGGCCTTTTTTGGACTATAGTACGCCCTGTCTTCCTCTAGTCCCTTTTTTTTTCACTCTTTTTTTTTTTTGCCTTTTCCCCTACACCCAACCCTTACTCAACCCTTACTCGCTCCTGCCCTTATACGACCTGTGCACCGTACAAAATCATCAGATGCCACTGGGTAGTGGAGACTACTGATCGCCAATTCACTTAAAGAACACAGTCGGCTTGGTTAAACCCTGACTTGGCGTGTCAGATTGGCCAGCTGGGTGGCGCGCTGCCATAGTATTCCCCGCCCTGTCGTCGTTTGCGATAACATACTGTAGCTGCATGCCTTGCGCCTCTATGGACACATCCTGGGGATAACCACGTAGCCAACCTGAACATGGCGAAAAGTGTCCCGCCTATGTCGCCATTATAGCCTCTCAGGAGGCGTCCACACTGTGTATAAGGTATCCACTATACATTAAATCGAGACTGGCCTGGTGATTGCACGACGACCGATCAGTCCATTCGTCCCTCACTGGGATGTATTAGTTCTCTCCCTCTCAGCGCCTTCTCCTCTGAATCGTACACTCAGGGCGATAAGGACATCGAAGCAAGAGTTGATATAGTTTGGTGGCCTTTTTTTTTTTTTTTGCTTCTGGCATCGCGCATCAGCGGTAGATCCCATTCCCGTACTCCTGGAAAGAAATTTAGGCTTCAAGGCGGTCGTCGCCAACCAAGTCTATCTCTGCTCTCAAGTGAAAGATGAATAAGCTGTAGCCTATTTGATCAATGCTTTTGAAGCCCTTGTTTTTTTTTTTTTTTTTTAGTTCTATCGTGTTGCTGTCTGCTACATCTCAAATTATCCTTCGAGACCAAGGTCGGGAGCAGTTTCACTTGATAGTGTTTAATTGCTTGCCCTTGCAGTTATCCCGTCCTGATCCACCTTTAATCGCCATCCCTTCCTTTCGCGCCCCCGTTTGCCGTCTTCTCCAGATTTCCATCTCCATCCCCTATTATATTTCATCCCAACTCTCTTCTCCCCTTCGTCATCGGTACTTTGCTACATGTCTCCCGCTCGCATTGACATTTGGAACCACTGAGCGCCAATGTCCGATCCCACGTCGTCTGTGTTCAGCATATCCAGGGGTTGGTTCGCCCGTGTAGTGAACCAAGCATATACCGCGTGCTGCCCGCTGAACGTGTCTCGTCTCACGCTGGCGGCTGGTGGCTCTCCCTTTACGGATGGGATGAGAATCAAGTGCCTCCCATTACCGGCCCAGCTCCTCTGGTATTGCCACCCCCAGCTTCCCACTCCAAAATCCAGCAAGTGGCTAGCTTTCCAAAGGCCGAGTAGGGCCGTCCGATCTGTTTTGACAGATGTTGGCGGTGACACTGCCGCTTCGGGGTAAATTTCCTTGTGACACCACCGCACACCTAGATTATTCGCTATCAGGTTCCCCATCGTGACGATGCTCGTGGCTCCGCTCCATCTCCTTGTAATGCTCAGTGGTCTGCAACCTCTACCTGGCGCTGGGGTTTTGACAACCCAGGATGGCCGCAATCAATCTCATAACATTAGATCGGGTTACCCACTCGGTTATGGTCAACACTTCCATCAATCTGTCTTCCTGACTTCCTGACAAGGCAGCCGTCAGTGCATGTTGGATATCCTGGTCCTCGGTAAATCTATCGCTTGTATACTGTATGTCTTGGCTTTCTCTCTAGTACTATGTAGGTTACCGGTGCGCGTACGGGGCGTCAAAATTATTCTCAAAACTTTGCCTCTCGTCACACTGACAGTTCTTTAGAGGACCTATGGATTGCAGGACGTTCCATATATCCAGTATTTCTCCACTCAATCTCTCGCAATCCTAGAGCTATTGTACGGATCACCAAACCTTCGAATGACTACGGCTATGAAAACGCATAGTTAAGAACTTCCCAACCAAACCTGCTACTTTATGTGGCACTATTTCTCGGTCTTTTTTTGTCCACCCACCCAACTATTAAAATATCAGCAAAGGATATAGCCCATGTGCCTGTCTACCAGACTTTTACCTCAAGCATGCGGTAGTGGTCCAAATGTTGAGGGAACAAGGACGGGACGTCGAGCAACTGCTATCAACCGTCAGCAAAAGCTGACACAACAAGAGAAACGCCATAGACGTACCTCGAGTCTGTGGCTTGACACCTCCTGCCGCGCCAGGTTATGGCCAACCTGACTGCCTTTGATACCTGAGAAAAGTCCCACGCTCAACCCACTACTATGGATTGAGTATCGTTTTTGGCAGGATGGATGGTTATTCTGTAGGCCTGTGAATTCAGATTCCGATGATGTTTCGGCTGTCGGGTCCACCAATAACCCATCCTCACTAGGACCAAAGAATTCATGTGCATGGGGTGTGATACGAGGGGTTTGTAGGGTTCTGGCTGCTCCTAACATCAGCATACACTTCTTTCAAGGCCAAAGACATTGATCAACCCTACCTAGCCCTGTTCGGTCCTCCTTAGCCCTAGCAGCACAATTTACTCCTGGGGCCGCCTTTTCATGTGTTCTAATCGGGCCAGAGCGGCGGTGGATGTCCAAATAGGCATGATGTGCCTGATACTTGTAGTAGTCATGCCTGCCGTTTAGCTGCGCGAGTTGAGTTCCAGGCAAGCATGAGTCAACACGAAGGCTAGATTTCATTGCATCAGGCATGCCTGCCCCCATTTGACCAAGGTCCACGTCATGCTTAACTCTACTGTATAGCTCCTAAACTTGCATGAGCTTGCACGACTTGCCTTTGTATGACTGTTCCAAATGTTCATAATTCTGGCGTAGGTTCTTGTAGTCGAGGGACCGAGCTGGTTTGGTATAAGCGAATAACGAAATATCGGAGCGGCATTGGCCGTAAAACTTACCTTGAAGTTCTTCTCGCAAGCTTTCTATTTCTATGTTTGCATTCTTAACTAATGCCTGGAGCTTCTGGTCCAGAGCCTTGAGCCTGGGTGTCAGAATCTTGACGGATTGACGCTGGCAGGCACTGTGCAAGGTCAGTGACGTGAACACTGCGAATTTCCTATGATCATGTTCATCTTACTCTTTCTAGCCTGCCTGGTATGCCCAAAAACTTAACGCTTTTCCTGTACACTCCATGATGACACCAGGGCTCAAGCCATTCATGATACTTGTTTTGTAGTTCTCGCTGAGTTTGAGGTTGTTCACAACTGCGTCATCCGGGTTTGGGAGCTCGCCTTTACAGGCTGGGCATACCCTCTAACACTGAAGGACCTGACCTGTAAGGCCACTTATCCCGGCGCACTCAACACAGAAGATGCGACTGTCGAACGGAGACGATTAACTATCGTATTACAATCCTTCAATCACACCGAGTCTGGGAATATCGCTTACCTGCAAGTGGTGACCAGGGCTTGGTTCTCGATCTCCCTCCGACACGCCTGTACGTTGCACCTGAGCGTGTGATCCATCGGAATTCTTGTTTGGTCTCGACTTGACACTTTGGACTTTGACGACCTTCACGCTTCCATGAAAGCGCAGCGGCTGTCTCCAGTATCATGAGGCAGAGACCGAATTGATGCGAGGGTTGAGATGAAACCGGCGACGGCGATGGGATGAGGTTGATTTTACTCGATGGCCGGTTTTCGATGCCGGGCAATTGGGCTACACAGATGAGGTAGAGAGATGAATTATTCGGCTATACGCAGGAGCTGAAGGACAAAAAAGGGCAAAACTAGGTTCGCCGGTACGTCTGGCTCCAGACGGATTCAAATGGTATTGGGAAGAAAGCAGCAAGAGGGCTATGAAGTGCAGATATCCGTCCGCAGTGTTACCAATGACTTGCAGGTGCCTGCCTGCCTGTCTGTATCAGCTGTAGAAGGGCAAGTACAACCCAGCGCGTCTGCTCTTGCGGCATGTGAAGGCAAGACACTCACTGGCGATGCTACGCTCGTCATGCAACCCATCATTTATGACTCGGTATTCACCAGTGTCTGGTCCACCTGGTATGTATACGGGAGCTACATTTACCTCAGAGGATATTGCCCGTGTATCGGTATGAACTTGAATTGAAGTAGATACAGGAACACTGCCGTGGGACCGAGATACCGACGGACCCCGCGAATTCCGACTTTTGGGGGTTCACGCTACCCACCTCGGCCCGGGGCCGGGGGAAGAGGTTCATAAATTCTCTGGGCAGCTCTAGCAGGGCTCGATGACCTGGTTTTCGCGGCGCAGCAGAACAAGCCTTTCTTTTAATATGTTACGTCGACCGCCAACCTCGTTACTTTAACAAGTTGCGCGTTCATATAACCCAATTAAGCCTTTGATGTTGAACTGCTCTCTTCCAAAGGTCATTCGAGAATGATGACGCAAAAATAGGGCTCATCAATTTGCCAAAATAATAGTAATTATAATAATAATCGATAATTCAGCTGAGGATGTAAGTCCACTCCTTGATACATTCCAATGTGCATCGAGTGGTGCCGGTATCTTACCTGTGCTATCCTGCCCTACTGACAGAGGCAATATTCCCAAGACAGCCATGAAACCCAGTTGCTGTGAGGTCTGATGATGTAATGGAAGGGTTGGATCTGCATTCTCACCCTCACGGGGCGATTTTCCACAACAGCACGCATATATTCGGGGTTGGGTTCATTAATGCCAGCCCAGAGAAGCGCAGAAGACGAAGAAACTTTGAGTCTCGTCGAAGCAGGGGGCAAGTATGGCTCCCTCGTCTTGCTTGCATGTGCATGAGGTGAAAATAGGAGATGGGGCCTGGAGGCATACCAGGCATGGATCATGGGACGAGTTGATGTGGGGTAATGACAGGGGTGTCAGAAATCGCAGCGGCCCGACAATCCAAACAACCATGCTCGACACCATCCACCACTCATTTATCCGCCCAATCGCAACAACATCTTTCGGATATCTGCACGTCTATCCTGAAGTGGGTTGCAGTTCCCGCAGTCACTGGACTTTACTCTGACGAAAAGGCATCTCCTCTTAACCGGCTACTTCAGAGCCACTATTGTTTATCTTGGCTCAGATCATGGTGTTTACCCAGGAACATGAATCTTGGCTGTACTTGATTGTGCCGGGTCCAGCTAAAGTACGCCCCCCTCTCCTTCCCTACACTAACTCGGGGACGTCTGTCCACCTTTATCCTAACCTAGCGGTCCCGCATACTATTCAAGTCCTCTCTAATCCCCGCCGAGGCCCTCCTGGACTTCCTCCCATCGTGCTGATATGCTTAAAGGCTGAATGCTCGGATCGTTATTGGTTGTCCAGCTGTCTGTGGTGCACAACTCTGGGTGTGGCATCGTCAACATGCAACCAATTCACATGCTTCCACGACCCCATAACCCATTTAGCGACACTTTGACTCAACAAACTACTACAACATAAGCAGCCGCAGCACTTCTGTCGGCAAGCTTGCCTTCATGCCGGCGCAACCTTTGCACAAGGATCATATCTTGAATGCGCAAGTGTTCAAGCAAGATGTCATAGGGCTAAATGATTTTACAGGAGTAGGGGTAAGGCGTTAAAGTACCAGGGTCTGCTGTCTCTTTTTGAACCTCGCCCTGCGCCATAGGCCATAGATTATTCCCGCTTATCCTCACAGGCTGCTTATGCATCAGATCTTCTCTTGTGTTCGTCCTCTGTTCCCTCCACCCCTTTCCCTGTGGTAGGCAAGTGTTTGAGTTTGTTCACTTGGCCGAGCTCATCACCGACGGTTCGATTCCCAATCTAATCAATTATTGGCAAAACCTCTTCATGTATAGCAAGACTAAAGGTGGGCCTTGACGGCATTGGCCCATAATCTCGCTCAGGGGCTTAGATTCGTTGCGATCTTTTTGCTAATTGTGTCTATTTCATTGCCACGTATGTGTACTTCATCGTCGTCATCTCGGGTATTTCCCATCGTTTCTGTCGTCGTCATGTCCCGTTCTCCATGCCTGACGGACTCCATTTTTCTCCTCCCATACAAACCGATCAACCATTTCCTGTACCAGATAAACGACGACCATAGTCTGCTCCCGGAGCTGATCGTCCAAGTTATGTACAACTCTCCAACCGGTCCCAAAGTTCTGCCAAATATACTGCCAACATCGTTGGCATCGAAACTTGAATCAAACTATATACTTGAAAGGAAAATATGTACTGTTGAAAAGAAGAGTAGAGCACCACACATCCCACACCCCTAATGGGCGAAGAAGGCGCCTTCCATTGCTGCAGCCTGGCTGCCCATCAAGTTGTAGTCCATGCCCATCATCTGGTCGTTGACGTTGTATGGGGAAAAGTCTACCCCTTGGTCTGGACTCTGACCCCAGTACATACCGTCCAGATCCCAGAGGCCCTGCTGGTCAAAGATGCCCATCATGCCCATCCCCTCGGGCTCTAGGCCAATGGGCGACATGTGTAGTTCCGCCTCAGCCATTAGCAGGCCTTGATCCCCCCCCATTCCCTGCAGGGGACTTTCTGATCGTATGGCAGGTTGTCGAGAGGCTTCGTACATTCGCCACACTACTTCACGGCTTCGGCGGGCGGCCAATGACCAGTCTTCCATGGCTTCTAGCAGATCTAGGATCGTCTCGATCTGCTGGTGCCACTCGGGAACGCGTGGACTGTTCCATTGCCAGAAGACGCTGACCAGAGGAATCATAGCTGCCTGGTAGAGAAACCAGACGGCGTTCCACCCGGACATTTGGTTCCGAGTCCATTCCCGCGCAATGTCATCAATGGTCTGCTTGGCAAGCTCACGGCATGTTTCGATGGCAGTGACGTCTTGCTCTGCGACCTGAGACAAGGCACCACTGCTGGCTATGCTGAGCAAAACCGGTCGATGAAGAAGCATGCGGAGATTCTGGTAACGCCACTTCATAATACACCTCGCGATGTACAGCGGCTCAGCGCAGGGGTCGGTTGTCCTCAAGAGCCAAGGAAGACTGCTGTACCAGTTGACTAGCTGGCCGTCCAGGTTACAGCGGTCTTCTGCCCTTAGAAGGGGCGAAATCGCAAGCATGTCCTGTATCTGGGTGGCGATCTTGCAGAACTTGATGTTTTCGATCAGTGGCAAGATGCCGGCGTGCTGGGCAGAGTCACGAGCCTATATTGGCAAGGTCGATTAGCTTTCCTGACAAACTTGGCAATAGTCACACCACTTAAACACGACTCACCTGATTGATGCCAAACTCGGGGGGCCTGATGTTGATCGCAGGTCCCCATCGCCCGAATGAAGGTCGACCCATCGTTGTTGTGGCCCACGTGTCAAGGCAGAAGAGGCTCCACCAAGTACGGCGCCTGGTCTCAGCGGCGGCAATGTCGCTGGACCCTTGGGCCAAGCTCTCACGGTGGAGACCAAGAGCGCTGGCCATTCTGATGGCGGCACCGAGGACAGCATTGGCCATGTTTGGCCTATTGACATAGTGAAGATAGTAGCCGCCAACCAGGGCCAGGGCCTGAACAGTCTCGATGTGGCTGTTCCCAAAAGCATCGATGGGCAGATGTTCCATGGCCCTATTGTAATAGTTGATGTGGTTGTAATCATCAGACTTCATAGCCACAATACTCCCCATGGCAAAGACCATGTTGAGAAGAGCAAGCCAAGGCGCGTCAAATCGCTGGCCCTCAAGATAGTCGGCTCGGAAAGCAGCCTCATCTAACATCGGAACGAAAACATGGATGCGCTTGAAGTATGCGTCAATGAGTGTCTGACCCTTCCAAGACCATGGGATGCGTTGTGTGTCTTTAGGTGCGGTGCCCTTTGATCTCATAGTAGGGAAGCTGTGGGTGACTTCAACGCTGTGAAGGGGTGTTGTCAGTGAGTTCCGGAGTGCGGGCTGGACCTTGAGTAGGCACATCAAAGCAGCCTTGATGGACGAGGCGCCCAGGTAGGACGATTGCCGATCCACCGATAACGAAAGTGCATTAACATCGTCGGCTTCGATCGGAATGGGGTCGCGACCACGGCGCTCTTCATCCCATTCGGTATCACGGCCAGGCATCAGTTCAAGTCCAGGAAGACCCTGCTCGGAACCAGAGCAAACCGGAGAATCCAGATCTTGCGAAAGTGGAGACGCATTCAGAGGCGGAGAAGGGAGCGCAGTAGGCGTGTCGTGAACAGGTTGTTCGAGAAGGCTCAGCAAGTCATGACGGGATAGTGGGAGTAAAGACTGAACATCCTGGTTTGGGAAAAGTCGTTTCAGAATCGAACGACATTCCTCAAGAGATTGGGATAATGCCTCGAGCGTCTTTCTCGAAGGGATGACACGCTGCCGGTGCTTGTCATAGAAGCATCGCTTGGGAGCGCGGCTCGACAGGCATTGGCCGCAAGGCTGCTGGCCGTCGCAGCGGCTTTAAAAGCGTCAGATGGTGTCAAACCAATTCATCCGAGACAGTGCAGGACTCACATCTTTCGTCTCTTGCATTCAGCGCATGCATGAGGGGTAGTGATTCTCTTAGAACCAGTCGAGCCAGAGGGTTTCCCGCTGTCTTGGGAGTCGCTCGTCGGCTTTCGAGGCGTGACGCCTTGGACTGTGAGACAGAGTAAGAAGAACCATTGATTGCAACGCCCGAAGATTGAACACTTACAAGTATGGAACATTCCGCCTTGGGTGGGGACTGGGATTGATGGGGCCATGTTCACCGCCAGCTATAAAACCGTCTCTAGCCCGGGGTGGATCGAACACAAGGAAGCTGGAAATGCGGCGCAAAGGGCCAGCAGCAACAAAGACAGCTCTGAGCAATTGGAGTATGTTGATGAAGGCGTTGAGGGCATGTCTTCTCTTGCCGAGTGAGGATACCAACCGATGTTGGGGTAAGTTGGTGCGGATGTAGACCTTATATATATCTACCAGAGAGGCTAGTCAGGAAAAATCGAAATACGCACGAGGCATCCGGCAGCTATTCAGAGGAGCGCCGGCGCGGCAATACTGGATGTGGAGAAAGTTACAAGGGGGTATATGTGAGATGGTATAACAAACGAAGAGCGATGGAACATCAATGCCGTGTCGGTTGGCCGAGATTGGGCAAGCAAATAAAGCCTTGCAAGGTCAGGTAGTGTAGACTGCTCACTCGCAGAACCTTTTGGGGTCGGCCGGGCAAGGGGGGGGTGAAGTCGGTGACGGAGACTAGGACGGGGACACGGCCAGGCTAGGCCAGGCCAGGCGAAGCGATTTACTACGACGCGCTACGTATGTAGAGGGGTGACCCACTTTTTGTGAGTGCGCGATAGACGCTACGGCATAGCAGTGCACATGGAGTGAGATGGATTGATTGGGATGCACATCTGGGGAGGCAAGCGGGAACCGAAGAAAGGGTCGCGGCCTCGGTCGAGGTGGCGGCCCTGGAGGAGTTGGCAGCCGTGATCGTGATGCCAGGAACGGCAATATGGCCAGGTACATAGTTAACGGGAACCCCAAAAGTGGGAGAGCGGGTGATCCAGGTACGTGCCATGTATGCAGGGCGGTGGTGAAAGCCTGGGGTTTCTGAGAAACGCCCCCTCCTCCGCCTCCCCCCCTTCCCCCCCTCCTGTGTGCGCGTGTGTGCGGGTGTGGGTGGCTATCCGTCTTGTCAGTCCGGCCCGGTTGCACAAAGAGGATGTGGCAGTCAAAATTGAAGTGTGAAGCAGAGCGGGAATTCTCGTGGGCACGGCGCCTCGGCGGTGAGCGGTGGTGTCTTGCCTAGGGGCGTCAAAATCAGGAACGGCGCCAAGCAGCTTCCCTGACTGCAGTCAACCTGCAGAGGTGTTGTGTATCGTAGGATCAGGAACTTGGGGTTGGCGTGGTGAGGTTGGAGTGATGGGATGCGGAGAAACCGGACGAGACAGACACTACTTAATTTCGTAGCGAGTAGAGAGACTCGTGATTGGACCAGGCAAATCTGGAGAAGTTGGAGGGGGAACGAATGTTGTGCGACCATGGAACAAGCACATGTTTGTGAGGAACTGAAGTTGCCTTAGACCGAAAGAAGTAACAGCCAACCATCATGGTAAGAACACAAGCAATTGTGATATGATGGAGACGGGACGGCACCGGGGTAGGGGAGGGGGTGTCTGCAGATCAATAGACACATGGGGAGAGGGGAAATTGAGCGCTGTGGGCGGGGCGGGGAGTAGAAGAAAAGGATGTGGTCTGTCCTCAACCCTGGGTTAGAGAGGGGAAACCAGTGATGGGGGGACATTGGGTCAAGGTGGAGTATCAGCCCGGGATAACTGGCCTAGTAAGACGACAACTGCCACGGAAAGAATGGAATGTGTCCCGACCCTGCCCCGATGTAAATGAAATTAACCCTTGGGAACGTCACCTTCTACGACAGGCGGGACAGCCCATTCTCATTGTCACGGTACCCACTGCCGCTGCTGCCGCTACCCACTAACACTTCAAACTGACTATGGGCCGAGCACGAAGGCACACTGGACTGAGTAGTAGGTGCCTGGATTCCAAGTTTGCACCATTAGATGAGATACATCCGAACCGGTCTGAGCATGTTCGAAGTTGAAGTCTTCAATGACAGCCGTCAACCACTGACTGGTGGGGAAATCATAATTGGGCGGGGCCGGACCCCCTGGAGAGTGGAAAGCTAATTAAGGTATAGCTCCACATTTCCACTAACAAGTTCCATCTTTGACTGGTACGAAGTAAGGTACTATGTATTCCCGTGCTGCGAGCATTGACATCTACAGAGTGACATAACCTTTTTTCCCTTTTATTTTTTTCTTTTTTCCGGTAACCCTCCTTCTCTACATATCATACATAATCTACCGCTGAGGAGACATGATGCGCGATACGCGAACCCCTCTTATATATGCCGCTCCTTCCCTTTTCTTTCTAGTCTACCTTGCAATTTCAACTTGAGTAATACCTACAATCGTGCACACATGGCCACACATGTTCCCAGAATAAATTGATGTGGTGGCGGGACTCCAACTTCACCACCTTTTTTTTTTTTTTAATTTTTTTTTTTAAGTCTTTTCCCCATTCTCTCTCTTTTCGCTGGAACTCACTCTCCCCATTCCTAGAACAAATTTCTGTAATACACCCCCTCTTCTCCAAGTGGCTGCCACGCGCACTTTTAATCCCTGTTCTCGGATCGGCTTTCCCTTCTCTCCTTCTCGTAAGAATCAGCAGGGCCGCACCGCCGATCCAGGGTGCACCCCAGAGCTCCCCTTGCTTCTCCAAGACGCCCCGCAACCTTGTTGAAGAAAATGGCCTCCAAGTCGTGAAGGAGGGAAGTGAAGGATGGCCATCTGACCTGGGACTGCAAAAACTCGACAAAGTATCATCGTATTTTACCATGCAGGGCCTACAGTCTGCCATGCCCATCACATCCTATCGCTCTGTATGTTACCTCCTCACATCCCCCCTCATGCTTCGATGGAGCTTCTTGAAGCTGTCCAGTCTGAAGCAGCCAGTGCAGACGGTACGCGTACCCAGCCAGCCCCTCGAGACCCTGTGTTCTCTATTGCATCTCGCTGACGGAGAAACCGGCCCTGCTGCTACCAGTCACAGTGGGTGTCATCGAATCACTTGACGAGACTAGTAAGTCTCGGTATCTGAACCCGAGGGGCTAATTCTACCATATCACATATTTTGTTATATCAAACCCCAGCATGGCACAACTTGCGACCGATCACCTGTCGCATCTAGACTGCGTTACTCTCAACATGGTATCGTGGTAGTCCTCGCCATCAACAATCTGTTCATCTCATCAGCCTCGCAGTGCGCCGAATTGCCCACATGTTTCTCCTCCAACTTGACTGTTTTGTTCAGAGTCTTCGTTTTATCATGTTCGGGCTGGTTTGTGTAGCCTGAACACAAAACTGGGCGAGGCAAATGAGAAAAAGCACCAATACCAATGAAGCGGCTCATCTATACGTACTTATTCATGTCACACCAACCTTACTACCTTCTTAGTCACCTCGAACGATTCTGCCGCCCCTCCCATATGACTCCATATTCACTCACACCCCAGCTCTTCTCCCCACACATCAAGTGGAAGTTTGGTTCCTCCAACCATCTTGCCTTATTTTCTTCTTTGCTACTCTCTCCTTCTTTTCTTGCCCCGTGTTAGCGTCATGGGCTTCGTTATTGGCCTCGGTTATAGGATGTGGCGGGAGATACTCGAGAAGTCAATGTTGCACGCAAGGCACGCCAGGTACCCTGGCCCAGGCCATTCATCTCTCCCTCTCGCTCCTCACTTGTGCGTTGGTCAACAACCCTTGCACCGCGGTTTTCTTGGGCAGGACGGGAAATCTGTGCCTGACCTGGCGCATACCTCCCCCCCAGCGAGCTGTAGCCGTACACATCCATACCCATACCCATGTAGACACGCCTACCCCAGCTTTTGCTCTGCCGCCCGCTATCCGCTAACTGGAGGGAGTTGCCTGAAGTAAATAATTTTGTTCATTACCCGGCTCTCACGCCAATGCATCTTGTCTTGTAAGCGGTTTAGTTCAGTAGACAGACAGAGAAAGCCACCCTACACTGCAAGCCGATCGAGCTAGCTTCCTTGCTGGACACACCTCATGTAGCCTTGCTCACGCATCGTCTACGGCTCTCACTCCTGCGCTTACAGGTCATGTGTTTCCCCTTGCCCGGCTTCTCTGGAATTGGGTTGGGCTGTGTTGAAAACTTGGGCTGTCGCTTGTGTTGCGCACATAGTATGTGTGCACCTGCTTGCCCGTACCTCACTTTATGCAAAGCATCTGCACATGCTGGCGCTTGCCACCCCACATCTTCGCCCTTTTTCGGTCGAGTCGGGAAAGAAACGGAGAGGTTTCCTTACCATCGACAACGATTTTGACAGACCTGATCCGGCCAGCCGATAACGTTCTCCACATACGTGCACGCACTGCTCCGTCATGGGTCTGTGAGCGGGTACGTGTCCCCTTCCTTACCTTGTTCTGTTTAACCACTCTCGTTTCTATCGCCTACTTATGCTTGCCTTCTACGTTCGCAAGTGCTGTATAACGCCTCATGCCCGCTTGGGGCGCAGATACCGGCTGCTGTTGTGTTGCTTGACGTAATACGCGGTAGTTATTTTGTGGTCCCTGCTACACCTCGATCTGCCTTTGGGCTCATTGCGTGTTCTTGCGTGGTTTGCCGTATGTATCTTCCCAACTAATTGGAGCTCTGCCTTGGACGACCCTCAAGACTAATTGAGGGGGAGCCGTGTCAACCAGAAGCAGGGGATACCTTCGTCTATGCCGTTCACACCATCAGACTCCTCCCGTACTTCGGCCACGGAACCGTACAAGGTTTGGACCCCCCAGTTAAGCATGAAATATGGTTCCCCAGATTAAGGATTGTTCAATAGCGCAGGCCATCAGACCCGACGAACCGTCCAGGTCTCTCCGTCAATCATTTCACCTCTTGTCTAACCGCTTCCTCCCTCTTGTGGGGACAGTAAAGTCACGGGTTGTCGAGGAGGGTGTGTGCATGTTCATGTTATATTATGTATGGCATGTTCGCAAGGGCACCTTGGCTTCCCTAACCCCGTGGAGCCATGCTGTTCATCGGTTCTTATCGGATGCCGACGAGAACACCTTTATGTTGCGAATGCAAGGTTCAGTTGATCCGGCCAACGTCCGGAGTATTCCCTCCCACACTCGGATCTTGGCAATTCACTGGCACACAGGTCGTGTTGTCGATGAAAGCCTTCTTTGTAGAAGTGTCCAGCCGGTAAAATCAAACCGCAGTTGACTTGTCACACATGACAACAGGTTTGGTAAGCATATTTAGACATATTCATGTATATCCAGCTTTCAGACGATGGGTGCTTGGCCAAGATAGACGCACCACCTCGAACATCTCGGCCGCGGCCCCACCCTACGCTATCCATGGACACGTGCCTATGCGGCATATCTTTCTCGAACGCAATGATGTCTACGCCCGACCATGATAGAGCACTGTGCATGTAAGCCCATAATCTACTTTCTTTCAGACGCCGGCGGCGCACTCTCTACGCTGTACTCTTTCCTCTGCAAGTTAAGGGTTACGAGTCGCCCAAGTTCACATCTCGAGTTGCGTGTAGGTTCAGATGTCGTTTCCCGCTGCGTGCATTCTCCCAGTAACTCCCACCCCCTCGAGCGAATGTAGATGTCCTCTTGCATGGATTCCGTTCTCGTGAGAAACGCGCTTCTCCTCCACTCGGATGAACGCACCCCACTTGATTCGTCGCACATTCATTGCCGCTTCGTGCTGTTCGAAGCAGAAGAATGAGAGCCGCAACCCAAGCGTCACGTCGTTGCCTTATTGCTGAAGAGGACCTCTTAGCCGCCAATACCTGAAAGGCCTTTAGTCGTTGGATAAGAACTGTGGCACACAACCGCTCCACCCATTGCCTCACCGCTTGGACGTCCTTTGGGAGAGGAACTCACTTCTGCTATCGGAAGGCTTCGGCTTCGAAATAGACACAGGCTTGGCTGCGGATCTAGGCAAACAAAACATCCACCTCTCGCTGTCCAACTCACCTACACCAACCCTTCTTTTGTTCTGGTCACCCGAGGATCTGCCCTTCTTCCGCCGCCCGCCAGGGTGTCGGGATAATACATTTTCAGATAGATTTGGGATGGTCAGCGCAACTTGTGGAGGATCGCAAAATTGAGGCGTCTGCTGACTTCGGACGGATATTCAACCCGTCCTCCTTGCCCTTCTTGTCCCCCCTCGCACACACGCATGCAAGCGCACATCTGTCGTCAGCCTCAAGCGTACCGCTGACGATTGTTAACTAAACGGCCCACCGTGGCTAGTCTGTGTCTGTCATTGTTCTTTATCAGACATCATCCTTCGGAAGGCCAGCCGAAACCCACGTCTCGCATTGTCACTTCCCTCCCAACCCCCTTCCCCCCAAGCTATCTCCGCTGGTATCAATGGACCGGCTAGAGTAATCGTTTGCCACCGCTCCCGGTGGCTCGCAAAGATGCGACTGACTTGCATTGCTAGAGTTGAGATCTAGATTATTGGCCAAGCCATTGTGGCCAGTCCTATGATCCACACCTCGCCATCTTGATCTTTTCTCAGCGGCTTTCTGGCCCAAGCAGCGCCTCGCCCGGATAGGGTCACCCGACTAAGCTAAGACTTGTGTGAGTGCGGCCCGTCTCGCTGCCGCTTTCTAGGCATAGTGATTAGGTCTCGAAACCCTGAAAACTGACATTGTAAGGACAAAGCTTGTAATTGACTGGAGACCACATCGCTTATGTTAGTTTTTGTTCCTTTCTTATCCATCGTTTCTCACCAATCCTTTTACCTTGGTATCCGGGGCTCTCGCGGGGGGAAAAAAGCGTCTTGCTCCATGGACTTAGTTTCTACATTAGTCTGGACCAGAAGGCGGATAGTCATCTGTGAGCTGATGGCACAACAGGTGAAGGCAAAATTCTCTGTTTACGGGGTACATTTCCGCGCCAAAGCCAGGCGTACCACATATATTTGTCTCGTGCATGTTGAGACTAATTGACAGGGTAGATCTTGGGTAATCAACACTTGCCTCCAGCCCCGTCCCATACTGATTGGCCCACCGGCGTCGCCTCTTTTGTACCGTTGAACTTCGCAACTCCACAGCGTCCCATCCGAGACCTCACTGCAAGGGACTGCGGTCCGACGTGATCTTCACCCATACGCCGGAGCCTCGCCAGGGTCTGGCTATGCGGGGTTGAAGGGTCACATCCACCGGCTTTGCAAAACAGTTGGCTACGCGCTAGCGATGCAACACTCCCAGACTCACGCCAGACCCGGGAACCCAAACGTTTCTCAACCGCTAGGTGCTGACGTTGTCCAATGCGCAAACAATATACCCATCCGGGATGTACAAGTTTAATACCGAGAATTGTTTGGGCATGGTGCGCGCGTAGTCGTTTTGCCCCCACCCCCCTTCGGCAGAACTCACGACTGCTCCATGCAAACCTACGCTGTCTGAAAAGAATTAGCAACTTTTCAACACGCCTCGAGACGGGATCACAAGCAGGCGATGAACAGGGGTTCTGACGGCGCTAGGATGGAAAACCTTCCCGGCTTATAAGCGAAGGACCTGACATCGGCTCCCAATGCCGTCGAATATGCACGTGTTCTCGATGGGTACGTATTGATTCGTGATTATCTTGATCGTCTCCTGAGCCACCATGCCACCCGCTACGGTGGAAATGTTGTGGAGCTCTCCGCCGCCAGCCCGGGATACTTCTTGGGCGGCCTGGACGATTCTCTCATTCTCACTGACGCCCGGAAGAAGCTTCTGAATGGATGATATAATATCATCCGGGGTCGCCGTTGCCGTGTAAGATGTGGCATGGAGGGCGAGATATATTGGCAGGAGCGAGAGTGGCATCGCACCATCCTTAGCCAGCTCGTCATTGGCGAATTCCTGTTCTTTTTACACGCAAGTCAATTAACCGACGGGGGAGGGAAAATACTTGCGGAATACTTACCAGCTACGCTTCGTAGTTGATCAACATCGCCATTTGCAGGGATCACCAGCTTGATAAAGGCTGCATTCTTGCAGAACATGTCTACTTCAGCCGGCTCGACGCTCCCGCCACCGGGCTTTTGACGCACAAAGTCAAGCACTTCGGCGGAATCTTGACGGGCCTTGGCCTTGTAAATGTTTTGGAGCTTGATGTAGATGTTAGACTGTGACTTCATATCCGGCAGCCCGCCCGGTACTGGTAAGCACTGATGCTTTTCGTAAAAGTCTCGCACTGCGGCTGCGATGATCCAGAAACTCGAATTGGCCTCGGACTACGGCTGCGTTAGTACTAGATTTAGTCCATGTGTTCACCATGTACGTACCTCGTCGGTGTGCTTGTAATCAAAGACCTGCTTGACGGCAGCCGGGAGTGCCGGTGGTGAAATGGTTTTCAGGACGGCGGCAACAGCTTCCTCAAAATTTTCCTCGCCACCCTCGGGATTGTTAGTTCTGGTGGCGTCGGCCACCATCTTACGGAAAGCCACCTTCTCTGAGTATGTGCTGGGCGGAGCACCGTTATGTGAATTCCTCCACACTTTAAGGTAATGCAAAAGAATAACGACGTACGGCAAATGTCCGTGTTCGTGGTTGTCGAGATTGTCAATGTCGTTGGTCATTTCATCAGCGAAGGCTTCCAACTCTTCCCAAGGTGCCAAGAGCCTGAGATCTACTGTCGCAGTTACATCTGGGTGAGTGTCAACAATTGGATAGACTCCTGGGAGCCGAATACTGAAGTAAGAATAGAAGCCGATCGAGTGAATAGCGACTAGAGGGGTCTTGTGTTCTCGACTGTAGGACTCAAGAGCTTTGAGATGTTCAGGCTTTATGGGCAGGGTATACAAGATAATCGTAAAGAGGTCCTTGTTTGCCAAGACATGTTGAAGGTCCAAAGTCTCCTGGTCTTGTTTTAGTACTTGGGTTGTTCCATGAAGGAGAACAGGGCGAGGATCTCACAGAGTTTCGGGGGTGCCAATCGCCGTGAACTTCCGGATTGAGTTCAAGGAGCAGTTCGGTGCAGCTTTCAGCACGGGATTTGCCCAGTGATGTCTCGTCAAGGAAGAAGTTAACACCGAGGTCTGCCTCAGTAACGACGGCGTCATCGGCAATGGTGAACTTGCCGATACCTGGGCATGGTTATTGAGTTGTCTCGTGAAGCTCAGAAGAGGGATCGTGCCGTAATTTTGAGAGCCTTACCTGGAAGAACGAGATTTTTGAGAGTCTCAACGCCGACTGTTCCCGAACCTGAGTTTAGAAGAAGAACATTGGCAGACTCCAAGGCGGCCTGGCCACTGGCAGCCCACAGCCTTAGCTGACGATCGTATTTTTTCTCCTTCTCTGAGGGAACGGAGAGCGATGGAGGAGCTTGAGCGGCGATGATATTGGCCATATCGAAAGCGGATGTCGTGTGGAAATGACTCTCTGAAGAGCTCGGTTGGAGGGGCTAGAAGAAAGTGATAAAGAGGGAGATCCCGGCCTATCGCGGTAGTGCGAAAGACCGATGCTTGACTGAACGTTATCAAGTGATGCAGGTGCACTGGTGGGGGCAATGAATTCCAAACAGATTGGGAAAGGCCCACGTCCGCAAGTGATGGTATCGCGCCCTCAGTTTGGATGGTTGTCTGTATTGTATGTGGTGTGAGCTGGTGTGCACCCAATGGCAACACTGTATGAGGTAATCAGGACCTTTGACATTCTTGCCTGCCCCATGCTTGGCATGCTGATGCCATTACCCCAGTCAAGTTAACATAGTAGAAAGGCCGCCTGGTCTGTGCATACTTCCTGAAGTAGGCGGCGAACAGGATGTCTCCGCTGATAATCGCCCATTTATTGCGATTAGAAGATGTAAAAGCATACTACTCTATGTCGAAGCTGGCAACGGTTTGATATGGCTAGGTAGGTTTCCTGTTTTTATCCTGCTTTTGTCCTTTCTCTAAACCAACCCCGACTGAGCGTTATTCAGGGACAGAAGCGGATTAATTATCCGAGCTAAGAAATAGTTGTTCCGGACCCGCATGCTCTCCTATCCAGCTGTTTTGCGCCTCACTCAAAGTTATTGATAAACTACACATCTCAGCCTACCATAGTTGATGCTTAAATGGGGACATCATTACCATATTCTGTGTAGGTATGGATCGCAAATCTTTCGCCCCCATTCCTTCTTACATGGCGTTGGTAGACACGTTGAAAGGCGCCTCCACTCCTTCTTTTTTCCCTCCCTTTTCGTTCCGGGCAACTTGAACCCTGCTGTTTTTTTTTTTTTGGCAATGAAGTACTGATATAGGAGGGATGGAAATTTAACGAACCAATTGGACGCGTACCTGCCGCCTGTCTCAGCTGGGGGGGGAAAAATTAGACAAAAAGAAAGAAATGATGAGGTCGAAATCACTCCAATACTGAAGCGGGTCAATAAGCAAGTGGACAGGGCTGCGGCAGAGCAACTCTTGAAAGAATTATAGACCGGCCTTCCTTGCCACATCATTTACGGGTTGTTAATCCAACTTCCCCGTGCCCTGTTTCCTGCTTCCGCTCGTTTTTCTCTAACAAGGGAGGCCCCTTGCAGGCCCCTTGCCCCAGGACTGAAATGTGTGTTAAACAGAGGCAAGTGAACATGGATTCCTCATCAACATCGATGACCCTGCCATCTTGCAAACGTCGTTCTCCGCAGGAAATGAAGTAACGTTCTGGTCCGACTTTGAGATACGCATAGCGCTTTGTAATCAGCCTACGGAGTACGACGACCTCAGGATCCGTCCAAGTGTATCCACCTCGGCTGTACAACTACAACTGACGCCAGGACACATGCTCGCTTGGTGAGAGACACATGTTTCAGAGCTCCCTCAACCCCCCCCCCCCCCCCCCCCCCCCCCCCCTCCACATCTCTAGTCAATGTCCGATTCATCTCTCATCACTAATGCGAATAGTCATACTAGCGATGTCTGCGCATATGACGGCTTTGGAGCGCAATGCAGTTGGTTGACTAAAGTAGTTGTTGCGATTGGTCGGTGTTGGAGTCGGTGTTGGCGTCACCGGGTTGTTGGTCGCAGCTTGTGTTGGCAAACTCCGAAGTCAAATGGCTTCCGATTCGGCGTTGATCATGGCCGTTCACAAACTGGTTGCTTATTGGCTACCCTCCATCTTAGTCCATCCTGTATTGCGTTATTGAGACTGCACCACACTTGCATTTCCCTTCTCTGTGCCACCGATTGTTTGGTACTTGTGGCTGCTCTTCAAGATATTCTTCATCTCTGAACGACGCCTCTCTACCACAAAAAACACGACTGGCCAGTCAGTGATTCTGACCCAAAGCTGACACCCTCTTGCTCGAATTAGCATTAGGGATGTCTCACTCGAAGTCTCAGTCTACGAGGATTGGCGTGGCGCGCCGGGGTCAAGCCGCATCTGCCTACAAAGCCTTGAACGCCAGCTTACGGCCGGCAGCCAGCGGACGACAGGCAAGCGTCTGGAACCACGAGCTTCGAACCCAAGCGTTCCAATCCATGGTCTGGACGGACGGTGGTTTGGGTTTGGAAATGTTCGGAGCTAATCGAACGCATGCGAACGGGGTTTGATCGCCGAACATGCTTTTTGTGTGTGATCTTACTCCTATTCGTCGCTCCGAACGCCGACCTGGGTTTATATTTCCCCTTGCATTCAGACACGAAAAGAACCCGTGCCAGCACTTTTTAATCATCGGCTCCCGTCTCCGCAACCAACTCTCAGCTTCGATCGCCTTTCTCCGCGCCTCTCACGCGCCTGTAGGACGCATCCACATCAATTACGGCATCCTCTATGATGACTTCATGCGCCGGCAACTACCACAACCGCATATCGCAAGCTATCGTCGTTAAGATTATTCCGGCCGCGACTCGAGACCCTGCGACCAGAGCATCAGTTCTCTAAAAAGTTCGCCTCAATTGGTGACGGGGGGAGCGACACCCCTCGGCATGCATATCACTCTTACTGAACATCTGGTGAATCTTGACCAACTTGCAAACCTGGAGTCCTAGGCCTAGCACCTGTTACACCTCACCAACGAGACGGCCAGCCCATGCAATTTCTAGAGCGATCAGAACGCAGATTTATCTTTGGCTTGAAGACTTGTAGCTAAAATTCTCATCTTAGCCACCGAGGCTGCAATGAGTCCTTCTAGCGATGACGCCGAGGCTAACAAGGCTGAGACCCTACCAAAACCAATTTTTCAAGACGCCTCGTTACCAACATGGAGATTTTGGCTGCTCAGTATCGGGTGCGTACTTTGCCTACGTCTTACCGATCTTTTGCTAATACTATTTTGCTGAGAAGACTTTGTTTGGGCCTCTTTCTGGCAATGTTGGACTCTTCCATCGTAGCCACGAGTCTGTACACCATCGGTGCCGAGTTTGAATCAATGGAGCTCATAAACTGGGTTGCTCTCGCATATACGCTTACATATCTCAGCTGTGCAGTCTTGTTTGCGCGATTATCGGACGTTGTTGGCCGACGAAACGCCTTTCTGGCAAGCTTTGTCATTTTTTTCGGCTTTTCTCTTGGTTGTGGCTTTGCCCAGAGCTTGGAGCAATTGATTGCTTGTCGCGCACTACAGGGCCTAGGAGGTTCCGGTGAGTTAAAACTGGTTCAGCTTGTCAGTGGACGAAGCTAACGTTTTTTGAAGGCCTGTACTCGATCACCATGATCATTTTCCCAGAGGTGGGCCCCAGGCATTTGCAACAGCACATCGCCAGTCTAGTAGGGATGGTCATCGCAAGTGCCGGTGTTCTGGGCCCAGTGCTGGGTGGTATTCTCACCCATTATGCCTCGTGGCGGTGGGTGTTCTGGATCAAGTACGTCTCTTCTACCCGCAGAAAGAAGCAGAAACTTTGCAGAGTGTTAGATGACTGGGTATTGATATCTTTTTAGTGGTCCCGTAGGACTTGTCTCCATGGTTGTCTTCTACCTGACGTGGCCGCAAGCTGAGCATCTTCCGACACTGCAACGAAGATCCTGGAAAGAGTTGGACTTTGTAGGATCTTGCCTCCTTATAGCGGCTTCTGTGCTCGTTGTCTTCTCGTTCCAGAATGCGGGTTCGGACGGAAACAAGTGGCAACAAGCTGACTTCGTCGTTCCAATCACCGTTGGTACCGCCTGTTTTCTTGCTCTGTTGGGCTGGGAGGTTTTAGTTGCCCGGGTTTGGGAGAAAAGGATCATGGCTGCCATTCCAATTCGCCTCCTACGTAACCACGTTTACGTCGCCGCCATGTTCAACACGATGTTTCTCGGCTTCCCGTACCTTCTTGTTGTATATTCATTTCCTATTCGTATGCAGGTTGTCAACAGCAAAAGCGCCTTGCTCGCAGGCATACTTCTCTTGCCAATGCTAGGGTCTGTTGCATTGGGCAGTACTCTCGGTGGATTGATGAGCAAAAGCAGGAACTTCCTTTTTGAGACGATGTTTGTCGCTAGCTGCTTCATGACTCTTGGCTGCGGTCTGTTGACGACATTGTCTTTGTCGACTGAACTGGAACCGAAAGCCCTGGGCTTTCTTACTCTGGTAGGATTTGGGTTTGGGCTGTCGGCTACATCGTCCACCATCCTCGCCACAACGGAGTCTAATATCTTGGATCATGGTAAGTGTGCTATAGAAATACATCTGTCAACCTTCTTGTCCACCCTGTTCTAACTTGCGAACGAGCCCCGGCCCAAGGGATTATCGCGCAGGTCCGAATTCTTGGTGGTAGTTTGGGTATCGCAGCTTCGACGGCGATTCTGGGCACCATGATGCGAGAAGAGCTTGCAGGGCTCGTCGAGCCTGAACAATTATCAATTCACGGAGCAGGAATGGCCTTATCGGAGACGCAAGCCACGGCCGTACGAAAAGTTTACGCAGATTCATTCCGGCAAGCAATGAAAGTGAGCACCATCTTGTCGAGCATTGCAATCCTAATCAGTTTGGGAACGTACCACAGGAATCGGGTCTCAATAGAAGTGAAACGGCAGCTGCACATCAAGGCAGAAATAGAGAGGAGGCGGAGGGAATCGGGGGCAACAACACTAGTATCATCAACAGAGTAACAGCTGACGGCGGCGTTTCCGTGTGTTTTGGTTGGTGATTTTGGATTCGGGTAAGCCAAATTCAGCATTACCACCGTTACGGCTGTGATACCATGTTACGTTGGCACCATTGTGATTTATCGTTGGATTGTGCGAAGAATATAGAATCTAGATATTGACGACGGCAACGTCTACGAACTTGAACGAAATAATCACTTGCCTTGATGACATGACGTTGTGTTCAATACGGTGCATCCTGGGGGTTAAGTCCTCATGGACGCGCTGGCTACTTATTCGGTTAGTGCAATAGCCGAGATCGTGTTGTTAGGCCAGGCGTGTGTAGTGAGTGGGTCTGTGTTGCGGGGGAAGAAAAGGCCGCCTAGATCGGAGTTCAAAGACAAGAACTAACTACCTGGTGAGCCTGTTTCAGAAGCTTCGAGTAAAGCAAAGAAACGTTATCAATCTGATAAAGCCGACTACACTAGTTTTTCCCTATAATTATTGTGAGTTTTCTACAATTACCTTAGCCCTCCGCTCGTGGTTGGATAACAAAGCACACACGTCGGGCAGGGAATGATGCAATCGCGCAACCCCGCCGGTTATCGGGTCGTTGAAACCCCGCAGTGTGGAGCCTCTCCATTCCGTCCGCCGCGCCGTCCACTCTCTTCCCCTCGCCTTATCCGTGTGTGTATAGTCGGAAACGTGTTGAGAGTCATTCGTCCGTGAGCTTACACCATGCCATGTAACCCCTGGATTATTAAGTCAATAAATAACCAAGGGCCCTACTGCTTCACCCTTGAGCCGTCTTTCTTCTTGATCTTCACACATGCCTCTACATAACCACACAACCCAGTCAATCAGATCTTTGTTCAGATTTCACAAGTCATCTCCCTTGCGGATCACTTTGAGTCAAAATCACATTAGAAACATCATGTCTGCCACCGCCGCTGCAAAGCGCCTCGAAGGCAAGACGGTGCTCATTACTGGCGCCTCTAGCGGCATTGGACGAAGCACCGCGTTCGAATACGCCCGAACTGCACCTAACAACCTGAAACTCATTCTCACAGCCCGTCGCATTGACAGCCTCAAGGAGATCGCTACCAAGATTAATGAGGAGGTTGGCAACGGCGTCAAGATCCATCCCGTAAAGCTGGATGTCAGCAACCCGGAGGAGGTTCGCCAGCTTGTTCCTAACTTGCCTGAGGAGTTCAAGGACATCAATATCTTGGTAAACAATGCGTAAGTTTCTTTCCGCTGGTCACAACCCGTATTACACAGAGGCGACCATGGCGATAAAGGGACTGACTGTCTTCACCAGTGGCCTCGTCAGGGGAGTTGCGAAGGCCCCTGAGATTGCCGAGGAGGACATCAATGTCATGTTTGCTACTAACGTCACTGGTCTTATCAATGTGACGCAGGCCATCTTGCCCATCTTCAAATCGCGGCCTGATGGTGGTGCCGGAGACATCATCAACATTGGCTCCATTGCCGGTACGTCTTTAAACACACTACGACCAAATAACCAATCACGGCTACGGCCAGCCAGCTGACAACTACACCGTAGGGCGTGAACCGTATCCTGGCGGCTCCATTTACTGTGCTACTAAAGCTGCTGTGCGTAGCTTCACAGACAGCCTGAGAAAGGAGCTCATTGCTACGCGCATTCGTGTCATTGAGATTGACCCTGGCCAAGTTGAGACTGTATGTGTATTAGCCTATAACTTACCTGAGAGCGAGCCATCTTTGGCAGAACTGAGACCATCCTAACATGACACCAGGAATTCTCCGTTGTCCGCTTCTATGGCGACAAGTCCAAGGCCGATGCCGTATACGCGTAAGTAACTCTCTTCGCGCCAACCCGTTCTTTGGCTTCATTCAATGGTCTTTTCCAAGACCTTTGTGGGACAACGAGGTGCTCTGGATGCGGATATAGAGCTGACAATTGTTTCTGTTGCTGTAGTGGCTGTGAGCCTCTCACGCCAGATGATATCGCTGAAGTTGTCGTCTTTACGAGCACGCGTCGGGAGAACGTGGTTATCGCCGACACTCTCATCTTCCCCAGTCACCAGGTAAGTTATCAGAACCTATTGGCTTGGATAAGACTTCTAACAGCTTTTTCAGGGTGCTGCTGGTATTCTGCATCGCAAGTCTTGAGGGGCAGCACTTTACATGGGGCAAAAGGGTCTAGTCCATAGGGGCAGAAAGGCCAGAGCTGAAGATGCCCCTGAAAACCAGGTGAAGTACCTTGGGTGCTCATAAAACCTTTTGACTAGTCGCTGGAAGGCGGGTCAGAGATGGAGAAAGTGGTGTATTTGATACCTATTTTTTGGTTGGTTGTTATCAACCCAGGCTTTTCAAGCCCTTCGCAAGATGTGGACACCATGCGCGTTACAGAGCCGTTAAATGTCCCAGAAGAACGATGTTGATACATATAACCGCTCGCTTTTCCGTCCTTTCAAATCCGTCAGTGTCTCATTCCGTAGACGAGCCGCCTTGGCATGTTGGTCATAGTGCAGATGGAGGATATTCCTTCGGAGTTTAGCACATCTGCCCCTCCCATCATCACTCTATGTCCGAAAAAATGAACTGGTTTGCCCATGGGGAATTGGCCCTACAAGTCTTTATGCCATTAAACCGCTGGCTGTTGGCCTAGTTTGACTCAGATCCCACTGCAAACCTGTTGTTTTCAAGATCTCTTTCAGTCAAGAACCAAGGCAATTCATGTCGCTGCAGGTGCCTGAGAGTAGAAGGCGGAGTTTTTAATCTAGTCGCTCACCGGATAGGTGAAGGTCATCCGCAAACCGACGTAACGATAAAAAAGAGAGGCATTTTGAAGCCGTAGAAATGCAGTTCTAGTCATTCGAAATACCAGTATACTGGGTCGAGTTTTTGAACGTACCTGCACAAACTAAATATATTTCCCGTTGAATACACTTTGACCTACTGGCTCCATATGGTAATGGGCTAGTGAATGTAGGCCTAGATCCGAAGTTATTATGTACTTTTTCGAGACCAGTGGCAATTCGAATAAGATACACTCGAAAAGCATCTCACTGAGTAGGTAGTGAGTTGGGATGAGCGTAAACGAAAGGCGCGCAACAAATGTTGCATACAACTGGGGAGTCAGCATGAGCCTGGGTGCCAATGTAGCCCATCAAACCGCTATGTGGGAACGGGCACATGTCTATCAACGGAACTACTGGCCACTTAGGAGACGGCCAAGACTGTGTTTAGCCAGTTCGGTGCCCTCATACCAAGGCATGCTTTTGTCTATGTCTTCTTTCTACGGGAAGGTACTGACACTATCTATGCCACATAGCCGGCCTGAATGCAGCTGAAAAATATAGGATACTGTCATATATCATTGATACGAGCAGTAAAATCTAGGTAGAAACTAGGCAGGCACAATGTACCTTTTGCCATTTAGCAGTCGATGGTAGCGTGGTTCCACAGCAGAGAAGGGTGCAGCTTTTGCATGTGGCCCGAGCCCAACTAACCAACCGGTACCGGTTGCTGCGCTGTGCAGCGTTTATGGCTCAGTAGAGCTGTTGGAAAATACATGGCCCTCACGTTCTAGCAGCCCCGCTACTGATCCGTCGCTTTCGGTAGGCTTGGGTTGGTACTTTGTCTGCTTACTACTAATTCCCTCCCATCAGCATGGGACAACACACATACCGACTACTCCGTACAGTGCCTTGTTTAACCATGCCCCTGGTAATCCCTGCCGAGATTCTTTCTCCTCTCCCCAGCAGGCGCAAAAACATTTCCAACACTCCCACAAACCTCCATTATCCTCCAACTTGTCGCATCTCGTGCCCAGTGTCTGCACATCAACATCGCCGTCATCTCTCAAGTGCTTACCACTACCTGATTGCGCCACGAATACCCTGCTGCTGTAGGGCCTTCGCCCACCGTCACGCTGCAGTAGGCAACCGACGTCACTGCTGCATCGACAACGCGGCTTCGTTCGACCGCGCCGCATCGTCGCTTTCCACACCATGCAAGGGCTACAACGGCCATGAATATTCAATATGGGCTTCACGAACTTTCTCGGTTCCTCCACCGATAAACTACAGTCCTCCCGCCCCAAGCCATCCCCGTCTGTCGCCGCCAATAACAACCCCGATGTAACCCAAGCCCAGAGTTCCGATGCCATTCTCAATCATGGATATATATATGACGAGGCACACCTGCGCAATCTGCCACCCGACTGCCCCGATCTTCGCGAACTCAATAATAGCCTCGAGGCCCTTGCCGCCGTCTTCCCTGATATTCAGATCCAAGTCTTCCGCGAGATGCTGACCAATTTCGACGAAGACTCTAGGCTGGCTGTGGTCGCCGACGCCCTCCTGAAAAATCGCGTCGCATGGGTGAAGGGTCGCTGGAGAGTACCTGAACACCAGCACAATGAGCCCGCGCTACCAGACTCGAAAACGGATCAAGAGCAGCACCCCCTGATTCCTCGTGTCGAGACCTTCCGAAGCCCTGATTACAAGCAGGCTGTCCAAGCGCTAGCCTGGCACGAATTTAAGGGCCTCTCCCGCTCTACAATCAATGCTGTTCTTGCCGAGTCAAATTATTCCTATCTTGATGCTCGGAAAACCTTAGTATCTCTTTCTTCCAAGTCATGGCGCTTTACCATATCCTCCCTCTTCTTGCGCCGGAAACCTGTCGCTACGGGAGACGCCGAAAACCATCCCCTGATTGTCTGGAAGTCAACCGGCCAAGGCGCTATTGTGCCGTCTTTGAAGGCTACGAGCAATGCTGAATTGGATCGCGAACTGTACCGTGATTTGATTCAACCACTGAAAGAGCGAACTAGGCGAACCCAGGAGGAGACGGACCGGGGGTTGGCTATTCTTTTAAACAGCGAACAGGCCGAGGAGGTTGGCGCCCTACACGAGTGTGCTTGCTGTTTCACCGAGTCTACCTTTGAAGAGTTCACCAATTGCAACACCGACGGCCACATGTTGTGCTTTCGTTGTGTTCAGCATTCCATCAAGGAAGCTGTCTTTGGGCAGGGTTGGCACAGCAGCATTGACCCGGATTCTGGGACGCTCAAGTGTCTGGCAGTTGAAGGCAACGGCTGTCCTGGCCATATTCCATACGACCATCTGCACCGCGCGATGCTGGAAGAGAAAAAAGGCGCCGAAATTTTGCATAAACTTGACCAGCGCTTGGCAGAGAATAGTCTGCTCGCATCTAATGTGTCACTGATCCGATGTCCCTTCTGCGAATACGCTGAAGTAGACGACATCTATCTTCCGGCCCACGAAACACAATTACGTGTCAGACTCGACAGTATTCTCAGTCTTCTACTAATCGCTGTTTGTGTCGTCACGGTGCCTCTCTTTCTGCCTGTGGTGCTGTTGTCCTCTTTTGTGTGTCTTTTGTTAAGCACAAAACAAACGGTAGGCGACCACCTCGTGGCGCAGTGGAACATGGCCATTGGCCGTCACCGACGACGGCGCCGCGGCCTGAAATTCACCTGCCTGAACCCTGACTGCAAAAAGAACTCTTGCTTGTCATGTTCCAAATCGTGGACCGATATACATGTGTGCCATGAATCATCTCTAGTTGCCCTGCGTACACAAGTCGAGCAGGCTATGAGCATGGCTATCAAGCGTGTTTGCCCTCGTTGTCATACATCTTTTGTCAAGAACTCAGGCTGCAACAAACTTACTTGCCCTTGCGGTTACAAAATGTGCTACGTATGCCGGAAAGATATTGGCGGCACTAACGGTGAAGGCGAAGGCTACAGGCATTTTTGTGATCACTTCAGGCCGGACGGCGACCCCCGGCCGTGCACCGAGTGTACAAAATGCAATTTGTGGGAAAGTGAGGATACAGACGTGGTGCTAAGACAGGCCAAGGAGGAAGCCGAGGAGAAGTGGCGGGAGACAGAGAAGCGGGAGCTCAGTGGGGCCGAGAAAGCTTTTTTGGAGACGGGCTTCGCTAGGAACGGGGTCTCGCCGGTCGAGAGTTACCTAAAGAGCGGACGAGTGCCTACCTTAGCTGAGGTGTGCGATTTTGTTGTTGAGGCCGTCTTTGTATAGATGCTCAAAGCGGACAAGGAATATGGTTTTGGTGCTTAGGCAACACACCAAAGCTTTCACAACTGCCGCAACAGAGTCTGGAGCTGGGTTCATACTATCACATATTTTTATTCCTTTTCCCTTTCTTGCATTTAGGAGCAACGAAGCATTACTGGGCGTTGGGGCACAAGAAAGGCAGATTTCCTTTTAGTAATGTTGGGAGTTGCCGCGATCGGACATCGGAGGTTCTATTCTAATTAGAGCATTTGGCGCTGACACAAGCATGGGTTTACGATTGCCTAGCAGATACTTTTTGTAATTGGGGAAGTAAGAGACCTTTTTTTTTTTATTTTTAATATTTTCTTTGTCCGTCATTTTGCTTCAAGGGTCATTGATCCAAGTGGCTCCTACAAGAAACAAATACATAAAACCATTACTCATACATCCTGTTTCCACCAAGTCCAGTTCCAACAGACGTGCAAACAGCAGCGGCTACAAGAAGCCTGCTCTGACAACTAAAATGCGAGCTTCTAGGCTTGCCGCTAATGCTTAGATTTTGCTCTTATCGGCTACTAACTCGGCTGCGGCGCCGCCGATGGCCAGTTTGCCCGTTTCCTTGACCTTAGTCTGGAAGATGATCTTGCCACCATCCTTCCACATCTCCGTCACGAGAGTCTGGCCAGGAATAACAGTGCCGGCAAATCGTACTTTGATGTTCTTGATGGGACCGAAACGTTCGTAAATGGCCTTGCCAGCAATACCGAAGAAGCACAAACCATGAAGGATAGGTGCCTTGAAGCCTCCCATCTTAGCAAAGGCAGGGTCTACGTGAAGAGGGCTGCATTCATCTCGTTAGTGTCACGCAAAAGGCACAGTGAGTCGTCGTCAGACGGATAACTTACTTATAGTCTCCACTTAGTCGGTACAACGCCGCCTGTTCTTCAGTTGTCTTCTCCTCAACCACGACATCGGGATGTCTAGAAGGAGGCTTGTTGGAAGCCGTGCTAGGGCCGCGATCAGCTGGCTTCTTCTGGCCGCCAAAGCCACCACAGCCCCTAAGGAATACCGTCATCTCATTGTAGAAAATGGGCTCCTTAGTCTCAGCATTGACTGTTGTGATACCATTTTTGACAATGGCAGCGCTGCCTTTGTCAACGACCTCAAGCAGCTTGCCGTAGGATACAAGCTTCGCGGCGGTGGGGATGGGGTATTTCTTAATCTCAAGATACTGTTCTCCATGCAACAGCATCATGGGGGAAAAGTTTGGAACGATGTCGTCAAAGTTGTAAGGCATTTCAGTCCCAAAAGGAGGGATAACGCCAAAGGTTGGGATAACTTGGAAGTCGTCGGCACCTTCGAAGACATATTTCAGCTCGTTGCGCTTAGCACCGATTCCAAGGTTGTACAACATAACGTCGCGCTCCTCGTACTTGAATTCGGTGCCTTGAGGTTCGGCCTTCATTGCCGCCTTAATAGCTTCGAGGTATTGACTGTCACCTTCAGACGGTTTCTCTTGCTACAGACTCATTAGAATACCGTTTTTTTTCTTTCTTTTAGAAAAAACTTTGTTGACTATTGCTACTATATAACATGTGCTTTTACTGACAGAAAGGTGCAGGCTCATACCTTGTTGCTCTTGTTTTCCATGTTGGCCATGACCTTCTGAAGACCGTCCTGAGTCTTCTCAGGATGGTCAGCACGGCCATCCTCGAAATTACGGATGGAATCCCAGTGCTTCAACACCTCTTCGGGAGTCAAGGGAACGTCGACGGGGAAGCCGTGACCGCCGCTTCTCTGCCAGCGGGTCTGGCCAACCCAGCCACTGCCGACCTCGTACAAGCCACCCGTAGGGTTCTTCGGAACCTTGTCACTGCAGAGGGCGAGAACAATGGGAGCAATATAATCTGGCTTGAAGGCCTGTACCATCTCCTCCGGCATGATAGTCCTCGTCATAGCCGTACCGGCGTTAGGCGCAATAGTATTGACGTAGATGTTGTACTTGTACCCTTCAAGTGCAAGGGCGCGAGAAAATCCAAGAATACCGCATTTCTAAGAATTTGTCAGCCATTAGTGTTTCTCTAAAGATGGTTATGGGAGGCATACTGCAGCGGCATAGTTAGCTTGGCCAAAGTTGCCATAAATACCCGAGGTAGAAGTGGTGTTGATGACACGGCCGTACTTTTGCTTCAGGAAGTAAGGCCAGGCCGCCTTGGTAACTTTGTAGGTGCCGCGGAGATGGACATTCAGGACGGGGTCCCACAGGCTATCGTCCATATTGTTAAATGCCTTGTCACGGAGAATACCTGCATTGTTAACAACAATGTCAATGCGGCCAAAAGCATCCACAGCGGCTTTGACAACGGTTTCGCCATCCTCTGCTGATGCCTTGACACCAACAGCCTTGCCGCCAAGTTTCTTGATCTCGTTTACTACATCGTCGGGGTTGGCCAGGTCATTGACAACAACAGAAGCGCCATGCTTGGCGAACGCCAGACTGTAAGCCCGGCCGATACTAAGAAGTGTTAATCTCGGACATTGACTACAATGACGATGAAACTCACCCAGCACCCCCGCCGGTAACAAGGGCAACGCGACCCGTAAAATCCAGCTTTTCACCCTGATCATTGGGGCCCATCTTCATGGAGTCTTCAAGAAGAGTTAAGAAATCATTGGGACCGGATGGGTATTGAGGGTTGGAGAAGTCGATAGCCTGATCCCATTTCTTGAGAATAGCTCCAGGCGTATAACTGTCATCAGCTTTGAGAAGTAGGCCGCTTGACCTTTCCCAGCGCAGCTTCGCAACGTGGCCACCTCCAACCTCGAAGATGGAACCGTTCTCATCAGTGTTATCCTTATGTACCAGGACGGCGACAAGGGGTACAACCCAGTCAGGCTTCAGATTCTCCAAAACGTCAGGCGGCATGACAGTTTGTGTCATTCTGCTGGCGGCTTTTGACTCAATTAGCCCAAACAGATCCTTTCCCATTCCGCTTCTCACACGTTGCACTTACCGATTGGTGCAATTACGTTGGATAGAATGTTGTACTTGGCACCTTCCTTGGCCAATGTTTCGGTGAAGCCAACCATGGCCAGTTTGGCAGCTATGCAACGGAATTAGCACCCTGTAAATCATATACAAGTTGTTGGGTTGGGTAGTGGCGCTTACCTGAGTAATTGGTCTGGCCGAAGCTACCGAACAGGCCGGCAGCGGAGGCAGTGTTGATAACACGACCGTATTTTTGCTTTCTGAAATAAGGCCACGCTGCGCGTGCGCACTTGTAGGATCCCTTGACGTGCACCTTCATAATCAGATCCCAGTCGTCATCCTTCATATTCTTGAAGCTGATATCCCTGAGGATACCAGCATTGTTGATCAGTATATCGATACGACCGAAGCTCTGAATTGCCGTCTCGATAATCTTTTCGCCATTCTCGACCGAATCGTAATTTGCGACGGCCTTACCGCCAGCAGCCTTGATCTCGTTGACGACAACGTCGGCAGCCTGCATTACAATACACCTCAGCGACAGTTGGACTTTGGACAAAGCGTCCAGTGTTGCGGGATCTACTGACCTTAGTCGAATTGCCTTCGCCCTTGAACGAACCTCCCAAATCATTCACGACGACACTGGCGCCACGAGACCCAAAGAAGGTGGCATAGGCCTTGCCTAAGCCGCCGCCAGCACCCGTAACAACAACGACTTGGCCGTCATAACGTAGCTGACCAGCCATTTTGTGTATGTGAATGGGGACTGGTTGAATGACAGTGGCTAAATGACGCAGAGATATGATTTAGATCCAGAGAATAGAGCGACAAATTGGTAAGGAAAAGGCAGATTGTAGGGATAGAAGGGTATGGTGGTGAAAATAAAGTGCCGTGAAATGGAAGACTTGTGGTTTTCTTTACTCAGCACACCCGGCAACTCTCAAAGGGCCAACGTGACGGATGCCGCAGACAGAGCCGAGGCAGCGTCTCTGACCGAAGCCGACGAAAAACGCTAGTCCGAAACGGGGAAAAGCCTGATTTCACATGCAACTTTACCGTGGGCTTGGTGGAACTCTCAATGAGGTCATGTGGGGAAAGGTAGGTCCCTCCACCATTTCCCATGTCACATGCCCCAGATTTTGGCCTTCCTGGCCACTCAGAATGAATAGGACTGCCCATCTTTAACCCCAAACTTCTGAGCAGAATCCCTTGCACGGTAGGTAAGTGTACACACTGTAAGTTTGGGCGCCCAGCCAACCTTGGGGAGAAGTTGAGAACCACACCAGCCCCCTCAGTCTCCTCTAAGCTTCAGCTGGGGTGTAGTTGCACCTAGACAAACCCCGAGGTATTGACATAGCGGGGTAACTTATTACCGATAACCTAAATAGAGCACAATGTCAACCCTGCTCACTCTCGGAAGCTCAGCACGGCAACCCCCCCCCCCCCCGCCCCCCCCAAAAAAAAAAGGAATAAGAGAGGAAAGGGCAAGGTTACTTGTGGATGTGCAGCAGATATGCGCAACCGAAAGCTCAATATTATAGGCGACTTTCTATCTTTTGTGCCTAAGCTCTCATGGTACGTCTATAATTGCAGATGTTACTTCCTTGACATTTCTCCCACTGGCCTCCAGGACGATGACCATACACAGTTCATGGGGTGAATTTCAAAACGTCATCTTCATGGGGGCATGTCCTTTGGAGCCTAAGTACGCCAGTCTGCAAGTAAATACGGTCATGTCCGTCTTCTGCAAAGTAAGTAGGTAATTGAGCGTACTGGACTCGCAGGGGGTTGGTCCTGTAGGCGGCAGACCCCGCCGGGACGTCTCGGCCTAGGTGGGCTTCCCCGCGGCTATTATCATCGGTGCCAATTTCCGCCTCCGAATATCACGCAATTGTTAAATCTCTCACCACACTTTGTCTATTACCATATCTAGTAAGCTATCAATACATCAAGTCAATACTGCCGTGCCACCACCGCAATGGCGTCTGCAGTTCCGCCAGTAACAAGCCCTAGCTTTGTTGATGACAAGAGTCCCCTTTGCATCCCCTTCATCACTGGTTTACTCGAGCAACGAACGCAGAAGGATGACATTCGCCCGTTTCTGATCGGTCTCAACGGTGTTCAAGGTGTTGGCAAAACCACACTCGTCAAATCTTTGGCCGATTCTTTAAGGAACCTTGGTCATAACACACTTGTCTTCAGCATTGATGATCTATATCTTAAGCATGAAGATCAGGTTGCTCTTGCCCGATCTCATCCAGATAATCTCCTTATGCAGCAGCGGGGCGAGCCCGGCACCCATGATATGCAGCTTGCGCGGGACTTTTTTGACAACATCACGAAAGGAAAACCAACAAAGGTGCCTTCCTACGATAAGGCGGCTTTTTCTGGCCAAGGAGACCGAGTGCCCCAGAGTCAATGGGCACAGGTCAATGCTCCTGGACAACCCAAGGTCCAAGTGGTTATCTTCGAGGGCTGGTGTGTGGGTTTTCGTGCTCTGCCGGAATCTGAGGTCGAGTTTAAGTGGAGAGCGCATAGCAAGACACTTCAAAACCATAAACTGGAACATTTGCTCTTGGTGAATGAGAGGCTGAAAGAGTACGATGCCATGACCGACCTGTTGGACGTGTTCATCCACATCGATGCAGATAACACTCAATACGTTTATGATTGGCGCTTGCAACAGGAGGCTGCTCTGCGCCAGGAACGGGGAACGGGGATGACAGACGAACAAGTCGTTAGGTTTGTCGACGGTTACTATCCCGCCTATGAGTTGTTTTCCGATAATGTGAGGAGAGGTATCCTCCCAAACGTTCCGGGCCATCAAATGAGGCTAGTGGTTGGTAAAGATCGAAGGGTAAAGGAAAATCTCGTGATATAAATGTTACTTGTTGAATAATGTTGCCACAGGTAACGGCATATTTACATGGTACCGAGGTTTACAATTTCATAAATAATTAATAGTGTAACACTTCCGCTTGAATACCAATCATAGTAGCCGTAAGTCATAAATCGTCGAAAGTCGTGGTGACCGCATGAAAAGGCAAACAAAAATATACACGGCGACTTTTCAGCTCCCCAAGATGGCTCGCCCGTAGGCCAAAGGGCCAGCAAGGGACCTCATCAAATCTCTTTATCTGCCAGCATGTCTTCACCCTTGTGCTTGATCTGGCTTAGCTTTTTATTGATGTTCTCCGTCCGAAGGCGGACCGCCTCCTCCCTGCTCGCAATCTCACTCTCAAAGTTCTCAACCGTAGCTCTCTTGTTCTGGCGTGCTTCTTTCAGCTTCTGAGCGACTTGGCCAAATTGCTCCAAAAACCAGTCACCAGAGCGCTCCCAATCACTAACGGTCATCTGCATGAAGAACTCTTTCTGGTCAACTTCGCGTTGACTTTTAAAATGATCAAGCTTGACAGGGAGACTGTCGCCCGTTAGGGGGCCTGCTGCTTGGAGCGGCTTCTTAGCTGGATCGTCGTCAAATGGTTGCTGGCGCAGCTGGGAGTATGTCATTCCAGCAAGCTCATTGTCGGCATAGTCGCAGCTTTCCCGACGTCTCTTCCCAGCCTTGTCTACCTGACTATAAGACACAGGTGGTAGAGAGCTCTCCCATAGAGCAGGTCCCCGAGACAGTGCCGTCTTACGATTCGCCCGGGGCGTACCGTGGTCGTCCTCACTAATAGGGTAATCGCTTGCAAGGCTTCCTTCTATGTCTTTATCTGGCAAGGGCGTGACACGACGAAACTCTTGACTCTTCCCGTCTTTCTTGACGCGCCTCAAACCATGACTAGAAGTCTGATACATTGGGGAATCTGAGAAGACCTCCTGATCGGCGTCGTAGGCTGGAGGCGCGTATGATCTCACAGTCGTAGGGTGAAAAGCTAGCCTGAGATGTCGTTTTGGTGAGCTATATATGGGCTCACTTGAATAAGCGTCTTGTTGAGCTACAGGTGCGTCGATGCTGGTGATGGGCAGCCCAGATCCATTCTTGGAAGTTGTAACACGGATTGAGCCATCTCTATTTATGGTGTATGGTAGTTTGTCGTCAGTTGTTCGAGTTTGCACATTGTCGAAGGTTGGCGCTGGAGAGCGAATGCGACTATCATTGACTTTGTGGTCCCTCTCGGAGTGTTGGGTCGTTGGCGAGCCAAATTGACTGTCAATTTGAGACTCCGGCCAGAAACCGGTAGCATCGCTGCTTTGGGAGTTCGCTCGGTGGCGCCGGTGCTGCTGTCTAGACGGCGACGCATCGGGGGCGTTTGCATTCGGAGGGTTGCGTATGGATGAAGGAAGATGCTGCGGTAGACCAGACTGATGCGCCTGGTGGAAGTGAATGGCATGTGTTCTAGCAGGTGGGAATGGCTTCGGAGCAGGAAGCGTAGCCGACTCGACAACTTCTTGACGAGTGGGAGGAGCTGGTAAGGCATCGGAGTGCTGTTGGCCCATTTGATCCATCGTTAGGTTGGCGTTTCTGTTCCGAAGACTCGATTCGGGGGAGACATTCCTGGCATATTGGGCCATCCCTTTTAGGCCTGTGTTTGGCAACATGATGCGGACAGGTTTCGAGAGAATTGTTGGATTACTGGACGGATTAGTCTCTACCTCAAATGCAAGAAGAGTACTAGGCAGGGGTCGACAATAAAGCAGCAGGAGCATCAAATGCTTGCAGGGGTCGCGTTTCGTTACGCGTCCGTATCGCGTCAATGTTAACTGCATGGAACTAGGAAGGCAGGTGTGTCATCTGTCTACAGTGTCAGGAACTTCGGTGGGGTTTGGTGAACTAGTGCTCAGCCAACGCTTATGGAAACACAATGGGAATGAGAGGAGTGGTGTATAATTGACACGCAGCGAGGTATGAAGCCTTATACAGAGAGCGATAAGATTATCCTTCCTCTTCTCTTTAATATCGCCTTCTTTCGTAAGCACCGAGAAAAGTTGAAATGCTCTCGCTCAGAGATACCGCAACTGCACCGTGCAAAGTGGAGCAGGGTCGCAGAAGCCACGGAATCATGTGATTGGCTAAGCTCAGTCATTTGCAAAGAGCAGACGGCTATACATCGATAAGTGTCAGAAGCTCGTCACGTCAGACATGGCCCTAATATCACCCTAAATGAATCTCTACGTTGCAATAGGCACGTATGTCGTTTACACTTCACTACTTTTCGTTCTGTTTTTACGACGACGGCACGCTGCTTTTAAATAGGAGCTTTCCCTAAGCGGATCAGTCCCCAATGATAAACTTCGTCACTCGGGTATGCTTACGAGTAGTCGTCATCTCTGCGGTAGAGAACAAACTGTACCTGGCATTCATAGCACTACTAGATACTTTAGAATACACACAAATGACATGCCCACAGTCTGCAACTCCACTTCTCGTGCCCTCCTGCTTGCGTGAACCTTTCAACCAGGGTTGATAAGAGACATTTGGGTGAGGCCAAGGAAATGTTGGTTTATGAGTTACGGTATTGTTTAATTTCCTGGAGACAGAACAACTCAGTGCCTGCCGATAGAGATGATGTCCACAGGATCCTGTTAGAGAAGAAGTCAGGTAAGACGGCTGCTCCACAAGAGTAATTTGTCGCCTGATAAAACAAGATGTAAAGATACAATAACGAAAACTTTCGTGCTCTCTCCGCACTATATGTTTAGTCAAGAACATCCTTCGTCACAATACGTCAGACAACGTAAAAACCAGCATGCAGTGAATAGGTATATCGTGGGTAGTAACTTAGTGCATGGCTAGGAGTTACGGGAAATGACCGTCTGCGATCGCGCATGTTTTGATACCTCTACATACCTACCTTACACAGACCTAGCCGTGCGATGACCTGTTAGCTAGCAAGAGGCCACAACGTGCCAAAATCTGGGTAGTCAGTCACTCTGCCGGGTGCATGATTCGGTTGCTTCGGTTGGTTTGACTAATTTTTCTTGATTTATCAGCTTTGTCACTCGGCCCAAGACCTGCGTTGTACCCAGGCACAACATGTCATAATCACGACCAGATCTTTCCTGCCATCAAGCTCCATTCCCCGCGCTAGTCTCATTACATTCCGCTAGCCCATCCTCCCACGATCGTCCTAGTCCGCCGTAAAATGAGGCATGGTTCCAAAATCTTAAAACCGTCCTCAGTAGGACATCAAATACCTCGTGGGGTCTGGCGGAATTGAAACACTGGATTTGTCCTTCCGCTCGCCCCGGCTTCTCCTGCCTGATTTCCTGCCAGAGAAAGACACATGTGGAGCATCGGGCTATCGCCTTTGATAAATGCCACCCCGGCTTAACAATGTGCTCTTTTCATTCCTTCCAAATGGATTGGCCTTTAGCCTGTGAAGTGGAAGCGGGCTGCCTCTAGCTGCCCCAGCCCATCTCTAGGGGCTACATATCGCCGACGATATGTGTTTGTAAAATCTTGGAGGAGTGCTCTCACTTGTCTGATAGCGCTTGGGTCATTGCCACTCAGACGCTCCTTGATCTTGACCATGAGTCGGTTTGCCTCAACTGGTGTGATGGTGCCCTGCGGCAACAGATGAATAGTGTGGTCAACCCATGTTGTCGTCTGAGCTGGGAACAGCTCAAACATTGCCAGCAAGACGCCACTACCATCTGCGAAGCAATCCCGGGGGAAAGTGATCATCATCCCAGCCATGACTTGCTTCACCAACTTTTCGCCATGGGTGTTGAGCAATTTGCTTACCACTTCGCGAATCTGAGCAGCTACATCAGGTGGGAGAACATCAGATGTAGCTGGGTTATCACCGCCGTATGTGAGGAGATCGCGAAGGAAATGAAGAGTTGCTGAGAGCGGATCGCGTTGTTCCAAGGTCAAAGCATAGACCGCAGCTTCAAAGATGGGCCCCAGAAGCTCCGAAGGAATCAGTTTGTGTGGGTAATAAAGGAGTGCGTCGATCAGCAGTCGGAAGAAATCCTCGATGACGTCCGGCAGTTCGCTGGGTTGAAGATCGCTCATTACTCTCAAAAACGTTGTCGTCTGGGCCTCGAAGAAGGCGTATATGCTCTGGGTGATATCTTGATTCACGTGTTCCCGATCTTCAGAGAATTCCCTGAGAATAGCTGCGGTAACCCAGAGAAAAGCGCCTTGGCGGGAGGCGGAGAACCCGCTGGCCAACTTATTAGCCATCTCTGGCAACAGTGGTGTCATAGCCGTCCTGTAGGAAATAATCATGTTGCGCCAGCAGCGACAAATTCTCTCGCAGATCGGAACAAAACCCAGGAAGTTATCTAAAATTGTCGCAAGCACCGGGAACACTTCTTGCCAGTACTTGACAGCGGGGTTGTCTTCTCCAGGTCCGACATAGGGTACTACAATCTGGACGAAAGTGGTGATGAGTTGGAGATGATCTTAACGCTATGTTAGTCATAGTTTCCCATGTTGTTTCTATGTTATTCGACTTACCTGCGAGTGCCAATTTGCCCTTGTCGTCAGTTGCAAGGTTGGCTTTGTTCATCAAGCGTTGAACAAGAGGGTCGCAGTAGAGCTTGAGAAGCTTGTAAATCTCAGCCGGTGGTTGCACAGCTACGACGCTGGCAACTCCTTCAGTGATTTCTTCTTGACTCATGTCGGGAAGCTTGTCAAGGATTTGGTCGTAGAAAGTCTGCATCTGAAGCACTTGGCCGCTCAGGAGCTGTTTACAGTCGGTGCAAAAGTACTTGATTGCCATCGCCGCAGCCCTAACAACCTCTTTTGAGTCAGTCTGAAAAGATGTTACGATGTAGTTGAATTGTGGCTCAAGGTATTCAGGGTGAGCTGAAGTCCACTCCGTGTATCGACCGAGAACCATGATAGTAGCGAATCGAAGCTTCTCATGACTGGGAATCTGGACGAGTAAAGGCATTAGCTGAGGCAGAACAATGCTTTCATCCTTGTCCACCATCTGCCCCATTGCACGCATGGCAAAAAGGGGCGCTTCCAGCTCTTGCCAATGGGGCACGGAGGTTGCTGTAGCCTGACCGGCATACTTCTGCATCCAAAGTTTGATAGCCTCGAGAACCTTGGTGAGGCAATCAGTCACTCCCATCACCTCGCACGAGTCCTTCAGCGTGTCGCCCATCTGGTGTCGGAATTCACGGAACTTTTCTTCTTGCTCCCGATCACCGTCAAACAAATCAGTTTCGTTGGCTGACTCCGACTGAGGATATTCCAGATGCTTGAGAAGGATATCTACAAGCTTGGAATAGACATCCGCCAGCTCCAGTCTAGCCTGAATATACCGTTCCAGCACCAGATATTGCTTGAGCTCGTACCAGAACTGGAAAGTGTGCTCAATGACATCACGGTCCTTGTCCCTGGCAGCACACTCCAAAACTGCATCAACAAGCGATCGAAAGTGCCCAGGCTCGCGGGCAATAGCCACGACCCACGCCTCAGCAGCCAGGGCAAATATTTTGGTCAGGGCCTTGTAAACTTCCGTATCCTCATCATTGACAACTGCTTCAATCCTGGGTCGCAGCGCATTGACGCGGGGAAGAAGGATTTGGATGGTATCGAGGTTATCGTCGACATCCCGAGTTTCTCTAAAGATAGTACACAAGCACTCTGCTGCTTCTTGGAATGCTTGCTCATTGCCCACAGCGTTGAAGATGACGTCGAGTAGCGGAGAATTGACGATTGTGTTGACAGGAACCTCGCGGAGCCATGAGGTAATGCACTCCATCAGCTGGGGGTTTTGGGCAGCAGAGGCTGTGAATATTTAGTCAGCGTCACCTCCTAAGCAAGCGTCTCAACGAGTCTATACTAACCGGATGACTGGGAGTAGTTGATGAGCAGCTGAACGACCTGGTCCGTGTTGTCACCCAGTAATTCCCTGGTCCGCTGGGAAAGCTCTTCTTCCTATCATTGCCAATTAGACTCTGATCCTTGTTGATATCGGCCCAGCAAAACCACGTCGCAAGAAGTAAGAGGCCGGTCGATGTTTCCGTGACCCACGTACAGTTAAGGTGATTTTGCGGCCTTCGGTCACCTCCTCGGGCAGCACGCGTAGAAAATCGAGAATGGCTGCATGACTCTCGACGCTGTCACCAAGAGATGAAACCACTGTGGGAAGAACGTCCTTCCATTCTTTCACTTGCACTGCCAATGTCGCCAGACACACACAGAGCTGTACTCTTATGGGTTTAGGACCAGGAGCGAAGTGTTTCAGAAGGAGAAGGATTTGATCCCGTAATGCAGGCAGTTCTGTTTCCGATACTTGCGTCGTGAGGTCATATGTGATCTGGGGACAACGTGGTCAGCTTATCATTTTCAAATGTGCCGCTCTGGCATTATACCTTTCCGCGCAAAGTAATGGCCGCGAAGAGCTTGGCTTCGGGCTCTGCGTCGGACTGGAGAATACCAATGATGGTGCCCCATGCATCTTTCTGGGATATATGTTAGCAGGAGAATAGGCCATGGGAAGCCGTCGAAAGAGTGCGGAATCTGACAGATTTCTGGAACCGCTCCAAATATGCATGAGCCTTCTTCTTCGTCTCTTGTTCGCCACCACGCATGGTGACCATAGCCGATAGCACATCACTGGGCGCGAAGGCCTCCTGGATTCCGTTTGTCGCCATACTTCGGAGGGTAAACAGAGTCGCAAGAGTTAATCGGTCGCTATGTCAGGTGGGGATCGAATGCTTGGTCCAGCAAAATTCGCAGCAAGGCTGCATGTACCGTTGCACGGAAAGGACCGCAGGTACTGGGAAAGGAAAGACGTTGCGGAATTCAGATGGCAAGAGTGTCCCGTTATTCCTGTAAGACGTAAGGAGCGTTGAGCCTGTGAGATGGCTGTTGGGAGGCTATCAATCGATGCGGCGTCATCCAAGATTAACAGATAGAGGGGAGTGGTGGAGGGAGGTCGCAAAAGGAAAATAAAACGTCAGTCAGGCTGGCAGGACAGCAGCGGATCAGAAGCACAAGGAATCCGCCCGACCTAACTAAAGCCGGCTAAGACACTATTAAGGTAGGTCCTGTGTTGAAGGCAAGCGGTAATTCACCTAAGGCGGAAAGTACGCTGGGGCCCTATTGTTCCAGTAACTTTGTCCCCGTAGCTTGCCTCAAGCAAGTCATCTAAGTACCTGAGTAGGCCACCAAGTCGCGTGGCGGGGTAAGTACCTCAGGCAGCGTATGGCGGATTTTTGCTAGAGAAAGACTCCTGAATAACGAAGGGGCCCCTGTCACTCCCCGTCAGGACCCATTCAATTGAGAATTCGCCTCGTACCATCGGATCAGCTTAGGACCAGTAATGTCTGTGGGTGGAACATTATTTCGCCAGCTCCGGCCCAATCGACGAATCTAGGAACATAGCACCCAGTCTAGGCACAGTCGCGCAGCCTCATCGCGTTCCAAGTGAAAGTACCTGGACGACAAAGTGCCCCACGACGATACGATTAATTCCAACGGACGCGACCGACAAGCAACATCTATTGCGAACCGAGCTTTCAGACTGCAAAAGAATACGCTTTCTGTAATATACAGTCTAAATTTCCGAGAATGTCTGGACGTGGTGGAGGCGGCGGTGGTCGCAGAGTATTGCTTCCGCCCATTAATTTCATCTTCAAGCTCCTACAGTAAATATTTGCAAAGCAACAGCTTCGACCTGCAACCATGCGCTAACTTCTCTACAGACAACACACAACTGTGCAAATCTGGCTATATGAACAGCTATCGATCCGAATTGAGGGAAAGATCAGGGTACGTCAAGTCATTTGGGGTCGTCTTGCCTTGATCGCTGTGCTGACATGTTCTGTTACAGGGTTTTGATGAATTTATGAATCTCGTTATTGACGACGCAGTCGAGGTGAAGCAAGTTACGAAGACGAATCCAGAGGAATCTCGGCGATCGCTGGGTGAGCTATCCATGCGCAACGATCAAGCCTTGGAAGGTGCTAATAGCATACAGGTCAAATATTGTTGAAGGGCGATAACGTCTCGTTGATCCAGAGTTTATCGGGTTAAGGATCAATGGTGCTGAGAAGATGTTACTGCAATGGCAGGGCTTGCCTTTGGATGATACACAAAAGTTATACCACAGATTTGTCACCTTGAGGACTGGGCGACGGGTTGCTAATGGTTACGGGAGTTGTCTGCGGGTGTCTTAACCTCCCCATTGCCTAAGACTAGGCCATCGAGGGGTTGGTCGTGCTGGGCTACAGGAACTGCGCTATCTGAAGGTTGGGAGAGAAATTGCTCCGAGAGACCCAAGCCATAGAGCAATACAGGGTGTGTCGCTGCCAATGACTTGTTGTACTTTGTTGCGTACCGTCGAATAAACAGATCGTAAAACCCCTTCCCATGACCAAGTCTCCGTATTGCACCCGACTGTTCGTCGATGTCAAAGGCAACTCCCGGCAGTAGCATGAGGTCTAAGAAGCAGGTTTCTGGTGACTCAGAGCCAGGCTCGCCGAGAACGCGATCTCGTTGACCGACAGTAACTGGGTCAATGCTAGGAATTCCCCATTTATCCGGCTGCAACGACTCGTAGTCTCCAAGGTCGCGCAAGCGGACCATGTCCATGACCCGGGGCGGTGTCTCTCCGGGAGGGAATGGAGACTTGTGCAGATACGGGACGTAGACCTGCTTCCCCGTTGAAAGAGCGTGGCGTACGATGTCGTCTGTCTGAATCTCACCCGAAGGCATTGAGAGAAAGATGCTGAGTTTTTGTGCCTCTACATATGGTTTGAACGCCTTAAGCGTCTCGAGGACAGCTCGGCCTAGGGGTTGTATTCAGAGCTTGCGTTTCCAGAACAAGGAGACTGAAGACTGCTTACTCTGGCTTTTGACAGATTCATGCGAAATGCTGGTGAGTTTTTCTCTCATAACGGACCGGAGCTGCTTCTTAGCAGCCACGAGAGGGGAAGCCATAACAATTCGTTGTTTTGCCCAGCTTAATTGATAATTAACTGAAGTTAGGTGACTAGATGCCAGTATGGTTCGGCAGATGCGATGTGAGTGATGTCGTATATAAGCGGGGTCTTTGTCGACATAACGCACGAACGTATATACCATTATAAGCATAATATTCTAATAGCAAAACCATTATCGCATTCCTTGCAATCAGGCATATTTCCAATAATTCAACTTGGGAACAAGCCAACGCCATGAGCCCTAGACAAGGAACATAGCTAAATCCAAGTGACGACTCACGAGAAATCCACAAAGGGGATGGTATTACTCCTTCTAGCCTGTGCCATCCGATAGAAAGCTTGTTACAGACACCGGGGTTTCCTGCGGCATCTGGTGTCATGCCAAAGGAAAAGACATTAGACTTTACCTTGTCCGCTTCGCAGCTCTAGGCAGCACCAGCAGGGGACGCTTTCATCGTAAAGCAATGCAGCTCCAAGGCTTGGGCCTTGGAAACGAACAATGATGTTGAGCGCAGAGTATCGATAATTCAAGCAGTCAGCATTGGAAGCAAAAAGTTGCTTAGCTAGGATACTGTTATCTTTCAAGAGCGAACAACTTTCAAGAAGTTGCCAAGGTGGCCTTCACATGTCTTTACAAGGTAATATTGCTCAATACATAACAAACACATCCCGTCAGCCAAGCAAGACAGCCTGAGACTTCGATTCCACGCCTTCATCCTCAGCCAGTGAGACGGCCTTTTGACTACGTCGGTACTAAGGTCTCAGAGTCGACTGAGTGATGTGGGGGATAAGGTAACCAGGGGGCTGAGACAGCGTAAGGCTCACCACGTTGAGAATTGATTCGAGATCTTCTCACGGCAGGCATCTCATATCCAACTGCTCCCATAATACTTAGTATCGATGCTGTTCTACGCCAGCCAGCTTGAATTCAGGTCTGACAGCCGTATTTTCCATCCTCGATTACTAATACAAACCAAGTTCATGTAGGTGTGGCTGTGGGCTGTGTGGGCTACTGGTTAGACCACGCGACGCACGGTAGCGCTCACAGTGCCTTACTTTTTTATTTGATAAGGAAGGATGTGATGTGGTGGGCTGTTGGTCACTTCAGTGCCCCAAATAGAGTTCTCACCTCCACGCAAGCTCAAAGGAACGAACAGGCACGTCTGGCTGACCATGCTGCTGCGGCCTGTCGAAGCTCCTTCTAATGTTTCATTGGTGGTTGAGTCCGAATGAGGAAGCGTTGCCAACGGATGAATGGACCAGATTGAGAAGGGGACCAGCACATACTAGTCCACGCCAATGTCAGCTCACCTAGGCGAATCAACCCCAGAGTCTTTGGGGAATAAGAGGGAAAAAAGGGGGGGATGGAGAGGCACATGACAAAAACCAAAAGTGTATTCCATTCATTCAACGGCACAATGGGGCACGGCATGGCTGACCAGGCTTGGATAGCAGCAGCGATGGTATCAGAACGAATGCAGATAATTACAGACGGGATGGATGCAGGATGTCGGGGGAGGGGCTGAGAGCTGGCGGCCAGTGAGAACAAACAGAGTAAACGCGCCAACCAATTTGCCAAGGCGCGGCATTCCACTACCCATCTACGTGACTCTCTTGACGTCTTCATCGGGTTTGGCTTCGTTCTTGGTGGTCCGGGGCGAAGGTTGGTTCAAATTTCCTGGAGCTGCACGAGTGAGGGATGGAGGGCATATTGTCATCGGGTGCGGAACGCATATGGAGGCATGAGGAAAACGGAGAGGTATTTGGAGAAATGAGGGCGAGGTATCTGTGTACTAACGCGCGAATGATATGCTCAACAATTGTCCTACATGTGTACCTTAACTGTCAAATATGAAAACCTTGAGCGATTCGATTGAGGCAGGCACACAGAGGTAGATGAACTTTGTGAAGATGGAAGAATGAAGGGGCCTTCACCCATCTTTTACACGCCAATGAGGCATACATACTAATACTAGTATACAGGTCAGGGTGCCACCCCCTTCCTCACCCTTGGCCTTCCCTCTTCGGTCAGTTTCATTTGGCGTTACGGGCTTGTGTCGCTGGCTTGGGGGAGAAGTAACCATGGACAGACCGCAGTGCGTCAATCAACTAGCCTGCCAACCCGGGCCACCCGGTCTAAAGAGGCAGTCCACCAAAATCCAGTCGCTAAAGATCCCAGGTGAACTTGACCAGTATCCTACAGTACCCTGCATCCCCACTCTTTGCGTTCATGGCCCACTGTATACTGCGCCCTTATTCGCAGGCACCCAGCCAACCAACCAAGAATCAACCAGTCCCCATCACTGAGGTGCGTCGCTGCGCATCGTCTGTGCCTGTATCCGTAGGGCAGTTACGCTAAGAAACGCCCACAGTACGTACTTCCTTCCCTTGGAGCTGTGCATCGCCCTCCAGGTTGTCGACCTCCAAAGCAGTGATGTAGTACCATCTGTAGGACGATGCGCCTGCCTAGACCTTGAAGCTTGAGCCACAGACTGACTACCTTTTGTGGAGATCCACTCGCCCTTCAAGGGAAAGAGCCAAGAATTCCCCCCAAGCTCCTCGAGCCCGTCTCTGTTGGCCTTTCCCACGTCTTTACCTTTGCCTTTACCTTCGCCTCTGCGTTTACCCTTCTTGCCATCTGGTACCTGCTCTCATCCTCTCCCCAAGTTCAAATACCCTTGCGCCCCCTTCCCTTCTTGCTGCGCAACCTCTTCCCCCTCCCTCTCCACACGGTCTGCCTTCCCCTTTGCTTGGTTGCCAAACTGCGAAGTTGGAGGAATCTTGCTTGACATTGAAGAGAAACTCGGCATCACGCACTGCAATCTGTCTCTTTTGTCCTTCACGATTGCCTTCACCTGAGCTTCACTAAGCTTCTGTTGCGCATTTCAGCATCCACGGTAGTCGCATCCCCCCCGCCACATGCCAGTCATGGCTTCCACACCACCAAAGTCCAAGTACGATATCCTGCCCAGGATGCAGGTTAAGGGGCCCTTCTCGGTCCCTTCCCCTGGCGCGGAGGCCAAGGAGGGCGAGACTGTTCCCCGCCGACTGCCGCAAGCTGTTCCCGACTTGATCACCCTCCCCGGCGGTACCATCACCACCACCTACGAGCTCGTTAAATCGAGCGCCGAAAAATATGGCAATGCCAAGTGCCTGGGTTCGCGCAAGCTCATCACCACTCACCGCGAGACAAAGAAGGTCAAGAAAATGGTAGACGGCGAGGAGCGCGAGGTGGACAAGCAGTGGACGTATTTTGAGCTGAGCCCTTACGAGTATATCACCTACCACGAGTATGAGCGTCTCACTCTTCAAGTTGGTTCTGGTCTTCGCAAGCTGGGCATGGTCAAGGGCGATCGCGTACACATATATGCCGCGACGAGCGCGCACTGGCTTGCCATGTCACACGGTGCCGCATCCCAGTCCATGCCCGTCGTGACAGCGTACGACACATTAGGCGAGCAGGGTCTGAGATACTCGATGGTCGCCACCGCTGCCAAGGCCATTTTTCTTGACCCGCACCTCTTGCCTACTCTCGTGAACGTGCTTAATGATGCAAAGGACATTCGCTATGTCATCTGGAACAATCAAAACCAGGTCCAGCAGACTCATGTCGATCAGCTCAAGTCGGCGCACCCCGAAGTTACCATTCTGAGCTTTGAAGATTTGCGAAAGCTTGGAGAGGAGAACGCCGCTGACCCTGTGCCCCCTTCTCCCGATGACCTTTGCTGTATCATGTATACGTCAGGTTCAACCGGCACTCCTAAGGGTGTCCCTTTGAAGCACAAGAGCGTTGTCGCCGCTGGTAAGTGGCAGACCTCCTCCGGTTACCTTCTGCCTAATGTGCGACTAACTGACAATTCCCCAGTTGCCGGTGTTAGTGTCGTTGTGCAGCCGCACATCGGACCTGGAGACGGTCTCCTAACCTATCTTCCTCTCGCCCACATTCTCGAGTTTGTTTTTGAGAATGCTTGCCTCCACTGGGGCTCCACCATGGGTTACGGCAACCCCAAAACCTTGTCCGACAACTCTGTCCGAAACTGCGCCGGTGATATCAGGGAATTCAAGCCTTCTGTCATGGTTGGCGTTCCTGCGGTCTGGGAAACGGTGAAGAAGGGAATCATTGCCAAGGTCAATGCTGGCAGCCCACTTGTAAAGACCCTCTTCTGGAACGCATTGTCTATCAAGACGAACCTTATGAATGCTGGTCTTCCAGGTGCCGGCGTCCTTGATGCTGTGGTCTTTAAAAAACTCAAGGAAGCTACTGGCGGACGCTTGAAGTTGTGCATGAACGGAGGTGGTCCCATTGCCAAGGAAACCCAGCAGTTCATCTCAATGGCCATTGCACCTATGATTATTGGTTATGGCCTCACTGAGACCAGTGCTATGGGCTGTCTGATGAATCCCTTGGAGTGGAACATCAACAACATGGGAGCTATGCCTGCCTCAATTGAGGTTAAGCTAGTTGATTTTCCTGAGGCAGGGTACTTTGCCAATAACAAGCCTAACCCTCAGGGTGAAGTATGGATCCGAGGGCCCTCTGTAATGGATGAATACTGGGAAAATCCCAAGGAGACGAAAGAGGCCATTACCGAAGACGGTTGGTTCAAGACTGGCGACATCGGCGAGTTCGACAGCAACGGCCATCTTAAGCTCATCGACCGAAAGAAAAACTTGGTCAAGACTCTCAATGGCGAATACATTGCTCTCGAGAAGCTTGAATCTATTTATCGAGCCTCCGCAATTGTAGCGAACATTTGCGTTTATGCCGATGCGAACAAGGCGAAGCCCGTCGCCATTATCGTCCCCGCTGAACCCGCTCTAGTGAAGCTGGCGCAGAGCATCGGTGTAAAGGGCAGTACTCTAGAGGAGCTTGTTCATGACAAAAAGCTGCAAAGTGCCGTCACCAAAGAACTGCAAAACGCTGGTCGACAGGGTGGCCTCTCTGGTATTGAGATTATAGAGGGAGTCGTGCTGTCCGATGAGGAATGGACGCCTCAAAATGTAAGTTGTCCCAATGTTTCATCTCGAGATTGATGTGAAAAAAAAAAAAAAAAACACGGCCATCGCTGACACTTTGCAGGACTTGGTCACGGCTGCTCAGAAGCTCCAGCGCAAGAAGATCCTGGAAAAGTATAAGAGCGAGGTCGCCAAGGCATACGGTTCGTCTGACTAAGTCAGTATCTGAAGAACGCTCTTTGTTCGATTTAGGTCATGTTCTTGGATCTTGTAATCATCCTAATTTTGCGGCACCGGGTGGGTTGGGGTACGGAACGCTTGATATCCAGGAGTACAGTGTGCGCGAATCAACTTTGTAACACATAACCGTTAGTGTGGAGGAGGGCTGCTGACTGAGCCCAAGGAGCCTTTAATTTAGTCCGTATAACATCATTCGCTTACACAAGCATGGAAGAGGCAACGTGAATAGCTATGCCCATAGTGGAATCACTCTGCTCTTGGTGCCGGGTGTGATGTAGTAATGGGAATCTGATCGTTGGGTAGCTCTTCGGCGCATCTGGCTCGGCCAGAAACATTTACCATGTTGTCCGAGGCTTCCGATCCCGACGGGAAAGCCGGGATTTCTCATTTGTTTCCTCTCCGGGTATCGCCCCTTCGTATTATGCAAACGCGATTTTGTGAGTCAATATAGAATTCACAACCCCCAGCAGAGGTAACCAACATACAGTGAGACCCATCGCGGCAAATCATTGTAATCCTATTCCTGCTTAGCCCTTGGGAAAAAAGAAAATCGCACGTTGATCACTGCGCACAGCTCGCCTGGCCAAAAAAAACAGCAATAAAAACATATCTGAGACTTGGCAGAAACCTCCATTTACACCAGGCCATCGTATAGAGAAAGGGCGGATACGATAGTCTCGTCGCGTTTACTTCCCTCCTTAAACTCCTCCATATCCAGGCTGCCATTCTCGTCTTTATCCATCATCCGGAAAATCTTCCGTACCCGCTTCTCGGGTGTGTCTTCGTCTTCAGGGAGCTTAACCATGGAGCCGACCTTTGCGCAAAAGGATACAATTGTTAGCAATGGCAAATTTGAAATAGTGCGCGCAAGAACCACGAGACACCGTCAGTCATCGGCCCACTCACCATCTTGTAGATTGCTTCAACAATCTTAAGCATTTCGTCGTAACTAATCTTTCCATCCCCATCAATGTCGTACAGTTGGAAGGCCCAATCGAGTTTGTCCTCCATTTTCCCGCGGCTCGTAACACTTAAGGCGCAAATGAATTCTTTAAAGTCGATGCTGCCGGATTTGTCGCTGTCAAAGACATTAAAGACATAATCTGCGAATGAACTTGGATCTCCAAAGGGGAAGAACTGTCTGTAGATCTTTTGGAATTCCTCTTTGGTGAGCATCCCTGATGGACAGTCTTTCAGAAAACCTGAGGCCTCGGTTAGGAAAGATTATTCGCAAGCGGAATGCGTTGTGAAAGATGAAGTGACTCGGTGTGCCTGAGAGAGGCGTGTGTGATAGACTTGAGATATATTGACTGACGTACCCTTGTACCACTGCTGCAATTCCTTCTTGTCGAAATGGGTCGACTTCTGCAGTTCAGCGAGCTGCTCTTGAGAGAGCTTGGACTGACTAAGGCAAAGTGGTTTTGTTAGCAAACGATTACAAAGTCCTAGAATTATAGCACAAGTGCTCATGTCATCTGAAAGTCGTGGCAGGTGGTCTTGCGGCGGAACTTCTTGTGCCAATGGTAGTGACGACAGAGACCAGGGCCAGGCGTGGCGGTTTTGGCGGGTGTTGGGCGACTTACGATTTGCCCATGGTGGTCTAGGAGACTCGAGGCGGGAAGGACGCTCGGAACACACGAGGTTCGGAGAAAATGCAAGTGATCGAGAGCGCGCGTGTGCGGATGCGATGCGTGGCAATGGCTTCCTCGCGACGACGGGGTAGGAATGGAAAGGCGTCGGCGATGGATTCGTCGTCGCTATCTCGAGGCGACAGCACTGTTGTTTTGCAGGACAGCAAGACACAGGTAAGCTGAACGAGACGAAAGTTGATCGGTGGTATGCTTGGTATAGAAGGCGACGACGAGAGCGGCGCGTAAGCTTCGACGACGGCGGCGACGGCGGCGAGGCTGGACACAGGCAGACAATCGTCGACAAGCGGGGGAGGGGGAAGAAATAAAGGGCCTAGGGTGCTTGGAGGGGAGGTGGCCAGGCCGGGCCCGACAATTGCTCGGGAAAGTTGGCGGAGGAATGGGGTACACCCTGTAGTGAGAGGACTTGGGAACGGGAGCGCTGTGACTTTTTCAGTAGCGGGCCAGTGTGTACCTGGACAGGGTGATTCTGAGTACGTACAATTGCAGTGGAGAAAACAAGAGAAGCAATGAGAAGGTCGTTAAGAAACGGCGTATGGAGGATGGCACATGGGCGGCTGATAGTTGATCATCTGCTCATGTTTTCTTGGGCAAGGAACATGCAAACCAGGCACTTGTAGCTGGTTTGACAGAGCAAAGGCCCCTGGGGCCGCCGTTTTCTGGGGAGGACCCTTCAACCTGTCTGTGGCTCCAGGAGGGGAGAAAGAGTTATGCGCTGGCACAGAACTTGACAATCAGGGCTAACAATAGGCAAGTAGGCATCAGCCCGCCCCGGAAGGCAGGGCGAAGCAGGACAAGCCAGAGGCTTCTGGCTTGGCTTACCTGGCTTGCCCAACTTGCCTAGGTCCGAGCTGGCCTCTCAGTTGCAACATATCAGTGACCAATACATGGCACCAAATGTTTTGGGGTCTCTCATTCGTTGTTGTCAGTGGAGGCAACCCGCACCTCAATTTCCACACAGGGGATGGGGGAGCGAGAGAGGAGAGAGAAACTAAGTATCCTGGTATCCTCTCTCACCCGTTACATTCTGAATTTGGTAGGTGTTCTTCACTGTCTCGTGAAATTGCGCTGAATCCAAGGTTGTTCTGCTTATTGCTTCGACAGCACACTTCGAAAGTCTGTTTATTTTTCTCAAGGCGACTTCATGATAGTCTGAGGTCCGAGATTCTCTGCGACTTTTCGTTGAACACATACTAAATACAAAGGATGTGAGGTGAGTCAAACGTCGGGCGCACAGCTATGCGACCGCATGTTCCCAGTCAATGGTGTTCCTCCCAGCTCTGACCATCTTACGACCCAGTCCTCAATCTGCCAGGTGATTGACACAGTGTGGTGTATTAATAAGCGTCTCGGGGCATTCGTGTAAGTAGCATGGATCGGCCCCGTTTGCTTCTAGAACAAGTGGTCGTATGACGTTGGCCTTGCCTTTCTGGGGGAGCAAAAACCACGACGGCCCGCTTCTTTACTTACTCTTTCCCTTTTCCAACTTCTTAAACTCGTTACATTTTAGCTACCTTGCCAACTAGCCCACGTCGCTATCCAACCCTTTCTTGAATTCCAAGTGTATAAATTCTGCGTTATGCCATGATACAACAAGATATATCTCGGTTAATACACACCGGCAGAATCCCGTTCCTTGGGCAACGCTGAAGCTCCTCATAGCACTATCGCTCATGCAAAAGGTAGTTCCTTGGGCATGCCCTGACTGTCACACGAAGAAAACCGCCACCAGTCCTTGTGCGTGGGGACGAAGAACCACCGAAACAGTATATCCGCGAACCACGGCAGTTGTGGCCACCAGGCATAAACCCCGTCTTCGAATGTTACATCTCGGTTTGTGAGAAGAAGCGGAATTGTAGTTGTCTGCCTCGGTGAAAACATCAATCATATAGCTGCACTTCCGCGGCCCCGCTGGAGGTGGGAAAGGTAGAGAGGCAACGGAACATGCAAAGACTCACCTTGAGGGCAGGATCGTTCCGCTTACCCAGCAGCTTCTTGTGGAGCCTCTCAAACCACTCATCCCACTCCCGATCGTACTCCCCGAGCTTTATAAGTGTGTCAATTTCGTCACTCAAGTGTTGCCGCAGACCTGGCATGAACGAGTCGATAATTGACTTGAGTTCGCGTCCACTATACGGCTCTTCCCCCCTTTGCACCCTACTCAGATACCCAAGGTAAGTATGCAGTCCGCCAACGAAGGCCTCGTGCTGTGCGACATTGGCCTCCATAAGACCTGGAATGCCTACCATCTCTTCAATCTCGGGGAAAACTTCCGTCTCCTCTGTGTGGTGATGCTCTTCTACCATTTTGCCCCATTCTATCGCATATGAGACGAAGGCCAGGACATCATTTGGCGATTTCTCCACGTTTATGCACTGGAGATAAACGGTGTTGATAATACGAAGGATCATGTTATGAATGATCACCATGTCGTCGGCCATTTTGTTTGCCCCTGTAGATTTGATTCCTTTCTACTTGCGCAAAGATGTTTAGCTTCTGAGGACGTCGTAGCGTTGAAACCGGTTTGAAAAGATACCTTGTATCCAGTGCGGGTGCTACTAATGAGTTCAAAAGGCCCGTCAGCCCACGGCTGTCGTCGATCACTCATGATGGCTTGCACTTGTCAATGAGAGTGGTACGTTGCAATATTACTCTATGAGAAGACGAGGAAAGTGGGTAGGACAATGTCAACTTATAGCTGTCTCCGAAGCTACTTGCCTACACGACAAGGCGGTAAGTAATACGCGATAAGTGCACCCATCCTGCGCCAGAATCCAGAATTGGATTGTGCCTGGGGGGGCTGCTGACATAGAGGATTTTGACTGCTGACGACAGCGCCCATTGTGGTAAGACGAGTCGTTCAGATAGCATTAGACGAATGCACATTTCTTGGAGCGTACAAGACTTGCTGACGTCAGGCTCCTTCTCATGCACAATATCAACCTATCACCAACCTGAAATTGACTAATCTTACCTTCGGATTGGGTGGTCGAAATGAGTACGGCTGTTAATCTGCCCTACGTCATACAAACTGCTGCAGGGGACATCTACAAGACGACGGCGATAAGTGGAAAGAGGATTGATATTCTCTAACCGGCCACAAGACAGCATGGCATGCCTCATCAGCCAAGGCTGGCCCCAACTAAAAACTTCGCAAATCTTAAAGAGTTATTACGAAAGTACAATATCCCTGCCCATATCTCGTTAAGCTTGTATCTCCAGGCCCAATCCTCAGTCGTCAAAATAAAGGATAACCCAATCACGCCTAAGCCAGCCATACGAGAACACCCGACGCGCCATTGCGTCTTTCGCCTACCTACTTGCCGACATATCCCAAACTTGACTTAGCCGACCACAGCTTTCATGCTCAAGCTCTCCAAGAACCCTCCGAGATCCTCTTTCTTTACCTCCACCACGCAATGCTCGAAACTGTCTATTCGAACCCGAGCGTTCGTCTCCGCAACAACTTCCTGAAATGCGGAGCCAAACCGGTTCAGGCCGTACCCCTTATCTCTGACTAGCTCTTCTTCGTCTTCATCCGAATCAGAGCCATCTGATGCCTCTGATTCAGTATCCAATTCATCGTCATCTTCCTCCTCATCCGTTTGGCGGGCAGCTCTCTTTTCTTCGCGAATCTTCTGCTTGTTCCGTCGCGAATCCTCTCGTTTCTTAGCCCTCTCCTCCTTGGCTGCTTGCCGTTTCTTGGTTGCTTCTCGGTCGAGGAACGTTGTGTCAGGTCCTCCACCTCCACCTGTACCGACGACTAGATAAACTCCGCGCTTATCATTTAGACTGGCAACAACAAGTGGTGTGCCGCGACCTCCGTGTGAAAGACGACCTGTGGTATCTTTTTCCTGCTCGACCAGAGCTTCTCCAACCCAGAGTGCAAGCTTGGTGAGGGCAGCAGGGTGGCCGAAGATAGGAACATCGGGACCCTCTTTGACAACGCACATGCGAAACGCCCTCAGATGCTTGATCTGCTTCTTGTTGATTAATGATGTGCCGGTGCGGTAAATCGCACGGTGGAGGAACTGAGCAGTCGGCAACCCTGCCTTAAGAGCATCAATGCTGTCCCACAAATTAGCAACGCACTGGATACGATATTTCACAACGGCACTTACTCCTCCAGGGCGTCATAAGCTTCCCAGAATCGTCGAACCCACTCTTCGCCTTGCGCATTGATGGCATCCTCATCGTTCTCCTCTATTTGAGAATCTTTGGCTGAGTGTGTCCCTTCTGTAACATCCGCATGCTTACCAACTTCCAGCAACGCACCAATAACAACGCCAACGTCCTGTGCGCTCAGGGTCGCTCGCCAACCCCAGCTTCGAACGAAACCCCATCCGTCTTTGGCACCAGCGCGGTCTCTGCCGTCTGTATCGACCGAGGGAACCATGTCATCCAAATTGTAGAGAGAAGCATACTTAAGAAGCTTTGCTCGGAGTTCACGCTTGAGCATCATGTCCATATGAGTGTAGCTCTGCTTACATTGGACCAGACTGACGCCCATCTTAGCCAAGAGCTTGTGCAGGCGCTTCAAGCCCGTCTCACTCCACGTCTTCAGCCTTGCAAAAAGATAGGGTGAGTGAAGCATACTGTCGTAGAGACTCCAGTGTCTAATAAGAAGGAATTTGGGTTCTGGAGACAATCTTATGCTTGTGTCTTCGGGGCTCCGGGCAGTGGTCGGGATAATGCCAGAGTTGTCGGCTAGTGTCCGGACGTTGGTGACTTCCGGAGGGTTAAGACGCCGTACTTCATCTCTCAGTAGCTGACGGATGCGGGCGCCACGCACTCCCATCCAGCCGTTCCCTTGGCCTCGGTCTGAGCTGCGGACTGGGACCGCAATGCCTGCAGAAGATCTGCCGTAAAGTTCCATTGAAGTGACGCCAACAATGGCCAGCCACAGCAAATCGTTGTCTTCTCGACCGAGCTCCGAGGCCAAAGAATACATCATGGATGATATTGGTTCCGAGAACGAGGCACCAATCTTGTAGTACTTGCGGATGATGCCCTCCTTCTCTCTTCGTAGCCGCAGTAAACGGCGTCGTAAAGTCCGAGCAGATGGTGCAGGAGGTGGCTGCGCAGCAGATGGAGGCTCCAGGGGGTCGCTAGACAGCACCATGTCAGCGTCACGGAGGGACATTAACCCTCTGTGAGCCGGTCGCTGTGGTGACGAGGGGACAGGAGAAGACTGGCATATGTTAGGACTATTCTTCAAAGGTAGGATTGAACAGCAAAACTCACAGAGTTGCTACGTCTACGCTGCCGAGGTCGGTCGTCTGTGTCACTGGAGCCATCTTCCTCGTCACGGTCTGACCAACTCTTCCTCTTCTGGCCGGCGTGAACAGACTCCTCAAATAAGTCCTCGTCGTCTTCTTCTTCTTCGTGTCCCATATATTCGCCATCATCGTCAATTTCTGGCATGTCGAGAAGAGCGAGATATGCTTCTTTTTCGGTGTTCAAGTCGTCCTCGATGTCACCATCGTCAAAAACGACAATACCACCCTTTCCAGGTTGATAAGATCGGTCGATTCGGCCAGCTGATACGCCCGTTGGACAACGCGTTTGAAGCGATGCGCTCTCCTCCACGACAGGCTCGAGAGGATATCCGCCAAAAACATTGCCTAGGTTCCAGGGGCGATGAGAGTCTATAACCCAGACTTCGACTCCACCAAAGGTCAATTCCTCTCCCTCGGGCTCCAGACCAAGTAAAGTACCGAGGTCGACCATTCCGCCTACGCCTAGACACACAACAACTCCCCCGCTACCTCCCTGGGTCTCCATCATGGGCCGGACCAGATCCTGGCCGGCGCGTTCGAGATCAGCATATCCGGAGACAGGCTGAATTTTGTGAGGAATATAGTCGTGCTTCAATAAGCGTGTCAAGATTCGAGATGCGCAAAGAGCATCGGGTTCGAGGGCGACGAGGATGAGGACAGGAGGCGAAAGCGGGTGTCGTGTGTTTTGAAGATGTAGGTAAAGTTTGGATACGAGGGATCGTGGGAGATACATGGCTAAGACGATGTCGACGCGTTTCCACGGTATTGATCGAGCGGCTTCATAAGATGCAGAACTTGAACTCGCAAGGATGCAGTTGCCCAAAATACTGATAGAGTTCTGGGACTGGTCCAGAAGCCGAATATGGCACGACTTCGGCCAGAAATGCGGCGAGGGTTGACGGACACCAAGGCAGCTGGCGAGAGTCTATAGTCGTCAATAAATAGTTGGGTAGGAAAATTCAGTAAACAGCCGTCTGCTCTTGACGTGGTGTAGACGGGCAAATTGAAGAATTAATTCAAGGACGATGGCATGAGTCCACTAGCATGGGAAAAGTGAGTTCAAAAAGCGTGTGCGGTTGTGGTAAGGTAAGGTACTGCTGATGTAGCGGGCACAGTATCCGTATGATGATTCGATTTAGGTACGTGAGTGATTGAGTGGTAGACGACCTAGAATAGACTAGGTCGGAGTGTGTTGAGCGCGTTCACACGCGGTTTGCGAGGACGCGACTATGGGGCCTACTTTAACAGACGCGTAGGGGGGCAGCGAATAGCTGGTTGCGGTGCCGACGCTTGCTCAGTGCTACTCAGCGCTGGAAGTGGCCGAGTGCACGGATCTCAAGCTCTTGACTTAAAAAAGTAAAAGGAAAAGATTAGATAAGCGGCGTTTGGGGGATGGTCAAGGGAAGGAACCACCCAATACCCGACCGTTTTTCCTCAGCGAGACTCTAAACCCAGACTGAACCTTTGAAGCTCCGCAATTACCTATCCCACTACATACCATAGGGTATAAGTCCAGGGGCCTCCCAGCCAAGTCAGAGCTGAGCCCATGAGATAGATTCCTTCCCATCGCCATGTATCCGTAAATCGCCATTAGCCTCTCAAAACTGAGGCACAATGCAAAAACAACAGGACATATAAATTGCCATCTTCACTCACTTCAAGCTCGGATTGAATTACGGTTTCTTGCCTCGCCTCAGGACAACCGGCGTCGACACAACGTGTTGCGGTTGAACTTCTTCGCAAGGTCGCCTAAGTCTAATCCGCAGACCGCTTATGCGCGACCTCCTCGAAACGGCAAAGCCTCGTCGGTTCTTCCTCTCAACTAAGCCGCGTAACGCAATACATAACCAATACCCTTACCTATCTATCATATGCTTGCTACCCCCTCGTGTTTCTCTGCCCTGGTCGTGCGAAAGTCTAGGCACTCTTCTTGCCAGCTCATCGAGATCGGAAGAACCTGGCATCAAATGGCAGCTTCGCCTCCAAGGCGCTCATGTTTCTTCCCATCTGACCTGGTACTAGAATGCTCTATTTGCTAATTATGCTAACACTCAACATCTCTTAATGTCTTTGTTTCCCCAACCACATCGGGCTGGCGAAGCATTAACGCATGAGACGAAATCTAGCTCAGCTGGTTGGTACTCGTTCTGATTTGTACCACGTTGGTGGATTGGCATCTGTCCGGTCATCACCAGTAATTGCAAAGAGGGGAGCGTTTGCACCTGATTGGCTTGCCATGCTGTTGGTACTGAGGAAAGTCGGTCCCTAGAATCAGGTACTGCAGCTCAATTCTTCTAGTTTCTCTCTCGCTTTCCGTCGCCCATGCCTTGACCCATTCTTCCCAAATACTGACTACTTCTTTGGCGGTAACTGGCTTACTTTACCACCCATTCAGCTACCTACGAGCCCGTCCGGTCAGTCATTCATCTCCCATCGATCCCTGCGCTATTATTGACTTTTTTTTCTCTCCAAGCGCTGCTTCTCACGACCTACGCTGCGGGCCTGGTTCAACTGTTAGCTGGTGCATGCAGTCGTTTCTCACTACTTACCCGCTTGCTGGAAGCAGTTCCCACGGACGGTTATGAAGTGCCCCGTTACGCCGCATCTGCCAACGAAGTAGCCTGCGTTACTTTCTCCGAATCTGATCTTCATTAGCAGAAACGTCGTCCTTGGTTGGTTCGTTCTCATTTGCCTGCTGAGAGCGGTGGCCTCAGTATCCCCCTCTTTCTTTAAAACACCGCCAGGTATTGCGATATTAGCAATCCTTGGGTACTGGGCCGTTAGTGCCACAAAACTGGCCTAGATTCTTTCTGGTGTTCCCCATGCGATCCTGTGACTGTCTCAAAGTCAGTGGGTTAATGCTACGCAAGTGCGGCATTGCAATGCCGTCGCCTCGCCACCAATAGTCCCTTTTCCTAATCGCTGCTTCAACCCCCAGAGGTATCTCGGCCATGAATTTGTCTACAAGCGAGCCAATAGAGCCAGCTCCACCAGACATGCTGGACGAGGACCAATTTGAAGAATCATCAGACTATGGCGAGTCACTTGCGTCTTCAGGCTTCACATCACTTGCTTCTCGGGTCATGAGGCATTCACATGAAGGTGGAAGGTGTGTCTGTCATCCATGAAGTTAATCATTACAGACTAGGAAGCTAAGTCTAACCCTGAAAGACGCTATCAATCCTTCTTGCAGGGGATATACCCCCTTCCAAATGATGAGACGGAACAGTTTCGTGAGGAGATGAAGCATCAATTGATCAAACGTCTTCTTGACGGCAATGACTACCTCTCCCCCATTAACATCAGCCCGCAGAAGATATTGGATGTTGGCACTGGTACAGGTCTTTGGGCTGTCGAAGGTATGCCCGGCGATCCTTATTTGTGCTGAGCTTTACAACTCTGACCCTCACTTAGTCGCCGATAAGTTCCCAAGTGCACATGTCATTGGTGTAGACATTTCGCCGATTCAGAACTCATATGCACCTCAAAATGTCGACTGGAGGATCGATGACATTGAAGAAAGCTGGTCTCAACTTTATTCTGGCCTTGACTTTGTTCACTTTAGGTCAGTCAGTGTGACCCTTCGAGACCCGGTCAAGGTCATCAAGTCGGCGTACCAGTAAGGCTCTAGTTATTGCGTGTGCTACTTCTGTTCTAACTACAGCGTAGAAATCTGAAACCGGGAGGGTGGATTGAATTCCAGGACGCCGGCGTGAACATTGGGTGTGATGACGGTACATTACCTGAAGATTATGCGCCGGTAAAATTTATGGACTTGTTTATCCGCACTTTCCGAATTCATTTTTCTTGGGACTTGGAGGTCCCTCTTGTGCTTCCCGAAATGCTGAGAAGTACCGGGTTTACAAATATTCATTGTCGGACGCACAAAATGCCCATCGGGCCATGGGCGAAGGACCGGCACCAGCGAGAAATCGGCCTATTCCTAAGCAAGGATGTATTGTGGCAACTTGTCCGCGCTGTGCTTGTCAAATGGCCACAAATGGGCTTATCAAAGCAGGAAGCCGATACCATGGAACAGGATATCCGAAGGGCGTTCCACGACACACGAATACATGCCTATCTGCCTTGGATATCTGTCTGGGCCCAAAAACCCTACAGCTGACCCAGAACAGCCATCGATGATACTTCGCCTGCAGTATCCGATACAGATACAGCCAGCCACTGATTCTAGTGGAGGACCGGAGCTTCATGGCTAGGCCTGACAGTGGCCAGCTTCCAGTATTCAATGAAGGCGGCAACCGTGTTCTTGAGTATTAAAAGAGCCTCCATCGGATTTTCGTCCGATTTCTGGTTATGCAGTGTCACTGGCTGAACCACTAGCAGCATATGGCAAGTAGTTTTGCTAGAGAGAGAGAGAGGGGGGGGGGGGGGGGGGGGGGGGGCGCCAGATGCGCAGGTTTGACAACATTTTCGCCGGCATATTTACTGGGAGACACAGCCAATCCTATCAAATGGCCACAACGCAAAGTCAGACCGCAACACTGGCTCAGATGCTCTGCTATACAACTGGTCCAGAATATTGAAACCTGGCACCAAGAGCTAACTTCTGAAGCAACTGGGAATCCAAATATTTAATATTCCCCCAGCAGTTCATGGCTTCCTACCGTACGTAACATACACGTCAAAGTAACCGTGCCTCCTCACATCTCTCCATTCTGCAATCGCTCTAGCGCTGAAATCCCAGACCTCTTCTTTCCGCCAACCCATGAAGCGGGTGAAGAGGGCCAGCGTCATTGATTCCAGACCGACGCTGAAGTTGGCTTCTGTCCACAACCCGAGCGTTTTGTGCTTCACATCTTGCGGCCACTGGTTGATGGGCCACTTGAATGGTATCCGCACTATGTCGACAAATCCCACACTAGCCATCATGTCTGCCGCCCGGCCGCAAGTATCCAGAAGGAATCCCGACCTTCTGCCAGCCTCCATCATGAGATCGTTCCACCTTCCGAGGTCACATTCTGGAGGGATCGTTCCATCGTCACTTCTCATTGGAAAATCTATATCTTGGATCTCCAGCCACCCCCCTGGATTCAAGTTCCTGCAACCCTAGGTTAACAAAAACTTGCCCAACCGTGAATGGTGGCCCATCTGGGGGACACATACTCGAAGGCTTGTCGATGAAAGTTTGGCCAGTCTCTAAAAGCTCCTGTCATCATCATGCTATGAATGTAATCAAATTTCCTCGAAAAACTCCATTCCTCCTCGAGATCATCAATTTCGTAGTGAACATTGGGCGGCGTGCTGTATATGTTAGAAGTTTCGACTCAGTCGTAGGGTGTCATGCCTCACAAGCCTGGCTGGACTGGTGACAGGTCCACGCCAATCACTTCAGACTCCGGATGCTCCTCGCCTGGATTCGAAATTAGCGTCGCAGTGAGTATTTACCCAGTCCTGAGGGTGTGTTACCAAAATCTATTGCCCACATGCCTGAGAAATTGTCAACTACTTGGTACTAGGGAAGCACTGGCACTAAGGAAAGGTCATACCTATGCCACATCCAACATCCAATACTCTGTGGGGGTGGTAGACTGGAGCGAAGTTCAGCCTGTTCTCGAAAGTTAATTGGCATAGTTGGTACTGAAATGCTATTGCAGCGGTGAGTATGCGCAAAAATCATCTTTCCCATTTGCAACAATGGCCTTACCCTGCCGGTCGAGCTCTTCCTGAACATAAGGCTTAGCCAGAACGAACTTGTTTATTACCACTTTTACAGAAACAAAATTTCCCACCTGATCCGTGGGTAGAACATATTTCCCATCTTTATAGCCGTGGTAAATTCTACCATTTTCTTCTCGCGCGCGCACTATGCTTGATCGCAGTGATGCAGTAGATGATGGCCAAGCTTCGGACTATAAATTGTAAGCCTGGATACGTATTGGTAAAGGGAATGTTTACTTGCTTCGCCTAACGCTGAATCAGCATCACTTCCAATACTATGTAGATCGGCGCCAGCAACATCCTGTAGCTTACGCTTAGTGATGAATGTTTGAGTAGTGTGGCATCGGAAAAAGTGAGCTTCCACTGCTGACCTCGTCTGGCTCTAGACCTATGTTTGCCCCCGCTGAAAGGACCGTATCAGTATGGTGTCTTGTATCGGGCGTCGAATCTCCCATGGCTGTGGCTTTGTGAATGAATCTAGTTTCTGCGCTGGAGGATGATTCCAGTTATGTCCAGGACGGAAATTTTTATTTCGGCAAAATCGGTAGAGCAACAATAGAGCAGAAAAAGATCATGTTAGCTTCGAGGAAGGAAGAAATGTGGGAAATGCATTCAGCGAATATGTAGATTACTTGGAAATTTACAAAGTGGGAAGTGGCCAATTGCCCCTAGGGTATAGAGTAAACCAGCTTGGCTGCAGTGCTTCTCATAAAGGCAACACAAACAAGTCGCTTGCGTTCTCCCGCCGGCTTTCCGGTTATGTGTTACAGAAACTGTATCTCCTCAGTGGTTTATTCCATCTATGCGTTCTGTATTAAGCCAGTTGGTACGCTGATGGATGACACCTTTCAACTTTCTACAAGAATGAGGATTTGCTGGGCATATTTGTTAGGCCGATGTTGACAAAGGCGTCTGGCCGTGAGCGATTTCTCGGTATTAGCCGGCCACGCAAACTAAATGGTCTATACAGCCTGCTGGACCTTGCTATTAGACCTTGGTGGCCCCGTTCACAATCACTACAGGCGTAAATGAAGTGGCAGTGCCACCATGTGTTGGCGCTGGGGATGGTGAGGTTTACACAAACTTCGTGCAGACAGCCAGGCAGTCTGGCACCTGGCAAATCTTTTACGTATATGATCAAAAAGACACCATCTGTCGCAACATCGGTTGTTAGCATTGTCCGGGCAGTCAACTGATGACGATATGCGCATGACACAGCTCTGTTTGTTGTAAAAATAAGGATCCTGATGGCGATGCTCGGGGCGATGTTATGAAAGCCGACCATCACAGTATTGATGTTAGCCGTTCTTAGGCGACCCGGCTTCCTGCATGCTATCATGCACCCCGTCGGGTGGACAGAACCATACGTTGGCATGCTGCTGCCGTGACCCGTCAAAACATGCCGCCATCATGGCTGCATATAGCTGAACAGGACGAGTAGTGCGGAAAGCATGAATGATATCAAACCTTCGTTTCTACCATTTGTGTGGCTGCTGGCTGGCTCCGATCTGGTTACTCTGCAGAAGTGTCGGTGTGAACAGATTATGAGGGATGGAACCGGGGCTGACGGAGACGGCGGAAGTCTGGCAAACAAACAAGAATATCCTTGATGGAGAACCATTCAATGTTTCCTAGTCTCAAGGTCCTATGTTGCAACACATGGCTCAGAGTTTATGCAACACGATTGTTTCCAAGATGACGACAAGGCATAGTCGCTTCTGTTGTTCATGTCGCACATATAAGCCCAGGAACAAAGGATTGTATGTCTCCACGCTTTAGAAGACCATTGGCATACTACATTTATATAAAGTCGTAATTGATTTGAAGCTTTCGAATTATATTAGTGCTTGACTTCCTAAGCGAGGGTAAAGAGATTGGTGATATGTCTAACCGGGCTCCCGCCATACCTTAGCCTGGCTCCTATCCGAAGCCGCAAAGCGGGGGTTAACGGATTCCTGCAGATGATAGATCATTTTTTTCTTGTCAATTGTCTCTTGTCGTATTTCATGGTGAATGAAATGACATGTAGCCCTTCGTGTGTGAATGAGCGACTTGTGCTAGAGATGCTGTAGACACTGAGGGCCAACTACGGCAGAAAGAAAGAATTACAGACATGGAACTGCATTGCTTCACACAACTGACTCATTGGCAACGTTCTGTATGAATTTACCATTGCTTTTGCTACGTAAATTCCCAAGATCACCAACGCCGATTTTCCGAGGCTGTCCTGCTGCTGTCACTGCCGCAAGACGTCCACATCCACAAAGTGAATTGGGGGCCGGAGCGGGAAAGATACCTACCTGCTCTTATGCCTTGCTTTCCTACAGGTAGACAGCTTTCCTCTCGATCCAAGTGGTATACCTCCATTACCTTCACAGAAGGAAGTCACATTCGTTGCAACTGCTTCGCTTTTCAGTGGAAAACTTACCCCGTCAACCTTGATTTTGGGGTGCTTCCAAGTACAGTCAAAACACCTTCACCCCCACAGGTCCAACTTGCTACCAGACTTAAACCTTTCATTCAATCAGCTCACCTCCAACTACTTGCCTACAAAATTACCGCATTCCCCTATATGACCCAGCCTCGTCCCACGCAACATCACCGGATACAACGACATGACTGTTACGAAGAGTTTTTTCGGCCAAAGCCAGAGCCCCTGGCTCTTTCTTATTGCGGCCCTTTTCCTTTATTTGACAGTTTTGAGCTACAATTCATGGAACCGTCTCAGACACATCCCCGGGCCACCAGGTGCTGCCTTCAGCAAATGGTGGATGCTACGTAACACACTGGGTGGGCAGATGCATCTCGCCCTCAAGCGAGCCTGTGATGATTATGGCAAGTTGACCCCGAACTTCCCCAGGTCTGATGCCCCATGCCCCAACACCCGACCACTCGGTCCCGCAACCTGGGTGGTTTGTGTAGAGGAAAGGAGTCTCAGACACACATGCGCAAACATTTACGGCGCGATCAGAGGGAGCTATCCATTCTGTTTCAACAGGCTGCTGACAGGATACATCGTAATTTAGGCCAGGTTGTCCGAATTGGTCCCAACGACTTGGTAACCAATGACTCGGAGCTTCTCCGTCGAATGTGGGCGGTCCGCTCACCATATCGCAAAGGTCCCTTCTACCAGGCTGTCAGATTCGATCCGGCCCGGGACAACATCATCTCCATGAGAAATGATCATGAACACAGCGAACTGCGAGCTAAGATGGCTATCGGCGTGGGTCTCTTTCCTTTGTTAATATCGCATTCTTCCACAGTATACACAACTAATTCTATCTCTTGTGGTTGACAAGTATTCCGGCAAGGAAAATGAAAATCTCGAATTCACCATTGATAAACAGATCAATAGTTTCGTTCAGCTCATCGAAGAGAAATATGTGTCGACACCAACTGTCTTCCGTCCCATGGATATCTGCAGGAAGATCCAATATCTCACACTAGACGTTATTACCTCTCTTGCCTTTGGTTATCACTTTGGGTACCTTGAGCGAGATACTGACGTTCATCACTACATCCAAATGACAGAGGAAAGCATGCCCGTCATGATGACACTCACAGTATTTCCGAACTTGGCAAAACTGCTGCAGTCGCCCCTATTTCGTCGCGTAATGCCTTCCGAGCATGACCGCGTGGGATTCGGCAAGTTTATTGCGTGCGTGATTGTGCTGCTCACCTTTGCTTTTAATGTAATTACAGGAAGACTGACAAGTGTTTGCTTCATACTAGCGTTGCAAAAAAGGTTGTCGCAGAGAGACTCATGTTAGACAAAACGGCGAAACGAAGAGATATGTTAGGGTCCTTTCTCGCACATGGCCTAACCCGAGAGGAGGCTGAAGGTGAGACATTGGTCCAGATCATAGCCGGATCCGACACAACCGCAACGGCAATCCGGACAACGATGCTGTATTTGATGACAGCCCCATCATGCTATTCCAAGCTTGCCGAGGAAGTGAGAAAAGCGGACCGAGAGGGTATAATCTCATCTCCTGTCACAAATCGGGAAGCGAGTGACTTCTGTTATCTGCAGGCTGTTATAAAGGAAGGCCTTCGTGTGTTCCCTCCAGTCACGGGCCTCATGTCCACAACAGTACCCAAAGGAGGCGATTTCATGCATGGCATGAGCATTCCTGAGGGAACTAACATTGGCTGGACAGCGTTCGGAGTACTCCGCTCTAAAGCAATTTATGGCCCTGACGCCGATGTATTTCGGCCAGAACGGTGGCTGGAGGCTGAAGAAGACCATCTTAAGGCCATGATGGCACAGTGGGAGCTTGTATTCAAGTATGGCAAGTGGCAGTGTCTGGGTAAGACCATAGCCCTCATGGAGTTGAATAAGATCTTCGTGGAGGTGAGTGTTTATTGAGACCCAGAACCTACATTCGTAATTAACAACGGTAACCAGCTACTTCGACGTTTCGACTTTGCTCTTACAGACCCTACCAAGGCATGGAGTTCATTCTCTGCGGGTATTTTCATTCAATCCAATTTATGGGTGAGAATAAGCAAACTTGTGTAACTGAGATAAGAGACTCGGCAAGTTGATGATATGACACGCATCAACAAACACAGTCAGCAACTACGTTGTGCATGTCCGTGATAGGGACATGTTTCTAGGCCTAGAGGAGCGAAATACATATGGCCGAGGCAATTTTTGAAATGTACTGTTTTCTTCGGTAAAGAATCGACGCATTGATTGATTGTTCAGACTGAGGTGGCGATGGCTCAAATATGGCTCGTGAAAGATTAGCGAACAACTGCATGTACTGCGCATTTCTCTCGGCAAGTCATGGGAATGTAGAGTTGAGGGAGACGACCTTTATGTGGCAGATGGGAGGTCTTCGCAGCTCTTTAGATCTACATTTGCCGCCGTCCTCAGGCGTATTGATAGTTGGACTGAAGCAGGATTATAATAGAATGAGTAACGAGCGTGGTAAGACTGATTGAAGAAGCGCGGAACGGACCACAACCTGAGTTACGATGTTGTCAACCGAACGGCGTTCCTCCACAATTGGCGCCCCTGACCTGTGACAAAGGGGAAATGCACCTTCAGCGGGACCCCCGCACGCAGCCGGTTAAACCGGACAATAGCTAAGTTTTCGGTGCTTCTGCGGCTTGCATATCAAAATTAGATGACAGTGCCCGTACCCACAGGGATTGCTGCCCCAAACGCTTTCAACCTTGCTGGCGGCATGACTTGGGATGAACCTTCAGGGCTGTGCATAACGGTGATGCTGGTAAAATTAAACTTTGGCGAGAAATACAACCGTCCTGACAATGTCTTGGCCCTTTGCTTGGTATAGGAGCATGGTCTGAGGCTATATCAAGGCTCTTTCCTTTTAAACCTCCATAGCCATTTCCTCTTGGTATCGAGTTTTTTTCATCAACTTTCCTTCCTCTCACTCATTGTTGTCACTCATTTTTGCCACAGGCGTCTCAATTTGAAGGGGCACTGTTTAGGCCACGAACGGCTAATCACTCGTTAACATTCGCATCATGGCTTTGTTGTCTGCATTACTCGGTCTGGCATGCCTTGCAACCAATGTCGTTGCCACAGACCTCGACGACTTCATCGTACGTCAAAGGGACTTCTCTCTTCAAAGTACCCGGAACAACATTGGCCCTAAGGGTTCTATGGTTGAAGGTGCTGGTCCTGGAATCGTGATCGCCAGCCCGTCCAAGACCGACCCTGATTGTGAGATCTCCCAAACAAACCAAGTCTTGCTTCTGCGTACTGATTCTATGATCTCAAGACTTTTACACCTGGACAAGAGACGCCGCCCTAACCATGAAGATGGTTGTAGATGAGTTCATTTTTGGCAAAAAGGAGCTCCAGGTCCACATCGAAGACTACTACCATTCTCAAGCTGTTCTGCAGACCGTTAACAACCCTTCTGGGTCTTTACTTCCCGCGGGCCGCGGTCTAGGTGAGGCCAAGTACAATGCCAACGGCACACGATTTGTTGGTGAATGGGGTCGCCCTCAACGAGACGGGCCGGCCCTTAGAGCCATAGCCCTCATTACTTACTCTCGCTGGCTGATTGAGAACGGCGAGGGATCAAAAGCTAAGGATATCATATGGCCTATCATCACCAATGATCTGTCTTACGTCGGCCAGTACTGGTAGGTTGTCTTTATCAGTCCCGCTATCCTAAGCTCTCCAGAATCATGAACTGACGACAAATCAAGGAACTCTACTGGATTCGATCTTTGGGAAGAGGTTTCCGGTTCTAGCTTTTTCACCGTCCAGAACCAGTACCGCTCGCTCGTTGAGGGCGCAGCACTTGCGACATCGCTAAACGTTAATTGTACCGGCTGTGAACAGGCACCCAACGTGTTATGCTTCCTGCAAACCTTCTGGAACGGCGAATACTATACCGCAAACATCAACACACAGACAAAGCGTTCTGGTAAGGACGCCAACGTCATGCTAGGATCCGTTTCTGTCTTTGATATCAAGGCCAGCTGCGATGACCCCTCCATTCAGCCTTGCCACAGCCAAGCCTTGGCAAACTTCAAGGTCTGGGTCGATGCCTTCCGCAATGGTAGCGTTTACCCGATCAACGAAGGTATCCCCAAGGACAAGGGTGTTGCACTCGGCCGTTACATCGAGGACGTGTACTTCAACGGAAATCCTTGGTGAGTTTGGATGAATATCTAGGTCAGGAATCATTCCTCGCTAACTTGTTGTGAGGTATCTTATCATACTCGGAGCAGCCGAATTCCTTTATGACGCCGTAGCCCAATGGAAGGCGCAGGGTGTTATCAAAATTGATTCAACATCGTTGCCCTTCTTTAAGGACCTGTATCCCGCCGCCGAGGAAGGGACATTCCAGGAGTCTAGCAACAGCTTTGCTATTGTCGTCAGTGCGGTTACTGCCTATGCTGATTCCTTCGTAGCAGTAGCACAGCAGTACACTCCTAGCAACGGTTCAATGTCTGAACAGTTTAACAAAACATCTCCAGGAAACCCCCTCTCGGCATCCGACCTTACCTGGTCCTATTCCGCCTTCGTGACCATGGCTGAGCGCCGTGCTGGCCAGTATCCTCCTAGCTGGGTCCCTGCCGCCTCGAAAGTACCTGAGACCTGCACCACATCGTCGACCCCAGGTGTTTACGAGCCCGCAATCGCTGCAGGAGCTCCTGATGTGACTGGTACTTGTACAGTTCCCGTCACCTTCCTGTTAAATGCAACGACCTACTATGGAGAGAATGTCTACATTCTTGGCAATGTTGCCGAGATTGGTTCATGGAAACCTGAAAACGGGCAGCTCATGAAAGCCACCAGCTACTCGGCTGAGCGTCCGCTGTGGAACGTTGACGTTGAACTGCCCGGTGGCCAGAGCGTGGACTACATCTATATTAGGAAGCAAAACTGCGACCAGGGATACATATACGAATCGACGAACCGTACGCTCACAGTGCCTGCTTGCGATTCGACAAAGAAGTTGACGGTGGATGATGAATGGGTGGGACGCCGGGGAACTAGTGGTAATTGCTAAGCTGGGTATGGCATGGCCGGCTGGGTATAGGAGGATGATAGTTATAATTCAAAATTTTGGCTGCGCGGAGACTGCAGCCTTGGCAACTCGACGCTCTCATGAGAGAATATACTCTTCTAATTTCCAAACATGTTGCCTGCGTCGGGGTTTCCCATCATCCCCGGACCGACCATACCATTTCCACCCACAGGAAAGCCGCCGAAGCCTCCGCCGAATGCCGCGTATGTATCCATGTCGTACCCTTGCATTAGATAGCTCCAGTCCATATCGACATCTCCCTCCGACGCGGGGGGTCCCATTGCCGGAGTCCCAGCGCTAACCGAGGGCGGCGTCATCATCATGCTCTGTGGCATTTGCATAGGCCCCACCTGCGATGTGCTGTTACCCATCGGTACTGCCCTGGCCATCTGTTGACCGAACCCAGGTGCCCCTTCTGGTCCGGTCCGGCCGCCGCGCTGTTTCTTGCCGGCCTTCTCTGCCCGTTGGCGTAGCCTCGTAATCCACATGGGCTCCTGCACTGGCTTTCCGACCTGCCGTTGGCCCGCCTCGTGGGCGTCCCAAGCCTTGATGAAGAGGTTGCCAAAAGCGATGTGCATGGGGCTGTGTAATGTATTCATCAAGCCACGCCGTTCATGGTTCTCGGCGATGGCGTCCCAAGCCCGCTCAACCATTGGGCCTGTCAGTCGATGACGCAGCTCCGTCACCAGGAACATGTATGCCGGAAATGGGAAGTGAAGGTACGTATACCACTTATACCCCTGGAGGCTTTCCGCCGCCTGCACTATGTTGTCGTACTCGATCATCTGGACAGCTTCGAGGAAGAGTGTGTCGCGCTCATGATCCTGAAGCGTAGTCGCCTCGCCGTTACCCATCCGCACGAGAAATGAGATGACCCTCATCTTACACAGCGCCTGCCGCGTCATAGTAAGGGTGAAGAAGTGCAATGGTATCTTTGGATCACACCACTTGAGGTATGTGCCCTCAATGTGCGCGAAGAATCCGTCAAGAGTGTAAGTCTGGTCTTGCCCTGCCATGCGAACAGTCGAAACGGGGCGTGGTGCGATGGTACCGGCGCCAGACTCCTTGTCCTTATCTCCATGGGATCGTTGGCCATCACGTACAGTATCGCTGCTGATGGCCATGGCCAACTCGGTCCGGATGAGGACGAAGAGCATTTCTGTTGCGCCCTGATGTGGTGTGGGGGCATCTTTGCCATTGACATGAAGGTCTGTATCGTTAATATTTAGAGGTAGCTTGCAGTCACCAGCAGTCGATAAAGCCGTGACGGTTGAGCCTGTCATCTCGCCTATTCGGCGATCATAGCCAACAATGGTCCACCACAAACGTCGCCTTTGCTCAACCTCGTATGGAGATAACCCAAAGGCAGCGACATCCCGGTGAAGGCCCATTCGTTGGCCTATTCTCACGGCAATGCCAACCAAGCAAAAGATTTGTCTTGGATCAACAAACATGCGAACAGCAATCTGAGCAGGGTTAGTATCCGAAGACTGAAGACCAAGACTTGGAGAAACTTTTACCAGGTAGAGCATGTAAGCCTGAAGTACCATCGTATCACTGGTGCGCATGAAGCCGGCATTGACCAGAGCCTGCTGAAGTGCGGTGTGGAACCTGGACAAGACGGCGGTTTTGGGTTCGTTGAACATCTTTGCGACCTCTGCGTCCTCAAGCGATGTGACAGCCAACAAGTAGATCGCAAACATGAGTGTCTCTACATTCTTTGGTATCTTCTCAAGGCTGGCACTAGCCTCAATGATGAGTCCCTGGACGGTGGGTACGTGGGTAATTTTTAAAAGTGGATTGACGTTGTTGATGTAAATCTGCCATAGCTGAAAGATTTGTATAGGAGACGGATGTAGGTGCGCAACGGACGCATTACGAGTTCCCACAATGAACGGGAAGCCATCTTGGTTGTCGTACATCTTGTCAAACGCATGATGTATGGTGGAACCGTCAACCTCGTCTTCAGAGGAGTCTCTAAGTAGCTCCTCGCTGGCTCTGAACTGTCAGAAGTGTCAGGACGATTTCTGAAAGAAAAGATATAATGGGTCTTCAAAGCAAGGGGAGCAGACCTCTTTATGAAAAGGAAACCATTTGTTAAATGGCCTGGCTCGGTTGGAACAAAAAACGTTTAGCCGACATATCCGGAAGGCAAAAGGAGGATAGATTCTCTCACTTGTCAGACTGTGACCTCCTGCTTCCCGCCACTGAAGGGGACGTGCTGCCCTCAGGTGAGGTTTTCAAGCCTTCAAAGTCATTCTCTAAATCGGCTACTTCGTCTATGTTGGAGCCTTCGTCGACATGAACTGAATCCCGGTCCGAAGCTTTGAGGTCGGTGGCAATAGGGTCGAATTTGACGCCATTTTCGGCCAGAAGAACCTCATACTTTTTCAGCCTGTCGACGAGGTCCCTTTCTTGAAGCCTCTTCTTTCTCCGCCTTGGAGGTTGTGGGGGGATCACTCGACATTCCACGCGAGCCTTGACACAGTTGGCACATGGCTTGTTCTTGTCGCAACGCACCTTCCGTTGTTGGCACAAAACACACGAGGTTCCCCTTGTAAGCTTCATGGCGGCCATGGGGTCGGGTTCGGGTGGAGGAGGAGCCCTCGGCGGAGGTGGGAGTTGGGCATCTCCCGGCATGGTTTATGATGTGGAGGTCGGCCGCGTATGGTGTACTAAAAGACCAAGACGCCGATAGACAACCTACCTTACAGATCTGGTGGCCGGTTTGCTATTTCTCAGTTCGGATCCGAGAGTTGAGGTTGCAGGCGAAAGGTTGACAGATTGCAGCATGAGTTTAATGAGGAGACCAATGAACAATCAGAGGGTGCAAATGCCGCCAAGAGCTTGCCAGGGTATATCTGGGGATGTGGAGGACGGCTTGCTGGCTGCTTCTCTTTTCCTCTTTGTGATGACCACGAAGCTCGGTTAAGGTTTGTTTGATATTGCCCGAGACACTATTGAAATGATGGCGTAATGACGGTGTACTGGTACAGGAACCGGCTGGGGTGTCTGAAGGAAATGCGCTGGGATGGGCAGACATGCACCAAAGGGCATGTAGGCAAGAATATCTGACTCAAAACAGGCGTGAGTGTGTGAAATAGATGGACTCGCGCGCACCTTCGTACAAAGGCAGAGAGGAAGGGGAAGGTAAAGGCAGGTGAGGGTATCGGTTGGGATGGGATATTCAGATGCCAGATGCAGATACTAGGGTGCCCTGCCTATGTGACAGGACGAACGACATGGCCGTGAGAACTTCCAGTCCGGTGTAATTGAGGCTCTTCCCTTAGCTTGGGCCTTGTTATGACCGTAGTTCGAAACTGATTGGGACGTCACGATGTCTGAGGGAAGAGACCACTTGAAAGCCTGAGATACCCGCCCGGGACCGAGCGACACGACCTCTGATGAAGCCTGGCCCCGCTTTCCACTTCCGCAGAGCTCTCAGAACGGTCTAAGCTTCCATAGAGGCCAATCAGCGCCAGGCAGGTTTCGGTGAGCCTGGGGCGGTTGGGAGATACCCGAGCACCCGGGACTAATCCGTAAACGGCCCAAACGGTGCTCATCCGGACAACAAATCGACCTCCGATGTCCGAGGCCTTGTCCTAGATTGGCCATGATACGTCCGGAAACCCACCAACGCTAAACTACCAGCCATGTTTCCTATGGACATCCCCATCGGCCTCAGTAGTTCCATGCAGTAAACATCACACCTTTGTGAGACATTCGCGTGATTTTCGATGTTGTCCTTCATGTTATTTTCTCGCGCCCGAACCATGTCACAAGTTGCCGACAGTCAGTTTGGCACAATGTTTGATGACCACCCTAGTTGATGCCAGCTAGCCCAGTCTCAATTAACAGCCGGATATTGAACCCATCTGTGAGCCGTGACTGTGAGCTTCTGTGCGCTTAAAACTACGGACGAGCCTCTTGCTGTCGATTTCACCCATTAATCAATAATTTCCCGTTACCAGGCCAAGACTTTGCGCGTCTTGTGTTCTCCTTATAGCCCCCTTCGGGTGTCACCGTCTTACCCTTGCATCGTTGCTGGTGCAGCTTTTTGCATCTTGCCGCGTCGAGACACAATGACCGACCCAACCACAACCACGAAGCCCACCGAGGGCGAAGGCGATCCGGTAAATGGTGATGCATTGCAAAAAACAAACAGCTCGACACCGACCTTAACCCCGAGAGGAAGCGACGACTGTTCAGAGAGCAAATTAGAAGAGAAGCCAACAATACCAGAAGAGAAGGTGACAGCTCATAAGCCAGTAGTAACAGCCAATGCGTCGGCAAATGCCAGCCAACTCGACGTGTCAAAGGAAACCGAGATGGGGGAGAAGATCGACGTCGAGAAGCCGCCGCCACACGTACCATCAGTCGAAATTGACGAGGCCGAAGAGAATTTCAACCCCAAGAGCTTCAAGTTCTGGCTTGTCATCCTGTCCAACTTTATTGCCTTGTTCTTGGTCGCTCTGGATAGAACAATTGTGGCAACGGCTATCCCCCGTATCACGGATGAGTTCGGAAGTTTAGGTGATATCGGCTGGTATGGCTCCGCATACATGCTTACAACAGCCGCTTCTCAGTTGGTGTTTGGAAGAGTATACAAGTTCTACAACCTACGATGGTAAACGGCCCCTCTACAGACTTGGGAACGCCCGTTGTTGACACGGTGAACACAGGGTTTTCCTCGGCAGCATTTTCGTCTTTGAGGTCGGCTCACTTATTTGCGGCATTGCACCGAATTCAGCCACACTGATTGCTGGCAGAGCCATTGCTGGCGTAGGCTCCGCTGGCATCTTTACTGGGGCCATGATGGTCATGATCCCAATGATTCCCTTGCATAAGCGACCCATGTTCCAAGGTAGGACCTAACCCTAGTCCTCGTAAGGAACCGACATTGACAGAGCACCGCAGGTATCTTTGGAATGGTGTTTGGTCTTGCATCTGTCATTGGGCCTTTGGTTGGCGGTGGCTTCACTGGAACTGTCACCTGGCGGTTGGTCATGTCCGGATTGACTCTGGGGGATATTTGCATGCTAATCCCCAACTCATAAACAGATGGTGTTTCTACATGAATCTTCCAATCGGAGGAGCGGCTCTAGTCTTCCTATTCTTCATGCTCAAAGCTCCCAAGCAGCAGCCACAAGAACCAGCAACATTCGTTCAGCACATCCTTCGCCTCGATCCCTTGGGAACATTCTTCTTCCTCCCCTCTATTGTATCTCTCCTCTTGGCTCTAGAATGGGGTGGGGCTACCTATTCGTGGAACGATGGGCGCATCATCGCCCTTTTCGTTGTATTTGGGGTCGGGTTTAGCGCCTTCGCCGCCGTGCAGGTATTCATGCCCAAGACGGCAACAGTTCCGGTGAGGATCATTGCGCAAAGAACCATGTTGGCTGGTGCGTTTTACATGCTGTTCTTGGCCGGATCTATGATGTTGGCCGTCTACTATCTTCCCCTCTGGTGTAAGTGACACCCCAAACAATTGCTCTAGGCAGTATACCAAAGCTAACCAAAAAAAACAAGTCCAAGCCGTACAGGGAGCGAGCCCTGTGGACTCGGGCATCAACACGCTACCGCTCGTACTTAGTATCGTGGCATCTTCCATTGTCTCGGGAGGAATGACCCAGAAGATTGGCTATTACGTGCCTTCCATGATTCTCTGCCCATGTATCATGGCAGTGGGATTGGGCCTCATGAGTACATTTCAGCCAGGAATAAGTTCGGCACATTGGATAGGTTACCAGTTCTTGACAGGCTTCGGCCTAGGCTTCGGCATGCAGACCGTTGGCCTCGCTGTGCAGGCGGTACTCCCCAAGGAGGATGTATCGACCGGCGTTTCGATCAGTTTCTTTGCGCAGCAGCTGGGAGCGTCTGTCTTCGTTTCGGTTGGCCAGTCCATTCTAAGCAACATGCTGGTATCCGAGCTTTCAGGTATTCCTGGCCTGCCAGCTCAAACTATTGTCAAGATTGGTGCCACCAACTTGCACAAGGTTGTCCCGTCCCAGTTCTTAGACGTGGTGGTTCAGGCATACAACTACGCATGCACCAGGATTTTCTTGGCAGGAATGGGGCTTTCTTTTGCAACACTCATCTGTGCTTTGTGTATGGAATGGAGAAACATTAAAAAAGGAAAAAATCGTGCGAGCAGGATCGAGCCAGAGGCAGAAGCGTAATGTTAGGTCGCTATAACAAAAGGACAAGGCGTATAGTACCATCGAGGAGGTAATGATAATGACACAACCAATGACAGGTAGACTGTTTCAAGTACACACATTTTTATTCTTTTTAAATTTGATAATGATTACAACAGGGCGGTGGGCGTTTGTTTTTCAACGCTGCCTAGTGTCATCTCCATGAAGATCCTCCAAGTGCCTTTGGGCAGAGGGTCACCAACCGCCGGTTGGCACAGGACAACGTCGAACCCAGAAATGCCATTCCAACAAGAAAACAGAAACCTGTCATCCCCTTCGACGAAAAGGAGGAGTCTTCATCCCACATCTGCTTATGCCTTGCCACATACCTGTATCCGTAAGTGGAAGACGAATGATGGCAAGTAGGTATTGATCACCGAGCAAGGGGGCTCCAGCATGCAAGCTGACCAGCGTTAACAAAGCCCTGGGATTTCGTAGCCGCAGCACTGGGACTTCCCAAGAGGTGGGAAACTTGCGGGGGGTTCCAGCCACAGAATCACCCACAGGCCCCTAATACGTAGTAATCGGCCGGCCCGCTTCCAGGACCTCCAGACCATAACAGGAATAGCGCCAACAAGTATTTCTCAAACCCCGGGCAGGCTGCCACATTCGTCCCCTGCTCCAGGCTTTCTTATCTCAGCATCCCCAGTCAGAGGCACGTTTTCTTCCCGACTGCACTCTGTCTTTCCCGCGATCTCTCTTCTTGCCCCCTCACTTTCTGTTCAGTCCAAGCAAATGCGTCTCGCCACAAGCCCTGGTGCTCGATAAATAGCATCCAGCCTCCATCCAAGGTGGAGAAGTTGACGGAGACGGGGGAACGAAATGACTCTGAAGCCACTGAACCTTAAACCTCCGTTCAAAACCCACCCCATCCCCAATCCAGTTCGCCCGCCTCCTTGTCCCAGGTTTTGACCACATATCTTAGTAAGGGACTCTAAAAAGCTGGAGCGAGGTCCGGATCTTACTTCATACCCAGACCTTCTCAGCCAGACCTCTTCCAGAATCCTTCAAGCCACCTGGACTGCCGTGGGCTCTCATACCCCCTTTCCCTTTAACTTAGCTTCTTCGATTGACCTAACCTTTCTCAGCTGTCAACACCAGGAAGCTTCTTCCTGCTTTAAATCGACATCGTCCCGCCCAAGCCTATCTTATCCACCTCTCTGTGCTGCTTCCCCTAACTCCAGCCCGCTCGTTGCTCATCCCTCAGCCCGACCTACGCTGCCAATGCAGCTGATCCGGGTATGGATGAGGAGGAGGAACACTGCTTCAGAGACCTTTGTGCCTGCAATGCCCCGTCGATACGTGTGCCGGTCTACCTCAATCAACCTTGACTCAGTGCCATTGTCGGAGAAGGCGTACCTCTTCGTAGCGTAAGATACGGACTAAATACTACTCTGGGCACTCAGACTGACTACACCTCAACGTTCGTCTGCCCGGCCGTCATTGAGCGCTCCTTTACTTGTTCCAAGTAGACAATCCCCTCTCCTGTCGGGCAACTTGATAGCCCAATGTTCCCCGTGGCTTCACTCGCTCCAATGGTTCCGATGGTTCCAATGTCGCGGAGCAGTGGGATTCCTATGCCCGTGGCGAAGCAAGACGGTGCACCTGCCAAACGTAAGAGGGCGAGCAAACCGAAAGTTCGAACGGGATGCATTACCTGGTGAGCGGCCTACATAGTTCATGGGCACCTATCTCTATAACAAACTCATGCAGAAGCTAACTCGGCGACAGCAAGTATGGTTCTCGCTTCCCTTCTCAACATAACCTGACACCCATTCAGCACATAGGTACTGACCAGCAATGCCGTCGTGTAGGATTAGGCGAATAAAATGCGGAGAGGAGCGACCAGCTTGCCTGCGTTGTACATCAACCGGACGGAGCTGTGATGGATATGGCAAAACCGTGCCGGCTCGCCCAAAGGAAGCGGATAGTGTGCGCTCCGGAGCTTTGATTGTTCACGAGCTTGACATGCAGGCTTGGTCCGACCACCAGGATCTGCGCATCCTACGGCCTCTTGTCGCCGACATAAACGGAACCCAAGCCGAGCGCCTTTATTTCCATAGTTTCCGTCGCGTCGCAGAGGCGGGGCTCTGCAACCACGTCACCAATCTCACTAATTTTTGGAGTAGGCTGGCTCCCCAGCTGAGTCACTCTGATGAAGCTGTAAAGCATGCCATCGTTGCTCTCGGCTCCGCATTCCACATTTACCAGTCCGCCCTCCCTCAAGGCAAATTGGGGGCATCAACACCTGAACTCGAAATCTTCACCATTCAGCAATACAGCACAGCTATGTCCAAGCTCTCTAGCTACGCAAACGTGCCGATGAAGGATAAAATCACCGTAACTCTCCTCTGCTGTGTGTCTTTCGTCTGCATTGAGACTTTGCGGAACAACTGGCGTCCAGCATTGACCCACTTGTCGAATGGTCTTCGCATCATTGAGAGTTTACCTATGAGTACGCTGAACGAGCTTCGAAACTCTCGTCCAGCTCATGAGCAACCAAATGTTGGTGATGACAGCCTCTTTGGTATAGATTACATTCTTCGTCTTTTCGCCACATGGGAAGTTTCCTGTGCGTTATTCGCTGAGAATTTCAAGCCTGTCATCTCAATCAAGCTCTACGAAGGACGAGAGCTGGACGATAAGCCGCTAGATGAGTTTGAAACTATTACACAGGCTCATCGAACTATCGTTCAGTATACTCGCGACGTGTTTGCTCTGGTCTGGATGACTCGAGAACATCAAGGCGATGATGAGTTCTGGTGCCGACCCATCCCTCGACGCCAGCACGAGATCTTGACGCGGAAGGGCGAGGACATGGTTGGTCTCTTTGAGCGATTCATGGAAAAACCACAAGCTCCCCCAAATGGCACTGTTGAGCACTATTCTGTGTGTCTGGACACGCTACATTACAAATGTGCTCGTCTCCTCTGCGAAAACCTACGACAGAAACCGCACCAGATATCACAGTCGCCGGAAATAGTAGCTCGCTACGCGGAGCTGGTATCTCTAGCTACGACCCTGCATCAATGGCTTGCTGCCAAGCGGAAAGAGACGGCCATACTACGCCGATCTTTTACACTGGACATTGGCATTATTCCTCCACTCTACTTCATCATAGTCAGTTGTCATGATCCCATGGTGCAGGAAAGTGCCCTTCAGCTTCTTCAAGAATACCCTCAGCGAGAGAATCTTTGGGATGGAAATTCCGTACGGAAACTCTTAGTCAAGGCCGAAAATCTTGGCCATGGCTCTGCACACCCTTTGAATCAGGTGCCGAACTCACTTGCTTTCGGCAAGGGGATACCTGCCCTCTATGAGAAGTTCCAAGAATTACAAATCAAACTCGAAGGGGACTGAGCTACTTGAAAATTGTAGTTTGGGGTATTTGCTTGACAGGACGGTCCCAAACCTTATGTGACACGCTAGGGGGTATCGTCCTATGGAGATAACGGCACTGCAATTGGCAACAAAGCTTTGTACAGTATTCCTCACTGGAGTGTTGTATACTTGGATTGCGTTCTGCCACAACTGGCTTTGCGGGCCCAACAATTTGGTCTGTAGATTTTACGAATTGCATCGAAGCGACTTATGTTCATGACATGAGGTTCTTTCTCGGCTGGAGGGAAGGAGATCTGCACGCATCTTCGCCAGTACAAAAGAAGATTAAAGTATCTCTAAGCAACTTGGTAACGATAAAACAAAAATAAAGAACACGATATGATTAAAATCACCAACAAAAAATTACGCGGTTTGTATTTATCTGCGTCCGAGAGAAATGTGACATGACTGGCTGAGGAAGGTTTGGTATGGGTTGTAGATTCGAGAATGCGATTGACTTACATAATTGTGTCCTGGTATGAATGTATATTGAGGCCGGGTACGTACCGACCACGTCGCGGGGCAGACACTGAGAGGGAGCTTCCCTCTAGCTTGCTATCAATCAACCCTGTTGCAGCTTCAATCAATCACTCATTGTGTCCGTGACAGCTATTTTGAGCGTACAGCGCATTCGCTATACACGGACGCATACGATGGCGCCATTCCCTCACGAAATACCCGTAATCGCTGAAGAAAAAACAGGATTCGACTTGAATCTCCAGCATGGCCACCAAGATCTGGTCCAAGCCGTGGCATTCAACGCCTACGGTGACCGTTGCGCGACTGGCTCGGTCGACGGAAGAGTCAAAGTGTTCAATCGCCATAAAGATGGTATCTGGCATCATTGCGACACGTGGGGTGCTCATGGTGGCGAGATTCTAGAGGTAGGTGATCTAGTTGTCTTCCGACATGGCAATTCTGTCGGCACCCTGTTGACCGAAGCAAATACTTATCCCGTCCTTCAGCTTCAATGGCTCCCCCCGACCGTCTACCCGAATCTTATCGCTTCTCTCGGCATAGAAGGCCGGTTCAAGTTATGGGCAGAAGACCCATCCGCTGCTCCAGGTCGCCGCTTCAGCGCCAGCAACCGCGCGACAACTAGCAAAGCCGCCTACGAAATGCGCTCTGCCAAGTACCCTTACCGATCCTTTGCAATGAAATATAACGAGGAGACGCGACATACCTATCTCGCACTGCTCGCCTCCGACGGCCGCCTGATGATATACGAAAATGACCAGCCCGAGAACATGTCCGAGTACACCTTAATCGACGAATTCAGTATATGTCCTAAGCCGAGTCGCGGTGAAGAAACTAGCTTCAAGGTCCGTTTCGATTCAAATCCAGATCCTTGCTACAATGCGCTGCGAGCTGGAGTTGCGAACGACTCATTGGGTCTTGTGGTGGCGGGGATGTCCTCGGTCAAAATATACCGATCTAGGGACGTTATTACAACATCATATGGTGTTGATCAGTCACAACGCGAATTCTACCTAGCGGTTGAAGTCGGAGCTCACAGAGGTCTCGTACGTGATGTAGCGTGGGCGCCTGGAAATATTAGAGGATACGATATCATTGCGACGGCTTGCCAAGACGGCTTCGTTCGGGTATTCCGAATCGACACGTCCCACTCGGCCCACGATGGCAAGACATGGTCTACGATGGAGCTTACGAGGCAGGAGAACCACCAGGCACAGGCAACTTCGAGAATGGGGCAGCCGAGTGAGAAGCACCACCAGTCAGGCCTCAGTGCCAGTTTAGCCAAGTCAGGTTCCCACGCGGAACGACACTTCTCGGGCCAACCTGGCCAGGTGAGGCATGTTTTTACGGAAATAGCAAAGCTTGATAGCCACCGCACCCCTGTCTGGCGTGTCGGTTTCGATGACGATGGCCAGATTTTAGCTAGCACCGGTGACGATGGGAAGCTGGTGTGTTATCGTCAGACCCCGAGTGGTACCTGGGCCAAGAGTTCTGAGCTGGCCATGGTAAAGTCGAGAATGGCTACGCCCTGAAGTAGTGATGCGATTTACGGACCACCAGAGCTATAAAACACCCACTTTCGACTGTAAAGACCAGCCAAGTACTGTCTTCAAACCTCGTTTGCTATTTGACGGTGGTAAAAAAGCCCTGCGCCTAGCTTATCCGGGAGCTGCAATTGGGCTCAGAAAGATACCATTATCGGGAATCGCCGTAACATCAGCGAGTTGACAAGTCGAGAGATTGCAGATTGTTTAACCGCAGTGCTGAGAATGTTGTCGACTAAAGTCGAGCCCAGAGTTATGGTGCCCTTGAAAGCTGGGTTAGTGACTCGCTTGAGGCCGAGAACTCTGAGGTGCTGCCCATGACATAAAGGATCATCGATAGATGATGGGCTGTGCCGGATGGAACCCGGGGCATATAATACTGAGGAACGTAGCAATTATGCCATGGAGATCATGCTAATGTTAGATACCCTAATGAAAAAGTTTCAAAGCCTTCGCCTGTCTAATGCGAACGATATAAGTGCCCTTGATTACACATTCTACAAACACAAGTAGTAGATTTTGGTTTTCCAGCTACCCTTTTTACCCAAACACTGCTCCACTACTTTCTGCGCTTTTGACCGCCGCCGCTTCCCTCATCTGGTGCCTGGCGTTTCCGGCCGTTCTTGCGCCAGAACTCCTTGCTCTCCTTCTTCTCCCTTGCCTCCTTCTTCTCCTCAGACTCAGCCAGCTTCTTGCGGTATTCGGTACGCTTCTCTTCCTTCTTTGCAGCGCGACGTGCCACCTTATCGTTGCGGATCGTGGTAAGTTGCTGTAGCAGATTGCGCGCTGTCTTCTCCTCTTTAGTGAGAACGACAGCACGTTTCTGCATGTACGTGTCCTTCTTCTGCTTGCGCGCCTGTACAATCTGCGACTTGAATGGTAGCTCGGCCGCAAGGGCGCGGGGGACGCGGAGAGGGTTGAAGTGACGCGTCTCACGCTCGATCTTGCGGTATTGACTGTTTTTCTCCAAGGGTGTCTCGATGCCTTCGGCACGGCGCACCTCACCTGTCAATCTCATCGCCTGCCATCCGATAAGGTTCGTGACCGGATTGTAGAAGCGATGAGGCTTGATCGGATACCAGGCTCGTAGGAAGACAATGTCGCTGTACAGGATCTTGTCCTCAAAAGTTGCACGGAAATGACCCTCAGGCTTGGATAGCGCACGTTTGATCTGACCACGTACTCCGGATACCGTCTTGATGGAGGCGCCCTCGAATTTCGCAATTTCGAGTGCCGAATTGAACATGCCCTTAATGAAAGCCGTGTTCTTGTGGATCTTGTCCGCAGTTCCGGTGAGTTTGAGCTTCTTGACAATTTCGGTCGACTCATCGACGCTGAGGACTGTTCCAGTTGCGGCTATCCGGAAACCGGGGTTGGCCGATGAGAACGACTGGAAACACACAAAACCCGTGTTGGGGGCTATAAGCGGTCCATAAATCGTTCCGAAGCAGTGCATGTGCTCCGGTGTGTACTTCAGCATGCGGTTTCTCGTTCTTGAGTCCGAAATACTATAGATAGGGAGCGTCTGGAACCGTCTCCAGCCAAGAGAGAAGATCAACGGGTCGTTGGTCTTGAGAATCTTCTTGTGCCATCGGTGTTTCTTGATTCGCACCTGAACATAACCGAAGCGGTCTTCGGTAGGTGAAAGGCCACCGAGAATGATGGGCATCCGCGGGTTAAACATCTCAACGAATTCGGCGGGAACACCTTCGAGGACAATCTTGGCGTACTTGCCAGCCTTGTAACCCTCAACAGCTGCTCTTTGCCTCTCGTCAAGATTTTCAAACTCGGCCTTGTTGATATCCAGCTGCTTTTGGATCATGGCCTTTTGTGCCTCGTACCAATCATCCTCTCCGAATTCCTGGTCACCTCCACCTTCCCGCCGGGCGTTAGCCTTATCGTTCATAAAGCCTTCCCTATCTTCTTCCTCGAAGCGCAACTTGAGCTCTTCTTTCCGTTTCGCGTTCTTGTCACGCTCGTCCTCGAAGGTTTCCTCTTCGGTGGGCTCTGCAGGACCGTGCTGTTCACCGGTTTCGAGGTCTTCGAAAACACCATCGCCCTCATCGTCGTCACCATCCTCGTCGTCGATGCCGTCGAACTCATCTTCGTCCTCGCCATCCTGGTCATCGTCTCCGTCTCGCAGTGCCGCCGTAGCGAACCGTCGCCTCAAGGCCTCAACGTTCGACTCCTGAGACCACTTTGCGGCCAGATCTTCGTAATCGTACAGAGGTATGGATCTGTCCTCAACCTTGTCTTCCTTGTCTTGCTTGGACTTCTTGAAGAAATCCTCATCGTCTGAGGCCTCAATGTCCTCCTCTTCATCCTCATCTTCACCACGCCACTTCTTCAACGCCTCCTCTGGCGTCATAGAGTCAATATACATAAATCTGGCAAGATCCGGCGTGTGGTAGGAGCGTCGCTTGTTGTGTAGCTTCTTCGCGCGCTCTGCCATGTTCTCCTTCCACTTCAATGCAGCTGTCTCCTCGTCCGAGTCGGAATCTTCGTCGTTCATATCCTCGTCCGAGTCGTCGTCTTCGTCCTCGAGCCCAGATATTGAACCGAGATCAGAGTCACTGTCAGCGAAGGCAATGTCCTCTTCATCGTCAGCGTGCCTTTCGGCATCCTTTCTGAACATCTTGCCCAGCTTGCCCTCACTGAATTCCTCTTCGAAGTCTGATGCTCCCTCTTCTTCGCCGCTGACAAAACCTTCGTCGTCCGGAACCTCCTCATCGGAATCGCCCTCGTGGTTCGCAATGCGCGCATGTCGATGAGTTTTTCGGCCCGTGTCTTCCTCCTCAGCAATCTGCTTGAGTTGCTCGCCTCCCTTGAAAAGTTGAACACCCTCTTCAGTCTGGCCCAGAAGTTTTCGCTCAGCCTGAAGCCCGATGATGAGCTCTTCGCCTTCACCCCTCTCCACATCATCCCCATCCTTATCGAAGTTGAATCCCTTTTCTCTCGTAATCCAGATCGCGTCGCCGTCAATCTTGAGACCGCTGCGGTCCGACATAGGAGCGTGTAGTTTCTTCTCCTTCTCATCCAGGCGTCGCCGTGTCGTCTTGCCTGTAATCTTGGCGATGGCTTGCTCCATTGCCGGGGTTGGACAAGGATCCGGGAGAACCTCCAAATTGGAGACTGTGAAGTCGCCTAATCCAGGAACATGTACCTTCTGACCTTGAGAGGCGAAGTTGGTGCCTCGAAGGTAGCCCGACAAGACAACGGAACGGTCGCAATTGGGGTCCTCCTCGATCTTGGTGGGATGGGTGATGTCTCGGTAACTATCGATGATGGTATAAGGGTGTGAATTTCTCCAAACTAAGGGTCGAGGGTTCTTCATGACGGAGAGAAAGCGCGACAGATTGTGAACCTCGCGATCAGGATAACGACCGTTCATGACACCCGAGAGGTAGAATAGGTGTGCACCCTGATACAACTCGCTCCAAAGTCTTCTCTTGAGGCGCTTCTTCGCATCCTTCAGGGCCTGGGGTTTTCGGAACAAGTCGAGATGGGTCAGAATGCCGAAGACGTTACCAGGCATACCGGTAGCCGCAAGGATGTTCAAGAATTCCATAGTCTCCATCTCAAAGCCGTAATTGCCGTCGATCATAAGCAGAACGATGTCTGCGATCTTGGCCATGTCGACCATGGCCTCCAACTCATTGGGGCACTCGACGAAGGTCAGACGCTGCTTCTTGGATGTAACAACAGTGATAGGACCCTGGGGTTCGGAGAGGGTCTCCTTCGCATATCGTCGAATCAAGGACTTGAGTAGAGTCGTCTTGCCCACACCGGGAGGCCCAACGATAGTGACCAGCCTTGGTGGCGGCTCGTCGGGGAGTCGGTCGACGAGGGGAACATGGAGTCGCCTTTCTTTGATCTGTCGAGGAGCAGCAAGTCAGTAGACCGCAGAAGGTTTCTATTAGTTGAAGGCTCTTACATCTGAAGATCGTGCGGCAGATTTTGCAAGCTTTCCAGGATTGGAAAACGTGAAGGCCTTGGGGTTTCGATCTAAAGAAAGCGTTGTCAGTATCGCGAATTGACATAATCAGACTAGATAATGTCGGAAAACCTACCGCCAGTGTGCTTCTTTTTCTCCTTCGCCTTGCGGTGAGGCTTATGCACTTGGTCCTCCATAGTGGCAGCAGCTTTACCCAGTGCTATTGAGAGGTCCTACTGCTAGCAACACGACAAGCGACGGCTCTCTGGGATTTTTTTTCTGGTCGCGACCCGGCGGCGATCTTCGTCCGCCAGAAAATTTGTTGCGGGTCCAGGTTATCTTATCGCAGCTATCGATAAGAAGAGACCCACTACTCAATCAGCACTGGCGGCACTACCCCTCTGTGCCCCTCCTCCCCCTCTGCCCATCCAAAAACGACTGATGTTGCAACAACATCCTTGGTAACATCGATGCAAGTGAGGTTTGGGCACTTGGGTTTCATTACGCCTGAGCCCCCTTTCTTCTTCTTGTTCCTTCTCTTACTTTCACTTGAGCATGTGCAGTAGTTCCCTCAAACAGGACATTCCAAGCATGGCGGGCTAGGCCTAGGATAAGACCATGGAAATAGAGGAGCACTCACAGGCTCGGGGGTAGCTCACTGTATCATAAACGGATAATGAATAGCAGTGACGGCATAGCCGATGACGAAGTGTGTTTTGCCGAATGGTGTTATATGGCAGAGGCGTAACGATTGGCTTGTTCACCAAGTCACGAGACGCCAACGGGATCCGCAATCATCTGCGAGGAGCGACAGGATGCACGAGAAAACAAAACGCTTGGAGCACCACACCTGGCAGATAAGACGTATTATCCCTTCATGCACGATAGACCTCCAGGGCGCCCGTCCTCCCTCATATGTGTATGTCCCGTGCACGACTTCTCGGGCGGGGGTCCACCTATATTGGGGATTAAGGGCAACGAGGTACTAGCCAAGGCAAGGCAGATGATAGTTGAGTGCGTTAGGCATGGTCCAAAACGCCGTGCGAGTATGAGATGACGTATTTGTTGGTGTGGGACATAAAGGAGGTTGGCCGTGTTTACACTTCCAGCACCTGGATCTTCTTGTCTGACGGAAGAGGTCACCCACCCACACACACTTGGACGCCAGGAAGCTTCTGTAGTGTAAAGAATCGGCGAATGTCCCGGACATGCTCACATAGCACCATGCACATACTGCATGGACCTCCTTCCCCCCTCAGCAGAGCTGCCCACGCACCGTAGACACTGCCTACGCGACCTCCGTCACTTTTAGTCCCGATAAGTCGCGAAGTTCCCACCCCAATCCTGTTACTGGTCTCTGCCTCCCATGCCTGTACCTCAAAAAACCGGGCACCTATGAGACCCTCTGGGCTAGATATAAAGACCGTGTGCCAGCCGCATCATCGCTTACTTCTCTTACCTCATCTGCCACATCTTCCACCTCTACGCCATTCCATCCATCGCCAACTTCAGCATTCGATCTACAGTACTAAGCCCATCAACATGCCTACCTACATCGTAAGTATTGAAGAACCGTTTCCAGGTTTCTGATTATGGCCAGCCGGTAAGCTGACACCGTCGTTTCTAGGTTACTTGCAAGGAGGACGCCACCCCTGAGCAGTTCCAGGCGTAAGTTAGCAGCTATTCTCCGAAACCATGTCGCTGAACAAATCGATGAGTTAACTTTCTTTCTGTTAGAGCTAAGAAGCACGCCGAGGAGCAAGGTGGAAAGATTGGACATGAATACAGCTTGATTAAGGGGTTCTCGTAAGTAGAGTCTTCTCACTGCGCTCAACTTGTTCATTCAAAACCCGACTAACGGTATAATTTTTCCAGTGTCGAGTTCCCTGAGGACCAGATCTCGACCCTTGAGAAGCACGAGCATGTCAAGCACGTTGAGAAGGACCAAGAAGTTCGAACGCAATAAAGGTCCAATGCCAAAATAAGAGGTTGACCTGGAGTTCTGATAAACCATGTACCTGATTCAGTACATTACACTAGACTCACGACTTTCATAATGATAAATGGTTTCCCATCCACCTCGTACTACTGCGCTGCTAAGACTAAAACGCGTGTATGAGTTGTACTGGATTACGTAGCCACTTTGTGATACAAAATAACACTACTGAATTCGAGAGACAGGAAACTCCAAAGGTGCCCCCTTCATCATCCTTAGAAACTCGCTCATACGGTTGAGGTGCCCCGCGGTTGGCGTCGGCCCCCGCCCGTGTCTCATCATCCAGCGCGGAAGCTACAGGGGTAGTCTAGGTCCATCTGCCGCCCCCAGCCCCAAGCACTGGGGCGGCCACGCTCAGGTCAACTCCCTGCAATACAGTCGTCTGAGTCAAGCGTACCACCCTTGCGTATGATCTCATTCCATCAACCACACTCTCTGCACGTATCTTTGGCCGTAACACCTCCCATACACCATCTACAATGCCGCCATGAAAAGTACCACGAGACCATTGAGGCCCTTTGGGTCCCAGAGGACACTTTCTCAGGTGAAGTTTCTTTGCTACTGTCGCTTCTTTTCCTCACGCCATGGCAACTCTTCGACGCCATATCTATCGCGTGTCGATGACCACGAGATTGTACAACTGGCCAAAAAGCCACAACACCCCTTGAGCCTCGCCGACCTGGTCAAGTACGAATACTTCCGCTTTAACCCTTTTACCATGTTATCTTGCTCATCTAACACCTGGCATTGAATTCAGACACGGACGTCCTCCTCTGAGTGAAAAATCCCTCCTCTCCTCAGCCAACTTCACTCTCTCCCTACTACCCATCCGACTCGCCCACCGAATACAAGCCCTGCGGAATCTTCCCTATATCGTAGTGTCCAACCCGAACATCAGCAGAATCTACAATAATTACGTCCACTCGCTTTCGACTCTCCTACCCTGGTGGACGAAGGGCAACAAAGGCGGCGGGAACGCAGTCCGCACCCTTGATGACGAGATCCGCTTCACTGAAGTTCTTGCTGAGCTGGTCGCTACGCACACCGACACAATCCCTATTCTCGCTCGTGGCTTCCTCGAATGCCGCCGCTACATCAGTCCGGCTGAGGTCACCCGCTTCCTCGACGAGCACCTTCGCGCTCGCATCGGCACCCGTCTCGTTGCCGAGCAGCACATCGCCCTTCACTACAGCAGTCAGCCACACTTCGACCCAGGCGCCAGCCCGACTCCCTGCCCGGAACACCCCAGCTACATCGGCGTCATAGACACTGCCCTACGTCCGGCCCACATTATCGAGTCCTGTGCCGGATTTGTTGCCGACATTTGCGAGCTGCGATATGGCGTCCGCCCGTTGTTATACATTGACGGCGAGCCCGATACCACTTTTGCCTTCGTCCCTATGCACCTCGAGTACATCGTTACCGAGCTGCTAAAAAATGCTTTTAGAGCCACTGTAGAGCACCGCGACAATAAGGAGCCTATCGTGGTTACCATTGCGCCGGAGCCACCTGTGCGCAAGCAAACGGGGCAGTTCATAAAGATTGACGTACCCGAGGAGACCAGGGGAGAGTTTAGAAGCGATGCTATCAAACCACTGGATGATAACGTCCCTGGGGTGACCATTCGGATCAGGGATCGAGGCGGCGGGATTGCTCCCGAGGTTCTACCTAACATTTGGTCTTACTCCTTTACCACATTCTCTGAGGATGATGAGTTTCCCGCCTCTGACGGGGACGGGTTGAATGTGATATCCCATGCGAGTGCAGGAGGGAGCTCCATCGCGGGCCTTGGCTACGGCCTGCCACTCAGTCGCGCGTATGCAGAATATTTCGGCGGTGGCATCGCCGTACAAAGCTTATACGGCTGGGGTACCGACGTCTATCTTAGGCTCAATGGCGTAGGCAAGATCCAGTGAGCGCGGCAGTGCCAACCGATTTTACGCGGAAGAGGAATGCAAAAACCACCAAGCATGCACCAGCGTCACCAAAAGCATAAGTAGGGTCTGCCCAGTTCATTCAGGCGAATTAATTGGACTATTAGGAGATGTATTACCAAGTGGATGCCGTCCACAGTCGATGCGTTGCCAAAAGTAAATATATGTCCCCAATCAAACGAGATATGAAATAAATGATAGAATCCAAGACATGATGTCCGAGTAAACTCGTTTCGTAGATCGATAGTAACGCCCCAAAATTTTGACCTGCCTCCAGCAATGTCCTCATTATACGACAGATAAACAGCTCTTATATACGACTCACGAACGCATCTTACATGTTGGCCAGCTCGTTGTCGATCTGCCTGTCCATAAATGTTCTCCTCTCACCGACAAGTCCAGTCTGCAACCTCTGCTCGACCAGAGCGCGCACCTGCTTCTTCGTCACCGTGTCGAGGTCAACCTCTCTCAGGACACCCTGAATAGCCTCGATGATCATGCCGTCATCAGGACCCTGCATATTGCCACGCTGGAAATCGAATGACGAAGTGGATTGAGCCGCATGTGGTCGGTTCAGACCAAGCGCTGACTGCGAGCGGTTGCCACCGAGGCCTGGCGAAAGGCTGGCTTGGCCTCTCAGGTTAGAGACGCTCGGGCGACTACTAGGGAAGTCTTGATAAGGGGTCTGCATGCGGTGAATGTCATGAGTGCCCAAAGAGGCCATGGATTGCCTGTTGGCCATAGTCTGGTCGTTGTGATACGGGCTTGTTGCACCAGAAGTGCGAGCCATGTGTCCTCCAAAGGGGGCAGGGGATTGAGGTGGCATGTATGTGTTGTTGCGGTTCATGCCGGTAAGGACAGAGCCCTGGCGAACAGACGAGTAGACAGACCTGATCTCGTCCATCTCGTACTGATCGTCGTAGCCCATATCGTGCTTCTCCATAAAACCGCCGCGGCGTCCAGGGAGATTGTTGGCCATGGCATAATCGTCCCATCGTTGGAGAGGAATGCTCCTGGGATCAAAACCCTCATCGTCCACAGCGACGACCTGCTTGTTACCCTTCTCTCCAATAACAATACGCGTGTTACCCCATGAGAAGTTGTCCTGGTTCCAGAATGAGTAGATGGGGAGGGCGAAAGAGTAGATGGGGAATGCGAGAATGTAAATGATCATCCATCCAATGTGCTGCCACTGTCTCTTCAGAATGAAGATAAGGGCCTGGAGACCATATACACCAGCAATCATACAGATGGAAATGAGAGGGAATGGGCCGGTCTTGGTGGCCACCATGTAGATGAGATATCCGAGATAAATTGTTGTTGCCGGAAGGATGACGGTTCCAAAAAGATCGATGAATACGACAAATCGCATGCTGAAGCAGCAGAAACCGCACATTTCTTTCAGTTTCATCAGCTCAAACAAGTTGTGAATAGTTGAGTTGATCCAGCGACGACGTTGGGACAATAGAACGCTCCACGACTCAGGAGCAGCTGTTTGACAGTAGGCATCAGGAATAAACTTGTACTTCATAGACGGGAAATACTTCGTCATCAGTGTCGTCAGATAACGATCTTCACCAAGAGACAACAAGTTCTTCTTGTGAAGCGTATCAACATCGCAAACACTGTAATCCCGGATGACGTCGTCGGATATAATGAGCGGCTTGCCCTTGTCGACAGTTCGCAGACGATACATCGTAAAACTATTGCTGTGTCAGCAGGCTTACATTTTCATCACACAAGTCAAGAGGGGATATCCACTTACCAACCGGGCAAGCACGTAACACTTCCGAAAAGAGATTCGAAGGCCTTAGCCAAATTGTGAGAAATGAAGTATTCGTAAACCTGGATCATAGTCCACCAAGTCCTGTCATCATTCTGCAGACCTGTTTCGCCGCAAATACCGGCAATCTTAGCATCGTTTGCGCAAGCCGAGACAAGTCGATTAAGAGAATCCTCCGAGACACAAGTATCAGCGTCAACCATCATGAGGTACTCGTACAGCTCAGGATCCACGCCGATAATGTTATTGATTTGATGGAACATTTCCAATTCCAGGGGACTCATGGGGGCTCGGTGGTGAACACGGTTGAGGAAGCTCATCAGAAGAATTTGAGAGTCACGCTTGCCTCTGTTGCCAGGCTTCGACTTGGTCTGCTCAGACTCCTTTCCGACCTTTACGACGACCAGGTAGGGAACAACATTACCCTCGAACTCGTAAAGACCTGAGTAGACCTTGCCGTAGTTCAGTTGTTCGCTACCAGTACCCACAGATTTGAAAGGAAGCGCCGGAGGGTCAACCTTCGGGTCCACGCCAAGAATATCCAGGACAATCTTAGGGGTAGGACGGTCGTTGCCAGCACCGACAATGATACCGTCGCAAATGACACAAATAAGCTTTCTCTTGTTGTCATATTGCAGTGCCGTAAGAGAATCCAGGGCTTTCCTTAAGGAATCTTCGCCTTCGGTATAAGCAGGAACCTGGCAGATGACAAACTTGTCCTGCGGTGCGGGTCGTCTCTTTGAGCCGAATTGAAGGGCGGACAAGAACTTGATGAGAATGACCGCGCAAATGATAATAGTCATAGCCAACATGATGTAGTTATTGACCTGGCATCTTGCAGACTTGCGGAAGTCAGGAATGCCAACGTAGAACAGGTTCTTGATGCAGTTCATGCTGTTACCCACAGCTACGCTTTCCGTCTTGTTGGTTGACGCAACCTTGATAACGTCGTTCCACAGTTCAGTGACATCGTCACCGGGGTTGTTGGAGACGACGTTAGTGACCTTTTCGTGGAGGAAGTTGTACATATCAACGTTCTTCATCCTCTTCTGGGTGTAGAAGTAATCGGTTAAGTCGTAGACAGCGCCGTCGTAGATAACCCACATGTGATTATCATTACTGCCTTCACTAGAGACTTTACTCTTATCCCATACGAGGTCGCCCTTGTAAAATTCCTTCATAGCAGGAAGAAATTTCGTTCTGTACCAGTTCTTGTCGCCTAGAGCACTAGTGCGATCAGGCGTGTTGATACCAGAAATGTGAATACCATTTGGGTACTCGGCAGTGTTGTTCGTCAACAGGGAGGTGGTTTCCGCAATGCCAAGACCAGGGCAAACGAGTTCCAGAGGAGGAGGGAAATAGAGGTCCAGATTCATGCCGGCAAAAGGCAGCATGTTGTCTTTCGTGGTTTCGATGGAGGTGTCAGAGTGTTGTCTCTTATAAAACTTCGACAGGTCGTAGACACGACCGCGGACACTGACATAAAAGTCGTTTTCGCCTGTATGGTATCCAACTTCGTTAGTGTTCCAGGCCTTGTCATTATTGGGACAAAGAAGCCTGCCGAAGAACATGATCCAAAAAACGATGGCAGCGTTGAGGAGAACGATAAACCAGACAAGAACGAGTTTCTCACGCCAAGCCATGCGAACGTCAGGTCGTTTCATGCGTCCAACAAATCGCAGGAGTGGGGAGGGGATCCAGAAGGTCCAGAACCAAACAATTGCAACCCAGATACGTCGATCCTTTGTCAATGGCTTAGTCTCAATCTGCTTGCCGTCGGCCAGTTCAGGGTCCATCTGTCCGACAAACTCGCCCTCGTTGCTGTAGAAAACCTGGCCCTTGTAGGTATCGCCTTTCGTACCCAGGCCGTAATCTCCAGTCTGCACATTGCGCATCCCTGATGGAGCAATGGATGGGGCGCGTGTGGCATTGTACTGATTAAGTGTTGCATGCGACAGATTGCCCTGGCTGTGGTTTCGTTGGTGAGCAATGAGTTGATCACGGCTACCATTGGGAGTAGTGTCCAGCATGGGTGGCGGAAAGTAACCACTACCGTTCGCTGAGTAGCCGGACTCGAGATTATTGGCAACCATGACATGGCCCATGCCAGGGAGATTGTTGTCTAGAGGCTTCATATCGAGCATGCTCTCAGCCTCCCACCAGGCACTCTCACGTACCCAGACACGTTCCTTGCCGACTACAACTTCACCATTAGTCCAGCCGCGTTCAAGAATCCAAGTCTCAATGCCTTCACGGCCATCCTTGCAACCAAGGGTGGCGTATCTTTGCACAAACTCATCGATATCGAAGTCTGCAGTGAAGTCGAGGTTCTTGTTGCGTCTGTTAGACCATTCCGGTAACCGCCAAGCCCGGAGCTGACGAGAAACGGTTCCCGCCGACCAGGCCGAGGTCACGGAGGGAAGACCCGCTAAGTTAGCCGGAGAATCATCCGTGGGGTGAATGGCTAGGTGATACCACACACGGCTAGAGCTCAGTACAGATGATAGATCAATACGGCCAGCACGTCCCAAGTTAACACCTTGTCCGGTAACAGGGAAGATAAGCTTCTTGAGGAAAGCGTCTTCATCAGCAGAATGGCCAATCTTCTCAAGAACCTCCTCTCGCTTCTCTAACTCGTGTTGGCGGTCTTTCCCAACAGCACCAGTCATGATACCGAGCTCAGGACCAACCTCGCTGAGGGCGGTTTGCATTTCACGCACTACGGCACTACCGGCAGGAGCAACATCAACACCATCAGCAATCATCTCGGCGTTGATGCCCAAGGTGTCATCGAAGACGCCCCTCATGGACAAAGCCTTGCCCAGGTTCGGGTCAGGAACGTCCAAGACGGTAATGCAAACGGTATCTCCACCGTCGCCAGAGGTTGGCGTATGGATACCGTGGCCATCAATGGACTCAGCACCGTCTTTGATGCGTGCCATCTGAGCAGAGATCGCTTCATTGGCCTTGGAAATAACCCAGTCAACCAAAGCCTCGTACAGACCACCAACAAACGTTGATCGGTCTTCAGTTGTGCATTGTCTGGCGAGAGTCTCCGGGTCCATCCCCAGTAAGCCACTGACATCCTCGCAAATCTCTTCAAAGACCTCCTCATCCACGCCGTAATCAAGTGTGTCTCCTAGCTTTAGCAAGCCTGCGAGCGTAGAAATCAGGTTGCGGTGAGCGGAGCCCTTGATGCCAATATCCTTTAGAGCGGAACGGAAGTCGTCGGCAGCGGCGGCATCATCGGCTGTGGGGAGATAAGATGGCGGATCATAGGTACCAGATCTCGCCAGCAGAGCGTAATTGGAAGCCGCCTTGAGACCCAAGAACTCTCTTTCAGCAGGTGTAGATGCGGATGTGAGAAGATAGTAAAAGACGTCGAAGGCGCGATACCCAGCCTCAGGAGGGATGCTCAAGAGGCCCTTGGCGGTGTCGATTCCGCCTTGAGACAAGGCAACTGAGGCTCCATTGAGGCTACCGGCCAAGTTGAGAGTCAAAGTCACGCCGAGAGCAGACTGGCGGAAGGTAGACGGGTTGTATGGGGTAGAGCACCTCAAAAACGGCTGGATGGCGTCCAGTGCCTTGAAAACAGATGAAGGGATCGATAGGGGGAGGGATGAGAGGAATGGTGTGAGGAGAGACGGGGTCGATGTATGAAGAGAACTGAAACTTATTAGCGATGAAGGGTAATCAGACCAAGTGGAAAGGTATCTCTCACCCAAGGACAATACAGCCATCCTCAGCACGTCGGCGAGCGTGTTCCCACGCTCTTGCGCCAAGGGCGGGATCTATAGTACCTCCAGTCCTTCCGTCAGGTCCAGTTTGGGCAGCAGTGAGCCACGTGTTGACGACGAGGCTCGTACCAGCATCCAACTTGTAGGGCTGGGACGACAAATAAATGTTGTGAATAGCATTGAGGAGAGTCGTGGTGGAAACGGGGGCAGACTGCTGGCCAGCGCGGGAGGCTCCGAGGCCCTCAGATGCCACCGAGTACATGGACATTCGACCGCTCGCCATAGCGATTGGGTTTGAATCGTGATGTCCGGCGTGGACGGCGCCTGTCGGAGGTTTGGGCACTATTCGAAATCGTCTGTTGTTGTTTGAGTTATTGGCGACTAGGTAAACAAGAAGTCGAGGACTCGAGAGCGAATGTCAACTGTCTATAACGAAGACGAGCCGATGAAAGTGGGAATGGGTGGAAAGCGAGTGAATTAGTGAGAAGGATATTAGAAATGTATGATAGTTGAACAGAAACAGGCGTATGTTCTGCACGATTTTTCCAGGAGCAATGTGATCTCCCTCTCTCTCTCTCTTTTTTTTACCCTTTCGGGAGGCACACGAAGATGTTGAGCGAGGAACGAGAAAAAGGGAGAAACAACAGATTACCGACGTAATAAGAAGCAGACCACCTAAGCGAGTGAGGCGGCTGTCGAGCGAAGAAGCAACAGGAGTGATATTGAAAGTTCAGTCGAACGCTTCAACTGAAGGTGAGTGATGGGAAGGTGGGAAGCAAAAGGGGGGGGAGTAACAGAGCAACAGTAGAAGAGCGAAGACAGGGAATGGCCTCTCTCTTCTCTGTGTGTCTCGGGCAAAAAAAAAACGAGCGTTTAGGAACTTTACTGGCCAAGGTGCTGTAAGGCGCAGGCGGAGGCACAGGCACGGCTAATGGAAGGTAATGGAGGAGCCAGGCAAGGTGAGGTAAGGCGGGAAAAGGTTAGGAAACCCACGAGCGTGGGTCTCGTAATGATGGGTAATAGGAGTCGGGTGAGCGAATAGCTGCGGCCTAGGTCTAGTGTCAAGGACAGCAGTGGTAGTCTACCACCTCATCCAGGGGAGTGCCGCAGGAAAACAGGCACACTACAATGTAACTACCCCATGCGCCTTGCTGAGGGTACTCCTATGTCGTATTCCACTGCACTTGAGAGGCCCCAATTGAGAGATCACCACCCCATCAGCCAACCACAGAGCTTCCAGTGTGTATCCAAAGACAGCGCGCGTGCCTGGGGGTGGGGTTCTTTTTTTTTCTTACCCTTCGATTTCCTTGCCTTCCTTGTCCAAACCCCTGATGTCTGGCGGGCGGGATGTGCCAGAAGCGCATAGTCTCGGTCCAGAGACCCCGGGCTAATTTTTTGCAACAGAGAAAGGAGACCCTGGCGACGTTGCTGCCAAGTTCGGTCCCAAAACTTAGCCCGACTCAAGGTACCTGGCACTTGATGGTCCATCCATCAACTGTAATGTTGTCGCACTGTGCCTGATTATCTTACTTGATGCACCCATTTGGCTTCAGCCCGGTGGCTCAGTGACACATCCAACAACAACCCAGCCTTCATCAATTGTGGGCGAGATGACGGCTTGGAAATGTGAGATAATCAGATGGACTATGCGGCTGGTAACGTTCTTCTCGATGGCATTCTGACTATTGTTCTATCACAAAAGCCATTCTTTCAAACCCAGGAGGTATGGCTAAGGCTGGTGGTAATATAACTCCTTCGGCGCATTGTCGTTCATCTGCTTCAGACTGTCCATAATTCCTCACCCTCTTCCTCAATATTTTCTCTAAGTACCGCTCCAAAGGTGCGATGCGAAAGCAAGGCAGGTGCATGCATGACAGACGAGGAAGATTTGCCACAATACGATAACAGGCGAGGGGGAAATGCAACATGCGTACGGATCTAAACTAGATTCTCAAATTTGAGAGCAGCGCCCAAAATATTAGACCAAACCCCCGAGACCTGAACGCCCCTCCCATCAAAAACCCAAGCAATGCACCCAAGAACCGAACTTCTCCACGAGTCCACAGTTGTCAGTCACACATTCGCCATGGTGTCCGCTAACACGGTAAGTTGACCGGGAACACTGTAGATCCGGTCATGGGCGGTCCTTTTCTTGGAGCAAATACGAGCTTGAAGCCCCCGGAGGGGGAGAGGGGCAAAAAGTCGGCCCACCCATCAGATCGAGCGGCGAGACATGCATAGGATGCCAACAGAGTTAAAGACCTGAGATGCTTGCCCTAGCTCTCACTGCATCTTGCTACTCACTGTTTAGAGAGGTGGTACCTGCAATGCAAGTCCGGGAACAGCGAGCAGGATAGCTCGGCTGGATATCGGTGGTGGCTTGACAACATGCTGCTGCACAATGATCAAACTCATTCTCTGCCGTCTCTTAATTTCTTCAATCGTCTGGGTCATGGGCGCAAGTCCATTTAATGGGCAATATTTAGACTCGCTTTTCGCTGACGACAGAGTCAGCCAAGATTCCGAATAATGTGAAGATTGCATGGATATCGGAAGAACGATGGAATGTAAGGTAGGCTCAGACGATGACCGTGTGCATGCAGCGGCAAGTCGATCTTGTCTGTGTGCTTACTATATATGTTCATCCTTCCTTAGAACAGAAGCTAACCTTCGTGTCTTTTTGAGAAAAGGAACGAGGCCTGCGGTGCGCTGGGAATAGGAGCCATCATGCATTCCCTATGGTACAACACATACCACCACACAGTCAATTGAGTGAGCACCTTATGTCGAGCCATATTGCATAGCCTTTTGATCGTGACAGTAAAGTTTCCGATCCCGACTGCATTACTTGGTTCTGTATTACAGGCGTCACAGAGAGGTGGCTGGGTTCTGCAGCTGGATAGACAATGGTCTGCTTTCTCTGGGTTGCTCCTCATATTATTGGACTGGTGCTTTTGTTGTTGTTTTTGTTTTTATTACTCCTTGCCGTATGGGCGCTCCTCCAATCGTTGCCAACAGATGCTCATGCGGAGTCAGGACGCCGCCACCACCAGGTTGGTGTGTTCGCCTGACTGGTGAAGTTGTTGGCTGGTAGAGCGGCAGACTGGGATGTGGCGAGGCTGTGCTGCGAGTACATGGCATTGCATTTATTTTAATCCTCGCGTGCTTGTCCGTATGCAAAATGTATGATACTCGCTCCAATGCCGACATAGCACGAAGTGTGAAATATACGTACCGGTGGGATATAAGGTAGGCCGCTATGTAGGTCATCCTCCTCGCGTAATGGGTGCCCTGGGCGGGTACGGGTAGCGTTCGATGAGCTCCATATTATTCGAGCAGTGCTTTTTTTGGAGCTCTTAGCGGCCAGGCTAGTGAGTAACATACCACTATGGTATCCACGTCTCAGCCGGCTCCTTCCAGGCCCAATAGATTTCACCCCATGCCCCCCTTTTCCCAATCTTCTCCAAGTCATGCCCTGTCCTCTTTTTATTTACCCTTTTTTCTCTTTTTTTTTTTTTTTTTTTGCCCTGCTTTTCCCATATGTCTTTGATCGTTTGTAATCCTGGTGTTTGGCCAGTCCTCACCCTGAAATGGGTTCCACCGCTGAGGCCTGATGTACGTACCTATCATCATACCAAACGGGGTTCACCGCTGCGGGTCATATGCGCACTGTGTGTCAAGTACCTTTATTCGAGCCTTGAACCTGCACCACAAATTCCTTCCTCTAATTGAGACGCCGACAATTCTACTTGTAGTAGGTAATCAAGCTCGGATTATCCACAGACAGAATGCGTCCAGGGTCTACGCTTGATCGTGCGGCTTGAGCCGTCTGCCATCCCAAGCATCCAAATCCCATCGATCATGCATCATGCCTTCTGTTCAGACTGAAGGATCCAGTAAGTTGTTGCCGCTCGTTTGCGGCTTGTCGGACGAACTCGCCCAAGGCATAGCATTCTCATAAATTCCTTATTGCATGTTCATCAATGGCCGAGACGTGTTTTCCACCAGCATCCCTAAAAATTGGGAAGTCTGGGGGCATCAATGGATAGCTAATTCCCTGTTTTATTAGTTTAGAAGAGCTTGGCAAGAAGACTCATGTTCTGATATCAATCTTGCACCGTCATGATAGAACTAAACCATGACCTAACTGAAATTCCCTGTACTCCCTTAAACCACGGCCATTGCCACGCACCCGGTTTGAATGCATGTGGCGTGGCATTCACAGGCACTTGGCTAGATCTTGGATCGTCTTCTGCGCACTTCCTCTGAGTATTCCGGGATTCTGAAAGCCATCAGCATTGTTGTTTCTTTCAAAACGACTGTACTAAACCTGCACTTTCGTTCGGACCACAAGGTTCCTTGGCGACCAAAACCGCCGGCAGTCCCCTGCGCCCATCGGGCCCGGGTCTAGCGCCGTGCTGAAAACCTCCCGAAAACGCCACCTCCCGCGGTTGTTCAACGCCGCCTGGTTTTACTTCTACCAGGCGATCTCCCTGAGACTCCAATGGACGCACCGAGCACCTAAAAGCCACGCCAATCCTTCCATTTGCTGGTTGCTACTGAGACCCGGCAAAATCACAAGACTCAGGACAAAGGGAATCCAGCTGGCTGAAGCGTACGTAACCCGCTCATTCAAGCCAAGGTTCATCAGTCAAGAGGCGCCAAAATTATCCGTCGTCGTGGCACAATGTTGGGAACTTGAGCGCCACATACACCGACCCGGCAATTAACGGACACACAAAGTTTGGGATTGTTGAACATTCTTTGATTCCATCGACTCGGTCCTCCAACGTTTTGTTTCCACCTATCCGGTTGGGTTGTCGCACTAATAGCATAGCACCTTGTGAAATGCTCAGATGTCGCACAAGCGCCTGTCGCCAACCCGAGGCCAAGGAGAACAAATAATGAAAGGGTGTATATGCCATGTGCAACAGAACGCGTCCTTTCTTCATACCCAACGGAGCCACGCAGCATTCTCAGCACCGCCGCAGGACTGGAATCCACGCACTTGGCCGTCTCTATCCCTGGACCCGATGCCACTCGATGTTGTCATAGACCGCCAAGTCGCGTCCTTCGATCCAGGGGTGCTGGCGGAGATGCTTTCAAGCCTCACCCGACCAATCTAAATTTCATCACCCCAGGACGCGGTTTTTTAGTTCTTTTTATTATGATGGTCATGATCATGATGGTGAACGGAGGGCCGGTGACCCTATTGGACCCCAAACTATTTTACATGTTCTATACAATGACAGGGCTGTTACATGACAGACGTCACTGCGTAGCCATGTCAGTCGTAGGATTTCTATTCTATATCTATCCTAGAAGCGACCCATATTACACGAGGCACGGTGTTGCTCTACTCCTTGCTCCTCCTATTTGATAAGAATAGAAATTACATCAGCACGAAGTCGTGCTGATATTTTATACAAGGGCGTGTTTCTGCATGTTTACGTTGGCTTGGTGCCTGTAATGTGGTTACGGCTAAGGCACCACCTGTCCACGTAGGTGCACTACCGCGTAGCACAGCATAGCACAGCACAGCACAGTACTGCAGCAAGCTTGATGATAACAAGCTCAACGGGTCCCGCCCAAAGTCACTGCGTGTGGAGGATACAGGGAAAATGAATGAGTGGTAATCGGGACGCCGGGATGGGGGTACAGAGACACAGTGCGGTACAGCTGATCAATCGTGAATGGAGATCAGGGAGTGAAGAAAGAGGAAGAAAAAAAGAAAAAAAAGAAGGGGAGAAGAGTCGAGAAGGAAACAGACAGGGGGGTGGGCTTGTCATTTCGTGACCCCCGAGCCTGGATTGAGACCAGTGGCCATTACAACTGCGAGAAGGCTCCGGAACAGAAGCCAGCAACAAACCAGGCAATGCCCTGACGCTGACGGAGGTGTGGTCGACTATCCCCGGTCTCCACAGTGTATCTGTGTGCTGCGTTTGTGTGTGTGCTCTAGTGGCACAGAGTTCGTATGGATGAGAACTGCGCCTTAGGTCCATTTCGCCTGCCGCACACCAACCGCTGAGCAAAGCTGCGCTCGAAGAAAACAATCCCCTTTCCCAGTCACTACTCACTCGTTACCGTTACCCACCCCCGTTACACGATCCCACCTCTGTCTCCCTTAACACACGGAGGAAAGGAGCGAGCGAAAGTACTAGGAGAGAAAGTGAGGACCGAACTTGACCTAGAGAAAGCAATCACTTCATTCGCTTCGTGTCTCGAGCTTCTCTCATCCGCGCAACTCAGCCCTGTTCAATCCTCTCCTCGCTTCCTTTTTCCTCACTTCTCCCTGCACACTCGTTTTTCTTGCCTAACATTTATTGTATATCGCCTTCGTTTGGGTTTCTCAACGTCTCCCTGATTACCTACTTCCTTCAACAACCACAACGCCTAATTCGAGCCCCTGGATCACCTCCTGGGGACTCTCTTCTCTCTTAACGGAACCCCGATCAGTTCCTCTCGAGTTCTGGTCGACGACAGTTCGTGACTTTCCCCGTTGACATTCGACCCACCATCAACCGATCGACGAACGCATATCTTGTATCGACCGAGTCCTCGGCCGCGGCATTGTGCCCAACATGGCGATGAACCTGCCACCGCTCGGTGGGAATGGCGGGGGCGCCCATAATCAACCTTCTCTTCCCTCGTTACCCGCACATTCACAATCTGATACACAGTTGACAGCGCACTTGGCCAGTCGCTTTCATGTGTCTCTCCCGACTGCCCGACTCTCTTCCCATGGTCTCATTTCTCTCAACACTTACACTTCCTCTGCCAAAGGTCCTGATGGCGGCAAGGAAGGTAGCGCTATGGCTGGTGTTGAGGATGTCGCAGACCGCGCTTGGATCAGACTAGGCCACAGATCTGAGAACCAGGCTGTTGTCTTCTTGTACGTATTTCCTCTCTCGTTATGATCACGGGCCAGCCTCATACTGACCATGCGAATAGGGGTGAATCTGGCTCTGGAAAATCGACTCTCCGATCCCATCTCTTGACTGCCTTCCTCGGCAAGTCCTCTACCCCCCTGTCTACCAAGGTTTCCCTCGCTGCCTACATCTTCGACACCTTGACGACTACCAAGACTGCCACAACTCCTACAGCCTCCAAAGCAGGTCTGTTTTACGAGCTTCAATATGACACAGCTACCACGACCAATCCGGTTCTTATTGGTGCCAAGCTGCTGGACCACAGACTCGAGCGTAGTCGTATTACAGACATCCCTACTGGAGAGCGCAACTTCCATATTCTTTACTACTTGATGGCTGGCACCAGTGCGGCGGAGAAGGCTCATCTTGGCTTTGAGACACCGGCTGGTGTCGCCCAAAAGAGATGGAAGTATCTGGGCCATCCCACCCAGCTCAAGGTTGGCATTAATGATGCCGAAGGCTTCCAGGTTTTCAAGAATGCTCTCAAGAAGCTCGAGTTTCCTCGAAGTGAAATCGCAGAGATCTGTCAAGTCTTGGCCAGTATCCTACACATTGGCCAGCTCGAATTTGAGACGACATCCAACACTCAGATTACTGGCGACGACAGCGGTGGTTTCTCTCACGAGGGCGGACAAACTGTGACGGCTGTGAAGAATAAGGATGTCCTTGCCATCGTTGCTGCTTTCTTGGGTGTCGGCACCCAAGATTTGCAAACCACTTTGTCGTACAAGACCAAAATGATTCACAAAGAGAGAGTCACCGTCATGTTGGACCCCAACGGCGCTCGATCGCACGCTAACGAACTGGCGAGAACTTTGTACTCCCTGTTGGTTGCGTATATCGTCGAGGCAATCAATCAGAGAATCTGCGCTCCCGAGGAAAGTGTCGCTAACACGGTGTCTATCATCGACTTCCCTGGATTTGCTCAGCAGGCGGCAACTCACTCAGCGCTTGATCAACTCCTCAACAATGCAGCCTGTGAAGCTCTCTACAACCTGACGCTCCAAAATTTCTTCGATCGCAAGGCAGACATGCTGGAGAACGAAGAGGTTAGTGTCGCGGCGACCAGCTACTTTGATAACTCTGATGCTGTCAGAGGCCTGCTCAAGCCTGGAAACGGCTTGCTTAGTATTCTGGACGATCAGACTCGAAGGAACCGCACCGATCACCAGTTCCTTGAGAGCCTTCGCAAGCGTTTTGAAGGAAAGAACCCTGCCATCACTCCTGGGTCTGCTACTGCTAGGCTTCCAGGCAGCAACTTCCTCACCGAAAACACAGCTGCTTTGTTTACCGTTAAACATTTCGCCGGGGAAGTTGACTACCCAGTCAAAGGCATCATTGAGGAGAACGGTGAAGTGATTTCCGGTGATCTTCTTAACATGATCAATACCACCAAGAGTGACTTTGTCGCTAGGCTCTTCGGCCAAGAGGCTCTCCGTACTGTCACTCACCCTAAGGAGAAATCAACAGTCATGCAAGCTACCATCAGTTCAAAGCCAATGAGAGCACCCAGTGTCATGTCTCGGAAGACAACGAGAACAGCTCGCAACCAGGCTCGCATCCAGCGATACCAACAGCAGCAGGAGGAGGACGCACAAGAAGAACTGGACAGGCTCAGCGAAGGCAACTCACAAAGTGGTGGCTCCAAGGTTCATGCATCGGAACAGGGTGCATCAGGCCAGTTCCTTACGTCCTTGGAAAACGTTACCAAGGCGGTTGCTGACCCAAGCACCAATTCGTACTTTGTTTTCTGCTTGAAGCCCAACGATAGGCGCATCGCCAACCAGTTTGATAGCAAGTGCGTACGTACACAAGTACAAACATTCGGTATCGCCGAGATCAGCCAGCGCCTGCGTTCAGCTGATTTCAGTCTCTTCCTCCCCTTTGGTGAGTTCCTTGGCCTGGCCGATTCGGACACCATCCTTGTCGGATCCGAGAGGGAACGGGTGGAGCTGGTTGTTGAAGACAAACACTGGCCAAGCAATGAGGTTAGAATTGGCTCTACTGGTGTCTTTCTCAGTGAGAGGTGCTGGATGGAGATCGCTCAGCTGTCGGAAAACGCATCAGCTTCTGGGAGATACGCTCTACCATCCGACGCCGGCGATGGTTTGACGCCACAAGACACTCCTTTCGCTGCTTCAAAGGAACGTTTGCTCTCTGCCGGAAACACGCCTCTGGGATATGGTGAGAAGGGCAAGAGTGGTTACTTTGGCGGTCACGACGGCTCCGATGCTCGCTCTGAAGCCGGCGTCTCCGCTTTTGGAGGCGGTGACATGTTCAAGAACCTCGACACCAGAGAGCAGATGGCCGAGCGCGGTAACGAAAAGAGCTTGGAAGAGGTCGAGGAGTTCAAGGACAGCCCCAGCCGTAAGCGCTGGGTGTTCATGGTGTACCTGATGACCTGGTTCGTCCCTGACATCCTTGTCCGCAAGATGGGCAAGATGCCTCGCAAGGATATTCGGCAGGCGTGGAGAGAGAAGCTGGCCATCAATATGTTGATCTGGCTATTTTGTCTGTTCGCTGCCTTTTTCATCGTCATCTTCCCGAAACTCATCTGCCCTACACAACATGTCTTCAGTGCCGAGGAATTATCGTCAAACGACGGTAAGGATAACAACAAAGCGTATGCCTCAATTCGCGGTGTTGTCTTCGATATTGGCGCCTTTGCTCCACGCCATTACCCGCCTTATGTCACCGTCAAGCAAATCAAGAACTATGCGGGCAAGGACATCAGCTCTCTTTTCCCCATCCAAGTCAATGCCTTGTGCCAGGGCAAAGACGGCAGCGTCAACGAACATGTTACGCTGGATTACAAGAATACCAACATGACCGGCTCTCCCCAACTTGCCACGGTCGATCAGAACTTCAGGTTTCACGATTTCCGCTCTTTCACCAATGACAGTCGTCCGGATTGGTATTACGAGCGGATGACAATGCTGAAGGCCAGTTACAAGAAGGGTAATATCGGCTACTCTCCTCAGTACGTCAAAACCCTCGCCAACAAACAGCAGGTGATCGCCATCCTCAACAGCCGTGTGTATGACTTAACGCAGTATATGAACGGTGGTGCCCAGTTGAAAGCCAAGGCTGGCGAGACTCCCCCTGACGACATTACTTTGACCGATTTCATGGACAACTCTGTAAAGACGCTCTTCCAAAGCAGGGCCGGTACTGATATCTCCGAGCTGTGGGATAGCCTTCAAATCGACGCCCAACGGAAAAAGCGGATGAAGGTCTGTCTCGACAACCTCTTCTACGTTGGAGATGTCGACACTCGTAACTCAGCTCGCTGCAAGTTTGCTGAGTATCTTATTCTCGCCGTCTCCGCTCTTCTATGCTCCATTCTGGTCTTCAAGTTTTTGGCTGCACTTCAGTTCGGTGGCAAGAACATGCCCGAGAATCTGGATAAGTTTGTCATGTGTCAAATTCCAGCATATACGGAGGACGAAGAGTCTCTTCGCCGTGCCATCGACTCCTGTGCCAGAATGCACTACGATGATAAGCGCAAGCTTCTCATCGTTGTTTGCGACGGTATGATTATTGGACAGGGCAACGACAAGCCGACGCCACGTATCGTGCTCGACATTCTCGGTGTTTCTGAGACCGTTGATCCAGAACCTTTGAGCTTCGAGTCGCTGGGTGAAGGTCAGAAGCAACACAACATGGGCAAAGTATACTCAGGTCTTTACGAGGTCCAAGGCCACATTGTTCCCTTCCTAGTTATCGTCAAGGTTGGCAAGCCGTCCGAGGTTTCTCGTCCCGGTAACCGTGGCAAGCGAGACTCCCAGATGATCCTGATGCGTTTCTTGAACCGCGTTCACTACAACTTGGAAATGAGTCCCCTGGAACTTGAGATTTACCACCAAATTCGCAACATCATTGGTGTCAACCCGACCTTCTATGAATTCATGTTCCAAATCGATGCCGATACGGTTGTTGCCCCCGATTCAGCGACCCGTATGGTTGCTGCCTTCCTCAACGATACCCGCCTCATTGCAGTATGTGGTGAGACGGCGCTTACCAACGCCAAGGCCTCGTTCATCACCATGATTCAAGTCTACGAATACTGGATCTCTCATAATCTGACCAAGGCTTTCGAGAGTTTATTTGGCAGCGTTACATGTTTGCCCGGTTGTTTCTCAATGTATCGCATCCGCGCCGCCGAAACCGGCAAACCTCTGTTTGTCAGCCGCGAAATCATCGAGGACTACTCGACCATTCGTGTTGATACACTTCACATGAAGAACCTGCTGCACCTCGGTGAAGATAGATACTTGACAACCTTGCTTCTGAAGTACCACACCAAGTACAAGACCAAGTACACCAATCGAGCCCACGCCTGGACCATCGCCCCTGATTCCTGGGCTGTGTTCCTCTCGCAGAGACGTCGCTGGATCAATTCGACTGTGCACAACCTTATGGAGCTTATCCCGATGGCGCAGCTTTGCGGTTTCTGCTGCTTCTCCATGCGTTTCATCGTATTTGTCGATTTGCTCAGCACAGTTGTGCAACCTGTCCTTATGGCCTACATCATTTATCTCATCGTTACTGTTGCCTTGAACCCCAGTACGGTGCCCATTACAGCATTCATCATGCTTGCTGCCATCTACGGTTTGCAAGCGATCATCTTCATCCTCCGTAGGAAGTGGGAGATGATTGGTTGGATGATTCTGTACATCCTCGCTATTCCGGTCTTCAGTTTCGCCCTGCCTTTGTATTCCTTCTGGCACATGGATGACTTCAATTGGGGTAACACTCGTGTTATTGCTGGCGAGAAGGGTCAGAAGATCGTTATTTCCGACGAGGGCAAGTTCGACCCCTCCGCCATCCCCAAGAAGAAGTGGGAGGAGTACCAGGCGGAGCTTTGGGACGCTCAAACCGTTCGCGAGGATGCTCGTTCCGAGGTCTCCGGCTACAGCTATGCTACTAAGGGACAGGCTCCCGTCTCCGAGTACGGTTACCATAGCCGCCCTGGCTCTATTGCGGCCGGCTATGCGCCGCATAGGGGTTATGATCAACGCAACATGTCGCGCATGTCTCTCGCAGCTTCGGAAATGGGCGGCAACCGCAACAGCCAATTCGGCGGTTCGCAGTTCTTCTCTCCCGAGGACATGGTTGGCCTCCCTGGCGATGACGCACTGTTGGCCGAGATCCGTGAGATTCTCCGGACGGCTGACTTGATGACGGTGACGAAGAAGGGCATTAAACAAGAGTTGGAGCGTCGCTTCGGTGTTCCTCTCGATGCCAAGCGACAGTACATCAACAGCGGTATGTTCCTATGCCTTGAAACACTTGCGATTCGTTAACTTACTGACTCGATTCACAGCAACGGAAGCGCTCCTGTCAGGCCAGTTGTAAGCACTAGCGGCATGGTGATTTATACTTAATTTAATACATTTTGTTTCATTATTTTTCTGCGGATATGAGGACATCAAAAAGACATTTCTCAGGCTCATGGGTTTCGCTCAATTTTCGGACTGGGAAGGATTGCATTTGAGGAATTCTTGTTCCATTGGATGTCAATATACTGTGGAATTTTGCATAATACTGGATGAAGCCGTCGGGCGAGGAAGACTTCGTTGTTTGACTGGAGGTGGGCATGGCGGACGACTGGAGTTGCGTGATTTCTTTGTCACATGTTCTCTCTCGCAGTATATACAAGCGTCGAACAGTTACGTCTTAGAAAGGTGGAGGAAATCAATTTGATACTTTAATCGATGACTATACCCTCTTGAATCCCCAATGATTCTATTCACCACCTTGTTGTTTGCAATCACTAACTTAGAGCCTAGTGCTGACAGCCCGTACCTCCTCGTCTAGAGGGAGGATGTCTGGCAGGGGGCCAACGGGACTAATGGAGAAGGGGTTAATCTGGGTGTGGCTCTTGGTGTAGTGCCACTTGATGTGCTCGAACTGAGTTGTGTCATGGAACGCCGGAACATTCCAGTAGAGGTGGCGCATCCACTTGTGAAGGTAGGGGTAACCAGATCGGATATCGCGAATGTTGCACTTGAAGTGCTGCACGTAGACGGGCTGGGTACGCTGTCAGTAACGAACGATGAGGGATAACCGCTGCCTCTTTTTTCCTTGGTTTTTTTTTTCTTTTTTCCCGGAGACGTGGTAATAGTGAAGAGGGGTTTGCTTGGGTTGAGAGAGACTCACATCAAATCGAATAATAGTCACGAAGCTAATTAAAAGGAACGCCGAATTAGTCAAAGCAAGGCGGAAGGAACGACAAGATAACTCACAGTCTGATATCCGCCTCGGTGATGTCTTTGCCAAAGTAGTAAGGACCTTCATTCTGCGTAGACTTGAGGTGAGCCTCGGCCTTGTCAAGGGCCTCGAACAGGATGACAACGTTGCGCTCATAGGCCTCTTGGGTCGTAGCGAAGCCGGACTTGTAGACGCCGTTGTTAATCTTGTCGTACGTCCACTCGTTGGTCTCGTCGATCTGGCTGCGGAGGGATTCGGGGTAGAGCTTGATCTGGCGGTACTTTTCGTCCACGAGGTCATCAAACTTTTGAGTCTTGGTCAGCCGAACTGATTCTTGTTCAAATGAGTTCTTGCGCCGTGCATAATGTACAACACACTAGGCCAGTAGAGCATTGATCAAACTGTGGTCAGTAACGGGGGTCAGCTCACCTCAGTGTACAGCATACGGATAATCTCGCTGCTCTCGTTGCTGACGATAGTCTTGAGCTTGGTGTCGTACAGCACGGGGACGGTGAAACGTCCCTCGTAGTTGGGCTCTGACTCAAAGTAGACGTCGCGGAGGTGGGTAAAGCTTTCGTGGCCGGGAATGGGGTCCGGCACGACGTTGTCGCCGGGAACGCTGTCCTGCTCCTCTTTTGTAACGAAACGCCATCCTGGTAGAGTGGTCAGCTCTGCTCTGACAATGAAGAAGTCGCGGAACACATGGGGGGGGGGGGGGGGGGATCTGTTGGTGAAGTTGAGTGGGTAAGACATACCCTTCGCACCCAGATGCCAATGGACGACAGAATAGCTGATTATATCCTCTAGACCCTTCAGTTTGCGGGTGATCAATGTCCGGCAAGCCTACAACATTCCAAGTCAGTGGCTGTCACGGCTGGCTCAGCTACGACCCATGATTGACAAAGTCGCCGGTCGGAGGCACGAGACTGAGAGGGGCGTGAGGAAGCGACGCACCCATGGGCATGCATAGCTGACGTAGAGATGATACCGGCCCTTCTCAGGAGGAAATTTTGCGCCCTGCTCGCGAGAGATGGAGTCGCGGAACGAGCTCTGCTGGCGCTTGAACTCTCCCGACTTGTCGCCTGACTTAACCCACTCGGTGATTTTGCTAGCCTGTTGTTGTTTGATATCAGCCATAAGTCTCATTCCAATGTCTGCCGACACGGCGCTGGTAATTGCATCTCTAGCTTCGATTATCTTACCATTCTGATGTGTTGCTTCTGAACGAGGAACCTAGGCTGGGTAATATTTGATGATGACACCAGAGATGAAATGCGCTGAGGAGTTGCGCGGGCTGTAGAAGACAGTATGTAAAAGCTTCGGGAATGCTGGGTACTCTTTGCTTGTTTAATGGAACTCGTAAGACGAGTCAAAGTCCTAATGTTCATATGTGATGATAACGGTGCCTGCTCAAACACCAAGATATGAAGATGCGGGGGTGAATTGGTATTTTATACGTGCCAGAGCGACACGATGCTACTGTAAGTGTGTGTTCGGAATGACGAGGCAGGAATGGGGGTACCAAACAAGCCTTACTGCGAGTTTATGCAGGCCATCCACACCTGACAGGAACAGCTCTCTTACAATTGTGGATATTTCTGATTATTAGTCATACATAGGCAGCTTGTACGCCCAGTTCTCCCGCCCAATTGCCATTGTGCGTTGCAACATGTTGGCACGCATATACTGACGGTATAGTGGCCAAACCGCTCTAAGCATTGCTAATGGTGACGTAAACTGGGTCCGTTGAACACTATTCCTCCTCTGCATGGCTGCCGCAGGGTGCTTACAAATGACCACCGACCTAACTCGGAAGGGTTGGGGCTTATTCAGCCATTTACGACCCCACTTGTCTCCGTAACGGCACTTGCCCAGGAAATGCCTAGACTACAACAATCACCAAACACAGCAAACAGTATGAAAATGATGGTGAAAGTCAGGAAAGCTCTATTTCCCTAGTCCCATTTACCAGTTCGTATGGCCACAATTTTCTGGCCTTTCTAAAAATCATAATAATAATCAGAAGCCTGTGTCTCTCTATCTAAAATTCCACGGTATTCCACCATCACGGCTCATGAAGATCATCAGATCTGCTCTCATGCCATCTTCATCTTGATATAAGGAACCTCCACATCCTCACCATCTACATCCTCCGCCACCATTTCAAAGATGACCTCCTTCTGATGGGATGGAATGGGCTTCTTGGAGACAGTTTCCACCAACTGGCTGAGCTTGAGGTTCTGGCGGTCCTTTAACTTCGCCGGAGGGAAGAAGCTAGCGTACAGCAGACTGACACCAGAGCTGAGCATCGAGATGGTTAGGCCCTGCTTCTCAAAGTGCTCAAGGAGCTCCTTCAAAGTAATGTCGGCAACTTCGAACCGATCCCAGATCTTGTCAAGCTTAACTTGGCCATTGGGGCCTTTGAACTCTACCTTCGGGCTGGCAATCGGTTCACTGAATCCGAAAAATGGCAGGGCGAGGTTGATGAAACCGTTCTTGTACTGCTCCAAGTCTTGTTTGCCGTCAATGATCTTGTAAAGCTCCAAAACCACCAAGCCCGTAACGAGAGCCGTTGTCGTGGCAATGGCAGGAATGATCTTGCCGGCGATGAACTTAGTCTTGTGACGGTCAGCCTGCTCAATCTTGTAATTGGCAGCACGAAGGTTGCTGCAGGCGGTGATGAAGTCAATATGGTGGTTCGAATCGTCATCCTTCTCAAATTCGACGGGCTGAAGTTGGAAGCCAGCCAGATCGTTGGGAGACGGCAAGGTAGCAATTAGCTTCTGCAACTCATCGTTATCGTCAAAGGAGCTGCCGTCGCCAGCCTCGGCATTGGGGTCCTGCCTAACGTTAGCTATTACTATGACTCTGTAGGGATGTCAGAGACTTACAGGGTCACTGTCGTTGGCCTGAATCTTTACGCCTTCCGCAGGGGAGAACTCAGGCACGATGACGTTCTCAAGCTCGCGCAAGTAGATGTCCTTATCAGTGCCGGGAGACTTGATGTTGTAGTTGAAAGCATGCAGGTTCGCCGCTGCCACAACAAAAGCGAAGTGAGTAGGATTGTTGGCATCGAACTTCAGCGGCTCAGGAGCTCGCTTGGGACCAGACCAGAAAGGTGTGCCGCTAGACGTTGTCGAGTCCTTGGGGAAGTTGTGCAAAAGCTGCTGGATTTTATTGTTGAACTCCTTCTCGAACAAAATCCGAGCCCACGCAATGCAGTCCTCAAATGTCCGCGGGCGTTCAGTAGTCAAATAGTCGCGGAGAGTCTCCAGAGTCAACTTGGCGCTGCCGCCTTGCTTCAAGGTGGACTCGATATAGTTTGGCTGTGTCAGATACAGGTTGACAGTCGAGGGGAAGGTAATAAAGAGGTTCTCAAACATATGGTCCTTAGACCACGCAATAGTGTGCTCGATCTTGTTGGGGAAACTTCGAACTGTGCACATAGGGAACTCCTTCTCGGGTGGGTCTTGGGATGAGGAGTAAGACTCGGTCAAATGCGGGAGCACAACCTGGGTGTTACCCTTGGTACCTAGCGTACCACTCTCAAGCAGAGGCTTGCGGAAGAATACGCAACGTCTGTCAACATATGTTCTCGCCTCCACGTTGTCTAGTGCATTGGTGACACCGTCAAGGCCGTTCCAGAACTCTTCGTTGAAAGTCTCCTCCGTTTCAGGGCTCACACGGTCCTTGAGACATTCAATGTGGCCATGCAGGTCAGGGTTCATGGCCTGCACAGCAGCAGCCGCACAGTCGCTCTTCATCTTACCGACGTCCTTCACACGGAAAAGGAACTGGCGGTTGAGGTTACTCTTCTCGATGGAATCCATATCGGTGACGGTAATCTTGCCCTTGGGACCAGTGCCGAGGCCAATCATGGCCCAGTTCTTGAGCATCTCACATCCAATAGCACCGGCACCAACGAGGAACTGGCGCAGGTTGGCTATCTTCTCCTGATACTCGCGTCCAAAGACAACAATCTGTCCGTCGTATCTGGTCCCCAAAGGCTTGCAGAGCTCTGCGGTACGCGGGGTACTAGTGGGAAGAGACTCCAGTGAGTCAAAGTACATCCACTGTTTTATAGGCTGGAACTTTCCAGATACGGCCTTCAGAACTTCCTGCGCGGCAATACCACCGAAGAAAGCCGCCATGGGGTTGAGGTCACCAAGAGCCTGGTAACTAAGCTCCTTGAGCAACTTCTCGTCGAATTCAACCTCAACACCCTCAGCTTTTGCAAACGCTTCTGCAGAGCGAAGGATCACTGTGGCATCCTCGTCGTTCAATGGGTTGGGGAACCGGCCCTGGCTCTCCACGAAGGCGTGAAGGGCCTGGAAGCCGAGGTGAAGCTGCTGAGGTCGGTCGAACTTGGCAAAATCGGAGATGACAAACTCGGGTTCCTTGATCGCGGCAGTGATGCTCTTGAAATCAACAATCTTGGGCATCTTAACCTGTTGGTAAAGACCCCCGCGCTTGTATTGACCAAGGCCGGAAACATCACCGATTGAAAAGGTATAGGGTCCCTTGACTGTAATCTTTCGTGGTTCACATCCGTTCAAGCCCTCCATGCCCTCGACCTCAGAAAAGGTTACATAATCGCCATCCTCGAGCCCATGGCGAGTCTCGTCCAGTGCAGAAACAAGACCCTCCTCATCAATACCCGCAACAATGCCACTCAGAGGAGTTTCGCCAGTCGGATCGATGACAGTAAATTTGTCGCCAAAGTCGCAGAAAATCGAGCCGAAAAGACCGAAGGTATCGGCAGCCACGACATAGATGCCTTTGGAATGACAGTAGTCGCCGATAAGTGTCTGAAGCTTCAGCGGAAGGCTGGTCAGGACGACGACCTGGTATTTGTCGAACTGCGAAAGGTTTTCGCCCAAGCTATGATGCCCCATGTCAGTCACGTCAATTCGTCAGTTTCGATTCCGCATACGTACTTGGGTGACTGGTGGACCTTAACGGGCGTGTATGCATTCAGCTCCGCAACACGCGGGGCAGTTACTTCGTCTCGCGGCTTTCCGACATCCTCGGGGTGGAGGAAGAACTGTGAAGACAAATCGGCAAGGGCAACCAGCCCCGGGTCATATAGAGTAAGGCTCTTGACACCGGCAAGAGCGATGTTCTTGGCGATCTCTACACCCAGGCCTTTGAGACCAACGATGAGCACATTGGAGGCGCCCATGCGCTTCATGGCCTCGTGGCCCAAGACGTATAGCTGACGACTGTAGAGGGATTCATCGATCTCGGTGTTGCCAACGACAGAGTCGTCGACCTGCATGCGGGTCACCAAATCGACCTCTGGAAGCTTTTTGTCCTGTAAATGACAGCGGTGTTAGCATCATGATCCAATAAACGTAACCAGCTTCGTTCGACAACAGCGATGTCTTGATGCGGCACTGCAGAGGTTGTACGGCCGCAGGCAGGTCGACTTGGAGGGAACATACAGCCATGGCTTTTTTGTGGGAATCACGTATCTCCCCGTCGGAAAGTTTGCGCTTCCCCAGCTTGACGATGCTGTATCTCAAGGTCTTTTGCTATGAAGTGGAGGGAAACACGGGCGGCGGGACGGGTCAAGCTAAACCCCACCAAGTAACACGATATGTAGTATGTTGTGGTCGTAAGTATGGTCTCTTTGAGCCGTGGACGATCGTTGGTAAGGGGCTCGCAAAAAGAGAAAAAATGGTTTGCGCTGCGTATCGAAAGGGGAGGATATGCACCAGGCAAACTCGTGTCACGTTGATGTGGACGCAGATGGCAGAAGAGTAGCCTCGTTGCGGTGATGTAAAGGCGGTCGTGGAGCCTGTTAGGTGGAGGTGACGACGAGGGGCAGGGAGTCGTTCAGTGGATGGCAAGAAAGCTAAGGTAAGCAGAGGCAAGGTGTAGTGTTGGTAACCTCACGTAAGGCAAGGAACACTGAGTGGGAAGCTCCACTGAGGTGGGCGGACGATTTCTAAACAGTTGTCCGCCCCTCACCATGCATTGGGAGCTTGGTGGCTTATTCCGGCACAGCTTCCAGCACAAAGGCCGATCTTGCCCCTCTTTGTGCGTACCAGGAAGCATGCGCACTGTGCACCTCAATATGCCGTGTTGCAACAATTTCAGCCCACCATATCGCCAGGAATGGAAGTACCATAAGCACGGACTAATCTCTTGCACTGTACATACTTATGCCGGGCGTATGTGACATTCCCCGAGAATCTACCGACTTCCATCTTACTAGTAGAATACCCATCAGACAAGAGCTGGGTAAGCTTTCAAAAGTGGTAGGTGTCATGACGGGGCGCCAAGTGTCACTGCTGAATACATGTGGTTACACGGCTGGCGACGTGATGGTTGTTCGAAACAGAGCCAAATGGACAACATACCACGTGTAACTAGTTCTATATGGCTTTGGCATCAAACTGTCAATTATATGTCGAAAGAAAAAAACCGGCGATGATTCCATTTGTCCTTCTAACTGTTCTCTCCACCCTTCAATTACATGTCCCGGAGTCCTGCTTGCATTGCTCGCCGGCCAAAAACGATTGTGTACCTTAATGCGTTATCAAAAGAGTCCAAGTAATACCATCTCATAGCTCTCATGCCGTACCTCGTTGCTGGCTTACACCTCCAGCTCACACTCATTTGCGAGAAACCATGCGAAGACGAGCTCCCGCGCACACAAACAATTGAAATAAGGATACAGGATGGGTTAGTAGTAAGGACAGTTGATACCTCTAAGTGTTTCACAAGATAAAGATGTATTAGCAAACAGCTGGCAGTTGAGATTTGCCATTTGTATTCGGTTGTCTACTTGTTTAATACTGGGTTCGTGGTCAATAAGGGACAGTCTTTCGGAGCTGTCAACTAGTTTCTGCCTAGCTTTCGTTGTTTGTAATGTCCTTCCAGGCGCAAAAGTTGATCAACCAGGCTGTGGCTCGAACTTGCCTTAGCGTCATACATGAAGCCAGCGAACGATAACTTGGCTGACAGGTTCGATACCAAATAGCTCTAGGAGTGACACCAGGAAAGTCACCATGTGTATTAGAGGATGGTTGATCATGGAATCTAACTCAATGGCCAGTTACTTAATTGTAGCAGCTTACAGGGTAAACACAGTTACCGCAAAGCAATCCCCAATCCTATCAGCTCAAAGCCATTTTATAAACCATACGCCGGTCCCTTTACACTGAACTCAAGCATCGTGTCCAACACTTTCGAGCCTTGACAAGATTGACCACTTCAGACTTAAAAAGAAGGAACTCATAAGCTTACCCGTAACAAGTACATCCTGTTGACTAGTGTCCAGGCTCGCACGCGCAGTTCATGCCTGAAAATGGATGCTGAACTCTCAAACAGGGGCCAATTCTACATGAATATCTAGGGGTGAAGCAAAATCATGTGGAATATTTTTTATGTTTATTTATTTCATGGCTCTGTAATATCATCTGCGTGCGTAACTCGCAGTCAACAGGTGATATGAACTACCTACCCGTCATTGCACAACTCTGGACATGACACAAACGGGCACCGCAGTGTTGCCATTTCCCAAACTCAGCCGCTCGCGCGAAGTGCAATGCTGGTTTACTGGACCTTCTTCAGCTCAACATCGCTACAATCGTGTTAGTTCAAGAAACCTGACCAAGCGGAAGACAAGGCTGCGGAAAAGCTGGCAGCTCCGTTGTCTGCTAGCATGGGAGAGGTAGAACATACAAGATCAGATCAGCGTTGGGGGGAATGTGGCCGGTGAAGCCTCTGTTTCATGACAGTCAGTATCTTGTCGTATGTGTTGCAAATGTAAACGCCCGTCATGGTGTAACACGTCATTTAAGCGTTGAAGGTGTCTGCTTACCGCTCGCCGTAGGCGTAGTCGCTACATACATCTGTTAGTTACTGTTCGAAAAAAGAAGGGCCCCAGACGCTTGGCCCAACCGACACTTAAGAAAACGGATTGAACTAGCACGGCGGATGGAATTTCAGCTTACCTGGTGATGTCAAGGGTGGCCTTCTCGCCGACCTTCATCTGGGTAACACCCTCATCCCAGCCTGCGTCAGAATAGTAGTCAGTACAGGTAAACGGCCATAACCGACATTGTCACGTCCGAGGAACGTTCGAACGAGCAGGTCAAGGAACATATGGTGGCATCTGGGGGCAAAACGTACCCTTGATGACCTGACCGACACCAATACGGGTAACGAAGTCGCCACGGCCGACAGAGGAGTCGAACCTGCAGAGCACAACGTTCAGATTAGCATTGGCATTGACCAAGGTATGCGAGACCGAGCGGAGGGAACAGAGGATGAGAAGGGTGAGGATGAGGAGTGGTCAAAAAGCTGGGCGAGGGGTAGGCGGGGTGACCGCCACGGGAGGAGATTCCATACTTGTTGCCCTTGTTGTCGGGCTTGCTGGTGTCCTTCAGGAAGCCCGTGTACTCAATGGTGACAGTCTGGCCAGGGGCAGGGATGGCGCCGGAGCCCTCACGGTGAGTAGTCTTGGTAACACCCATTTTCGCAGAAGTTGGTTGTGTTAAGATTTGTGTAGTGTAGTTCTGGTTGTTGATTGTGTGGAAGGAGAAAGTGGGAAGGAAAGAGAGAAAGCTGAAGCGGCGAGGCTAAGTGTACTTTGTAATGGAGGTGGGGGGTTATGGAGGGGTAATTTGTTTGTTCAAAAGGAGAAGCTGGGGCATTACGCAATTGTGTCCGGAGGACCCAACCTTGCACCTTAAATACTTGCTGGAAATTCAATGCGGGAACGGGGATGGCTTGAGGCTTCGCTCAGCAGCAGGTTAAGAACATATGCTCCAGCTACAATCACCCATTCTCAATTGCTGGCGGACTGGCGTGCACCGGATGTTCAAGTAAAGGTACTTTGCCGCCGCAGCCAAGAGGGAGGGGCTGATGACGAGCTTGGGACACCGACTACCCCATCTTCTGGACACTTGATCAAGAAGTAGTGTCCAGTGCCAGAGTACGCGAAATAGAACTTTTTGGCAGAGTACCTCTCACCATGGGCTTAAAGGGGCCGTGATGGTCGATCCCGAAGCCGACAAGTCGTGTCAGTGTAAATTTGTACCTCCTCCCTGCAAAGCCTACTTAAGCGCCTTACACTACCTACAGAGGCACCTCCAGACCGACAGAAAGCAAGGCTACTCAACGAGGAGGTACCTTCGCACCTGACCCAACGCCTCCGGGTACACAGTACCTCCCTCCGCCGCTTTGCCAAGCTCACCCCGTCCGAGGTAGCCACTTTCGGCTGCCCTGGCACGTCGTCCCTGCGGTGAAGCAGGCTTTTTTTTTTTTTTTTTTTTTCCCAAGGCCATGTTTCTCGATAAGCTTCGTAACTTGAGCAACAAACTTGTTCCACATCGCCATGCAAAAGGGCCTTCACGCCGCCCAAATGCAGCTCCGAGTCAATCAGTTTAGTTCGCGACAGGGCCCCCAGTCTTCTTGCGCTTCAAAACGTGGTTCTCAGGAGCACGATGCCTGCCAGTAGAGCTTTGTATAGATACCTCCATTTGTCAAAGTACGGAGTGGAAACTGCACCTCCAACAGTTACAATGAGAACTCAAAGTCAGGTACCATACCTCACCTTTTATGTCAGGTATTTCCCTTTCTACAACCCATTCCACCCCGCCTTTACCAGTCTTGCCTAACTATCTCGGCGCCCAATCACAGCAGGTCCTCACGGCCTATGTCTTCCCTTGAATTTTAAGATTTCATGGCGTGATACATAGTAATGTCGCATGCTGCTAGTCAAGAGGAAACGGTGAACAGCACTCATTACGCTACTCATCTTTGGCAGTTCAACACTGTCGTACCCCGCGCCCCTACAGCCCAGGACGAGCTCGCCTTGGGGTATAAAAAGCGCGACCTGTCATATAGCTGTCCGGCCGTTTTTAGTTGACGCCCTTGTTATACGGGTATGCAGCTTGTACACTAGAAATAAGCAGGGCGAGCAAACTGAGCAAAGCGTCAAAGATTGACCAGTCGGCTATCCCCTTGGACAGAGGGGTCGCCCCCGTTCTCTCTTGCCCCTCCATTCCCACCGCGCTATCCGCAGATCAACGCTTGCTTAACCCGCCGTTGCCGTTGCCGTTGCCCTTCTGTTAACCTTTAACAGCTTCTCATCAGCGTGCCAAGCCCTCATCTTTCGCAATTGCTTCAGGCACAACTGTAATTGAGACGACTAGCAGCCACTCTGTCAATAAGACTTCTGAGCACTCCCGACCGATCCCATGTGCCGAGACACCCTCATTTTCGGCGCAAACCGTTTCCTCTCACAGCTCCATTAAGCCAATGACATGCAACTAGCGCGAGGTTTCGCACCAGTTACTGGCTACAGCCCTGTTAAAAAAAAATGACAGAAAATCCTGTCAAGCCAAACAGAGAATATGACAAGCGCGCTTCTCCACCGCCTCTGATAACCCCTCCAATCCCATCTATTGGATATGGCAAGCTCTGGAAACCGACCGAAGTACATAAGACATTATAGACATGAAAATAAACAATAAATGTTGTGGGATCTATCCGTACCCGTCCTGAATGTAACCTCTTGCGGGGATACAGGCGGAGACTCGTCATGGAGGGCTTTTTGAGGTTAACTGATGATATTTGATGTGATTGCTTATGGAAGACCCGCCCACGTGTGCACCTTCACGGCAGGTCCAACACATTTCAGGTAAAGTTTGCGACAGCATTGTACTATTCTATCCATCGTTCGGTCCCCCAAGCCGCGTTTGCGGACATGATCGAAGAGCTCCTACGTCTCCAGGCTTAGCACCAGTCTCCTAGCTCTTTCACGGAAGACGACTATCTTGAAAGTGAGGCGGCGGGATCTGGCAGCTGTGCTCGGAAAAGCCGTAGATTAATCCCATCCATCGATCGAACATGAACGTACGGGTACTGTAAGCCGACCTCGCACCGCAGCAGTGGACCTGTCGACTCGTTGTCAGCGACAGGAGGTTGCCCAATGAAGGGATTCAGGCTCTCCACGGAGGGCCCTGGGATGCAGGACACGGCAACTGCAGCTTTGACAGGGACCTGGAGGGGACAAACAAACGAAGGGGGTAATTCTTTGTTGCATTTTTCCGGGCCCTGCCTCGATCTTCGTGATACTTGTTCGTTTTCTGCATCATGTATGTAGTATCAACGGAACGAAGCAAATCGGGCGAAGCAAACGCGATGGCAGGAAAAAGTCGAGATAGCATCTAATATGGCACTGTGCCCAACATTAGCGAGTGGTTTCTTTCTGCCCAAGTAGGTGGTAACTTTTTTATTTATTTATTTGTTTTCTTGGCAACGTTGTTGCTCATAATACACTCTTCAATGAGGTAAGGTTGACTTGAGAGGCGTGCGTACTCAGTCACACGTTGCTCCAGACAGTGAGCGTGGTGGGCGGACTTTCCAAACCCTTAAAAGTATAGCCTTATGTATCAGCAACTGACAAATGGCGTGTTTATGTGGCTGAGTGCACACCACCTGGGTAATAGGGGTATACAAAGCTCGCCAGGAACCGCGCGGGACTGCATGTACGTGATAAGATGTAGCAGATGGCAGATGAGCCAACACGAAGGTGACTGGAGTGCCCCCAGACGGTTCCGTGCCACGGGATGTGTCAGTCACGACGGCCGTACAAGCATGCCAACCACCTCCCCCGGGGAACGTCGGTCTTGCACCGATTACCATGACCCATGCGGCCGGGCTCGACGCCGGACCGGGGGCTGGGCCGGGGCAAATAGCCGTATGGCAGCCGGCCAGCTGAGCCCCCGAGACCGCTTCTAGATCGGTTGCGTCTTTGTCATGCTCACATCTAGAAAGTTGGCAATCGTTATATGCTGCTACGATGACCAGGTCTGTCAAGCTCAACTATTCAGGCGAATATTCCGATACATTACAATAAAACGGATTCGCCGTTCCGTCACTCCGTGAACCCCAGTCGTTCAGAGTGGTTTGTTTTCGACACAGAACTCGCACAATGTAAGTTAGCCCTGAGGGTTGGCTGCAGAGGAAGGCATGGCAGAGCAGAACGGTTTGGCTCCCTACTAGTACTGACAAATAGCCAGCTACCGGATCTTGAACACGAATCGCCGGAGAAGAAATCATACGTCACAGACTGAGCCAAGTGGAGTTTGACTCACATGTAGCATTAAAATGTACGGCTGGCCGAGTACCGAGGAATCCGTCCAGGGTCGCCCAAACGTTTGTCGATGGCTAGCAGCACATTCCAATGACGTCGCCTTGTGTGTTGCTGAAACGCAAGGGAAGAGTCCGACTTGGGCTCTGCGAACGACAAGGGAGAATCTTTGGTTGGTAAGGCGACGGGGATGGGCAACAAGTAGAGTTCGTCCGCTGATATCTCAAACATGACATCTGGATCAGCACAAGCCACCGCTAGGCTTTGCAGCGTTGGGGCGGGAGGGATACGCACGTGCGAGAACGGACGAGACGAAAGCAAACGACGTTATGCCTGCAATCATCATGTCAGCCTCATGTAGCATATCAACAACAGACCTCATGGTTCAAAATCGCCTAGATTCCAGCAACAATAAATAAAAAGCCCTCATCCCGCCTTCATCTGTTCCGCGCGCCCGATCGCGGAGAGAGAGACACTGCTAAACATCACAAGGATCATAACACAGAAAACGAAACCGAAGATGCTCTGCTTGGAACGGACAGCGCCGGTCGCTATAAAGTGTGACGGGTATGTAATGGTGCGATCGGCAAAGAAGCAACCAACTCTGCTTTACAGCGGGTGAGCAAAATGCCAAGCAGTCCCCGGTGTGGGCTTGAAACAGTACGGAAGAATGCTCAGCTGAAATTCAAAGTCAAGAATCGAGCTGTCATCTGGTCGTTGGCCCAATCCGTCTCGACATGTTTCAAGGTTTCAGGACGTAGTCGCCCGCATTCTCAGGTACGGCAAAAAGTCTAAGCCGCGCCGAACGGTTATGTCTATAATGGGAAGCACTCAGCATTGACGCGCTAAAGTAAGGAGAAAGTTCGAGGAAGAAGGCATCCCAGAGTAAGACAGAGACTAAGCGAAGAATTTAGGACTAAAGGGGATAAGGTGAGACGCCGGTGATGAACGGACGTGACTCCATTCATTGAGGAATGACCCGCGAGTGTGAGTGATGGCGCCAGACATTGGAAATCGTCATCCGAAGGCGCGAAGCTTTAGGGGTAACACCCCCCGTTAAAATGAGGGGGAAAAAAAGGTACAGTTGGACTAAACCAGCCCCGTTCCTGAGTTATTCTCTCGCTCAGCAATAGCGCGTTTCTTGGCACAATGTTGACTCAAGCAGAAGCCTCACTAACCGTAGAGGCACGAAGTCGTAGCCAAAGGTACCACTCTGTGATAGCACTTTCTATATTATCTATATTGTTCAGATTGGAAGCCCCCGCTGACATGGGCTCGGCACCGGACCGGATGTTTTTGGGCTGGCGGCAGAAAACAATAGTCGGCTCGGGCTGTGGGCTTGAGAGAGAGTCTAGATTGAGACATGCCGTTGCTTCCGACCATTGAGTTACACGGTGGTGGGCATCTGTGTTAGCCAACCCAGAAGTCAACAGTTTAGGTTTCGCGCGTTGATAAAACGACTCCATTCGACAGTCAGGATGTGATTGACGCGGCAAAGATAAAGGAGGACCGGACGACAAAGTGCGGATAGGTAAGGTATTTGGACGGTAGAGGGCTGCGACGGGAAGGAGAGACACAGTCTGTTGATGAGGCGAGGAGGAGCGTTTCTGCCCCGTGAAGACTGCACAGCCCCAGTCTATCGTGTTTTGAGCAGTCCCGCATCCAGCAATCGACTCCCGACTCCTGGAGCGCAAGGGCTGAGTCCTTGAATACCATACCGTCCTGGATCTGTGACGGAACGGGGGCAGGAATACGAGCTACCGGCCCAAACCAGCCTTAGTCCCATGGCATGTGTGACTCGCATTCCCTACCGGAGAGTACGATTCTCAAGTTACATCACGAAGAACTTTTGTTCGTTTGCTTGCCCGGTTGATCATGGGCCCAAGAGAAAAGTCTTGATGCAAAGCTGGGACGAATAGCAAGCCGCCGGCACCGTTAAGGGTACGCAAGGGGAAAAGAAAGATGTGCACTTGTGGCGTCAGGACAACGCTATGTTGATACCGTCTTAAACTAATGTAAGGGAATGGGCATGTAACAGCGGGTGTTTATGAGCAAACTGAACTGACTCAGCAAAGAGAAAGAGAGAGAAAGAGGGGGCGCAGGTTCGTCTCGCAGCAGTGATGATCAAGTACCAATTACACTGTACAGTAAACAAGAAGCTTCAGTTGTTTCGCTGGTTCATCCACGTGGAGAACGACGCGCAACAGCTTTAGGCCGCAGGGCCGCCGTCCTGAACCGCTGATCGGGAGCGGGCGAGACCAGTCGCTGGATTCTCAAGCGAACCCTCTGTGTTTCCGTCTCAGAAACTGTCTAGGCCAGACCTAGAATGACTGGATGATCGACGAAAGCCACCCCACTGTTCAAGTTGCAGAGATATTGTCAACGGACGGCTTATCGGCAGAGCAGGTCGTCAGCCAGCCCTGCGCCACATCCTGAGCATTGGTGGGCAGGAGAGGATTGGGTGCTTTTGTATCTGTAGTGTGCACAAAAAAAAGTCTTGTCGTGGGGGACGAAAGGCCGGAAGACTCCCGTTGATCGAGAAGGGAGTGTATCACCAATAGGACAGAAAAAAAAAAGTCTGGACTGTCACCACTGTTTGGCTATGTTGGTCTCCCCCCCAGTGCCGACGTGATTAAAGGCTCAAGCCCACGGTCCATCTACGGGACATTCGAGACAGGCTAAGGCGAGCGGCGTCGGCTCTTATTGGATTAGTATTCTGCTATATCCACAAAACGCATGGGGAAGGCGAACTACGAAGCAGGGGTATCGGCCACCGGGGGTGGAGAAGAGTGCAATATGTATCGACGGTAGCCCCTCAGTTCTTTTTCTCCCCTGTCCAGAAACTGGTACTTGTGCCTTCAGGATTTGGTACTTGTGTGGTGGTGGATGCGACCGTCGTAGGCACAGAGAAGGAGACAAGGGAATGAGCCCTCCCTACCACAACTTTGCGACTTCAGGTACCTCCCCTTGTAACCAGTGAGCGTAATCCTGTTGGTGGTCCGATCGAAAGGGTCAACCGCCCGCTTGTTGGATCCTTCCAAGTCCCCTCCCCTTACCTTTACGTGTTGGCACGTTGGGTACGCATGTGGCATGCTCCATACTCCGTACACTGAGCAGAAATCCAGCGTGTGTCGCTGTGTACTACTAGTGCAGTAACCGATCCATCTTTTAGGTGCTGATCAGCCGTGCGTCGGCCCCGTTGGTCCCGTTGGTGATGAGCAAGCGACACGGCATAGCTAAAGGTGACAATGGTCTCTACGCAACCGGATTTGTGTGCGCGCCCGTGTCTGTATTTTAGGGAACAATGTTTATAACCCTGTCAATGTCGACTTGAACCTTGGTCTGTGTAGTATATGCGAAAAGCGAACAAAACACCAATGCTGATGTGGATAATTGGTGAGGCACGAATGTTACGGTAAGAAGGCAAGTCCCAGGGTAGTGAAGGTGTCATTATTGAACTGCAGGTAGCGAGCGGTCTGAGCTTTGAAGCTTCAATTTCAGGCACCATGAGAGGGTTGCAATGCCACAAGAGAAGACAATAAAAACAACACAGTACTGCATGCCTGCGCCGGACTCAGGGAACAGACAAGCCTCAAGGAACTCAAGGTACAGAGGGGAACGTGGAAGGAAGGCTGAAAGACAGACAGCTACTGAGCGGCAGATGACGATTGGCGGATTGAGCGACTGATTGAGCTCAAAGGTAGGTTGCAGTTGTGATTTGAGAGGTCAAGCGGAGTCAGTGTCAGTCAACGAACGAGGGGAAGTTGAGAGAAACAGCAGGTTGACGAGTAAACCGCAGCGGAGCATGTTGCGCGATTTCCACAATTGTAGTTGCAGACAAGGCAGATTGCCTCCGATTGTCATTTCGTCTTAGTCGGGATTCTCCCAAGCTTCGACTGTTTGGTCAGGGCGCTCCTTCTTCCGGAGTGCTGCCGTGGGTAAAGATCAACGGTCAAGTATGTTCTGAGCTTCCACATGACCCCATGCCCCAGGGTTAGTGTAGCAGCAGAGGAGAAGGATTGTGTATGGCGGAAAGCAGCAAAAGGACAGACGCTCTCGCATGGCCGACATTTGCATGCATCGGCGCAGGAATGTAAGACCAGTGAGATGAAGAAAAGCTGGTTGGTAGGAAGACTAAGAGGTCCTGGAGGAGGGTGAGATACCTTGCGGAGCTCCTGAGCACCGTCTGCAAGGGCTGAGCGGCGCAAAATTGCCCGTAGCGTCGGCTTCCAGACCAACAGCCAATCAACAGCTTCCGCTTGGCAGATTCCCCCTGAACCGCCCCACTGTTTTCCATCCTGGAAGGAGCAACCAGCCCCGGACATAAGAACAGGCAGGTAGGCTAAGCAGCTGGACTGACCCGTCACTCGCTTACTAGTGTACGTAGTAGATGGCTAATGGGGTGTGACTTTCTTTACTTGCAAAATTAACACTTACAAGCAAGTACTTTCTTCTCTGAACGTGGTCCAGGCCCCAACGCCATGTTCCCCGGTTGATTACGTATTCTCACCCTGAAATAAGCAGCACGAAGGGTAACAAGCTACTGCGAAGAAAGGTACGTACAGATTGAGCTGCCACCTCGTGCTTCTCCAGGCTCTAACAACGGTAGTCATCCACCGTCAGGTCGCCCATTTTTAGCCAGCGCCCCAAAAAGCAATAGCGCACGATCACACTAGTGTGCAAACCACAGTGGGACGAAATCTCACAACTTTGGACCATGGGCCCTGACTTGAGTAAGTACCATGTTCCCATCTTCCCACCATCCTTAGTCGACGGACGCTGTAAACGTCGCTATGGCGACTCCACCAGCACCTGTTCTTGCCGCCTCTCCTACAAGACACTATTCTGATACCCGTATTTGCGTTGGCTGATAATCAGGTACCAAATCCTGGATCTGCCAATCCAACGCACGCGCATGCACACACAGGAGTGACAAGGCCAAGCCCATTTATTACGGAAGGCATGGGCGGTCAAGGGCCTTTTCGTCGCGGCGGTGGTAGGTAGTGCGCCGTCGGCCCTAGCAGCACTGCCGCTTCGGTAAGGCGACCTGGACGGTAGACCACGACCAGAACAGAAATGTCATTTCCAGGCTATTCCACCCGGCCCACCGCAAACGTCAGCAATTCAAGAGGGACGATGCTAACGACGGCCAAAAATGGTCACCAACTGACCAAAAACGTGCCTTGAGCCCGTTATCGCCGGTACAACGCCATAGTCTCGTGCGGCCAGAGTTGTCAAATTGATCTGACCCAGCGTTCCCGACTTTGACTCTTCCACCTTACATTATTCAAGACAACTAACCGACCAACGGCTGGGTGTGCACTCGTTATTTGTTAGCAAAATGGGATGCGATGCAGGGACACTGACTGCTTGGACGGCCTGTGGACTTGTCTCTCCCAAACTCCCTAATATGTTTGTACCTGCGAGTGGAGGGGCAGATCCTGGATGCGGACGCCTGCACAAGTAAAGGGATCCTAGCCACACTGAGCAATCCAGTATTGTGCTCAGCGCCAATTCCCTTCTCAGCGACTTGTGAACACTTTCTTTCTTATCCACTGCGACCGGGTTGTCTACACCACATTTTCAGTGAAGAGCAAGGCAGTTACGGGCTACTTAGTTCTCAAAACTCAAGCTTCGGGCGGATGTGGGACTACAATATTCGAATGTTGCTCACATTTGACCCTTATCCACCTCATCTCAATCCATGTCGTCCGTCCTAACAGGCTCGCCTGATATGAACAGTTCAATCACCGACAGGCGCGCCACAACAGTACATGCGAGACGCTACTTCGCCCGTATCTGCCGCCATTTTAGAATGGGGCGTACTGTAGGTGTACGAACCTGATAGCTGACGCGTGCGATTGTGTTCAGTTGTTCTTGATTCTCGGCCAAGATGTCGTGTCGTACATAGGTAGTGAGGCAGCGCGTGAGATGAGCTGCATTTGTTACTGCGGGGCTTACCTTTCCTTGGACAAAATATCAGCGGCCGTTGCTGAGTTGTACCGGTTCAGGCTAGCTGGCATAAGAAAGGTTAGCAGCCACTGAATAGTACGCAGCTTACATCCGCACTACGTAGCTTGGGCTGGCTGTTGTGTATTCATCACAATGTGTGTGTGTGTGTGCAAAGTGATCTATCCGCTCGGCCTTGGCTCACCTGCAGGCCCTGGTGCTCCTCACCAAGTTGCTAAGTTAGGTAGGGGAAGTGCAGGGACTTTGAGCAACACTTGAGAGAGTGAGAGAAAAAAAAATAAAAAAAAAGGGGGGGGGGGGGGGCGTGAGTGGTGGTGGGCGTGTGCAGCCGCTGGTGCAGGTGGACGAACAGGACTTGGCTGGACTGGCACCAAGGACGGAGCAAGATTAATAAAAAAAAAAAAAAACACTTGCTACTACGACAGAAAATTGGGTGGCTACACCCCCCCTGCACATCCTCTATTTCGTGCCTGGACCTGCCAATTACTATAGCCCAGCAGTGCCCGGCTTTTCTGCCATTCCAACTCTCTCCATCCCATCACCATCCCAGCCCATCCCATCTAAGGCCCCTTCCCCCTCCCACTCCCTCCTCCCTTCTGCCACCCCCATCCCTGTTTTCTCTCCCCAGTCCGCCCGTACCCCCCGTCTTGTCACCCGTCCCTTGTCGTGTGTTTCCATCAATCAATCAATCTCCCATCCTTCTGCTGCCTCGTTCCATCCACATTCTTTCCTGTCCCCTTCCATTCCTTTACCACCCTCGCTTTTCCTTTCAGTTTGCCTTCTACTCCTCTCGCTCGCTCTCCTCTTCTACCGCCCCCACCTCACCCGACCTCGTCTTCGACCGTCGATATCGATTTCGACTCGCCTCCGTCAAGAATCCATTAGGCGACGTCGATTCTTCGATTCTCAACCTGCGCCCCTTTCGCACCTTCCCGGTCCATCGTCACGTCGTCCTTCCGCCCTCTTATGTGCTCTGCACTGATTTGACGGCCCTCCGGAGGTCTTGCGGACAAATGCCAACTTCCTCATGAATTCGCGATCGGGAACTGCTGTAATTTTTCAAGCCGTGACGGACAACTAAACGACGTCCTTCTCGCACTATCCGACGATTTCTCGTCGAGTCACTCATTTTTAACAAACCACCACACGAAACTTAGACTTACACTCTTTGACAATACCTTGTCAAGTACATTCGTTCAGAAACACCCCTGACAAGTGAGTTGCTGTGTAATTCATACCTGCCAGGCGCTGGGCTAACAGTCAATCGAGACACAACTATACTCTACCAAGACTGGTATCTTACACAATCGCTTAAACCCCATTTTCAATATACGATAATCGGAGCTGCCGCCGGAAAGGAATCATGCACGCCAAACAAGTTCTTCTGGCCGCTGCCTTGGGCTTGGCCACAACCGTCTGCGCCGACCAAGAGAAGCCCAAAATCTACTTCCCCCGTCACGTCAAGAGACAATTTACAAACTCGACAAACACGCGACCCGAGACGTTCCCAGCACCTGAGAGCACGCCGTTCGAATCGTCAACGTCGGACCCTTTCAGCTCTTCTTTTGGTGACTTTTTGACCCGCTTGACCGATTCTCTCAACCCCAACCCTGCGTCAACAGTGGCTTCGACCACCGAACCACCTGTGCCGACCACCACGGTTGCCCCTACCGAGGTCAATGAACCAGGAGCTGCCGAATCCACCGTGTCCCTATCGACTTCGACTCTTCCCGATGGCAGGGTAACGACCATCGTGATTTCAAGCACGATTATTTTCGATCCGACGACCGAGACTACGACAAGCGGCTCTAGTTCTACCGCTGGCTTGCCGCCTGTCATTGTCCTGCCCACCAGCAGTGACACCTCAGCTGTTCCAACGAGCGAACCCCCGTCGTCAACCACTCAGCAAGCCGCGCCAACGGCGGCCGAGTCCAGTGTTCCGAACCAACCCTCGAGCGCTCCCGAGACCACTACCGCCTCTTCCGATGTGGTCGAATCGATCCCTGCATCTACGTCCGAGGCCAGCTCAGCTCAGCCTACCGATGCCGCTCGTGGACCCAACGACACTGGGTCTAGCACTATCGCATCCTCCACCTCAGAAGCTGTTTCTAGTTCAATTGCTCCTGTCACCACCGAGACTACCACTTCTAGCACCAACGTTGCCTCTACAAGCGAGGGCGCACCTACCAGTGAAGTGGTGCCCACAAGCGAGGCCGCACCTACGAGTTCGGTCGCACCTACCACTGAGGCTGTTTCCACATCTGTGCCTGAGTCGAGCACCTCTGTTCCCTCGTCCGGAATCCTCCTGGCTCCTTCCGGCGTCGTAACCCCGACTTCGAGCGCCGAATCGAAGACGCCTGCCAGCGAGCCTGAGCGTACTTCGACTCCTGAGCAGGAAACCTCTAGCAGCGTTGCCGCTCCAAGCGTTGTTCCTGGCGTCAATGTCACTGAGCCTGTCGCGTCAGCTTCTGACTTGCCTGTCTCGCTACCCGCCGAGACGACCACATCTGTTGCCCAACAGTTGACGGCTACTGCTTCCTCCGAGACGACTGAAACTACCAAGCCCGCCAATCCACTGGAGCCTATCGTTTCCTTGATCTCTAGCGATCTTGTGCTCCCCACGAACATCACCGAACCGATTGTCAACGCTACTTCCGTTGAGGCACCTGTCGTCTCGTCATCTGACATTCCCATTCCGACGCCCACTGCTCTCCCTGCTCCGACTGACCCTACCACGACGCTTCCGGTCCCGACTGATCCTATCGTAAACATCACCTCAGCGGTTGAGGTTTCTACTGATCCTACTACGTCTCTCCCGATTCCCAGCGATTCCGTTGTCAACATTACGTCCTCGACGGATATCCCTGTGTCGCAACCCACGCCTCCACTTTCCTCTGATGCTGTTGTCAACTCTACCGCTACGGAGCTTCCTGTGGACCAAACCATCACCAGCGTTCCTGCGACGCTGACGGATAGCACCTCGATTCCCGTCCCCACTACGACAGAAACCGGCTCTGTTGAGCCAATTCCCGTGAACTCCACATCCACCGAGCCGCCAGTAACGTCCACTACGGAACTTCCGAACACCACCGATGTCCCTACGTCTGTCACCTCTGTTGGCAACACTACGGAATCTGAGACTGTGACCTCTATCCCGACGCTTACTCCTTCTGTCCCGGCAACTACGATCGCGAATGAGACGGCTGTAACTACAGAGTCATCTGTCCCAGTGACCTCTGTGCCCACTGCTACGGAGCTTCCTTTGACCACATCAACTGCTATTCCCGTGAACTCGACAGTGGTTCCCCCGGAAACCTCCGTGGAGAGTACGCCTACTGTTCCGCCTGCTACGACGACTCCTGTCGTCACTAGCGTCCCTGCCACTGCTACGATCACTGACTCTCAATCTTGGCTTCCCACTACCATCATCGTGGAGCAGTCTACGTCGCTCAGCACGCCTACCGAAGCCCTGGCCCCTACTACGACTGTCCCCTTACCGTCCGATCTGCCCAAGGTTATCAGCCCACCGGATCCCAATGTCCAGCAACCCAAGGATACCATGCTTCTGCAGATTGGTTTCTTGCACGGCGAAAACTATCACCATGTCAGCAAGAACCCAAATGCCGCCGCCCAGATCTTTACCTGTCTTCCTAAGGCCCTAGCCGACGCTGCTGGGCTGGACATCAGTCAGATCCAGATGACAAAGCTTGTGCCTTACGACACTTCTCAGACCCTTGGTTACATCACTACTCTTGCTAAGTTCTACTACCCCAGAAGCATGGTTGATACGCTGCGCATGGACATCAAGATTCCGAACTCTGCCATCTACAACAACCCGGACCAGCTTGTCTACAACCTTACCCAGAACATCAACCCCGCTATCGAGATCATTCCTGGCATGGAGGATGACCCTAATGCCACTGGCGGTGATGGCGGTTCTTCTTCTGACAACCCTACCAACAATAACGATCCCTTCAACTCCGATAGCAACCAACAGACCCCCATGCAGAAGGGTACTGCGGCTGCCATCGGTATCGGCGCTGTTGGTGTTGCTGCTGCGTACGGTGCCGCCATGTTCATTATTGCCCGCCGCTACAAGCAGAAGAAGCAAGGCCACCGCCGTGCAAGCTCGCTCACCTCATCTGAGATGCGTTACACTGGCAATGGTAGCCCTGCTATGATGGGTGGTGCATTGATGAGCCGGGACTTCTCCAACTACGGCGGAGTTGCAGGCGGCCGAGAAAGCCACGGCAGTGGCCGGACAAACCGTAGCGGCATGGGCAACTCGGCAAGGACCGCGTACATCTCAGCACCAGTTGCTGCTGAGAACTCGCTCGGTTGGAACTGATTGACGACCTAGACGCCATTTTCCATATCTGTCACCATATTATGCTTCGATACCCTTCGGGAGGATCCTGTTTGAATGAGATGCCTGGCGGTTGCCCGGTATCGCACCGATGGCATTTAGAGAGGGTATATTTGGTATATATGCCTTTGGCCATGAGCTATCTGCTCGAAAGATTTCTTTCCTTTTTTTCTGCCTTTGTTTTCAATTCTTGTCTGGCAATAGGTAACCTTCTACCTGTGGGCTCACAGGACCTGGCGGTTGTCGGCCTGACCCCAACCGCATTATTATATTCTCGACGTCACTGTACTGGACTGTTCCCTTTCTACCCTCGTACCTTGTCCGGGGGCAGCGGTCTTTGGCTGTCAAGACTTTTGTTTTATTTTTAATATCTTGTATCTGAGTTGAGGATCTGTACATGGGGCGAAAAGTGAAATGGGAAGAGGCATTGGAGTCATGTCTATACATGGCAATGAGCTAGGAGTTGGAATATGGCTGAAAATGGCGATACCCTGGGGGGAGAAAGGCTGGGCTAGGTTCCCTTGTACATTTTGATTTTGCAGATGGAGAGGCGTCTATAACATGGCGTCTTGTGCCCACAGCTCCACCTTTGTCCTGCAATTTTTCCCCCGCCTGTCAAGTTGAGAAGTGCCTGCTTTACCAAAGGCCGTCGGACAAGGGGTCGCCTCATGCTTGCATTGTCGCAGATACAGCGAATAGACTAAGAACGAAAGAAGAACAAAACATATCAAAATCACTGCGTCCGAAGGTCCAGCGTTGCAATGTGTGCCGACCTGCGCAGGCTGTAAATAGATACCTAGTCATTAGTTTGGTTAACGTATATATATCAGTTTACAGCATTATATCGGAAATATGCACACGGAAGATATCTTTTACAGTTGGAGTAGGCGACATACTCCGAGCCCAATCACCCTTTTGCTATTGACTCTGCCTTGCTGAAGTCGAGTACATTCCAGATGTAGTGGGCGTCCCGTTAGGCACAGCAATGTGCTGGAAAGATGTGCAGTGATGCCTAGCTCGGCCAGGTAAACCAATAAGCTGGCTTAAGTCATCTGACACGAAAGCTCCCTCGCGTAAGCGTGTATGCGTCAGCATTGGCATTCATCAGCTCGAAGTGGGATAAATACTGGAGAACAGCTAGAGAAACGATAGTCCATCTTGAACACTGGCCTCCCTAGAAACAAGGCATATGAATAGCAACTCATAAGCTAGACCAGACAGTGCTCCGGATATTGAACGTGCCGGCAAGTCTCGACAACCGTCACCATCACAACCAATAGCAGAAACAACACCCGGGACACGCGCGGGAGACAGCATCAAGACAATGAGCCAGGAGAGAAAGTTCGAGTTCTCCAAGCCGGTCTCGGCGCCGTGGGACAATGCGCACGTCATCCCTGCCGCCGGGTGGGAGCGCATGAAGAAGGGTTTCCAACCGCAGCAGATGGAGGACCGCTGGGTAATTGTCCACGTCGTGGAACATGACGACAGGGACAACAACAGCGGGAACGGGCAAGATGCGATCATTTTTGCCAGGAGCTGGACACAATTCCCTATCGCGAAAATCATGGTTGTTCCCGCGGCAGACAGCGGCGATGATGGCAGTAGAAAGATCGCAAAGATTACCTGGGAATCAGACCGGAGCAGGTGGAATGTCAAGGATGGGGAGAAGGAGGCCAAGGAGCACGTTGTGCGATTTTCAGAGTCGTTCTTTGAGGTGTCCCTGGTAGAAGGGATCGAGACTTCCTGAATTGAGGTAACCCAATCCCCATGACATCTGTGCGTGTGTCGTTTCGCTGGCGATTCTCATCGGACGAACATGGGCTGACTCGAGCAGGTGTTTTGCCCTTATACCTTACCCCCTCCTATTACGACTTTGCAGTCGCACGTATACACACCCTCCCAGAATAGAAAGTTCACAGGCAAGACTGGCTGCCTGCTTGTTCCACGCCAAGCCCCCTACCTGTTGGCTTTTTGGGTTTGGTGGTTCAGAGACTTACAGCAGTATGGAGGCTTAAGTTAATCTACTCAACGTTGAACAACACCTAGCACAGTGTTTTGATATTCAATCGTTATTCGAGGCAATTGATTGTGCGAGAGAGTACTGCCGGGGTGGGTCCACTGCAGAGCAATAATCACTCTTGTATCTTGTTGCTATCATTGCATTCAACAATAAAGGGCGAATGGTTTAGTGGTATAATACTCGCTTAGCATGTGAGTGGTCCAGGGTTCGATTCCCTGTTCGTCCAAATCTTTTCTCATTGCTGCATCATCTTGAGGAAGCTCGATTTCATTGTTTTCTTTTTTTTTATGGTCCCACGTCTTTATCACTCAAAAGGCCGAGGTTCATCTGTCTGAGGGGATGTAGAAGTGGGAAGAAGATATGGTGACTAGGCCAAGTTTCCGTATGATTGCTAATAAGCGAGCGTTGACTTACATGCCCACGCTCTACGAACAAAGTCCTTGTAAGAAAACAGGAATAAATCGAAACCTTTTATTCGCTTCATCTAGCTACAGGTCTACCGCGAGTTAAAATGGGAATTTGCTATTCTGAGGATCAGAGAAGCTCCATCCGCTGCGCGTGGTTCATTACGACGTGATCTCATCGATTAAATCAATATGTATGGATGTATGAATGTACGTCAGTTCCGTGTACGAGCATGCAATGTGCAAGCTCATTGTTCGGCGTGCAGAGTATCTCATGCTCAGTCCACACCGTTGATGTCAGCCTTTGTGTCCGGCTTAGGCGATGTCTTACGACTCGATGCCCTTCTGCCCACAATCTTTTCTGTCCAGTTCCAATTCACAAGTGGTGTTGGCGCGCGTAGCCCGTCCTTGTCCTTATTCTTGAACTCCGCTTCTGTTGCCGTGGGACTCCTGGCGCTAGCTGTCGTCGCCGTCGTTTCGCTATCATCACTATCTGCCCAGTCGCGGTCGCTCCAGGTCACTGAATCCACCCTCTCAGGACGTGGGCGAGGTGATCTAGTGATCCTCGGTGGGCTTGCCGAGGAGCTTCGTGATGACGAACGGCGCTTAGGCGGTGGCTGCATATCCGGGACCATATCTTCTGCTTCTCTTTCAGAGTTTGGAGACAACAAAGCCGTTCCCGATACTTTGTTTGAGCCATCCTTGGTGGGGTCTGCGGTACTGTCTTTAACCTCGTCGCCAAACTTAGTCGGTGGTTGACTTATGTCGTAGGCCCTTTCACCAGTCGGCTCATCGGCATCCCGCGTTCTGGCCGTAGCAGAATCGCTGAAGTGGGCATCGACTAGGTGCTTGACAACTGGCCAGCCATAGGCATTGGCGAACATACGGCGGACAATGATGTTGTTGTGGGCGTCTGGCTCAAGCTTAACAAGAACTTTCCTCCACGCCAACCCACGGTGATAGGCACGGGCAATCTTTTCCTCAACCCGCATCTGCGACCCGTCGATCTCCTCGTCCGGATCCTTGTCTGGGTTTGTATTGGCTGTATCATCGTAATCTCTGGATGAGTCCATTGTGCCTTCGTGTGAGAAGCGCTGTGATGGCTGAGGAGACGAGTCCGTGCTCGTCCTTGAGCCTCCAGACCCAGTGGAAGCGGCGCGTCGGAAAGTACTCCTGCGAGACGCCAACGAGCCAGTAGGCTTTTTCTTCAGCGGTGGGGGCGGGATATCGGCCGGTTGGTACACACGATCGTGGAAGATTGCTCGAGGTCGCTTGGAAGGGTCAATTAGGTACTCGGTGGTAGGGATCTTAGGATTGATGAGGTCGTGGGCTGATTCGAAGAAACTTGTTCTCGGCGGGGCGATGTGCTGGTTCTCGTCTCGTTCAAGCTCGTGGCCGGCAGTAACTTTGGACTGACCCGATGACTGAGAAATTTCGTCAAAGTTGATAGTCTGACTTCTCCGGTAAATCTTATGTTGTTTGTTAGACATGCCAGGGGCTTTTGGCTGCGTGGTCTCATTGCTCTTGAACATCGAGAACAGGCCGGCGAGTGGGCCGGTGTGTGTCGGGTCTTTGGTCCCAGCAGGTCCATCCTCATTATATGGCGTAGGTACCGATCGCAAACTCGCCCTGTCATCCTCCATCATCGCATTCCGAGGCGGTTGCGGAACCTCAACAGCGTTGGACGGGGCTGTTGGCGTAATGTTGCCAGAATGGTCGTCTGGGGTCTCTTCTTGTTCCGGCGGAAGTGCGCTTGTTCTCCGTGGGGTGGGTGCCAAGCTGCCACCAGTCAACTCGGCCCAACCAGCGCCGACCAGAGTCTCAACTAAACCGGCGTCTCGTCTTGCCTTTTCTACACGTCCCAGACCCTGCCAATCCAGGAACAGAAGGCAACTGGTTCTTAGAGGCACAATGCCGTCATTGACAACATTAGAATATACCGTCCGGTTACGGAATTTTTTGAGAGCCGTGTGGGCCGGTCCTGTTGGTAGGATCCTCAGCAAAGGTTTCGACTCAGGCTGAACCTCGCCCATGACTCTCTTATGCGCACTCTCGCCCAGGTTGCTGACAATGGCCCCCCATCCACTCCTCGCAATGGTTGGTGCCCGCCACGTGAGGCCGAGATCTTGGCCTGTTCGGCCAACAAGACCGAAGTCCAATGCAAACTTTAAGTATAATGGGTTTTCGTTGCTGAGGCCAAGAAAAGGTGTAGCCAGGGCGACGAAGTTGATGGGTTTGATTAAGTTGAAAAATTCCGGTGAATGTTTTTGGATGTACGCCACGGCGTATGTTTGTATTAAACCACCCAGTGAATGCCCGATAAAACTGATGCTCGTGATAGTAAATGGACGCTTCTCTTCAATCTCCTCTTTGTGTATTGTGCTGTGTCTGTGAACTGCTTTAGAGCTGTCTGGATCAGATTTGTTGAAAACGGCAGCAACTGCTGATTCTGCAGGCCTTCGTCTAGACGGCAGGTAAGGTTGGTCGGGGTAGGACATGTAGAGGACATATCTGGCTAGTCTCTTACCCAGGTATTTGATACCCCTCTCTGTCCTCGTCGCATTGCCCGAGAAGCCCCTGACGATAACCTCTTCATCGTCACCATCGTCCTCGGCAGGGGAGTCTTCTTGAGCAGCATTATGTTCTGATGAAGGATTGCCGCTGTCGGTCTCAGTTTGTTCTTTGCTTTTCTTTTCTGCGCGTTCCTTGGCACGTCTTGCCTTGGCATCGATCTTGGCCTGGGCAACGGTTGCATCAATGCTCTCTTTCAGGTACAACATGTCCGCCCCAAGGTTACTGTGAAGCCCATGGGTGAGGACGACTAAATGCACTTTCTTCGGCTTTTCCTCTGGTTTCTTCTCTTCACTTTCTTTGTTTTGGGCGACACTCTCGACGGGTTGATCCTTGCGAGGCCGACTCTTAAGTCGGTCCATGTTGAGGTCATCCCAGCCCGGAAGCCTCGGAGTATTCCACAGCGCGGCTGTGTCTTCCACCTTGAGATGTACCGCCTTGGAGAAAACGCCCTTTGGCTGTGCAGGATGGTGGCCGTCTTTGGCTCCGATGCTCTGCTGGTGATCGGCGATTTTGCCGGGTTGTGGAACTTGCGCCTGGCCACCAATGACAGGTAGCGAGTAGCTAAGATTTAATGATTTGGCGTCTCTTGCCACAGTCACTTCATATCCCACAGTGGCAGAGGTTGAGAAAATGACCTGTGACGACACTTCAACGACCCAAGAGGCGCTCTCGTTTTGCTGCTCTGGTGATCCACCAAAGTGACTGCCTCCCCCAGTTCCTGCGCTTTGCCTTATATGCTCGGGGACGACTAGCTCGCATTCCCAGGAGCCACCTGCCTTGAGCATGGGCTCAAATTCGGGAACGCCATAGCGGCGAGGGTTCGCGAACTTGACATTGGGGTTGAAGTTGGATGGATAAGCGGCCGCGGAGAGTGTGTATGGACCGTGGACGAAGGCGGCACGAAGGGCGATTGCCGACGTGTTACGGACGCGTAGGTAGAGACGTTCAGGTGATGGTAGGATACGGTCCTGCGAGGGCGTGTAGGTCACGGTGTAGCGGACGACCTCTCCGATCCTAACGCTACCGACTTGGTAAACGAGAAGCATCGTGCCGTTGGCGGTGTGTATTTACTCAGCCGACGGAAAGGACCGGTGCGGAGGTAGAACAGTAACAGGAAGGGTCGGCGGATATATATGTTGACGGAGGTGCTACTATCGTCGATCCGTTTCTGGCACCGTCATGTCCGGCCAGGTCGATGTTCGGTGAAGTAGAGAATAACGGTAGGAAGCTGCGCAGGGAGTGATGGACTGAGGTAGAAGCCGATAGTACGGGCTAACAGATAATTGGAATCCGGTCGCGTGTTCGATCTCGCATTCGTACGGATGGTGGGAGGAAAACTCGTAAGGGCATGTGAGGTATATCCGAAGTCAGGAAAGGGTAAGATGGGAAGAGAGGGAGGGAAGACGATGGGATAAAGAGCATGAGCGCAAGTGCAGATCTTGCTGGGTGGTTGTCTTAGCCCGCAAAAAGTATTGGGCCTAATCTGACTGTACAGAGAGCAGCTCCCAAGGTTCGTTCGGACCCGGGTTTTGCGTGCCTGACTTCTCGAGTTACAGAAGCAGCAGCTTCGGCAGCAGCGATGGCAGCAATAGCAGCACGAGCAGGAGCAAGAACGGAAGCAGCCATAGCCCGGGTGTGATGGCAGTGAAGGCACGAGGAAATCCAAGAAGCCGGGGACGCTAAGCACGGGTGCTGTGCAGCGCGCACAGGACAATGATGCAACATTTGGGAAGGAAAGTCACTCGACTCGGCGCGTCATTGGGCGAGACAGCTCGGAAGCCCTGGACCTTGGGCCCAAAAGACTACCCCCTCGTGCCTACTTTCTCCTACAGACTATACGTACCTCGTTGCGGTAAGTTTTCAAGTGTCCTGAGTGTCTCTACTGGTACCCAAGCCCAACCAGATGTGTATTACTCAAGGAGAAATGTAAGCCCAAGGGCTCCGATCTCTCTGTTTTGCCCCCACCACCGGTCTTTCTTTTTTCCCCTTTGTTTTTATCGACTTCCACTTGATCCGACATGGAAGTTGTCTGCTAAGCTCAAAGTACCTTTTGCTTAGCTCGCCTTATTTAGACTAACTGCAACCCCGCCTTAATCTATCGCCCCTCCCAGTACTCACATGTCTCCTAGGAACGAACACAAACCGCCTCATCCGGATACAGGGCTCTCCCCGTTTCCTCTTGGCAGGTTGAGAGACTTTCGTTCATAGTCCAGTACACCCCTCGTGGGTATCACTCAAGCATCTCTGGGGAATTGTGACAACAGCAGTAACAAGCTCTGGTATTCTCGTCATCGCAAAAATAGAAAAGACAAAGTCAAATTGGTCTGTGAGAAAAAGAGGGTGAAGGGTCCGAGTAACACTTCTCGCCCTAATGGAAGAACAAGTACTCCAGCACCTACCTCAATCCTCGCCTTCGTCCCCATCTTCCTCAATCTTCAACGGTTGCCCAGGCGAACGACAACAGAAAGATCAGAAAACCCACAGTTACAAAGCTCTCTGGACAAGCATCGAGATTCTTGGCAAGGGGCCAGGTCCGATCGATCGACAATTTCATCGGCATGGGTGGACTGATGGACCAGGGTTACCGATGTTGACGAGCAGGTCACAGTTGAATGCGACGTGTAAGCTGTTCAAGGCATTTTTCGGGGGGGTGTACGTGCGTTCATGGACGTGCGGGTGCTATCCCACTCCGTTTCTGTGAGATGCGGCGTCGCATATAGGACTGTAACCGGCAGTACCCTGAGATATGAGATGGATATCAATGCGAACAACAGGCCAGGAACGGCATCCACGTCACGATTCCCCCAACGCCGCACAGGATTGCGAGTCAAGACCCGCAGCCCGCCTTGTTCCCTTCCTTCGTTTTTCCCCATGATATTCCAGATTACTGCCAACTTGACCTCGTCGCTTGCCCTCCGAGACACATGCGCCTTTTCAAGGCAGCCTATAACCTTGCGACCCAACCCCGGACCCGACTCCGTAAGCCTCGATATCCCGAACTGCCAATTTGACCACGCTCCATTCACCGCCCTATTTCTCTTGGCCAACGACATCATGGACACTGGCCATCACAGTTGCATGGTGACACGATGCATTTTCAAACAGGGACGTTGTGTATGTGCGCAACACGCGCCAGCCCCCAATATGGGAATTCACAACGTCCTCCATTGGCCAAGGTATCGGACGACACCATACATGGGACTCAATATCATCCGCCAGCCGTATCGCACAGAAGGGGAACCGAGCTGCCCGACGCAGAGAGTTCACGGAGAAACGGCAGCTGTTAGGGGCAGACAGGTAAGCTGGTACTAAATGAACCTTGATTGGCGCTCCTGACCATATGCGGTATATCTCGTCCCTCCTCCCAAAGGAAAAATTAAACCATATCTATATCCGTGCCCGCCTGACTGAGGATATCACACGCCTAGTTTTACAAGCATAACCCCACCAAACAGCAGACATCCTCTCCAAATGTGCAACATCAACAAAACGGCAAAATAACAAATCGTCGTAAAATCATGTGTTATCCTGTGTCCATGTCCTGTATTGCTGTTAAATACTTTAGCTTGCTGCTCATTCTTCTGTCGGAAGTAGACTGCCCTAGGCCCGAGCACTCTCCTCGGGTGCACCTGGCTGGACATGGTTCCGCCACTCGAATACCCTGTTCATGCCGCGCCCCGGGCCTGTGAGGCCGGCGAGTGTGGAGGATTTGGGTTCTGTGTACGGGCGCCTTCGGGCGTGGGGAGCATGCACCGCTGCTTCTCTCTCATAATCGTGGATCATCCGCCCTGGAACCACTCTCTCCGACGGTCGCGTCGTCCTGGCACTGTTGTACAACTCCTCCTCCATCGTGTGTCGCCGCAGCATGGGGATTGGTGGCGGAGGTCCCATTCCCATGGGGGCCGGCATGGGGGGAGGAGGTCCCATGGGAGGAGCCGTCATCGAACCGAGAACAGGAACTGCATGCGGCGAGGTCGGCGCCATGCCCGTACGTGGACCGCCCGGGCTGGTTCGATACTCCGAGAAACGCTCAGCCAACCGCTGACCCATCGAGTCCTGTGGAAGGCCTCGTGCACGATTGACCCCCGACATGTAGTCCGTTGGCGTGGGTCGTTCGAATGCTGCTGGTGGCGTTGGGGCCGGGGGCACGGGCGGCCCGGATCCGAATACGTCGTCTACGTCTCTGCGATAGTCATCATTTATAAAATGCCCTGCCGTGTTCCCCATACCGACAACATCCCCGTACCCTCTGTCTAAAACATTGTCGTCATAGCTCGAAAACCGTCGCGTATTGTCTTCATCACGGTTATCCTGAAACCTCCGGACCAGCCTGTCGTCGTAATCTTGTGAACGAGACCGAGGAGGCCGCTCCGCTTCCACTATCGGTCGGATGTTTCGCGTCGTCGTGTTTAAATCTAGTGTCTCCATTCGCTGTATTGCGACAGGAACTTGCATGTCATGGAGTCGGTTCGCCTCGGGGTTATCATAGTTGAACCACGGGCATTCGCAGTTCTTCCACTTTACGCCGCAAATCATACAAAATTGTGCTCCGCAACGACTGTTATCAATCAGCAAGTGCCGAAATTTAATGAGGAGATGGTTAGCGCCTCACCATGTCATGTGGTTGCAGCCCTCCTCAAGCTCAACCATGTGGCTGCACTTGTAGCATCGTTGCCATCCGGCTTCTTTGGCCTGCTCCAGGAATCTGGTGGTATCTTCGTCATCGGGACAAGCCCTTGATGAATGCCATTTGCCTTTGCAAGAGCAACAAACATCAATACCGCATGCCTTGCATGTTCCGCATTTACGGCCGCCTCTGCGGTGGATATCCCCTGGTCTAATCCACTCCCCACACCGTCTCGAAGGACAGTATATACGATTACGAGTTGTGTATTCCCAATACTTTTTGTTCCACTTCATCTTGAAGTCAGATGACAATAAGCGCTCTACATACTTGAGTGGTATAAGGTCTGAGGTGCAGCACTTGGGAGGCATAGATTGAGAGTCAGTGACGGAGAGTTTGAAACGTCTCTTCAGACACGAATCACACATGCGATGGCCGCATTTGAGCTTTGCGATTTTCGTAGGGCGAAAGTCGTCCAAGCAAGCAACGCAGTTGATTCTGCAGTGTAAGCGTTAGCTCGTATGTCACTGGTTAGGTCAAGTGTTCTGCAGAGGTGGCTTACGTCTTGGGCGGCTTCTCGGGCGAGTGAGATCGCGCACTCCCGGTGATCATATGGCCCAAGAAACTGGGTGGACGTCTGTTCGAGGAAGCCGTGCTGTGCGATGTAACGTGCGATGCGGCCCCTGAAATGTTATTGGGGCGACGGGCGACACGGGAGTCTGCGTACACAACCTCCGAGGAGCGTGTCCTAGGGTGTCTGTTCAACACAATGTCAGACTCACCCTGAGAAGGGAGCACTCCATATGCCAACCTTTTAGAGGAGTTTAGAGGCTTTGAGACGACCTCGTACGTCTTCGGGGACGGACGATGATGACTGGCCTTCCTAATGGGGCTGTAGGAGCGCTGTCTTGACTGGTGCCTCTCAGAAGCCGAGCGGGACAGCCGAGAATGGTGTCGGGCAAGGGATCTACTGCGTTCATCAAGAGACTGCCGCGGTGCAGGCTCAGTTGATTCATCATCGTCGTCCTCCTCTACATATACAATCTCCCTTATCTTCCTGCGCCGCTTTGGCTTCTTCTCACCCGACGGCCGATGCCGCTCCTCCACCGCAGGTCGACGAGTGCGTAACTCATACTTTTCCTTCTCCCTCCTGGCCCTCTCGTGACGTCTTTGGCGCTTCTCTTCCTGGGTCGACACACTAGTTTCCGACTCTTTGTCCGTCTCGGGCTCGGTGCGGGACCGCGAGGACGTGGATGACCTCCTCGATTGGTAAACTCGGCGGGGTCTCGAATGATGAGCGGCCGTCGGGCTTCGGGCACGCCTTGGACTCATCCTCCGGCCGGCCGAAAGCGGTTCCTCCTCTCCGTAAGAATCATATTCGTATGCTGCTACTGGAAACCTTCCCCTTCTGTAGGTTTCCGTCGTTGAGTTTCTAGGCAGAACGGGCATCGTCTCGACGACGGTGACAGACGCACCACTGCTGTTCCTTGAGTTTCGGCTTCGTTCATGGGACGAAGCTGTCTCATCGGTTCCTTGTATTAAGTCTTTGGGTCTTCGGTACGCCAACGAATCGAATGTTGTCTCACCACCGGAGCGCCAATCATAGTCGGCGACAGGTAGCGGGCCGGGAGGGTAGTGCCTTCTGGACGTTCTCCTGTGCCAGTCTTCCGCATCTCGATAAGCCATTGGGCTTCAGACAGCCTCATATGAGAGAGAAATAGAAGGGGATTGGGATTAAGGCGGGATGGTGGTCGTAAATCGGAGGGGTCCGAAAGGGATACCCGAACAGCTGGTTGCTCGTGAGTGGACAGGTTCAATGCATACCGTATAGCTATGATTGGCCTTGAATGACGGGTTGCATGGAGGCCATGCACTAAGTCGGCGGGCGAAAGGTGATATTGTGCGCCCTAGAAATCCTGACCACGATGACTGTTTGCCTCGTCCTCGTGAGGTATCAATCGGGCAGCAGTGGAAGCTGTTTGGTCGACCTATGCTGGATAGTGGGGAGAGTGAAAGTTTAGAGGTAAGACGAGAGAGAGCTGCAGTTGACGAGAGGGGGGAGCGTTTGCTCTGCTAGGGTAGTAGCGTTTGTTGGATGCCTTGTTGGATCACGACACGCGAGAGGTCAAGCCAGGCTACAATATGACAGTGTAAGAAGCCACAAAGACCAAGCTAGGGCGAGGGGACTGTTCTATCCATTTGATGGTAGCCTAAGGTTTGTTGTTTGGTGGTCTGGTCTAGTAGCTCTACAATCGAATCTGTTTTGATTAAAAAAAAAAAAAAAAATTAAAAAAATCAGTGGTCGTTGCTTGGCTAAGGGCATTAAGGGAAAAAAAGGAAGGGGGCATTCCAGTTAAGAAACCTGTGACTGCAACATGGCGAGGCCGTTAGTGAGAGTCATTCCATTGCCTGAGCTGCACCTATAGTGGCTGTAAAAGCGCGCCACTAAGCCAGCCGATTGGCCCCCGTTGCGGCGGCTGGGTGGAATCTGTCTCTGAAGAGTGAATCCCAACGTCTCGTGCCCCCCTGTGGTCCCCATCTGCTGAACAGAGACTGGGTCGAGATCCGGCGCGCCATATGCACGCAGAAGGAATGAATAGGTGACTCCCCTCAGGAAAGCCAAAAGAGGAGATAACGCAATCAAAATGGACTCATTAAGCTGGGCCGGCCTGTTTGAAGTTGGTTCCATCGCAATCCACAAAGTGCTGACGGACGGACGGGTAAGATACGGCCGCTGTAGCAAGTCGTCTGAGCTGACGGGTAGTCCGAACTTCAACTCAGCGCGACTGCAACGTGCTGGTTCGCCCTAAATTTTGCGCGGGGAGCGCGGGAGAGGCTATCTGACAGCGAAGATGGAACCCTGAAGGCCGACTCGGGGGATTGAACCGGGAGGCTGAGCCTTGTTCTCAGCCAGCCGTCCTGCAGGGAGCTGCCCTGACTGACTGACCGCTCTGGCCGCCGCTGCCTTGAAATATCGTTGCACGTGCGCTATACCCTCGCGTGTAACCACGAGTCCACGACCCATGACGACGGTGCCTGCCCGTCAGGAGAAAATGTGATTTGGCTGACAGTCTCATGTTGGCTGCACGTAGAATATTCCATCGTGTCGTGCAATTGTAAGCTCTACGCTGACACAAAACTTAACATTCGCAATGTAATACTCGAATTTCGCATGCCATTTACCAAAGTGTAACAAAGTGCACCTCTAGGTTGCTGCTACGACTTACACTAACGAGACAACCAGCGAGATCGGCGTCCCGGGGCCCCCGATACTTATCATTCACCCGATCCCGATTGGCTCAGGTGGGGCCGATACCTCGGTCGGGCGGGCCCGTGGCTCATCTCGGCCGGCTGACCGCCTTCACAATTCATGATCATCAAGTACTTTCCTTGTCCATTTTTGGTCCGTATGATGGCATTCAGCTTGCCTGGGTTTGTTGATTTTGGCACCTGAGCGAAGCCCCAAGGAACATTTCATGGGGCAAAGACCATTCTCCCAGCTTACTGTTTGTGGCTGTGCTTTGCGTCCACCGTCAGGAAGACTCACTAATTAGGACCAGGACCGTGCCTCCCCCTTTTAGTTTTTCCACTTTGCTTTTTTTTTTCGGCCAGTTTCTCCCTTCCAAAACTGTCGCATTGACCAAGCAATGAGTTGATGCCCCTTAATCAGTCACCATACTTCCTGCTCCCACTACAATCCATGCTCAAAAAGAGACGGGACCGACCACCGATGCTTCGATAAGCATGTTGTGATATTCTCAAAACGCCACAATATCCATATTCTACGCAATCTGATCGGAAGGGTGAAAGACCAATATTTCGCAATTTTGATTTATAATAACTCATATATACACGAGCTAGGAGGAAGATGTCTAGATGGCAATCTGACTCTGCATCGCACCGGAGCGATATCATCTTGACGGCTTCCCCGGTCTCAGCCTTTGCTTAGCCGCCTACTTGATAGAAAAAAATCCGTGACCTTGTATCCGACTTTACTAGACACCCTATGGTCAAAACGCTCCCGACTGTATCCGAACAGTCCGCATCTCTGACATCAAACTGCTTTGCGCTGGACGGGGCAGATGGGCGGAACGCTATCGAACACAAACCAAGCTGACAACCTGTAGCCCTTATTTCGTAAATTTCCTCGCTCTTAAATATGCCGTCACATATCATTCGACACAAAGGCGGTGTTCTGTCTTGATGTTACTCATGACACCTTCTTTAAGTTGTGCACACATTGAATCGACAGCATTGAAGTATTTCTAGAGTTCCCCTGTCGGCCTACAAGTATTAGCGGTTGTTGACTAACAATACAGAAAAACAATAACTTTGCTATCATTGTCTGAATCCTGTTCCTCTCGGCAGAGATCTCCTATTGACTCTCCGTCTCAGCACGAGCCTAACGAAACGCTTTGGGTAGGAGACGTCAAGACCTACGCAGCTGGTGCCACCTCTACAAAGTTGCTTCTTCCTCTGAAATCATTTAGCGAATTGTTCCACCCAATATGTGTCCGAATTACATGCTTATCGTTATATCTGTGTATGATTCCCGAATCACTATAGTAGCAGCACAGAAGAGTCATCGGCCACAGATTGGTTATAATTGACCGCACCGCAAGAAACTCAAATGACCTTCAGGACCATAAAAGCTCACTTTATCACACCTGGAATCTTATGTATGAAGCAGCCTGGGAAATGATGAGCAAGCAGAGAAACCGCCGATTGGTTATCGGAAGGAATACTCTTGGCTGTGTTTTTCTCCCCCAGGTGGAATCGGGAGCTGGTAAGAGAGTAGCCTTTCTCGAATCAGTAATGGTAATACACTGTCTGGTCTATTGGATACTTAAATTTACAACATCTTTTGTGTTGGTCAGGGACGCGCCTTACCTCGTCTGGAATTTCTGGTTCGAAATCCGATGGCTTACATCAGGTCAAGTAGGATTAAGAGCCCGCATCATGCTTCTCAACCCTGTTTTCTTTGCACAGTAAATTTCATCGCGAAGCATACCCCATACTGGTGGAACTGTGTGGCCCGATGGAAGGCGACGACAAACAGATGCACTCACACTGATATGATTTGGACAGCACAGAGTGTGAATTCGAAACTGGGGCAGAAGTGACCAGCTTGTGACTCACAAATATGGACTGCACGCAGCACGCTGTATATATCTTGCCACAACCAAGAAAACACATCGCGATGCTTCGGAATATTTCCTTAGATCACGTGAACAACTGGTTCCCAAGACTTGGGCAGATAAATGGTGCCCCAGAAACGAACTCCCTGCCTCTCACATGACATCCGCGACTGGCTTACCCAACGCAACAATGAAACCGACATTCTACAGGCTAGGTCCAGCAATAGTAGAAGCCGCGAACTCCAGGCGAATGATGCCGTTTCTGTGATTAAGACAAACCACCCCCCCCTGAGACCAATCACCGTTGAACAACATCCGCGCCTGCTCTGGCTTTCCGTCTGCAGCCGTAGCAAACCACTCGCATCCATCGCCATTCTCGTCCCGATGAAGTCCCTTTTCATTGGTGGATCTTCCGTCTCCCGCACAACTTGATCCCCCTTTCCTCCGGGTGCCTCGGTCTCACGACCGCCTACACAAACGTCCGTATCCGTCCGCTTGGCTATCACCCCTCGGACTTAGAAACCCCACAGCCGTACCGGCATTCGAAAACGTCCACTTACACCCGGCGCTACGGTGTCATCCGCTAACGATTATTGCCCGTTTGTCGGGTTGTATTTCTTTCCCCTCCCCTGCAAGAAAAAACAAAAGACTCATCACATCACAACCGAAGAACAAGGTGGGGGTTGGCGGGTGACATTGGTGAAGGGGCAATCATCCCCCATTCACATACTCTGTTCCGAAAGCGCCATATGCATGTCTTGGACATTAGAAAAAGACGCCTGTTGTGGCCGTATAAAGCCAATAGACTGCCAAATGCCGGCTACCGAAGTCGAGGTTGTTGGTACCAGGTCCCTGTGCCTGGATACAACTCTCCAGCACTCCTTTCGAGAAAGTACCGGCATTACACTACCTTTCCAAAGGCTGCCAACCACGACACATCCGAAAAGCACAAGAGAGCCCTCGGCATGCCCCTGAGTGCAACCCTCGTTTTTACCGATAAACATTTACCGCTCCATGTGGCCGCGCACAGCGCCAGTGCCGATCATTGACCCCACAAGGCAGAGAGCCACGAGGTCAAACTTGACGCAGTTGAAACCCCCAAAATTACCTGCAAAGGAGGGTATATTGCGATGCCGGTATAGCGGGACGCGTGACTGCTCTGTACACAAGAGGCCTTGTTGCATTTTATTCGACACGTAGCCCCCTTTTTCGCGTATGCAGCTCCTGCGTAGGTAACATAAAGGGAGCCAACAGGTTCGTAACTAGCTAGGTGCTCGGGGCTGCCCCCCAGTGCCTGCCGCCCCCCCTCCCCAGGTCTTATTGGAACGAAATTACTGAACTGCCTAAATCCAAGTATGGCAGGGCCTGCATTTTGGGCCTTCTAAAACAGGAAGATGGTGATAGTTTGATTTTCTGTGCATTTTCTAGAGATAGAAATTCAGACCCCATGCCTCACGCGTCCTGAACATCACAATTAGTACAGGGCGTCATCACAACTTCCGCGTTATAAGCCTGAACCGAACAACCTGATATTATCATCACCATTAATGTTTTGTCTACGCTTTCCAGAAGGCGTCCACGCTTGCGCCATGATATAAATCCGAGACCAACCGCAACAAGCATCCTTCGGTTGTTCTTGGCCATTGTGATAAAGTGACACACAGAGGGTTGTTTCAATCGACAGTGCTACGTTGTACAGGGATATCTTTTTTCTCTCTAAATGTTGACATGTTCATGGGAACCAAATCCAAGAAAGTTACAATGGAAGCAACCCATTTTTCAGGGAAGCCGAGTGCGCGGTCGAGACCACCATGACCGCCGTCACCCACAGCTAATTCAACCAAGATTTCCATCATGACTCCTTCATTGCCGAGGGTTGGGCCAGAAAAGATGATTGCCGGAAGAGGAGCCTGCTCAGCCTGCTGGCTGCCCTGACATGAGTTATCTTATAGTCATACATGGACCTAGACGAGAAACAGTCGTTGAAGAATTGAACTGCCTTCACAGCATCCTGTCTATGAGAAATGATAACAGAACACCCTCGCGTAGCTGTTCTCCTGCCCTTTCCCGGAGATGGCGGGGAGACTGTCTTGAAGCGGGTTGGCGTTGGATGGATTCATTGGTCAGATGGGCGAGCGCCGGAGCATCGGTCCGAATGCCGGTGAGACCACTATTACCCGCCAACCACGCCTCCCCAAATTAGCGGGCCTCCACCCGACCCTTCTCCAGGTGGTGCAACCCCAGACTGTTTCTGTACCCCAGATGTTTCTCTGCCGCCCATTGCCCGTGCTGTTGCAACGCCTGCACTTTGTACGCATCCTTCCCCAGTTCCAGAGCTGATGGGGAAGGCGGGGCGACGGTATCTCCACGAGGGCGGGATCGACCCGTTCGTTGTCACCAGCCATGGAACGCCCCGGTTGAGAGAGTCAACTCGAGCTTCCTTGGTAATGAGCTGATGCTGTGCCTATTCAGTGGTCGAGGCGTCTCTCATTTGGCTCCACCAGAAAACAAGTCTCCTGAAGCGCATGCCAAATACAAGGCCTACTAGGGTTTAAACCAAAAGTGGAAACAACATGGCCAGATATGACAATCCCGAGGGCGAGGTAGGGCGTGCCAAGGGTGGAGAAGCACAGGTGCCACGCAGTCAGCACCAAGGCAAACCACATGGAGTTGAGACACCTGTACGTCTGTCAGACGCAGGTTTGTATGCGTAGCATTCTTGGGCATGGACAGTGGTGTGTAGGCAGTTTCCTATGGAGCTGGATGCAATTCGAATAGGCGGCGGGCCGACATGGCTTTCAACCGCTCAAGTAGGCCCTCCTTCTGACTTCGGCCTCTTTGATGATTTCTGCCGCCAAACTGAGACTAGGCGCCAGGGTCGAATATCGCTCAATTTCCATAACCACGTCAGTGATGATCTGGTCAATAGTTTCCCGGTGAGGAACGAGGGTGAGGAGAATGCTGCTTAAAGAGGGTGACATAGTCGCACCCATAACCAACAAGGTCTGCGACACGATGGAGAGGGCCCCTTGCCACAGGTATGGCATATGCCCGGCATGACTGCGGCCAATTAGCACCAATTCATTGGAAACGGGTTACCATCACCCAAGCAGGTGGTGTGACCAATCGGTATTACTTACTGCGCGTTAATGTGCTCCAGTTGCCGTATGGAGGCTTCCAGGCACCTGTGGCAATTTTGTCTCACCGCGGGATCCAGCACAGCCTGCTCGTTGTCCAATACGGCCAAAATGTACGGGCGGTAGATGATTGTCCGGCAGGCGAAAAACCGTAGGCGTAGAACCGTCTGTACCGGATCTGAGATCGGAGTGCGGCCGAAAGGGAACTGCAACGGCTGGGGCAGGCTCTCGTACCACTGCGTCAACTGAAAGTCGAGTTCCGCCACCACCGGCTCCAGGCTGGTGGTAGAGGCCATGGAGTCTTTGGAGTAGATGAGCTGACTAACTCTGTTGAGGAGCCGCCTAAGGGCAATTTCGGCCAAGAAATACCACAGGTCGTCTCGTCCGATGGCTTCTTGTTCCTCGCCCTCAAAGCCACCTGGGAGGCCGACATTCTCTTCAAACTGAACGACACCCGAGTGTGGCAGATCCAGCTCGGCTAGTAAGTCGCTCTCGAATAAGAGCGAGTTCCAGTAGATGCGCTCAGTTAGCTCTCTTTGGTTTGGTGGGACTCTGTTGGGAGACATGAGCAAAAGCTGTAGTTTTGTGCTCGTGGTACATAGGAGGTTCCAGGCCTCGAGCGGTCGCACAAGGTAGAACAGATAGGCCGAAGCCAAAAGATGACACTGGGCTGCCAGGACGTTATTGGATGTCATCATGCCCGGAAGGAGGGCCCAGGCGGCGGTGAAGTATTGCAGTCCAGGAGCGTCCTCACCAGGAACAATCCTTGAAATACTTCCTCTGAGACTTGCCTGACCCAATGCCAACACAAGCAATACGATACAACTCTCGGCGCCTTCTCGGAAACCGTTGGAGAGCGCCGTGCGATAATGACTCCTCCAAGTGTATGGGTTAACACAAGCATACCAAACGTTCACTCGCTCAAAGTACGCCTCAATGTAGGCGGTCGTATTGGAGAGGTCGACACATGGGGTTTTTGTCAATGAGTGTAGAGGTTCGCGGGCCATTTCCAGCTGAAGCAGAATCTGTGGGTCGTAAGGCCGTGATACGAGATCGCGGATAAGAGGCCACTGTAGTAGGTGTAGGGCGGCATTCGTGTGTAGCTTGGGCATGGTTGATATGTTTGTAGGGTTGTTCCAAGTGCCCAAACCACCGTTGGGAATGATAGAGACAAAGTTGCCGGAGCTGGAAACTCCCATCATACTCTCACCGTTGAGCCCTGAACCGTTGCTGAGGGAGGGAGACTCTTGATTCATGGCCATGCCGCCGGGTTGCCCCGAGACCATGTTCATCTGCAGCAAGCTCTCGATACGGTTCAGGCGCTCTAGAATCAACTTGTCCCCGGCGTCCAGCTTGATGCCAGGCTCTCTGTAAATGCACTCGGCACCTAGCTCGGTGCAAAGCTTACATTTGGGCTTGGTTCCATCACAGCGAGACTTGCGGGAGCGACAAACCTCGCACTGCCGCGCTCGTTAGTAGGAATGCCCAGTTATACTTGGATTGGCAGCTGCGCTAACATACCGCAATGGTGGCTCTCCTTCGGGGGTAATCAACGCCAGCGTCTGTGTTTCTTCTCTTAAGCGGGTTCGAGCCCTCCTCCTCGCTGAGCGGCTTGTGTACGCCATTGGTCAAAGCATCAGGTCGGTTGTCGGAAGACTGAGACATGTTGCGGGCCTTTTGGGCGGAACCGATAATGCCATCTCTGCTGAAACTGGGCGTTCTCTGTGTCTTGAGTGAGGCAGGTGACTTTAGAGGGTGTACACCGTTTGTGATGGACGTCATTGAGGGCGAGGGGACCTCTATGTTGAAGTTGTCACGCGAAGGAACGGGAAACGATCTCCCCGTGGTACCGTTGGCCGAGTGGGGAGAGTCGCCCGTCGAGGACGGGGACATTGCCTGGGTTTGGAGATGTAGAAGTTGCGTTGAAGACGTGGTGGGCAGAGTTTGGTGCGCCGCGACAGCGCAGCACAAGAACCAGTCGAGTTGGGTCGGTGGAACGTCTAACGGGGGGAGAATACGACTGAGCGACAACGACTGAGCGGACAGGTGAGCGAGTGAGCAGACGGCAGCTCCAATAAAATGGCTTGTTATTCGGGGGTTGAGTGGTGGCGGCGAACTACTAGTGACGACCTGGTGCAATCGAGCGGCTTTTCTTTCTTCTTTAAATCGTCAGGACTCAACCTGGATTGGAAGACGTCAGGCCACGCTTGAGGCTATTGATGAATCTCTTCGCAGTTTCTTTGGGGAGAGGGGGAAACGACGGGGTGGAGGAGGGAGAAGGGGGATGCACGGCAGTGGAGCAGTTATTATGGGAGAAAAGGTTCTGAGAGAGAGGAAGGGAAATGCGGAGGATTACATATGGGCGCTGACTGGTGCGATGCCTGGTTGATTTAGGAGCACTAAAAGACATGACAGCAGCCAACGTACACACACACACACATATGGATGGAAGACCAGGTGTGGTGAGGTGGGAAGGCACAGAATAGTACAAGACTGCTGGTGCCGCCGTTCATGTCCAGGATGAGGGAGCTCTCTTTTGGTAGCTTCGTCTCGTTTGCCCCGGGCTTTAGACCCCCAGCGTGAGGGTCGTTGGGGCTATTGGTGCACCAGTGACAGGCGCAGTGCCTGTCCATCCGTGTTCCCAGCAGAAGGCGAGCAGGCTCAGGCCAGACCAGTCAGAACCGACGGCTGCGACGGGCATGGGACGAATTGGGGATGGGATGGCAGCATGAATGGGATGGGAGAGGATGGAAAATGGGGGACCAGCGGAAACGAGGGCACGCTAGAGGCTGTAGGCCCTGTCGCTTCCCCATTCTCCAGCCAAGACGAAGGAGGAGAGGGAGGGGGGTGCCTGGCACACAGCTTTGGTAAGTCGGGGTTGTGTGGGTGTGTGTAAGGGTACGCTGGGTGTGTGTGTGTGAGTTGAGCAAGTATGTACCGCAACCTCAGTAGAAGAAAATGCCTTCTACCGTATCCGAATGTATACCAACTAGTACTTTAATGTCTAATTTGTCCAAAGTCCCTGCCTCTGGGGCGTCTTCCCTCCTTCCTTGATCAATTTCGATCCGTTTTTGTAATGTTAATGGTGCGTGGGAGAGAAGACGAGCATCACATCCGAGGTCTTCCGACGAAAGAAAGGCAACTCCACGCCCAAAATTTTTACTAGTCACAAATGTACGGATACTTCTAAATTAGGCGAGATAGGGCAACAAACAGTTCGGGAAGAGACGAGGTCGTCGTCGCATTACCTTTGGGTTCGCCCAATTTCTTCAGAGGCAGCTCACATATTGATCGCTCGAGCTATTTTGTATCCGCAAAGGCGAGATGCTCATGTCGGCGAGTCGCTGGGAATGGGATTCGGTTGTCAGACGTCCACGAACAACGTCCCATGTGTGCCGTGTCGTGCAGCGCTAGGCGTCGTGTGCAATACAAAATTTCATGGGGAGGCAAGCCTCGAATCATACCGTCCTTGGTAGCGATCGGCCCTATCAATCTGGGGGAGGGTCCCCTAAACTGTGGACGGTTGGGCGGGGGAGGTGTGAGGGGGCTGGTAAGTTTGCAGTTGAAGGGAGTTGGGGTTGGAGTAGCCATGTTTCTGGGTCTCGGGCTTGTGACAGTTTGGATCCCATCTTTGAACCAGATTGCTTGTTAGCCATGCTGTCTGTGATGCTGCTTGCGAGAGAACCGTGGCTAGGCAGAGCTGATGCGATGCGATGCACAGCAGTGGGCCAGGTTAGAACCGAAAGAGGTGACGGAGCAGTCAAATGTGGTGATGGACAAGGAGAGCAAGAGAGACACTTCTGCAGGCCGTGACTGATGATGTGGGGACAATTTTGGCGCTACAAAAGGTACCTTATTTCCAGGAAGGCGGCATCTCGATTCGCATTTACGGCAGGCAAACTGACATTTTCAGGTGAGAGAGGTCTCCATTTACGAGGATGGGTTGGTGGGTTGACACAACCACCTCGCCCGAATCTGCAATCAGTCAGTCTTTCAGGTACAAGCTTCTCCCTCTCTGCGTCGCCTGCATTGTCGACATATCCGCTGCGATCGGGTTGGTGTAGAAACAGAGGATCTGGGGTTCAGCATGTCACTCTACTCACTCATCCCCCTCCTCCCCCTACTGCGAGGCGACTCTTTGAGGTCACACATCCACCACATCCACAGCACACACCCTTGGGTCTTTAATTTTCAGTGGTCCCAGCTCCGGGTCAAAGGAGCATAGGGAAGGGGGCGACAGTGCGGTGAGACCCTCAGAAGTGGCACATTCGCACTGTCCACAGCATCATCCGATGGGAAGAAACAATACAATGCCTTCCTCCCAAAGACGAAGGCAACCCATCGGTGCTCATGCCGGTTCGCTAATCTTGAATGACTTCTCCCGCTGCCCATCTATATTGTCCATGTGTAGTTTTCGGGCGTCGCAGTTTAAAAGCGTTTCAACGTCTCGTGATAATTTCCAGCTTTCCGCCCAACTTCGGCTAACCTGTGTACATCAAGGCGACAAAAAACTACAAGATAACCCCTCGGGTATGAGAGCTTGGTCATTTCGACTTCCAGAGTGCCTCTTGCTTCTCGTCCTGTACCTGCGTCAAGAATCCCACGGTTGCCATCTCTCCTTTCATTCTATACGTCGTTTGTGGATTCTGTAGCGCATCTAGTCAAGGCAATGTACATTGATATCCAACTTCATGCACCCCTTGAAGTCATGCGATCAGCCACCGCCATCTTCTCAACTCAGGGGCAGTCAACCCAACTGCCCCCTCTCCTCGTAGGATTTCTTCATTTTTGACATTAATGTGAACATACTCGGCATCAAATGACTCACCTTGACCCTCCCAACCCAATATGCGATGAGAGGGAATGCCCAGGACCTCAGGGTTGGACATCAACGGCAAGCAAGTTTACGGATTTCAGAGCCCATTTCTTTCGGCGGCTTCCTCCGTCTTACCCGCATGAAATTGACATTGACCTCCAACGGCCCGACTGTGAGGGGTTGTCATCAAAAACGTGGCAGCCCTGTCGGGATCCGTGCACTGTCTCACCAAAATAAAGAACAATCTTCAGACATTCTACTCCTCTACGCAACGGCTTTCGAACGGCCCGCCATTTATTTTTCAAGTCTCTGAATTGGTAACCGTGGGTGAGGTTATACGAGCCGACAACGGCCAACATACGTCTAAACTTCTTTGATTGCTTGATTTCACCATTGCCTGCCGGCGTGCCATCAGAGAGCAGCATCATTCAAACCAAGTCAATTACTCTGACGCTCCTGCCGCCAAATCTTGTTGACACAGTCCCCTGCTAGGGACGGTAGCCTTCGAACTTTTGCGGGGGGATCCCGGGGTCTGGTGGTACTTTGGGAAAGAATACAACGGAGGTTGATAAGATTGCCAACCTCCCCCATCGAGCCACTGGCCGCGACAACAGACACGATCCGGCCTCACTCCCATGCGTCTTGCTTCCATCGACCACGTAATTGCCGAGCCAGAAACCCCCGCCAACAGCAGAAGCTGCTGGCAAATCTACGCTTTACAACCTTGGCCTGCAGCCGTGGACCATATCAGCTTTTGTTGCTGCCCGCTTCATTGAGAAAGACAACTCGTCAAAGCTGGTGTTGCAATGGAGTGTCATCTCGCTCTGGCATACCCGCACACCCACGCCATCGACAATAGGAAACTGGGTTTCCAATCAATAACAGCTATCACCAAGCTTCGGCCCTGGTTCTGATACAAGCAATGGTTCAATGTATTTTTGCGAGCTGTTCCCCGCGAATCGAGGGTATGGGTGGACGGCCGCTCCCTCACACCATCCATCCGCCTACGGACATTGACAACCCCACAGCGTCGCTCTCCCGACCACCCGCATCTACGATCCTATTTGATACCAGATATCGCTCGCTCATATTTTCTTCTGCAGGTCGCTTGTTAGGGCGTTCTGTGCCGTGTCCCCCATAATCTCACCGCGACCATGGTGGTGAGCCATTGTTGGATCATTGCGGATCCTAGTTTCCAAGGTTCAAGGTGGCATCGAGCCATTCCTTTGCCCGCCCTGGAGGCCAGTTTCAATAACCCATGATCGATTCAGCCTAGAAGAAACCCGTATTCTGTTTTTCGAATTGCCAGCCGCGAACGGACCTTCGCGGGATGAGCGCCCGTAGCAGGGACGGCCCTAAGTGTTTGTGTAGTGCAAGTTCTGGCTGTGTACGTCGCTGATACTGATGGGACTAATTACAGTATGCATTTCCGCGGGAATCCTATCACAGCCTGGGAAGTTTTTTTTTTTTTTTTTTCCCTACCAATGGAGCTCGCTACGTAAAACCACTCTTCGGGTGGCGGCAAAGGTGTTGTTAATACTGATGTGAACGAACTTTCGTCAACAGGTAGTTCCCCATGAGCCGCAAATGCCGTTCAAGCATAATCTGGGAGCAGCCTCTTTGAGCAACCAAGCCTCTCTGGACTAGCCCACGTACCTGTTACATGCAATATCGCGGTCGGCAGTTGTGTTAAAGGTGGCGTTAACTGCTGTAGCATTCACCACCCTGCGAAAGCCTCGTTCTGCTCGCCTGAACCGGCTTTGGACATTGCTATGCAGCAGTCAACCACCGCTCGTTTCTCCATGCACCTCGACTGAACAGTTGCTCCGCGTATGAGGTCCTCAAATTTCCAAAGGTATGCTAGCCTACCCGGGGCCATCCTCGAATGTCCTCAACCTGAAAACACTGAACAGCCTACCATCTTGGATTCGTCAAGATGACGCTTCGTCCACGTGGTCCCCGTCTCGTCAACCATGGAGCCCCGCTCGTATCACGAGACCTACCATTTCGTAGTCCGTGTAAATAGGCATGGAGGCCTCGTGCCTTTATCCCGGGGCCTAGCCCAATCTTTGCTTCTTTCCCCTTAGACCATCCCGTCTGCGGCAGACCAGCGGGGTCTGGGCGTTGGCCGTAGCCAGTTTTGACATCTCGGTCGAACCCGAGCTCATGAGAAGGCCACTTTTCTTTGGGGCCCAGAACATGGTATTGGACTCTGCTTCAGCTCGCAAAACGAACCGTTACCAGCTACCGCTTTTGATCCCACATCCGCCCCCAAAACCAATCACACCCGATCCTAACGCTAACCCTACCCCTCTCGGTCCAAGGCCGTCAAGAGGCATAAGAGGGCTCTTTTACAACCTGAAAGAGAGAAGGATGGTATTCCTCTCAGAGGAAATGCTTAAAGCAATAATACCCCAGCATCCTCGACGGGGCTAAGTTCGGCTTTTTTCTTTTTTCTGTTTACTGTTGCGCTCGCTTCTCTTTTGGGCCGAGCTTAAAGCCACTTGTCGTGGTCAAAGGCAATCCATCGCGGCCGCATAAGCGAACAGTGAGATTGGGATGAACCAGTGGGTGTGTGTGTGTGTTTGCTGGTAGGTGGTTCGATAGTTGCAGCGCCACACCCATTACACACACACACACACACACACACACACACACACACACACACAGCGCATCTGTATCGTGTACCGTATCGCGTCCCAGCCGGGGGTGTTGGGTCTTCTCCAACTGAGGATTTCTTCTGCCCGCCCATCACTGCAACGTAGATCAGGACATATGTCAGCCCGGGGTCACGGGCTTTTCTGCGGAGAGCCGAATACGGCCGTTCCGCCTCCACGGCGACGCCCATCAGCACGATAGCGAGGATGATACCGCTCCCTCAAGGATTTTGTTTTGTTCATTGTATGTACCTCTACGTGGCCTAAAACTAGGGTGGATTGGTTCCTAAACACAGATGCTTTCTAAGAGGGTAATTTGCGTAAATGGCAAGGCCTCTCGAGGAAAACTAAAAGATAATGTGACATGAGAAGAAGGCGGGGCATGCTAGACGAAGAACTAACAACCGCCATACTAGTCTAGGGGTATCATGATCACTCTAATCCGTTCTAGTGGAAGATTTCGAGGAAGCAGTTCTACTCATCAAAAATAATAGCGTTGACCTCGCCCGCAACCTTGGCGCTCGCGATGATCTCTCCCAGTTTGCCTGAGGCGGCATCACGGCTGATGATGACAACGCGGCTGTCCGACTGCAATGCGACAGCGACGAGCGAGCCATCCTTGTTGACAGAGAACTGGCGGGGAATGCGGCCTCCGGCGGGGAACTTTTGCAGGAGGGTGAGCTCACCGGTCTGGGCGTTGATACTGAAGCTGTTGATAGAGTCAGAGGGGACCTGAGCGCCGTCCTTGGTGTCCGGGTTGGTGATGCTGAAAGCGCTGTCGTTGCGGGAGGAGATGGACAGGAACTTGCCATCGGACTGAATGACGGTCAGCAAAGAGAAAAGTGAAATGTTTGCAAGTGGTTATCTTACCGAGATCCAGATCTCGGCGCCACTGGCACCCGCAGGGGCAGAACCCCCAGCGCCGTACGTCGATACGCTGAAGACTTCTTTAAAACCGAGCGTCTTGTTCTCAAGGTAGGTGACCTCGTAGGTATTGACGGTGTTAGCCAGCTCGGTGATGAGGTACAGGTACGTCTTTCCCGCGGGGGTGACGAGAAACTCGATGTGACGGGGGCCGCTACCGGGGGGAGCCTTCAGGGGCTCGACGGCAGCGAGGTTCACGCCATCAACGGAGTAGACACGGACAAGGTCGGCTCCCAGATCGGGCGCCAGGACGAACTGGCCCTTGGGGTCGAGCAAGACCTCGTGAGGGTGAGGTGCTTCTTGTCTCGAGGGATTGGGGCCGGGGCCGGCCATGGTGAAACGCTCAGACTTCACAGGCGTGATAGCGGCCTTGTTCGAGACGTCGAACCAGCTCACGGAGGAGCCTCCACTGTGACATGTGTTAGACATGGCTAAGATGACATTTTGATGAGTGCAATGCGGTGGGGCAAGTCTAGAATCTGTGTGAATGTGCGGAAGGGATGATGTTGCATGTGAACCTAACGGGGCATGTCAATGAGATGGTTCGTGGGACGTACTACTGTGCAATAGCCAGGCCGTTGTTCTTCTCGCCAAACAGAACAGCACTGACAGGACCGACGGTGGTGTTGACCTTGGCCAGCTGCTCCAGCTTTCCGTCAGGACCGGTTGTGAAGGATGAGACGGAGCCGTGGTCGGTGGTAAGGCCCTCATCCGTGCAGTAGAGCCTCGAGTTAGACTTGTCAAGAGTCAGCCAAGACGGGCTGGGGCCGCAACCGTTGGAGGATGAGAGGGCCTGCAGGGTAGACTGCGTGGCGTTCTCGCCCGACAAGGTGAGATTGAGTGTGGTGATGTCTCCGCTGTAAGACGACGCAAACAGGATGGAGGCGGCGGCTGGAGCAGGTGCAGCCGCCAACGATGACAGCAGCAGCGGCACGAAGCCTGCAGGGAGCAAATCTCGCATCATGTCGGGTAGCAGGAGGATGACCTGGGGGACGAGGTTCGTAAACGAGCGGCTGTGATGATACGGTGGGAGAAAGGAGTAGCACAGAAGAAACAGTGCGAAAACAAGACACAGCAAAAAGAGTGAAATGGCGAGAAGGTCTGGCTTAAGCTCAGACGAGAGAAAGGGACGACGTAGTCTTGAGGAGCGAGAGGGCCCATATTCAGTAGCACTTGAACTGGAACAGCCAGGGTCGAGGACGGGCCCTCTCTCTGATTCTGTCAATGATTGTCCCATTGACGACAAACATTCTTGGTTCCCTTGTCTTCCGGTTCTTGCGTCGGAGTAGCCCACAGACAGCGGTTGCAGGGACTTTGAAACTGGGTCTCTGTTCCTGTTTCGGACGCCAATCGAGTGCCTAGTTCCTGGTCGTAACCTTAAATGCTTGTTCACTCTACCCAGTAGCTCAAATACTACGTAACAGGCTGGAAAGTGGCCGGCCTGGACAGACAGACGGCTCTTTACGGATACTGCTGTCGGAGTCGGAGTGAGAAGCGGACGCTGTTCGAATATTAGTCAATAGCCCTGCTCGAGGTTGAGGTTGGGTAGGGAAGCACCCTGTAAACGGCCAGGGGCAAAGCAGAAGTTGCCGAACCGCACGGTACCCTGTGGGCTACTGTGTGCACTCTGTCCAGACAAACTCCCATGTGTGCAATCAATCATGGCGGCACACAGCGAGCGATGTTAACCGCCATTGGTAATTTTTTTGGTTGGTACACGCAAGAAGGGGAACGGAATTTGAACATGCGTGACCTCTGAACCGCCGCAAACAATTCGTTGTCGGATGGAAGATGGTCGTCCGGTCCCCGCCCACCCACCAAAGCATTCGAAATGAGTGTCACACAAACAATGCAAAGGTGTGGTTCGGGTGGAGAAGGTTACCTTCAGCTTCTCCCGTGTGCCGTGTCTAATGCGGAGAATGTGGAGAAGAGAAGGAGGAGAAGTAGGAGGAGAGCCTGGAGGACAGAGGAACAAGCGGAGAGAGCGGAAGCAGATGAGGTCGACGAATCGGCATAGCCAGTTGATGCAGGCTTGTTCTGGAAGTAGCCCCATCTCCTGCCTCAACCACGTCCTGCGATTAGGTCATGCGTGCTCTCTTTTTCACTTTCCCTTTCTCTCCTTCCTTGACTGTTGCTTGGTCTGCGATGGGTCGTGGGGAACACCGAGATTTCTCAATTTGCGTTAATATATTTCCCCCAATCGAACCAACTGAACTTGACTGTCGCCCACTCAGTCATGCCGCCGAATAGTCACTGTAACGAAATCAAAACTAAACCCGCCATCCCCTATCACGTCCTGTAGAGGGTGTTGAAAATGTCTCAAGCTCAGACATTCTCAACTCCTGCTGCAGGGACACAATAGCCCAAGACCCCCTCCCCTTTTTTAATTTTAATTTTATTTTTATAAACCTGTGCGATTCAGTAGGCTGTCACACTCTTTGCAAGGGCACTAAATCAGGCCACGCAGTCATCACAGCATCACTAAAACAAGGGTTTCCGAGGCCCTGCCTCAACTGATGACGTTGCCAGCAATTGTAACATTCATTGCGCCTTCTGTCATCCCAAGAGAGAAGCCGGTAGTCAACTTTGCTATCCAGTCGTTTTGTCACTGTGCCTCTCCGACAGAGCCATCCAGTTCGCAACTTGCGTGCCATCCGGTGCAGTCAGACGACGCTCTGCAGAGTCCACTGTTGAGATACATTTGATGTAGAAAACCCTTGAACGTGACTACTCGTGGAAGCTCTGCCGGTCGCACCAGGCGTTCGCAGCTTCTGCTCAATAAGGTTCGTCTCTGCTTGCTCATTGTATGGTGGATCTACAGGGTACAGAAGCCTCGATTTAAGACAGGCTTCGGTTGATTTGAATGCCTGGAGCTACCATGTGTCGGTGAAACTGTCACATGCCGATGACTTCTCTCATTAGATGGCTCAATATGCATGGGCAGTTGGGCAACCCAACGCGTGTTGGCGCAACTGCATAGATGGCGTTGCAGTGCGTCACTTCACTGCGCCTTGGAAAGCTGCAGTAGCTGCATAAGAAGATGCCCAACTTGTCTGTGTGGCTGACATCTTCCCGCGTCGAGTTTTTGGCTGCCTCTGCCTCTGTTCACATCGCACGCTTGGGGCGTTGGAGGCAACAGGCCCTCCGGGGCAAGCGTTGGCTCGAGATTTGATGATCATCAAGCCGTGGTTGTGCCACAGACGGATCTTACTTCTCTCTCCCCACAGCCACTTTATCGCTCACATCCGCCCTATCTAGAAACGGGGGCAACGTTACGGTACAGTTGCCCTGCAAATCTATGGTGTCTACTTCGTATCTTGGAAAGCTTACTTTTGTAAACGCCACTGCCCTGCGTGGGAAATCCAGCCATTAAAATACCAGCGCCATAACTTTCCTACGGATGCAAGGCCCAACATAACAGCCGGACCCTAGAATCAACAACCAAGTCATTCCATCCCCAGGCTGCCACCCTCTCTTTGCCTAAAGTCAGGCACATCGAACCTGCACGGCGTTTGTTTTGCAGAAAGAGGGGTGTACATCTTTTAGGACGGCTGTTGCATGACTTACCTCAAGACATCGTGGACAACAGGAATTTGCAGCCGTTATTCCGTGCCGTGTCTAGTGGGGCCTACTCTGCTAGTCGGTGAGATTGTCAATTCAGGTACCACTACAGTGTACTGATGAAAGAAAATGCTGCAGTGCGTTGTGTTATTGATCTCAGGCTAACTCACGGACGCCATTCCCAACGCTTTCCCACACATCATCATTAGACAAGGTTCCAAATTGGGGCAGACTGATCGCTGTTCGGGTCAAAGAAATCCGACGTTTGAGGATCACTCAACCAAGCTCGTCGCGCTGTAATCAACCCGGTGTCTGACCATTCCATTTCTCCTCCCATTTTCTGGTAGTGTATGTGCAAGTTTGACGAGTGCACCTCGAATAGGCTTGGCGGTCGTATGCTTGCTCAGGCTTTCTCAAAGGAAGTTCCGGTAGGAGTGCTGTTTCCTCTAGACGCAGACATACTGTAAGGTGCCTGTTTTGCATGTTAACCCAGTTCAGTCTCCTAATATTACACCAAAGACTTACCAAAACCTGTTTTGCATTGCAAATCCTCCATGCCATTTTTTTCACGTTGCCGTCCGCAGGTACGATTGCCGGAGCAAACTCAATACCGAACATCTGATGAATGGCATAAACGATCCTCTTGGCGTACTTGCTATCTCTCTCGACGTGACCACCAAACGTCTCGTCAACCGTAGTGGGCGCAATGTCAGGGTCACGGTCACAGCAGTTCTGTACCAAAGGCAGTAAAGCTTCCTCAACGGCCTTCTCGTAAATGCCGTTGGCGTCCACCTCGACGTCTTCTTCGTCGAACTTGCCGATCCGAATCTCGAATGGCTGGGAGATGCTCATAACGTTGTGGCTGCCAGCGTGATGGTAGCGGAACTCAAACACACCTTGCGTCCACCACAACCGGTCACCCTCAAAGATGACTTCGCCTTCGACGAGGTCGGGCTCCGATGAATCTCTCTTCGGGACGGGACGGTCTGGAACCAAGATAGCTTTATCAGCGGTAGCAGCATCGTAGTTGCCCGGCGTGGTGGGTACCCATCGACCAAGGGATGAGACCTCCGTGACATCTCTGGAATGGTTATCGGTAACCATATAAAGACCGATCCAATCCTTGCTGTCATGCTTCACGGGAGCCCGCCACTTGACCTTTAATGGGGAACCATACTCAAAAATTTGAGTTTCCACGCTACGAGGGAATCGCGCCGTCACACTCTCCTTGCCTGTCGCCCGCTCATTGGCAGCCGAGATACTCGAAGGTGTGCCTTCCACAGTGAGAGAGTAGAACTTGGGGTTCAGTCCCGCAAGGTCAGGGGAAAGACGGGTGACAGTCAGGCGGGCGGGGTATTTGTTAAACAAAGCAGATGTGTCGCGGACAATGGTCTCGATGCCTGCGGCGAACTTGGGACGAGCTGCATCCAAAAATTCCTCAATGAATTGTGCTGTGCCATCGAGGACCTTGTCGACGCCCCTTTGCCAACCCTGAACGGGTGGTGGGAGGGAGCGCTTGATGAACTTGGTTAAACCTGCTTCTTGGCGCAAGCTTCTGCCGTAGATCTTCTGCATGTGTGGCTTTTCAATAAAGTTGATGAAACCCAGAGTGAGAATTTGACTGATCAACGCCATGACGAAGATGGCTCTGCTCCACGTTATGAGAGCAAGCCCCCACAATCCAGCGGTTCCAAAAATACGCTCGGGGTTGTTGAGGAAGCGATAGATGGACTTGTAAGTCAGCTTGGCTGTAGAATCATAGAAGAAGTCTCCAAAGAACCAGCCGAACTCCCCAAGGGAATCGTATACACTAACAGAGGTCCAGACCTGGAGAGCAATGAGGCCGGCGCCGACGACGTGCTTAAGGAGAACCCAGCCATAGGCCCAGTCTTCGGGTGGCGAGTACATCTTCCAACAGGCGGCCAAGAATGAGCTTGTGGACATGACCAAACTCAGATGATACATGCCTTTCCATTGATTCCACGACTCAGTATGGCTCTCGCCGTATTTGAGGAAGTGTCTTGTCCAGAACTTATTCTTTGATTGCCCGTAGAGGATGGCACCGAGGCCTAGGTGATACCATACACGCCAAAGGAGTGCATGCAACACAAAAATTGCTTGAAACAGAGGCGTTGAAGGGGTCACCAGCGTCAGAATTGCCAGGTAGAATCCAAGAAGAAAAACTGATGTGTCCGTGATGCGGAACAGGTCGAAATTGCCTAATCCGAGCATGTTGTGCACTTGAGGTGGGGCTTCCTTTGTAGCTGGGGCTTGTTCAACCAGAATCTCTTCGGAATCTGACGACGACTTAATAGCGACAATGTCTGACTTGTCGCCATTGTTCGTCGATACAGTCCGCTTCCTTGGTGCAGGTGGATTGTATGTCTTTTCAATGTGAGGATTCTCAACGATTACCAAGAAGGCAAATTGGGCGAGGTGGGCAATGATGGAAATGAAGAGCACTTCGTAACTCGCGGCCATCATGGAAATGCCATAGTAGCCGGCGTAGCCAATCGAGTACATGGGATGAGGGGCCATCTCGAACACGCCATCAAAGGTCAACTCTTGGTCGATGAGATAAAAGAAGTCTCCCCAGTACCAGGCATAGTCTTTCACAACTCGATGGGCGTCCAGCTTAACCCAAAGGTTAAAGAGGACCAGAAAAATACCGATAGACCATCGGCCCACACCGAGCAAGAAGCTCTCCCCCTCAGGGGTGTGGCCACAGACGATGGCAAACAGGCAGTAGGACACGAAGTCACACATCAAGATCAGATCGACGACACGGCGGAAGACGAGCCATGTGTTGTACTCCATAGGAGCCTTCTCGAACTCGTAGTCTTCAGGTATCTTTGCCTCGAGCTCCCGCTTAAGCATGTTATAGAGCCAGGGTCTTGGTTGCTTGCCCGAGCTAGGATGTTCAAAGAGTTTCCATCTCACAGCCCATGTCTCCAATCTGCGATGTTGGGATTGAATGGTGAGGAGGTAACCGATGCCGATATTATACGCCGCTCTCCAGAAAAGAAAGACAAGAGCAAACACCGGGCGCTTCCAGGTTCCTGGAATAAAATACGCAGCACCGATTTGCAAGGCCAGAATCGCCAGCACGAGTAAGTCGGACAGGTTCTTGGGCTGTCTTGGATCGAGCAACTGCGATACCATGTCATGGGTCGTAGGAACTGTGAACACTTATGGGAGGAAAAATGTCAGCCCCCACGCAAAACGACTAAAGATGCCGAACAAAAGACGCAACAATAAATCCTACCTGTGCCATCCGGGGTACGACCAAATGTCTTTTTGGGTTTCTGCTCGATATCTTCGGTGACGTCAGACTGGTCATCTTTGGAGATTGACGCATTCACTTCTTCGCTATCGCCAGACGACGAAGCACGTCTCTGACGCTGGCGAAGTGAACCAGCATCATTGGCAACGGGTTCGGTGGAGGAGCTCATTCTAGTAGAACGAGAATAGTTTGGTATGGAAAATGCCGACGTCCTGGGATTGTTCACACGCAGGGGGGTCGGTATGGTCGAAGTGCAAAAGTAATTCTGAGGCCCAGGCTGTCCATGAGCCGCCGGTTGTCCAAGTACAAATGAAGAGTCTGAAGGATCGTAAATGCTTGTGCGAAACAAAAAGGCGGCAGAGCGGGAAGAGACAAGTATATGTTGAAGGTTGGACATGGAACTACGACACAGCGGCCGGGGTCGGTTTCCAGTGGAAGACGACGGACAGGTTGACCCACTAAACCCAGTGGGTTTTTGGTAAAGTCGCCCGCCCGCCCGTCCCGCTGATTTTGGATCACATGTCACAGAGTAGCCTAAGTTTCCTTTTTCAATGTCAAAGAGACAATTGTTGAGACCAACCTCCCACCCAGTCCTCCGGTAGAGGTAAGGGTCTTTCAGCCTCGAGCACGACTCAGCAACCGTACAGCTTTCCAGAGGAGAACATAACCCAATCAAAGGGGTCTTCGGGGGATAGTCCGATCTACAGTAACCTAATCCGACACAACATGGCTCGACAAAAGGCAGGAAAGCTTGGTCCTCCAAATTAGCAACTTGTCCTCGAATGCTAAACTTACGTAGTAGGAGACGCAGCAGGTACAAATGTGTGTCTGAGACACACACGTGCAGTGTGACGCTGGTGCCCTGATCACCCTGGTAGGCTAAAAGATTGGTTGGGGAAAAAAAAACTCTTCACTGAGATTCCAGCGTGTTCCTTTCCCGCTGACGGTTTGGTGTTGCGCGGGATACTCACGCAATGTGCGAAGTACCTTCCTTACCATGCCAAGTCACACACCCCAATGCGGGGCAGCATGAGCAGCTTACCTAACCCAAGATGCTCTAGCTTTCTCGGGTGCACAGAACGCTCTAAGCGAGGGCCCTCGATATCTTGACACTTGGACCAGGCGCACAATGCGTCCTGCACGTGCTGATAAGATAGATGGTGGAGGGAGATGGTTGATCAGTGACTTTACCAGAAGTAGCTTACAACTGCATGAGTACAACAGCTGTCAAACCTAAACTTCAACCCCTGATTTTGAAATATTTTCAAAATCTGACTGGCAACCATGGCTACGCTTTGGGTAGATCCGATGGGTGTAACAACACTGAACCAGAATTTCCGTAGCAACGGCAACAAATAAGGCCCTAGACTGGTCTTTGAGCGGAGCCGGCCAGCATTTCGTAGACAGGGCCATGCCCGTCCCACCACGCGATGCAGAGCAGTAACATGAGCGCTTTTCATCAACATCCCTCCACTGCACTCACGCGTTTTCAAGCGCGCCACACGTTTAATTCGGTTGTCATGCCACCAAATCTTGCCCCAAAGACCGTTCATATGCCTAGCGACCGATCTGACGGAGCCCCTTCAAGTTCGGCATCCCTGGCCGGGATTCACACTCTCTTTCCGGGGTAGGCCGGCCGTTTGCATGAAATTCTAGAATGACAGCATCAAAACACACCCACTAGACACAAGGGCCCCTTCCTAGGTCAAATTTCTCATCAGGCGTGTTGTTTCTCAAGGTCACTTCGTTCTGTAATTGTATAAAGATGGCCAGAGAAGGCCCAAACCCTCTAGCCTAGCTCCTTTGCATGTGGTTTTGCTCACCCAAGTGTCACAACTGACCTCAATCCATTCGTTGTCCCAAGCACACCTTTGGAAATCCCCCCTAACGTCAAGCGGTCTTCCCAATCAAACTGAACAATCTCTTAATAGGGTTATAATTGCCCCCTTGCCCCTAAACAAACAAGCAAACAAACAAACACGTAGCCATGGCCCGCGCTACCCCGACAGCTTCAATCGCTGGCGATAAGCCGCTCCCTACGCGTCCTGGCACTTCAGGGACGGAGAACCTTCTCAGGACGAACCGTCGCCAGGCCTCGGACAACTTTCAGCGTGCCCAGCGCGCCGAGAGGGCCTACCGAGCCAAGAAGCGTGCGGCAACTGCCCGCGCCGACCTCTCTGATGCGAAGACCCACTACAGCGAGTGCTTCAAACACTTCACCCGCGGCATCGCCGTCACTCTCAGTGCCGTAAAGTCGCTCCCTTATGTCTTCGACGAGAGACAGGAGGCAGCCCGCCAGAAGGCCGACGCCAAGAAGAAACAGCGTGCCCTCGAGAAGAAGAAGAAGCTCGAAGAGAAGCTGGCGAGGGAGAACGCTGCCACTGCCGACGGCGAGGAGACCCCAGCTGAGAACACTGAGGGGACTCCTGCCGAAGAGGCGGCCGCATGATGGACCATCCGCAGAGTCGAGTCGATGACGTGGTTGAAAGGAATCTGAAATAGACCGAGACCTGCGGATGGGGCCCTGTCAAGACATAATCTCCCTTCACGCATCTTTGTCCCGCGCCAAACGTATTCCTCAGGTCAAATATCCCAACTCGCCTTCGGAACTCACTCTGCGACGGGACTCTTCGCTTCGTTCGCAACTTGGCAGTAATGTGCCATTCCCATCGGCCCCGATACATCGACGACAAAACGACAAACGACAACACAACAACGCGACTACATCTATCATCAACAACCACCACCAACGACGACGACGACAACATCCGATAATAAAATCAACAAGAATCGACCACCACCGACTGCAACGTTCGCACAACGACAAAACACAATAGTTTGCTCGCCCCTGAGGCACTCACATTCGTTTTATCCACCATATTATCAAAATCCTTTTTCCTTTTTCTTATCAATATTTTTTTTTTTTTTTTTTTTTTTTTTTTTGCGTCTCTATAGTCTTTTTATTAGTACTGTTTGCTCTTGGCAGTAAACTCCACTCATGGCTTTGGACGAGATAATGACGACGGAGCCAACGACAACGCAGACGTACTCTTTGTAATTCACCATGTTAACTGGGTACTCAAAAAGGGGGGGGGGGGGCCCGGCCGCCATGTTTGGGTCTTCTCATCTGGCGTCTTGTCGAAGTCTTTTTTTTTTTTTTTTGACAACTTACTTCTTTGCCAGTTTGTTCAATTTCTTATGTACAGTCGCTTTTGTAAGCCATTACCCTGACGTTTCTGGAGATAAAAAGGCGGAAAGGAGTCGATTGGGTTGGGGGCCTTCATCTGAGATACCTGCTTTGCATTTTTTCCTGTTCCTATTTTGTTCTTATCTGAGATCAGTAGCATTTCTTGCTTGCTTTCTTATACAAATCAGACAACTGCAATTTTCGTGTCCACTTTGAAAACTCTGCAAGTCCCGTTTGCCGGGATGTTTTTGTCGTCTATGAAACCTCATACACAGAGGGCCGACGCGTTCCCAGTTAGTTGTCATACGTGCTCTTGACGTGTGTGCACCGTAACACGCCGCCACCACCACGATGGGCTACCTCTTCCATGAGATCATGACTTCGCATTTCCGAGAGAGAGAAAAAGGTTGAACTACCATACCCCAAGATGCCAATTTTAATACCGTTGCCGTAGCCGTATCTCCAGTAGTAGCATCAAAAGAACCGTCGTTACCGCACCGCCACATCCTCCAGTCTTCTTCTACACAGCACCTCATTCCTCGCCTCAAGTTTAAGCAGCCTTCTTGGCGAATTCGACTCTCAGAATCAAGTGCTTGAAACCAAAACCATCCATCTTGGCGCAGGCCTTGACGGCGTCGCCCCGGTCTGCGAAGCTGATGAAGGCGAATCCCTTGGCGAGACCAGTCTCTCTGTCCTTAGCCAAGAACACACGAGTAACACGTCCGAAGCGCTCGAACATGTCGCGCAGCTCCTGCTCCTCTGCCAACTCCGAAACCTGTTTGTCATAGTTAACGTCATGATTTTCTGGGAAGATACAGACAGAGGAAGTCTAAAACGTACGTTGGTAACACGCAGAGTAGCAAGGTCGTCGCGCTCGCCGTACTTGCTGCCGCCCATCCTGTCTCCCGCAGCAGCACCAGCAGCGCCCGCTCTGAGAGCAGGAGGAACGTAGCTGCCCTTCTTGACGCCAGGTGCACCAGCAGCCGCGGCAACGGCAGAAGGCTCGTCGCCCATACCGGCGGCCACATCGGCGGTGCCACCATCCTGTCCAATGGGAGCCATGGTGTCCTTGTACGGGCAACGGGCCGTGAAATGCTCGCCGTTGCAAATACGGCACTTGACCTTCTTGTCCTTGAGCTTGTCCTTCATGGCCTGGGCGTTGGGGTCCTCGCCTTGCTCCTTCTCGTCCTTGCGCCAGTTCGTGCTCGGTCGGAAGATGATGTTCTCACCGACCGAGGTGGTATCCGGGGCAGGACCGGCGGGGTCCTTGGCGCTAAGGCCGAACTTGGACCATGTCTTGCGTTCAGCGACACGCGGGTTCACTTTCTCAGTGTGCGTCGTGTAGCGGATGCGGCGGGTCGTCTTGACCTTTTGGCCCTGGTCATTGTAACGGAAGGTGATGATGGTCTTGCTGCCGTCCTTGTTGCTGATGGTCTGGGGCGCGGGGAGGTCAGTGGTGGTGGTCTCGTCGACGTCTTCGTCGTCGGCCCAGTCGTGCCTGGTGGTGGGAGGGACTAGATGTCAGCTTTCCTGTCTACGTTTTGCACACAACACTTTTTCCACCAGCGCCATTTTGAAGAGGGAGGGGAAGGGGAACCTGGAAAGACTAACTTGGTCTTGGGAGTAGCCATCTTGAACGCCTTTTTAAGTTTCTCCTGTTATCTCGCTGTTGTCGAGGACTTGATCACGGCCTTCGGATCGATCGAGTCGTGGATTCTCGGAGGTTGACTGTGTCGATGAAGCGGATTGTCGCGATGGCCAATTTCGTGGTGGGGTCCTCGAAGGCGATGAATTTTGTGAGTTGGTTGATTTTCGTGGTGCGCCACCGAGCCTTGGTGTGGGGCAATTTCGCTATACCGTTTTGAGCTAACCACCGTTTATCCCAGCTACCGTATTTCACTACCGGTGCCTGACGGCCTCGAAAACGTTGCCTTCGTCTGGGAGGTACACGAGATGATTGAGGGAGGGCTAAGTTGCATCATAAAAGTTAAGTGCTACATAGATCAACCTACAGTTTCTTCTTTACTAAAACCTTTCTCTTTTTTTTCCCTATTAACTATTTCTGCAATAAAGCCTCACGTAACCATCATCACCAAACTCATCCAATCACTGAATGAAGGTAGAGTGCCCTCCACTTCGTTTCTCCAACATGAACCATGTTCACACTAAATTTCCTAATTTGAAGGATATCTTCGCTGTATGGTTACATCAAAACCACAATTGGGACAAGTAAGCAGATGTTCGACTTTACAAACTTAGATTTTTTGGGTTTGTGATAAACTTCACCCTCACCATGAGCTGAGGCATCTTTCTCGGCCGCTACCATAACAAAAAATACAAGTCGTACACTACGTCACCCGTTGCCGTCCCAAGGATATTCATATCGCCTTCTATATCATCCGAAGCCCAGCCATGATATATGTCTGCCGCTGCCAAAACGGTCCAATTGCCGTCCAGATGGTGAATCATAGGAACGGCGCCTTTCTAACCACGAACGCCATTTTGCGCAGTAAAAGGGGTATGGCGCAAACAAACCAAAAAGTTCTCAAAAATAAAAATAAAAAATACATATGGAATGGAACACATGTGCCGCTGTGGGCAAATCTCTGGGCTACAGCCAGAATAGAGAACAGGAAAGGAAACGATGCTTCATGGCAGAAGCGAGTGAATGGCAAACTACGCCTTGACGCGCGGCTTTTGAGGAATGGGAGGGAGCGCGCAGTTTGGTGGCGGCGCTGGTGGGGGTCCTTCGACGAGCTGTGGCATGCTGCGTCTGTTCAAAACAGCTTTTGGGTCGACTCGAAGAAGCTGTTGGGTAGATGGTGTAGGAGGGGTGCAAGGTACTTTGGGTGATGACCTTGGTAAAGATCTAGGTGATACCGAGGCTGCCTTCGGGGGTGTAACCATTGGTGAAACCCTGTCCTCGATTTCCGCGGCTTGACTTCTGGTAGAGCGGGGAGAAGGTGTGTCAAGGAAAGTGGTGAATCTCCTCGAAGTCTTTTGCGAGGCGCTCGCAGGAGGAGATTGCGCATATCCACCGTCACCCAAAGACGATCCAGGACTGGCTAACCCCCCTGGCGACAAAGCTAGGGAAGATCTTGAAGGAAGGATGAAGGTGCGAAGCTCTGGCGACCGGGGGGCTGCTTCCTGTTTATTGAGAGAAGGCGAGCTGGCGTACTTTCGAGGGCTTGTGCGAAGAGTCACCGTAACAGCCTCCTCTTTATGCTCGAGGCTTGCCTGTCTCGGTGGAAACACGGACGACTCCTCAACCTGCGCAGCTTGGCATTCATGGGTTCCGGCTGCATGTTGCTCGGCGAGCGAGTCAACGAGACCTTGAACCGGGGAAGGCTGATCTGCCACCATGGAGAGAGGTCGGGCCATGGCAAGAGCAGTTGGGGGAGGCTTTCGTACGCTCCTCGTGCTTGAAAATGAATCCCTGTTTCTAACATGCTCTGGACTAGATGTGGGAGACTTCATAGCGCTGTAACGTCTGCTGATAGGAACGCTAAAGTTGGCTGCAACTTGTGCGAACTCGTTCTCATTGTATGTGATAGATTGGGGACGTGACATTGGTGAGCTTCTCAACTCCATATAACCCGACGTCTGCAGTGACTGTCTGCGATCAAGGATAGCCGCAGCATTGGGTCTCGGTCTGACAACAGGGGCCTCCTGGCATGAAGGGGGTATCTCTTCAAGGTAGCTGCTGGCAAAACTGTCTCGGACGGGAGAGCAGGCGGGGGACGAACCGGCTGATGTGATAAAAGTCCGTTGGCCAGATGAAATGTAAGAAAGACGGTTAGTGCTATCTCTCAAGCTCTCGAGCTGCCGGTCATCGTGGGACATAACACTGTTGGTTGTAGAAATGTCGTCAATGGAGGGGTCACGCGTTATTTCGGAATCCATAACAGAAAGATTCTCAGACTCATGTAACCTGGCCTGCTCCAGATGGAGCGAGAAGTCCGGAGGTAGAACTCGCGAGAATCTATCCGGATCGCGAACGACCAAGGTGCGCTGACTGGGCTGTGCCTTCAGCTGCACAACGTTATCATCAGCCTTGGGCTTACCAGTCTCAGAGAGAGTCTTCTTGCCGCCAAGCGCTTCGATTTCTCGGCGCAGGGTTGTGATCCAAGATTCCATGTCTTCGGCGCTGTCAAAAACCATGAGAAAGTTGGACGCATGTCTCTTGTCAGCTGCTCGGAAGGGAAGGCGAGAAAGTAGCGATCGGGAGTCTGCGGCAGACAACCCGTTGGACTCCATCGCCGAAGAAACCTGGAGAACCCAGTGGCGGCCAGGAATAGCATCGCTAACAAAGGCGGCCGAGTCTTTGCCCAGGTGCAGCATCTTCTCGGGAAGCCGATCGAAATTGCCATCTCCGGAATACTGCAGCAGGTAGCCGGAGGTGCAAAGAACGTATATTTTGGATGTCCACTCAAGCTTGGTTGTCGAGATAGTTCGCAGATGCTTCCTCCTCGCCCTCTCAGTCATCTTGTCGCCCAACTGATCGTCAGCGAGCTCTGAAGCGAGACCTAACTGCGTCAAATCCTCGCGCAGACTAACACTGCCTTTTCTATCGTTGAAGCGCAGAATAACATCGGCAGAGGTCGTGCAGGCTGGAAGTTGGCCATGTTTGATGGCCTGAGGGTATGCTTGGAATAATGGTGGGGGGTCCCAAGTGGCCAAATTGCCCCGAGATGATTTGGCGGCGGGCGCTTGTGGCTTGGGTCTTTCGGTGGTAGTCGGCCTTCGTTGAACGGCGCCGTCGTTGAAAGGTGCGCTGATAGCTACCGAGGTTGGCCGCGAAGAAGTGCCTGGCAAGGCGATTTCTGATCGCACATACGGCCAGTTGCTGATCTCGGCCAGAGAAGCTCGAATGCTGTTAGGCCTTCCGGTATCGAAATACGACGTTGTAGGGTCAATTTCGCGGGCGTTCTTCCCTCTGCCGAAGATGTTCCGAAGTCCTAACCGCGAATCTCGCCTGCTAAGCCTGTTTTCGGATCGCAGAGGAACGCGGTTCTTCTCCTCTGATGAGGCGTCGAAATGTGATGGCCGGGTCCGGCGGGATTGGGTTGCGCGATACTGGAGTGTTTCCGCGAAGGTGGCAGCGTTGGGGCTGCTGGGCTCAACGCCAGCCATGGCTAGATTGGGGCGTCTAGCCGGACGTTGAATATGGGTGGAGGTTTAGAAGGAGTAGAGCAAACTGTTTCCAGAGTAGAAGAGTGCGAGCGGTGAAGTGAGTATAAGACAGTGAGGGACGGAAGTGTGTTTGGGCATAACAGACAGCAATGGGTGGATTCCGTAATGTAAGTTGGGATGGTAGGCATAAGAGCCAATTCAACGTGGGCAGGTGTCGGCAGTGGAGCTGGGACCAGGCTCTTTGAATCTCGGCAACCGCTGTAGGGGTGTGGGCTCGAGAAATATTGACGGGTGATGGGACGTAGGTGGTAGGCGGATACAAGGAGAGAACGAAATGAAGCTTTGGAGGAAATGGTTTGCGTTGGTTGGCGGGTATAAAGTTGCTTAATTGTACGTGAAGGTGACGATGACGGCGTATCCGATGCGCAAGATGGGTTGGTTAGGGTGAATGGGACGTAGCTGAACAAGCTTCGACGTAGAAGAAGAAATTTGTTGACACGAACCGAAAGCCCCAATCCACTGATACGAGTGGTGTGAAGAGGATACAGTAGATAGGAAAGTCGAACAATTAAGGGCCTGCCTGAGGGTGCCACCGCAACAGCAAGACACAGTTACGGAAGGTGAGAAAAGAGGAATTGGTCAAGAGGCAGCAAGGGCGCAAAAACTGGGAGGTAACAGGTAGGAGGGCATTCGGGGATATTCATAATAATAACAACAATACAAACAATTAGGGACCGGGACATTGGGCAGCGGGTACAGTAGGTCTCCAGATGGATGCGCGGCGCGGTGTGATCTGACTGAGCTCGGCCGGACCACTAGGCCAGAACGGTGGGTTTAACACTAGCACAGGCACAGGCACAGGCACCGGAAGTACCTTACCTGATCTCACTTTTTTCTAGTCGCCGTAGATTATTATGGATTATCGCTCGTCCGCTTTGGCGTCTTCAGATGACGAGAGGGGAGACGGAGGGGAGAGAGACGCCGAGAAGAGAGCGCGTCCGACGTCCAGGCTGAAGCGCAGGGCCCTGTTCCCTGCTCAAGCACCCCTGTCTTCTCTGCATCTCTCTTCCCTGTCCCTCGTCCCACGCGCCCCTTGCCTTGCTACTGAGCTTCTTCCGGTTGTCCTTTTTTACTTTGTGGCTCACAGTCACTTGAATTCTCGCCCCCCATGTCATCCCATCTTGTCCGATGTTGTGAACTATGCTGAACAGATACAACGACAACCGCAGAGCACGGGCACAGGCAGAGGCAAAGGCACACACAGATTATAGAAACAACCCGCGGAAAATAGACTCTGCAGGTGCAGCATCGGCAGGGAATACCATGGCATACTTTTGACGGCGCACCACCATCTTCGTCATGTCGGTACTCTCGGACAGGGTCTCCAGGGATCTCAACTCGACGAGAAGCTGTGACGGCGGGGTGGTTGTGAGAGGGGGAAAAAAAATTGCACATGGAAAAAAAAATTGCTAGAGGGTTGGTCACTTTGAAGTCTAGTCACCCGGTCACAGACAGGTTGATCGAACCACCCAGGAAGTACAGGAAGCTGTTCCCCGACACAGTGACGATTTGCCCATCATCCATCACATCCTTGGCAAGGGCCCCGAATCGCTTGAGATTCTCCTTCGGGATTCCCTTCCCCTGGATGCTCTCTGGGTGCCCAAAGAATCTATCACCCGGTTTGTGTGGCACCCCTGTCTCTAGTACCAAAGTCTGGAAAATGGCAAATGAAGCCTCCCCCCAAAAGAGCGACCGATTGGCAATACTGACATGGGTGAAGGCGCAGAAAGAGTAATGACAGAAATGAGACCGGTCGGTTTCGCCGTCGACGGCACTACACGAAATGACACAATACGACACCGACGGTTTCTGTTGCCGTGTCGGTTGGTTGAGCTTCAGATTCGATGTTCGACTTGACCGATTGACCAGCGAGGTTTACCAGGGCTACAAATGTAATACGCACGTATGTACTATGTATGCCGCATTTAAATGAAAAAAGACATGGACACACAATGTCGGGTACCCGTAGCTGAGCTGCTGCATATACATCACATTTGTATTGCGTAGGAGGCACCAACCACTCTCCAGTACCGTTTGAACTCTTGCTAATTCTGTGTCTCTGTGGGCTAAATCATGTCGTTTCGTGGGTTAGCTACCATTAGACTGTTTGCTCCAGCAGAACAGCAAAGCGTCGCCATCTGTGCAACCACACCATGCCATAACAAAAACAAAACCGCAGCAGAAGCAAATAAAAAACAGCCGTCGACTGTCCATTTGTAAGATGTCTCTTCCCTGCCAGCGAATAGGCTCTAACACTAGGTTCACCCTTGAGACTGCCGAGAAGAAAGGACAGTGTTTTCCAGCTCTAGAGCTGGTACCCCATGCTTACTTCCCAGGTTGTCCGGGGCTGTTTTGGAAGTGTAAGAAGGAAACAAGCCACCAGGCCCCTGGGTGTCTCCAGCGAATCCCCGACGCGTAAAATCCGACGGGGCGGACACGTCTGCAGGGGCAGAAACGTCGTCTCGTCATGAAAGGGGCATAGATCGGACCCTCTCCAGACGCCACCACTTTCAAACCCCCACTCTTCCACCAACAGCACGGAAGCTGCTGCCCTGGAAGGGTAAGAGCTCCCCACCCTAAAGGAAGCGCCCCGAATGTTTAAAAAAAAGCAAACATGTGTGTGAGATGAACCTGAGAGGAAAGAGACGGGGGGAGAGGGGGGGAAAAAAGTAAGGCGCACAGGAGACAGAAAAAAATCTTCCTCAAAGAAGAAAGGAGAATGAAAAAAGAAGGAAGAATAGAATGAGCATTACGGATAGATAGGCACGGTGGATCCTCTGTAATATCTTACCTTTCCTATTCATACCATCCACCATGTACATCAACAACTCAACAGCAACAGCCCAGATGAAGGATAGATACATCGATTGATTAATGATGGATGATCCCCTCGGCACAGCCTCTGCCATTCACGCGACATGCACATGCACGCGCTCCTCCCGTTTGCCTCCCTTCGCGGTTGTCTAGAACCATGAGAGAGAGCTTCGTGCGCTCGCCATGCCTTAGCTCGGGAGCTTTGGCTTTCTGCGCTTCGTGGCTGTCCTCCTCTTTTAGTTAGTATCTCCATTTCTCCGAGCTTTTCGAAACCCTAGTCTGGAATCTCGTTCGGGATTTCCAATCTCCCGGGTTGCCAAAATCCCAAGACTGAGGTTGAGGTCCCCCTTCTTCCTACCAGGCTTCAAGGGTTGTGTTGGGTTTGGTAGCAGCCGCCAGGCAGCATGGTACAGAAGTTAGAACAATCCCCAGTCTCTAGCCCTCCTCCACTGTTGACCCTTGTCGCCTGCTATTCTCATCATCAAAGCCTGACGAATTTAAGGAACCTTATGAAGATGTGCACTTTCCGCCCCACGGCCTGCCCCCTTGATTACATAGTACATGGCTCTGTTCCCAGCTGGACGAAACAACCCGACCTCTGGTGCTGTCTGTCCTTTTCTCCCATCCCTAATAAGTTGCCAGCCGTAATCTTTGGCCCCGTAACATGGGAACTTCAAGGTCCAGAATCATCCGGCATAACTTCCTTGCCTGTTTCGAAGATCCCATGACTCCGCCATGAAATACTGCAGTCGGTTGTTCGTCGGTCACGCCTTCCCCGTATTCTGTGTCAGTTGCAAATGGTCGAACATGTCGGCGTCTAGAAACCTCTTAGCCCTACTTTCTTCTCGGAGTTACTCATGGCGTTCCTTTCCTGATTCTCGGCGAAACTCGACCGAAAAGCCAATGTCGTCACTTGTCACTTGGAGAGGATAAACACTCAATTCTCCAGCCCTGATGTTGGACAACTTGCATCTTCTGACATAAATGCGTTACACCACGTAAGCATTGTCAGAGGCGAGAAATTGCGACTGCGTGGCCCATATGTAGCTGCCTGCCTGCCCGCCTCTCTCAGAGGATGACATGCATCGAGTTTATGCTGCTCTTTACGCTGTTCATGTCACCTGATGTTCCGCAGGCCGCTCGGTCAGTGCAGCTGCCATCCAAGCCCTTTCGGGACGAAAACATTACGCTCTGCTCCGCACAGAACAATCGTCTCTAAGCAACGCGCTCAGGGAACGCAGCAACGCCTGGCTTGGAGTGTTTTCAGTACTAATGCACCTCCTCATTTTTATTTTTATTTTGCTGGATACAGATCCTTGGATAACTATTGGCATCGGTATCCCAGAAAGAGGTCGTCGTAGAAAGGTCTGTTGTTGGTAGCTTTCGTATGTCATGTCCAAGCTCTTGAAGTAAATGGAAGGGTACAAAAAAAAAAAAAAAAAAAAAAAAAAAGCGGCTCTATTCGGATACCTTAAGCAACCCAATTCCTTGCCTTAGTGAGCTGTCCCTGTTGATAACAAGGCCGTTAACCCTAACCCGGCTGGTGCTACCGGATAGATCCCTGATCTTCGTTCATCCAGGGCTGGCCGTTTCTTCCCCAGCTGAAAGCCGTTGTCGAAACAAATTATCCGCCTCGGAGATGATGCTAAGAGCCAGCCAGTTAGCTTTCGCTACGTTGACTGCTTGCTTCGGCAATAAAATTTTCGCTACCACCCAACCATCTCTGCGGTAGGCGTTTAAATCACTACTTTCGGTTGCTGGTGGTGCCGTCGAGCCCCAACTGTGGGCCAGAGTCTCATGGACCTCCCCAGGTCTTCAGCCCTTGAAAACCGCACACGAGCAGCTCATTCACGAGGTCTTTTCAGCCAAAAGAAGATCTGGCGTGATGGTGTTCTCTTGGTCAGGCTGTTCCTGCAGTAGCGCTTTTTTTTTTATGTATCGTCCAAGTTTATCCCTGCTATCTATCCACAGACCCTCGGAGCTCGACCAGGTCTGAGCCCCCGGTCGCCACAGCACCAACCAACAAGCCTGGGTTTCTCTCGAACTCAATGCAGGCAAGTCCCTGCAAGCAGGGACTTCTCCGCCCTAAAAGGCCTCATCCTAGAGCCTCCTTCAATGCTACTACTATGTTAGTAGCAGGAAGTCTGGAAGGTTGGCTAGCCTGCAGCAGGTGCAAACCTCAGCATCCGGCCTCATCCGATCGATGCGGCGTGGTGCGTGTGGCATCGGCTGCTCGGTCTGGGGTTGCAACAGTGGCTTTCGATGGCCTGAGGAAGACGGAATCATGCGAACAGAGTCATCAAATCCAGCATGAGGCGGGAATCTTATAGCCACCTTCCTTTTGAACCTCATCTTGAGACGATGTAATTTATTACTTGATTTTTGTGTGTCCCAAACTGCATTTTTGAGGCTGTTGGTGATGCTTCTTGGTATAGTTGGCTGCCAACTAGACATACTGTCTGCTAAGTGAAGGATCCGTCGGACTGGATGCAGTACTCTCAAGTGAGAGTAGCTTGCGAAACCGTAGGCTTCTCAAACATGCAACTTTCAAGGCAATGGCAATGTGCTGACTTGGCTCTCAGCCCTGGTGATCTTCTCAGGCCAGTGGCCAACTTAAGCGGCCCCGAGATGTCATCGCAGTCAGCTCGTCCAACCACAGCGCATAGAGATGTTATTTCACTTTATATGAAGCTTTGGCAATGCGCCACTTAGATGAGAGGGCCTTGCGGTTGTTCAGCTCGGGTGTAGCAAGTGAGACAGCAGATCTGATAGACGTAAAGATCGAGAAGCTACTATGAATAGTTGCTGGCTGTCGGGCAAAATTCAGTTCATTGCACGGCCTGATCCGCCAGTGGCATTAGCTCGGAAACTCTGCGTTCTCGCGCAAACGCCCTGTCGACGGGTAGCACAGGAGTTCATATCATTGGAAGTACTTTCTATTTTCTCCTTGCTCAAATTATTTGTGCGTCGTGGATGACAGCAATGGCTGTTTCCGATTGTGGAAGCCAAGTCAAAATGTCGATAATCCCTTTTACCGTATAATTCTAGCATGAAGATGGCGGAAGATCGGACTGTGTGAGCGACGGCGCCACAAGGACTACTTTCTTAGTGCTGAGCAAAGACAACGGTTCTTTCAGGCACCAAACCGGAAGTGGTGTCTAGAAGCAGAAACAACGCCATGATCTGCACTGTACTGTGTACCAATGTCCCAAGCCGGTGATGGGGGCGATGACTCTAGCAACAAGAGTCTAAAAAAGGCCGGGACTCTGTTTAAAATAACTAAGCGGTGGCTTGCGCAAGTTGTTCACCTGAGACCTGGATCAGCTAGGGCAAACGTGGGTGAGCAGAGGTACCCTGAATCCGCTCGCGAAGGGTTCTTTTTGACAGCACGCCGCCTAGGCTTGAAAGCTGTTTTTGGATACTTCATCGGGTGGAACACTACGAAAGAAACATATGTATAAATGAAGGCAACAGCGTCAAGCTGCAGCCGTGGCTTGGTCAGGTCAGCGCAGGCGAAGCAATGCTGAAAGACCTGAAGTATTCGCCACCAGGCCCGTGAACTCCTCGGTAACTCTCGGGCGGGAGCCGTTAGGGAAACCCTTGAAGTTTCCCGATGGATGACTGCTCTATATGGTGGGGTGCTTGTTCTGTATGTGTCCAACGTATGCCACAGTTGCTCACTCTGTTGGCCAATATTGGGCTGGTCAGCTGATGTTGCAATATAATTGTTACCAGTCTATTGGGCTCGCTTGTGACAGTTGCCGCATTTTGGAGCAAATTAGGACTGACTTATCGAAACAGAGTAAGTTGGGCATTGTGAGTCAACGTTGGCAACAGTTGAAGCTTGGAGGGCTCATTTTGATGTTGGTGTTTGTGCTGATAATAGCCTAACGTGCGGTACCGCGGAACGTTCTGGCGACCGTTTTTGGAAAGAGCCGAAAGAGTCCTTAGCCAATCAGAGTGGTATGCGATAGGCAAACTCAGAAGGATTTGGCGAGACGGCAGGCATTGAATGGCCAGAAAGGGCAAAGACGGTTGCTCACCGTTTTGCCAGTCATGCCTGAGGCAGGAGCCGGTAAGACCAACGGGCCGTCACTGCCTCATCAGGTTACTACCCCAGCGGTTCTGCTCCAGTGCTCCTGGAACGTCCAGTCGCTTCCAAGTGGCCTCGTGACACCAGAGCAGTGCAGCATGCCCCAGAGCCATGCCGCCAGGCGCAGCAGGTACAGTGCAACAGCAGGAAACTCCCCACCACAACCTCGTTCTCCCTGCTTCTGAGCCTTTGAGGCGGGGCATCGACTGATATACAGTCACCTGCCTTGCAGGAATCAAATACTTCAAGGAATCAATGATCAGCAGAGCACAAACGACCATGCCACCACCGCTGTTCCGTGTGTCTAACTTGTGATTCATTTGATATGTTGCCTTTCAGCTTGCATCCTCTTTTTTCCAACCTCGATCTCAATCTGTGATAAGCCCTGACTCCCTCTTCCGCTGCTCCCACCAGGAGGTCACCTTCGCATTACCTCATACCTCCCCAGCGGCCGCCCTCTCTGACGCAGGCTTGACCCCACCTTTCCCGCCTGTCGTTGCAGCTGCAGCCATCATTGCCGACGATCTCTCAACTCTCAGCACTCGACAGCTCTGTTAAGTTGTTATCCGCCGCTACCTGTACCTCCATCGCTGTCCTCTCAAGCTCAGCTGTCTTCATAACCCTGGGAGCCTTCAGAGCTCTGACAAAACCGAACCGTCAATGCTATGGCCCCAGATTTAAATTCTCTTCCTCCTTCATCTTTCCCATCTCTACCCATCCGGTCCAGAATGTCTTCTTCGAACGGCGACTCTGCCATGCCCTCTTCAACCACTGCCGCCGCCGCACCGCGAGGCGAGTCGCCCACCGGCTCACCGCGTCGCTTGTCGACCTCATTGCAAGCTGCAGCTACAATGAACGCAGGCCTTCAGCATGAGCCCTCCAGACGTACGCTTGCACGCTTGGCCGTACATCAGTAAGGTCCCACTGACATTGCACCAGGTTCCTCCAGCGGCTCCCTCTCGCGCACTCGACATTCTCCCAACGCTGGTCGAAGACGATCTACAGTCTTGATGAATCTGCAACTCAACGATCCCTCGCTTCCTGGTCCCGGAGAAATGGTTGCAGACCCACAACACACACAGTCTGGCGGTGCTGCGAATGCCAGCCCACAGCCTATGGCAAGCTCCCCGCTGATGCTTGCCAGCGGTGATCCTCATCACAACCGTGCCCCCAGTCTCGGAGAGCTCCACCAGGAGCTTGAAGCTGAGCAAGAAGCGCAAGTTGTGCGTACCATACCTCTTATTAGCAGATAGAGGGTTGCTCTTTCTATGCTGTCAACAGAAGCTAACAACGATGCTCCTGCAGAACCGGCTTCTTCAAATGATTCGTCAACAGCAACTGCAACTCCAGCAATTACAAGCTGCCCAAGGACAAGGTTCCTCTGCTGTTGAGGACTCTGCCATCGTATCAGAGAGGTCGAATCAAGGAACACCCATTTCACAACCAGCCAGCGCCTTGCCACCGTCAGGCTTTACACCTCTTCCTCCTTCAGGCTCCTTTTCCCGGTCTCCCGGTGTGCCTCACCATCCCCGAAGCTCATTCGATATGGCGAGAGTAGACATTCAACGCAGGTCTAGGACACCGAGCCGCGGCGCTTCTCCCAGACTACGATCGACGTCTATGAGCGGAGACAGCGGTGATCACTGGGTTCTTGGAGGCCGTGATGAGAGTGCTTTCTACCAGGCAGAAACACAAATGCTGGTTAGAGAGAACCAAATGCTTCGTCACCGCATTCGAGATCTGGGTAAGACTTCCGCTTCCACGGCGTTTGACCCTTCGCTGATGATTATTGAGCAGAGAGGCAGCTGACGGACTTGGCTCCTGGAACGACAAGCCAGGGAAATCCTAATGAGCCTTCCCATCCATCTCATCTCATGAGGGCTACTTCAGCAGGAGAGGAAGATTCGACTACGCCTTCCATTATTGCGGCCTCTTCCGTAGGCGGTACGAGCAAAGAAACGCAGGGATGAATAAAATCTCCACATGAAATACTGGGATACTGCAAACATTCCTAATACGAGATATTATTGATGGGCTCAAAGGTCTAATGGCTCTTGCATTTGGCGTTGGGTGTCGCAAAACCTGCCGAGTTAAATTATGAATGCGGCGACAGGGTGGCGTTAGGGATTACAGGAAGGAGGGTGGTACCGAAGCTACGAGACTAATAAAGCTAGCCTCGTGGCCATCAGTCGAACAGTACTAGATGAAACTACTTGTCTCGACGAACTATTCCCATGAAGTTCATGTAGCTCTTCGGGTCATTCTAAAATGAAATATGGTTTGTAATAGGCTAGTAGTGGGAAAGTTGTCTTGTTTTTGCTGACTTCAACAATGTTCATTTACCAAATTTCTTGATATCTCAACGAGAGGTCTTCGCATCCTCTTCTGGCTCTCGTGTGTGTCCAAGCAAATGTTCTAATTGTTCTTAGCATTGTACACAAGATTATTTCCATTTTAATAGTGACGTAGTCCTCTGGGCGATCTTTGTTAATCATACAGCACTTGAGATGTTCATTATCATGCCTGGTAAGAATACGACGCTGGCAACAATATCTTGTCAAAGCATAGGACAGTAATGATGTATGAAAAGGGTTTGATTTTTACCATTGACCCGGCTAGTTAGGATTTCTCGTTTTCTTAGCTGGAGTATTCAGCACCGGGGATAAAACTCGCTCTTCAGGTTATCCCAATCCACCATCACGGTTTAGAACATGATCTCTCTACCCATCAATTCTTGGTATCGTTGTTCTGCCGAGCTCATAGCCTGCTAAAAGTTAGTATTGTAGTCTAAGCCCCTGTTCCCACGGAAAAAGACCAGAGAAGCTTGCGGAACCGGAAAACTCTTTTTTTATTCAGCCGAGCCTGCTACTGTGTTCCTTCATTAATGCCCATGTAACTTTGATTAGTCCTTAAACAGTAATAAATTAGGTTGGTACGTGAGCTGAATGGGACAGGACATGAAGAGCCTGGATTATGCTATACCTCAAGACGCAAAATTACCCTAACGTTGTAGATAGCGTTGTAAAGCCTTATACGTGCATCGTTTCACAACATTAGGTGGTTCTGTGTAGCTTTTAACAGTCTCAGAAACTCGAATATACTCTGCTATTCCAGCGAATATAGTGAGTTATGAATTGTCGCCTTTGCCCGTCTAGTTGTTGAAGATGGTTATTGCATATGTAAGACAAGGACTCTGGGTTCAACTTCGGCCTACCGGCGATGGCTTCACGTAAGGGCAATTAAGGACACGGATGTATGGAGACGCATAGGAAGAGTATGGGCTCGCAGTTCAATTCAAATATGGCCTTGCCTAGGCAAGGTCATGGATTGCAGTAAATAACTGTTGGTTTTCGAGCCGCCACTGGACTGGCTCTTGAACACACAGATCTTTAGGCCAGCATTTATGCACTTGGCTGAGTTATATCACTATGTCGAGATATGTGCGCACTTGATATGTGTAAAATAGATGACGACCCTAGACAGGCCGCTTGGCTGTGACCATATGAACAAGCCTCGACATAATCGACAACTCCGCAGATGAATGTTCGTGAGACTCGTCAACCATCAAACAGAGAACAGCCATCAGCGAAACCATTCAGATGCCCCTGGACAAGGACTTGAGATCTGCACTTGTAACCACGCAATTTGCAAAATCCCCGACCTGCCTCATTTTAAGAACAGCAGCTTTATTCCACTTCCTCCAGACAATCCACTTCAATATCTAAGGTGAAGTAAAAATCCATTAGAGAATGACATGTTTTGGTGTGGACCTACAATAGTAGATGCGGGTACTGTGATAACGGCCGAAGCGAGACCGGTGCCCCGGAAACACCCCGGTACGTCCCGGTCGCGTCATCGGCACTTTTAAACCATCCTTGACCCAATTCGAAAGCACAAGTCGAAGCAAGCGATTGAAAGATCCGAAATTTTAATTATCGACCATGTTGCTGAGGCCGTTGTGCACAAGATCCGTTAACGGTTTGAGCCGGGCCCGGCGAGGCTTCTCATCCACAGCCTCTGTGAAGGCCGATTTCACCCACATTGTGAGTTGAACCATAGCCCTCGGACACGCATCAGAGGCCACTCCGTCATGTCAGCTCAGCACGCCATTTTACCAAATACTTCGTCACGCTATCGGCAGCCCGTAACAGCGCACTCAAAACAAGTAACGGGATTCACTAATACTAATTGCAGGTGGTTGGAGGCGGCGCTGTTGGCCTTGCAACAGCCCGCGCCATTGCCCAACGTCCTGGTACATCAACGGTTCTCCTTGAACGCCATGGCGCTGTCGGCACAGAGACCTCGTCACGAAACAGCGAGGTGATCCACGCAGGTATCTACTATGGCGCCGGAACCCTTAAGACGGAACTTTGCATCCGGGGCAAAGAGCTCTTATATGCCTTCTGCCGGGAGCGCGACGTCGCTCACTCAAACACGGGGAAATGGATCGTTGCCCAGACACCCGCCCAGCGAGAGGCTCTTCAGAGAGTCCACGACTTCTGCAAGAACGAAATTCATGTGCCCATCCGATGGGTGAGTGAGGAGGAGGCCCGCCGCTTGGAACCTGGAGTCCGCGCCGAGGCTGGCGTGCTTGATAGCCCTACGACAGGCATTATCGACTCACACGGTCTGATGATGGGGTTGATGGGCCTGTTTGAAGATGCGGGAGGCGTAGTAGCACTCAGCTCAGCCGTAACAGGCGTGACACCGCTCGGCGAGAAGGGAAGCCAGGGCTGGGAGGTGCGCGTGCGGGATTCGACAACAGGAGAGGAGAGTGTAGTAACGGCCGAGGTGTTAATCAACGCTGCGGGACTCGGGTCTGTCGATGTGCACAACATGATTGTACCTGCCGAGCAAAGGCGGGCCTTGTACTACGCCAAGGGCAATTACTTCTCGTACGCCAGCTCAACCCCTAAGGTTAGCAGGCTAATCTACCCAGCACCAGAGCCAGGTGCCGGTGGCTTGGGTACGCATCTGACTCTGGATCTTGCTGGTCGGGTACGTTTCGGTCCGGATGTGGAGTGGGTCGATTCTGCCGATGATCTGGCCGTGAACACTGCTAGACTCCCGCTGGCCATCGAAGCTATCAAGAAATACCTGCCCAATCTTGACGAAAGCTGCTTGGAGCCAGATTACGCAGGGATCCGACCGAAGTTGGGGAAGTTGGGAGCAGTAGCTCAAGGAACAGGGTTCCACGATTTTGTCATCAGAAAAGAAGAGAGCTACGAAGGTTGGGTAAATTTGCTTGGTATCGAGAGCCCCGGACTTACAAGCTGTCTGGCCATAGCAGAGCGGGTCGACAAGATTTTGTACGGGTGAAACTTTGTAATTATTCATTCTGTGCGACCCAATGTCGACCGAGCTCAGAAAATACGCTCTGCGACAAATTACAAGTCATGCAAAACGCAGTCGACGATGCTATCAAAGAAGGACAAAAAGCACCATGTGACCAACAACCATAATCACTGTACTAACCAAATACCATGATGCTGTAGACTTTTCAATAATCGCGCTCGTATCGTGCGAGTCCCCCCAAAACCCATGCCAGCCCCTTAACGCCTATTCAGCAGATGGTTCGCGATACACATAGCTGTCATCCTTCAAGACCCCTAACGCCCACCAAAATATCAAATGTTTTACAACCTTAACGTAAATTCAAGTTAGGGTGAAATTTGCGACCTTGAACGTCCACCTGAAACTCGTATATGCCGTTTTCCGCACCCACATACCTATTCTCTTAGTCAGGAAGCTGCTTGGTTCATGATTGACAGACGTTACTCACAAGATTCTTCCGTCCTCGCTCCACGAGATCCCGGCGGTATTGTCAGGCTCAGTGTCGGCTTCGTGAACTCCATGCTCAAGTGCAACTCGTCGACGGGCGTTGCGCTCCTCTAACTCACGAATTGCAACGGAGTTGAGCAGAGGCAAAATTGAAGACCTGTCTCTGTCGCGGTCCCTCGTAGCGGCGCGCAAATCTTGAACGTTGCTCTCGAAGGACAAGCTATAAAGGGCCTCGAGATCAGCCCATCCACTAGCTGATGGAGTTAGGCTGCGAAGGTCACTGGCTGCTCGCTGTGTTGCAGTCGACGCGTCTCCAGGGCGAATACTTGCTGCTCGTCTCGGAGGATGAGCATTCATCATGCCAAGCATACGATCTCGGTCCGCATTGGATTGCAGAATAAGGCGATGAGCATTACGAATACGTTCTTGAGCTCGTTCTCTGGAATCCCGGATATTACCGAGGAGATCTCCAATAGCACGAGACACGTTGCCAGGTTGAAAGTCACCGCGATCGCCCGTTGTGCGTGCTGCATCGCTTTGTTCCCCCAGGCTACGCGAGACGCTACTGCTTCGCGCGCGTGTCGTAGCTACTCCAGGGTTAGAGTCGTAATCAATAGGACGGGGAAGCCTCCACCCCCATGGGGTGAGTGGTAGCTGCTGAAGGGGTGACAGACTTGCCGATTGCTCTGCCATACGTGCCGCAATCCGCTCCCTTTGCTCCCTCCTTCGACGTTCATCTTGCAATGCTTCGAGCACCCGAGTTTCATCGGGGGTAAGGGCCAGGTGATGACGCTCAGGACCCTCGGAACCTCGTCGCCGACGGCCCTCTCCAAGACCGAATGATCCTGGAAAGGCAGATAAAGGGACATCATTCCGCTCACCACGACCTTCTAAAAGGCGAGGGTCTATGGTGGCGCGATCGAGAACAGGAATATGCTCATAGTCGCCGTCAGCCCCTATATCCAAAATTTGGCGCTGTACGAATCCAGTCCTCAAATCGGCAATGCCAACGTGTCCACGATCTTCTGTCCAAGCTAGGAGGTCATAAGGACCGGGACAGAAGGCCATGTCACGGACAGCTCCAGGTCCGGCCCTTGGCCGCGATGAAGTAAAGGATGTCAGCAAAGGATCGGTAACATCAGGATCAGTTAAACCCGCGACATCAAAAATCGAGATAGTGCCGTACTGAGTTCCCACAGCCAGATAAGCTCCGCTGTTGGAAAAGCATGCGGCGAAGCTTCCTCTGCTGTCTGAACCGTCATCTCTGCGTTGGCTTTTTAGTAAGATCTTACCACATAGTTCCCAACGAAACTCGGGCTTATCATCAGCCCGAAACGGACCGTTATCATCCATAGCCGTCTCAACGCGATGATGGATATACAAGAATGGGTCGTCAAGGATAGCTATCAGAAGACGCCCATCGGGAGAGATGATGGCCCGGTTGACGTAGTCTGGGTATGTCACTACATCCAAAGGCTCAACTTTATCCTGGCTCTCGAAATCGCGCAAGCCAACCAAAACCACTGTCTTGTCGTTATTTGCCAACACAGCGGCAGGTTCTGTATAGGCCCCGTGGTGCATTGGGCCGGCGATGGGTGGGAACCACATAGTTATGCAATTGACACGATCTCGCGCCAGTTTTTGACTCTTGGCCGTATAACTCTTGTTCAGCCGGCTGCTCATGTTTAGCCGTCGTGACTGGGCGACCAGAGAGAAGACAGTATCTTCGGGACGATGAGAGTCTGACTCGAATCCGAGGGGCAAGCGAGCGTCAGGCTCTAAGTTGAGATGGAGATCGAGATCGTGGCTATCATCAGTAGTGCCATCCAACTGAATTGCCGTGAATTCGCCAGTCTCTCCACCACAGCACACCCATCCGTTTTCAGCGACTAGACATCGCGGCGAAAAGGAGAGAAACTTGACAGTCTCGCATTCCTTGGTCGTGGTGTTAAGACGCTGCACATGATTGCTACCGGTCCCTCCAGGGAAGTATACGAAGTTTTGTTTTTCGGCACTGATTAGGGATCGCAGCTGCCAATGTCTGAGGTACAGCCAAGTCAGTAGTGCTCGCATGTAACGGAGCGCATATGGAAAGTTGGGCAGCAGTTGGGAGGACGCACTGCGATCGGACAGGAATACGGTAGTGCTTTCGCGACTTCTTCGAGATCAAGTTATCGGTCGGGTAGTAGCTGCATCCATCGAGAGTTAGATAGATGATTCTTAATGAAAGAGACTGGTGGGACATACGAGACGCCATCTTTCACAGCCATGGTGGGAGATACAGCGGCCAGAGGGACCGTCAGTGAGCGGGCCTGTAACTGCGCAGGCACGCAAAGGCGAGCTGCGTAGGGGGTTTGCTATAATACAATGCGTCTAGCAAGGCAGAAGAGGAGTAGGTGATGACGAAATTAAGTAAAGAAGCTAGAGGTTGTGGGATGATTCCCGGGTCGGATGCTTGGGAAGTGCGAGATGCAAGTTGCGCAAGTGAAAGGCAATGTTCCGCATGACGTCCGTGTATGGCAGGAGGGGCCTGGCCTCTGTTGCCTCTGATTTGATTGCACCTGGTTGGTTGGCTGCCAGTGTTGGTGCTTGCGCTGTTGATGTGTGGTGACTTGGGGTGAATTCACCTTACAGCGGGTGGACCCACGCGTGCTAAAGGTACTCAGTTGGCAAATCAGATACTTGCATGGTCAAGGAAAATTACGTGTCTAGAGATGTACTTAAATTTCCAATTGCTTGGAGCTTGGGCTGCCGCTGCAATCAACTTAGGCTAGAAATCGGAGCTCCGTCTACCTTTGGATAAGGCTTAGGTAATTGTAAGATAAGGTGCCTGGTACAGAATACAACACTGAGAACGTGCTTCTGCCTTACTTTGGTTAGCCTGGCACGTACAGAAACGCCTAGCTCCATTATTTGCCCAGTTTCCTGCACCTTGAACGCATCATAAGGGGAAAAAAAAAATAGGGGAGCTCAAAGTTGTCTGGGGATCTGGATTCTACGACAAATAGCATCCAATCGGTCACTGCCTCACATTTCGGCCATTACTATGACAGCAGGATATTGTCGGCAAATGGCTACCTCCACAATTCCTCACTTCCCCGTCCAATGTCTTTAACCCCTGCCCACTGATGGGCCCAAACCCCTTGCAAGTTGCGCTCCATAACTGCTGGATAGGGAAACAAAACAATATACCCGTACCCGTTGGAAGTCACGATGCTACCTGTCAACCGTCTGCCCGTCTTTGTAATTGACCTCGTGGCACCGTCCTATACTTTGTTTAAATGCTTGGAAACTCATGTGCTTGATTCAGGGAGTAGAGCAATTTCCCACAGACATGCTATATCAGCCTAGTTGTAGCAGCACAGAAGATGGCCACAAGAGTGCACTACATTCCTAGGCTGGTCAAAACATAATTGCCACTTCAGAGCATTTGCAAGATGGCAGCCAACCGCTTCCATTCCACATCAACTGGAGTGCCACCTCAATGATCTCGCGGACGTGGAAATTTTTTAGCTGAGCTGGCCTAGCTCCGTACCTAGTCTTCCTAGCCTCGAACCCGTTACCTGCGATGGCCGGGTCTTCCCGTTACCTGCTGCTTGATCCTGCCTTCCATTCGTCACGTGCGGTTGCTCCATCCACTTGCGCGTTTCCACCGCTGCGAAAAAATCCCCACACAGGATTTCTAAGAGTGGAGCATATAGGTCGGAATAACCAAAGCCGCTCGCCCGGCTAGCGGGATTCGGTCGGCTTCTATGACCGGGGGGGGGCAAGCATCATTTTCGGGTCAAAAAATTTCGACACTCCTGCCATCATCATTTTCTCGCACCTCCCTCTCCTGCTCCCATTTTCCCCCCAACCCATCAATCTGTACTCTATAATAACCGCTCCATTCCTTTCCGCGCGCAATCTCCTTTTTTCTTCCCTCATCCCCTTTCTTATACCCACACATAGCTAGGCAAGATGATGTCTGCACGCTTCACCAGAGCTGTAAGTCTAATTTTTTCTTTTCAAAACAGCTGTCCCGACCACGTCAGAGTTTGCATTCTAACACTGCACAGCTCCCCAGAGCTACCAGCTCAGTAGCCCGCTCTGCAGGCTTCGCCCGCCAGCCTTTTGCCTCTAGATTCGCTCGTTATGAGTCGACTTCTTCTGATGGCAAGGTTCAGGGCTCCGTGATCGGTATTGATCTCGGTAAGTTCGCGATTCCTTCTCGTCGCTCACTCAGAGCTGTACTGAACATCATCAACTAATGGCGCATCCAACTAGGTACGACCAACTCGGCTGTTGCCATAATGGAGGGCAAGGTCCCCAAGATTATCGAGAACTCTGAGGGTAAGCAATTGTGCTGGAACTTTTTGTCACTTGGCAATATCACTAACGTGCATTATGTCAGGTGCCCGCACAACGCCATCTGTTGTCGCTTTTGCCCAGGACGGCGAGCGTCTCGTCGGTGTCGCCGCCAAGCGTCAGGCCGTCGTCAACCCCGAGAACACCCTCTTCGCTACCAAGCGTCTGATCGGTCGCAAGTTCACCGATGCTGAGGTCCAGAGAGACATCAAGGAGGTTCCCTACAAGATTGTTCAACACACCAACGGTGACGCTTGGGTTTCTGCTCGCGACCAGAAGTACTCCCCCTCCCAGATCGGTGGCTTCGTTCTCAACAAGATGAAGGAGACCGCTGAGGCCTACCTATCTAAGCCTGTGAAGAACGCCGTCGTCACTGTTCCTGCCTACTTCAATGACTCTCAGCGCCAGGCCACCAAGGATGCTGGACAGATTGCCGGCCTGAACGTTCTTCGTGTTGTCAACGAGCCTACTGCTGCTGCTCTGGCTTATGGTCTCGAGAAGGAGGATGACCGCGTTGTCGCTGTTTACGATCTTGGTGGTGGTACTTTCGATATCTCTGTACTTGAGATCCAGAACGGTGTCTTCGAGGTTAAGTCCACCAACGGTGACACTCACTTGGGTGGTGAGGACTTCGATATCCACCTCGTCCGCCACCTCGTCCAGCAGTTCAAGAAGGACTCCGGCATTGACCTGTCCGGTGACCGCATGGCCATCCAGAGAATCCGTGAAGCTGCTGAGAAGGCCAAGATTGAGCTTTCCTCCTCTCTTTCCACCGACATCAACCTGCCCTTCATCACTGCCGACTCTTCTGGCCCCAAGCACATTAACCAGAAGCTCACTCGCGCTCAGCTCGAGAAGATGGTCGACCCTCTCATCACCCGCACCATTGAGCCCGTTCGCAAGGCTCTGAAGGATGCCAACCTCCAGGCTAAGGATATCCAAGAGGTCATCCTTGTTGGTGGTATGACCCGTATGCCCAAGGTTTCCGAGTCTGTCAAGAGCATCTTCGGCCGCGATCCCGCTAAGTCTGTCAACCCTGACGAGGCTGTCGCCATCGGTGCTGCTATCCAGGGTGCTGTTCTCTCTGGCGAGGTCAAGGACCTTCTGCTCCTCGACGTCACTCCCCTCTCCCTCGGTATTGAGACCCTTGGTGGCGTCTTCACCCGTCTCATCAACCGTAACACTACCATCCCCACCAAGAAGTCCCAGACCTTTTCCACTGCTGCCGACTTCCAGACTGCTGTTGAGATTAAGGTCTACCAGGGTGAGCGTGAGCTCGTCCGCGACAACAAGCTTCTCGGCAACTTCCAGCTTGTTGGTATCCCCCCTGCCCACCGTGGTGTTCCCCAGATTGAGGTCACCTTCGACATTGACGCCGACTCTATTGTCCACGTCCACGCCAAGGACAAGTCCACCAACAAGGACCAGTCCATTACCATTGCTTCCGGCTCTGGTCTGTCTGACTCTGAGATTCAGCAGATGGTTGAGGACTCTGAGAAGTACGCTGAGACCGATAAGGAGCGCAAAGGTGCCATTGAGGCAGCCAACCGTGCCGACAGCGTCCTGAACGACACTGAGCGTGCTCTCAACGAGTACGCTGAGAAGCTCGACAAGGCTGAGGCTGACGGCATCCGTGAGAAGATTGCCTCTCTCCGTGAGTACGTTTCCAAGAGCTTGGCTGGTGAGGGCACTGCCACCGCCGCTGAGATCAAGGAGAAGACCGATGAGCTCCAGGTTGCCAGCTTGAACCTCTTCGACAAGATGCACAAGGCCCGTGCCGAGTCTGGTGAGCAGCCTGCTCAGGACGCCAACGCCTCTGAGAACAAGGAGGAGAAGAAGCCTTAAATGACTTATTCGCGTTTCTGAGTTCGACTTCGTATACCATACCTCATCCAAACCTTAAAAGGGTTTGTCACCTTGTTTGATTACGGCGGCATAGAGTTTCTTTGCAATTGTTTGTATTCCACTGTACTCATAGTCCCGGTCGGATCCGACCGTTCTCTCTTCCTTGTTACCCCTTTTACAAATGTTTGTTAATACCTGCGGTCGGCGGAACCGGCGTTGGAGCATCAAAACATTCACACGAGATACCTTTACGGTATTCATGATATGATCGATGGTACGGATCAAGGGGATAAGACGGGGTTGCATATGTACAAAACCAAACCGAATCTGGAGTAGCTAGATGTGAAATAATCCACATTCCCCTCTCAAAACAAACACAGAAGTTATTTTGACACCACACACTGTATATTGCTCTAAACGAAGTTGAGAAGTTCCTGTCGTGGATAAGTGTTGTAGGTGGGCCAAATTCAACTGTACACTCCTAAGTACGTTAGACCTGGGCTCATTTGAATTTAATAGTTTCACTGAATGAGTGGCATCCCTGACGCAATTCAATCTGAAGCTACATTGTGAAGGGAAGGGAAGGCCCAAGGCCGGAATTATCTTTGTTTTCTTTTCCCTATCTACCAAATCCAAACCATCCCCTCTTCTGTGGCTGCTCCGACTTGACCTCGCTGTCAACCGTAGGCTGTTTGCTTGGCGGTGCAGTTTCTTGAGTGTCTTTGCCAGGATAATCGATGTAATTCCAGGCTACATCGAGGAATATAGGCTTAACGGGAATCGTTGCCAACTTGGGTGGGATGGCGACAAGATTGCCGAGGTCGACTCCGCTCGAAGGGTACTCATGCAGTCGCTCAATCAACGGGATGAACTTAGTGTCATCCTCACCGGAACCTGCGTCCTTGAGCAAATTGGACAAGTGAACTAGCGCGCGGTGACGCTGAAGCTCCCCCTCAAGGAAATCCTGCAGCCTCTGAGCGTCTCTACCAAGCACATGGATGTTGCGAGGAGAGCTGGTTGCACTCTGGGTGCCCTTGGTAAGGGTTGAAACGGCCTCCTGAGATTCGCCAAACGCGTGTTTGATGAGAGCCAAGGCATTGACTGTGTTACCGATAATGGCGTGGGAGCGAGCAATTGACAGAGACCTGAATAGAATTAGCATCGCACTTGTAGAACAGATGAGAGAAAGCCCACTTCAAGGCACGGAAGTAGTTAGCGAACGCTTCGATCTGTTCCGCAAGCTCTTCATCGTTGGCAACACCAGGCAGCTCCTTCGTAGCGTCCAAACTCTGTAAAGTTCCTTCATATAGAGCCACGAGCTCCTTCAGCTTAGCTGCTTTACGACTGGGCGTCTCTTCCTTGCGTCTGTTAGTCGTCGTGTCCTTGTTGGACTTTTTGTGAGATAAGCCATAGTTTGCAATGAGGCCGTCGTCACTTCCTGTCAACACACGGTTCCGCCCAATGCGCCAGCTGATCATTTCATAGTTGACGGCAGTTCTAGTGATCTGTAGACTTTGCATGCGAGAGTCACTCTGGGACACACCTTCTCCGCGCAACTCGTCGATCGCTTCCTTGGTTGCGTCAGCAGCATCCTGAGTAGCTTCAAGAATGCCATCATAAGCTGCGGCAACATTCTTGGGCTCTGCATGAGCGAGAGACGACCAACGTTGTGCCAGCTGAGATTTGGCCTCTTCAACCCTACCCCATGCGAGAGAGATTGCCGCATCTTCAATCTTCACGTCGCGTGAGCGCCACGTGAGGGTCCTGGGTGCATTCTCTGCACTACTGTCCTCCTTGTTGGCCTCACCGTCTGCTTGCTTGAGTAGGTTGGGATCGAGTTCGTTAATTTGTTGGACGAGGGCAGCATCAGATTGAGGGAAGGCCCGTCTCGCGATGGCTGGAATTGGTGTTGTGCGGGGCGTCTTGAGCTGATAAGCAGCATAGCGAATTGACGGGTCAATAGTGTCGGAGAGAAGGTCTTTGAATATGTCGCCCTTAGTGGAGGTTGCCATCGCGCTGTAGATGACACGGGAAACGGCATAGCTTCTCAAAGAAGGTTCCCAGTGCTGGTTCTCGAACTGAGCGGCGCCACGAATTTGGGCAGCATAGGCTCGCGATTCGAGTTTGTCATTTCGAGTTGCGCCAGCTTCGGGCTGAGACAACAGTTCGACAAGATGCTCCGCGGTCTTTGCCGCTTTGTCAAGCCGGGATACAATGTGTGACCGGGTCTTGCCAGTGACGCCCTTCGCATCCGACGTGTGCGACGACTTTATTGCCATAGCATTGGCCCAGGCGCGCTCGCTTGTGAGCAGGAGGAGGTGGATATACCTAGAGGCGGTCAGTGATCTATATAGCAAGCAGCCGGGTCAGCCAACCTACTCATGATTCTCGGCGATCTGAGAAGCAGCGACATCGCCTTTCTTGTTGAACTTGCCGCGGTTCTTGGTGACAATACCTAGCTTTTTGCGACTGTTCAGTAGCTTTTTGGCCAGCTGGTTCTGATAGGTTGCGTAATCTCCGTAGAGGAGCGCTGAGTCCCTGCCGGAAACGACGAGCTTGGTGATATCCATAATTGCGGCGGCGTGATCAATCCGTGTTTTCGACTGTTGTCGCCGTTGATGTGGCGGAGTGATCACAGCAAACCACAGCAAAAGCGTGGACGAGGCCGAATGATGTCGAGCCGACCTCTGCGTGGACGCGGGGAGTTGGTGGGGCTCACACCTCAGGTTCCAGTGTCCTTTCCAACCAAGGCGCAACTACAGTGGTTGCTGCGATGTGGGATTGTGAAAAAAATGAGGCGTGTAGCGAGTAGTCGTCCGTTAATTTCACCCCCCTCCACCAATCACAGGTGTACATTAGAGGCTGTTCGAGGTGAGCGAGATGAAGTAAGCACAGCTTAGGGACCCATTCTTCGGAAGACGGGCTGAAGATGTTCCCTAACATTGATTTTCATTGGTCCAAGCTCCCCGAAAAGTCGATGATGGCGTGTGGATAATGAACTGATACTCTGTGATGGGACTCGATCTTTGTGCTCCCCGGTTGTTCCCTTGTCTGTGCTTTTGCAAGAAACCCGAAGGCATTTTTGTTTTTCAGATCATCCAACAATAACAGATTTCCTATTTTTACAGCCTATTTACACGTCTTAGCATCCACTAGTGAGTGGCGTCTGGACTGGCCAAGGCAACGACTCCAGTAATTGACATTCTCAACTTCGAACGTCGAACTCCACCCAAAACTTTTCCACCGAGCGCGACGAACCCGAGATCGAACACGGCACGACAGAAGCAGCATGTTCCCAAGCCCTCATGTGCGAAATCCATAGTCGAAAGGTTTTGCGTTGGTGACAGCCTCTATCCCAATGCTGGAGAAAACGGTGGCGACCCTGGAATCATGCACCAGCCTACATGCTCTTCCATCCGCTACCCATTCCCTCAGAAGTCGGCGCAAGCTGCACACCGGGTTTTGGCAGCATGGCGCTGCTGCAATAGACATCCACAGCTCTGCGCTGTTTACGCAACCAAATGAACCCGAGCTGTCCGCTTTCAGGTCATCGTCTACTCCCGCCGAATCCCTCGCCGCCTCTACTTTCCTTCTCGACTTCCTCTATCCCAATGGAGCAGCTGCGCTCATGCGCAGGCTTGCTCCGGGTTCTAAGGACAACCAGACCTCATCCATTCAGAGGTTACCTCGCAGATCTCGACTTTTTACCTCGTCTGCCGCCATCGCCCCAGCACAAATATTGCACTCGGACACTGCCGATATTCTTTCGCGAGCTAGCAATCCTCAAATGGTAGTCGACGGCGAACATGCAAATGTTTCTCTCCGGCGGGAAATCGATCAGCTAGATATCGCTGAGGTGGAGGAAGCAGAACGTGACACGATCACTGACGACCAAATTGAGACGGATAGTGTTGAGGGGACTGGTGGCGTCAGCGGAACTCAGACCCACAGCGGTCCTTCGTTCGCTGGTGCTGGGTCACGACCTGAATTGATGAAGGATTTGATGGCCACTAAAGACACTGAATACTTCGGGTCAATATGGCAACTCTATTCCCAGCTGGAACCTCAATTAAAGCCACAATTTCGTCCCGAAGTCATTGCGTATCTATACCGGTCTGCGAACCTCTTAGATGCTCGGAGAGTTATACTTTTGTCCTCCGAGCTCCAAGACGACCAATGGTCGTCCTCGGTTCTGACATCGGTGGTGAACGCCCACTTGCGTCTTGGAAACGAGTCTGAGGCACTGAGTCTTTACCTTTCGGGCCTGAGCGAAAGGACGATTGTGGGCGGACTGGATGATCTACTTCACTTTGGCTTCAAGAATGAGAATTGGGAAATCATCAACCGCGTTTGGGCTTCGTACCACGCAGTTTTCAAGGTCCATGGCATCAAGTCCGGAGAGCTGGAACGTTTGGCTGCCTTGCCGCGGCTCGGGGAGCTTACCATCCAATTTGCGAAGGAAGCCAGGAGCAAAGATGATAATCAATCACGAGTACTCAATGTCCTCTTGAAGAAGGCGGCTAGGCGGGCACTTCAGCAGCCATGCAAACCGGAGGAGGCCCTGCCTCTGCTCAAGATTGTTGATCAAGTGAAGTGGTACAATATCTATCTCTCTGAAGCCATCGATCGAGGTCAGCGAGAGTGTCTCCCAGAGATATACCGCATCTATCGCGCATTTCCTGGCGTCAAGCCGTACTGGGGCATCCTACACGGCATGTTTGAGATTTTCTACCCTCATGATGTGGCAGGTCTCGAGCAGGTATATGAAGATTACCACGTCAGTTATCAGAAGCTGGATCAATGGGGTTTCAAGAAGTTCCTTAAGTTCTATGCTTCGCGCGGCGATACCAAGTCTCTTGAGCGCTTATGGGATGATTACGTCCAGGCATATAAGCATCGCAAAGTTCTACAGGAACCGGAAACTTTCAACCAAATTTTGAATGCTTACGCGACCAAGGGAGATGCCCAAGGTGCTCGGCGAGTGTTTGATCAGATGACAAGCAGATTCGGGGTGAACCCCAGTCTCTACAGTTGGAACATCCTCCTCAAAAGTCACGTGCGCTCAAAATCCTACGACAGCGCTATGTCACTTTTTGACGAGCTTTGCAGCGCTGTTGCCCCTGATTCTTTCTCTTTCGCGACGATCATGTCTCTGACAGCGTCAAATGGTGATTTGGATAAGACCTTGGAGCTTCTCCAGAGAGCCGGGAAGAAGAGGGTCAAGATTGATGTCCCTATAATGCATGCCGTCGTCCAGGCTTATTGCGAGAACAGGCTATACTCAGAGGCTCTAGCAACCTGTGTTAACGCTAAAAAGCAAGGGATCCCTGGTGTTCACGCCAACCTTTGGAACACTCTACTGCGGTATCATTCAGAGCGTCGGGCCTTTGGTGCTGTGTGCCGTGTTGTGACGATTATGGGCAAATACAAGATAGACTGGACTTCAAATACTCACGACGTGCTACTCCAAGCGCTGGTGCGCTGCAGACAAACCCATCATGCATACGACCTTCTTCGAAAAGCACGGCGATATAAGACTTTTGCACTGGCCCCAGAGCACTTTTCGACTGTCATGGACGGTGGCCTGCGGACTCGAGAACTAGGCTTAGTTGATGCCACAGACAGAATGAGAGAGCGTACGGGAACGCCACGGACAATAAACGCCACGATCTTACTAGTTGATGCCATGGTTAGACGTCAGCTGTACGGAAGGCGAGCGATGCGACAGGATGATGCGGGCAGAGAGTTGTTGGCGTCGTATTTACAGGAGATGATAGACGCCATACAAGCGAGTGAGACCAAGGACTCGAATGGCAGTGCTTATCACCGGGGCTCAGTACGAAGTGCAGACTCACTTCACCGCCTTCGACTGACGCTGCCAAGAGCAATTTCACTCTTTGCAAGGTATCGCGACTTCGAAATGGTCAAAGAATTATATCGGTTACAGACAGGCCTCGGGCTGCAAGCAGCTGTTCCTCTCACAAAAGGCATGCCGTTTGAGATGCTCTGCATACTGTTGAAGGAGAACGTTCAAGAGAAGAAGTACGATGCGGCAAAGTCGAACTGGGAGCTTATTTGGCAAAATGCACTTCGGATCGCCTTTCCAGAAAAGTACAAGGGCCAACAGGCACTACCACGGCACAGTTTCATACTTTCCGGCCCTATCAAAACGATGCGGACAATGTACATGGACCAGAAGGACCCCGAGGGGTTCAAGACAATTGTCAACGAGGCACTGGCGGCTGGGTTCAAATTTGACAGGCGGGCAATGAACTCAATATGTCATGCCCTAGCTGACATGGGTTTCTGGATGGAGGCGGCTGAGCTCTGCGAGAAGTACCTTATGCCGAACTTCACTGGGTGGCAGATGACCCGCCGCAAGCGCCATCTCCGGAAGAACCTTCCATTGGAGAAGCGCCGGATCGGCAGTGCACCGCAATGGCTGCGCCCGACTTCCTACACCCTCGTCGCCCTCGCCAAGGAGTACATGGAGATGAAATCTGCATCACCTTGGTCATCTGCAGCCGCAGAGAAAGCTCGCACCGCCAAGGAGCGTTTCCCCCTAGTGGTGGCGGCCATCGACAGCATAAAGTACTCAGGTGTCGGCATTGAGAGCGAGGTCTTTGGCCACCGTTATGGGAACCTACAGAGCGTGAGACAGGACGAGCAGGAGCCTGAAGGAGAGAAGGAAGAGCAAGAAGATAGAAAGAGCGAGTGAGCTAGCTGATATGTACGAACAGTAAGATATCTTGTATAAGGCGACTTAGACGCGTACGCGGGATGTTGAGAGAGGCGTATACCAAGCGACGAGACTTATAGACTGGCGGTTTTATCTTTTTTTTTTCTTTTGCGAAAGGAGGTGTAACAATATGAGTTTTCTTATTGAAATCCCAAATCCAACTAATATTCCCTGCACATGCCTGAAAGGGACAAAAACCTCGTTGCTTCACAAAACTCCTCAGAGACGTACTCATTTCTCCTAAAATCAATGCCGTGACGCTTGCATTATGTCCTGCACTTTTCCCACCATCGTATTCCCCATGCCCTCATTCTGTGCGTCTCGACTCGCCATGCCGAGATTGCTCCTCTGCATGACGAAGAGCGCTGCCGTCGGCGCATCAAGGCTGTAATTGAGGTGAGGGTCGAAGATGAAGCTGCCGCCCTGACAGATGTTGTCCCCCGTGTGGCAGACGACCAGCAGCCGTGTCGAATCGATGCCCTGTATTGCCTTACCGCCTAAGGGGTCACCGAATAGCACGACGCTGGAGACCTTGGCCTGGGCGTCGGGAGGCATTTGCGCAATGGCCAGACGTGCCACCTGCGAGCCCTGCGAGTAGCCCGACATGGTGAGCTTAGTGTTAGGACACTTGGACTGCGTGCTCGTTGCCACCTTTGCCATGAAGCTGGCGCCGTTTTTGGATCCCCCGGCAAAAAACCCCGAGGCGATGGCTGGGTAGTTGTTGACGCCTTGCACAGCAATGGAACCGGTTCCGTTCATGTAGGTTTTGAGGGCGTCAAAGAATGGCGGGCCTGTGAGAAAGCCCACGTTGCCTTGAGGTTGATGTCAGACCCATATGCTCTCGATGTCCTCTGTATCTTCAACTCTCTGGTTCCCCTCTTTGGCTCGCTATGCCGTTCGCCTCAACACATGTGACATCACTTACCTGGTTCATTTGTCCCCCTAGCAAAGAGGATGGCCACATCCGGACAGTTGACCTGTGCTGTTGCATTCGTGGGCAGCCCAGTCGTATCGTTCAAGTTCAGAAGTGTGGTCAAGTCATCCTGTGAGAGCCCATTCTCTGCAACCGTCTCTTTAAGTGCTCGAACAACGCGAATAGTGGTGTTCACAACTTGATTCACCAAGCCAGGTACCTCGTTGAGTATATCAAGAGCACCGGAAAGCAGCCCCGACAGATCCCGATTCTCTACGGGGCCTTTCTCGGGGATTGTCAGCGCCGTCGTCCGCTGGCACAGCAGTACCGCGGAGACAAGAAGGACTGGCCTCATCAAGCCTCGTTCCAGATGTCCCAACTCTCCCAAACAAAGAAGGAAATAAAGAAAATAAAATAAAATAACCTATAAGTAACGTAACGATTCGCTTAGTTGCACTTCCTAGATATGGGTGTGGTGCACAGGAGTGTGGACCGGGGATTCGTCGAGGAGGGGGCAGACCAGATTTGCAGAGCCGCAGGGTGACCAATATCGATCATCCAAATTCGTGGGATACTTAATGAGGACAGAAAGGGAAAATAGGGGTCGGTCGGAGTATTTCAAAGCACTGGCTTTCTGAAAGACATGCGTCACCTTCCACTACGGGAACCAAGCAATGATGCGGGCCATGGCACGGCATGGTGTAAGTTGTTCAGCTCAAACAACCAAATACAAATGCTGCCTACCCTACGAATCAAAACCGCCTACTTTACACTGAGGTCAGAAACTTGGGTCTTGCAATCGTTCGGAGCGTCCACGCTCAGCCCCAGTTGCCCGGAGGCGAAAGCGTTTCATCCGCTACCTCCCGCGGAGAGAACATGCCGGGTGAAACCATCTGATCTTTATCGACGAATAGGTATAACACCCAATGACAACACGAAGCTCGTGCGAGAATGCGAATACTGCGCATGCGAAGTTGGCAGGTGGCAGTTGATAAAACTTTGGAATCGAGGCTCAGCAAAGGGTTGCGCAGGTTGGCGCGTGCCTCGAGACCCCTTTTTCCCAGCTTGCGATGTTGCTGCTTGCAGAACTTTTCCGCGTCTACCGCGGCCCGAGCAGTGCCTTGGAAGCTCTATTTCCGCTCTTTAATATAGTTAGTACAATTACCAATTGTGTGTTTACCCTGCAGACCAGCCGATGTGTATTCTTTAGCCCAATTTGTCAATCGGTCTCGGAAACCGTGCTCCTTCACATGCGTCCAGTTGGGAGAGCCACGGCTGCAGCGTCCGTGGTACGTGACCTCGCACTCGGAAACGGACAGATGAAAACCCCGCCAGATACTTTGAGGGGTCTAGCAGGCTGTGCTTCCTACACAGCAACAGGTATCGGCGATGTTCAGAAAGGCGACTGTGGCTTCTGGATAAGCCCGCTAAGAATGAGTATGTAAGATCTTTTGTTATGTTCCGTATCGACAGCGCGGCTATTGAGCACACGCAAGAACTTTAGACGCCCCGATCTATGATTTAAACCTTTTCCGTCCACTAGAACTCCGCCCTTTGGTCCCCGATAGCCCCGTATAACCTTGGGGAAATAAATGACTTGAGATGCGATATGTACAATATGTAACTTACTCCTGGCTGTCTCGTCTTTCCGTAGACACCTCGCCCTGGTTCTGTACTCCGAGGGACCGAAGCCTCTGGGAAAGCAAGCCTTCCGTGCCGCCCAGGCTTCCGCGCCCAGGCAAGGCAAATGCGTTGCCACCGTAACCAACATCACCTTTGTTTAGCTTTTCGTATCGGGCAACATGCGCATTACAGGCATCTTTCGTTGTCGGCCGAGTAGCCTGTGAGGCCTGTGGTGACCGAATGTCTGCGGTCGTGGTAGTGGTGGTGGCGGTACTATCACTAAAGTCGCTTCCAAGACGTCCTCGACCCGAAAGTGGGAATGGAATTGGCTCTACTGGTCGGTTACTATCAGCAAAGTTGAAAGGTGACGAAGATGACTCTCCCGGTGCTTTCTGCGGAGATTGCGAGAGCACGTCCGTCGTATCGAGGGCATACAACGAAGAGACGAAGGGGAAGCCGGAACTGCGCCGCCTAAAAGCCTTTTCAGCTGCCAGTGTTGCCGCAGGTCCACTATTGGATAGAGGCGGATGCATCACCCGGATAGGCTTATAAGGCGTATACCGGGGTTCTGGGCAAGTCGTCTCATTCCGTAGCTTTTCTTTGCCGTCAGGGACTCTGTTGGCGAACACAATTCGGATGCTCTTGTAAAGATAGTATCGACCCTTGGCCGGGCAACATATATGCAAATGCACGAGATAGCGCAGAATAGGCTTATCCAGTCCAACAGCGTCTTCGAGCCCAGGCGCGTTTTCGATGATGGGGCCGGCGGAGTAACTGCGCTGTCGGATGAACGTCTTCGTTCCAGGTTCCATCCCCGCTAAGTCGTATGGTACCAAAAACAGCTTGACAGCCGTCTTGTTCGGGTTTTTGATCACAATTTGGATCTGTCCCTTCTCGGGTATCCGATAACTCCCACCAGGTGGAGCTCTTGGCGACACGGATTTCCGTTTTGAACGCTGGGCTTTGCGTGCTTCAACATCATCCGAACAGTCGACCAGCGCAGGGCCATCACCCATAATCACGTCGTCTTCGGCGACCTTGCGCTCGGCATACCTGCTTTGCATCTTTCTCTTAGCCCGTTGCCCTTCCTCGGAATTCGTGAGACCATTTTCCAGATCGATTTGGCCCACATATGGACTGGGCCCATCCTCTGAACGTACGCGCCCTTGTGAAGCGCCTCCGTAGCTGTAGAATACTGCTGGAAAAGGCAATGTCACGTGTGCCGGACATCGGAGGCTGGGCTTGCATTTGCCCAAACCCAACACTCCAATTTGGGCTACGAAGTCAAGTGGTTTTGATGGTGTAGTCGACATGCGCCCCCGGATGATGCTCTCTTCATACGAACCAACCATGGACGCATGCTGCAAAGGAGAAGTATCAGAATTATTGAACGATGGCCGCCTGGGTCTAAGAAACCCAGGCGTCTGTGGTGAGGTTCCAGGGAGCGGCACGTGGGGTGCCGATGTAAGGGAGCGGCGTGGCTGGTGGGCTTGATAAGGCGCAACAGTGCTACCCCGTTGTGAGGCTCGTCTATGGAGAGCAGATGGGCTCGGCGACGGATAAGCAAACGGCGATGAGATGGTGGAGTTTAAGGTGTGGCGGCGTGAGTTCAAGTTAAGGGGGCTGGCCGCGATATCGATGCTGTTCAGCGGCAATGACAGGTCAACGTCATCGTTACTCTCAGATTGGACAAGGGGACTTGTCGGAGGCTTGTAGATAAAACTGGATGAAAAGGACGAAGACAAAGATGACGGCACCGATCTAAATTCATCATTCGAGGCCGAAAACGGTATTCGCCTATCGAAGTGAAACGACGAAAAGTCTCGGGGTGGTGACGTCGCAATCCAGGAAGTGCGAGATGTCAAGAATTCATTCGCCCCTTGATCGTTTCGCGACTCTTGTACCGGCTGCTGGACTGCCTGCGGCTGGTCTTCAGTGAAATCGCCGCTGTGTAGGGCAGATCTCGGCCGTTGTATGCTTAGTCCTTCCCGCAATCTCTCATCCTCCTCTTTAACTCCATCAACCTTCTCGGGGGTAATATTCGCTGGTGGCAAGAGGTTGGAGGAGTTCGAAGGCGGACGTGAACTCCGTGGCGTAGTCGGACGGTTAAGATTGTTGAGAAGTGACTCAAGCTGTGTGACATTGTGAGTTAAAAGGCCGCCTGTAGCTCTTTGGGAAGACCCTACACGGCGGTTGGGAATCCAGGTTGGGCTCTCTCCTCGCTTCAACCGCTCAATCAGCTCGGCTCGGTCAGATGTGGCTGCAGCAGCGTCGGTCTCGGGAGTGGAAGGTCGGGAGTTTTCAAGTATTGGTCCTTCGCAGAGTTCTGTTCGTATGCTCTCCTCAGAGAGCTTTCTTGTCAGGGACGGCGTCATATTTTGCTGGTGCTGATGCTGCTGCTGCTGTTGTGTGGAAATCAGGTGTTGTGGTTCAGCACCCGCGGCGTCAGCGGCGGCCACGGGGTGGTCGAGGTCGTCCTGAAAGATAGGCATTTATTCGACAAGGTCTGAACCACAGCACGGCTGTGGCTCAGATCCAGAGTTTTGTTCGCAATGTTGGCGGTGGTTGAGAAGACGTCGGTCATACCTCGTTTGGTTTTTGTGGTGTCTTTGTCAGGTGGTTTCGTCGTGTTAGTCACCAGGTTAATTATTCTTTAACAAATAGCTGCGACATCCAGGATGGTAGGACGTCATAAGTGAACCAACCACGCGCCCCGACACCCCCGATTTCGCACCCTGTCCCTGGCTTGGGTTCTGAGTCAAGCAAGGATGCCGGTGGTTCGCCGGCGCAGTAATTTGGCGAAAACGAGGCTATCTGAGAGTGCGAGGGAAAAGAAATTAAAGCAGAAGGGAGATGGCGCTGGGAACTGGAGAGGTTGGTGAGTTGCGGTCAACAGTGCGCTCATCCAGGTACCTCTCTCTGTTCGTTCATGCAGCTGTCGTTCAATCACTTGTCTGACCAGCTCACGCAAGGGAGGTCAGGTACTAGGGGCCCAGTCTCGCATGGGGCTAGGCGTTGGCAAGATGGGCCTGCTACAGCGTACCGCGGTAATGATGAGGCATGCAGTCGGTGAAGTTCTCTCTTATCCGGGGCTGCTGCAACCGCTATATTTGGGTGTCTGGTCAGCTGCACAGGTTCTGACTTAGCGAGATGGCACTACTCCCAGAGGGGTTATGGGTCCGCAAGAAGGGGACCCTTGGCCCGCCTGTCGCCTCTCCCCAACCCCAAAGCGAGCAAACAAAAGCCAACAACAGCCTACAGGCCTGCACACGCTTCGGTGATTGTAAGGCCCTTGAACCGATAAGCCGACGCTGGCGCGCCTGAGAATCCTTCATCCTCCGGAGTCCAACATATCGACTTCCTGGTGTAATTGCCACTAATCGCTGCAGATCCACCCTTTTGCTGGCACTTGACTTGTTGCCCCACTCATGGAATACCGGATGTGGGTTTGTGGATGATGCGGTTTCCGACATGCATTGCGTCTGTTATGCCAAAAATGCAACCTAACACAACACCGCTACGCTGTATCCGTGGCCACTGTTAGAGTCTCTGGCCACTGAGCAAACTCAACAATGTGTGTGACACGAGACCAGTGACTTTTCGGGGCAGCGACGTCGCACCTCACCCCTAGGACTATTTCGGTCGCAGGAGGAGAAGAGGAGAAAGAGGGGAAAATCCAATTTTCCTTGATTGTTAGCAGAGCCTTGACCCGACACACAGGGCAAAACGCCTTAAACTATAGTTCACGCCCTGACTTGGAAACTTGGAAGCATCTCCGTCCTTCCCTGACGGCTTCGTTCCAATCTTTTCTAGGCCTGCATAGGCGCAGTGAAACAAGCGTTCGTTCAGGCTGTTATTCGGCGGTGACACAGTCCGGGTTAGTCGGCGCTCGGCGCCATAGCGGGTCTCCACTCGCCGTTGGGCCCCACATTGAAGCCGACTGTCTCCGACTGCTAAGCATTTAGAAAGTAAAATCAACACACTTGTGTATGGAAGACAAGGTGGCTAATGTATTTAGATTAATTAAGATTTCAAATCATGTGCTGCCAGCAATAATGTGACGAAGAACTTGAGGCAGGCGCCGACACTACAGGGAGTTGAGGGCGTGCGATGTCTATGGTTGGAAGGACTGTGCTAGCTCGAGCTTGCTCTTGCAAACGCTCAGGGAACAGTATATTCGAGTACACCACACCTAGGGTTTGAGGGGCCAGAACACGCACAGACATCCTAGGCGTTCGAGTCTGTTCTCCACGAAGTTAACAACGTTTTGAATCGGAGGGCTGCTAAGTTCACCATTCATTTAAAGCTATGTTCGATACCGAATGGCGGAGGTTTAAACAAAAACCACAACCAGTGGCGCTCACACTGGCTTTAAGCCTCCCACAAACACAACCAGAGGGGGGAATGTATTACTACTGCTACAAAAAAAAAAAAAAAAAAAAAGGTTGAAGTGAACCCAATAGAGCACATTCCACCAGAGCCGACAGAACGGCCCTGCCGTTGAAAGACAAGGTCTCACACAATCCAGTACATAGCGAGCAATCTTCACTCTCTTAATGAGTTTACTCCTCTTATTTTACGTGATTTGAACGTCCTCCATTTAAAATCAAGATTATTGGCAGTTGTTCATATCTCGGAATCTAAAACCTGATCACAAGCTCACCGATCCCATTACTACATTCCTCCAGCCCATATCTCTTGCTCCCCAAACTCCAAACCAGAGTACCCATACAACATAACCTGAATCCAGTGATAAACTCTTCAATTTTCTTCATCCCATATTTCTTCCCAAGCTCACCAGCACCTTCATCGAATTCGTTCATGACTCGCCGGATATGGCTCACAACATCGTCCACTGCTGCCTGCAGGTCGTTTTCCTTTTCCTTGAATAACAGGGACACGAGGGAAATTGTCTCGGATTGAACCTCCTTCTTTACAGAAAGAAGGTCGTTGACAAGGAACAAGTGTTCCGATGCCCTCCTAATAAGCCCTTGCGTCAGCTCATCTTCAAGCATCTCAACAGGCTGCCTAAGATCGCGTATATAACTGCCGGGCATTGGTAAGCTCGAGTTGCAAACCCTATGGAGGAGCGGATAGTAATACTAATCGAGCAAGAGCATTGGTCCACCTGCAGAGCACTGCGTCCTGTAGCCCCAGTAGCCCTGTATGGATGGCAACTCCTCGCTTAACAGTACTTCGGTCTCCTGGATGACACTGTCAACGTAGCCAAGCAACTGTTCTAGCATCACGCGACGCCTCCTGAGGTTGTGTTTCTGACGAAGTGGGACCGAGACTACACCTCTAAACGCCGTGAAAATCTCGTCATCGTGGACGTCGTTCTCGACGTCTGCTTCATCCCTGCCAAGGCAGCAGGTAATGTACCTCTTCGTCTCCTCACAATACTCTCTAGCAACCCCGACGTCCTTGACATTATCAAAATCTGCAATATGCTCAGCTAGTTTACACTGAGAGCGATGACATATATGCAATCTCACGGTCGTCCCATAGAAATATCTATAATTTGTCAGCCTGGCTCAATTGCGCTCCCAGGCATGTCCTCTTTGGGTTGGCGATTGAAGTTCATGGCACTTACCCACGCCATAAACATAGCCGCAAAGCGCAGACCCTCATACCCAGCCCTGGGCCAGCACATACCAGCTAGGCGACCGACATCAGCCGCTTGGAAGCGCCGGGTCTTTTTCTCGTCACCGTTCCAAAACCTGTCGTGCGAGCATCCGGCATCCGTCAATTGAGTGCTTTCTTTTCGACGTGGGGTACGGCGGCATTTCTCTCACGTTTCAAACCAATCATTAACCTCTTTACGGACCTCGTCTACTTGAGGGTGAGTTCCCTCGGGCCACCTTGGCCCAACTTGCCGCAAATCTTCAACAGTCGCCTGCTGGCCCCTCATGGCCTCAAAGAGTTGAGCCTTGAAAGCCGTCATCGTGGCTGAATGCGGATAAGTGACGTGGCAGATGATTCTAGCAAGTAACATGGGAAGCGGGCCCGAAGTACGAAACAGGAGGAGTTTGTTAAGGCGGTCAGCATGCAATTGACCTCTAGCCCACTAACCTCATCCATCAATGAACACTCGTCACCTAGGCTCTGTCGGCAAACAAGTTCATCAAACCAAATCTGATATCATGAAAACCACGCACTGAACAGAGATCACATCAACATCAGCCTTCAACGATTGAGTCGGACACCAATATTGGGGTATCAAGATTTATGTCAAGTTTATTACGTGCCTTGTTTGCGGCACTCGGCGATGGCCGCAAGAAAACCGGTTGAGGAAGGCTTCTTCTGGCCCATACCAATCCAGTCAGTCCACAAATGCAATGTCCCGCTTCCAGGAAGGGCAGCGGCAGCCTCTAAGGCTATCCAGGGTATACAAGTACTAGCACTACAGTGGTAATCATCAATCATAACATGCCCGCCACTTTCACCTGCGACTACATCGCCAGCAGGAGGCAGCCCGAATATTGCTTTACACGCACCCTGCGGCTCAAGCTGTTATTCTATTCAACCCCCCAGTTGTCATCGTCAGCAACATCATAATCCATCTCCGGTTGTTGCTCAGGCTGTTGGTCAAGCGTAATCGCCGAAGACCCATTAGGAGCGGCGTTGCCTATGGCCACGTCCTGATCTAGCGCACTCTCACGCTTTGACGTTCCGTTTTCCGTCGACAGCTTGACCGGTTGAGCTGGCTGTGCCACCCAGGACATTTCGACTTGGCCATCAATACCAGGTATCTCCTGGTTAGATAAGCCATAGAAGAACTTCTCAGCTGTCTTTCGATCTCTGAAAGTAATTTGCGTGTTTGAGGGTAAGGTATGAATGTTTGTGAATTCTCCGACGCCCTGGGTAGAAAGTATTAGCAAGCCTGAAGACCTGACGTGAGAAAAATGAAAGGCTTACGAGAAGGTACTGGCGCAATGCCTCATCCTTCTCTGGCGACGTAAAGTCGATACCAGTGACGGAGACAGTCTTCGGGCGATTGTCCAAAGAGTATGCTGCATAGGCTTCGTGAACATCGCCCATGTATCCACCGCGGTGGGATCCTCTGCCTCGAGGGGCAAAACCGCGCCCGCGTGGGTTAAATCCACCCCGGCCGCGTCCTCTGCCACGGACGCTAGCGTACCACGGGCTTGGTTCGTCCAATATGTTCGGATCCAGGCCGAGGAGCTTAGCCTCGTCTTCAAGAGCCGCAAGCTGTGCACGAAGGGCCGAATTCAACGTTCCCGGCTCGCCTTCTGAATCATCAACACCACCGTTCTTAGAACCCCCTAGTTTGGCCTGAAGCTTTCGTTGTTCTTCACGATGCCGCGCGAGCAGTTCTCGCTGTCGTTGCTCGAGTTCTTGGCGTTGCTTGTCAAGTTCTTGTTTCTTTTGTAATTTCTCCTCGTGCAGTTTCTGCGCCTCCTCTTGTTTCTGCAGGAACTCATCCATGTCGAACTCAGGCTCAGCAGGAGCCTCTTCTCCAGACTCAAGGTCAGCACCATTGGCACCGGCCGCCACCGTTGATCTCTCGTGTTCCTCAACATGCCAGAAGACCCTTACGAAGCGGTTATCAAAGATGACTTTGGGAGATCGATATGCTGCATTGGCAGCTTTCCAAGAATCGTACTTTACGATTGCAAGCCTCCGGTGTGGCTGCAATGAGATGTTCTCAATTGTGCCGAACTCTGAGAAGAAGTTCCGGACTGCTTCCTCGGAAAAGTGTTCCTCCGGTATATTTTCAACTACAATCGCAGTTTTGGTCTTGTCGTTGACCGGACCATCTGCCGAAAAGGAGGACCGATTTGGACGGCGCCGACCCTTAATGCCTTGGCGGCCTTTTCTAACGCCTCGGCCCCCTCTTTCAGCACTGAAAGCCTCCATGAGCTGCTGCATTGCAGCAAAGTTTTGAGACATCATTATTGCTGCATCCCGCGGATCAAAATCTGGTGTCACGTTAGTCCAAGGACCAAGCAGGATGTGGCGGCAGTGTTGATGAAAAGAATAGGTAAATGTAGCTTTCAGTAGTCAACCTTATAATAAAATTGTAAAGTCATTGCATAAATGCTCGGACGGAGTTGTCATCATGCTACGTGTGATAGAAGGAGAGAACTCATAATCATGTCGTACTTACCCTCGAAATTAGGGGGCCTATTGGAACCGCTGGATGGTAACCAGATGGGCTCGGAACCATGATCATACTGGCACGAGTTTCCACGTGCACAGTAACCCTTGGTTGCGAAGTCGCGGCATCTCTGCCTGGTCTTCCGAGGGCCCTGAGGCGGCCCATATGAGGGACCGTGGTTATAGGTGGGTACTATAGACGGCCCACTGCGCCAGTCCTGAGGACCGTTGGGCGGCTGGGGGAAGTTCGGGTCGTATGGGGCAACTCCAGGCGGAAGTTGCTGAAAGCCAGTGTTGACAAAAGGTTGGCTGGGATAATCATTTGAATTGGTCATCTTCGCATCCCATTGACCGCGACGCGGTTGCTTGTATGCCCTCTCGTTACCGAATCCATGGTCTCGATCGGTTGAGAAGCCGGCGTCACCACTTTCGTGATAAGAGCGCTTTCTTGAACCGATCTGAGGCGAGGTGCCCGAAGGTGCGATGGGAACAGTAGAACCCCCATAGCGGCTTTCGCCAGCCGGGTCAGGTCGCTTCTTGGGCGGAGGAGGTGCGCCTGGCACATATGACCTGTGTTCTATGACACGGAAAAGTTCGTCGACAAATTCCGGGGCGGTGCCTGTTGCCTTGTCAATGCTTGTTTCCCGCAAAGAAAGAAGAAAAAAATTAAGCAGAAAGCGCTAGAACATTATCGCATACCTATATTGAGGAATTGCGGCAATTCGCTCTCGCAGGCTGCACGAATTGGCGCCGCGTCGCCTTCTTGCGAGGCGAGCAGTGCCAGGACGTAGTCCGCCAAGATATCGGTTTCCGTGTCTGATCTACAGAGGGGTTAGGTAAAGAGGCAATTGTTAGAAGAAGCTTCAATGCAGACTGACACTTCAGGCAGCTTTTTCATCAGCCATGCCTTGAGCAGCGGCGCGTCCTCTGATGGGAAAAACATTGTCGCAGTCGCGGCATGCGCAAGCCCATGAGGTCAGGGATAAACTGCTGTACCAATAAGTCGATACTTATGAAGTAAAGAGACGGGACGAAGTCATTGTCGTTATTCGTTAGGGAATCCCTCGAATTAACGAAATTTTCGTGCTCCAAATAAATGGATCGTGGTTGAAGAGTGCAAGAGCTGCTGGGGCGAGGCTGAACCTTTTATTTGCGCCTCGCTAGCATGGACCCACACTAAACCTAAGTGGGATCAGCGGGTACGGCAGTCACGAGGAAAGTAAGCGTCAACTGGAGCGCCCTTTCACCAAGAGTACGCAAGAGAGTTCGACAATCTGCTGTGCTTTTTGCCAACGATCATTGCATCTGGCCTTCCCGGCTACCAAAACATGGACCAATAAACATCACAGGTACTGCAGTGAACATGTACATATTGAACTTGTCTTCATTCCGAGACTACGCGAAAGCTATGGAAAGAACAGGGCTCTTTAATTTTTGATATCATCCACCAAACCCAGTTCATCAAATGTGCCCAAAAAAGCACAACGCCATTTTCTATTAACCCATGGGAAAGGCGTTTACAGCTTGTCGTAGTACTGAAAATAGTTAGCATCACCGTCAATAACATGTGAAAGGAGAAAAAACTCACGTTGTCAACACCCGGAACCTCAACCTTGAGACCCTTGCGCTTACGCATCTCCTGGACGACCTGGCCGACCTTGGAGGTAGCGTCGAGGGGAGAGCCACCGGGCAGAACCTGCCAGTGGTCGAAGACGGACTGGGGGAAGGCCTGTCCGGAAGTGGCCTGGCGCAGGTCACCGTTGAAGCCGAAAGACTCCATGACGGGCAGGTAGGCCTTGATGGTGAAGAGAGGAGTACCGGGGCGCTGCTCCTCGTTGAAGACGTGACCACGTCTGCGGGTAAGGACACCGTAGACACCACCCATGGCCTGCTCGGGAACCTGGATTTCGACCAAGAAGACGGGCTCGAGGAGAGCAGGCTCGGCAAGCAGAGCGGCAGCGTACAGGACACGACGAGCAGTGGGGATGATCTGACCACCACCACGGTGGATGGCATCAGCGTGAAGGGTGACATCCATGATGTTGAAGCGGATAGAGCGCATGGGCTCCTCAGCAACGGGACCCTCACGGGTGGCCCACTGGAAACCAGAGACGACGGAGTCCTTGATTTCGTTGAGGTACTGAACGGCCTTGGTCTGGTCAACGAGCAAGTTGGCACCAGTGGTGTCGGGACCGAAAGTCCAGATCTTACGGGCATCAGTGACATCCCAGCCGAAGTCGTCAGCGAGGATACGGGCACGGGCCTTGAAATCGTCACGGGGGCCGATCTTGCCAGCCTCGATCTCCTTGGAGAGCTCCTCGTCAATGGGCTCGGCGACCATGTAGAGACGGTTGTGCTTGTTGGGAGACTTGGACAGAGCAGTGATGCTGGACTTGCCAGCAACAGTCTCACGGTACTGGACGACGGGGTCGGAGATGATGAGAGGAACACCGGCGTGGTCGTTCTCGAGATCGTTCAAGCAAATCTCAAGGTGAAGCTCACCGGCACCGGCAACGACGTGCTCACCAGACTCGGAAGTGTAGGTAAGAACGCAAGGGTCAGACTTGGAGAGACGCTTGAGACCCTCGACAAGCTTGGGAAGATCCTGGGCGTTCTTGACCTGAACGGAGCGCTGAACGACGGGGGAGACGGAGAACTTCATGACCTTGAGGTTGTGGGCGGTGTCGCTGGTGGTGAGGGTACCAGACTTGAGCAGGAACTGATCAATACCAACCAGACCGACAATGTTACCGGCGGGCATGTCGTCGATGGCCTCGACCTTGCCACCCATCATCAGAACGGTACGCTGGATGGCCTTGATGAACAAGTCCTCCTTCTTGCCGGGGACGTAGTTGGGGCCCTGGATGCGGACCTTGAGACCGGAGCGGACGGTACCGGCGAAGACACGACCGAAGGCGTAGAAGCGACCCTTGTCAGAGGTGGGAACCATCTTGGAGACGTAAAGCATGAGAGGGCCCTTGGGGTCACAGTCACGGATGGCAATAGCAGCCTCGTCGTCGGAGGGACCCTCGTACAGAGTCTCGGCACGGTACTTCTGAGCAGTGACGGGGGAAGGAAGGTGGAGAATCATCATCTCCAGAAGAGCGTCAGCGGCGGGCAGGAAAGTGCGCATGACAGCCTTGAGGAGCTGCTTGCCCTCCTTGTCCTTGTCCTCGTTGGCGAGCTTGAGGTTAAGCTTCTCGAGGAGGGTGTTGACCTCGTCCTTCTTGAAGTTCATGACAGCGGAGAAGATCTTGAAGATGGGGTCCAAGATGAACTGGTTGAAGGCACGCTCAAGGGGCTTGCCCTCGTGGCTGCTCTTGGTAGTCCACTTCTTGGTGTGGGGGTTGAAGTAGTTGTCACCCTAATGTCCATATTAGCTACTGAATGCGCAAGGGAGAGGCTGATGTGTGAGAGGAAAGACATACCCAGAGACGCTCCATCATCTTGTTGCGGTCAACACCGAACTTCTTGGCGTAGCGAACGGCGAACTGGCGGACGGTGAAAGCCCAGCCGTGAAGACCGGAACCGAAGGCAATGGTACCCTTGTAGGGGTAAACCTGGACATCACCAAGGGACTTGTCGAAGTAGGTGGAGATGATGACGTTAACGGACTCGATGGTACGGGAGAAGGACTGGTACAGGTCCTCCTTGGAGACCTGAAGCTCGAGAAGAGCACGGTCGACCTTGTTGATAATGACGACGGGCTTGATGCGCTCACCAAGAGCCTGACGCAGGACAGTCTCGGTCTGAACGCAAACACCCTCGACGGTGTCGACGACGACGAGAGCACCGTCAGTGACACGGAGGGCAGCAGTAACCTCAGAAGAGAAATCAACGTGACCGGGGGAGTCGATCAGGTTGATCAAGAAGTCGGTGCCATCGGTCTTCTGGCCGACGATGTCCTTGACGTCGTCGGGGTCGACACCGTGGTACAGGGAGATGGCAGTAGACTTGATGGTAATACCACGCTCCTGTTCGTCTGCACGCGTATCCGTTGCTCTTGCGTCTCCGGCCTTGGCGGTGGAGATGATACCAGCCTTGGACAGAAGGGAGTCGGTAAGGGTAGACTTTCCGTGGTCGACGTGGGCAATAACGGACATGTTACGGACGTTGGTAGGCTTGTCCATAAGCGCCCGGATCTCCTCGATCGTGAAGCTGTTGTTGCGATGCCATGGTCAGCAAACTGAAGTACCTGAATTGATGGGATGCTTATCTCCGAAGGTGGTGAGGGGCGGGGTAAGGCGGTTTTGCTCAGCAAAGCTGAAGCTGAAGCTGTCGCTGCCCAGCGCCATCCCCCTCTTGCGCCAAGACATGGGGGAGAAAAACATCAAACGACGCAATTGTCCATCATAAGGTGATGGACACACTGAGAAGCCGTCGTAGATGATGGAAGTGACTAGCAGGATGAACTTACTTAACCATTTTGACGGCGGTGGCTCGGTGAGCTCTTCAAAAATTGGTATGTGTAAGGTTGAAGTTGGTCGAAGCGGGGTTGAAGAATCTGCCCCGCGCTCACAGAGTGCTGAGTCCTTTTTCTACTGAGAGAAAATAGGCAAGCAGATGAAGCTTGTGAGATGCCGAAGGTTGAAAAGGCGACGGTTCCAGGAACGACAGGGGAACTTGAGCTCCTCTGCCACTTCTTTTATCGTCACTGGGAGATGATGGGAAGGGCGGGATGGGGAGGAGAGGAAGAGAAGAAAAAAAAGGAAGTGGTGCAGGCTCTTCTGGGTTGTGACAGACGTTGCCCCGAGGGAAAAAAAAAAAGTTAGTGACTGGCCGGGTGAGAAAAATGGGTAGGTGGGGCAGCAGAGTGAAAAAAACCCCGCCACTTCCTGTTTTTTTCTCTCCAACCACAGCAACTGCAAAAGCACCCAGCCCTGGAGGGGAGGGGGATACAGTGGGTGGAGTGGACACCACCTCGATCGCACCTGCCCACTTGACCATTCAAACCACCCAGTGAATGTGCCTATCGCCAGTGGCGCCACCTCTGCTGCACCGTACCAGCACCAGGCCACTTGCCCGTAGCACTCATACTTCCACACACACACACACTCTCTCTCTCCTCTCTGACTGCCTTCCCGTCTGGTCAGCCGCTGTCGACCTAGGTACCCCCAGTTGATACTGTACCTACCTATGTACCCTCTCCCACACTCCCACTCCCACTCCCACTGTCTTCCTCACTTTCTCATTCTCCCACACACAAATACACACAGACGCACGCACACTCGCACACACCAGCAACCACTCACAGCTCTGTGGCGGAGGGGTAGCCTTCCCCTCGGATGAGTTTATGCGAGAGGAAAGGGCAACAACCCTGGCCCCCTCGCACCAGACTTCAGTGTCTCAACTAACATGGCCATTGCTCATCCGGCGGGGGTTCCCTCATTACCACGGTCATCCAGGCGCATATTTGATACAAGGCTTGTTTGATTTAGACCATGCTCAAAATCATTTTTGCATCAAAGCATTATATCGCTGCTTGGATTGCTGCGCTGAACTACAGATTACCAGTGATCTGATTTTCTACTAGGAAGCTGTGTCCCTCTTTGTGTGGCGTACTGTGTGAATCCAGCTCCAAGCCCCCCGCCCCGCCCCATTTTGTGCGATCAACGACGTGTTCCCCCTCCTTGGATTTGGGCCCCTCCTGGTGGTCCAATGACGACTGTGACGACGAGGACCGGATAATCATCTGCAACTCTGCCCAACTGCCCTTGACAGCAATTATCCGGCACGGGGTGCAAGAGCCCAGAGCTTGGACCAGTACAACAACAAGCTTGATGTTTACCAGACCTACTTCACCACCCGAGCAACCAGAGGACCATAATCTCCGTTCCATTCATTCATTGCGGTGTCCACTTTCGTCACGCCGTGCATACTTTCGAGTCATCGGCTTCGCATTCCAAACTGTTTGAAATTTGGGCCACCTGCCACCTGCACTTCAAAGCTTCTTCAACGAGCCCCGGCAAGCTGATTCACCCTATCTGCTAGCTTTGGTCTGAGTAAACATCCTGTCACACCGGCGAGCACACCGAAGAACCCTCTCATACTAACGGAGGGATCCCATCTGGGCTTTACTTGATGCGGATCATTAAGTTGATTACTAATTTTAATAGACCATTCTCGGTCGCTTGTATCCGGCTTTCCATGGGTAAAGTACAGAGTACACCCCGGGTGCTTATCCTTGGTTTCGCATACCCATTCAATGCTGGCCTTGAATCCCGTCCCTAACTCCCTAAACGCCGAGCCCAATCCATTCCTCTGTCCCCCAAAAATGCTGATGTACACCGAGTGAGTCAACAGCGGTCTGCTTTCATCATGACCCCAATATCTTGGAGTAAGCGTCCTCTACCTCGCCAGCCAGCTCCAGAAGAGCTACTATGACAATCTGGTGCGTCAAATTCGGAAGTCGATCTCGGTGAAGACCAATCCATTCTAGTGGTGGCGTAGCTTCTCCCATGTCCCTCAGTTGGGGCGTTTCGATGATGGGCGGCTCAAGCGCCACATAGTCGTATTTGGACTGCGGGACGTTGACTTCGGCCGTGATCTTTTGTTGTGACGTCCCTCCTGCCTGCTGCTCCTCTGTATCCGGCACACCGGTCACCTTGATGGCCGTGAGTGGGAGCTCTTTGCCCCAAGTCTGCTGTAGCGATTTTGTGTGGTTGGCCCACATCCCGCGAATATAGCTGATGCGTGAGTAGTTCCATCCCACTTCAACCTTGCCTTCAAACGCGCTTTTGAAAATGTACTCGATCCTGTTGCGGTTGGGTGTTTGCCATGTTTGCATGACCGCCCCCACCTTGGGCACCTTGAGAATAGTCCCGCCACGCGAGCCTGTTGCTCTCTCGACTACGTCTTCCACGGATATTTCGCTCAGAGTTTTTGGCGCTTCAATGTTTCTTACGCCTGCGAGTCCGATTCTCAGCTGGCCAAGAGTAAGTCCTAAAATGCTATGAATGCGTCGATGCTCGATACTAGCCGCAAATCTTGCTTCGGCATCAAGAGCCTCCATCTTGAATACTTGATGGTCGGAGAATGTACTCGGGAAAACGCCAAGGTTCAGTGCTTTGAGTGTCACCACAACATCTGTGTCGAGCGAGATCGGCGACTTTGACAGCGTATCTTCCTCTCGAAATTTGGGCACGCTGGACAAATGAGGAGAAACTGCGGAGCTCCCATATGATCGCCTCCTCATAAACTTTTCGATCTCTTGCAGCGACATCTCGAAATTGGCTCGTCTTTCCTGGATGAGCTTTTGCACCGCTTGGTATAGAGCGACAGCTTGAGCTGCAGATGTCGTGGTACCATACACTTGCACTGCGTCTCCGTCAAAAATGGCCACGAGCCTATCTCCACTGCCCTCCAAACTTCGGCGGACGTTGTACATGAGAAGCTGTAAAGAAGTAATGTCGGCAACGAGGAAGGCCTGGTAGTCGAAGGCTGCCTTTACTCGAAATTGACTAAACCCAACTGACGCCTGCACCATTGGCGTTTCGTTTAGTGCCTGTTCTCGCTCTGGCCACTGAATTGAGGTTCGAAGCTGGAACTTCTGGAGAGCAATGAAGCCGCTTAGCCTGCCAGTGCAGTCGATGCCTATCCTTTCGAATCCAAGGCAAAGGTTCTGCTCCCAGTCTGAGGTCTTCTTTGACGAAACCCAGAACTCTTTGATTGCAAAATTCGACTTTCCAATGGCTTGACCCATATCCACACCAACATCCAGTGAGGCAATAGAAATTGTCGCTGTCCAGGGGAAAGCTGCTGTTGCGGCCACCTGCTGATATCTCTGGACTAAGTGACCTTGCGATGTTTCTGTCGATAGCTTGGCAACAGGCGCCGTAGTTGTATTTCGAAGTTCATTCGGATACCAAATCTCACGGAAAAGCAAGAAGTCTTGAAGTTGTTTGGCGTTGATCGACACGTTCATCGGACTGACTTTCAAAATGGCCGATACACCACTAGTCCCACTAACGTGCTTACTGTTCATTAAAGAGAGAACAATTGAATCGACGTCGAAGCTACCTGTTGACTCTCGAGAATACACATGCTGTACAGATGCCTGTAGCTTAGAGAAGGCACCAGAAATCGAGAAGAAATTGCCTTGCTCCACGGAGCGAACGGTATTGACGGTGAAGTATATATCGTCAAAACAAGTTGTCGCGGCAACGCGGGCAATGGGCTGACAGCTGAGAGAAAACTCTTGTCGGCAAATTCGAAGACCAAGATTCAGCTTCAGACGCCCGATGACTGCGTTTGGATCCGCAGTGAGAATATTATCCTCATTGCCAGGTTTGGGTCTAGCCGCCTCTGGCGTCTGAACTGCAGGAGCATCTGTGTCTTTGCCGACAACCTCTTTAACGCTTGCCGTCATGTCCATGATAAGTGGTACGACTGATGGGTATAAGATATTGCTTGATGCATCGATTTTGATCTCGCCATAAAGTGAAGGGTCTTCGTGGCCATTGTCTCGGTATTCAAATTTCCACGCTAGGCCAGGACTTCTCAGAACGGTGCTGCTGCTGCCCGAGTCATCCGTGCTGAACTGACCATATTTGCCTGCCAATGATGGTCTACCGGGTTTGGAGCTTCCGCGAAGACCGTCTGTTGTTTTTTTGCCGGAAACATAGACGACGGCACCAGAGAAGTCAGCGTCCACAAGAAGAGACTCAAGACGCTTAGTACCTAGGATGCTCCGTCTCGCAGGAGCTGGTTCTTCTACCTTCTCGACCTTGTCGACCTTTGCTGGGGCAGCTCCGGTGCTCCAATTCTGCGATGCCCTCTGCACATTTTTGATTGAAAGCCCAATGGAATCATTCAATATAGCCGCAGGGATAATAAAACCTGACGTCAACCGAAGGTCCAAAGACTTGCCAACAGCTTGGAATGCTAAACGGCGTGTGTTCGGGTTGGATACATAGGCAATGTTGAAGACGATTTCGGGAAGCAGGGCCGAGTGAAGGGATCTGAGGTTCTTGTCTTGACCTGGAGGAACCATCTGTAGTTGAAAGTTCTCAATAGTGAGCCTAGCAGACTTCGTCTGGCGTGTCCCAAAGCTGATTAGTTGGACTGATAAGATCAAGTCTTCCTTGCTTTCTGCAAGGGGTCTCAGGTCGTCTGATGGATCGCTGACAAGCCAGCATATCTGAGTATCGCGCACTTCAAACCGATAGACGATAGTTGAGAGGAATGAGTCGATAATGTCCGGTTCTTCCACTTCTTCCTGATCATTGATCGCGATTTTGGGCCTTGTTTGCCGAATCTTGCGAAGGTATTCGAGTTCACGTGACGTATCAAGATCCTTGATCTTGTCTCCCATATATCCCAGTGCGGCAACAACAGTTGAAACAGTCTCTGGCGATAGGTTTATTGCCAGTCCATCACTTCTGAAAGTGAACGATCTTTCTTCTTTGCCGCCTTCAGTGGGTCGTGTGTTCGCCGAAATGAGAGCCCCCAAGGCAAGGCTACCACAAGATCTCATTGCATTGTCTCTGCCCTTTTGTACGTCGATCAAGATCTGGCGAAGGTTGACATGCAGCTCTGGCTGGGCCAAAATGGGGCCATGAGATTCATGGCGATTAGCAACTTCCAGGTGTACTCGGTCCAAGGCGAACGACAGGCATGCTGTGGGATCCTTTTCTGATACAAGCGGCGTCTTTCCGAAGACTTCAATACCAGCCAAAGTAAGATGAACCGTGTACACCAGGTTTGATGTCTGCGGCGGCGGTGACGTCTCTTGAGGAGCTGGAGCTGGAACATTGCCGAACATGTCATTTATATGACCTTGAATGGCCTTTGTACCTTCCTGTAACTCAGTAATGGCACTTGAGATCTGCGGTCGGTTTAAAGCCCGTAGTAAGCTATAAACTGCAGAAGCATCGAGTTGCACTAGTTCTACGGAGCCAAAAACAGATATCGAATGTTCTCCTTGGCCTATGTGGCTGACAATACGACCATTTGTGGGCGGAATACGCAGGAGAGATATGCTGCGCGGTTGATTTCTGACATCCATTCGGATCTCGTGCGAATTTTCTTTTACGTCAAAGTCAAAAATGAGCTCCTTTCCAAAGTTGGCCGCCACTGCTGCTCGTGCCACAACACCTGATATGTTGTACGTCATTGACTGGAGGAGCGGTATACTGATGAGGTACTCGTCCAGAAACATCGCAACATTGACCCGAAATGAGGAGAGTCGCTCAGCTATTTTGATGCTGTCTCTTCGCGGAGCTGGAGAATCTGGCAGCTGTTTCTGAAGCTTATGAATTTGCGTCAATTCATCTTTAACCAAATAGTCGACAACCTCCACCAGAAAGAGAGGGTCCTGCTTCACAGCAAATGTTAGTGCGCGACTGCTGGCCGTTGATTTGATTGTGTGGCAAGAAGTGGTGTCTGTTTCAAGAAGCTCGTGAGAAACGAAAACGCTTGGATCTCTCAGCTGGAATATCCCCAGGAGTTCGGACCGATGGTGAAGTCGAGATGTCACGGCATCGCAGCTCAAAATGAAATTGACAGATGAGCCAGTCTTTTCGTATCCATCAAGTAAACAGGACGCTTTCAGATTATGGCCCAGAGAGGTTGCACTAAGGTTGATTGTGTCGACTTCAATCGATCCTCGTCCAACGGCAAATACGACGTGAAAGGCGTCCTGAGGCTTCGATTTGTCAGGTGGTGCGCTTTCCTTCTTAGATACTTGCCGAGGTTTTGTTCCCCGCTTAGATTTGTTGTAGAGTCGCAAAACGTCTTCCGCAAGCTCACAAAGTTCCCAATTGAGCATGATCGCAGCTTCTCCGCAATAGACATTCAATACAGTCATGTTTTTTGGTTCTGCATTCGCATCATCGGGCGGTTCTGAAGACCCCGCGCTCTTCTTTTCGAGTCTTATGGTCAAATCAGCGAATATGATTCTGTTTTCCTTGGGGCCGGGATCCAAAAGAAGTTGAACATCACTTAATCGGAGTGCAGCTAGAATGGGCAAGTCAGGTGTGTCCAGGCTGCCATCGCTGTTGGCTGCGCCGAAGACGTTCTTGATCAGTTCAGAACCCGCCACGTTATAAAGATCCCAGCTGCGCCATCGTTGAAATGAATCCAAGACTCTTTGAAGAGCATCATCAGGTGGAGAAACCGCTCCAGATATGCAGTTGACCTGTAGACTGTCTCTGAAACTTGCTGGCATTCTCGTCCATATTTGGCGAAGTCTAGAAACCATTTTCCACGAGTCAAAAGTTCGCAGATGTTCTGACGCGGATCGCAAGACTGCTGACGGTCGTGTCAAGAACGAAGGGTCGCCAACAGGATGTCCGTCTGTCATGAGATTGAAAACGAAGTGCTTGATCCGGTCTTCGTGTCGAGACATGGTCTGCCCCAGTAGTTCTCCCAGTTCCGTTGCAACAACGCCGGTCCTATGAATAAGTGATGCAAGATACTCAATTTTTTCAGACGCCGTACTGCTCTTGATGCTGCCAATATCGGCGTCAATGTAAGTGACATCTTTTGAACCCAGCGATACCATGACACGCTCGATTTGGGCCATGAACGCGGCTTGATTCTCCTCTGCACCTGAAAGTCGTTCTGACGCCGATGCCTCGGCAGAACCAAGTTTCAGTTGGACGGATGTTCTTTTGTTGCATTTGACTGGCTCTTCCGGGTTTTCCCAGGCTTCGGTTGACCGGAGGCAAAGTGACAATTTCGATAATGCCACATCATATTGATCCTGTTCCTCTCCCCCAGGATTGAGGCGATCAACAGAAGAAGAATTCAAAAAGCGAATGCTGGCTTTCGGAACTCTGAGCAGCACGTCGGTGATCTCACCAGCCACTTTCTTCTTCTTTTGATGGTCAAAGATATCGGTCATTGAAGCGATTTGCAGACTGTCAAGAATGTTTTCTGGTTCACTCGGCTGCAGTGCTGCAATAAGCAAAGATGTATGTCGAACGGCGGAGGGGTTCAGGAACAAAGTGATTCCAGAAGGTAATTCGACAATGATACTGTTATGGGCACGATCATCTGCCAACGATTCTGGATCAAAATCATCCAGCTTGACACTTGGAAAGCCAAAAGCAGAATCCTCATCTGGCTCCTCTACGCTTTGCACGACAGTTTCTGATGTATCCGGTCGAATGCCTTCAAGATGGAATGGCGGGGTGAAGAATTGGCTGGAAAAGGCCACGGACGAATGGTGGTTCGCATCTCGATGGAAGTCTCCAACAGCACTGTAGAATGCAGAATGACGTCCAGTAGACGTCGATATGTCCCGCTGGTGCTGTGACTGTCGTTTCACAGTAGCTTCAAGGCTGTCGGGGTAGAGAAGATCTGACTGTCTTGACTTTGCGCGTGACCTAACAGAGCTTCTGGGTCTCACCACACTACTGCTACTGGAGGTAGTGGTGGTGGATAAAAAAGAACTCTTGTGGCGTAAGCGCCGGTTACCGCTAAACGTTGATCTGCTGTCCATAGACTTCTGGTCACCATTAACACCGTCTATGGTTGTCGGATGAGGGATTGGCGGAGCCCCCTGTGCAGGCGGATCAAGCTGATCTGGAAGCATATCTTCCAAGATACCAGGTAGAAGGAGAAAGTCGGTGCGGCCCGTCCGTTGATCCTCGCGACGGATAAGTTCCTGCTGCAGCTTGCGCTCTTCAGAAAAGTGAAATTTTCTCCCGATTATTGCCACGCGGATGGAAGCTTGAAGAAAAGCATCCGTTTCAACACCGTACTGAGGCTTCCACTTGTGTCTCATAGCAGATTCCGAGTTGACACAAGAAACTTGGAGGTCGGGGATTTTAATGTCTGCACGCCTGGAATAATGTGTCCGAGCCCAATCATTGAACTTCACGTCGAGCGAGCCAGTTGAAAAGAGGAAAGCCACTTCCTCCACATGACACCAAACTCGGACAGCCTGTACCGCAACCCTGAGGAAGGTGACATCATACACGATGATAGACGACAATGGTATCAGGGCGTTCTCGTCATCATCAAATTCAAATGCGAAAGCTTTCCCTCCACTTACCAAAGCAGTCAGGAAGTCAGTTGAACATTCGCCTGAAACTGTGCCCACTGAAATATCCCAATTGCAGAGGTATGTCGGTTCAGTTGGAGGAAGGCCAAAGAGACGATGGCCATAAACAGTGACGCCGTCGATAAACATTTGCGTACTTGAAACTGCGCTGACTGGCGTTTCCAAGCCAGATGCTGCCTTGCCGAGAGACAGATTTAAGGGGTTAAGGTTGACTTGCAAATCCATGTAATAGTTGGTGAAGCGGAGATCCAACGAGAGTCCGGCAGTTTCGATTTGAATATGCCGTTGGCTAGAGTACAGATTGGCAGGCAATAAGATACGAGGGTCGTCCACCTTCACACTTAGGATAACATCTAGATCGTTGGACTTCTTAGGAGGCGGCCGGTTCGCCAGTTCTGCATCAGGATTAAGCTCTTTTGCTCGTAGAAGCTCTTGATACTCATCCAACGTCTTGAAATGGATGTAATCGCCAAGATAATTGTCTTTCAAGACTAGAAAATAACGTATCAGGAAGCCGTATAAGGTTACTGTTGGCGACTGAAGACCAAGATTCAGGGTCAAGGTATCGATGTTGGCCGGTGACGTTGTGGCATTGTAATGGTATTTTCCATCGAGCTCGAAATTTTCGCCATGGCCAATTTCTTTCGATGTTATGAAAGCAGCCTGTGTATTCCATGGTGGAACGTGTAGAGATAAGGAAAAGGTCTCAGCTCCCAAGGCAAATGAAACAGCATTCATGCTAGGCCTGTACTTATCGATGGGGATGCAGACATTGGCCACGAGAGACGGACTCTTCGCAACAACGTAGGCGTTATCGTCAAGATCAGTAGGATTGTTGATAATGTTACCATCATTGGCATTCAGGTAGAGTTTGACTTTGCGGAGGTCCAGATTGAGGTAGTACCTAAAAGGCGTGAATACCAAGTACTCGGCTGGCGGGCCCGTAGCCCAGTCGTCGACCAGGTCGGTCAACAAGAACACATGATCTCTGAGCATGAACAATTCCAAGTCATCAGCGACGATGTTAAAGTACCAGGACCTCAATGAGTTCCACTTGAGGGGGGTAGACAGATCGCAAGAAATGCGCTGGGCTCCTGATCGCCAGAGAAGTTCATGGTTTACACTGGTGGCGAGCTCAGTGCTGGGTAAGTCGATGTCAAGCTTCATATGGTATCCTGATGCGCTCGCAAGCATGTCCATAGTGAATGATATTGTAGCATTGCCGGGCACAATGAAATCGAGCCATCCTCCCGAGCGGACAGGCGCAGCGTCGGTCTTACTGCCCTTCCTTGCCCGGGTTCTTTGTTTTCGCTTCTGCTGCTGTGGTGGAGTTGCTTTAATGGGAGGCTCTTTGCCTTTCCATCTCCAGTTCTTAGAGTCTTCTCTTGTCGGTATGTGGAGCGTCACCTCGTCGTCTAACTCGACATACAGTTTGAATTGCGTGGGAACACGATACACCCCTTCGGGAAGGGGTGTTGCGGGGACTGCGTCCTTGGACAAGCTAGGTACGAAGACACGCTGAAGGTCGGCTCTCTGCCGGTCCGCCCATGGACCATAATTTACGATTCCGCCCTTGATAGCAAGAATCATTCCCCATGCAGGAGCCTCATCTCCATTGATGTACGTTGCCGCGTTGGTCTCCTTAGATCGTCTCTTGGCAGCATCTGCAGTCACCTTGCCTACGACGTCCCAATAAATCGTCAACGTTGCTTCTGGACTATCCACGATGGTGTTTTCTGCAGCGTATTCAACACCGGCCCATCGAAGCCTAGCATCTTGCTCATCCTCGTCCAGGTATCGGGCCAACCCTTGCCAATGATTTGAACCAGGTATTTGTGAGACGGCTGTGGTAAGCGGGCTTCGAGAACCTAACGAGAACGATTCAACCGATTTCCGCCAGTATGGTACAAGATTTCGCAGCGTTCCATAGGCGCGGCGTCGATACCTTCTTAAAAAAGACGTCTTGTATGTTGGACTGGGCTCCTGCGCCACTAGCTTCTCCCGGCCTGCTCTTGTGGCTTGATCCTCTTTATAGTCGTCGTTCTCCCTCATCTCTACGATGGGGTGCTGGAATTTGATCTTGAAAATTTGTTTATATGGATCCGGTGTCGACGTTTTTGAGGCGTCTATTTCTCCCGATAACCCATCAGCCTTAACAATCAAGATGGCCTTAGTGTTGTCGTTTCCCATCACTACAGCCGCTTTTTGACACGTAACAAAGATGGGAAACAACTGTAATAGAAACGGTAGGTCAGAGTCCGACTGAGCAGTATCATCACTGCTTTCCAGTGCATCAGAAGGCGTGCTGATTTGGCTAGCAGAAGAGCCACGGCGGCCCAAGGTATTTCCGATCCTTGAAAGCAGAGCTGCTCCGGGTGTCTCCTTTTCAGGAGCTTCTTGAGATTGACCTGATTTTTCGGAATTCTTCTGTCCTCGGTTCCGAAGAGAACCGGCATCTTCTTTCGATTCGTACGCTGTCGTCACATTCTCTGCAGTTGTATAATCCTTCAGCCCAGCTAAAACAGTGTCGTAGGCTGGGCTTCGATTGTAAATGAACCATTCCAAACCTACCAAAGACATAGTCACTCTACAGGGCAGGTTCGAGTGTCGTCCGTTGGTAGCCGAAGACATATGTTCCGTTTGCTGCTGGGCCGAAGCCTTGATGTCCACCTCGCGCACGCGGCGCAGCCAGTATCGCCAAGTGACGTAACCATGTTGAACGAGGAAGGTCTCGTTATTGCCGTGATAGCGTAGGCCAGTGAAAAATATGCGCCCACCGAGGAGGGAGACTTGTAAGGCTTGTATGTCGAGATAGATGCGGTAGCGATGCCAGGTGTACGTTCGTATACCCCACGACAGCAGTGATCCGAAGACGCGGTTGAAGTAGAGGAGAAAGAACACGGCACTTGGGAGCGTTAGCAAATCAAGTTTGTTATTGTTTAGCAAACCGGGGAACCTAACAGAGCACCACAGACTAAGAGATAAGCCAAAAATTCTCTGCATGAACGGGCGGTCAGCGTTTGTAAGGCAAAGACATGTTGACTCGTGTTGAGTACCCATTGAAGGCTGGTGTTGCCGTTGGCGTGGGGTTCGGCTCCCCTTCTTGAGGCATTGTGGCAGTCAAATATTACACGCAAATGTCGGATGTGATATACCGAAACTCCTGCCATCGACGTTGGAACTGCCCCTGTCTATCGAGCTGCCATGTCTCGTAGGCTCGCGCTTGTAGCTAATACCGGATGGGAGGGTGGTTTGACAGGCGCCGGGGAGGCCAAGCGTAGCTAACCAGCAGTCGCAAGCAGTGCTAGCAGTCCACAAGAACGGGCATTGAAGAGGACGAGACGTGTGGAATCAAGACAGATGAGAATGGGAGTTGGGTATGGAGCCACGAGCTCAGGCGAGCATATGCGGTACTGTGCTGGGATGGATGCGATGGAAGAAGCTTGGGATCCAATGCGAATGCAATGCGCAGTGGTGCAGGACATCAGAGGTCGGCAGCCGTCATACCGCCAAACTAATTGTCAGCCCAGGCGCGACGCACTGGCGTCCCATCCATGTGATGGGGCAGATGTCTCGCGCTAAAGTGGCCCCGAGGCTATAGGGGCCTGGCACTGTACTCTGTATGGTACCTGAGGTTTGCTGGAGCTTCCCGCACATGCAGGTGGACCACTATCAGCTGGAAAGACACAATCAGTGGGTACTGGGCAGAAGAAACCCCATATGCCATGGCCCTGCAACCCCAAGCACACCGTGAAACTATGTCCAAGGGGGTTGCCTGCCGGTCCCTAACAATTAATTGGAGTTCTAGTTCTCCGCATGCCACAGCTGTTGTGGTCCAGGCCGCCTAACGTACTTCCATGTACGTACTGCGACGGACTACACTACGCATCACTCCATGATTGCGATTGAGGGCAAGCACGGTCTATCGTCATCGCTGTCATCGCGTCTGAAGACCTCAACTTTATCCCCTCATATTGTACCCGCCTCGCTTCCCCCCAGCGCGCCTCACGTTCTCTGACAACGACTACTTCTGTTAAACTTCTCAACCTCACTGTTCGATCTCAATTCTCGTATCCGAGCTGCCTCGATGGCCATGAGCTAGGCACACGACCACCACCACGACCACCATAACGATACAAGGCACTCGACGCATCGCTCTGGGCCGCAGATAACATGGCGGGTGGAACGGGCGAGAAGCTTACCACGGCGACCACCATTGTTGCTGGCGTTGCGGCTTTGGTAGCGACACTCCTGTCAGCTGTGTGAGTACTCGCTCCTGTTTGGAACAAACGCAGCTGGAGCTAATGTATTTCTCGCAGTTCAATTCTATTGCAATCGTACGTTATCTTGTGGTGTACTCGTGGACACACAGCTGTTGATACGGATACAGGAAAAACTACCGGAAGCCGCTCCTCCAACGTTATGTTGCTCGCATTCTGCTTATGTACGTCTGTCGATTACCAAGTTAAAGATACCAGACCAATGCTTAATTATCCCAGGGTTCCCATATACTCGATCGCTTCATGGACTAGTATGATCTCCATCAAGGCCGCCTCATTCCTAGACCCAATTCGCGACATATACGAGGTAAGCTTTGCTCTTCTGAACTCGTTGGCTGCACTGTCTGACATAATCAGGCCTTCACCATCTACACCTTTTTCCAGCTTCTAATCAACTACCTTGGTGGGGAGAGGGCGTTGATCATCATGACCCATGGTCGAGAGCCCGTTCACCACCTTTGGCCGATGAACCATGTTCTCCCACGAGTAGACATATCGGACCCTCACACATTCCTGGCTATTAAGCGTGGGATTCTTCAATATGCTTGGCTGAAGCCTATGCTAGCTTTGGCAACAATCATTATGAAGGCTACTGGGACTTACCAAGAAGGCTACATTGGTGTTGAGTCGGGCTATTTCTGGAGTAGCCTGATCTACAACATCAGTGTGACGGTGAGCCTATACTCGCTCGGCTTGTTTTGGGTTTGTATGCACCGCGACCTCTTGCCGTTCCGGCCAGTGCCTAAGTTCTTGTGCATCAAGCTTGTTATTTTCGCCTCTTACTGGCAGGGGTTTCTTCTTTCTATACTCGTCTGGCTGGGAGCGATTCCCGACAATGTCGAGGGCTATTCTCCTGACAACTTGGCTGCAGCCATTCAAGACGCTTTAATCTGCATCGAAATGCCAGGCTTTGCCATCGCCCACTGGTATGCCTTCTCTTGGCACGATTTCGCGGACAACAACATCCTATCCGCCAGAATGCCAGTGAAATTCGCCTTTCGCGACGCCTTTGGCATTAGGGATCTTATCGAAGACTCGAAAGAGACCTTCAAAGGCGATAAATATGGATACCGTGCTTTTGACTCAGGTGATAAAATAATGGCTCACGAAGAGTCTCGTGCCAGACTTGGCAGACTCAAAGAAGGCATGCGATATTCAAGAGGCGGTAAGGGCAAGTACTGGATACCAACTCCTGGCCAGGTGGATCGCCAGGTTAATCGCGACATGAACGAGCGGGATCCCTTGCTAGTAGGAACCGCGGGTGGCCCCAGCGAGGAATATAATTATGCCAACGGTACTTTCAACGACGACCTTGCCAATGATCCTCAAATTGATCCCGATGAGGAGCAACTCTACGACAAGGCACGCGAACTAGAGTTTGGTGATTGGAATGTGAGTCAGTCAACCAGCAATACTATTACGCTCTGCTAATAGCCTTTCAGTATCCCGTCATCACAGCAAGTGAGCCATTGAGCAAACGGTATATGTCTTCTCAGGGTAGCTTGGGCTTCGCATCCTCGTCTCGGTCAACCACGGAATATCTGCCACGGTCAACTCGCCCTCATGAGCCGATAGTGGTTGCCAGCAAGAAAAACAAAAAGAAGCAAAAGCAAAAGCAAGACCCAGTTGCAAGTTCAAGATCCGCGTCATCTCCAGATCGGTCCGAATCGGGTCCTTCAACTAAGCAGCAAAGCCCACCGCCTAATCCAGCAAAAGCACCCGCTCAGACGACTACGCCTCAATCTCTATCAGGCGTCCAGCAAGAGGCAATTAAGGAGCAAGAGTCTCCTCACCTACAAGAGGCCATAGCATCACCCTGGGCAGAGAGCGAACAAGGCGATGATTTCAATGACAACTTCCGTGTAGGAGACGATGAAGAGTTTAAGAACGTATGGGGTGGAGCCGATGAATCCCGTTGATGGAATGTAAGAATTCGCCGTTACTTTGCGTACCTTATGAGCTTTATACCCTTACTCCGCATTCTATGTTTAAGCAATACCGGCATAGCGAAGGAGTTTGTATGAGAAATACGAGCTGTATGTGGTGTTATCGCCAAATGTTTACTTTACGGAATCACTTATGCAGTATTTTGAACACGCACTCTCCTTGTTAAAAACAGTGAGAATTTTTTTTTTTTTTAACTCTGACCAGTTATCGATTGTTGCTTTTCCATTCGAATAGACGATACATCAAAGAAAGGCCCTCTTTAGCAGGAAAAAGCATGCCGTATTTTAATGTCATATATCGGTAAATGTCACATGTTATATTCTAGTTCTCAAGACGATGCCTAGCAAACAAACCCTCCTAAATAAGTTCTGCAACCTACCATACAATAACCTTCTGCTGGTCACGGCGCCACCACCGCTTACGTAGTTGCTGCCTCAGTGCTGCGGGTAGCTCGGAGGACTCTCCGCTGGCTGGGCTCGGCGGTAGCTTACCCGTTGCCCAGTTCTTGGGCTCAGATCCTAGTTCGAACTCGAGTGAGCCTCCCTCGGCGAAGATGTCGCCCCACGACACCCATGATTTGTCCCACTTCTCTCCGTTAACACGGAGCGACTGCACATAAAAAGAATCCTCAGAACCGCCTGTCGATGTAACGTTGAGCTCCCGTCCGCCACCGAGCGAGATAGTCAAGTCAGAAAACCACGGTGAACCAATGAGGAAGGTCGTCTGACCCGTAAGGGGATACAGTCCAATCATGTTCCAAAGCAGCCATGATTCCATCGCCCCGGCATCAGAGTTGCCCGGAAGACCGTTGGGCGTGGGCTTGTAGTACGACTTCGCTACGAACCTCGAGCGCTCCACGGTGAGGTGCTGCTTGTTGACGAAGTTGAACAGATAAGGAGTACCGAAGCTGGGTTCGTTACCAGGATTGAAGATGGTGTTCCCAAACGCGCCGTTTCCTTTGTATTGCCCCGGCTCGAACGTCTTCTCTAACCTGTCGGAGTACTTCTGGGGTCCTCCGGCCAGCTCTATCATGTGCGCTGCGTCATGGTGTGCGTTGAACGAATACTCCCAAGGAGTGGCCTGGTAGTACGCTTCAGCCCAGTAGCACCCGCCGCAGTCAAGGGGGTCCTGTGGTGGGAAGCTGCCATCAGCGTTACGTGGGCCCATAAAGCCACTGAAGCCGAGCGCTTGCATATCCTTGTTCCAGTGATTGCGCCAGTTGCGCGAACGCTGTAGGTATTTATCGGCGGTGTCGGAGAGACCCATGCCCTTGGCAACTTGGTATACGGCAAAGTCATTGGTGGCATACTCAACCGCACGGCTCACGGCGCGGGCGAACTTGGGGGTGATGAAGCCGTACTCGAGCCAATCCGGAAGAGCTCCACGGCCTTCTTTGGTTGACCCGGAACGATCTCGAGGGTCATTATTGTTGGGGGGAACGACCTCAGCATTTTTGAGCATGGCGGATAGGCCGTCGTCCCAGTTAATTTTGCCACGGACGCCCTTCACGTACGCGTCAGCGAGAACGTTGTCACTATTGGAGCCACCCTGAACGGCGCCATTCCAAAAAGAAGAGCGGGCATCGGAGACATAACCCTCATGTCTCCAGATGTCTATCATTGAGCGGATAAACTCTTCATATGCTTCTGGCTGAAGAATGTGGAGGAGAGATGTGGTGCATCGGAACTAGGTGCCTGCGTCAGTGCTGCAGAGGTGGATACTCATGTCCAAGACTTACGGTGTCCCAGAAAGTAAAAATGTCGTCGTAATAAGGCTCACTAGACTCCCAAAGCGGGTTCTCGCCTGTCTTGTTGGTCGGGAGCAAGTTCATGAAGTACAATGCCGTGTATAGCTGGTTCAGTTTCCTGGTGTCCGTCTCGGAGGTTCTGACCTTAGAAAGAACCTCGGTAGTCCACGCCTGTCGGGTAGCCTCTCTGACGGAAGAGAGGCTCCTTTCTGCGGGGATCTCTGAATTAACATTACTGCAAGCTTGCGAAGTGGAAATAAATGAAACTCCGACCCTTGACGTAACAGTAGCGTCCTTGAAGGTGAAAATAGCGCCCAGTCGCTGTGTCCTGGACTCATAACCGGTCTCGGCTCCGTACTCGGATAGCTCGTGTGATGTGCGGTCCTTTCCGAGGAACGTCTTGTAAGTTGCTGGGCGGTCGAAATACCCGCAGAAGTACACTTTCCACTCTGTTGCACGGTTCCAGCCCTGCCGCCTGTTGGTTATGGTACATAGAAGGTAGGGGGTGAGCGTGGTGCAACTCACATTGTCATAGTATCCGAACCCTTCATAATGAAAGTCATCGCCCTCCTTGATCTCAATCTTCCCTCCTAGGTAGTTCTGGCCCAGGCCTTGCCCTCTGTATGAGGGAAGGACGTGAGATACGTCTACAATGACATTGGCATCGGCATTGCCATTGCTTTTGGGAAAGCTGTACTGATACAAACCAGCCTTCTTCGTTGCCCCCAGTTCAACAGTGACCCCAGAACTGAGGTAAGACTTATAGTGACCGACTTCAGTCTCATCAGGTTGCGCCCGATTGTCAGTGTTCTGGCTCAGGGGATTGTCAATGACGCCTACGACAGGCATCTGGTTAACGACACCATACTTGGGGGCGCCTCCTGTGCCAGATTCATGGAGCATAGAGAAGCCGGTGAAGTGGCCATCTGGGAGATATCCGGAGTAAGCATCGATTCCATTTTCTAGGTCAGGTCCTAGTTTGACCATGCCCAAGGGCCTCGAGACTCCAGGGAATGTGTTGCCTCCACCAATGGAGCCGGTCTGTGCAAGCGTCAGTTGGTTCAAGTGGGCTAACTTCCCTGTCACTTACATCCGTCAAAACGTAGCCAGCGAGATCGGCAGACTGAGCTGCCACGGCTGACGCCATATGAAAAAGGGTAGTGCGCCGCATGCTATCTTATTGAACGGCGTGATATACCTGAGAAGAGGACTCTACCCGGGCTCGATGTGCTTAAGATGTAGTCGTCCAGGGATTTATATCTTGAACTGAGACACCACGAAAGGTTTCCGTGCAGACTCGGTTCACTTGGCTTGCACCGAAAATGGAACTTAATGCGTCGTCTAGAAGAAAAAGTGTACCCGTATATAGATCACATCAATTTCAACATAGCCTCGCGTAACCGGAAGGATCTTTCGAAATGATTAAGGACAACTAACCAAGCCAAGTCTGCAGAATATCAAGTGACGGATCCCGAGTAGGAAGGCAAAAAGACGATACTGAGGGTCCGATAACAAGGAATGACTTGGATACTAACGGAAGGCACGAAACGACGTTGCAGGAGCTTCCACAGGGTGGTATCCGCGCTGTAACGTCCGTGGGGTGGGTAACGAGGGGTAGGCAAACGTGCCCAAGTTAGAGACTATGACTGGATGAGAAGCGCTTTAAAATGGCATGACGAAATTTGAAGATAGAAAGAGAGATAAAAAGGATGCAGAATTTGAGGAACAGCGCGGATAACGACGTTTTAGATAACTCGGGGGTTGCAGCCTGTGATTGACTGGGAAGTGCTCAGTCTCGGTGCCGTGAGCCGTGGAAAGACTTGGTGCCGCCGCATTCGTCGTGGGGTTTGCTGGCACACTTCACGGTATACCCAACCTTCGCTTGTCAAAGCTCCCGAGAACGGCAGCCAAGTATACCTAAGCGCCCGGCAAATATAAATTCAGGCCCCCAAAGGTTACCCGTTCATGGACGCGGTCACAATGGTGCTGGCACTCGATAAGCGAGAGTAAGGACGTACACAGAATTGGCAACAATTGCACAGCAGGGGTGCAAATAGCCCCCTCCACCCTGAAGATATGAATGTTCATACGTACAACCAACAAACGCGGGGGCCGAACGGGGAAAACTGGCAAAATGTATGAACAATCCTCTGAAGCTAAACGCCGAGATCCGGACTCACTGGATAAAGAAGGACCACTTACAGCTCCCTCGCCCCTCTTGCCCCCAACTTCAGTCAGGCACTTTAGAGGTCACGGCCGGAGACACTTAAGCCACTCGGCCCTCGAAGATAGCCCCTGCATTCGGCCCCGTACCGGGGTTGTCCCACTAGTGATACCGCCGAGGCTTGGACTCTGTTAATTCGCCCCCCTTTCCCAGGAACAGACGTATATCAGCCGTCAGTGCCTTTTGCCCACACTGTTGCTGGTGTAAAAAACCATAATCAGTATTGAACAGGGTTATCCATGACTTAAATTAAAGATCAAAAAACCATCCGCAGAAACCGGATGTGCTTCGCCAAACCCACAGGAGGCTCCCCAGAGGATTCCCACCTCCTCCCAGAAGCGTGGCTAACTAACCATCCTCAATCAATATTTTGATCGTTCGAATACTCAAGGGGAAGCTACTGCAGTATGCAGGAGGAAATGGGTTCAGCAATGGCCTATGAGACAAATACGCCAATGCACGTGTGAAAGACCTTAGGTCGCGGAATCCAAGATGAGGGGAAACCCTGTGGATATAACAGGAGCGGTCGTTTTTAGGCTGGTAACGTGCGTCTTTACTGGCATCTCTCTGATGTCTACGCTCAACTGACACTGGCTACAGGTGAGTCAACTGAGCAGCAATCCTACAGCAATGCAGCAACACAACAACAAACATGATACTATAAGTTCCACGCCTACTGCATTTCGCTAGCTAGACTGTCTTTGGGGCAACATTTGATGCCGTTGCAACTGGGGTGCTCATGATGTAACCGTTTGATGCTGTCCAACGTAAACTGCACCTAGGCATCTTTCTTCCGCAAATAGCCTTAATTGGCAATCTTGCCCTGTAACGACGTTGACCAAGAAGACATGCATCCATGGGTCCAAGCGACATAGTCTTTTTTGGAAAAAAAAAAAAAAAAAAGTTGAAGGAAGATGGGGGGGGGGGGGGGGGGGGGGAGAGAGAGAGAGAGAAAGAAGAAGAAAGTACAGGGCGCAGGAATATGGTTGAGCAAATGATCAACAATGCCAAAGTTCAATAGGAATCTCTCGGGCTGTAGCAGTCTTTGAGCACTCTGTACTCAATTTGGCCTTGAGATATCGGATCGACTCAATCAAGCGTAAGGCTGTCTAAAACTGATAAAAACTGCTCATTCAGCCGACAGAAAAGAGTAAGAAAAGGGCTAAGCCCAGGAGCTTCGCATGTTTATTTCCTCATTGAAGCTACTTTGTCTTTAGCGTCTTCTGTGGTCCTGATATCACTACACAAGGTACAAGAGATAATGTTTGAGACGGCTGTCTTGAGGCAATTGCTGCATCGGAGGCACTGCGAAGAAGGTAAGACACCCCCTCTTCAAAAGAGAAAACCACACGATGTTTATCAATGCAATGCCGTTATGAACAAAGGTTTGTAAACTTCAGATTCTCAATTGTCCTCGACTAGGAATGGTAAATGGTAGTATGTCCAGCAAATATGACATCTGATAGCACCTGAAAGCTGGGTATACATATCACGTGATAAATTACCCCACCATAATTAATCCGGTAGGTGGCTGGCAGGGCTGTTTCGGACTATCCTCATCCAAAAATGGTACAGAGCGGTGTGAAAATTTGGCAGAATTTGTGAATTGCATCGCTCTGCTCAGGTCAAACCAAGGCATATTGTTCGTTGTCGCACGCTGGGAAAATCCAGGCAGGGCAATTTTTTGCCTACAGTGTCCTGGAAGGGCTTATACAATATTGGAATATCTTTTCCGTTTGCCAGAGCACTGATCTGTCAGCAATTCATTCACATCGACACTGAGGGCAGAATTTCAAAGGCGGTCTACAGCAAGCGGTCTCTCATCGACCAGGCCTCCGGCGGTCAACAGTATATGCTCCGTTCCGGAAGACAGCGCCTTTTGATACTCGGCCTGGATTCTCGGCCGGAGACGCCTATATAGCCATTATGGGCCGAAAACCAAACCCCGTTATTGGGGAATACTTTACGCGGGGCCCCAAGTTGGCAGACTCTAGCAACCGGTATCCTCATACCTGCAAGTTATGCGGTGAAAACTTCCCCAAAGGCCGTGGCGAGGTTTTACACAAGCACATCACCGAGAAATGTCCCGCAATTACACCCGAAGAGCGTATAAATGCTGCTCTTGGATTTGCTGGTCTTCACTCCGGCGCCTCAGCTCCGCGCTCAATGAATCTCACTGTCAACCAGCTCGATGGTGCCGCTGCTGATATTGCACCTGAGGCTCCGGAGAACTGGTCTGCCCTTCGCACCTTGGCCGAAGCATCGCGGCAGGTTGGAGAAAATGAAATGGGCGTTCCTGCAGCTCCTGGTCGAGAAGTTGCAGACTCGACCGCCCGTCAGCTGCAAATTGGCTTTGAGGTCCAGGAACAGTTCACCTTGGAAAATCCACCGGTGAGCTATGAGAATCGACTCCTGCGTGAAAGAAAGGGTAAGTCATAAACACTTCCTTCTGTTACCTTCACTATCACTCTCATTCTGTTGTATCACTCTCTGTCATTGAGATGGCATCTCTCTTTCAATTCATGTGCACGACGTTTTGTATTATTTCATTCAGCTATGAGACCGGACATTTGACACTGATTGTCATACAGAGTCGAGTTCCCAAGACAGTGCCAATCCTTTGAGTTACCTCACAACCGAAGAGAAAATGGAGCATCTCCAGGCGGCAACTCAGCAACCAAACAATCACCCACTGGACTCGTCGGACCTCTCTGTCGCTGCCGCTGCAACCGCTCGCCTCACTCACACCCTCATGGACCCTCAGCTGACCGCTGATCACAATGAACCCCAGGTCATGAGCCCCATCATGCCACCGGTAGATGTCAACAACGCCGTCTCTGAAGTCAACAACACTCCTCAGCAGCCCTGGGGGGAGATGACTTACATGGCCACCAACCACAACCCCACTACCGCGACTCATGTGGCACCTATTGCACCACCTCACAGAGGCGGCACTCGGATGCCCATCGGCAACGGAACCTCGAGTGAGCATAAGAGAAAGGCTTACACGCCGGTCCGACGAAAAGAAGTCCAAGCTGCCCGCAAGAAAGGTGCCTGTATAAGATGCCGTATCCTTCGCAAGACTTGCGGCGTCCATGACCCCTGTGATCAATGCCGCAAGATTCAAGGTCCCCGCCACTGGACCTACCCTTGTGTTCGGACTCGCCTTAGCCAAGAGTTAACACTTTACTCAGCCGCTTTGATTGTTGTGCTGGCACAGACTAGAGTTAAGCAAGCTAGACAGACGTACCAGTTGTTGTCAAACGGCACCTCTCTCGTGGTGTCCCTTTGGGAAGACAGCCCCAGCTTGAGCCTTGCTGCCCTGGTAACCCCTCGTCAAACTCAACCCCAAACTGTCGCTGAAGAGACAGAGCAGACCAACGGAGAGGGCCAGGCGCTCTTCCAGGTTGTCATGATTGACCAAGATAAGGAAGATCTTCCAGCTCGCATGGAGGAGTTCCTCAAGTTAATCTTACCCACCCTCATCCAGCGAGAGCCATCTCACTTTATGCAAGTCGTCTTGGAGTCCGCCCAGAAGTTTCCGCAAGAGAAGGCCACTGGCAAGATTCTGAAGCTCGCTATTGATCTGTGGGGTCTTATTGAGATTCTTGATCGAGAACGTGGTTGGTACATCTCCGAGGAGCGGGAAGGCATTGTCGTGCCCCGTGGCCCCGAGGACTTTGCAGGCAGTGATGATCAGGATATATACAATCTGATCACCTTCCAGCTGTCAGCCGCCACCGAGCGCAGGGCTAACAACGTCTCCAACAAACTCATCAGCGAGCTCCAGCGCTGCCTCGAGAATGGCAAGGCCAGGATTCACTTCGATGTCTATCTCTCGATTCTGATCCTTCTCCACTGCCTTGAGAAGACAACTTGGACTTTCAAGGTGTGGGAGATGGACGACTTCCGCCAACGCTGGCCCCTCGACCGTCCACCTTCGTCTTACGTCAACCAGGGCCACGAAATTGCAGATTTGCTTAAGATGCTTCTGACTCTTCGGAAGGCTCATCCCAAGACTTTCCGAGCCCTTGATGGACGGTTGGCCGTTCTGGACGTTGGCGACACCGATTTCGCGCCAGTGGTAGAGTTCTTCAGCGCACTGAACCTAGATTGTAAGGCGCCTCCTCATTCCACCCCTTCCTGTCTTGCAAGCTCTTACAATATTTATAGATGATGATGTCGTTCGCAAGCTTGAGACATGCGCATTCAGTCCAGAGACCTCCCGATCTTTGGAACTCCACTTTTGTAGCCATGTTCTTCTTCCGCCTAAGGAGGGAGAAAATGCAGCTGGCCACCACATTGGTGCTCCTACCAGCTCCGGCCACACCACGCCCCCTCCTCTAGCTCCTCCTTCCGCTCCTTCTGCTGTTGCTTCTCCTCCTTCCTCCGAGGCGCTTCCTCAGGCGCTGCCTTAGTATGGAGCGTATCCGTTTGTTTTCTAAACCTCGGGAGTACCACAGCGGCATGTAGGTTTCATGCCAAAGCCCGAGACCACACGCACCCCCGGGTATGTCTTCTGCGTGTCCACTGCTCACGAATGCAGTCCTTCCACGAACAGGAGTGACTGGCTTCTTTCTATGACGAATGAATGGATGAGAACCAAGAAAATAAAAGAAGAACCAAACCAAGCGCAAATCAGCATTGGGAATGATACCACCAAAAGAAAAAAAGAAGAAAAAAAAGTATTAATGATGTACGACCTCTCACTTGCAACATACATAAAAGGGAACTGGAACAAAAAAGGAAAGACAAAAGCAATGGCCGAAGAAGAGACCACAGAACTTTGGCATATCAAAAAGAAGAGAGGTTCCCACAGGCTCGATGGGCGAACTCAACGACATAGGTTCCTCTTGGTGATGGGAACGCATCTTTAACCCTACGTGGAGGACGGACTGGGAGGAAAAAGGAACATACACGGACTTCGTAGACGGTTTTTTCTGTTTATAGATGGCTTGCAAACCCCCGTTCTCCAGGGAACCTACAGGAGGGTTTGCCCGTAGATACCCGCTTGCCGCAATTACCAACGCTTCTTACGATAGCTTGAGGAATTTCTTGAAGAGCCAGCCACCTTTGACTGGCTGTAGTATAATCAAATATTGCACAAGATTTGTGGGTTAAGCGACATAAATATTCATTTGCTCATCTCACGCCTCGTAGTAACATGATCCTCCACTTTCACCTTCATGTTCACGTCCACTTCTCAGCACCCGACAATCTAGTGGCCACGCGCCCCAGAAGATTCAGTAATATGCGGGCCTCCAGCTGCACTCTGGTGGTGGCTTCTAGCCTTTGGTGATACTAGCCGTTGAGTCACCTGTTCCCGTTCGCATGGGACCCATGCCAGGGCGCTTCGGCTTGCGGAAGCACGCAAACTCGTTCTTGCTCGCTTCGCGGAGGCGCTTCAGGACGCTCCGCATTTCTGGAAGCTCGCTCTGCAGCCGAGCGCGCGCGTCGTTATCGGTACGCCCGTCAAGTTCCGAGTAAATCTCACTTTGGAGCTGGGAAGCGCGATCTGTGGTGTATTGACTCAATGTCTGAGCGACAAACTCAACGTCGAGGGTGGCCTGCATAAGGGCCTCAAGCGTGTATCGCTGCCGAGTGCGGAATGCCTCTAGAAGTTCACGACTAGTTTGCTCAAGAAGGTAAGACAACACTTGAGAGGTGAGAGTAGGCGCAGTCGTTGAAACCTGCGTATGGACGAGAACAAGGCTGAGAAGAGCCTCGTACACGTAGGGTTTCGCTTCTCGCGGCTTCTGGCCAGTCTCGGGGACCCAGTCTTGAGACGCAACGCCAGCTCGGACAATGTTCCGGAGCGACTCTATTGAGGGTCTGGTATATGATTGGAACAATCTGGCGTCAATCTGGCCCAGGACGTCCTTGATAGTCTTGGATTCATCACTGAGTTTCACAGAGAAGGCATTCTCGAATTGCGAGTTCAGATTTGGAACAACCTTTGCCCGAAGTGCTTGTAGGTTGCTAAGTGTCAGAAGCATGCGGACATTCTATAGAGCATTAGCAAAGTCCAGCGGAGTGTTATCAGATACTTACCCTATCCCCTGCATCAAGCGTTGCTCTTCCGCCTGTTGGAGCAGGCGGGACGCTCGTGGCGATGGTTCCATCAATATCTGTCGTCCAATCGTCATCGGCCTTTTTGACAGATCGCTCTGCGTTTTCTACCATGCCGCTCAACGCCTTATAGAGCGTTGTGACGTACTGGCTTCTAACCATCTGCAAGAGCTTACTAGGTGGTGGGAGAACAATATCCCCCGCACCAGGCTTAGACATGGCCTCAGATATGTAGAGAATCTTCTGCATGCCAGCAAGCAGCGCGCCCTCAAAAGCAGCAAAACTGGAAGGCATGCGCGTGAGGTCACCCAGTTCCGGCGATCGGTACCAGTCCTCGACATACTTGATGTTTTCGGCGTCCTTGTTCCACGCAGCACACAAGGCAGTGACGCATCTCTCTCTGGAAATGTTCACCAGTGACTTAAGTCTGTCCAGAACGCTGGAATCCGGGCCGTTGACAATGGGTCCAATACTTGCAAGGTCAGAAGCCCCAGAGCCTACAAGCGCAAGCATCTTGGAGAGATAATGGACACCACTGACGGAATTAGACCAAGGGGGCCAGAATGCCAGTTTCTCCCATGTCTCGCCGCGCTTGGGGGAAGGGGGTGGGATATTGTTGGGGTCAAGGTTGAGCCGAAGATCTCTCATACCGGTAGGGGTTGATGCCGAAGAGGGACTTTTTGGTGACATTGGTAGAGGCGAGAACAGCAGCGATATATCTTCCGGTGGTGGCCCTACAAAAAAACCAAAGACAGTCTCGCGAATCATATCGACAAGTTCCAGGGTGCCTTTCTGAAGGTCTTCTGCACCTTGAGGCGTCAACTGGTGGTGGTTTTGGGATTCTCCATTGTAACCCAGCGGCAACGTCCGCTGAATGTTGCCATCCAAGAAGCCTTGCACAGTTTGCCAGAAATCCACTACCTCTCCTAGAATTCCTTGAGACGAGAGCAAACCGGACAGGAAGGCTAGCATTTTCTCCCATAGCTCAATAACATCCGCCGAGTCGGCTGATGCAATCTTGTTCTCCACCGCCACGCGGCCTAGTGACCGGAGGTGTGACGCGACTGCGTGCGAGCCGGGCTTTTCGCCATTTGCCAGTCTTCGGCGCAATACCTCGATTTCGACCTTGGAGCGATCCGACGTCGACTGGATCTTGCCCTTGAGGTAATCGTACCGACTGAGCAACCAAACCCAGATTGGATTGTCATCCACGCCTAACTCCAGGAGCAGGCTGATCAACTCCATATGCTGGTCCTGCTGGCCCAAGTTTTCGGTCTTCGACACGCCGTGAAGGGTAACGAGTTTTCGCCAAACATCCCGCTTGAAGGACTGGATCTGCTCGTCGACATCGTGCCACATTCGTGCTGCCAAAACAATTTGGTAGAGTTGTGTATCTGTCGAAGATCCAGGGGCCACGCTTGCTGCCAAGCTGCGCGCATCGTCTGAGAACTTGCGCGCCTTGTTGTACTCTTCAACAAGGCTTTCGTAGTCTCTGCGTTTAATGCTATCGGCAATAGCTGAGCTCAGCTCAACATATTCCCTGAACTGCTCAAGGTTGGCTGACACAACCTTGAGATTCTCCTCCTTGTCTCGACCTCCCAACGCTGGGCCCCACACGTCCTCCGCCTTGGCGGAAACGTCTAGTAGGGGTGCCTTGATGCCCGCGACACCGTATTCGCTCTCCTTAACCAGCGCATTCTTCTTGCGCGCGTCCGAGGTAGGGGATCCAAGAGAGTTGGCAAGAGCGATGCCGCCATTGCTGCTTCTGAAGCTGCTTCGGCTAGCATGTCGGGAGTGGCCTCGAGGGCGACCGGTCGCAGGCGGAGGAGGCGGCTCTGCGCCTCGATACTTCATCTCTCTGTATACATTATCTATAGTGGCCTTTGCCTTGACGAAACGCTCAAAGTTGGTTTCCACCAGAACCTTAAGTGATGCAGACTTCTGATCGATAGACTGGGAGAGAACATCCAGGCCAACCAGCAAGCTTTGAGTATCGGCGGTCGCGTGCATCTGCGACAGGAACAGGGCAGGGGAGAAGGTGGTTGAAGAGAGGAGAAATCGATTGCCTGGGGCAGAGAATCAATAATGAATCGTTGTATGCATCATGGAAGTACACTCACGCAAACGAGGATCGTCTTGAACAGGCACTCCCAGTTGGCGCAGGGTCCTAACAACACTGTCGGTAGTGCCCAAGGGATCTGGCTCGTCTCGCTGGACGATGTTTCCAATGCCACCCTTCTCTGACTGTGAACCGGGGATTGTGCTGCTTCGATTGCTAACAGCTCTCTCGAGTGCCTGATATCGTGACTTCCGGCGGTTCAGCTTCGCCTTCTTCTCGTCCTTACTCTCCTCATCGTCGGACGCATCGCTCTGGTTCTTCTCGTCGGGCCATTCGTTCGGGTATGGAGTAGGAAGCTGGTAGAATTCCAGGATTGTCCGCTCGTAGTCAGAAGACATGATGAATAATATTACGGTTGGTGCGTAAAAAAGAGAATGATCATCTCTGCCGATTAGAAACGGCTGGAGATTGGGAAGTAGCTCACTGCCAGCACCGATAGTGTATGAAGCAGTGGCTCGTTTCAAACACGATTGATGACCGATTCCATTGGCTGTAAGGCAGCGAGTGACAACGCTTTCTAAAGAACAATAAAAGCCCCTGAAGCCGTGGAAACCGTGTCAGCGAGCGCAAAGAAAAGAGCAAGTCGTAGCTGTCGAGAGCTTCAGTTGGTGATGTCTAGGTTGAGGCGGTGCAATAGCGGCGGGAGCAGCTAGCGACACTGATGCAGCCCACTTAGCGCTTTGTCTCACCGAGACCCTCATTTTACACACCTTGATCTCCAAGCAGGTGAGCTCGGTGAATCCAAAGAGTCCCCACATCATTCATACCGGCAAGGGAAAAACTGCTTCCCGTTCCTGACAGCCGAAGCAAGTGGATCATTGTGGGCCTCAACGCCACGTATGTGGCTGAACCTTCGGCATCGGTCGGTGCTAGAGGTCGGTCATCGATAATCCCGCGGAATGTTTTCTTCTTGAGTGAAGAATAGACCGCCGCTTTTACTGGGGGTGCTTGTCAAGATCCCACTTTTGAACGTCAACCTCGGATACAGCCATCCATGGATCAGCTTAAGAGGCAACGCCAGATGAGGAAAATTAAAGTCCAAACTGCGTTTTGAGGGAACAAACAGAACAGTGGACGGTTAATCTCTTGGTAGTAGACAAAGAACAGAAACCAGAATAGAAATTCCATCAAGGACAAAATTTTTTTTGAATTAACTAGAGGCATGGCCCAGCCAAGAAAGCAGTTTCCGGTAAAGCGGCGGTTTATTTTCTCACCCTTCCACCCTGGTTGGTGCCTCTGCGACGTATTTCCTTCCCGACCTTAAAATTCCCGTCCCCCGATAACGAAACCTTTCCCGGACCAGCCACTTCCTCCCATTTCCTATCCTTCGGTGTATTTCGTCTCCTTCTCCCCTCCAAAGGACCGTTACCCTTCATACTTCAGTCACAATGCTGGCCGCCCGTACCTTCGCTGCGCCCATTAGGCGGCAAGCCCTGCGCGCCGCTCCCCGCGCCGCCGCCGTCTCCCAGTTCCAGGTGCGCAACTGACATTCCCCGGCCACCGACATCATCCCCAGAAGATCCACGTGCCAGCGGTCTTGAGCCGCAAAACCGCAATTGAAGAGATAGAACAGGCAAGGCTAACAACTTTATTAGAACTCCAGATTCTACAGCGAGCGTGTCGCTAAGTTCAACGGTGTCAAGGACTCCAACGTACGTCCATCCCAAACTCGTTGCCGCCCCTACCCGTCCCATAAAATTTTGCGCGCAATTGTATCACCTCGGCCACCTTGTTGTCCGGGCTAAGGGCTCAATTGGCGACGCCCAGGTTGCTATATCGTTCGTTCGCAGATACTAACGTTTTGTTTTCACTTTACAGGGCAACTTCCCGGTCAGCTTGATTGAGGGTGACGGTATCGGTCCCGAGATCTCCCAGGCTGTCAAGGACATCTTTGCCGCGGCTAAGGTATGTGAAATCACATTGCGCCTCCCAGCATAGCAACGATTTGTTTTGTACTGACAACGGAGTGAAAGGCCCCCGTCACCTGGGAGCCCGTCGATGTTACCCCCATCCTCAAGGATGGCAAGACCGCCATCCCCGATGCTGCCATTGAGAGCATCAAGCGCAACAAGATTGCCCTCAAGGGCCCCCTCGCTGTAAGTCTACATCCCACCTTTTGATAACTTGGAAGGCCAATTACCCTGACAATGTAACTCTACAGACCCCCATTGGCAAGGGCCACGTCTCCCTCAACCTGACTCTCCGTCGTACCTTCAACCTCTTCGCCAACCTGCGTCCCTGCCGATCCGTCGCCGGCTACAAGACCCCCTACGACAACGTCGACACCGTCCTGATCCGCGAGAACACTGAGGGTGAATACTCCGGCATCGAGCACGTCGTCGTCGATGGCGTCGTCCAGTCCATCAAGCTCATCACCCGCGAGGCCTCTGAGCGCGTTCTCCGTTTCGCCTTCCAGCAAGCCCAGGAGATTGGCCGCAAGAAGGTCCGCGTCGTCCACAAGGCCACCATCATGAAGATGTCCGATGGTCTCTTCCTCAAGACCGGCCGCGAGGTCGCCAAGGACTTCCCCGACATCGAGTTCGACGCTGAGCTGCTCGACAACACCTGCCTGAAGATGGTCACCGACCCCCTCCCCTACAACGACAAGGTCCTTGTCATGCCCAACCTGTACGGTGACATTCTCTCCGACATGTGCGCCGGTCTCATCGGTGGCCTTGGTCTTACCCCCTCCGGCAACATCGGTGACGAGTGCTCCATCTTCGAGGCCGTCCACGGCTCCGCCCCCGACATTGCCGGCAAGGGTCTGGCCAACCCTACCGCTCTCCTGCTCTCCTCCATGATGATGCTGAGACACATGAGCCTCGGCGAGTACGCCGACAGAATCGAGAAGGCCGCTTTTGATACCCTTGCGGAAGGAAAGGCCCTGACTGGTGACTTGGGTGGTAACGCCAAGACCCACGAGTTCGCCAACGCCATCATTTCCAAGTTGTAAATACCTGCATTACCTGAAAGAGATACGGGATACCTGTAGTAGACTGTACACCAACGGATATTTTCTTGCGTTAGAGCCAGAGTCTTGAATGAGTTTATGAACTCCAGTTTGTCTTTCATTCCCGTGACCCGAGGATACATGTCTTGAGTACTTCATCTGTGTGCCGTCGTCTGCCTCTGTCTCTAGAGCCAGAGCCGACGGCCAAGTCGACGTCATTTGATGTCACATGTCCAAGGATACGCGGCTCTGCGTAAATGGATGTAGCCCTTTCATTGGTCGCATTAGTAGAATCTTTGACAGTACCAAAAAATAAAAAGTCATGAGAACAAATTTATAAAAAAAAAAAAATAATAATAATAATAATAAAAGGCTATTCATTGGTGAGAAACCTGATGGGTAAAAAAGTCAAGTGAACGACAACATTCCTAAAGATCAGCAGCCCGGGTAAAATTATGGCTAGCCTGTTGCTGCCCGCTCAAATAAGACATGGAACCCGGCATCTTGGCTGGACTGGCTCAGAACCTCTTTCAATACATCTCTTGACGAGACCTGTCTTGTTCAACTACCGGAGGCCGCAGATGAACAGGCCCGCCTCGGGCAGGCGGCAGACAGGCAGGCCGTCCGGACTGAACGAGCTACCCACAATCAGCAGTGGAAGTTTCACAGGGGCCAAGACATTTTGAACGACGATGTGAAAACCAGGCTGCGCCAGTTTTGAGAGACTTGGGCAAATGGTAGGTAGGGTCCTAGGGAGATACCGCAGGGCTTGGCGCCAAATGTACAGCGCATGTCCGTGAACCATCTGTCACTGTCAAGGCAGGCGGGCGCCCGTAGCAGGTCGTGGTTCCGCCAAGACGAGAGCACGCATACCTAGAACGGTTCTTGGCATCCGTTCAAGGGGAGGGGAGGGGGCGGATGAAGAGGAGGAGGGGGTGAAAAAGAAGGACGATGCTAGACAGGCCACGAAGTGACAATTGGCAGTTTGACACCATCCCCTTCGCGCGCTGACCGGTGACGCAGAGGAGCGAAACATAACTTGAGGCTCATTCAACGCCTCCGCGCCTCAATCTGCGTCGTCGAGGGAGCGGGCGGTCGGAAAAAGTGTAACCAACCGCATGTCGACACTCTAGCAACTAATACTAGCTGAAAGTAGACGGCACCGGGACCGTAACGTCGGCGAGAGATCTACGGTTCCTCCCAATCTACACTGAAAGCCAACCGGCGGTGTCACCTTTTAGGGGGTGCAGGACCATCAGACAATAACAGTGAAGCACTTAAATTATCACAACCGCATGCCGCTAACGCAAAAAGGTTGATAGCTCCTGGAAGCAATCCAAGGCTTCTAGAGGAGGCCCTTTGGTGGTAGCGACTTTGGGTACTCTGCCGAAACGGACCCCTCCAAGCCAACCCCCGACAATATCTTCTCGTCTGCTTCTAGGAGAAATGGTGGGTGGCTGAGGAAGATGAGCGATAAAACAGCGCACAACAAATATTAGCCAAGACTGCCAAGAATCGCAGGCATATCTCATTGCTATTGCTCTATTTCTGTCGGTGACGGATTCCCGACCAAGGAAGTAGATGTGTCCTCTCTACAATTGGCCAATCCTGGCTGCGAACGCTCCCACAACTGTTGTCGGTGGATACGCGGGACGGATAACGCGCCAGAGGTTGTCGTTTGTCACTTTTACTCGGATCATCGTACCCAGCACTTCACAGACAATGGGGCAGTTGATCGCGTGGAAACACTTGATTTCGCATGTAGATGCGAGCCATTGAAAGGCCAATGCAAAAGCCACTCTGCGCGGTGCTGCGTCCCTCGTGTCACTTCATGTTCCCCCACAACGTCCAAGGTCGAAAACACACATGCTGTGTTAAAAGTTTCCGTGGGCCAGCAAGGTAAGCTTTAGGGTACTTGCCTGCATCCAGTTCAACAATGCTTGTCTTGTCGGGGCGAAAGTAGGGCGGTCGGGCGGTCCTGGCGTCTCACTCATGCTCTTTTTTGGCCGTGTCCAGTGTCCATCATTCGTGACCTAATTGTCTTGGCCTCACTTGGACTCCAACCAGCAATCAACAGGGTTTTGCGGGACCCTCCGGTTTCCATCGAGTTGAAAGGGCGCAGCTGTGAACACCGGCCCCACGTCCTCCGAGTCGTGATATGCGGCCAAGCCTTGGTGATGTCCAGTCTCGCGGGGACATGGCTCATTTCGAGATTCGGGCCTTTGTGCGGATCCCCTTCTCTGTCGATGGAGGAGCCTTTACAGAGGTGTTGTTGGGTTTGAGTTGGTGTGAGTATCTGCTTGCAAAGCTCGTTGCAAGAACATGGGCACGTTCCACGAAGCTCACGTCAGTGTTTCACGGAACGGAACGGAATGCGCCATTTGGTTCCAGGCTCTTTCCTCCGAAATAGAGCGGCTTTGAGGTAGGTGATGGCTGCTGCACATCATGGTTTCGAGCAGAGTTTCTCGGCTTGTCTGAGCACGGATTCCTGCGTTAAAATCATAGCTAGGATGAGATCTCCCAGACCGACAGGAAATGCCTTTTACTAAATGCACAGACAGAAGGTCGGCGATGGGGGTTTACTTCAATAATGCGAAGCTAATCCTTAGGTAAGGGCGGATCATCCTTTGAGAGGGGCTCAGATTGGCAACAGCCATCAAGTAATGCGAGGGCAGACAAGGTATGATGCTACTGCTGAGTGGGCGATGGCGGAAAGCTGTTTCTGCGGATGAGCGGCAATCCGTCGTCCCTTTCGAGACCAGCCAGTCTCACCAGCCCAGCATCACAACTCGATCGGGTGTTCCATGGGGTTCTTGGAAACAGGCCAGTGCAAGTGTCGAGCAAAATACGATTGCCTGCTGCCCGCCCGAATTCCCGGCAATGGTGCCTCATGAATGAAGATAACGATCAACAGTGCCTTTTGGAGTGTTGGGGGTACATTCTCGGGAGGCGACCGATGTGAAAGCACAACTGTCAAGCGCCGGGCGGCTGGTCGCGAATGCGAGTCATTTAGCCAGAATATGCTTAGCTTCCCTCCAACCAGCGCCTGTCTAGAGAGTCAACAGGACTGCTTGCCTTGGAATTCAATTCGCCAAACACCATTCCGTATTGTGGGAGAGCAGCCCCCATGCTTGTTGGACATGGACATGGACATGGGAAACACGTTCCCTTTTCCCCTTGGCCGACGGTGGTCGTCCACTGGCCCCCCATGGGGATTGTTGTGAAGGATGGAGGGGATATTGCGGTGCGGTGGTGCATAGGAGCGCCCAAGGCGTGGCTTTCGCATTGCTTCCCGGCCTCCGGGATTCAAACAACCAACCGTTACTCAAATTAAGGTGGTTTTTTTTGTTTCTTCTCTGCAGCCGGAACAGTCGGGCTTGGGATGCTGTTCCAATCGGTCTCAGTTAGCACAGTCAACTCAGCTGCCTAATGCTTTCCTTGCTGCCACTGGAGGCGTTGTGGTGCTACTTCGCTTTTGTCTGCCCTAAAAGTTAGTCTGCGATCGCAAGGGTCTGAGCCGATGATGGGAGAGGCGAGCAGCTGAGGGGAGGCCGGACAGAACAGGCCAGTCAGAGCAAGGCGTGGCTCGTTATATGTTGGGAATGGTGCATTGGAGCGCATGAAATGAGCGATGAGATGGCACTTGGGTCGATTCGGGCAGGACCAAGCTTTGGCAAAGGCTTGGCAAGCAGTGGAATGCTTCTAGAAGCATTTGCTTCAACGTGCTATTCGTTTGGCCTCTTGGCATTGGGTGTTTCTTGCCCTATACTGCTGCCGCCGGCCAACCACCCCTCCTTCTTAGCCCTTTGGCGGGAGGGATCGAACGGTCGTCCAGGCGAGCCCGGCCAGAAGGGGAAAATGAGAAAGGCCGTTACCATTTACGTTCATGACCTGTCACCATGTACAGCCATGTGTAGCGTTCTGCAGGCAGCTGTAATGTAACCTGGGCCTTGCATGGGACATTGCTCTCCGGTCTTGTGGCTGCATTGCAATGGAAATGTTGTGAGTGGAGGCAGACGAAGATTGACGGTAGTAGCAGGGTGAAATGAAAGCATGTCTCTGGGCCATGACGTTGGGAGTTGAGGTTGGCCAATTCGCAGGAAACTCGGCGGGACTCGCTCGCCTCACGGCTTTTGGGTGCTCATGAGCGATGTTATAAGGCACAACCGGGATGAAGCCTCCTCTTGTGGGAGTGGAGGATTGCGAGGAGCCACTTGGTTCGCAGTTCGTGTCTCACCGCACTTGCGGAACCCCACGCTAAGGGCTCCTCATCTCCTCTGGTGCCGGCGACTGGTCAGTGGCGGGAACGGGAATGCGAACTGGGAACGAATGGGATCAGATGGGAAAAGGAATGGCCACGGAAATGGAGCAAAGGAGCAGAACGGACGTGAAGGGGGTCGAGGGAGGAGAGGAGAGGGAGGAGCTAGTGCCAAGAGGAACGTTCCGACGGGTGGTCTCAGTGTTTTTTCCTCCCCCTCAGAACTGGAAGACAGGTACTTGCCTTTTTTGCAGTACGTACAAGGTACGTTGCTCAAAACTAGCGCCAGGTACCGCTGAGGACTTGAAGGTCAAGGTAACTGCTCCGAGCATTGCATCTGCAGCTCTTACTTGACAGATACTGCATCCCGCGTACCCAAGTACTTTGTTTGTTCAAGCTGCCCACAACAAGAAGCCCGCGCCGTGGGGCCCAGCAACTTTTGGATCACAGCTAAACTAAACTATTTGCCGGTTTACTCTACAAATTGTTTTTACTAGGTAATTAGTGCAAAGGTGCGCTAGAAGAACCAGAAGACCCTCCAAGTGACTGGGTACATGTCACTCGCCTCGGCACAAAGCTAAATACAAGCATGGAACGATGCTGTACCCAAGTGGCCCGCAAACCGTGAAGTATGGGGTAAGATGTAGGTAAGATGTAGGTAAGATGTACGGATGGATACTTCGCGCCTTCCTCGGTTTGGGGTTCAGGTCCCTGTTTCCATCTCCAGTCCAGAATAATCGCTCATGTTGGCTTCCCTTGCCTTGCCCGCCCCGGCGTCCACTTGAACCTTTCTGCAGGGGTATCCGTACCCGTACCCGAAGCCCCCGTCTCCGAATCCAAGGTTCGAGGGTTGGTTCGGTGTTGGGACCCTTTCGTTGCGCTCGTTCATCTCGCGACGAGTGGCCAATAGCCCTGGATAAGTCGGCAGCCCTTTTCACTCTGCATACACAGTACCTTTACTCTATATATTGATGCTATTCCTCCCTCCCTCGTCCACAGTCTTTTCTACCCAACTCATCTATCTTATCGTCGTCTACTCTTATATCCTGCTGCTCACTGCTCTCGTCAAGCACCTTTACTACAGCCTATTTCTCTCCCCAAACCAACCAAACCACATACCACAACTCAAAATGCCTTCCTCCGACATCCAAAAGGACCAGCTCCAGAACGTCCTTGAGTCCAAGGGCATCAAGTTCCAAATCAAGTCTGGCAATGCCAAGTACGAGTGCCACCTTCTGGACCGCGCTACTCAGTAAGCCCTCCCTCTCTTTTCTCTCTGATCATCCCCATACACAGCCGGGCTAACATGAACACTCAGCGAGCGCATCAAGGCCACCAGGACCAACTCCACCGACAGCCAGAGCAGCACCTCTTCCTCTTCCACCATCAGCAGCTCCCACTAAACCAGCTTGCTTGGTTGGGAAGCTGGGAAGTAGTAAAGGAGTTTTTTGATTGGTGGGTGGCCGATCCAGTCATGGGGGAATCAAAGCCGCCACAAAGCACGGCGCAATCACGGCGTTAAAAGGCGCGGAACGGAATGAGGCAACGACAGAAAGGGACGTGTGGTCTGTGTCTGGCAGCAGCATGCACCCATCCAATCCTCGAAAGCCGCCTGGTCGGAGTTGACGGTCTCTCCACACTACACAATATCGGGAACTAGGCGCCCATGTTCCGATGGTGTGCTATGTTAGTCTCCTCTTGCTTGGGCAAGACCTCCTCGGCTGCAGCCATATGTGAGGCGCAAGAGGGCGACAGCGACATGAAAAGACTGGAGAATGCGTGACTTTGACTGGGATCAGGGCAGGGACGGTTATCCGTCTGGTATCGCGAGTCTGCATTAGGGCAAGTCAGGGTCTCCACGGAGTTTTTAGAATCATGGCGTTGGTAGAGCAGCGTGCAGCTGATACCTATTTTGTTATTTCGTGTTTATCGGCAATTGAATCAAAATGTATTATCCAAAGCTACATCGGACCCTTTTTTTTTTTTTTTTTTCCCACACCAACGGCTGAATCCAACTTCCGGCACATCCGTGTGTGTGTATCTTTGAGAACCAATCGCTATTCCCTCGATTGGATTGCATCGCATTTGAGATGCCTCAGCAGCCTTTCCTAGGTGACCTTCCCACACGGACAAGCAGCTCGTACCATTCGACCTGATTCGTAGACAGTAGCATTGTGGGTTCGTCATTCATATCCTTACCAGTAAAGATTTGGATGAACGGGACAGTCGCTCCTCATAGCCGAAAGGCGTCCAAAATCGGAGCCGCCCAAGCAGCTGCAATGCCTGCTGACTTAGTTGAACGGATTCGTTTGTATCTCTGACTCTCTATGCTTTGGTTGTCGGCTTTCGTCTACAGCCCTATGGTGCGGCAGCAGAGTGATCCAAGTATATGAATGTGACGCCGGATCATGCCACCAACCGCTCGGTCTGAGCCGCATATTCGGCACGACCCCACGAAGCCGCATAAACAACATCTGAGCGGCGAGCTCGTAATCAGCAGCATATCCGCGGACGCTTCTCGCTTCGCTTGCAGATTTTGCTAAACGTAGCGATTCGGCACCGAGAAGCGAAGGACTCCGTCACTGAAAGACAAAAGCTGAAGCCGGGTGGGCTGGTGTCGGTGCTGCTTTCGCTTGATCACCGACACATACCTAAGGACTAGTTTGAATCGGTTGGAGATCACAGGTCTGCTCAATACCAGGCTTCCTGTCCTGATCTGTTCATTTCCATAGTCATCACTCGATGACACGCCCAGGACCGCCGCGGCGAAAGGACGAACGTGTCTGTGTCTTTTGTATTTTTGCAGGATGCTCTGACATTCATAGTATTTTCTTCTTCACAATTACTGACAACCTGACAAAGTCGGATGCCAAGAGGAGATGTCGGGCACGGGATGCCAAGAGCGCAAACGACAAGACTAATAGGCCACTTGTGCCTCCATCTGTACCCAGAGAAAGAAGCACGGCTGATCCCTTGCGCATCCTTGCAGACCACGCGGGACGAGATTTCCCACCATCGCACGGATGAAAGTGACGTACAATCGGCTTCCCTGATGAGGTCAGCAGTCCGAGACCCTTGGAGCTCATTCGCAAAGGAAGTCACAGACGTGGAGGGACGTGCAATACCTGCAGCAGATTGAGTTTTGGTGTTCTTTGTTCCTCGCAAGCCATCTCGTCATTGTGTAGACTATGCAGCCCAGCGAGGTTGCGTTTCGGCCTGTCAGAGAAACAGGCTTGTGCTCTTATCGAAGGGGAGTTCCGATTACCTGACGGCCCTGGGGTTAGCAGCTGAAAGCTCGTTAATGGTGGCCCAAATCCTGAGCGTTTGAGGCATGTGCGTTTTACAGGGCCTTGAGCCGAAACAAAGCAGGCATATTGTGTATTTGTGTATTGATAGCCCAGTATTTGAGCACATGAAGGTAATGACCTGAAGTTTCCCTCTCAGGCCCAAGTCATTCCCATATACTTCGTGCATCCCTCCTGCTGCACTCCAGACAAGTATCAGCCTACATCGAACCATTGGTAAACTCATGGAATGCTGCCCATACTTAGTGTCATCTCTTCTGATTTGAGCAAGCGATTGGGTTGTATATTCATCCCCAGAAATGGTATCTGCTTTATATTGTTTGTGCCCGAATGTGTCCGGATTGTAATCCCAAGCCAATTTATCATATCAATTTTCACTCGATAGTCGAGCGATCTTTAAATTGCCACTTACTTGCCTGGTGCAGTGACAAGACACTGGTTGCCTCTAACGGATGATGGCCTTGCTAGAGCTGCGTTCCAAGGACATCGAGCCCATGTAAAGGGCACTTCGCAGTTGAGTTCATTCTTACCGGTAATGTTGTGATACGGAAACCTCTCCCACATCCTGCCCAGCAACGAAAGAGAAAGCCACAGTTGTTGACGGTAGGTTTTTAAGCCCTGCATCATATTACAGACACCACATATATTCTTTTGACTGATGTTTCCATTGACGAGCGCAGTTCTGTGCATGACTCCTTGACGGCGCAACCTACTTCACCCACTGCTTTTCATATTCTACAAAGACCGTTAATGCCAATAAAACAGCTTATGTAAAATTAAAAAAAAAAATCTGTTCATAACTACGTATGGTTCAGAAATCTCATCAGTGCCCTGATGCTTGATGTCATCAAACTGATCTCAACCGCTGCATCTGAGTTTGGGTTGTGCTGACAAGGGTGTGTGTTGACTGGATGGGTGATCAGAACGGGACTAACAAGCCCCTCTATCGTAGAAAGGAGTCAAGTAGAGCCATTCTGTCTGGGCGACTCAGCTCCAGACTCATTATTGCTTGGGAGACGTCCTTTGTCTTTGAAGGCATGGTCTCCAAATATAGCATGTATCAAAGTTGTGTCTTGATGTTTCTCCGCTTCTTGAAATCGACTGGAAGAAGGTGCCTGCTTCAATTAGCTACGAAACTAAAAAAGCGCTCAGAAGCCTCTGACAAAAATGTATGTAATTGAGCTTAGAACCGTGTAGAAGCTTTCGAAAAGCAGGATTGTAGTGATGGCACATCCTCCCGATAGAGTTGGCTCCGCATTCGCCGTAGAGCAGAGCTGCATCACCAGGTCACCAAGGATTAGACCTCATATAACAAGATATATCCACAATGGTGCAAACTGTTTGTCAATCTATCGACGCAAACCTATGGCACGGTCCTGAATGCCTATAACTAATGACACGGAAGATGGAATTATTCACGGCTTATAACAGGATACAAGTTAGCGAGGAGTTTTAATATACTTGGTGCGTTTGATGCTATTGCAGATGTTGAGGTGATATGCCGATGCGCACTTTGACTAGGTGCACTGTCGTATGAACTAACGGAGCCGTGGTTCGGAAGATATGGGGTTGCTCCGAGTCCGAGCCGGACTCGGTCTAATGATTCGGTCCCGTCTACCAAATAAAGTGGACCAGCGTATCCGGCACCTGAACAAGGAAGGAGCTTCTACTATCATGCGCACTGTGTCTTCTATGAGACAACACGGTCAATGCCAAGCGTCATGTCTCGAAACCCAGGATCGAGGGAGAGTCACAGGAGTCCCGTTGGGTTTTTGCCTATTCATAAAAGGTAGGTTTGGTCAACTCAAACCACGAGGCTGTGAATTTTAGGAGGACTCGACTGACACAGATACTAAACGTGAAAAGAGAAAAAGACTTGCATGCCTGACAGATCAGAAAAGGAATTTTTGAGCCAGCACGATTTCGAGATGTCTCCCGGTTGGTCTTCGGCTCAAGTAGCGCGACTCGGAATCAGAGAAACTTCCTAGTCAATAAGAGGGGTTCACTCAACCAAACAGCTTTACCATTTCAAGGCCAGCCAGGGCGGTGAGGCACTGCCTGTTGGGAGACGTAATCAGGGCGCGCTTCTTTCAGCTTCTGCCCAGCTATTCACGGCTGGAATCCAATAGATTCTGTGGCAATTCTTTCTTCAGGTGCCTTTTCAGATAAATTAGTACGATTGGGTGTTTGGTTTGCCATACGCCCCTAACCCACAAGCCCCGAGGCACGTAAGCTTTCTCCCTCCCCTTACAAACAGTAGAACCGCAGGCGTGTGATTCCTTGTGCGTTTGACCGCGCCACGGACTCGGACCAAATTGTCCAAGCCTACCATAAGGCGTACTGGATAACGTCACGGGGGGTCCGGCGGATTATCTTATCAGGCACCATGTCCCTCTAACGTAGGGGGCGCCCTGTCCAATAACCACTCCTGATTGGTCGTGTGACACCTGCCTGGCTCTTCCTCCGTCGTGGCATTCGCGTCCAGTGAGTGACCCCCCTGGGCCTGATGCCGCGAAGGTAGGTATTCGTCCCCTCTCAAATAGTGGTACAGTTGCCCTGGAGGGGTGCTTAAGGTACTTGCTTGGGCCGCATTTGACCCCGAGGGGTGACGAGTTCATGTCATTTACTGCTCATCCTTGCCAGCCCTCTCTCTCTCCAAGGCTGGCTGGCTACTACCTTTAAGTAAGTCATGGGAAGGAAGGTACCTTGAGTCGTCACTATCTAAAAGTACTGCCTGCCGCACACCATCTTTGCTGCATCGTCCTCTTTCCTCATCTTAAGCCTCTGGTCGTTTACTCTATTTTCTGTATTCGGCTGAAGATCAGAGGTTGTCCGAAATGCCTGTACCAATCGCTGCGAAAGGTAAGTGATACTTCCCCCAAAAGAAACCCTCCCCCCAAATCCCCCTTGTCGCCGCCTATCGCTTGTACTGCCTACCCATGCACTCGTCCCGTCCGCTATTTCCCCATCCCCAATACCGCCCGACGATCTGCTGTTCTGGTCTTGCTACACTACCCCGCGCCAGTACTGTTGCGAATCACATTGCCTGCCTGAGGTGGTCAGGCCTGTGGCGAATGCCTTCAGGACCACGCAATCATAGCTTATTCCGTCGCGTGGCCATTTTATCCTGGAGCTTGAAACTTATTGTCGCCTTCTGGCTTCGAGTCGCTGATTTCTCAACTTTGTTTTCTAATCAAAACCATATTCCATTCTTCCTGCTCTACCACACTCCCTCTTATCATTCGTAACACTTGCACTCTTTCTACCGCCTCATCAACTTGCGATGCCTGGAGTTAACAATGGTGCCTTGGCTTCAGCCGGCGTTATCGCTGTCACTGTCGCTGTAGCAGCCGCTATTGCCATTTATGAGTCGCCTGAGCTTCGACGCTATGCCGACGACATTCGGAGACGCATCGCAGTCGCCTTACACTCGTTAGGGGAGAACATCGATCCACAGGAACGTCCGCCCATGTTCAACCGACCCGAGGATGCCCAAGGCTTCTTGGAATCCCGTGGACGAGCCGAAGCTGGTGTCGAGGCCGATGATGAGACACGCCGCCGTCAGCGAGAGGAACTGTTGTACTGGAACGCGTTGCATATCGCCAAAAAGGAGAAGGAAAAGATCGAGGCCGAGATTGCCGAATCAAAAGAGCTGCCGCCTGCTCCTTCCCGTGGAAAGTCATTTGACGACTTCTTGCAACAGGATATCAATAGTGAGAAAGGAACTTTCGTCTTCAACACCGGTGCACACGTCCGCGGCGATGATGAAGGTCTTGTTCGCCGCCGTCCCGAGGGTGTCCGTGGTCTCAACTCTTCTCTCTACGCCAATCCTTTCGCCGACGAGCACCAGATCGACCAGGACGAACTGACGACGGCCGAGGAGTCGAGCCACATTTCTCCGGGCCGCGACGAGGCCCTCTCAGACATTTACAGTGCCACTACCCGCGACGCGGACGAGCGTCCCCGAGACATTGCCGCCGTAATTCCCCCCATGCCCGCCCTCGTCGATGTCACCGAGGGCACATCCCAGTCCAGCAAGTCCGCCACCCTGGAGCGTGAGCTCGAGGCCGACGAGTACATGACAGCCGGCCAAGAGAGCCGCGAAGAGGCCTATGCTTCAATCCAGGCTTGGGCGCAAGGGTCCAGCCCCTCCAACTTTTACTCGCCGTTGCCTCTGTCGCCACCTGTGCCCATGTCCGAGGCGGAGCTTGTCAGCGACGGCGAGCTGACGCCCACTGACTCTGCATCTCTTGCTGGCTCTGGCGAGGACGTTGCCAACGATGCGGCTTCTTCGAAGGCCGGAGAAACCGGTCGCTACTACGACGTCCTCAGCGAGAGCGAGGGCATGATGACCCCCGCAAGCTGGTCAGAGGTTGGCAGTGTCGTTAGTGAGAATGACGCCCAGGCCCCTGTTCGGGCATAGGTGTTTTGGCAAATCCGATGGCATCAGTTTTCTTTTCTAGTATATCGAGGTCTGTTAGGCCGACTCATTCGATCACCGCGACGAGCAAGGGCAGGAAAACGGCGCAAAAGGTTCCACAGGACTTGGGAAGAGTGTTTTCATAGATATTTGGCGGCACGGGCGCATTGAATTGAAACAGAATACGGTCCCTATGACATTGTCTTCCACATTCCAACCCATTGTCCCCACCGGCGCTGTCGGCATGAGCCGCATTTAAAACCGCTCGCGTCAAGCAACACATGCATACGAGCAGCAAAAAGTCAGTCTAGATGCCTCAAGAGATCCCATCAAAACATGAGCATTCTGTAGCCCTCTTCAGTGAGAAACGAGCGCGAGGCTACTCAGCAGTCTCGTCAGCAGCCCTCATAAGACCAAGCCTGACATCATCATCAGAGATGTCGTCCTTGTTGACAATCACGGCTTCGTCATCCTTGAGCTTCTCCCGGTAATCCTTCCACAGCTGCTCAACCGGCCTGCCGAGAGACTCGGTCCAGAACTCCTTTTCCTGGTAGCGGTGGTTGCGGAGCTTTTCATTCAGTTTCCTTACGGTACCCTCGCCGAAGCGACCCTCGAGGTAGTCGAGGAAGTAGGCCGTGTGCTGGTAGCCTCCATCCCACTTGCCACTAGCCTCCCGCTTCCAATGAGGTGGGCTCAGATGGCTGTTGAGGCGGACCCAGTCAGCGATACCCTCGATCAAGCCTCCAGGACAGGTACCACGGGCATTCCACTGGAAACAGTGCACCATCTCATGGGTGAGGACACCCATGATCTCGTGAGTGCGGCGCTCCGCAGAAATGCCGGCGATGTACGACATGGAGAAATGAATCTCTTTGTGGTCATCATCAAGGTCGGAGCCCGTGGTATAAGCGACACCAGGCATGTCACGGAGGATCAGGGTGACGGAGCGGGTGGGCGGGACGTGAGTGGTGGGGCATGAGGGGGATTCATAGAGGAGATTGAGAACGGAATGGACGGCCGTAGCCTGGGCAGTGCTGGCGTTTACAGCAGAGAGGAAATGGGCTGCTGCCGGGTGGTTGAGGTCCCGGATTTCCAGGCGGAGCTTGGGAAGATCAAACTTCGGGTCGGCTGGTGGGCGGTGATCGACGGCAGCAGCGGCGGCGGGGACGCCGGGGTCTGTCGCTTTTTGTTCCGAAGCTTTGGGGCGGGGAAGGGGTGTTGCGGCGGGCGGGCCTGGGGGTGGTGCTTGAGTTGAGGAAGGCTCCGTGGAAGACATGGCTGGGAGGAAGAGTGAACCGGGTTTCGGAGCTGGTGTTGTATGAGGCGGGAGGACCATCTGCTGAAGACGTGTAACAGGTCAAACTGAGAGTTGCCCACCTAAAGTGAATCTTGGAATGTAACGTTGGTTTCGAAGAGGAGCTGTTTTGCAGACTAGGATCAAAGGCTTAGGCACGCGGGTAAGCGGTTGTCGGTCAAGATGAAATGTGTCTCTTGGGTGGTGTTCAGAACTTGTTATAGCTCGTAGTCCAAGCTTAAAGACAAAGAAGTTTAAAGATTCCCGTCTCGACTCAAGCTTAGCGAGTTGGAGGTTGTCGAAATGGAGAAGAAGCTTGCTACTGTGAAGACCCCGGCTTACCTAGGTGCTCGTAGAGCCAGGTGCGCTGACCTCCCCTTGAGCCTGCCATCCCGTCACTGGCCGAGGAGGACCTGACGTATTCGTGGTACTTGCTTGGGGGCCGAGTGGGGTGCAAGGCCAATGCAGGGGTTTCAATTCCCCTATCGCGGTAGCGCAAGAGACACATCCCAGACCGTTTCGCGCTTAGCGGCCTGTCTAGCGTCCCGCCGCAGCTCACAGGCGACACCGTGGGGAAGGTCCACTTGCTGGCCAGTAATAACCTTGAGTCGAGCACAACAAGTTCCCGTGGCACGGGGCAACTGCGGCTTGGGATCCCCCCCTTTGTTTGCTCAAGACATCCGCAAACAATCACAACATCTGCGCGCAAAAAGTGCAAACGTCGATTACAACCCGGCCCAATTTGCCGCACATTCGCACTGGGATTTTCCTCCGTGCCTCTCGCACTCGAAGCTACTTTCAGCAGCGTAAGCTACCCCTCCTTTCTCTTGCCTGTCGGCTTGTTTCAAACCGCCACCCCTCCCCCCGTTGCGCTAAACGACTCGTGCTCTCGCCTTCACCTTTTGGAACAGCTGTCGCTCACCTGTCCTGACTGGCTACGCATCCGCGCGTGTGTTCTACTTGGCCGAGCTACCTACGTGCCGACGACGTCGAAAAAAAAGAGAAGCAATAGCTGACCGTTATCCCTCACATCAGGCACTCAAAAACAGCACCCAACCGAAGCCCAACCCTCGGTTTGCGGGGAATGGCTGAAAAAATCACCGAGGATCAGGTCAATGACCTGCTCAAGATCCTCCGCTCTGAGGCCAGCATCGATGCTAAGGTCCAGCATGTTACTGGCATCAAGTCCGGCATCAAGCAGCACAATGTCCCCGACGTCCTCATCCCACAAATCTTTGATGGCCTCCGTACCGCATCCGTCTCGCAGCATGCCGTCCTCGTCAACGCCGGCTTCACAGCCCTGAACCACCTACTTACTAGGTTGTCGAGACAGGAGCCCAAGTACATTTCCAAGGAGGCAAAGCATACCCTACCCTTAGTTATCGACAAGCTAGGCGACCAGAAGGAAAAGTTTAGAGGTCTCGCGTCGCAGGCGCTGACCACGATGTACGCCGCAGCTCCCATGGATGTCGAACGCTCTGTAAGAAATGTTGCTATGGTGGGCAAGAATCCGCGGGCCAAGGAGGCCGGTATGCACTGGCTTCTGCACATGCACCAGGAACATGGTATGCAATTCCGTGCCTACGTCCCCACGCTTATGGAGCTGCTCGAGGACGCCGATGGCATGGTGCGCGACGTTGCTAAGAGCACTGTCATTGAGCTGTTCAGGTATGTCAGAAAGGTCGTCCGTCTCTCGTGACGCGCGCTAATTATCAACGTGCAGAACCGCACCGAATACCGCCAAATCCGACCTTAAAAGACAGCTAAAGAACTTCAAAGTTCGTCCTGCCATCGAACAAGCCATTGTTAAGGAGCTTGCACCGAGTGCCTCTTCCGAGCGACCTGAGACTCCTCATGAGGCCCCCCCACCACCAGTCTCGAAACCGAAGCTCGCTGCCAGCGTATCCTCCCTTGCGAGCGAACGTCCTGTGACACCCGGCGTTGAACCACGAAGCGATGTTGAGCCGGCATATGTCAACACCCAACGCGAACTAGACGAAATATTTAGGGAAATGATGTTGTACTTTGAAGGAAAGGAGACTGAACAAAATTGGTTGAAGCGGGAGGAGAGCGTGACGAAGCTGCGGAAGCTAATTGCTGGAAACGTCCCGCAAGATTTCCCTGACGCCTTCATGCTGGGTCTCAAAGGGCTGCTTGATGGAATCATCAAGGCCGTTAACTCCTTGCGCACCAGTCTTTCCAAGGAGGGGTGCAGCTTGGTACAAGATATTGCTGTCACTTTTGGCCCCGGTATGGACCCGCTGGTAGAGCTCTTGATGCAGACCTTCATCAAGCTCTCAGCCGCGACGAAAAAGATCAGTTCTCAGCTTGCAAACACTACAGTTGACACTATCATTGGAAGGGTGACGTACAACTCGCGAATTATGCAGCATATTTGGCTTGCTTGTCAGGACAAGAACGTCCAGCCCCGAACGTATGCGACGGGCTGGCTGAAGACCGTCCTGAACAAGGAGGCCCACCATAAGAGCCATATCGAGCACGGTGGTGGGCTGGAAATGGTAGAAAAGTCCATCAAGAGGGGCCTAAACGATGCAAACCCTGGGGTCAGAGAAAGGATGCGTGCTACCTATTGGTTGTTTGCCAAGATCTGGCCTGCCAGAGCTGAGCTGTAAGTTGATAGGTTTCTGTTTGTGCTCGCATCTCCGGTTAACGCTATTGCAGGCTTAAAGATACACTGGACCCAACTGCTCAGAAACTTCTCGACAAGGATCCCAACAACCCGAATGCTCCTAAGAGGACGGAGACAGAACGCGCTCGTCCAGGTCTTGGCTTGTCAAAGAGCACCATGAGCAGCAGCAGGCCAACTCTGCGAGAGACGATGATGGCCCAGAAGAAAGCAACAATGGCGGCTCGAAACCTGCCGCCTCGCCCCGGATCTGCCATGGCCAACCTCTCTCCTGTCCGTCCCCAACCGCCAGCAGCTAGCGCATCAACAGGTTCGGCCGCTCCAGCAAAGACAACAGTGTCCGGTGGCATGTCTGTCCGGCCTATGAGACCCACAAAGAAACGGCCAGAAATGGCTGCCAGACCAGCAACCGCAGGACCGTACTCTGTGAGGACTCACGATGGGCCCTCTGCCGAGGCACCGAGCCCGGAGAGTCTAAAATCCAAGGCCACACCCAAGTCAAAGACAGAGGCCTCGCCTCGAAGGGTCGCTCCTCGAACACGACCTGGCCATGCATCCCATGCTAGTGAATCAAGCGTTGCATCACCGAGTGCCAAATCAGTGCTGTCGAAATCCGTCTCTTCTCCTCGTGCCTCGCCTCGAAATAGCCCTGCAAAACCCTTGAGATCTCATACTTCGATACCAGCCAGCAGTCCATCCAAAGACAATGAAGATCTCACTCTCGTGGTACCGAACATTGCAAGTCTGGTATCGTCGTCGCCCAAGCCTGTTACCGATGGCATTCCATCCTCTGCTGCTCCTGAAGAGCAAGGCGCTCCAGCAGCAGATGTACAAGCTGCTATTTCGGTAGAGATTCCCCTGCCAGCCGAACGTATGCCAGAACCTACGCCAGAGCCTGAGGTACTGGCTTCGCCAGCGCCCTCGCTCCAACCCCCAGCGGAGATCATCCCTGAGACGGCTATAGAAGCCCCCACGGAAGTCCCCACAGTTATCCCGGTCGAGCCTCTGGAAGACGACCCTGTCAAAGTCTTACCAGAGGCTCCCGCGGCTGACGCTGTGGAGGCAACGCCATCTCTATCTACACCCACTAAGGGGGATGAGCTGCAGTCCGATTCAACACCTGTCAACGGACTCAAGGTGTTTGAGGACCCGTTTGTCGAGGATCAGCATTCCGAGAAGCCCAGCTTCACCGGCCCGGTGCTTGAGGACAAACCTGTTAACGAAATTGCCGTACCTGTACCCACCAATGGGGATACTAACGGCCCCCCGGAAACGCCTGACAAGGCGCGCCAGACCTCCAGATTGCTCGATAGTGGAGTTACCAGAGTCAAAGCCAAGTCTCTGGACGTCCACGGTTTCAGAAAACTCCAGTCCATTCTGAGGGACAATAAGGTCTTGTTCACAGACGATAAGTTCGAGGCGCTTCTACGCGGGCTCTTTGAGTACCTCGAGGCGCCGCTTGCCAACCTTGCGCCAGAGAAGGTTCAGGATGTGAAGGCCCAGATCCTCGCGACGATCAAGCTTCTACTCAAGAAGGAGCGGGACAACTTCCAGCCCCACGTGTCACGCGGCCTGGAGTCCCTTGTAGAGACGCGCAGTGCTTATGACTCTCGGACACGTATCGTTAGCGGCCTTGAGCTGCTCGCTGAAGAGCTCGTCGGCCTGGGTGACCCCCCTGAGATCGTTGTCGTCATGACAAAGCTTCTGCAGGGCAAGCAGGACAACACGGTCGAGGGCAGCCGCTGCCTCGCTTCAGGTCTACACGTCCTCAAGGAGCTGCTCGATAAGCGCACGGGCTTTTTGCCCTCGGAGAGTGAACTTGCACAGCTAGCTGGCCTTGCTGGGCGATGCCTCGAGTCCACGGACTCGGGCGTACGCATGGGCGCCGTCCAGCTGTGCGTGGCGCTTCATACACGGATCGGCGACGGACCGTTCTGGGAGCTCATCAAAGGCGCCAAGGACGATCCCAAGAATCTCATCACGTACTACATCGCCAAGAAGCAGCGGGAGAGCAGCGTCGCGGCTTAGATCGGATTCAAACATACATCGCGGTATTTTGTCACAGAACAGGTGGCACCCGGCGTCCGGGGAGACGGAGTGTGGGGACTGGAGCACAAAAGGGAAAACGGAGTTATTGCGCGGTCGTTGGTACGGAGTGGGAGCTAGCTACATGGGAGCGGAGGCAGGTTTGGGTGGATCACATCTTGAAAGCCTTTCTTGTATCGTTGTTTTAATAGCCAGCATAGCTAGCTGCGCACTGTACCATTATTTATGTCTTTTTCTCTTCTTCAATGTCATTCAACTATCATTTCTCGCTTCAAGTTTCTTCGCACACCCCAGTGTTGTAAAAACAACAAGTCGGGAAAGCCGGTTTTATGACCCCCCCAAAAGCGGTTCATAAGCACCAAAGGATTCTGGATCCTGTATTCGGACCGCGATGGCTGTCACGAACAGGTATCATCAGCCCTTCAAGGCTGAGTCTGAGCCTTTATCTTGCTGTCTCCTACATGCCTACCTATCATTACGCCCTTTTGGCCATGCCGGCACGCACAGCCTGCTCCTGCATGTGCATCCACCTATCACGTCTATATACCGTCTCCATCCACCCATCCCCTGCACACAACCTTATCATCTAATAGACACCCCGAAAAAGGGGGGGGAAGGGTTGACAATTGTAGCGCCCGTCCGTCCGTCTTTGACGGGCCTTCGCAGAGCCCGTGACGTATCTAGACGTTTCTGCCAAGATCCGACAGTGTCGAATGATCGTCCTATGCTTGCGGTTTATTTCTCTCTCTAAACTAATTGAAAGAAAAGCAGGATGGCCATGCGAACACCAGAAGCAGCTGATGAGGTGTGTGTTGATGGGGGGGGATAACAAATCCGGGGGAAGGGGGATTTAACGGGATGGATTAGATGGCGCGCGGCGGCGCATGACAGCGACAGTCTGAGCGTACCTTTTCCCCCCCCTTGACCGCGACTTTGGATGATATTTTTGGTCTACATATTTGTAGACTTAGGAAGAGGGGATGAGGGGTGAGAGAGATGTGGCGGAGGTTTAGTAGTCAGAGGTTCACCGTGCGCCCGAAATGATATAGGATGGGATGAAGGAGGCAAAATAGTCAATCGCATCGGGATATGAAGCATTGCAAAATGGCCCTGGTTAGTGAGAGTTTGCGTCAGGTTGACGAGGCTCTTCCGCGTGGCAGGGAAACTTTGTTTGTGAGTTGATTATTGTGATTATTAGAGTAAGGAGGGGCATGATGGTGATGCATGGATATTGCTAGAGTCTGGCGGGCGCCCCCGGATCGGAGGGAGGGATGATGGGATGGAGGTTAAGGACCTGACTGGGGGTTATATCCTTTTTACTTATCGTCAACTACGGCTTGAGTTGTCCAGGACCTGAGCCACTGTGGTAACATGTATTTTGAGCATCGCGGGCAAGGTCTGGTTACTGCGCTACTCACGTCAGTGCTTCGTCAGGACCACGTGTCGCAGTGCGGCAATTGGCAGCCTGGGTGCATATCGGAGAATAATCACGGATCTCCCGGGGAGGCGGACGGGCGTTGGCAGCGTCTCCTATCCTGAATTTGGGGTTGTGTTCGGAAGGGCGGCCGCATAGGGGATGACCGTCCTTAATTGCGGTTCTCATGCTTGTGCGAGTTGTTCGGGCTTTCGGAGCACCCCTTTCGCTTCGGAACTTGTGTGGTAATGTGGCCAATTCAGATCTTTGTAGCCCAAAAGCGTGGAATGCTGACTCCCTGGTGTCCGTTCGCTATTGATATCATGTACGCAAAGCATCCCTTGTTATTGCTACTTTCGCTCGCTACGTTCCATCGACTATCTCTCCGTCCAGTAAGAGTATCAGGAAGGGACGCGTTCCAGATGGCATGTAGGTGCTTCCAGCCTGTCATTCTCATGCGCGAACTCCAATTATTTGAAGTAATAGGGAAGGCGGTGCACTGGAACAAGGGTGATCGGCAATCTGGATGATTTGAGATGATAAATTGACAGGGATTTGCTTCGAGGGAGGTAACCTGAGGTTGAAGAACGTCGAAGCTGCCGTGAAGACGCGCCGGGTGTGGAGACGCCGAAGATTACGCGGTCTTCCGCAGCATCCCGCACACACAAGAGCATTCGAAGCGGCAGAGGAATAGGGGGCCGGCGGGTCTGTACGGAAAGCTTGTCAAGGAACAGATGCCGGTCTTGTTGAGATTGACAAGCGCCCAGCATCGAACGATCTCGTCGGCGGTTATGGATTAATTGTCATAGTCTCTTGCGGTCTTAAAATCGATTTGGACGGTGGACCCTCTTCGAGAATCGATAGTTCAAATTGGAAGGTTACAGTCAACCATTGGGAAGATGTTGATAGAGTAGCATTGGGATCAAACCCCAAGCCTTGTCGGCCAGCAGTCTAGCAGGCAGGGCCCTTTAGCGAGCGCATCAGTGGGCTTTAATTCCACTCTCAGACGCGACCGCTCACAGACGACGTTCGAGACAACATTACACTCTCTTTGTTGTTTCAACTGCCCCTGACAGCAAACAGCAGCTTTTGCGGCACAAATGTTCCCTTTTGGCGCGCATTGAGGGAATTATGGTATGTGAGTTTCTTGGCGAAGGAAAAGCGAAAAATGACATAAAAATTAAAAATCATAAATAAATAAAATAGTTGTCAGTCAAGTTTGACGCAGCAAGGCAATTGTTCTTCAAGCCCAATTCTTCTTGTAGGCATTGGTGTGGGTTCCCTGGCTTCTTTCGACTTGCCATGGCAGGGGATTAGAGGCATCCAAGGAAGACAATTCAATTGGGTTGCAACGTATTTCTTTTGATGCTAGGCCTCAAGGAGATAAAGCCAGGACAGGAAGGCTGGTTATGGTTGGAGGCGTGAGATCCAGGTGGTACTCTAGTTTCAAAGCGCGCTCAAATATCGGAGAAAGTGCAGTATATGGCGGTGATCAACGTTGTCAGATACACTCACACACAGGCTGGTAGTATGCCGCAAGTCTGTGTTAAGTGGTTGTTGCGGGCAGGGCGATGCCATTGAAACCAGTGTTGGCGTAGATTGAGGGGAATCAGACACCTAGCCATACGATTGCGGTGTATTCTTTCCGGGATTCGAGTGGATGTCAGTGCGACAGGATGACCAGGACCAGGGTTCTTGCCATGTTACCGAAAAGAAGGCACTGAAACTGGGCAGAAAAAAAAACAGAAAACCACAGGCATCCCCCCCAAATGGAGTGCTGTCATTGTCGTTGCCCATCCCAGGTGGCTACTAGCCAGCCAGCGGCGACCTGATAGGACCTGAAGGTCGGTAGAACATGTTTGAAACAAACGCGGGGAGTTGCTTCAGTCGAAATGTGCTGGGAAAGAGATAACAAGTTCAAGAACGGATGCGATGGCTACGCATTGCTATGGCGATCACGCGGGATCTTGGGTACGTAATCGATGGCTGCAGGATCAAATCTTGCTGATCTTGACAATAAGTTGAGAAACTGTGATCTTGGTTGTTGCAGTGCAGGGCTGTCGGCATCGAGTCCGTCCGTCTCTAGACTTCGAAAGTTAGGAACGAACAAGGAAGTCCCATCCAAGGTAAATGGTGGGATGAAGATACGGCCCACTCTGGCAGGCGGATGGCCCGAAGTTGGAGTCGACTTGGTCAGGGAGTGTGTTGAATACGTAGTTTAATGAATATCATTGAAGATTTCCCATGTCGAAGACCCTGGGGAATTGTGCTGTTCAACTCATTACATGGTATCGATGATTTTGATTAGCAAGTGCCCACCAGAATGACAGGTGCGTCAACTCACAAGGCACAAATTCGGATTGTAGCCCAGCAATCGAGTGGTTCAGTGGGCTGGGCCGCAGTCGGGGGCCGGAGGATCGACTGCATGGATCGTGATGAATAGGGTCAAGTTTGTGCGGACAGGTACGCCAAGATGGCCGTCCTCTTTTTTTTTTTTTTAAAGAGAAGCGAGAGAGAATGAGAGTGGTGGCGCTGTAGCGGGGGGCCGTTTAGCTGAAACAGTAGCCCAGTGGAGATTTCGAGTCTCCAAGTCTGCTGTCATTAAGATGAGGTGCTGGTGAGGTACGTATCCCTGTCCACCTCTCCCATCGTCTCGTCTCCACCATAACTCTCCTTCACACCATCACACACAAACACCCACTCTTATTTTTCTCTCTCACAGCGTAGAAGCCTGAGACCCCCTCATGCTTAGGTTTCGTCTGGGCTGAGGTATCCTGGGTTGGACCCGGACCCTGCATCGGGCCTCCTGTTTTCATCTTGGGACCCCCGACAAATCATCGACCGCACTGCCATCATACCAAGAAATAAAAAATCTCCGCGAAACGCTCGATTGACGACAGCTATCTAATTATTTGGTCAGGTACTCCGTGTTAATGGTGGCGCCTAATCCAGCTCGATCCGAGGTGGGGTGTTCACCGCCAAAAGCCCATCGCATCCTGCCTTAATCACATCTTGCTTGACCGACCATACCTCGGCGAGAGTTGATGCGCACCTGTAGCTTTGCCCACGCACCACCACAATCTGCTTGTGGCTCCTGCTCTTGCTTCTGGCCCGACTCTGCGCGAGCTGCAGGGTTCTGGTTGAACCATGATCTGCAGGCTGTAAGGGGTGGGTGGGAGCTTGGCCGCTGATCAAGAAGGCCAGACCAACACAAATGCAGCTCATCACCGTCTGCTGCCATCCAAGTAACCTTTAAGACAACAGGAGATGATAGCAGCAAGTGTCTGGTGCTTTTTCATCAGCACGAGCCACAGCTGTCTCGACAACCACTCAATGCCTGTAAAGTAGTAGACTGCCTCACGTCAACCCCAGACTCGCCCACCATACTACCGGACGTGACAGCCACAGCTCGAGCCACGGCAACCAGAAACGCCTCGGTTTCAACCAGCGCGTGGCGTGCCAGTGTCCGTGTCAGCCGTCGTCTGATGGCCTGATACCGTGTTACCGCCCGCCATGCGATTGCGTTGCGGTTTGGTTTGTCGCCTGCATGTTTGTTGTGTCTCTCCCAACTGCCCCAGTCGCCTATTCATCCTTCTGCCATCGCACCACCTCAGCCATCAGCCTGAAGATAAGCATATAGCCAGTGACACATAGATGAGCGCTGCTCGTGGTGGCTGCTATTATTGTCCATCGCGCAAGCCTGATTTCCATACTCTGCTCCGTCGGCTCGCACTCGAAAAGCTTGTTAGCCATCACTGCCATAAGCGCCTCCACGGCTCGCTAGTGGCCCAGCTGGCCTTCCTCCTAAGCTTCGGATTTGCCTTAGCTGGACCTAGAGCTAACAACGTAACAGAACAACCCGTAAATGCCGTCCAGGCACGCTACGGCATGGCGACACCTACATGTCCCCAATCGAAGGAGAGATTACTGTGGAGGTCGGGGCGATCGACTCGCAAGCCGCAGCACGTTGCTGCAAGGCCAAAAAAGAAAAAAGTTCGAGTCGTCCCATCTCGCGCTCAAACTCGCTGGCACTCTGTGCCAAGGAGAAATCTGTTTGTTTTTCCACCGCTTCTGATGATTATGCTTGGACTCTCTACAATGAGCGTAGGATGTATCTTCATCAGTTATTTCGAGACAACCTGTAACCTGTATAGAAGAGAGGAGGGAGAGAGTAAAACAGAAACCAACCGCGTCGTTATATGCGCAACGGCCCTTTCATTACCGTTTACCCCGTTCCGTCTGCCTTCCGAGGCCTCTGCAACCTGTTCGCGGCCTGGGGCGGTGACATTGTTTGTTTGCGTCGGATAACGACCACACCCAGCTTGGATGTGGGCGATCATTGCTGGATAGCTGCATAAAACCCAGCAAACCATTGCTAGTAAAGGGAAGGATGGGCATTAGGCCGTTGCTGCTTTTGAACCGCTGCAGAGTCGTTGTACTTGCAATGCAGCGATGATATACGATTCCTATACATGCCGGATGACGCATCAAGCCTTCACTTCCGCTCTCAGTCCTTGTGTGCATGTACACGATCGAGGTACTTTGTCTCATGTACCTATATTCCTGAGGTTGTCTTGTTTCATGAGTACGCGGAGACTCTCTCATAAAAGGCTACCCACTTCATCAGGCTGTAAAATTCAAAAGACGTTGGCAAATACGAATCGCAATTTTAACGGTACATATGTCAGGAATTGCCTCTCTTGGACAAGACCACCACCGCCTCAAGTGGACTGTGCTGTTGTACTGCCAGCGTGGGCAACTTAGAGAGGTACCTTCAGCGGGATGGAACTTACAATGGCCTCTTGAGCTTCTGCAAAGCAGGACAGTCGCTACCAGGCCAGCAGGCCCTGGCCCTGTGGTATGGCCTAGGATGTTTCTGTTCGATACCTCACCTCACGTTGAATGCTGACCACATCAGATACCTCTACCCCTGGACCAAGCACAGAAAGCCCCTGAGAAGTCGCCCTAGTTCACAAAGCAAGGCCAGCCAGTGAGAAACTTGAGGTACCTGGCTGGAACAAGACCTCCTCTCCCCCTCCTTGCGAAGTTGTCCCCCATCCCAGTCCCTCCACTCCACTTGGAAATGACCCCGGTCGCAGACAAGAAGGGGTGTTTGAGGGGTTCCACTGTTCGTGCCACAGCCAGCACTGAGCGCACTTCACCTTCACTTTCTGAGTCTGATGCCTCTCTTGGAGGGACAGCACAACGCACAGCCCAATGACCAAGAGCCGAGTAAGTGGAGAGGTATAAGCAAATCTAAAATAAAAATCAGAAATAGGGGGAAACGGAGAGTGAATGGATGTTGGGGGGTTTTGGGAGTTCTGCATCTGATGAATAAGGCAAGTCTCCCATATCAGACTGCTAGGTACCGCTGTATGTTACACACCGCTTCGATCTACGTGCTAGTTGCCCTGTGCCTGAGCAGAAATACTTGGACCCTCAAGTATTTGGTACTTTGTCTGCCCTGCATGCCGGATGCCCACACAAGCCGCCAACAACAATAACAACAACATCACCAACATAATTGGGGGTGCTGCTCACAGCTGAGTATTGTAGACAGAGACTTCGCAGTTGCCAGAAGAGTCGTACATCTCTGTGAGATGATGATGATGCCGATAACGGTGAAGATAATGGCAAAAAGGCGACGAAATACAGCGTTTGTACCTTCCAAGTAAGACTGTTCTCCTTTCTGCCTTACCACAAACTTCCCCCTCAAAATTACAAGGATTTGGTCCCTCATCTCAGTGATGTCAAGTAGCGATACCGCTGGTTGTCCGCCCCCCTCCACACCCGCACCGCACATCTGCCAGTCTGTTCTATCCCCATCATCCCGTCCACGTCCCGTCCAGCCCCGTTCCGTTCCCAAGTCCCCCAAATTTTGGCCAAAGCCAGCTCTCCCCAAATTCCACGTCAAGCGCCACCATCCGCCCGTCCTTTACGCTCGTCCTCTGTCTTGACGAAGGCTTCTTCTTCCTATACACACTAACATCTGTCTTCTACATCATCTCCTGTCACTAACGCAAGGCCCGCGCGTACACAGCATCCTGCCTCACTAGAGCCCTCATTCATCCACTTGTGCATCTCTAAGGGCCTGGACAGACCCCCCCTTCCTGAACCTGTCCACTCCAACTTGGCCCTGTTGTCCTCGCACTCACCTGCTAGGACGGTACCACCTGGCCAAGCCCTGGCTTGCCATAGTTAACATAGTCTCGCTTCTCCTCCACGTCGGTCGTCGCACCTCTCCATCGTCCCGACCATTCGAGGGTCTAGGTTCTGGTCAAAAATCTCCAATCCAACCAGTTGGTGCCAGCTACTCTTTTTTTTTTTTCTTTCTAATTCTGCTGCCCCCATCTAAGAGACCAGCGGCTTTTCCACCCTACCCTGCTACCTCAGCTCACCTTACCCTTACTTTGCTCGACCGCCGACGCCGCTATTTTCGCCCCAGAGGCTCCGAGCCCTCGAGAGTACCATTCCATTTCTCAAGTTACCCCCTCGACGAATTTACCTCGACCTCCCCCTAAACGAAGCCATACGAGCGCTACCTCGACGGTGTCTTTCCTCCTACGCCGCCACTCGCTCACTACTCGTTTTCTCTATCTCCTACTCTTCAATTTTCCATTTGGGCCAGACGCTATCGCAGCCCCAAGCAAATCACCGAACGCCATCTACTAGGCGCTACTCTCCCCGACGTATACGCCTATCCAGTTGAGCTCCTGACACGAGCCGCACAGTCTGTCGACCCTGTGTGTCCTTGTCGTCCATGATACAGCTTCTTTTGGTCGATCACTCGCTCACTGGTCGTTCTGCCGCCGAGGATACGTTCATGACCCTCGACGCACTCGAGCTTGCTTGTTAGAACACTAGTCGTGACGACGTCCTATAACAGAGGACAAACTGCCCGTCATGACAGCCGTCATGGAGGACTATCTGGAGAGTCCTATGGACAACGATGATGTCTTCCCTTGCAAAGGTTGCGGAGAGGTATGCTGCTCCCCGCTGGTTAACTTTTGCCCCGTCTGTAAGCACCTACTGATGGCGGTACCCTACTCTACTAGATCCTAGAAGAGGGCAAAGCGTTCGAACTTGGTATGTCCCCTCAGTTTCTTACCAACTCTCCCTAATCTTTTCCTCTCCCATTAATTTACCATACCATCCCTTCTCCTCGGGTATCGTAACTGTTTGGCCTTCATAGCCATGCTGTCCACTATGGCCATGTCGCCTGCGGTCTCCAAGTTTAACCAAGCTAACGACACTCCTTCTGATTCAGCCGGAAACCGATGGCATCTCAACTGCTTCCGCTGCAACACCTGTGGCACCCTTCTCGACTCCGATGCGAACCTATTGCTCCTCGGCGATGGCTCGCTTATTTGCAATAATTGCACATACAGCTGTAGTGCTTGCGGAAACAAGATCGAAGACCTTGCCATCCTGACTGGCGACCAGGCGTTCTGCGCGACGTGCTTCCGGTGTCGCAACTGTAAGAGGAAAATCGAGAACCTGCGATACGCGCGAACTTCACAAGGCATCTTTTGTATGAGTTGTCATGAGTCGCTCATGGCAAGACGAAGGAAAAAATCCAAGGCTGCAGCCCAGGCTAAGTCGAGGGAGAAAGACGGGTCTCCAATGATAACGGACAAGTCTCTGCCCGCTCTTCCGCCCAACGCTATTCCTCCGAACGCCTTCTCTGATACTCGCGTTGACCCTGATTCTGACACTCCCACCGAGCTGTCCCCTCGACCACGCCCTGCCTACAACAGGAATGATTCCTCGTCCAAGAACAGTAGCCGGCCCTCGCGCTCTCCGGAGCGCACTTCAGAGAAGGAAGGTCTGTCGTTGCCAGCCTCAAACTATCGCAATAACCGCAACTCGACGATTGTTGCTCCAAACAACAACAGCATAGATTCGAACGGCGGTGATGATGGCTTCTTCATCCCGGTTGCTCTTGATCCCTCGCCAATATCAAATACCCCCCGGTCAACATCAGAGAACTTGATGGGCCCCTCCAAGAAGCAAGACAAGGACTACTTCAGCAGCGTGCCCAGAGCCAGTACGGACAAAAAGAACGACTCTTCGGCCTCGACGCCGCATATTGCATTCCAAGAAAAGGGCCGCCAGCCTTCGTCTGACTTCGATGCCGGATCGGTCAAGTTGCCACTCCGCAGAACATCCAAGTCGTCAAGAAATGATTCGCGGTTGTCCACCAGCAACGACGAGAAGACGCAAAAGGTTACTGCCGGCAAGCTCTCGCCATCCATTGACGAGTTCAAGTTACAGGATGCCCCCAAGAGCAAGAAGCTGGTCAGCCCAAGGAGCGTATCCCACTCGGCCGCCATGACCCCTGAGAGTGGAAGTGCCAAGAGTAGTGACGGTGTTCTGCACAAGGACAAGGAGCCGTTCCCAAGCTTATCTTCGTCCGATTCACCTCCCCGCATGGGCAACGGAACCCCTCGATCGTCCCAAGATTCGAGGCAACGCGAGGAGGGCGACGTGCGTCCCTCGATGGACTCCATTTCCTCCTCACGAACAGACTTAACAGCCAAGTCCATCGCCAGAAAAGAACTGCCTCCACGCAATGGTATGTGCCCCTAAGCTTATGTTTTGTACTGATGCGAGACGCACCGACCTAACCTACTCATAGCCAACGGCAAGCCTACTGGTGGCTCTTTTGGGCGATCCAACACGCATGATGAGACAAGCTCATCGGGCCTCTCCGCACCCGCGCGCCCTAACATGACTGAGCACAAACTCAGTGACACATACATGCAGCCTCGGGCCCCTCCGCAACCACCTGGCCTGCCTGCGAACATCCCCAAACCTCCCGCAAAGGATCAGGCGAACGCGTCTGGTGAAGAGAAGATTTCACCTAAGCTACCGAGATGGAGCTCAGGTGGCGATTTCAGTATGGACGAGGACATGGCTAGGATCCTGGGCACTGACGAAAACTCATCATCGATACTTCGTCGTGTGTCGAACGCCGTTCGTCACGGTCGCACCAACAGCACTGAATCCAGCCACCCTCAACTGCCTCAGCACCCTCACAGAGTCACTGGCCACACGAGGAGTATTAGCGAAACCACCCGTGGCACTGCCTCCCCTCGTTGGCCGAAGACACCCATCGTTGAGGATCCCAGCAGCCACGATATCAGCAGTCCCATCTCGCTGCATTCGAGCGACGATCCGGCTTTCCTTAAGCGGCAGCTGCGCAACTCAGAGAACCGCGTGGCCGAGCTAGAGCGGCAATTCTCCACTGAGAAGGACCTCAAGCGCTTGAACAAGACTCTGATCGAAAAGCGCAAGACGGTCTCGGTGCTGGACACCCAGACTGAGATTATGATTAGGCAGTTGGAGGTTTTGGCCGGATACGTTGAACGCGCGAAGGAAACCAATACGCCCATTGACCCCCGTGAACTTGAGGACTCCGCAATCAAGGAGTTTGTGCAGAAGCTTGATAAGGTCAAGCAGACGATGAGCGCCGTTATCGAACAGCTTCATGCTGAACGTGACGAGTTGATGGACGAGAAGAACCAGGCCATGGCTGACAGAGATCGCGCTCTCCTCGAGTTTGAGCAGCTTTCATCCAAGAACGCTCAGCTCGCCGATATGAACAACGATCTCACCCACCAGATCCAAGAACGCTTCAAGTCTCAGATCGGAGGTGAGCTCAAATCGCCCAATGGCCTCGGTATCTACAGTCAGAGCAAGGTTTTCTCTTCATCCCAACTCAACTTGGCGGATTCTGCTAGCATGACCACCACGCTTGTACATGAGGCGGATGAACCAGTCGTAGAAGCCCGACCGACAGTTGTGGATATTCGTAAGGGACAGGTCAAGAAGTTCAACTGGAAGAAGGGTGGCAAGAGCATGGCGCAGAACGTGGCCAAGGGTGTGAACCGAGCCGTCGTCGCATTCCAGCAGGATCGTGAACGAGGTGTACACCAACAAGGTCTCACCGGCGACAACATTGGACTGCCTTACAACATGACGGTATCCCAAGTCGAGGCCCCCAGCACTCAACTTCCCGCAGCCAACGCACCAAAGGGTAACGCGCAACAAGCGGCTGACCGCCAAGGATTTGGCTTCTTCGGAAAGAAGAACGTGGGCAAGTCTACGTCCACGACGAACGTCGCAGCCCCCGCTGTAGCAGAGGCACCCTCGACTCTTTTCGGCTCAGACCTTGTCGAAAGAGCTGATTACGAGCGCCGCACTATTCCCAGTGTTGTGACTCGCTGCATTGAAGAAGTTGAGCTCCGCGGTATGGATGTTGAGGGCATCTACAGAAAGACGGGTGGCAATTCTCAGGTGAAGATGATCCAAGAGGGCTTCGACAAGAGCGAGGACTATGATATATCGGACCCCGGGCTTGACATCACAGCAGTGACGAGTGTACTCAAGCAATATTTCAGAAAACTTCCGACTCCGCTGCTCACGTACGATGTGTACGACAAGGTTCTCGAGTCGAACGGTGAGTTTGTCTTGGATGACCTACCAAAAATCTCATACTGACCTTTTATCAGCACTCACAGACCAGACCGAACGCTGCGATCATCTTCGCAGTGTTTTCAGCGGGATGCCCCAGCGCCACCGTGACTGTCTGGAGTTCCTCATGTTCCATCTCGCTCGAGTGGCCCAGCGAGAGCCAGAGAACCTGGTAAGTGCCCACCCCAACTCAAGCCGCATCTGCGGGATAGCGCTAACAATTTATTAGATGTCTCCCAAAAACCTGGCTGTCGTCTTCGCTCCAACAATTATGAGAGATACTAGCCTGGAACGAGAAATGACGGACATGCACGCCAAGAATCTGGCAGTGCAATTCGTCATTGAGAACACCCATGCCATCTTCATTGATTAACTTGCTGGCCTTTGATGGCCTAGCGCTATGTTGGAAAACCTGTATATATCCACGCACGCACGACCTGACGCCTTGGACCGCTTTTTTCTTGACGTATGCTGGCTCGGAGCCAACTCGCCCTTTGCTGACGGCCTATGACTTCCATATTTGGACTCGGTTTTTCCTTGGGACAGCTGTTTTGACCGCAGAAAAGGGGCGTTTCATGCCAGGAAACTTTAATGATATCCAAGCCTCTTGCTTTGGGGCACGAAAGGAGTTTCTCGGTTCTCGACAGCGGGTTTTGGGAACCAGAACCGGCAGGACGTATTAACATTCGTTGCTAGCGCGCTTTTACCCACTCTCACTCGTCGGCTTTCGAGTGGTGAGCACGACTTTATTTTCTGGCGATTTTGTATCCGAGGAAGAGAACGATGATGCATAGGGGGGCGACGATGAATGAGAACGGTGATTGAGAAGCATGATAGTCGCACGCATAAGGGGTTCTTCCCACCGCCGGGACGATAAACATTTGAAGTAGTGACGCTGCAAACCTCCTATGGGGTGGCTAAGCCACTTGTGTTTTTTTAAGACAGAAAAAAGACAACCAAACTTTTATAATCCGTTATGCCTACACCCATATGATTTTTTGTGACATGTGGTATCAAACATTGACTAGGTTATGAGAAATGATTCCGCTGCCGCTCCCTCCCTCCCTCTCTCCCGCTTTACCTGCGGTTCCCACCGACTTTTATTTGTCGCCCACCATGCGCTTCACCTTCTCGAGGAGCAGCGCGCTCTCCCGACCGAGCTTGCGCTGACCGTTCTCGCCACCCTTGCGGGCCTTGGCCATGGCGCGGCGGAACCTCTCGCGGTCAGCGGCCTTGCGCTCGCGCTCTTTCTGGCGTCGCTGCATCTCTGCACGACGAGCCTCGGCCTCGGCCTTGCGCTTCTCGGCGTGCGCGAGCTGCTTCTCGTAGTAGCCCGGCTTACGGGGACGACGCGGTTTGCGCGGCTCGTAGCGGTCGACGCCCGCGTCGTCTTCGTCCCCGTCCTGCTCGTCGCCCTCGCCCTCGCCCTCGCCCTCACCGTCTCCGAAACGTTTTCCATGCTTGCGCTTCACGGCGATGGTGTTCGGGTTGGGCAACTCGCCGTCGTTGGCGAGCAAGTCGTGGCGGCTCGGGTGGACTTCTGAGGGATCCGGGCCTGACCGCGCTGGCGTCTCCTCCGAGTCCTTGGTGTCTGCTTCTGGTGCTGACGGTTGAGAATCTCTCTCGGGTGCTTCATCGGCGGGGGGCTCGTTCATAGCCTCGTCTTCATCGTTGCCTGAATCCTGGGCCGACGGCGTGACGGCGGGTTGCGTTGTGGATGATGCCTGGGCGGCGAGTTCCCTCTCCTTGATCTTGGCGTACTGCTTCTTTACCTTGGCTTTGTAAATGAGCTGTGCCTTTTTCTTCTCGACTACGTGGGGGTGTCAGTTATAAGCGGGCATGTCTGAGGGATGCATTTGGTCGGGCTCACCCTTTCTACGCCACGGGCCATCGGGCAGGTTGTCGGGGCCGACGCGGAAACCCTTACGGGGCTTCTTGTTCTGTTGGGCGTCTGAAGAGGCTGCTGCGCCCTCGGCGGCGCGCTTAGGAGCCATCGTCGAGCTTGCGGGTTGAGGGGTTCAAAGAGGATATGCGGGTGGTTGCAGGTTGTGAGATGACGAGATATCTCGAAAGACGAATGAAGCCGGCTTCAACCGCGATGGTTACAGTGAGATTGTTAATTCTTTTCGGATCTGGTCAAGCTGCTGCTTCGTTCGGAATTTCGCTCCAAGTCGCGGAACATTACCCCGACTGAGATGTCGCTGTGAATGAGACCAAGACGGTGAATGTAATTGACGATGAAGAAGGAATGAAATTTTAGGTGGATCTGGATGAGAGGTTCGAGACTGAGACCAAAGCGGGTTAGCGCAGGGTCCGCTTTGGCCAGTTGGTGGCGGGACCCTTCACTTGTTGTGGAGACTGCGTGTACACTGTAGATGCCGACTTGTTCAACCGTCAGGAAGCGCTCAACTATAATTATGTGACTGTTATGATTATGCTTGTCTAGGTATTTTTTTTTCCAATGATTTAAGTAAGTTCCAATGATAGGGTGGCTGTTTTACATCGTCCATGGTTGGCTGAGGCAAGCCAGGACTGGCGGACGTTGTAAACTACAGGAGAAGCAGCAACGGTTGTGAACGACCTTCTGAATCAGATCGATTTGGGAAGGAGAATCACTGTTGCAGAGTTGGCTCGTTCGCATCTCTATTTCCATAGAATAGGCCATCCCATCTCACATGTCCAGAGGCATATCTTGATGAGGACGGTTTATCCATTACTATTGAAGCAATGACGTAGGTTCCTCGGCTTCTTGTGTAGTGGGCGCAACCAACCCAAGTGAGCACCACCAATCCAGGCTTCACTGCCTTATGGTATAAAAACAAAGTATTTAAGCCTGCTTTCAGGGACAGGCGCCATCTCGTCAATGTATTGTTAAGTGTGATTTTCCAGTCATGAACTCAATCGTTTGTCATCTCATCTTCTCCATAAACTGGATAGCTTGTCATGGTAACAGCGAAACACCAAACGTAAAAGTAGAAAATAACGGACCTAAAGAGCCAAGGAAGTTGCCCTTTATCAATGATATTATTTACGTATGCCGAGCCGTCATGGCGATGCCTTCATGCCATAACTGTGTCCAAACACAACCCGACACCAAGTCTACGTGGGCTTGCGCAAAATTCAAGAAAATTCCAGCCCAAACCAACAAACCAAACCAAACAAACGACCTTCTAATATCAACTCCAACACACTCACACTCACATTCACAGCTTCTCTCGCACCCTGACATACAGCGACTCCGCCTTAGCCAACACCTGGCCGTCCTTGTCCTCGATCACGGCGTCGATCCAGTACTTCCTCCCTTCAAACTTCTTCAATGTGACGACAACCAGAATCGTCTGCGGCGTCCGCACGGGCCTGATGTACTGCGTGTTCAGATACGCGGTCATGTACGCCCCCTCGTCGACGAGCCCGTTGGTCTTGTTGACGGGGAGGATCAGCCCGATTGTCTCGTCGAGGATCGTCGCGACGATACCCCCGTGCGACACGCCGGGGTACCCGTTGACGCCCTGGCGCAGGGTCAGCAACGCCTTGATTTCGCGGATGATGTTGCTCGCGGAGCCGTCATTTCCGGCGGATGACGGCGCTGGTTGCAACGGTGATGATGATGATGACGACGACGACGACGACGACAACGAGGGTGCGGGCCGCTTATAAAAGGTGAGAAACGCGGCAATGGTTTTATCCGTGTTCAGCGTCGTGGAGAAGAGCTCGTCCTCTGTGTCCCGTTTCCGAAACCGCGACGTGGGCGTCTCGCGGACTGTGTAGGGCGCGTTGAGGTGCGCCGCCGCCCAGGGGATCGCGAGGAAATGCTTGAGGTCCGGGTTCTCCGACTTCATTGTTGCTGCTGCTGCTGCTATGCTGTAATGGGAGACGACTGAGAAGCTGCGGCAGGGGTGACGGGTGGCAGAATTGATGAGCGTTCTATATAGTGACATGATACACGCTACGGGAATAACTACGACCCTTTTTTTTTTTTTCCCTTGTCGCCTTTCTCTTGCTAGAGAGGGGCCGAAGTAGGATGCGACGGCGAGCCCACCATCGGGATCGGATATCGAGACACGGTGGTTGATGGGACCGAGGTTTAATCAGATCTCCACGTCGAGGTCAACCGGGGGCCTTGGTCTGTGCACGGCAGTTCCTGGACTTGGCAGCTCAGCTCCAACAGTTTGGATGAGCCAGTCAACCTCCCCCCAAATGTATCCACCGGGATGGGCAAACGCACGCTAACATTTTTCGGGGGTTGCGTCATGAGCGAGTTTTTTGTGTGAGATAGGTAAGGATGACAATGCCCGTCCGATCACTTGTGTACATATCTAGCTTTCATTCAGAGGAGGCGAGGGTCCATGGCACCAAATAAAAAGAAGGGGGTTTTATCATAGTCTTTCAGCGCGGTGCCTCTTTATTATTCAAAGCATATATCTAAAGCTGCTTTTAGCCGTTTTTGATTCTGCGTGGGATCCTACCAGACCCTGTTCTTCCTCGGCATCATCGTTACCGGCCGCCTCGGTATCCAGTTTTCTATTTAAGTAGCTGAGGTAAAATCTCAAGAATAACGCCAGAAAAGCTACCGCCAACATCGCACATGCGCAAGCCCGCATGCCCGGCGCGTAGAAAGGCGCGTCTCGGTCCGGATACAACCTCGTCCCCACGAGCGGTCCACACTGCCCGATAGTCTGCATCAAGGCGAATCCACCACTTTGCCTGCTTTCCGATGCTTGGTTATTGATGTTCCATACTATGGTGAGCGTTACGACGTTGAAGAAGCCAATGGCGGCCGGATATACTGCGAGATAGCGCACCGGTTGCGGTAGGTCGAGTGGTTCCGACAACGCGAGGACCGCATAGCCTCCGGCCGATGCCAGGGCATGCAGGATAATAGGAACTGAACGATTCTGAAGCCAATCCGACAGTCGCGCTGTCACCATGACAGTAATGAAAGCCAGGAAGTAGGGCGGCGCGCTGAGGCCCTGCGATTCCAAGCGGGAGTGTCCCATCTCGGTAAGAATCTTGGGTAGAAAGACGGGTAGAGAAGAGTAGGCCATATTGGTAAGGAAAAACACGGTGGCCATCAGCCAGGCCATGGGGTCGCAGAAGATGGCAGCCACTTCGCGGCCCCTGAGGCCATGGGATTTCTTCTCCCCGTGCTTCTTTTGAGGTTTTTCATGCCTGAGGCGGAGGCGGGCTACCTTCTGTTCGCGAGCAGTGAGATATGGCGCCGTCTCCGGGGCATCGGGGATAATTCGCCATGCAGCCACAGCTACGAGAACCGAGGGAAAGCCTTCGACGAGGAATAGCAGGCGCCAAGGGGCGATGGGCCCAGACTCGGCGAACTTGGTGATAAGCCAGGCTAATGATGATGCAAATGTTGTAGCCAGAGGCGCGGCTGCAGAAAGTTAGTTTTTCGATACCAATGTGGCCCTCATTCAAAAACCAACCTGAGATGAACATTGCCGTGCGAAACGCCAATTCCTCCCGCTTGAAGAAAAACGACAAGTAAAAGGGGATGCCCGTGAACCCTGCTTCGCCTATACCCAGAAGCACTCGTAGGAAGATAAGCATGGGGTAGGAGACAGCTATTGACTGCAGAGAAGCTGTTAGGCCCCACGACAAGACAATCATGGACACGTAAATGTGAGCTGGAACCAGCTTCCATAGTAATGACATCCACTCGAAGGAGATGTACGAAATGTAGAAGGCCGTCAGAGTCCATTCATACCACCCGTCCCAAGGCGGTTGCGACTGCAGATCTTCGTCCATGCCAGCAATGCGAGCATTGCCGATGTCTATGTACGGCAATGTCAGTCACAGCATACCCTGGGGAATCGTGAGTGGAGACATACTAGATCGGTCGAGGAAGCTAAGCATGAAGAGCAGTGCAACGAAGAGGACCAGTCTTCTATCGAACTTGCGAACGACAGCCCTCTCTTCGTCGGGAGTGTAGAGCTGGAAACTTGCGGCAGTACTGGCGCTCGCCCGCCTTTGTAACGAGGGCTCATCGTTGCGCCAGATGTTCCCGATTTCCGAATGTCGTTTTGTGAAGCTCTTCAGCTCGTAGGCCCGGCCACCCCCAAGCTCGGCCTCGTGCATATGGAGGTCATCTTCCGTGTCGCCGTCGATGTCTAGATCGCTGTCGGAATTAAACTCGCCTGACAGTCTCACGAACGAGGGTGACGCTTGGTTGGTATCGAAGGAAGCCCCAGAGGCATGAAGCCCGGATGATTCGGCCATGACGGCAAGGAGAGTCACGCGTCACGCTGGGATCGGAGGGCGCAAGACCGTCATCGGTTGTGACTGGGAGATGATGTCAAATCATAGAGTGGGAAACGCTGCAGATGACCGACTCGCGGGCCAATTCACACGACGGCAGAAGTGTAGTCTGCCGTTCCGCGACAGGGAAATGGGCGTCGCCAACAAGCTTAGATCGTGTTGGTGTCTTGGGTAGCGAGCTCAGCGAGTTGCTGCTAAAATACCCCAAACAGCGGGAGAGCTCAGTCAAATGGGCCTCGGCCAATGACGTAGCAAGCTGACCCCTGCCTCGCTTCGAAGGGAAAGCTGGGGTTGCCGGGGGCGCACATTGCGGCTGGGGTTAGTGGGTTGCGGGAGGAATAAGAGCAGGGGTAAGGTCATGATGGCCTTCACCAGCTCGTTCTTTGTCTCAGTTCAATTTAACAAATCATATATTATACGCTTCCGCTTTATATCGTGTTCTGCATCGCTGCGAGTGCAAGTAGATCATTCAGCCGAAATTCAGGATGCCGTATAGCGTCCGGTACAGCACCGTAACCCTAATAAGTATACATCATATTAATTCGCCTCCTCACCAGCTGCGTGAGCATTCGCGCCTCCTCATGGCTCGTCACCTTTTTTGCCAAAAAGTCTCCTAAAGCCGCCGCCTTTGGGCGTCTTGGGTCTGAAGTCCATGGACGGTTTGGGTTGCAATAACGTTGGCGCGTCTGTGTTCATGTTGGGATGTTGGAAAAGGGTACCATAGGGTAAACCCGCCTCCCTCGGTGAGATTTGTGACTGTTGGGGCGCCATGGCCGATGCGAATTGACTGGCTGGCACGCTAGAGACGTATTCTTGAGGGGAAGCCCCTGATCTTGATGATGGGCCTGCGCCCTTGTCGCGACCCATTGGATTATCATTTTCCGCTTCCCGTGAGGCATCCTCCCTTGTCTGGGCTTCCTTGGAAGCATTCATCTCGTCGGGAAAGTCTCGCACTTCGTCACCGCAAACCACGACGTACCACCGAATGTCTTCACCGCGTTGCAGCTGGTCTCTCAGCTTTTCAAACCAACCTGCCTTCTTCCCTGACGCAGAGCCCTTTTTTGCTTTGTAATACTCGTCACTCGGAGCACTGGCCATGGCCTTGGTTTCACCCAGTCGCTCTTCGTACCGCATGATCTCTTCGGCTATGGAGTTGCTCAGGTCGATACGCACTACATGATCGGCAACGTATGCATAGGGTCTGCTGACATAGCTCAAATCGGTGGGGTCGTATTCTTCGAGCAGCTTCACGGCGCTCCAGCTGTTTTGTAACACATCATCCTCTTCGGGTGGGACGGTCGACGGCGGTACGTCATATTCGGTACGGAGCACGCCCGCCTTGGGAGGTTTGGATTTGTTGCGCTTCTTCCTCTCTCGCTGGGCTTCGGTGTCTTCGGGTGGTGGCTCGGGAAGAAAGTCAAAGAGTGAGTAGAAGGACTCGAGGATAGCAGGGGAGGAATTGGGTGCGATGATCCATTCCGGTGCGGCGTCATCGATGTTCTGGACGACGACAAAGACTCGAATGCTTCGACGATCCCAACGAAAACCATGACACAGATAGGTAGGCATAGCGAGTGGTCGCGATAGAGCTTGGACAGACAGGGAGGGGTTGTGAAAGATAGGACGAAGCGGCGCAGCGGCTTAGGTGGCAGAGCTGAGGTGACCCAATGGCTGCTTTTGCGATAACGAGCGTAAGTCGGTGGAGAGCTCCGAGCCGGGGCTGAGTTGAAGCCCCGATGGTCAAATGTAAGAGTTGGTCGTCACCAATGACACGACTAACAGCGATAGCAGTGGTGGTGGCGGCTTGCGGCGATGTTTGGGGGGGTGCCGCCCTTTTCGACCACCCAGAGCCGTTTCTCAAGTAGGTTGCGTGAAATGGCGTTTTGCTCAATGGAAGTCGAAAGCAGTATGGGGCAAACCGGCGGAACTGGCGGGAGAGAATAGGGATGTGGATGACAAGACAAGAGGCTGGTTGCCGGCGGGCGCTGGGTCGGGTACGCAATGCATTATTCAATTTCTTGCCGAGGAAACATGGCTTGTCGCATCGCTAAGTTGGGGGTACGGCACAACCTCGTGGCCCAAAGACAGATGACTCCGGACTACCCGACAGCAGTCTTGGGTGCTGAATGGACAAAATCGAAGGCGGGTTCCAAAGGAAAAAGCAAAGGCAAAAATTGGGTCGAGGTTAGGTCGAGGTTAGGTGCAGAAAGTGGTGCGAGGCGGGTGGGTAGAGAAAGAAAAGTAGCAATAAGAAATCAGAAATGGAATGGGAAGAATGGGTTGGAATGAACGACTTCCCAGTAGAGAGGAGCTGTAGAAGCAGACGCCACCGGAACCAGACCCGGAGCTTACAGGCGGCTGTGCTGCTGTTTGCTGTGTGCTGTGTGCTTGCTATTTGATGTTTGCGCCTGTGCTTCTTTTCTGTCTGTGCTCCCCAGCCCAGACGAGAACGGGCCTATTTCTGGACGCTGCAGCCTGCTAGCGTGTGTATCAGACGCCGGTGCAGTCGCTTGCTGGTCCACATGGGCATCGATTGAGACAGGGTTTTTTTTTGGGGGGGGGGGAGGGGGTTTTTGTCGGAAGAGATGAACAACTGGAAGGCTATTTTGATGGAGTCTTTTTACGATAGACCGATCGATGGAGGATGATCGCCGTTGCAGCCCGCATTAGAGTAATAGTGATGAAAGTCAGATCAATCCGCATCCTACGTAGTCAGGTAGTATACGTAGTACTTTTCTCTTCCAGTTGCAGGCTATTGCTGGCTTCATGTAAGTGTTCCAAGGTCCACCACGGGTACTACCTTGCCCTGACTGACTTTGACTTGTGCATGTCATCGCAGCCGAGGTTTCTTCCCCCTGTCTGCGCCACTGCAGCCTCAGCCTGTCTATCATCAACTTAGAAACTTGAGCTCGCCCGCTTCCTGGTGCTGAGAACACATTTCGAAGAAGGCGAGGCAGACGCCCACAACTTGAAGTCTGGCCAAGCTTATCTAGCTTAACATGTCACACCATCAGACTTTAGGTTCAACCAGCCTCAACTCGAATTCGATGCCCTAACCCAACAAGTGGTTGCCCTCGGCGCAAGAGTAAGTGAGCCAATTGCCTGTTGCCATGTGATTTGCTGTTGGAGAAATAGAAAGACATACGCGTTCAACAACCCTGTAGTGTGGCAGAGTTTCAAGAGATCGTGAAACCACGAGGGAGTGACATAAAGCTTAATCCCTGGTTGAAATGACCAAGGTCCTGCCGAAGCGCTCATACCGAACAGGCGGGGTACACTACACGCTACATAGTATGTGCGTCTGGTTGGAAATGTGTCACACCCTCCCTCTGCAGCTGTCAATAAAGGTTAGCACCGCTTTGGCCGGGCCGAAGCCCACGTGCGTGCACAGTCAGTTTGCAAATGCTTCCCGAACGTAGAAATCCAAAAAAAAAAAAAAAAACCGCGAGGATGTCTGTAAATCTCCAATGTGAACGCCAAAGCTGCTTGACGAACTCAATGATATACTACATACACTAAGAAACTCTCCACTGGCTCTCATCAACCATCTGGTCCTCAGATCAACGCCATGACACCTACAACCGTGGCTCCGAGAGCCAACGGCATGCTTGTGAGCATCCGGCCCGATCCACTCGGAGGTGCCGACCCTGACGGCGCCACATTGCCCGAAACCACCCCCGTCTCCGCCACGGTAACGGATGCCGTGCCTGCCTCCGTTGGCAACGACGCACTATCAGTAGAACTCCTCGTAGGGCTTCCCGATTCGGTCGTCTTCGCTGGCGATCCTGTCGGCGTAGCGCTACTGAACGGCTTGCACGTCTCCGTATTCCATTTTTCCGAATCAAATGAAAGGTAATACGACGCATCCCTAGTCCCCCACCATGTCCTGCTTCCAAACTTCTCCAAGCCAGCGGTCATGGCCACGACAATTGAGCGTGCCTCAACGAAACACGTGTTGACCGCTTGTTGCTCGGCCACCGCCGTAGAGCTACCCGATACGGTCGTTTCCGTGCACCATCCATATTGATCAGAGAGTGTTGCGTTGCCGAAATTACCCAGGTTGCACTCCCAACGCTTGACCAATCCTGCGGTCGCCGTATTGGTGCCTGCCCAGTGTGAACCATCTGAATGGGTGATGTCGACTGGGTAGTAGCCTTCCTTCTTGCAGGCCTCGTTGGCAGACGGACAGGCCACCCGATAGGTCGTCTCAACCCTGGTGATGCTGCTGCTGCTGTAGCCAACGACGGATGCCTCGAGGGAGCCAGCAGGGTGGGAGTCATAAATGAAGAAATAGCGAGCCGGTGCTGGTGTAACGGCCGGTACTTGTTGCGCGTTGGTGCTCGCAAGCAGCGCCGCAGCTGCAAACAAAGTTTGAGTTGTCTTCATCGTTGATTTTTTCAGTCGTAAGACGGGGGTGTCAATCTTAGGTCGGTTTGCTGAAGGAAGCGTCACGCCTCAGTTGATGGAAAGATTCTCGGTTGGAATACGCGTCGCGAGGACTTTGGTTATAAAGTATTGTTGGTCATTGTTGTCCCTCGAGGTGACCAGGGTGGTATTGCCTGACTTGAAAGGGACTTTTGACCTGCGCAGGCGTTTTTTTTGTCCTTCCTCAACACCAACTTATTTACCCGTACCCCTTGCAAATTAGATTGCGCCTATCTGAAGCTTGGCGCCTTAGAAAGGAAGTCAGTATACGCATAAATCTGTGCTACGAGGTAGACTTTTTGGCGGTTAGGCGTGGTAACAGTCCACGTAGAACTAGATCATCCAAGCCCCCGCTAAAGGAAGAGAAAGGCGTAGCGGACGGGCCATGCTTCGCGAAAGTTAGGGCATTCACTTAAATGCCGTCCGAATAACGTCTTACCGATGAAACCCCATCGAAATGCCGCCAGGCAAGACTATACAAGGCGCTGCCTGGGGGTCAGAATACACTCGAGTGCTCTTGGTAAACTTCCCCAGGTGCTCTCATCATGAGTTGGTCTCGCTTGGAGTTGAGGCTTGTTCGTTGGAACAGCAATGCCACATGAGCATGGCATTGCTCAACGGCTACAACGTGCGGACGCAGTTAAGCCAAGAGAACCACTTTCTTCTCTTCAGCTCAGGAGGGTGGTCATTCTCACTCTAATAAATGGGAAAACCACGACATGTGGCCAAACACCTCATGCTTGTGAAAAGGCGTCGAAATGGGGATAGCGTGTGATGTGGAACCCCGATCGGGGATGGGAGGTCCCCGAAGTCTCTGTCGCCTACATAATACGTAGTGGTAGTGTACCCGTAGGTGTATGCTGTTCTCAGGGGGGCCAAATATGTTAACTGGGCCCCCTCAACCTCGTATCATCAGAAACAGCTTGGCCAGAACACTTGGGGGTCCCGGGTGGTTCTGCTCAGAGGCTGGCTGTCAAAAACAGGGGTTACGAGCCGCAGCCATACTCAAAGTAGACTGTCTCGGCAGGCCCCCCCCCCAGAAGCTTCATTTCATCTTCTTTCCAGGATCTGACTCTTATCCGCAGCCAGCACCCACTATCCGAAGCTTTTCACGCCTTTCCCGCAACGACAATAAACCCGCAGGGAGAACACGCGGGCGGGAGCTCTGATTTATCAGTCAATATACGGGAAGTTGATGCTCTATCTGTCTTACATGTAAATGGAGCGAAGGCCTGGGATAATGTTTATTGATCCTTCAGTTACTGGAATACAGTATGCCGAACCGGCTTGGCAGCAGAAGATTGAGATAGACTTTCTCAGCCAAAGGTGGACCTGACAGACGGCATGATATTCACCCAAGCAAATGTTGCTGGCAGCTTTCTTCAGGAGGAAATAGAACCGCATGATTAACGCTTCCACGCTAGTAGCATGGCTACGATGTATTCGCCGCTGGGATCCAGCAAACCAGGGGATAATCGAAGTCGGTAGCCGTGCTTTAAAGCACTCTGGTGCTGTCTCAGCGCCAGAAGGTGTGGCACCCATTCCAGAAACTGAGAAGGCTTAAGCCCCCACGCCTTACTGATACCATGTGCGCCAGAAGCAACCATCCCACTGCACGTCGCGCCTCTTTCTCCAACGAGCTTCTATTATTAGATTACTTTGCTCTTAGTAATCAGCTTCTGAAGAACCTCATTAGGATCCGAGATGGTCAACATTTGGTTTTACCAGCGAGAGTAAGAGCAACTTGAAGAAGGCGTCATCGGGTAACAGTTTTGTCACCGTTGCCACATAATCCAGAACCATCGCGATAAGACAATGACTGCGAATTAATATATGTGGGGGTAGCAAAAAAATTATACCCATTACACCATCGAAGTGTTCCTTGAAAGCAGGACCGTGCTGTGGAAACACAACGTTGCCGCAGACATTGGGAACTGTTATGACGAGTACGGCTATTTTGACGTAGGCAAATTGATAATTCGACGTATCTAACCACTTTCGTCGCCTTCGCCACGCAGCCACTTTTACCCTTGCAACCTCGAAAGTACTGATTCCCAGAGGTACAATACTTTTTGCTGGCGGCCCCAGCAAAACTATTTTCAGCTGCAAGGGCTAGCACGCGTCAGTCAGTATTAGGTAAGTTTGAGGATAGCAGATCAGAGGAAGACACTAACCTGTGGCCTACAGATGTAGACCCCCTTGTTTTTTGCCTTGGAAATCACGATTCATACACCAGCAGTCCCTCCAACTATGTCAACAATCAAAGCCCCAACGTTTGACGAGTGTTACCTCCGCGTACGCCTTCTGTATCGCGATAGGGGAATTGCCCTGAGTATTAGGCGATCATACCAAAGCGGGCGACGTGTTGATATTATTTGTGACCGTGGGCGACGATACAGTAGCAAGTCCCAAGTGCGGAAAACGAGCAGCAAGGTCTGTGACTGCCCATTTGCTGGCAAAATTCGATTCCTACCCGAGACGAACGAATGGATATGGGAGGTGCTCGCTGGCCGTGATTCGCACAACCACGATCCTGTTCTTGAGGGGAATTTTGAGTCTGTTCCTGCCTTTCGAACTCTGAGCCAAGCAGAAGCGGAGTTTCGGAAGACATCTAGTGATATCGAGACGAATAAACCGTCGATTATCGACCGGGTTGAGCAACTATCGAAAGCAAGAATAAAGTCACGGGATATCGCAAGTCAGATTCGTGAGCAAGAGAACGTTATAATAACTGCCTACGACGTTAGAAATATTCAACAGAAGCTCCGCCACGAGAAGTATGGCCCATTAAGCAGTACATCCGAATTTGCTGGCGGGGCCACTGTGTGGCTGTGACGGTGGATTTTACTGACGAAAGTGGTTAGATACGTCGAATTATCAATTTGCCTACGTCAAAATAGCCGTACTCTGTTATGACCCTGGGCTAAAGTCCCACAAACCCTCTCAACCTCCCCAGCTGGTCAGCGCTTAGCAACCCTTGATGAGCCATCGTCATGCCCACATGTCTGGCTGGCACGCCTTGTAACGGCCCGTTTGATTGGGCCCTTTCCGATCTCAAGACTTTCCTAAGGGGTCCATCTCCGGTAGCACAGGGGATTTAGCAATCGACTTGGGCTTCTTTCCGTCGATGCCAATCTCCGTGTGGGAATGAATTCACAGCCGACTCGTCTCGAGTCTCCATTGCTCCCCCCCTCAACCACCGCACTAGACCGTCTTATTGATCCACCCACTTGTGTGTCAACATACAGGGACTAAAAGCGCCAAGATATGTGGCCCAGCTTCGCCCACCACCTCCTGTACAGTCAGGTCCAGCTCTCGTGACTGGCCTTATCCATCGCCCTACAGCGCGGCTAGCCCGTTAACGAAGCGCAGATTGGCCTTGCTGATTTTTTCCCATTCAACATGTCACTCATCACTAACGAATGAGAAGTGTGCTCAGCGCTAAATATGGCCAACCTCGCCTGCAATCCGATTATCCGAATGAAGCCTCTCTGCTCTATCCCCTCTTCTCGTTCGATTCCTCCAGGTCGACAATGGATCCTGCGACTGCATTGCCTCTGGAAATGATACTGTGGTCTTGGGGCCCCTGCAATATGTCGCCTTCATTTTTATGCCTGTGGTGTTCATGGATTGGATCCCGCTCTGGGTTGGCCCCCTCTGCTAGTTTAGGATGTGAGACCCAGCTGTTCTTCCCCTTGTTGTCCACATAATAAGTCGACCATCAGCCCAAATGATGGAGACACCGTGGATCCGCTTGGCTGCTAGATTTTGTTGCGAACCCGGCCTCCATGTCTTTGAACGCTGCCCATTCGATTCGACCACACACACATACTCTCTCTTTCTCTCTCTCTCCCGGTATAGTTTTAATTCTCCAGTCGTGCAACGTGCTTTCCCATACGCCCATCAGAGTAGGCCGCATCTTTCCATGCGCCGACTGTGATCGAGATAGATGAAGAAAGCCGAGTATCTCCCAATGGGTCCTATGGTAAGTCCCTGTCTGCCACTCTTGGTTGCCTTGGCCATCCACTCCAAGCTTCCACTCCAGTATTCGTTGATCTTTCTTTCCGGTCACAGTTCTTGAACAGCTTGACTAAAGGATTGGTTAGAAGTATGATGAAGGCCCGGAGGTGGCTCCCCAGCAGGCATCCCTAGAGGTGTACCACTCCCCTCAGTCCTATCCCTCTTCGCCTCAGCCATCAGCCTTTTCGCCGGTTCAAAGGCAAGACTCGTCATTCGGACAGTATTCCGCGACGACAGTTGACCGATCCGTGTACGCCCATGCCGTACTTCCTCATCCTCAGTCAGCATATCACATGCCCGCTGTAGAGTCTCCCCCAACTAAAAAGTACAAAAAGACAATCTGCGGCTGTACCGTACTTGTCTTTATCCTTTCCACAATCATCGCAGCCTTGGCTGCCGCTGTCATCGGCCTCGCAGCAGGTACCGGCGTAGAAGCGAGTCGTGCCCAAAATGCGCTTGAACAACTGGCAGCACTGCAGGCGTTGATGCCTACTGGCACGGCTACAGCCACGTCAACGACTGCGGCAACAGCCACATCAGCGTCCGCCTCGGCGACGGCGACAAGCTTCGCTTCCATCTCCAACGACTGCTCTAATGCGGACGAGACGACGACCGGACAGACGTACACCACTGATTGTAAGCCCGCGAAGTGAGAGCATCCCATAGGACCCTACTAATACCATGAACAGTCTTTGGAAAAGTAACTTACACGATGTTCTGCAATTCCAACGCACCAAACGTACCTATCATGTCGCTCTTTACCGCCAACTTCAACAACTGCATGGACGCCTGCGCTGCCTTCGCCTCGTCTAGAAAGGCCTTCGCTGCCAACACCACATGCGCCGGAGTCAGTTTCATCCCTCTGTGGACAACGAGGCAGGGTGCGGTCGAGGGCAAGGCACCGGGTAACTGCTACCTCAAGCCAGGGCCGCAGACACGCTCAGGTCTGGAGACGCCAAATATCGGCACAGAGTGCCATGCTGCTATTTTGAACTCCTCATAGATTAAACAGCGTTATGGGATGGCGTCGAGCGTGGGGATCGGTTTGATGGCGCAGGCTTTCTGGTTTTTTGGTTTGTTATACCACTTGTATGGACTAGAACTTTCCTGTATATTAATTGGAGGCGACCAGGCGCAGACGGGGTATGTGGGAAGACATGGCATTGTTATAGAGATGCGAAAAACAAAATTCACTTACACTAGAAGATTGACTGAATGCCACAAGGCCTTGCGGTGACGTCAAATTTCAGAACAACTTATGACTAAGACATGTGGCATACATTCTCCAGTGATGTTGGACGTTGGCGGAGTTCCACCTCGTTGGCTTCAAGATATTTGAACGAACATGGCCATGTCGGAACCACAGATTAAGCCTTCATATGACGTGGGGTGGGGCGAACGGCAGAGCTGCCCGAGAACATACAGAGAACCCTGAAGGCAAGTCGGATCTGATCATTGGCCACGAAGACACTGAGCTTGTCGTGTCGGCCTAAAGGGTAATATTGGAAGCCCCAGCTGTGGACTGGCTGCAATCGGATCTTCACAGGTTCTGCGTGTTGTGGCTCCCGTTGGGCGTACCGCGGGACGAGGGATTAGCCGACCAATCCAGAGGTTGGTTTACCCGCGAGAAGCTAGGCCAGCGGGCGCAATAGCCATGTTTTGACTAGGTATCACAGTTAGTTGCAGTGGAGTGTGGGATTAGGAAGAACGGCCTCGTCACATGCCGTTCCTTCTTTCCTCTTTTCTCGTCAGTAGCACTTTCCGGCACTAAATATGACTGCCAACACGACAATTGCTCATGTCAACCATGACTCTACAACACTATCCCATCTTCAGGTAAACGGGGGCCATCTATGACTTATAGTAGAGCTCGGCCGTCCTGCCAAAATCCTCTTGGTTCGGAAAAGCCGCCCATAAGCCGCCTTAGTAAGCGGTGACGGCCATTAGCGGCATCAGGGAGGTCAAGCCAACCGGCCCGCCTGCTCTCCAAGCTGCCAGGTGCGAACTCGTAAATGGTTTTTGTCCATTGTTCAAACCCCGTTCTTCGGCAATTTTATCCACTTCAAACCGATACTGAGCGACGCAAGCCATGAACGTCAGTTCAAGACTCTTGATGCTGTCCGGCTTTGGACCAACTAGGATATAGATGCTCCTCCGACCTCGCAGTCAGCTGGGAAAAAAGAAAAAAAAAAGGGTCCAGCAAGAACACGCTTTTGTCCAAGCTTGTCGTACGGTGGTGGGGCCCCGAATGGATGAGATTCCGAGTCTAACGCACGCCGAGACAGGGACCGAAGAAGGGCTTCGATCCCTTCTGACGGCGGTCGGTGTCCTGCGGTACCGGACGGGATGCGGTTATCGGCCCCCCCTCCCTCTAGTTTGGTGCCTCATGCCTCATGCCTGCATACAGCGCGGATACGAGTGCGGAGAAACTGTCGCGGTGAATCTACTGCGAAAGGAGCCTTGGACCGGACATCTGTCATTGGTTAGAGTCCGTGTCGAGTCGTCGCTGACAACGGGAAAACCTGTCTTTGATTTCCCTAGCGTAACCTGGGCACGACGTGTAGTCGGGCAGGATTGCCAGAACCATTCTGGATTGGAAACGAGCAAGGCGGGATAGGTTCCGCCAGAACGTCAACATGAAATTGCCCTTGGCACAGTGATACACATGCTCGGCTCGAACATTGACTCGAACATTTACGGCGCTGTTCCCTAGTGTCGCGGCTGAGCACTCCGAAGCCGAAGCCGCCCTCCTCTTCAGCCAAACCAAGATTGTACAATGCGGCTAGAGGATGGTCCCAAAAGACTTCGCGCTTGTCTCCTTCAGCAACCAGCGGCGCAGTTTTTCTGAAGCCCCAGACGTGCTGTTCTGGGTGAATGGCTGCAACTAGTGGGTCTATTATTAATGTGCGTTACACAGGGGGCAGCGATACAGACCTCTTAGCGGCACACCGTGGGTTGATCATAGCGAGGCTCAACTCACTATGGTGCTGACGGCCTTACCGTAAGACGGGCATGTTCAGCCTACAGAGAAGCGAAACAAGGGCACAGCAGGCTACACCGCAGTCTGCACATGGTAATCACCAACCAGAAAGCGAGCCAGACCCTCGAGCTGCAACCTCGCTGCCGCAATGGCATACTTAGTTCGTTCATTGCAGTGCCGCTCACCAATGCTAGAAACGACATGAGAGTTCTAGAAAGCCCCCCCAGCGTTATGATCCGATAACGATGACCACCAAAGTCCCAAAGCGCATCCTTGTATTCGCGATCTCGTTGCTGCCTTGCGGAGTCGCCTCTTCGACCACTGACGCGTCTCAAAGAATGGCGTTTCGGTCGGGATGATCTAGCAACGAGGAAATGATAGAAACGGCTTCTTTTGTAACTCAATTGCACCCAAGCCGAACACATTGCGGCAAGCCGACTGGTGGCCCAGTTATCCTCAACTACACCAACCACCACTCCGACTTCGTCCCCGCAACGTGGGAGGCGCTACTCCATGCACTAAACCTACAAGCGACACACCGGCGCGGGCGTAAAGGCGGGGGTGCCCCCGTCGGGAGGGTGTAAACTTGTCGAGCGAAGGGCGCACTCTTGACAAGTTGATGCACACGCGACCCATACGAATCCTGGTCTCTCGAGCCGTCTAGTGATGACTCCGACTTGGGACATCCGTCAATGCTGGAGTGCAAGCGGCTTGTTCTAACGTATTGCGAGAAGAGAGAGGCTTTGAATAAAAGAATTCAACACCTGGAGCCAGGTTTTCCCATTTTTGTATCCTTCATTCTTATACATCTTATCAATTGCCTCCGACCGACCTTGATTTGTCAAAGAACGCCAAAGCCGGACTAGCCTCCCGATCATCTTGCTTGTCGTGGGAAGATTACGCTGGGCGGGGCTTCGCCTTTTGGCTATTGACAATTGACGACACTCTTGACGCGACATCGAGAGGCTACGCCCTGCCGATTTACATCTGCAGGAGCCGCTCCATGACGCCGACGCCCTTCCGCAAGTCAAGCAATCCTAACCGCGCCCTTTTTTAAGGGCGCTCCCTAACAATGACAACAATCCACGAAGACATGGACGAATTCGTCAATTGGGAGGCTGCAGCGGCAGAGGTTGGCAGCATCTTCAACATGCCATCCCACGACGTCCCACCTCCTGATCCCAACCTGGATCTCGTACTGGAAAATGTTGACGACGATGACTTTGGCTTCTTCGCTCTTCAGCACTTCTCCGGGGACGCTGCTCCTGGCGCTGCAGTCCCTGGCAGCACCCTTGGCACTTTAGACACACAAGTCAACACCGTCCCGGGCGATTCTTGCAACGCCAACTGCACTTTTGATAAGCACCAGTGCAACAAGCTGCAAGACTGGTGGGTCGCTCCTGAGTTTCCTTGCGACAATTGCACCCTCGGAGGCTATCAGTGCAAAAAGATTCGAGAGGGTCGCTACAAAGACTACTGTACTTCCTGCGTCGCTTTGCGCAGCGGATGCAGTTTCGCTACCCAACCAGTCGACTCTACCGATCTGTTTCTATCAGACGCTCTTCCTCAGAACCCTTGGCCAACCATGGGAGACCACCCAAGCACCATCCCTCAAGAGAACGGTGCCATTCCTGTCAGCTTGCCTGGGACGTCGACGCCGGATCTACTGACCAGCCTGGCCGGCTCCTCAGACGAACATGCTATGGCACTGCTTAACAAGGCAGCACCCCCGGCTAAGATTGGGGCGCGCTTCTCCAGAGAGTCGGTTCGCATCCTCAAGAACTGGCTTTCCACGCACACTCGTCATCCTTACCCTAGTGACGAAGAGAAGGAGATGCTTCAGCGCCAGACGGGCCTCAACAAAACCCAGATCACCAACTGGCTTGCCAACGCGCGGCGTCGGGGCAAGACCCAGGCTCCTCGCTCCACCTCACCACATGTTCGTAGCAGCTGGAGCGGCCCTATTGATATCCCTCAACGACGAGGAACTCCTGCTCCGGATGGCAGAACGAGGAGCATGAACCCTCTCGAGCGTTGGGTGGACTCTCCGCCCGAAAACGAACCCGCCACTGTGACGGCTATTGCTCGCGCCGTTGCCTCTAGCTCCGGAGCCTCATCTGGTAAGCTTATAACCCTTTCACTCTGGCTGGCAAAGCATGTTGGATAGAACGTCACTGACCCTCCTTCAGGTCTCAACAGCCCTTACAGCTTCAACTTCACCGACGACGGATCAGGCCGCTCTCTCTGCAACGCCTCTTCGGCAAGCAGTGTCGGCACTTCCCACTCCAGCGGTGGCTCTTTTGCATCCGCCTACTCTCATGCATCCCGCGGATCGTTTGGCTCGTTTGGATCCTTCAACCGCGGCCGTAGGCGTCGTAGGAGGCGTGCCGGTGGAAACCCCAGTGATGAAAAGACGTCTCTGGCCACGCCTCTCAAGACCTTCCAGTGTACATTCTGTACCGAAACTTTCAGGACCAAGCACGACTGGCAGCGGCACGAAAAGTCTCTCCATCTGTCTTTGGAGAGGTGGGTTTGTGCTCCAGATGGCCCCGTGGCTCTCAACCCGCAGACAAATCAGCTTTGCTGCGTCTTCTGCGGCGAAGCCAACCCCGATAGTGCTCATGTCGAGTCCCACAATCACACAGCTTGCCAGGAGAGGACTCTCGAGGAGCGCACATTCTATCGGAAGGATCACCTTAACCAGCATCTGCGTCTGGTTCACAACGTCAAGTTCGTGGATTGGTCCATGAAGGCATGGAAGGTCGCTACACCAGAGATTCGGTCACGTTGCGGTTTCTGCGGAGTGGTACTTCCCAATTGGACTTCTCGTGTTGAGCATCTGGCAGAGCATTTCAAGACGGGTAATACCATGGCGGACTGGAAGGGTGACTGGGGTTTTGAAGCACCGGTACTCTCTATGGTCGAGAACTCTATCCCACCTTGTATGAGACCCCTCAGATATCCTGTAGACAAGCTACCGACGTCTAACTGGTAAATAGATCTCATTGATAATGAGCGAAACACTCCCTACCCGTACAAGGCCAGTGGTGTCCCGGCAGAGACTCCCAGGAGCGCTTACGAACTTCTCAAGATGGAGTTGGCACACTTCATGCAGAACCATCACGATAAAACCGGCCGAATGCCCGGAGAAGAAGAGATGCAACTCGAAGCTTGTCGTATCATTTTCGCCTCTGAAGTTTTGTCTATCAGGGAGATCTCATACCCTTTCTCATGGCTGCGTGATTTGATCATGGCGGCCGAAGATATTATGAGACAAGCCAAGTTTGGTCCCATGCGTTCGCAGATTGAAAACAGACTGTCAACCCTGAAAATTAATGGCAAGGACAACTTGTTCGAGGCCTGCCCGCTTGAAAACCAGCTCCACGAATTCGTGAGAGCCAAGCGCCTATTGGGCCTAACAGCCATGGACGAGGAGCTACAGGAGGAAGCTTGTAAGATTGTCGGTCGCATTGAAGAAGTATCGACCACGCCGTCCGACTTCATCGCCAACTGGCTTGTTAAGCTCATCTATAACTCGACCGACTGGCTAGCCAATTTCCGGCAGCGTGCGCACCTCCCCCGGACCGAAGACATTGTAAACGCGTACGAACGCTCTACCGACCTGACTAAAGTTGACTCAACTATCCACAACTACACTAGACTGGAACGGTCGCTAGCGGACTACATGACTTCTCAGAGGGCACTGGGTATTGAGCCTGACGACGCTGACCTCCAACGACAAGCCCGTATCATCATCTACGAGTTCGACGATGGGTGGAACCAAACCGCCGCCGACAACCTGGAGTGGCTGTCTGCTTTCAAGCAGCGCCATCAGTTCAGCCCATCTGCTTCGGGGTCCAGCCTGACCACTTCGCCTGCATCGCAGGGCCAGTTGGTAACAGAGGGAGCCCAGCTGTCAATGTCAGGATCTTCCTCGAATGTCTCTTCGGCTAATGTCTCCAGTGGCATAAAGTGCCCGCTCATGACAGATGAAGCGGCTGGAAGCTACGTGGGATCGAGCCCCTCTACATTCGTCAAGACGGGCCCTTTCTTCTTGAATGACGCTAACTGCTACCGACGTCTGGCTCGAGAGCTTGGTCGTTGGGCTGCTGCAACCATGTCGCCCAACAACCCTAACTTCCACGTCCCAACCGATGCTGAAATCCAGCACCAAGCTCGTTGGATTCTGTACGACGAGTAAGTCCCTTTTTTTCCTCACCGCATTTCCCAGACCGTGCACTAACATTCATTTAGTGACGACCCATGGAACCAGACAGCAGCCGACAACGCCGAGTGGCTGCAACGCTTCAAGCGTGACGTTGGCATCACCAAGGACGCGGGTCCGGGTCTTCCACCGGGCGATTCATGGTCCATTTCGCAGGGCGGTACGGGCTTCGCGCCTCCGTATGCCTTCCCTAACGGGAACATGGCACCCTTCAGTGACAAGTCGACGGGCGTACCGATGCGGGACCTCAAGACGTTCGACACAGATTCGGCAATCCTCAACAAGTACCTTGAGACCTTCAAAACGCGCTACGCGAAGCCGGCAACCATCTTCTGCGCACGCGAACTTGAGGACGGGCTTATCCGCTTCGTCGAGACGGAGTTCGCCATCTCTGGACGCTTCCCCGATGATGACGCCCTCCGCACGCAGGCCAGGCTCATTTTGAACCAGCCCAACACCGCCGCAGACGACCAGACGCTTCTGGATAAATTTAAGAATTGGATGGCTACGAGGCAGTCGCAGGCACAGTCACAGCCGCAGCAGCAAGCGGCTTCGTCGTCGTCGTCGGCGGCTTTGCCTACCGGCATGGACTTGACGCTTTCAGACGCTGAGATGAACAATATCTTGCAGAATATGAATATTGAATTCAGTGCGGCGGATCTTGAGGGTCTAGAAATGACCATGGGTATGGATCTGGGCGGCGGCGCTCCACTTGGCGGCGGCCCTGCCAACTAGGCAGACAAGTCAACATTGACATGATGCTTGCGAAACAGTCCAACGCTCAAATAATTACACTACGATCTTTCAAGTTTCTCGTATATAAAATAAGGGTTTTGGGGGCTTGTTTCGGATTTCAACTGGAAAATAAAAGGCTTCGGCCGGCTCAACGGGCTTAGAAAATGGGGATTGTGAATGGATGGTGGTGATTAGGTGCTCTTTAGACATATCAAGTTAATACCCAATACAGAGTTAAGTAAAACTAAACATGGAACTCTTGTGATCCCGAATGTTGTATCGTCGTTGTCTGCGTGATGAATGTCATTGTTGACAATCAATCTCACAGCACACGCGGCCGAACCTAACCAAGAGCAAAGCTAGGGGAACTCATTAGCTAACAACTGGAATCTACTCAAGAGCAAATCCAAGATGCCGATTCTGTGAATAGGTTATGCCGCCTTGAGTATCTGATTATGTGTCAGTCGAAGTCGTGTAACGCAGGGAGAGGCAATAGTGCAGTGTATGCATCGGCGGTGTGCCCTGTGCCCCGGCCAGCATTCTCCTCTGACTGGCCTTTCCATACCGTACTCTTACTCGCCAGCTTTGACAGATACTTGCAGACCGCTATTCCGTTCTATGTCTCTGCTGCCTGGGACTGCGGCCTTTGGAGAACTTGGAGCTTCTCGACCGCGAAAGACCCCGTAGTTGGCCGTCGCCTCGTGGTAGAATGTGTTTGAACGTTCGGCTCAATCTCAAGCCCGGAAACCGTCCCTTAATCCGGCCTCCCATGTAAGCTCTTGAGACAAAAACGTGGCAAACTGCGGCGCCAAGCCGCGATTGCATTTCCTCTCCGCCCTTTGCGACAATGCTCGATCTGGGGAAGACGGCCTCCAAAGAAGCGGACCTGACGTTCCGGCGACCGAGTTGCGTTTCCGTTTGTTTTCGACACCGCTTTCGAGACCCTGCGGCCTGAGCTAGCAGCAGGTTTTTTTTTTCCCCTTCCCCTGCAGTATTCGAGTGTATGGTGTTGTGGAGCGTGAGACCAGAGGGGCGTCGGGGTAGAGTTGAGGCTTTATCAATACCGCTGGTTATGATCTTGTTGTAGGTGCATGACGAGGGCGATGTCGGGGATGTCATCAAGGTTGTTTACTGCTGGTAGAGGGGTCTTGACGTTTTCAAGCGATTCGGGTAAATTTGGCAAGGCTGTCTAAAGGGGGCTGGAAGGGTCATGTCTGGTAGCTGGAACTGTTCCTCGCTAGTATCACGGAATAAGCTGACGTATATCTGACCCAGCATAACGCGTTGGTACGCAACGTAAGATTCTAGGTACGAAGCAAACCCCGGCCAGATTCAAATGTCACAATAAATAAATGAATTATTGATTGTATTCTATAAGCAATGCATACGAAATATATAATCTAGTCTGGCTTAAGGATTAATATGCGTCTTGAGCTTGCATGTCTGTAGACAACCATGTCCACACAGTTTAGCACGGAATTCACTGAATAAGCCACTCGCGTTCACAATTAATTCTTGCCAGAAGTAAGTCTCAATATTATCATAGATAATAGTTAAATCAGTATCGTAAAGGACCAGGCCGAGCTGCTATGGACGCAAATGCGCGCGGAGGGTGAGATTACCCGAAGTGTTAGCCATAACGCATTATGCCTGCCCCAAATCCGTGTCAACTGATATTTCAACGATGAAAAGGCGGGTTTTTGACATGAAAATGAAATGTATAAGTATTCATAAATGAAGAAGCATTTGTTGACATATCCTGATCATTCTACATTCTCTATATCCAACACGATTATACGCTCGAGTGCTCCTCAAAATAATTAGTCTTACCCAAACCGCCAACCTCAGTATGCCAAACTTCGTCTCCCCCGTCGACGGCGCAAAGCTCTTCTACCAATACCACCAGCCAGCCTCTCGATCAGCTATCAATGTGTCTCCGCGGGCTAATACTAAACCTCTGACCCTCGTCTTCCTCCACGGTTGGCCCATGTCTAGCCGTATGTTCGACCATCTCATCGAGCCCCTTGTGGAGACTCACGGTTATCCAATCCTTGCCCCGGATCGTCGAGGCTTCGGGAATTCAGAATGGGGTGCAGGTACAGGTAGCGGTGGGTGGGATACCTTCGTCTCCGACCTGACGGCGCTGCTTGACAGTCTAGCCCTCGGGGATTTTGCCTTTGTGGCAGCGAGCATGGGATGTGCCGAGAGCTTGCTCTCGTTTCTAAGCAGCAGCGAGTCCGTAAGGGAAAGATGCAGGGGTTTCGTCTGGATTGGGCCCAACATGCCATACAACCTCGAATGCGAGGCATGCCCATTGGCCCCCAAGGTGGAGGTCTGGGATTCAATCTTGGAAGGGCTTCGTGCAGAAGACAGCAAGGGGTTCGTGGAGATGCAAATACAAGGTGTCTTCCGCACCGATCTGGGGAACGTTGTACCCGACAGCGCACTTCGTTTCTATGAGGGGCTAGTGGCCGAGGCGGATCCCGGTGCAGTACAAAAGACAGTGGCCATTTTCCTAAAGGACATGGTAGAGGAGGTAAGACGATTTGCCGCCAAGAGTGAGAGTAGGCCCGTGATGATCTTGCACGGAGACTCGGATTCTGGGATGCCTGTTGAGTGCAGCGGAATGGTGCTCAGAGAAATGATTCCTTGGGCGGAGTTGAGCATCTACGAGAATGGTGGCCACGGTAAGGCTGCTTTACACTTAACCTCACGATATAGTACTGATAGCTTCTTCTAGGGCTTTACCTGACGCATTCTGAGCGGCTTTTGCAAGACTTACTCAAGTTTCTTGAGGGGGGATTGGGCAAACTGTAGAAGCATTAGACGGCGCTAGGTGAAGAAAGAGTAAGACGGCTGTACTAGTCGTCCCTAATCCGACACTGTAAAGTCTGACACTGTACAGAGGTCAGGTTTGGTCGCAAATTGATAGAGAGTACTTTCAAAAGAGCGTAGACGTAGCACATATTGGAGTATCTTTTTATCCGTTATGTTGATACAGTTAACATGACGCTTATATTAACACTGTGTAAGAAAACTGCCGCCTAACGAACATGCTTAAAGGACATACGTGCCTCGACTTCATCGTCATTCAGCCAAAAGAACCTTGCAATCAAATTCTCCGGCCGAGAAGTCAATTAGAGTCCGAATACTGCATGGACTTTTCATAACACCTCCTCGATCAATTCGACTGCTTGCACAAGGGACAGGGGCCCATCGCTGTCACATTCAACCAATCATGGAAGCTGCAACGAGCTCAAGACGAAGCTCCGCAACAGCCTATAGTCGACCTAGGACCCGGCAGCGAGTTCACAAAGCACCACCAACTCTGGAAGTGCCAGACATTGAAGAGAATGCCTCTGAGAGAAAGCGGGTGTTGAATGTCCTGGCCCAACGAAGATACCGTAAGCTCGCAGTCCCACTACACCTAGGCATCTCATTGGACGACCACAACGCGGCACATCTAGATATACCCATACTGACTTTAAACAGGAGAACGTAGGAGGCAAGACCGTGTCGCCAAACAAAAGCAAGGAGACTCAGAGGGACAACCTGATGGGGCAGGCTCTGACAGCCTGACTCCAACCGTGCCGGGCGCCGCCAACCTAGTTGATCAAACAACAGACGACCTTTTGCCGTTCACTGATGATGGAAAGGACGCTAATGCGGTTGGGTTCAGCCTGGACGCAGCTACGGCCTGGACGACTGAACCGTCAGATGGGCTCGCTATGTCGGAGTTCATATTCGGTACGATGAACACGTCAATACTCGACCAGAGTCCAACCAGTGCTACGACAATGCTAAATTTGTCTTCCTCACCGTCAACAGTTGACCCGGCGTCTGTCATGAATAGCTCGGCATCCCCATCGTCATCTTTGTCTGAATTCTCAGATACCTACCTGCTTCCAATGAATGACCTTCAGCTACTCAAGGGCGTCCTGCAGGTAGCGACTAGACTTGGGTGTTCTTCTGACATGTGGAACCCTGCGGCGAACTCGCCGTTCAATGAAGGTGCAGGGACGCCGGCCGAGTTGCTTCCCGAGACCTGGAAGCCGACAACAGCCCAGATTCTAACGCCCCACCATCCGCTCATGGACTTTCTCCCCTGGCCGGATGTGCGGACCCGTGTCATAAGCTTGTTCAGTCTTCCCGACGCGATGCGACCGCCGACAGCACGTGGGCCTCTTGGACTGGTCAACTTCGCGTATGACTTGGAAGACACGTCTGAAGGCGTGCGTATTTGGGGCGCTGATCCGTGTGATGCATCGAATTGGGAAGTCGGCCAAACATTTTTCCAGAGATGGTGGTTTGTGTTTGACAGGAGCGTTATTGAACAGAGCAACAAGTGGCGACGGCTGAGGGGTGCTGCGGCCTTGCAGCTGATGCCTGGTAGCGTAAGCCCTGTAGTGGATGATGTCTGATGGGAATTGAGCCAAGTGTATCCTTGGTTATAAAGGCAGGCTATAATGACAGAAGTGACTGACGCAGGCGATGTTGTTCTGAACTACTTGGCTGGGCACCTTAAATTGCACGCAAAGCGCGGTGATGGACGGAAATTTAGCAAGTCGGCACTGAATTGGCTGTCACATTCAAGTCTCCCATAGGCAGGCAACCTATTGACCGCAAGACGCAGAGAAAACAACTCAACCATAACAAGCATCCATAGCCGGCAAGAGGCTAGGAGAGCGACATGCAGCACGCAGGTCGACGGGCTACTGCATGTAGTCGCAAGTTGAGAAAAGTATGGCTGAAGCTTATTGGCCTTGTTCTGGGACGAGGGCGGGAGTGTGTGGTCGATCAAAGGCGACTTAAAACGTGCAAAGTCAAGATCTTTCGAAATGGGAAACGAATTTGTCTAGCAGTCGTCCAGAGAAACATTGGGTATGCATGCGGGCGGTATTTCGCAGCTGGGTCGTTGGACGTATCGGATTCGGAAGTCTGTACATGTTTCGGAGAAACCTGCTTGTTATGTAACGGAGGTTGAAGCCGCCGATGTATCAAGAGTGGCTCTTCATGGTCAACCTTATTAGCACAGCCATGGCTTAAATTCCACTGTGTCTGGGACAGCGTCTGGTGCAGGTTGTACAACGGACTGAGAGTTGCAGCTGCAAGTTGTTCCATAGGCCAAGGATGACTTGCCCAACAACGTTTGCGGCGACTTTTATAGTTGGTTTGACAAACCTGGCGGGAATGGTGTTGGTGCACCGGCCCGTTTCCCTTGTGCTCTGGGTACACTAAACTTGTGTCGTTGTTTCTGCTGCTTTTCTTCCCCAGACGTTTGCTGAGCACGACCAGCCAATCAAACGGGATGTTCAGGCCACCACCGCTCATGGATGTGTCATTGATAGGAGCAACAGAAACAAGAGCGAAAAAAAAACAAGCGGGTACGGGTATCTGGAGATGGGGACTTTGGAGAGGAAACGGAGAATGGAGGTGGCCGACGACGGCTTCCTGCACTGCCCCTGTTCCCTGTCGAAAGTTTCGGAGGCAAAAAGGCGTGGCGTCAGTAAGACGTGGGTTGGCTGGAGGGACCAATTCCTACCGGGTCTGGCGGTGAAGCTCCATGCCATGCGGCTACCGCCTTCTGTTATTGGGTTTCTGCCTTAAATCCCGCAGGAACACAATGGAGGGGTTGAGGTACGGAGTACGTACTTCGCAATTAATCGCCAAAGCGGGGCACCTGCCCTCCATCTTCGGAGCTCAGCAGCGTTGGTTCGAGAGCATGTTCCTACCATGCGGCACCTACCACCCACCCACGCCTCACTACTAGTGGCCGCTGCCGTTCGTAGTGGGGGTCTGCTACTGGCTCTACGCTCCCCGCCAGAACTCTCCCCCAAAATTCCCAACTTCTCTTCACCTTCAAACCTTTGCGTCCTGATCCCTTGACTTACCTAGAGACTTGGACTGGATCTTTGGCAGACCCGGGGACCGGTGCTAGGAGAGAATCATCACATTTTCCCCCAGTGAGATTGTTCAGTGAGTAGTCCCCTTGCTTCAGTTCGACTTGTCTTGCATCCTCCTGCCGTGCCTTAAACACGCTTTTAACCCCTCGGACGTTCCATTTGTACAGTCTGTCATTCCACCCCGCTATCCTCTTCTCTCCCTGCTTCGCCCAACTCTCGCGCCGCTCTAAATAGCTTCACTTGTCCCCGCAATTCGTTGCTTCGCTGTCTTTTATCTTTCGTCTCTTGTCTTGATAGTCAATTGACTCTAACAAGCTTCAATTCCAGCATCCCACGAACCTAGAGAGCCCTTGGGTGGCCATTATTTGCTTACTTCCTTTCTGAACCTTTTCGAATTATTTTCTCGTCTCAACCGCCAACATGCATATCAAGGCTATGCTCGACGAGTCCCGTAGGACGGGCGAGCCCTCTTTCTCTTTCGAGTACTTTCCTCCAAAGACTGCCCAGGGTGTTCAGAACCTGTACGATCGTATGGAACGCATGTACCACTTTGGTCCCAAATTTATCGACATTACCTGGGGCGCTGGCGGTCGCATTGCTGAGCTCACTTGCGAGATGGTCCTCCAGGCGCAGTCTATCTACGGCCTCGAGACCTGCATGCACCTCACATGTACGGATATGGGCCTGGAAAAGGTCAATGACGCCCTGCGTAAGGCCTACAAGGCCGGTTGCACAAACATATTGGCTCTGCGTGGCGATCCCCCAAGAGAACAGGAGAAGTGGGAGGCCACCGACGACGGTTTCCGCTACGCAAAGGACCTTGTGAAGCACATCCGGGCCACCTACCATGACCACTTTGACATTGGTGTTGCCGGTTACCCTGAGGGATGTGACGACAACAAGGATGAGGAGCAGCTGCTGGATCACTTGAAGGAGAAGGTCGACATGGGTGCTAGCTTCATTGTTACTCAGATGTTCTACGATGCTGACAACTTCGTCCGCTGGGTCGGCAAGGTGCGTGAACGCGGCATCACCATCCCCATCATCCCTGGTATCATGCCCATCGCCACCTACGCTTCCTTCCTCCGCCGCGCCAAGCACATGAACTGCAAGGTCCCTGAGGAATGGATGACTGCCCTTGAGCCAGTCAAGAACGACGATGTTGCGGTGCGAGAGATTGGAAAGGGTCTCGTTGCCGAAATGTGTCGGAAGATCATTGCCGCGGGAATTCACCACCTGCACTTTTACACCATGAACTTAGCCCAGGCCACGAGAATGGTTCTTGAGGAGCTGGATTGGATGCCTTCATCCGACCGCCCCTTGAAGCACAATCTTCCTTGGAAGCAGTCCCTCGGTCTCGGCCGTAGAGAGGAAGATGTCCGCCCTATCTTCTGGAAGGGCCGTAACAAGTCCTACGTCCTGCGCACACAAGATTGGGACGAATTCCCCAACGGTCGCTGGGGTGACTCTCGATCGCCTGCCTTTGGTGAGCTGGATGCTTATGGTATTGGCTTGACGGGTACAAACGAACAAAACCGAAAGAAGTGGGGTGAGCCCAAGTCCATCAAGGACATTGCCAACATCTTCGTCCGATACCTAGAGACCGAAATTGACTCACTTCCTTGGAGTGAGGCTCCCCTGACCAGCGAAGCTGACCCCATTCGGGAAGAGCTCATCGGCTTGAACAAGCGTGGTTTGCTCACTATCAACTCTCAGCCTGCCGTTGACGGCGTCAAGTCGTCTCATCCAGTCCATGGTTGGGGCCCCCCGAACGGCTATGTTTACCAGAAGGCCTACCTAGAACTTCTGGTTCATCCCGATGTCTACCACGAGATTATCGCCCGTATCGAGAAGAACCCGGACATGACCTATTACGCCACCACCAAGAATGGCACGCTGAGATACAACGCATCCAACGACAGCCCCAACGCCGTTACTTGGGGTGTCTTCCCAGGCAAGGAGATTGTGCAACCGACCATTGTCGAGGGTATCAGCTTCATGGCGTGGAAAGATGAGGCCTTCCGTCTTGGTACGGACTGGGCACACTGCTTTGAGGCCGGAACTCCCAGCAGAGTCTTGATCGACCGTATTATGAATGACTGGTACCTGATCAACATCGGTAAGCCTGGATCATACCACCCTTCATTAGAACCTAGCTAACACGTATTCAAGTCAACAATGACTTCCACCAGAAGACTGCTCTCTTCGACTTGCTCGAGGGCCTGTCCGTGCAGGAATACACCGACATCCCCTCTGAGCCTCAGACTAACGGAGCAAACACGGAGCAAAAAACGGAGGCGCCCAATGGCCATCCTGCTCCCGTCGCCGCCTAAGGTGACTTTTCATTATTGTCTAACTTAACTTCAACCCCCTTATATTTTCTAAGTATGCATCATGAGCGGCGTTTTCAACAGGTCAAAAGGATGGAAAAGGGGGGTTACTCGTGTTTTTTCAACAAAAAGGCACTTCTCACACATGAGTTCATCCAGGTGGCATTTGAGCGGCAAATGTATCTGGAGGCGAACTCGCACCAACACACACAACCAACATAAAACCTCGGAGGAGAGCGGAAGGCACAGAGAGGAGCATGCATATATCTCAACGATACCCCCAAAGGACTATGAAGTTTTTTTCCCCAACGAAAAAAAGTCTTGGAAGCCACAAGAGCTAGGAGTTTCAACACGGGTCTGTTTTATAGATGATTATTTTTCTTCTTCGGGATTTTATTTCACGTTTAGTAGCAGTACGCATGCTATGGAATGGAAAGAGATGACAACGAGACGTAGATTGGATGGTCATGATAAATGGGGGGAATGACGGTGCGGTGGAAGAACTGGGAATAGGCGGAGAGAGGGAAACCGATTTGACTAGGACCCGGCTCTGGCTGCGTTAGTTAGTCTTGTTTCAAAGCCGAATCAACTTGGGCTTGACTGTTTCCCATGACGTATAATACGATGCTCCCATTCCGATGCCATTATTGTGACTTATGAGGGAGCCTTTACGCTCTCAAAAATCATCGCTCACACGACGTTCTTCACAATTGCTCTTAGGCCGGATTTTTTTTAAGAAAGTGAGTTTTCTGGAACCAGCGGAATCTGATTACTTTCTAGTCTATCGACGCAAATCTGTATGTACTGTTGATCCCTGTCCTGCCTTAGTGAGCCAAAATTGAAGTCTGCAAATTCATTTTCTCCACGCGGACATTGAAAGGAATCCTGGACTCCTAGGCATCCTTCCCCTCTCAGTCTTCTCAAATCGTAGTAGTAAGTTCGGTGGTGCTCTCAGCTTCCGCTAGTTTGCAGTCACATGCGAATTTGAGCTTGTAATCGCTTTCAGTCATGCCCTCCAGCACGGCGAGTGCCCTCTTGGCAGCCGCCACTTTAGCGTAACGTACACTCTCCGCAGTGGCATGAAATTCAACTTGTCCATGAAACAACACTCCGCAAAGGATCCTTGTGCCTGTTATGACGCTGGCACCCTCATCAGTTGAGGGAACCCAGTCAGTCGCCATCAAGCGCCACTCCCTACAGCCAAACCGTTCGTGCAGAATGTGGCCGAGCTTCGTGACTGGATGACCACTGGCGAACGAGTCGTAAAGCGCCATATCATTGAAAAAGGGGCGAATATTTTTATCGAAAAACTTGCGGACTTCACCAAAATCGTAGCGAGAGTCGACGAACACGGCACCAATATAAGCTTCGACAACATCGGAGAGGTATTTGGGCGAGTGCTTGACGTTTGTCCAGTAGTCTTGCGAGAAGACGTCTTGGTCGCCAATTTTGTCTTCAGCCTCAAACTTGGCCAAATTGAGCGAGGATACATACTCTTCTCTTTGGCTTAGCATTGCAGAAGTTCCAATGAGGATATGCTTGTGGAGGCCTAGCTTCACACAAAGACTAGCAAGAAATTGATTGCTGACCATCGCCATTTTGTGCTCTGTGAGCCACTGCGGATCGGCGCCCGGAAATTTGTTGAAAAGAAAATCGACGCAGACCATGTCAAGCAGCGCATCGCCGAGAAACTCCAGACGTTGGTAGTTTGGCAAGCTCTCATAAGCCTTGGGGTAGGAAGGGTGCTTAAAGGCACTCCGCAAAAGGGCAGGGGACTTGAACTCATATCCCATCTCGTTTTTGATCTGGCGCACAATTTCACGTTGCACTGCCGTTGACTTCCTAAACTGCCACTCAGGAGGGATGTAAGCGGCATAGTAATCACTCCAAGAGGTCATTTGATGATTCTTATCCTTGACCATGGCAGTCACCGCTTGAATGGCCATGTCAAAGTTCCCACAGTCGGCGTAAGTCAGATATGCCGCACCGATGAGAGCCTCGCAAACATCGGCAATCGATTTGTCCCCAAGCGCATGCTTGTTGGCAGGCTGACTCTGTTTGCCTCGCTTCAGCTGCAGTCCTTGGGGGTACCAGCTACGTCGATCGAATGACCGCGATCGAACATACTCATAGAGTCTTTTGTCGACTGCCTTGTTGAAAAGATTGCGATTGCAGATCAGTAGCATGCGTTGAACATGGTAATCAAATTCATCCTCGTCTGGTCTGGAAGTGAAAATGGCAATGGTCGTAGCCATTTTCAAAAAGCAGTCACCCAGGAACTCCAACCGCTCGTAGTTGTTTCCCATGCCGCTTTGGAAATTGATCTTTTCCCGGTCATGCTCTTCGCTGTTATCTGAGTCTTTGGTCAAAGCCTCCAGCGCCAAATCTGGGCGAATGTCGAGGTTCAGCATCTTGCAAGCATCAAGTGCAATCATAACAGAATCAATCCTGCTAATTATGGCTGGAAACGTCGACGCCATGACCGCGACTTCAAAAGGGAGCTTCTCATGTCAGTAGGGACAACAATTGATTTAGTTTGATTGGATTGGTCTTACTGTTGATACTCTCAGAGGTTCCAAGATGACATAGCAGATTCGTTGTTCTTCTGTCATGGCTTTAATAGAATCATCAAGAAGGTTTCTTCTCAGAGACACAATTTCGGCCTCGACAACTGGCTGGTTCTTTTGCCATGTTCTCTTTTGTCGAGCTTTTGCCCAGAGACTGACACTGTATTCAATGATGTTCTTCTCTATGCTGTCGTCTCGCCATGCCCTGTGACCAGGATCAGGAACACCTGCAGGCACCAGATCCGTGGGCTTCATGTCAGTCCGAAGGCCGCGAAGATAAAACTTGCGAGATCCTGCATACTGATCAATGACTAGTTTGTCTTTAAAGAATTCTTGAGGTGTGTTCTCGTTCCAATCCAAATATTCCTTGCCCTTTGTAGCCCCCAGATGAGCCCAATCAATCAGGGAAGCCGGATCATCTATTTGAGAGAGCTTGACAGAGTGATCCTCTCTGGTTGGTGCTAGAAAGTAAGGTATGTCAGCTACGGATGCCTCATATTCTTTGCTGAAGACGTCTTTGAATATGCGGAAGGTGAACTCCTTTAGAGCTTCTGAATCGCTTGTTGATATTTGAATGGGAGTGGGCAGCGATACTGGGTGAACCTCTGAGTGATGGTTGTTGGAAAAGAACAGCGGAATGGTCGGAAGGTTGGGCAGCTGCTCTCTTGTAAGAATAATAAGTGGTTTTGAGATTCGACCTAGGGCCGCCGGCGTTTCCAATTTTAACACTGTGATGAACAACACGTCGAAGCTGCCAAGTCTGGACCAGACCTCTGGCTTTGAACGCATCTCGTACTCTGTCCTTCGGTTGGAACTGACGGCGAGTCGAGCGTTGCGCATCACAGGCAACTTTTTGACGAACACTGAATGCAAGTGATGGTCGATGTACCGCTTTTTGATCAGCAACTTGCACATTTCAAAAGCAGCAGAGCAGCGTGCTGATTGTTTGTTTTTATGAGGAAAGCCAATAATGCTCAGAACCGGAGATTGCGGAGGCAGTTGAACTTCTGCAACAAAGTATTGTCCCTGATTGACTATCACATACTCTGGTGCAAGCGTTTCGTGGCTAGATTTACGCAAGGAAGCTGTGAAGTGGGCCAACACCTCCAAGCTAGACCCCCACGTTAACTTTGCGCCGGTAGACTCAATGACGTATGATTTGTAATGGGATTCTCCTTGAAGAATAGTGGCTTCAGCATCCAGTCCGGCGATCTTTCTGTCTTCTGGAAGAGCCGTGCAGAATCTTCGCAGCGTAGACTGATCGTACATGGCTTGGGCCACAACTCTGCTGTGCCTTCCATTACCTTCCTCGATGAAGGAGAGGTACTCCGAGTCCATCTGGCGCGCGCGACCCTTGGACTGAATATACTGAATTGCGGATTTATACAAATCGAACCGAATGACAAGGTTACAGTTGGGTATGTCGATTCCCTCTTCTGCAATTTGAGTTGCAAAGAGACAGTTAACATCGCCGTGCCTGAATTTGGCGATGGTTAATATCTGCTCCTTGAGAGACGTGTTGGAGAAACCATCGGAACGGGCTCCGACCTAAAAACGGATATTAGCCACATGCCATACCAACAAATGAGAACCTTACCAAAACTGCCGGATTAAGGTACGGAATCTTGATACTATCCTGCTTAAACAAGTCAGCCAAAAGAAAAGCTGTCAATCGCATGTCGACAAAGACGATGCACTTGTGGCCGGTGGGTTTGGAGAAGCGCGCTTGCAATTCTTCCCACAACCGAAGAACCTTGATAGAAAGGTGCCTGAGAGTTGGGGTAACAGGAGTAAACTCATGAGCCTTGACAACATCCCGAAGTTTTTCGACAGCCCCTGTTTCCTCGCCTTTCATGTCGAGACCATAGTAAGTCATGTCGGTTTTGTTTGTCAATCTTAAGATTTCCACGTCTGTCAGAAACAGCTGCCACAAACGGTCAGACAACCAAGAACCGAGATAGGATGTAGCCTGGCGTGCAAATAGCAATTCCTTGCCAAAGTGGCGGTTGTAGCGGACGAGACAGGATATCTTTCGGTACAGATCAGTCTCGAATGGGGGTGGTAGGGTGTTGTAATGGACTTCCTTTTCCGTGATCTTACGAATATGGGGATTCATTGAGATGGAATACTCTGAGATTGTGGCAATCTCACTGTGAAGAAGGCCCTCGAGACGCGCGGCAGCAACCTTGACATCAGTTTGGGCATCCACAGGCGAAGCGGTCATGCCGAACACCTTGGGTCTTTTGTCCTTATCCGGCTCTTTAACATAGTAGTCCTTAATGATGCGAGCGTAAGGATGATCCTTTTTGGTATGATGAGCCTCGTCAAAGATGAGAAGGTTGATCTGTTCCATACGAATGTATGAGTGTGCTAGACACTTTTGAAGGATGGCTGCTGTGCAGACAATAACTTTGTTTTCTTCAAATTGTCGGTTCCAGAATTCGTGAGACCACATCGAGTCGACCATTTCTCCGCAAAACTTAGCCACTGGGTGTTCTAGATTACACTCGAGAACAGCATGCTGCTGAAATACGAGCGACACTTTGTCCACCTGGCATCATGGTCAGATGCATCTGCAGTGGACGAAGTCCCAGAACACTTACTAGAAAGAAAGCAATGCGTTTTCGCATGCCGATCTCGCGTTCATTTATTTCCTTGTCGAGCACATACTGTAGTAATAGCGCAGCAATCAAAGTTTTCCCGGAGCCTGGTTAATCGTCAGTAGGAACAATATTGCTGTAGTACAATAAGAGCATACCTGTATCGAGGACTGCAATGATATTTTTGTTCTTGGCTCTTTCGAAGAGTTCAATCTGATATTCGCGTGGAGTTTTTATAATCTGTGTCGCATTCTTCTTGATGAGGCCTGCAGCCGAAAGATCATCCAAGATTTTAGACGGAGAGTCTGTCGACACGGCCTTGGCGAAGTTTTGAAGGGTCGCCTGATCCATTCTTTTCTTCTGGGAGATCGTCCGAGAATTTTCAGGATTCACGCTCCATTGGACATAATTGTCCTGGTCACTTTCATCACCCTCGCTATCCTCTTCATTGTTGCCATCACCCAACTCATTCCTCTCAACAATAAGAGAAGACGGGAAGGTACAAGCATCTGCACTAACACTCGAGACTTCGAAGAAACTAGCGATTGAAGGTGATTTTGCGCTAAATGGAGACGTTACGAATGAGCTGGCGTCGTTGCCAAGTTCAGTTGCCGCGTTCGTATCACGAGTTTGCGGGTCAAGTGTGTTTGGCGCTGTTGGTTCATCAAGAAAACCCGACGGAACAACTGGGTGGTCTTTGTGGACGAGCATCTTCGGAACTCAAGATAAGTAACCCAGTGTCAGTAAGGTTTGTTTTCGTCGAGTATACCAGAGTTTGGTAGTTTGAGATGTATTCCTATAAAACAGTCATCAGTGAATCACTGTACAATGGGGGGTAAAGATGGACAACCTCTACGAAATTCTCTTTTCGGGAAGGCATGAACAAGCGACCAAGTACATACCGCAATGAATTTGTTGTTTTGGCAGCCCAATATTCTATTCCGGATCTGGTCAGAAGGAAAAGAAGAGGAAGGATTAAACGCTGCCAGTTGCGCAGCAGGGACTGCGACAACCGCCTTGCAGAGATATGTAAACGTAAATATGTATGTAGAGTAGCTGAGGAAGTAGTCGGGAGATGTAACCATAGTTAAGAGAAACTCTGTATAGTCCAGAATAGCTCTTGCCCCTCTCTGGCTGTAAGCGTGTGAAGTGATGCTCAGGTGGAGAAAGCAGTGAGAGGGAAGTACTGGAAATTATGAGGCTATTAAGTTCAATTCTCTATATTAAGCGTCAATTACAAATAAGGGAAGGCATAGCTGGAGTGGAAACAGAAAGAGAAGAGACATGAGAAGGGAGATTGGCCGTTTTCCTAAATGGATTTCCGGCGGAAAGCAGCATATGAGCAAACAAAATAGTCGCGACATATGCGAGTGAACGGAAAGGTTTACCCGCTAAGCTAGGAGAACAAGACCACAAGTTCAAATTTAGATTAATCATATTTCATTGACCAGAGCCGCCAGCAATGATTATGTGGTTGGTGCAGAAGCGTACTTCTCTTAACCAGGACAAGGCAAAGAGGCGTTCCTGAGTTTGCGGTCAGACAATCCTCTGTGGTAAGGGAAACACCAGATTGTCCATGTCCATATTGATACAACGCATTAAACATCATTAGGATCTCCATCAAGGCACTTGGGCGCATTGCACACATCGGCAAATGAATCTCAACCTTTAACAGTACGTTTGTCGAATAAGGTTGCTCATCCCATTAAAGCTTCGAGCCGCTTCCATTCCAATCCCTGCTTCATGCCCCGCTTCTTATGCGCTAGTGGAGCACTAGATAAGATAAGAAGCTAGACCCTGGGGCGGGGCAAACGGAGTCTCGTCGCCACCAGAGAACGTCTGGCCGTCTGCTCTCGCGATACTCACTTCAAGTTGGAAGGTGGTGTAGTCTTGCTAGCTTAACCTGAGCCGTCGCAAGGCACTAAATAACCTATTATAAATAGAAGCTTACGCGAGCACCGATATCTCCAAGACTTTTGCATACCTTTTTTTCCCTTGCAAATTCGTCTCAAAACCCCGCAAACTACCAGCCCTAGATTTCTACGTTTCCGATAACTGAAAACCGCAACCATGTCAGACGAGGACAAACCGCAGACACTGAAATCCGTTTTCGAATCCGCCGAAAAGAAGCGTATCCTCCTCGAAAAGTCATATGAGGCGTCATCGCCTACCTACCAAGACGACCTCCGCACGGCCATCAGCGAGTATGAGTCCTGCCTCGACATAATCTCGCGCGCCGCCCTCTTCTCCCCCAACGAATCCCTTGAGGACCTTCCGACCTCCTCCCTGCCGTATCTAATTATCACATTCCATCTCGCCGAGCTGCAACAAAAAATACCTTCACGCCGGCCCATCGAGCGTCGCGTCGCCCTCGAGCGCGCCCGTGAGTCTTATGAGACGTTCCTCGGTCTCCTCGACTCCTATGACCTGTTGTCTCAAGACAACAAGAAGCTCTACTCGAGTTATACGGACGACCCTCTTGCATTCTCCACTCTGGGTGGCACCGATCCCGCCAAGCGTCGGGACGTCAAGATTGCCAACTTCAAAGCCGAGCGGTCGCTTAAAGAGCGCCTTGAGACACTGCGCCGTGACCCGCGGTATCAGGATGAGGAGGGCGATGACGAGATTGTGCGCGACCTGCACCTTGCCCATGTTGTGTACGCTGCGCACATGGCATTCCAGGGTCTAGAGGGCATCAACCGCGAGATGGAGGTGCTGGCGCAGGCCACGGTGCCCCTGATGCCGTCCCCGTCATCTGTCGAGGACGACAACCGCCGTCGCGCCGAGGACCGCAGTGCCGAGGGCTTCACAGACCGCCTCGAGGCACCCCGCCGTCTGCGCAGTATGTTCGGACAGCCTGGCGGTCCGCTGCTCTCAAAGGAGGGCAAGCCACTGCAGCCGTTCACACTTTTGGGTTCGAGGCAGGAAATGGCAGCCAACGTGTTCCGGCCAGGCCACAACTTGCCCACGATGAGTATCGACGAGTATCTCGAGGTGGAACGAGAGCGGGGTGGTATCATTGAGGGAGGCGGCGAGGCGAGCTGGCACCGGCCCGAGCCGGATGAGGATGATTACGAGAAGGCAGACGAGGAGACAATGAAGGCGAGGGCCTGGGACGAGTTTGTCGAGGCGAACCCCAAGGGATCTGGAAACACGCTTAATAGAGGCTGAGAGGAGGCAGATTCAGGTGACCGGAGTACATACAGGGAGGATGGGAGTTTATGCATAGACCAAAAAGGAGAAATACCACGATCAGGACGAGGGCTCACTTTTCCGTGAGGCAGAATTCTAAAAGCATTTTTAGCATCAACCGAACGATGAAGAACATGTTACATTTACGAAGTTATCCATGTGCTATGAACTGTCAACCGTCTTCTTGTCATGAAGGCACTGCTGTCATGCCCTTTTGGTTCCAAATTATCCTCATATATCCTGTACAACTCGTGGTCCCCCTGAACGCCGAAACAAAGCAATCCCATGTTATAATCGAATGCTTAATATGAGACCTAAATCATAACTAAATCATCGTCATCCAGAGAAGAGACGGACGAGATAGCCGCAGCACCCAAGGTTGTGATGGTCGGTTGCACACTATCACGGGCGCTGGGCTGGCTGCGAGAACCAGCTGCAGAACCTGTAACGACGTACTCAGGAGTTTCCTCCCGAGACCGGCTATCCTCGGCCCCAACCTCCGTCATAACGTCGTCTGTATTGTCATCGTTGTCTAGCATCAGGCTCGTATCAGCGTCGGACTGGTCAGTCGTTTCGTCGAGTACAAGTGCGTTCACACTGTCGGCAATCAGTTGACCATCCGACAGGACGGCGTATTTGGCATTAGCAAAATCTGATCCGCCGTCCGTGAACGACTCCGAACGCACGGAAACATCGTCAGCCACCACCTTATTCGGGTTGAATATGGTTGAGATGCCGTCCTGTACATCCACGCTTCCGGGCCCGACGGTGCTGCCGCCATCCAGGCGGAGTTGTCTTAACTCGCTGCTCACTGAGCCGGCGACGCTTGATGCGTCCGAGGGAATGGTGATTCCGGTGTGGTAAGCCGGCCCAGGTCCGGCTGGTCCATAATCAGCCGGGGGAAGTGCCGGTTCAAACACACCGCCCGTGCCGTCGTCGTTGCCGCCGGCCCAGAGAGGGAGGAACTTGAATTCGTTGTGGGTCAAAGTAAGAAGAAGATGGTAAGTCATATTCATCTGGATCGGAAAATCGAGACGGACGCATTTTTCGCAAAAAGGATAGATGAACGTTCTGATGTCGTCCTGGAAGGCATCTGGATCGAAAGCATGTCGGGAGGAGTCGAAAGGGACAATACGCTGGTATGGCCGCAGGTTCAGGGCTGCCTCCCAGGCTGGGTCATGTCTGAACTCGGGGTTCTTGGCAAGTACGTCTTCAAGAGCGGACCAGAGGTCATTAGCCAAACGGTAGAAGTTGAACTGCGTAGAAGAGGTGCGAGTGAAGAGAGTTGCAAAACTGTTCCACTCGTACGAGATGGTCTCATATAGGAAGGGGCAGAGGGCCTTCTGTATGTCGTTGAATTGATTGTAAATCAGCTCAAAGCGGTGAAAACGTTGAATGTCGACATATGTAGCGCGATTGTCATCGATTCTTGACAATCGATCAGGATCCAAGAGCTTGTTAAGTGTCTTGCTAACCACTAAAGTCTTCCATGCGTTCTTCAGCGCTGTTGTTAGAGATGTCGCCTTGGATCTTGCGTTGCGACAAGTCTGGTCATTGGGGCGGCTCGAGAGCAAGTTGATGATATTTTGCAACCGAGTCCACTCAGAGACGCGCAAGTCATCGTAGATGGTGTCGCTAGTTAGCTTTTGTACAGGCCGCGAGACACGCTCGACCATAGCTCGGGCAGCGTGTTGAATGAGGTTCGTTAGTTCGTCACCAGGGTCGTGGCGCTTGCGTCCGAAGGCTGTGTAAGTGGCAGCCTTTGGAACACCGTTTGGAGCAGCGGCCTCCTCGATGGCTAGCTCATTAACTAGGATCTGAAATGCAGAACGGGTGACATCCTCTAACCGCAAAGCCACACCGAGTTGGAGACTTTCCTCCGGTAGAACCTCGATGAAAACAGTGTTGTTGGGGCTCATGAGCCATTGGAGGACCAGGTCGCGCTTGATAAACAAAAATTAGAATATCTAACATTGTCAAAACAAGGGCCAAGAAGACTCACCACAACACTGGCACAATCCAAGATCTTGGCCACAGCCACCAACGTCCAAACCCGAGGAGCAGAATCAATAAGGACGCGCTTGTGGGCGATAATGCACATGAGGCGGAGGATATTGACACGATGTCGGACCGGGCAGTAGTCGGGTATCTGACGAAATTCGGGAGTCGGCTCAGGTGCGAACTCTCCCCTGGACTTCTTCTCCAGAAGCTGGGCGGCAATCCCGTGGCTGGCCGTGTATGCCCTCTCTTTGGGCTTGTTGTTATGCGGCATAGTCTCTCGTAAGCTCTGCGCAATCGCTGTCTCAATAGCGCGCTCCATCACTGGGTCTCTCGGCTCGTTCTCATCACGCTCGGCCTCACTTTTTGAAATCGCCTCCAGTGTCTCATTGATATCATCAGTGATGCTCTGTTTTCGGTCCTTCCAGCAAGAGCATATGTCATCATGTCCGGATACCACGTAGTCGTCAATGCCATGCTTGCTATAGGCAGTCCACCAGTTGAGGATGCCAGGTGTTAACGAGACCTCAGTCATCTGGAAAACAAGGTCGTCGCCTTCGGAAGGCGGAGTCAAGTCTAAAACAAACTTGATCCCCTCAGGAAGCTTGTTGACCAGTTTGCGCCGGCGCTGAATACGGTACTGGTAGGATGGGTTAAGCATGTCCTGGAACTTTGAAGACCCAGTAGCCTTCAGTTTCTCTGAGTCCATACGAAATTGCACTGAGTTCCAGGCGTAAATGAAGCAGTCAACATTATCGGCCGGCTTTGAAGGAGCGGGAAAATCGACAAAGATTAGTGTGTCTCCCTCAGACAGCTCATTTTGGATATCGTGAAGAAGGAACTGTGAGTAGCGGCGGCCCTCAACCTGTGTTATGTCGCGCTTACTAGTCTTGACACCCGCGCTTGGGTAAGTAGTTTCCCTCTTGACAATATCTGCAAATGGTGTTTCTCCAGAATATGTGGCATTGAAACTAGGAAAGGCTGAAATGCTGTTGTCGGAACTCCCCTGTCCCGCAACATTTGATACTTCCTCTTGATCGACGGTGTGCCCATCTTCAGCGGTGCTTGGGCCGATAGGGGAGTTGTCAGAGTTGTCCGAATCCCAAGAGTCCATGAAAACAGTAGACCAAGGTTCGGCATTGGCCATATGTAAATCGCTGACGCGGCCCGCAGGCTGCGCTTCCATGTTTTGTGAGTTCATATTGGCGGTTGACGGTGAGTGATGGAGCGATACGAAGGAGAGGCCACCAGGCGAAGGCCACGGGGGGCTCTGAAGCTGTTACACGGGCGACACCTTTTGAGCGGTATAGATGTAAGCAAGCGAGAAAGGAACAATGGTCGTGGCAACTCGACTTTGAGATGTCTGGGGAGTGAGGTGAATGGAAGGAGGATGAAGCTGAAAATGGCAAGGAGGTAGCAAGCAAATATGCCTCTTTCTGACGTATGTTGGAAGCCGCAAGTCGGGCGCACCAAGCTTGGGGGTGGGAGTAAGAGGGGTTGCGTAGCCTTGTCTAGGCAGCAAGGCTTCAAAGAGTCAGACGTTAAAATGGACCAGTCTAAGTCTGTAGCCACCAGACAATGTTATCAAAAGAAGCACATAAGCCTAAGACTTTGTAAAAGCCGAGCGGTTTGGTTCGAAGTCTGTCGGAAGTTTTCTTCTATACGAATGATCCGGAGGATACGCTGAAGTGCAGAAAGGCCGGACAGGAATGATGACCAAGGAAATGGGGTGAGGCTCTAATGGAGGGGTTATTGGCGTGAGGCATATGCTTGGCCAAGACCACTCGCACAGGTTGACAAGTGTGGCTTTTCAGGCGCAGGCGCTCCGGAAGGGGGCGAATTCAAGAGGAGCAGACCTATGGGAATATCATATGGGCGAGGCAACCCGTGACCTGCAGCTCAGCATCGTAGATGTCCCAGAGGTTGGTGCTCTGATCCACGTTATTTGCTGCTTGGCCACAGTCATGCATTGCTGCGAACCAGTAACCCGTCTCGTTACTTGAACCCCAAATGTACTTTGTCATTTTCGGTAGGCAAGGATTTCATGCTGTGCTGACAGCATCAGCAAGCAAATTTGTTTAAAATCTAGCTTGTTGGTGACAGAAGAAAGAAGCAGACACATAGGCTGACTTCCAGGCAGCGAACTGCATAAGAGCTTCCAAGACATTGAAGGGCCAGCAGACGTGGTCAGTCAATTCTGCTTTGCAGAAAGAGGCCAATTGACCCAAAGGGACAAAGAGGATGCCTGTGCATACCAAGCCCGCTGATCCTTGCCCTAGGTGAGGCCTTAGCTTCAGGGTGGCGGGTGAGAAAGCCTTATCGGCGTCCAATTACTGTTGAATACCGCTGGGGAAGAATGACCATACATTAAATTGCCAGATGATGGCAACTGAGCTGGTGCTATGGTGGCAAGACATTGGCCAAGGTTCTTGGTTGGCAGAACGATCCAGGCACCAGACCGCTTGACTGAAGGTATTGTGGCAAAGGCCCCATCAAGATGACTTACGAACCGAAAACTGGTCCACGTTCCAATGCCACGAAGCCCCCAGCACTGTTGCCTGCACGCCGAGCCCGAACCAACAGTGGAGCAACGGGTACCGTAGGCCTACCGGGGCACCGTTCCGGTCGGTATATCAGCGGGGGGCTTACTGCTTTCAGCTATGTTAACCTCTCCCATCTAGAACCAGGGCGGGGCGAGTCAACACATCAACTCATGTGGGGAATTTTAGGAACGTCGGAATCGATTTTAAGAATAAGTTGATTAGCATATATATGATTTAAAAGTTACCATGTGTCGCAAAGCTCATATTTCCTCCATGTTGCGTGGATTTTATCGAATTTTACAGTTTTTGCAAAGCAAATATGGATGCCAAAGCCTGCTTCCTACCCGTCGTGCGGGCTCAACTAAAAAGCCTTGGGTGGAATCTCGTTACCAGAATCTCAGTATTAGTTTTACATGGTCTTACTGCAGAGAATACAAGTCCAGCCTGTCAGCTCATCAACGCAAGAACCATCCTGGGTCGTATTCTTTATATGTTGCCCTAGATCATTATCCAGCTTCCCCGCACGCCCAGTCCCCAGCCCAGCCTAACACCGTCATCTACTGAACCCTTCTCCAACTCTAAACCTCCCCTCCTCTCTGTAACATTGGTAGCAAAAACGTACGGATAGCTGCGGCGCAAGTGTACACACGCATTCTACACGTGCCACCTACCTACCGATGCCTGCTCTCAACTGTTTCCCAGAGAAGCTACATCCGAGGTCCCCTTCTATTACACCTGCTTATGCCCCAATACAAGCAACCTATTCTATCGCCTTGTGCTGAATGCCGTGCAGCTTCCAGCATATACCAAGCAAAATCGTCTCGATATCCTCCAGTCCTAGTCCGATGTTAGCCCCCTTCTCCAAACTCATAGCCATGTCGCGTGCTCATCCAGCCATATCCAAGCCACACTGGCGCCCACCTCTAGCGCAAATGCCGTGTCGGGGTGCCACCACGCTCTCTTCCCAGGAGCCCAGCAATCCCTTGCCGCGGTAGTCGTTCGTTTCGTTTTATTCTACGCCTGTGGGGGCAGATAGACCACAGAGTTTCTTTGCGTGCCATCTTTCCTCCAATTTTAGTAACGAATCGGTTTCCATCACCCGATCCTAGACAATAGAAGCTCCCCTCCATTTTCCCCAACAAAAACACAAGTGCCCCTCCACACCTGCCACCCTCCCGAGATCTGGAGCTAGCGAAGTAGGTATCCGGGGATGTGGGCATTCCTACATAACACTTTGTCCCCTCTTCTCTCCCTTCAATCACTCTGATATCCTACATCTTCCACGACGTAAATCGTACCTTTCAGACATAATATCGGATACTCAACGTGATATACATAAGCGTACTACAAGCCAACTACCCAAGATGGATCCCAAACCAGCCATGGCCGCAACCCAGATTCGTCCAGCAATGTAAGTCCCCCCCCCCTTCTCTCCACTAACCTGACTACGGTCATTCCTTTTCACCGAGGCATCTCTGGACTCGGTCACAAGAGACTAACACAACCCGTTTCCAGTCGCAGCCGCGGCCTCATCCTCGCTACAATGGCCATCACCACTGCTGTCGTCGGAATCAGATATCAAGCCGCCTCAATGAAGACAAATGAGTTGAACCAGCGCTCCCGAGCACCGTACTATGTCTCTGTCGACCGCAGTGGTGGTGGAGTGTAAGGAGGAAGCATGATCAGCTATGTAGAGGACGCACGAAAAAAAGACTCTGTGCCAGCTTTTTTGCTTGTTTTCCCTCTACAGCGCACCCTATGGATGACATGGAGCGGAGAGTTTGGCACCCAGGTTATTTAATCGATCAGGAACAGGGCATCCTTGGTCAAGACCTGAACACTAGAAGGAGAACACTAGCAGACTACAATAACCTCATAAACGGCCGGCATAAGTAATTGAATGAAGGCAGAATGGCTTTTTTTATATGTATCAATACAGAAGACTGGGACTATTGGGAGGCGATAGGACTCAGATCGAGCCAAACAGGTCAAAACAACATCATTACTCCGCCCGCATGTCCAAATGCAAATAGAAAAGCAACCAGCTCGTGACTTATATGCAGCATGCCTCAAAACAACGAGGCAGGACAAACCTCCAGAGGAAACCTCTCTGGTTCCAAACGCCCCAGCGATGCGATAATTACCACCTGTGATCGAGGTATAGCGCGCCAGAAAATGCCCAGCAAATCAAAACGCGTCTCCCCTTTTACATTGAACTTCGCTTTGTCGGCGCCAAGCTCTCACTCTCAGACTCGTCGCCCGATAAGGGGGCGATTTCCTTGCCTTTGCCTTTCACGTTGACCAAGCCCACCTTGGACTCCAGCATGCTCTTACGACTGGCAGGACGCTTGCCAGTCGTCCTCCTCACCATCCTTGGCCTCTCGGGGCCGCCGGCGTCCTTTCTTGACGCCTCTGAGCTTGTCAGCCCGGAAAATCTCTGCAACTCCTCACCCGACGAATTGCGGCGAGTGGTGGGAGCGGTTGAGTTAGGGTTCGTCTTGAGTTCGCGCAATTCCCTGGCAACGTCTGCAAAACTCTCCTCCAAAGTCTTCATTCGTGCCAGTACAAGCTTACTCATCCGGTTACTGTCGCCTGCATCCTGACCACGCCCTACTCCGTTTATTCGTGCATCCTTCATCAAAGCCATGGCCATTTGGGTTTGGAAGCTCGAGGGCATGCCTCCCGTAGGGTCGTCAGGTGCTATGTTGTCTGAAAGAATACTCATGTCAACAGAGGACAGACGTCTCATCGGGTTCGGGCGTAGCCGCTGGTCAATGCCCACCAGGGCTGCGCGGTTTGGTGCCGTCTGCACTGCGTCCCGAGGTGGCATTATGGGCCTGGGCCGTGAGTTGGTCACGTATGTCTGCCGGCGCGGTGAGCGAGGTCCGCCAGTCGTGGCTGGTTCTACCACCACGGGCCGACTGCTTTGCACGCGAGAGCGTGTTGGCGGCGGATCAGGCGAATGGGATGACGAACTAGGCGGCCGTCGCAACTCCTGAGGAGCGTAAAGAATCGTGTTGGTCGACATTGTTCGTGTGTGCGGTATGCGGCGTACAGAACGGGGAGTGGCCGCCATGGATGGTCGTTCGCTCGAACCTAGGGACGACGATGCTGGAGGGGCAGGGGCGAACCGCTTTGATGGAGGCGTCGTGGTGAAGTAATCGTCAATCTGGGTTTGGTGGATTACCGGGCCCCGGCGACTTTCGCCCGCATTAGTCGCAATTTCCTCCTCTTCTTCCTCATCATTCGTCACGAGTTCATCATCGCCATCTGCATCCGTATGCTGACTTTCTTCCTCCTTGGCCCTGGTTGCTGCAGCTATACCCCGGAAGAAAGAGCCGATGGCAGGTTGCGAAATCAGATCTGCAGGGTCGCTTGCAGCCGATCTGATATCTGATATTTGGCGAGACCTTTGCGTCCGAAGTTCTCTAGACAGACTTAGTCGCCTGTGCCAGTCTGGCCTGATACTTTGGCCACCATCCATCGTCGACCACTGAGGGACCTGAGGGGAAGCGCTTGCTTCATCATTGCGGTCCATCCAGCTTCTGATTGCATGCTGGGTTTTCCTCCGCTCATGGCGCCTCTGGTGCCTCAGAGTGTTGATGCCAGGGCCACGCCGAAACACTTCCTCAAGAGCATGATCTTTCTGGAACCCAGTGACAGACTCTTCGCGAACACGAATATTGGGACTGAAGAGAGCGGACCGAGCTGCTGGGTCAGCGAACGAGATGGTCCTATCGCGTCCGTGATGGTGGTTTTCCACAAGGTCTGTAGGCTCGAACATTGACGGCGCAAGCCAGTACCTTTCGTATATATAAATGGAGAAAAGTAGAGGGAAGTGTGTGACCTTAATGATTGTCCTATTCAACCGGACGAAATGTCTGAGAGGCATGCAGTACCGCAACGGCATAAGCAGCCATGCAAATATGTTCCCTGGTGCGACGTACGAGAACAACGCATCATTCTTGACCATGGATATCGTGTTGATGGCAAAGAGAAACCTGATCCATGTTAGCGACACCCTCTCAAATCCGTGAGATACAACTTACTGATGCTCCTCCTTGGCGTTCGAAGCAATTTTCATAAACGAGTTGGTCAAAACTGTGATGAGAATCGTGCTGGTTTTGTTAGCTATAGCGCCGAGCCAAGCAGGGTCAAACTTACACAACGACGAAGTGACAGAGAATCAAGAAGAACATCATGAGGCCTCTCTCAAGCCAATTATATACTGGCCATCTATACGATGTTAGCTGTTAGGCTATTAAGTCTTTGGCAGAGCGACTTACACATCCCAAGCGGCTGGGGTAAAGCCCATCAAGATCTGGAAAATCTTGAAGGCGATATCTGCCGCATTGTTGTTACTATCGGCAAGAGTGAAGAACACAAAGAAGCCACTGCATGCGATAAGGATGAGAATCGCCACCGCGGCTAGGTCAACTGCCATCAGGCGAAATGCGATGAGCAGCTGTGAAAAGTATTGATAGTGGTCCAACACGCTGAATATACGGGGCAGCAACAGAATGGCATTCGCTGCAAGAACATCGTATGCCGAATCATTCCAGTGCTTTGGATCCACGAGGAAAACCCCGTAAACGCGCATGAAGTAGTAGACGATCAATAAAACCAAGATTCCCAGATCGAAGACGTTCCAAAAGCTCATAATGTAAAGCGAGAAGCCCTGTTCATTGAACCCAACGAGTTCATCCAGCATGAACCCGGCACTCCAAAACCAAAAGATTAACTCCAAGGAGCTGATCCGGGCAGAACGTTGAGAGAGCACTGCAAGGAACAAACCAATCAGGACCAGAAGTGACAGCGTCGAGAGGAAGAATCTGTAGCGAGGAACTCGTAAACGAGATAGCTTGAACAGAGATGCCCTACGAGGATCATAGAGAATAACGCTCCGTCGCCCCGGCCCTAATTGATTGGGCTGTCCCTCCTTCTGACCCTGCCCACCCAGGAGGGGCGTACGCGCATCGGGCTTTCCTCCTTGCGGCGGCGAAGCTGGTGGCTCGCGATGTAGGCTGTCTTGCGAGGAATAAAAGCTAATGGCGCCGTTCCAGATGGCCTCCAACTGTTGCACAACCAGAGGATGAGCCAAAAAGTGCTTGGCTGAAGCACGAATGGCGACTTCGAGGGTGGAGGTCCGGGCTGCCGTGAGGCGAGCTTTAATTTTAGGGTCGGTCTTCGGGGTGTTCGCCGATGGAACACCAGGAAGACCTTGGAGAGGATAGAAATCGTACGAGAGGGCGTCGATCAGTTCTCGAGTGTTGTATTCCTTCAGAAGCTTTAGAGCGAGCAGCTCACATACCAAGGCCCTGGTATAGCTTATTCCAGCATTGCCCGGGTAGAGTTGACCCTCCTTGTTAAACTGTAAACAGTTGGCCATAAGACAGTATAAAGTGGCACGAGAAAACTGCTGAGTCCTGATCTGCTGCTGCATTGGCTTTACCAGAAACTGGGAGACTTGCGGGGAGCGTATTTGATCCCATGTTAACGTCGTTTCGGTTCGGGCTTGGACGATAACACGAATCGCGTGGGTAATACTGTATATGGGTAGAGAGTCTAAGAAGTCACGGTTAGCTCAGACGCATGACCAACATGTACGAACAAGCCTCTAGCGGGAACATACCGAGATATGCCTCTGAGAAGAGCGGAAGAACTGGCATGGAGCGATGGGTTTGGTCCTCGTCGTCCAGAACGTCAGGATCCTCCCCAGAGTGTCCTAGGCCGTCTTCGTCCTCGTCCTCCTCTTCTTCGTCATCGTCGGCCTCGGTAAAGTCTGCAGCTGCGTGTCGTGGTTCGCCACCATATTGGCGATAAGCCGGGCCAGGGGAGGGTGAGTGTCTTTCGTGGAGCCGATCGATGCGACGACTACGATTGCTCTGCTTGGGTCGCAGCAGAGAGGAGAACATTGTCCAGTCGGAGTGAGAGATACAGCCCGCCGCCTTGTGTTATCGCGTCTCACGGAGCCATGGGAGGAGGCCAAGGGAGCAATGACAGGAGGCGTAAAGCGAGGTGCTGATTCGAGCGCAGCAGCGTGAATGGGTTCAAGTCGGTTGTCGTGAAGGTGAAAGACCGATGAGACGACCGGCACGACGAGGAGAGGTGCAAGAAGGTAAGGTGAGGTAGGATAGGGTGGCGGCAGGTCAAGCACGGGAGTAAATAAGAAAGTCCAGACTCGGTAGGTAAAGATAGATAAGTCGGGCCGGGCCAGGGTTCCCCGTGGTCAAGACGCAGAAAACGATGCAATATTTGTGGAGAAGACGTTAAAAAAAAAAAAAAAAAGGCCTTTGCTGGTGTAGAACAGACGAAAAGGGTGGAAGAAGAGTAAGGGGAGAGTAACGTGGGTTAAGCGTACAAGAAAAGACACTAAATGTTAGGAGAGAACCATGGCAAGCAACATGCGCGTGGAGCGCGGATCGAGATGCAGAGAGAAGGATGGGATTTTTAGCGTAGTAGGACAAGTAGACAGCTAAGTCAGACAGGGCGAGAGATACTGCATCAGGGAGTCCTCCTCCGTTAAGGAGTAGGGGTTGGCAACGAACGAGGATTGCCGGTGGGCTGAGGAGTTTTCGATCTTCCACACCCCCCTTTCACTCGCTTACAAGAGATGCTACAGGCTTTGAGTTGGGCCTTCTCCAAAATAATACTTGGAGCGCTGATGATTCGGAAAACAGTCGGTGACAACCGCATAGTAGGGGATTGCCTGTGACGAGAGGAGAGAGAGACACGCACACTGCCCGCCTGCCACCACACACACTAACGTGCACTCTCAGACCTTGGATACCCTTTTTTGGACAAATACAGGAGAGAACAGGGAGGGGACGCGCTCAGTGGTTGGTTGTGGATCAAAAGTGTCCCGTCGCGCGTAGACTGGGTCTGCAATGCCCATCAGTGACCAAGATCCAAGGTCACCCAGGCCTTGAGATTGATGAATCAGGTCTCGCTAGTGCACGATCCCTGGGGGAGCAGTTGGCCTCTAAAAAGTGGAGTTCAACGCTGCAAGTGCTGCAAAAGATGCAAGTGTTCGCAATTGTGGGAAGGCCAAACCCACGGGATGACACTGGCGCCGCTGGGGCCCTGCGCCTACGAAATGACACCAATTAAAGGGCTGCCAGGATACCATGTTTTTTTGTGTGATGATGTGCCCACCAGCCAGACGCTCGATCCTGCGGCTGGTTTTCTAGCTACTAGGTAGTTTGGTGCCAGAAAGCATTCGTAGATCACTACTATGTAGTAGCCAAAACACTAGCTAGAGAAAACATAGGCGTCCTTTTTATTGTTCCCCTTCCCTTCCCATCCTTTTTCTCTCCCTCCATCAAAGGATAGAGAGGGGGAAAGAGGAGATGGAGAGGGATATCAGTTCAGTAAGGCACAGGTACAGCTGCACGACACTAGCCAATGTTTTTGTTCGGAAGACCCCATCGCACGCGCAGTATCGGACGAAGAACAGTCGAGACTAGTTGCCGCATGACTTCTTTTTTAACAAGGGGACAGGGAGTGGATGAAAGGCAAGGCACAGCGGGGTCGTACGCAGACAAGATAAGCCACGACTTTCGAGACAGACGCTGGCACCCTAGGATTTGACCTCCTTCACTGTGTTGGTTGCTGGCTCCTAGGCTGTAGGTCCATGGCGCGGATTCATGGCCAAAAGGTAAGGTATGTCGTTAAACTGCCTTTGGCATTGCAGGTAAGGCGAAGGTTTCATTCACTGAAGGAGGGGGAAAGAGAGGCAAGTCCTAGCCTATAGGTCCATTGTAGCGGCTGCGTCATCCTACGCCGTCACTTGATACCGTCCATCGGCCCAGGCCCCTTCCCATGGGTCGATTTTGAGTGCCTGTCCCTTATTGACTTGCACCACCGAGCGGCAAGTGGAACGCCCAGCAAGATGATAATCGGCACTTTGTTGGCAGATTTTGTCTGCCCAATGTTTCCGAGCCAAAACGGCACTTCCACCACAATCAACATAGGAACAAAGCTTCATTAGATGAGGCGAGCGATCGACCAAACCTCGCCCCTCTTGCCTTGAGGCCCCAGATACGCAATTCTTTGCCTAGTGAAGCTTGAGTTACTCCCATTCCAATCTCACCCCATAGCATCCCGAGCCATTCGGCCTTCCCGTTGGTCAAATCCGTCACCGCCATTGGCGTCATCCACACACACATCCACTCACACACACACATTGATGCATAGATGGCACCTGTTCTGGCCAGGGTACGACGCTGCAATTGGGGGTCACGGCCGGATTATACACTGCTCTAACCAGGGGTATCTCACACTATCGACCCAGAGAATGCTCCTCCAGTTCCTAATCTCGTCCCCAAGCGGAAGCCAATTAATCGCACAAGGCAGAGTAATCATTTTCCTTTACATTTTATTTTTAACTAAGTTGGACGGAATTCAGACGCCATTCAGGTCTCTTAGCTTCCTCACCGCATTTGCCCCCTTCCACTCCGCAGGCCTGGGTGTCCCATGTCGAGACCCCGTTTGCCAGGACGTTTCCAAGCCTGCACACAACCAGCAGCGGAGGCCCGTCATACCAGGTTACATCGGAACACCTGATCATCGGCGATTTTGTCGATTCAGATCTTCTCCAGGGTTAGTGCCATCAGATCCAACCTGGTCCATTCAAGAAGCATATTCAGCATCCAAACGGTGAACAAGTTGTGACCCAACCCTTATGTTCCCTTCCCCTGCCACAACAGAGACAGGCGTCGCCCGTACTACCATTGTATGAATTCGATGCTGGGCAACAGGAAAATTTTCAAAATTCCCGCACTATCTCAAGACTTGTTACGAGTCAAGCGTGCCATCCATTACATGCTTTAGCCTTTTTCTTTCAGCCGAACCATTCCTATGCTAGAGAGTCGCCGGCATGGTTGTCCTACCAGGAAGGTTGCTCAATACACTCTGCCGCTCACCTAAGCGCAGCCTCACAGCAATGTCACACGGGTGGAATGTCAGCGTCGTCACTTGACTTGCCTCACACCCACATCGCAATACGGCATTCCTCATCATAATAGAGGTTCGGAAGCCTATCCGAGACCTTGCTACCGTTGCCAGAGCAGTCACCTTGGCACATGCTGGTACACAGAGGATGCCGAGATATTTCCTTCGTGTTGATGCCAGATGATAGGCCCGGGCAATGTCGAGAGGTATCTTCCGCCTGTTGCATAGACGACTGAACTGATGCACATTCTTTTGTAGTTACCATCTCTAGCAAACTCTTCACATATCAAGATCAAATCTGAGAAGAGGATCGCGAGAATAGGAAGCAGGGCAGCTATGATATAGCATAGTCGTATTTAGCGCAAACAGATAGAGGAAAGAAGAAAGGATAGAATAAAAATTCCGTTCAACCTCAAACGAAGACAAGAATGATTAGGGCCAATGGGCCAGAGTAGACTGGGAAAATGTACACAGCAGACAGCATTCCAGTTAGGACCGTAGCCCCAGCTCTTCTTGATCGGGAATGCCCCACTCATATTATGAGGGTGTTATAAGCACCGGCATCGGCGATGTGAGGTGAGTGGTATAGTCACCTTGGTCGGTGAGCAAAGGTCAGACCCCTCATACCCCTCCATCCGCCTGTAGCATCAGCCTTTCCCAGCCAAAAACCTTGGGAGAACATACACAAATGATCACCACCCCGACTTACTTATATGAGTCGTCAGACTAATGGACCTACTTTCGAGCCCTAGACCAGGCCACAAAAGATAAAAACAATAGTGATTACTGGACGTAACAGCATGCTAGTAGCCAACCTCCTGATAGCTACTGGCAGGTCGTGACTCGGTCGTCGGGGTTTTGCATCGCGATCCACTCTCTGCCACCGCATCTCTTCAAGCTTCAGGGCACTAAAAAAATTTCTGCAGGGACAACAAACTGAAGTGACAAATTTCTGTACCCGCACCTCAACCCCTCTGGGCGCTTGTTTTTTTTTTTTTTTTTCTGATTCACTGGGCTAACTGGGCTCTTCCCCGCGGCCCGCTTGTGGCTAGAAGCGGCAAAATCAATCTTTTCTGCCCACATTATGCGATGCCACTAAGCCCTTCTCTGCTGACCGCCCGCTGTCAAATGCCGTATTCTGCAGTCGGATCTGTGTCATTGCAGCTTGCAGTCCCGCCGTCCCAGGATCGTGCTTGTTCATTGGACAATCCACTCTAAGGCTCACACATCCCAGAGGGGACCAGACGAATTTTCTGACTATGTAAAAAAAACTTTTGGTTGCTCCCTCTTTTTTTGTTTTTTCCTCCTCCTTCTCTCTTCTCCTCCTCCTAACATGGTTGTCTAGAACCTCAAACAACTTCCCGAAGATCTATCGTGGCAGATGATCGCTGGGAAGCTACTGAACCATCGAACGAGACTCTGACGACGAGCTCGCTGCCACATTCTTTAGCACTTTTTTTTTTGCTGTATCCCTAGAGAGTTTCTTCTCCCGTCGTTGCCCCGCATCACACGAAGACATCCTCCCACAAACACATACACAAGATGGCCGCCACTATTTACGCCCCGGCTTCGGCCCGCCTTGTTGGCTCTGACGATGAGGGCCTTATGGCTCTCGAGCTTCCTGACGGCTCCGTCTATCAGGGTTATAGCTTTGGTGCTCAAAAGAGCATCGCCGGAGAGCTTGTATTCCAGACCGGAATGGTGGGGTATCCGGAGTCGGTGACAGACCCCTCTTACCGCGGCCAGATTCTGGTCATTACCTTTCCTCTGGTTGGCAACTACGGTGTTCCCTCTCGGGAAACCATTGACGAGCTCCTGGGCGACCTGCCCGAGCACTTCGAGTCCTCCCAGATTCACATCGCCGGTCTTGTCGCCGCCTCCTACGCTGGCGAGGACTACTCCCACTTTTTGGCCCAGTCTTCCCTTGGCACATGGCTCAAGGAGCAGGGCGTCCCTGCCATCTACGGCGTCGATACCAGAGCCCTTACCAAGCGCCTGAGGAGCGAGGGCAGCACGCTGGGTCGGTTGCTGCTGCAAAAGCAGACCATGACCAACGGCACTGTCAATGGCTACGTCAACGGTTCTGCTTCCTTCTCCATCGATGACTTCCAGACAGTTGACTGGGTCAACCCCAATGAGAAGAACCTCGTAGCTGAGGGTGAGTTACATCAAATGTCGCTAGCCCTAACACGATGCTGATCCTTGTTTTAGTGTCCATTAAGGCTCCCAAGCTGTACAAGCCTCCCGCCAGCATTCCCGTAAAGACGCACCCGTCCGGCAGGCCCATCCGTGTGCTTTGCCTGGATGTCGGTATGAAGTACAACCAGTTGAGATGCTTCTTGAAGCGTGGCGTCGAGGTCCTCGTCTGCCCCTGGGACCATGATCTGGTAAAACAGGCCGGTGAGGAGTACGATGGTCTCTTCCTCTCTAACGGTCCTGGTGACCCGGCTATGCTCGACATTACCGTCAAGAACATTCAGGCTGCCATGGAGAAGACCAAGACTCCTGTCTTCGGTATCTGCTTGGGTCACCAGCTGCTCGCCCGTGCCTCCGGAGCGAAGACTGCCAAGATGAAGTTTGGTAACAGAGGCCACAACATTCCTTGCACCAGCATGATCACCGGAAAGTGCCACATTACCTCCCAGAACCACGGTTTCGCCGTTGACTCCAACTCTTTGACTGCCGACTGGAGGGAGCTCTTTGTCAACGCCAACGATGGGAGCAACGAGGGTATTGCCCACCTTTCCAAGCCCTACTTCAGTGTCCAGTTCCATCCCGAGAGCACTCCCGGTCCTCGCGACACCGAGTACCTCTTCGACGTCTTTATCAGCACTATTCAGAACTGTGCTGCCGACCCTAAGCTGTTGAGTGCTCCCGTCAGCTTCCCTGGTGGCACCATTGAGGAGAACGAGCGTCTGCACCCTCGTGTCCACCCTCGCAAGGTCCTTGTCCTCGGCAGTGGTGGTCTCAGTATCGGACAGGCTGGAGAGTTCGACTACTCTGGCTCCCAGGCCATCAAGGCCCTCAAGGAGGAAGGCATTTACACTGTTCTCATTAACCCCAACATTGCCACGATCCAGACATCCAAGGGTCTGGCTGACAAGGTGTACTTCTTGCCTGTCAATGCCGACTTCGTGCGCAAGGTCATTCAGTATGAGAGACCCGATGCCATCTACGTTACCTTCGGTGGCCAGACCGCTCTTCAGGTTGGTATTCAGCTGAAGGATGAGTTCGAAGAGCTCGGCGTCAAGGTCCTTGGTACGCCCATTGATACTATCATCACCACCGAGGACCGTGAGCTGTTTGCCCGCAGCATGGACTCCATTGGCGAGAAGTGTGCTAAGTCCGCTTCTGCCAGCACTGTCGAAGAGGCAATGATTGCTGTCAAGGACATTGGCTTCCCCGTTATTGTCAGAGCCGCCTATGCTTTGGGTGGTCTTGGCAGTGGTTTCGCCAACAACGAGGCTGAGCTTCTCGACCTCTGCAACAAGGCTTTTGCTGCCAGTCCTCAAGTTCTTATTGAGCGCAGTATGAAGGGCTGGAAGGAAATTGAGTACGAAGTTGTCCGTGACGCTCAGGACAACTGCATCACGGTGTGCAACATGGAGAACTTTGACCCTCTGGGTATTCACACTGGTGACTCTATTGTCGTCGCTCCTTCTCAGACATTGTCTGACGAGGACTACAACATGCTGCGTACCACCGCTGTCAACGTCATTCGTCACCTGGGCGTTGTCGGAGAGTGCAACATCCAGTACGCTTTGAACCCCTTCTCAAAGGAGTACTGCATTATCGAAGTCAACGCCAGATTGTCCAGATCCTCCGCGCTGGCGTCCAAGGCCACTGGTTACCCCTTGGCCTTCATCGCTGCTAAGCTTGGTCTCGGCATTCCCCTCAAGGATATTTCCAACAGTGTCACCAAGTCGACTTGTGCATGCTTCGAGCCATCCCTTGATTACGTCGTTGTCAAGATGCCCCGCTGGGACTTGAAGAAGTTCACTCGTGTCTCTACCCAGCTTGGCTCTTCCATGAAGAGTGTTGGCGAGGTTATGAGTATCGGCAGAAACTTTGAGGAAGCTATTCAGAAGGCTATCCGTGCCATTGATTTCCACAACCTGGGCTTCGGTGAGACCAAGGCCTTGATGTCGATCGATGACGAGCTGCAGACTCCTTCCGACCAGCGTCTGTTCGCTATCGCTAATGCCATGCACACCGGCTACTCCGTTGACAAGATCTGGGAGCTCACCAAGATCGATAAGTGGTTCCTTCACAAGCTCAAGGGCTTGAGCGACTTCTCTAAGAAGATGACCAACTACACCACCAGCGACATTTCCAAGTGCCCTGACATTCTTCTCCAGGCCAAGAGACTTGGTTTCTCTGATCGTCAGCTTGCCAAATTCTGGAGCTCCAACGAGATCGCTGTGCGAACTTTGAGACAAGAGGCAAACATCATGCCCTTCGTCAAGCAGATTGATACCGTTGCTGCTGAGTTCCCTGCCTTCACCAATTACTTGTATCTCACCTACAACGCCTCCGAGAGCGACGTTTCCTTTGATGACCATGGAATCATGGTTCTCGGCTCTGGTGTCTACCGTATCGGTTCCTCTGTTGAGTTCGATTGGTGCTCCGTTCGCGCCATTCGCACCCTGCGCCAAGACGGCTTTAAGACAATCATGGTTAACTACAACCCTGAGACTGTCAGTACCGATTACGACGAAGCTGACAAGCTTTACTTCGAGAATATCAGCTTGGAAACCATTCTCGACATTTACCAGCTGGAAGCTGCCGGTGGTATTCTTGGCGCCATGGGTGGTCAGACTCCCAACAACATTGCCTTGCCGCTGCACCGTGCTGGTGTCAAGGTCCTCGGTACCTCTCCTGAGATGATTGACAACGCTGAAAACCGCTACAAGTTCTCTCGTATGCTTGACACCATTGGTGTTGACCAGCCTACTTGGAAGGAGCTTACCAGCTTCGAGGAGGCGAAGAAGTTCTGCCAGGCTGTCTCCTACCCCGTCTTGGTGCGACCCTCTTACGTCCTGTCGGGTGCAGCCATGAACACTGTCTACTCCGAGCAGGACCTCGAGAACTATCTCGCTCAGGCTGCTGAGGTCTCGCGTGAGCACCCTGTTGTCATTACCAAATACATTGAGAACGCCAAGGAGATTGAGATGGATGCTGTCGCCAAGGATGGTGTTGTTATTGGCCACTTCATTTCTGAGCACGTTGAGAATGCTGGTGTTCACTCTGGTGACGCTACTCTCATCCTCCCTCCCCAGGATCTGGAGCAAGAAACCATTGCCAGAATCGAGGAGGCCACTCGCAAGATCGGTGCTGCTCTGAACGTTACTGGACCTTTCAACATTCAATTCATCGCCAAGGACAATGACATCAAGGTCATCGAGTGTAACGTCCGTGCCTCTCGTTCGTTCCCCTTCGTCTCGAAGGTCATGGGTGTCGACCTGATCGAGATGGCCACCAAGGCTATCATGGGCAGGCCGTTCGTTGAGTACCCTCCCACACAGATTGCTCCGGACTGCGTTGCTTGCAAGGTCCCTCAGTTCAGTTTCTCCCGTCTCTCGGGTGCTGACCCTGTGCTGGGTGTTGAGATGGCTTCCACTGGTGAAGTTGCTTGTTTTGGTGTTGACAAGTACGAGGCCTATCTCAAGGCTCTGATGTCCACTGGATTCAAGATTCCCAAGGCCAACATTCTTCTGTCCATGGGATCTTACAAGGACAAGAAGGAGATGCTTCCCTCTGTCGAGAAACTTGCTCGCCTTGGCTACAAGCTCTTCGCCACTGCCGGTACTGCTGACTTCCTTCAGGAGCACAACATTCCTGTGCAGTACCTGGAAGTCCTGGCCAACGAGCAGGAGGACCAGCGCTCCGAGTTCTCGCTCACGCAGCACTTGGCCAAGAACATGATTGATCTCTACATCAACCTGCCTTCCAACAACAAGTACCGTCGTCCTGCCAACTACATGAGCAAGGGTTACCAGACCAGACGTATGGCCGTTGACTACCAGATCCCTCTTGTTACCAATGTCAAGAACGCCAAGATTCTCGTTGAGGCCATTGCTCGTCACTTTGAGTTGTCTGTCGCCAGCCGTGACTTCCAGACCAGCCACCGCACCATTACCTTGCCTGGCTTGATCAACGTTGCCGCGTTTGTGCCCGGCATTGCTACCCAGGGAAGCAAGGACCTTCAGGCTGTTACAAAGGCCTCACTCTCTGCCGGCTTCAGCATGATTCGCATTATGCCTGTTGGTGTCAAGGGCTCCATCACTGACGCGCTTACCCTGAAGGTCGCTCAGCAGAGCAGCAAGAACGGTGGCTACTGTGACTTCAACTTCTCCGTCTCTGCCACCTCTGACAACGCTGACCAGATCAGCCACGTCACCGGCGAGGTTGGATCTCTCTTCATCCCCTTCAACCACCTTTCTGGCAATATCAGCAAGGTTGCTGCCGTGACCGCCCACTTTGACAAGTGGCCCACGCACAAGCCGATTGTGACTGATGCCAAGCTGACAGACCTGGCCTCTATTCTGCTCTTGGCAAGCCTGCACAACCGCAGAATCCACGTCACATCTGTCTCCACCAAGGACGACATCAAGCTCATCGCTCTTAGCAAGGCGAAGGGATTGAAGGTGACTTGCGATGTCTCCATCTTCTCCCTGTACCTGTCTCAGAACGACTTCCCCGACTGTTCTCTCCTACCCACGGAGGCTGATCAGAATGCCCTGTGGGCGCACTTGAGCACGATCGACGTCTTCTCTATTGGCAGCCTGCCTTATCAGCTTGCCGGATCCCTGGGCAAGAACGCTGATCCTGCCGTTGGCATTGCGGATGCTCTGCCTCTTCTCCTGACGTCTGTCACAGAGGGCAAGCTCACCGTTGACGACATCAAGACCCGTCTCTATGACAACCCCAAGGAGATCTTTGAGCTTCACGAGCAGGTTGGCACAAGCGTTGAGGTCGAGATTGACCGCCCCTACACTGTTCAATCGAACAATGGCTGGACTCCTTTTGCCGGCCGCACAATGCGTGGTTCCGTGCAGCGGGTGACCTTCCAGGACAAGACTGTCTGCTTGGACGGAGAGCTGCTGCCTCTGCCGGCTATCGGTAAGGACATGTCAACTCACGGCGCGCTGCCGATGTCGCCTGTTATCAAGCCTCAGCTCCAGTCCATGACCCACCCCGAGAGCCCTCGTGACCGCCGTCCGTCCATGTTCAACTCCACTAGGCCGTCCAAGCTTCGCTCTGCGGATGGTGTCCTGCCTACGAAGAGTGTCGGCACCTTTGACGAGCTCAGCCTGCCCCCGCTGCACCCTGCCATTGGTTCCAAGCTTCACGACCTCTTGTCTCAGCCTTCCTCTTGGAAGCAGCACAGCGTTCTGTCGGTGACCCAGTACACTCGTGCTGATCTCCATCACCTCTTCACGGTGGCTCAGCAGATGCGCCTGGGTGTCCAGCGTGAGGGTGTCTTGAACATCCTCCGTGGCCGTGTCCTCTGCACCCTGTTTTACGAGCCGTCCACTCGCACCTCGGCCTCATTCGATGCCGCTATGCAGCGACTTGGTGGCCGCACCGTGGCTATTTCCACCTCTCACTCTTCTGTTCAGAAGGGAGAGACGCTCCAGGACACTCTTCGCACCCTTGGCTGCTATGGTGACGCCGTCGTCCTCCGTCACCCTGAGGAGTCCAGCGTCGATGTTGCCCGTAGATACGCTCCCGTTCCTGTCATCAACGGTGGTAACGGCAGTAAGGAGCATCCCACCCAGGCCTTCTTGGATCTCTTCACCATCCGTGAGGAGCTCGGTACTGTCCAAGGCCTGACCATCACCTTCTTGGGTGATCTTCTCTATGGCCGCCCTGTCCACTCCCTGATCTACCTTCTTCGCGACTATGGCGTGCAGGTTCAGCTCGTGTCGCCCAAGGGACTTGCCTTACCTGCCGAGGTTCGCGAGTTCCTGGTTTCCTCCGGGCAGCTCCTTTGCGAATCCGAGGAGCTCACACCTGAGATTCTGGCCCGCAGCGACGTGCTCTACTGCACTCGTGTCCAGAAGGAGCGTTTCCCGACCGTTGAGGAGTACGAGAAGGTCAAGAACTCGTACCGGATTGACAACCGCACCCTCAAGTCAGCCAAGAAGGACATGTGCATTCTGCACCCTCTGCCCAGGAACGAGGAGATTGCGCCGGAGGTGGACACCGACCAGCGCGCGGCTTACTTCAGACAGGTATGTCTTCCCAACCCCCTTTTAACTATGAACGCATACTAATGGTTTCTTAGATGAGATATGGTCTGTACTGCCGCATGGCGTTGCTTGCGTTGGTTATGGCACCATGAATGTGATATTTTTCTTTTTTAAGACTCGGGACCGGAATATGAAAAGGCATAAAAAGTTTAGATCCTCCAGATTGGGATTTACCGTTCGGTGTTATTGGGGGCTCTGTTTCGATATAGCATAGACTAAAGTAGAAGCAACTACTTTAACTCACTGGCGTAAACGCACTTGGACGTCATGGCTTGCGCCATTATGGTGTAGAAGGGTTTAAGGATTTATTAGGTTTATTTGGGCAGTGCGTACTACGTTACGTGCGTTTATTACGTACGTATACGGTTTGCGTATCTGTATTGCGTTCACGGCGTTTTTTACGATATGATACCCCCCGTCGTATGTACGGAATGAAATACGTTTGTTTGGTCTGTTCACTATGTTTTGTGTGTTGTGTGTATTTTGTATGTGTATGTGTGTGTGTATGTCATCAAGGCGCAAGTACCAGCATGAGGCCCCAAGAGGCCGGGCTGGCCCCTGCTCCGCACGGTGAACTCCACTTTCATTTGATTCTCTGCAGGCCGTGGAGGAGAGAGACACCACCACCACTACTGTTGACCACCACTAATACATTTGCGTTGCGGGTAGGTGGAACATTCTACGTTCTCTTGGAATGTGGGGGGTTCCCTTTCTGTCGAGTTGCCCCCCTCTTTCTCCCAAAATGTCAACATCATCACAGCGGCTCAAGGCATCATGACATAACTACAAACCGCAATATTCACTTCGCCAAGCTCCAGCTCAGCAATCCAACCTCCGTCGTCGGACGCTGCACCTGTGGAGGTATCATTCCTCCCTAGTCCTGCATCGCTTGCTTCCTGCATATTTATGGGAAATAGTTTCATGTCGGCATCGTTGACGAGATCACACCACGTCTGCAGAAGCTAGATTTTTCTAAAACATCACGCCAACAACGCGATTTTTCATTGCCTCCGGAGTCCCCGTACCTTGCAAACGCTAACCATTGTTAAATACGAGGGAAGGGACGCTGTAGGTCGGAATCCCCACCGAGTGTTGGAAAAAAAAAGAAAGAGAGGCAAAACTATTCCTGCATTCTTATGCGGCCCAGTCTAGCCATCAGACTATCGAGATCGCTCAAAATGGCTCTTCACCCCCCACCCGAGAGCGACAAGCTCATCTGTAAGTCCGCACACACTCATCATACGCACTCATATGATCCGTACATACCACCCAACGAGTCGATGAATGAGGTGTGAGGAGAGGACGAAGGAGTGCATGCACTCGGCCTCGGAAACCTGCATTGCCGCATTATAGCGCAGCTTTAGTCTCCCACCCTTTCGTACGGCCGCTGACAATCTTTCACTCTCCCATTCGTGATCTCTCCCCTAACCCAGCCTCAACATCCGCTTCTTGTCTGCCACCAGGAAGGTATCACTGACAATGCATACCAGTTGCTCCCGCCGGTTCTCAACAGAACACGCGCGCAGATCAATTCACGCTGTCTGCGCTGCACCGGCGCGACCTGCACCCATCAGGCTCCCCCATCCCGCAGTTCCACACGTGGTTCACGGCGGCGCAGGCCTCGCACCTTGTCTCGCACCCGGAGACGTGCACATTGTCTACGGCGTCCCTGCCCTCGGGCCGCGTCTCCGCGCGCATGGTCTATCTCAAGGAGCTCGATAGCAAGGGCGGCTTTGTGGTGTACACCAACCTCGGCACATCCCGAAAGGCGGCGGACCTGGCAACCAACAAGCACGCATCGCTCGTGTTCTGGTGGGAGGCTCTACAGAGGCAGGTCCGCGTTGAGGGTGTGGCCGCGAGGTTGACGCCCGAAGAGAGCCAGGTGTATTATGACACGCGCGTCCGCGGAAGCAGGATCGGCGCGTGGGCTAGCAGACAGAGCCAGGTCCTCGAGCCCAAGGAGGGCATCGTGAGCGCCGAGGGTGAGGACGACGGCCGCGCGCAGCTGGAAGGCTGGGTCAAGGAGGTCGAAGAGCGATTCCAAGGCCAGGAAAAGATTCCTGTTCCTGAGTTCTGGGGCGGTCTGAGAATCGTGCCGGATCGGATTGAGTTCTGGCAGGGACGAGAGAACCGCCTTCACGACCGCTTCGTTTATGAGAAGGAGGAGGTCGGCGAGGATAAGTGGACCATTAACAGGCTTAGCCCCTGATCGCGGGGAGAGTGAGGGGGGCGGAAGAGGAAGCAGTTATGGGTCTTTGAGATTGCGCAAGTGGCTTGGGGTCCTTTCAGGGATGAGAGTTCACCAAAGATTGCATGTGTTTCAACAATAGATGAAGGTCGAAGGATGTTGTCTTTCCAAGACTCTACATTACCAAATAGGGTATGCCAAATACGATTCCAGTGATGCCCCGAAATCCCCGCCCGGGGATTAAAAAAAAGAAAATCCCGTCGCCTCCGTACGCCAGCCACCCGACCACTCAAAATTACAAGATGCAAATCCATCAAGCCTTTCTCGAGGCTGAGGTTGGTATCCCAAAAACGTACGTCAAGAAAGTTCAGGTCCTATCGTGGGACAAAAAAAAAAAACTCCCCCTACCACCCATATAGCCCAGGGGGGACCCCCTTATGCAGAGATGTACCGTTAAACCGTATGGAGAGCTGCTGCCCATTGGACCTCGCTAGGCATGCAAATCAACCATTGTTACACACATAAACAAAATGCTCGCTCGCTTCTCGCTTCATTTCGTTCAAACATCAAGCTCTTCTCCGACGGGAGAAAGTGCCTTTTCGTTTCCGGAAAAGGCAAGGGACATATAGTCGGTGCCCAACGACGTCTCGAGAGCCGCCCGCACCTCGTCACCGAATGTCTCGGCCTCGGACTTGGGTGTGTCAACGGGTGTTAGCTGCAAACCCAGGCCAACGACAGCGGTACCAATGGTCATGCTCTTGCTCTTGCTGTGGCCCATCTCATACGGCTGAATAGGGCGTGCCGAGTTGTAGTGGCGGGCGGCCATCTGCATGTCGACCATAGTGTCGGTGATGAGGTCCTCATCGTCGACCAGAGGCTTAATGCGGTAGTTGAGATTCTCGTAGATGCAGCGCTCGGTGACATTGATCTGCTCGCACGACCACATCTCTTTGCCCCATTTCGAGCAGTAATATGAGGTCGAATCCTGGCAGTCGTCGGTGAACTTTGCGGCAATGACGAGGGCAGCAAGGATGATGAGCTCGGGTTGGACCGAGTCGATGTGCAACTGCTGCTGGCAGCGGCGATCAAGGAGGGGGCTGTGACCTAGGGTGTGACGCTTGTTGTGAGAGGACAAGGCGCTATCGAGCAGCAGGGGGCACTGCAAGCGCCAGCTCAGGGCAAATTTGGAGTTGAGAGAGTCGAGAATGCAGACAGCCAAGGCAATGGTCTCGAGCGGGAGACCGGACCGACTGAGCATGGCCTGCACGAGAGGCACCGAAGGCGTCGTGAGGGAAGCTGACGTGGGAACGAGGTTGACTAAGTGGATGGCGGGTCCTGCAAGCGCGTGAACAGGTTAGCATTGCATTGCATATTTATATTGACATTGCAGTGAAACACACGCGCGCCCACACACCCGCTCTCTGAAGCAGGAGTTGGGTGCGTGAAAGGGGGGGGGTAAGGGTTGTCAATTGTGGAGGGGAAGCTCGTCATGTAATACGTACCAAGGAATTTCTCTTGCAGCACCTCACCATCCTCCAGGCCCGTCTTCGGGCTCTGATGTGCGGAGGAGTTCCTAGAAGAAGGAGGCGGGGTGGGAAGGTTCGAGAGGGGGCGGTAGGTGAAGTAGGCCTCCTCGGCTCCGTACTCGTCGTCCGAGTAGTCGGGGTTCTGAATCTGTCTCGCAAAGTTGCCCATTGTGTCGGCGTTTCTGGATGAAGTATGGTATGTGGAGTGAAACAAGAAGACGGTTTGGTCTGATCGTTTCGGCAGTAGGTTTGAATTATCTGTTCGTGGTTCGTTGCGGTCGTGAGTATTGAATGTCGTAAAAGCCAACTCTTCCTGTCCTCGGTCCTGAGCAGTTGGGGCTGCTGCTCATATTCGTATGCAGCGTTTTTATCCGGCGCGAATCAAAACAAACTCGTGATCGGCCGTTATATACCTTTTGAAGTGATATCAGGTAACGTCGGGTTAGAGAGATGAGTGAGTGAGGGCAGAAACAAGAGGCAAGGTCAACGAGGGAGGTCGGGCCGGTATATGTAGTGGGCTGGATGGGTGGGATTGTATATGGACACTGAGGTGCGGTACGTAAAGAAAGGAAAGGGGGCCGAGGAGTGCTGGGCGCAAAAAAGTTATGCAGGGTTCATAAAGCGAAGTAAGGCTGAGTCTGAGTCGACGATAGATGGGTCGAGCACACCCGAGCACCACAGCACCAGCTGCCCGGCATCCAGCAGGAGGAAAACAATGGAGACTGGGCTTCGCAAAGAGCGGGAAGCTGGCTGAACGGGCTGGGCTGGCTGGGGTGAGGGATTCGGCGGTGGGCGATGCACCAAGTGGGCTGGATGCTGGACGGGATCCAAAGACGGTGGATGTGAACAATGGTCCGTGTTGTTGCTGCTGCTTGGGTGCTGGTGCTGGTGCTGGTGCTGGTGCTAGGTGCTAGGTGCTACTGGGAGCTGGTGAGGTGGGGATACCCAAGCCCCCCGAAGATGTACCCGGAAAGTACTAGCGTATTGTCTGAGCGGAACAGCTCCCTCAATACAGCAGACAAAGCCCTGTACACACGCAAGTACTGGTGTTCTTGCAATTAGGCGGCGGTAGACAAAGCTGAGAGAACCAGGGCAGCCAGAATCTATCAGGGGGCCCCTCTTTTTTGTGCGAGTTTACTCGGCTCCTTAGCGTATCTGCAAGGCGAAAAGCAGGGGGCGTGGTGGGAGAAAAAGCAGACAGAAAGGAACACCGGGGCAGGACAGGGGAAGAAAAATGGGAATACGGGCACAACAACTGACAAAGTGTAGTAAAAAAAAAAAAAAAAGACCAGTGAGGGCTCCAAATACGCGGTACCAGCATCGGAACTATTGTCCCCCTTCCTGCCAACTCCTGCATAACCTGCATACATTATCGAGAGGAACCATTCGGTTATGGCAAAAGAAACATGTGAGCTTTTGGCAGAGCAAACTCAGAAGGGCTGGACCAGAAACATCAACAGGTTAGAAACTGTTCTTCTTGGATGTCTTACTCTGCGGAAAAAACGATAGACGTTCTCACACATATTGCACAGCGCCACTCAGATAAAGACACACAAATACACATACACACACTCATACGTAGCCAATCAGTCAGTCTCAGTCTCTAGAAAGCGGCATCACTACTCAGTACCGTGTAATCTAGGAGCATCCCACGCATGCGCGGCCCCGGCTTGTCAGTGACGACGGTTGACGCAACGCGAGACAAACATCCCAGACTCTCGAAAACTTGCAACATGCCGAAGGAGAAAAAAATGGTTTCCTCTCCTTGCGGTTGAAACGCTGATGTGATAATGCTTTCCTGGCTTATTCCCTGGCCACTGACCACAGTGTGCCAGGCAATGCCTCCTAATGTCGTGGTAAGATGACGTTGGACGGTTGGCGGATGGCTGGACGGCAATTGGTCTAGGTGATTGTCCCTCAATCCCCCCTCTTTCAACCAAACATTCAGACTCACCTCATCGTAATGCCGTCTGAATCACACTCGTGGCTGTTCATCCGCTCGCTTCACTTGCTAGTCAATCAGAAACCCTGTGTGGAAGTTTCCCCGTGCCTGATTGCCTATCCGAGGTAAGATCAAATCGGAGAAAATCGAGCGCCCAGCATCTCATGTATGGGTGATGTATGTGTGTTTTATCCGGCATGTCCAGGAACGGTCACGTCGTCACCCAGATGGTCGATCAGATGGTGCCATTGTGACCATTGCATGCTTAGTGGTGGTGTTTCCACAATGGTACGGGGGGTTGCTTCTGCTTCATCACACACACTGGCAGAAAATACGGAACTTGGAGGCTTGATGGAGGGTGGGAGAGCTGAGGGGAATCTCTCGCTCGCACAATAACTTTGCCAGGAACATTCGGTACAGGGGGGAGGGGGGACTCCCGCAAGTTGCCTCTCGAAGTCGTATTATTGTCCCTGGACACAGCCAGGGGCAACCCGGCTCGACGGCCACTCACCGTGACGACAGGTACTAAATTGGGTGTCAATGGGTGTTCGTCTGGTGGGGACTGTGGGACAGGCATGATGTGTTAATGCGCAACCACGGCCGTCCACTTTGCCATTGTTTGAACTGACTGACATTTTGACGGCCGCTTCAGGCTCCCAAGGGCAGTGGACCACTCTTTCATTACGGAGTAAAAGAAAGAGAGAGGGAGGGGAAGGAGGCGGTGGGAACTCACAAGCTATCAGGCTCCAATGGTTTTCTCATCCCATTTCGAAAGCTCCTAAATGGAGCTGTCTTCCCTAGATTCTCCAACAACAACATCTGATCTGACAGGACAAGACAAGGGTCTGGCAAGGGCGGCAATTCTTCACAGCAGGGCAGCGGCAACAGAGACCAGCTTTCAGAAATCCATTCGTTTCCTCGTTACCTTCCTCTCACCTAGCAAATTCCGTCAATCTGTTTATTGGCACCTCTCTGTCGGCCGTGACGCCAAGCATCAGATGCCCTGATTCAAGATGAATCCGTCCCAGCCATACAAGGATAGAACCAGCAAAGCACACCCGCCCGGCCGGCCGATCTACGACAGAACATCTATCATCCAGTCGTCAATTTGCATTAGAGCCATGTTCCCCTGTGAATTTTGGACTTGCGGCATCCTGCTACGCTGAGACCCCTAGTGTGCCTAGCGTCCTTAGCGTCTCCCGGCGCCCAGTGACGTGCTAACCCAGCCACAGCCACGCCAAATGGCAGATTTTTTCCCCTCCTCGGGAAAGTCTTCGATGCCCTTCACCTTCCCAATGTCCTGCCTGCTTCGTAGTACCCTTACCTCACTCAGCACCTTGAGGAGCCCATAGGGAGGTGTCCATGGTACTTACCTTGCCTCACCCGCCAGTCCCTTTGTTCCTACCCCAGAGTCCCGGCAAGAAAGAAGGCCAGTGGGGATAAGGAAGGAGGAAGCCGCTGCTGCCAATCGATTTCCGATGATCTTCCATTGTCCTCGTCTGTATTTGCCATACCTGTTCCTGTTTCGATCTTGGTTCCTGTCACCGGGGCTTAATTTGCCCTTTTCTTTGTTTTGTCTGATATGATTTTCGTCAGTGACGATGAGTCGAGACCTCTGACTTTGTCAAAGTACAACCACAACCGTCAGAGTCGAACATTGAGGGTCCGAGCCTCGCCCTGAGCCGGCCCCCACCGCTGAACTCTTTTCAACTGGCGAATTATGAAGCCTTGATCAACGCATGATGTGCGTGACCTGACTCCGCAGCTCTGCATCTCAGTACTTGGCCTCTCGTACTATGGTTTATCTCGATCCCAACCAACCTCATGCTGCCGCCGCCCATGCATGTATTCATACCTGACTTGGCCGCAACCAGCGTCATAACAATCCACGACATGCAGAATCCGAGGCACCCCAACCGTCCCATCTGATGCCCATAACTGCACCATGGACAGTTACTAATGCATCACCAGTAGTAGCATTGGCAGCGGAAGCGGTAACAGATGTCGGAGAGCCGCTGAAAAATACAGCGTATCCGACCCAAACCGTTTGTGCCCCGATTTGGCGTTCTCTGCTAGCGTTAAAGCCTACCGCCATTTGCATAACAAGCTCCACGTCGTTGCATAGGCGGCTCCCCCTTACGCTTGTCGCCGTCGCCGTCGTTGTCGTAGTGTACAGCAACAACCTGAACGTCAGATCTCCCCCTGTTTTGTTCGTCCCAACACCTCATCGCTGGACGGGCGGGTGAACTACGAATGCACTATCCAGCACCAGCCCACCGAACAATTTTGCTGCCTTACTACTTTGCAGCGAAGGAAGGAATCCCGATTGTCAGTGCGGCCACGCCGTTGTGGCCGTGCCCCTTCGTTGCGGACGACCCTGGGTTGTTGCAACTTAGAGGAGCATGTTGTTCATCCCCCCAGAGCTCTTGTGCCTCTCGTGCTCCTCTGAACCACATCCCTGGGCCCCCCTGTCACCACGTCACCCGTCGCTCAGGGTCTTTGGCTCCAATGCGATCTTCCTATGCATCTGTCGCTTACGGCAGGACTTACCCAGTTGGAGAGTCCGATACCTTGCAATAACTTGTAAAACGAACTTGAGAAGACCTCACCGAAGCAGTTGCACCCTTCCGGAAGCGGCGGTCACGATACCACCACGTCGTGACAGAGCGATAAAGCGATAAAGCAACTCGTGGTCCAGACTTGGCGCCATTCGCCGTTGTCGGTCACGAACGCCCCCATGAAGCCACAGCCTTGACTCTTTCCAAACTGCCCTTCTGCACTTAGAAAGGGTCCCTCTTGGCCTAGGGGTCCAGAATTCCCAAGGGTCAGGATCAGAAATGAAGAGGAAAGAAAATGGCGACGCCGGCTCGGTTCCCACAACTCCGGGTCGATCCTAATTTTGCCGGCGTCTGCCTCCAACCCAGCGGAGCCTAAGGGTACTCATTCCACTTGGTAAATCTCCTTCTGATGCCACTTCATGTCGCAGAGTGTTCAAATTGAGGTAGACTAACAAGCTTCGACGAACTCGTTCTTTCCCGTTGAATCTGGCCCTTGATAGATGCTTGGCACGCGACATCTGACCTTCAGCAATCTCACTCGCAATACTCTGACCTGAGCCAGTGGCTGAACAGGCTTGATGGCTTCGGTCAACAGACGCCCGGCAGAACCTTGTACTGCCGCTTGCGGCAACGACACACACCACGAGGAAGTTGTTAGCGGGATATTAGGTGTGGTCACTCCTATCAGAGCGTCTACCGGACACTGTTGGGCAATGCCAAATGTCATGCCAGGCGGGATCCCATGAGGGCTGTCCGAGCGCTCAGCCATGCCTGAATGAGATTCCCAAGGCCTTCCTTCATCTCCTCCATTGTCACACATGTTGGAATGAAAGATACTACCCAGTCATTCCCGCGGGAGCCGATCGTCCTGTTCCTCTCTCGTACGCGCACAAAATGTGTCTTGCTTGCTGCAGCGGATCTCCTCCCCACGATATCATCGCAACCTATATTGGTTGACCCTCTTTGGCGATCTGCGCGTGTTTTAGAGTTGCCATGCACGCGACACATGAAAATCACCTGCAAGCTATCCTTCCACCCCAGCCCCACGCGATGCATGCTTCTCCCAGAAAGTTAAAAACATTTATAACCCCCGCCTTCTCTATTCTGCAGATCTAATGCGTGCGTGCCGGGAGCGGACCGTCCAATTAAGTCCGTCAAAGTCCACTCTTGACCGGAGCTCATAAGCTGGGCTCCCGGTCCGGTGCCGAGTCACGTCACTGTGTGACGCCCCGAGCTGTGACCAGTCTTCAGGTGAGGTTGAATCGAGGCACTACAGGCTTCTCAAGCTACTTGACCAAAAAGGAAGAAAACAGGGAAAAATGAAAAGTTATGCGCTGGCATGCAAATACAAGCTCAACCATTGGTGACTTTGCCGAGGTGTGCATGTTTAGCTGCGGCCAGCTGACGCTCGATCGCAATCTTACATCCCATCCAGGACCTTCTCATTCAGCCCTGGAGGCTGCGCCATTCACAATTTGTTTCGTTGTGCGGCCGTCGTCCGAGCTGTCAGCCGTGGCGTCTCCCCGTTGTCCGAGGGAATGGGGTTTAATTCCCGGTATTTTCGGAAGGGTGCCAGAGCCTCAATAGATTAATTCTTTCCCGTGCAGCTTAGAACGTTTCGTTTCTTATTACGGGTGCTATTTCCTGTCGTTGCCTATTCCCGAGTGTTGCCAAGGCCGCCAATGCATCGTATTCAGGAAGAGGTAGCCGAACCAAGCCCGCCTGGAAATTCCCTCTTGTCTCACAAAAATCCCAAGTTCTAGTAGTGAATTTTTTTAGCGACATGTACTAACAAAGCCGCGTCCAAATTATTCATCTGTTGTTCATGTAATTCTACAAAGTTACCTAAGATCAAACAGCTGTAGGGGTACTAAACCACCGTGTTTTTTTTTTTTTTTTTTTTTTGGTTTTTTCTTGTTTTTTTTTGTTTTTCTTTTTTCCCAAAAGAATCGATTTCTCTCTATGGGGACGTCTGTCTGCCTCCTCCGCGTGCAAGTCGGTCAAGTCTGGTCTAACCCCCTGCGGCGGCGACAGCAAGCAAATGTCTGTTTAGGTAAGATGGGCGCGCTGCGGTTGGTGGGGTAGGGGAGGGTGCTCGTCTTACTTTCTATACTGCATGTATTTTCAGTCCGAGCCTGTGCGACGTATTAGGTCAGATGGAAATCCTTCGAATGGCTGGGGAGCCCTGGCTTTGATGGGATGAACCTTTTGCGGGTATCTCAGCTACGCTTTCTGCTGCAGCCTACGTGATGGTTCGAAATAAGTGCATAGCCAAATCACCCGCAGCCCATTCTCGTCGATTTAGGTGCAGCATCTCAGGGGGAAAGGGGGGCTGGGAATACTGAGACTGGCTATGTATGCGACAAGTTCTCCTTGCATTGTGCCTCATCGATGGCCTAAAGGTGAAGCCTTGCATGTATTGATGTGTTCCTTATGTAAGACGCAACCTTGTATAGCGTGACATTGATTGCAATTCCGCAGCATGATGGTATTGATGCATGCTTACGACAATGTGAGCAGGTTGGAGAAGGGGGAGGGGGGTCGGGTTCGACTTGCTGCGAAGACTAGAGCCCACGGTGATTCCCTTCGAAGCAAGCCTAGTTTCAACCACCGAGCCACGTCTGCTCACTTACTGCGGGAAAAGATGACATGGAAACTTTTCTGATGCATCTATCGCGCGAAAGGCGTAAGTCGAGGCAGAAGGCGTGATCTGTGTTCTGGACAGCCACGTCACTCTGCTGAGTTTCTTTTCTGTGTAGGAAACTTTGATCATCTCTACGCTCTGGTGTAGATGTGTGCTTGATGCGAACTGGGAGGTTGGGTTGAGAACTGGCCCACACGGCTGGGTAGAATTGGGTGGTTCGGCTGTGTCTGATGTGCTGCCGGCTGATGGAAGCCATGCGATGTAGTCCGCTGAAAGTCACTCGACTCGTTGACCAGCAGACAGATGTGTCTTTGCTCTTGTTGATTGTGTGGTTTGGCCCAGGTTTCCTGGGGCTTTTTTTATGAGATTCACTGTAAACTCTGACAAAGTGAGAAGTTGTTAGGTGCGGGCTCGAAAAAGAACAGTGATAACATTTTGAGCGTAGCAAAGTCGGTCATGAGCTGCCCAGTTTCATGCTGTTCCTTTCACCGTGGGATGCTTGTTCGGAGAATGAACTACCCCACGAAATCGAGTTGCAAGAAGCGCTCCATGTTCAGAGTTTGTAGTTGATCATGCTCATCAATATCATTTCCTAAGTAATTGATCTGCTTTCCACATCGTTCTAGTATAACCTGCGCCTGGTCTCCGGTGATAACGCTAAAGTCACCGCAATGAAAAGACAATAGAGAAAAGAACAACACCAGCATGCTTAGTCTCAGAAACAGCCCAAAAATACTCAGCAACTGAACCCGTCAAAACGGACCACGGCATCACTTGGTATGCAGCGTCAAGAGGCAGCAGGCCTACTCCTTGGCAACGATGGTGACTTGCGATAGAGAGTTAGTATGTCCCGTCCAATTGAGCTTCTGCAGGATTCGCTACGTACCAGAAGACTTCTCGACGATTTGGGTGATCTGCGGAAGCAGAGCTTGGTCGATGAACTGGCCGAGGTTCACTTGGCCAACCCCCTGGATGAGCCCTAGGTTGAGACCTCCCAGGTTGAGGTTGCCCAGGTTAACGTTGTTGAAGACACCCTGCTGCTGAATTGCGAGCAGCGTCGACAGCTGCTGCAATTGAAGCAGGGAGTTGAGGTCAAAGTTCTGGGCGGCGAAGAGGTTCTGAAACGTGAGAACGTTGAGGTTGTTGAGCTGACCCAGCTGGCCAAGTCCTTGAAGGTTGAGCCCATTGAGGGCAAGGAGGTAGTTGAGGTCGAGGTTCTTGAAACCTTGGAGATTGTTCAAGCGTCCAAGGTCAACGTTGGCTCGGGGCTCGTTGGTAGTCGGGGCGGCGCCGGCGAATACGGCGAAGGCCGAGACAAGAATGGTGGAGAACCGCATTTTGATGGGAGGGGTTTTGCGGGGTGTGTAAGCGCTGCTTTGTTATTCTGATTAAAAGTTATCGGTAGAAAACGAGCACAGCTCTGATGTTTCTTTAAAGAGCGGTTTATTTTGGCTTGGACGGGCTTAAAGGAATGAAGCGAACAACGAGCACAGCTGTGGGTTGAGGTTAATATCGGTGATGTAAATAAGCTGCGGATATGAGGTTGGCTTACCTCTGAAGAAAAGAATGGAAGGGGAAAAATAAAGACGAGCGGGAGATTGGCTTGTTAGTTTATGTGTACTGGAGGGAATTGAAAATACCAGATGGTCGAAGCAGAGCGACATTTTATATTAACAACGATGTGATGGCGGCGATGCCAAGCACATAGCGGTAGGATAATTCGCCGAGAGGCAAAGAAGGTTAAACCATTGCCAAGAGTGACGAGTGCGACGTTTTCGGACGGAAGGGTCAAGGAAATACCATCCGGTGCGTATCATAAGGTCTGTTTCGCTGGGACGGAAGAGCGTTCGATCAAACAAGTTCCCAGGGGGGTTATGAAGCCCGGGATCTAGGACATTAGTTCATTGGCAGGTACGAAGTTTGTTCGGATGATCCCGAAAGAAAGTAGTCACCATTAAGGTTTGAGGAGAGAATGATGCTGTAGATTGTCGGTTATAGATCTAGGGGCGATGAGTCGACAGTTGTAGTCCATGCTCGGCTTCATGTGCGTCCGAACCAAAGAATTTGCAATGGGTGAAGCAGCCAAGGATAAGGAAGCAACCCTGACCTGCGCATGGGCCTAATCAAGTGGACTACGGAGGTCAAACAACCTTACTTGATGGGGCTTACGGTGACTTGGCTGATAGGTTTGATCAAATATGACCATGTGCTTGGGCTAAGAGTCATCCCGGATGATGACGAGTTTTCAGGTATGCTTACTCGGCAGATGCGTCTTCCATTTCTTTCTCTGCAGCAAGAGGAAAGAGGATGAGACAAAATTAAGATCTGCGACAGGATGTCGAGCCATGTCTGTTTCCAAGGGCTTATCAGAGATTTCAATGTAAAGACGAGATAGTACCAGAAAGTAAAAGTTGGAGGGTGGGATTTCGGATAAAACTCGTTGCTCATAAGTCCGAACACCTGGCGTTTCGAGCGATCTTGTCAGTTTTGCCGCTCAGAGCCGACACAATTTGTGTCGCTTTGGGGTTGTGACGTTGCATTTGTATGGTAGTTGAATATGGCCATATAGAACCAAACGGCAGTGACTTCGGATCATCTCGATCCAACTGAAATCGTAGAAACTAGCTGCCTTCCGGTTAGTTTGCTCGAGCGTCCATATGCACAACGATCTCAAGCTAGAAATTCATCGATCAAAAGTAATACATGAAAACCATGCGACGACAACATATTGTTCGCCGCGGTTTAAATCACCCGCCCCCTCCTCTTTCGAAAAAATGGGTGGCGCAGATTGCACTACTACTTGCTTAGCAGCTTCCCTGGAGCGAGAAAGAGGTAGACGTAACAGTCAGGAAGGGTAGTCCGGCCAGCGGCAGTAAGCTGGGATGATAATGAGGCGACAGTCTGCCATCCTAAGACTGGGTAGGGAGCGCCTAAAAACGCTGGATGGCATATGACGCATATGACCACGGCTCTATGTAACGCTTCCCAGCTAAAGATGGGATGAAGTTTCCTTAATGATTGACTGAAGGTCTCAGGTTGGCATAATAGACTGCCCAGTCGGTAAATCGGCGCAGACGGGACATTCATCTGTTGGGACAATACGCTGGCCTGTCAATTATCCGGCAATGATATATGGAGTTCACGCCATGATTGGCCAGTAAGACACAATTGGGCAATTCAAGAGAAAAGGGAGAGACGTCAGAGCGGCTCAACTAAGGTTTAGTGGCGGGCTCTTTAGACTTGACCAAGTGGGGCTTCTGTCAGTCTTTGGGCCCCCCATTGAACCCCTGCCTCAATCACCCATGCTTTGCTATTGGCTTTGCTACTCCCGCATTCCGTCTTTCCTCCAGCGGCCCGGGCGCTAGGTGCAACGGTCCTGTCACCGGAAACTGTCAGTCGCTGTCATGCCACCCCCCTGTTCGTGTGCGATCTTCATATCAATCTGTTACATGTGACGGTCGGTGAGGTATCAAACCTTGAGGGCATTGGGCTATTGGCAATGGAGCGACTGATTAGATGATGTTGCCCCTCACATTCTGCTCTTCATTCGGCACGAGCTGATCGGATAGCTGGCAGTTCCGTGGAGATCAAGTGAAATGAACATTTAGCCGATACAGCTCGCTACCAAATTTGTTTGTAAGCAGAGACACAGGGAGCATGTCAATTGCGCAAATTCATCACGACAACCCAGAGAAGCAGTCAATTACCCCACTCAGTGTTAAACTTATCCACCTTGTAGCTGCTGACCATGATGGTGTATAAGCTAGGGTATCAATGAAGCAGTTTCGTAGGATATTTGGCAGACCACCTGACAATGAATGAGTGACGAGTTTGCCCCTGAATATTGACAGAGTGCTCATCTTTTAGGCACGTGTATCTGGCACTTTCTTGTGATAACACGTAGCGTACAATAAGCTTAAAGTGGTTTGACACCGATTGTGTGAAGTTCAGACCAGGATACCCGGACTGAAACCACGGACCGTTCAGGGATCTGAAAATCGAGACAACAGGGTAGGATGAGAAGCCAAAATCATATTGTGACAGATGCTTATTTTAAAACACATTAAATATATTCAACCCTTGCCTCACAAGATACCTTTGGGTAATGCACCGTGGCCCAGATTCATACACATGACAAACTCTTTGTGATTCCACGCCGGCCAAGCCATCTGCGGCGCACTCTGGAGCAATGGTATAAGATCCTCTGGGGACTCAGTATCCACAAGTCACATGACGCTGGTGTTTTTTCTTTCTTTTTCTTTTAATCTTGAGCGCAAGTCTTTGCGATACTAAAAGGATATGGATTCAAGCCAATGCATGGTATCCTAATGGCAATATATCGAATCCAACATGTTCCGATTAGGGGGGCCGGAGTTCATTTACAACTTTCCCATGCCTAATAGAAATTTGTGTTAGTCATAGAGCCAACAAGATCGGATGACATTAACCTTAACTTACCAATCTGAATGCCGCTCACAACAATACCCTGCTTCATGAGACCAACAAGCTGCAAGGGGTTGACCAGGCCGACAGAAGTGAGTTGCGCAAGTTGCTGGAGCTGGGCGAGCATGATAAGCTGCTGTTGAGCCTGGAGCTTAGCGAGAGCGTTGATATCGATGACATTGTTAAGACCCATGGATGCCAATAGCAGCTGGACAATTTGAAGGAGCTGGGCATTGTTCTTGTTGTTCCTGTCGTTGTCGTTGTTACGGTTGCCGTCCCGGTTGCCGTCCCGGTTGTTGCCGCCCCTCTGACCCTCGCGCTGGCGCTCACGCTGGCGCTCCCGTTGATATTCTTCGGCCTTCTTTGCCGCTTCCCTAGCAGCTTCCTGGCGAGCCTTTTCAGCCTCCTTACGAGCTTTCTCAGCCTCTTGGGCGGCATCTTCGCCCTGCTGTCCCTCACGCTGCCTAGCGGCTTCTTCTTCGGCCTTCTTCTTAGCTGCCTCTTCCTCGGCCTTCTTAGCTGCCTCTTCCTCAGCCTTCTTAGCTGCCTCTTCCTCAGCCTTCTTAGCTGCCTCTTCCTCAGCCTTCTTCTTCTCCTCCTCAGCAGCAGCATCTCCACCCGCCGCAGGTGGTTCCGCAACAGGAGGCGCAGCTTCAGCAGGAGGGGCGGCCTCGGCAGGAGGGGCGGCTGCTGGGGGCGCAGCAGAAGCCACCGGGACCGCAGGCGCCGCTGGGGCAGCGGGGGCAGCGGGGGCAGCTGGGGCAGCCTCCTCACGAAGAACAATGTCCTCGCGAGCACCAAGTTGCTTAGGGATGCTCAGACCCGACACCAGGCCGGCGGCAACAAGAAGAACCATGGAAGACCTCATTTTGAAATGACAGACGTTAAAGGTACGTGAGCTGAAGAAAGGGAACTTGGTGTTTGTTAATTTAGAGTCATAGGGGTGTCGCTAGGCGAACTTACGGTGGGTATCAAGGAGTGACGGGAAGAGTAGAATGAATGAAAAGAGAGCACAGCTGCTTGATATTAGTAACCATTAACTGCCAAGGAGAGAAGGCTAAATTACCTCTGGAGATTGAGAATTGAAAGATAGGTTAAGACACGTCCTTGAAGAAGAGGATGAGAAGCAAGATATTGAATCATCATGGGAGACGGTAGCTTTTTAAGTTCCGAACAGCATATTAAGCATAAGTCTTAATGCGGGCCTGCCCATCTGCCCACAGACCAGTCTTTTCTCTTCAGATGGCACCTATCACAGGTTCATGAGACAGATGCCATTCGAGATCAAGCATTGCGTGACATGCCAATGATGTGTGGCGTTTGCCTTCCCACCGTCGAAGTGTCATTTGTATCCACAACGCAGTCCGGCAGAAGATGGGTTTGTAGACCCGGTCTCACATGTCTCCATCAAGAAACAGATGACAGCCGTCAATACTACTGTCAAGTGCAGCCGTACACGTCCCAACTCCAATGGTTCATCGTGATTTGTGCTCGGCTGTTTCGACTGAGCTGAGCCGTCCTTGGCGACTGGGAGATCAGACCGCTTGCCTTACCACAGGTGTCCTTTGTTCGATAAATGAAATGGAACCCTTGTTTTGTTATTGAATACCCTGACGGTTGCTCCTCACCCAAAGCTTGGTCATGACTACCGGCTTTTTCTACGCCAAGGCGTGCATCAGGGGCACCCTGTGTCAGATAATGATAGCGGAAGTTAGTATCTAGTGTGGGGAATGGCGACACGCCTTAACAATAAGGATCATCGTCCGAACCTCTTCCGACGTCTCATCATCTATGATCGTCCGGACGTGGACGGAACATACTTTGGCCTTTGCAAAACGAGCTTTATAGCCTGGTAACATCTCTATAGCATTGTTTTTATACTTCGAGCTTTCAGAATTATTACAAACATTTTGGCTCACGGCAATTGAGAATGGTAACCAGAGAAACGTAAACAAGTATGCTGAAGGGTGATTTTGCGGAATACGCAACGATCATGGAATATCATGAACCATCCAAGCAATAAAAGAAGATCACATTGAACACAATTCCAATCTTCCAGTCCATGACCAAGAATTGAAATCTTGTCTTTTACGCTGTTGGGCAGGCGACCCCATGTTACCACGGTGCCCAGCTTCGCAAGGGTTCTACTGATGTGACCCTGCTGCAAGGGCAAACAGCACCTATGTTTCAGAACACTTACTCGAAATAACCTTGATTTTAAGGACGAGTGCTTATTTAAACCTGGCAAGCTTCGACCAACAGCTCCCGGGTGCGGCTGATAGCTCAATCATTGAGTGCACGACTTAGTTTCGCAGGTGCTTTGAAATGGAACATTTTCGGGGCATTTTCCAATGAGACGTCGTAAACGAGAACAGATGGCTGGCGCAGAAATTTGCGTCTGCCAAAGTCCTAGCATCATATAAACGGAGAAAAATACACGTGGAGAGGGGAAGGAAAGGGGATTTTTGAGCTTTGTCTGGTTTTCAACAAAATATCACAAGAGTAATTCGAAAAGTGAAGGATTTCGTAATTTTGCAATTGATGTATCGTAGGGCTCGGTTTCACCCAACTGTGCTCTTGCGCAGAGGGAATATCAAGACTCGTTCTACATCATAGGCATTGAATATGTTCGAAGATAAAATAATGAGACGCATGGGATGATCGTCAATAGCCTCTTTGGAGTGAAGCTAGCTTACGCGGAGATGTGGACATTGGTATTGCGCCACTTGGCCATTGGATAAGCCGGACCAGGATACGAGGGATTGATCAACCTCGTTGAACCAAAGCCGGCGCTCTGCCTCACTCAAGACCTCCGTCAAGACATTTGCGAAAATATGCATCTCATTTCCAGCACTCAAACCACCCTATAACGCCAGTCACTGTTGCTCATAATACTTGTCATAATCTGCCCCACCAAGTCATACTAGTATTTGGCGACGAACAGTGGCGACTATTCTCCTTCATCGCAAATGTCCATGTTATCACGGGGTTGAAATCGCTCTATCGCATCGGATCGCTGAACGGAAAAGGTATCTTAGATTGTACAATTATCATAGGTGTCGTCACCTTACGACTCTCGGTGCCGCTTGTGCTTCTTTGCTCGGTCCGTGGAATCCCAACCACTCTCCTAGTATGCCACCCGGCTTCGGTACTGGACACTCCCTCCTCAACCGCTCCTCCCTTGCTTGCAGAGTTTCCTCGTCGCCAACTTGATCGAAATTAACAATGCCGTCCTTGATTTCAGGGTTTTCGCGGCGCTTCCTTCTCCTTCGTCGACCATCCTCTCCTACAACAATATCTCCATCGGCGTAAGTGACCCTTGGTGCCGGGCAGGGCAACAGATGCGGTAGACCAACGACAAAAAAACTGGCGACAACTGTGGTTGCGAAGAGAGATGAGGTCATACGCGACCGCGGGTGGAGGGGATGGGGTGGCATGATCGCGTCTTTTTTGTGTTTAGAAAGGAGGCCAAGGGCTTCGTCTGGATGCAATTGAGTGTCAGTGAGGCCGAAAGCTTGCCAGTCGAACCAATTGAATGATTGTGCCCACCTATAACCGTGACATGCTCGCGCGAGGTGGCAGAGAGTTCGAATTGAATCCCCCGATAAAGGCTGAAGTGAGCGTCGATGAGTGCCAACAGACGATTTTCTCGCAACCCAGGAGTGAAGCTTGATGGTCGTATTGCTATGCAGGCCACCTGATTGGATTCCGGCGGACCGGAGTGGGTCCGTAAAAGTGACATGATGAGCCACGACGGTGCCTGAGGATCTTGGCTTCGGTGATGGCAAAACCAATATCCCGAGGTAAACCTCCGATGTCTTCTGACTGCAGGTGGGAGCTGACAGGGATACAGTGCACTCATACTTAGACCCACATCTTCGCAGATCCATACCCAGGTGCGCTTCGCTGATAATTGATAAGATTTAGCGCGGTTGGGGTTCAGCGCACCTGCTAACGCCAACAGTAAGGCACTATGCACGTCTGCCACCATTGACGCCATGCTAAATTTGCCTTGATCGCGACACCGATACTCTTCAACACCGACGAGACGAAAGTGACGCGCTCGGTTCGCGTCGATACTAACTTCAATTTATTGTGCGATATGTTATGAAGCGCTGATACTTTTATTCTCTCTGACCGACTGCCGCAACTCGTCAGCCTCGGTTGCCTCGACACAGACCAGGGAGCCCCTCCCCGATCATCGCCATGAGCGACCTCGACAAGTGAGCTTCCCTATAAATTGGATTGGCAAAAAGGGTAACCTATATTGACACAGATCGCAGAGCTATCGCGCAATTGCGCGCTTGCCGTCCGATTCCTGAAGCGCAGGTTCGAGAGCTTTGCCATAAAGCACGCGAGTTGCTCATAGAGGAAGGCAATGTCGTCACAGTCACGGCTCCCGTAACGGTATGGCTCGGTCGCACGAATGCCAGGATCGGATGGATGCTAATTCAGTCTTTAGATATGCGGCGATATTCACGGCCAGTTCCATGACTTGATGGAACTCTTCCGAGTTGGCGGCGATGTCCCTGACACTAACTATCTCTTTATGGGTATTGCCACTGCCAGGTTCCAGCTCTCGTACAATATATGCTGACCACCCCCCTCGGATTTAGGCGACTTCGTCGACCGTGGCTTCTACTCTCTCGAATCTTTCCTCCTTCTACTATGCCTCAAAGTCCGCTACCCCGACCGCATGACCCTCATCCGAGGTAATCACGAGTCCCGCCAGATCACCACTGTATATGGTTTTTACGACGAGTGCTTGCGCAAATATGGATCAGCTAATGTTTGGCGATACTGCTGTGACGTTTTCGACTATCTTGCGCTAGGTGCTATCGTTCTCGGGGCATCGCACACCTTCAATTCCAGCCCTGGCCAAGAGCCGATCGATGATGATGTCGAAATTGAGGTCTGCGACCAGAGTGGCTCAACTATGAGTCGCTTTCCCCGTCAGAGACGGCCCCAGAGACAGCCGACCCCCAACAGCCCCAACGGCGCCCCTTCTTCATCTGGAGACAAGACCGGCCCTCCTGGTAGCGGCGCGTCAGGAAGCTCATCAGGCTCACACGGCAACCCCGCAGGAGCCATCCTCTGCGTTCACGGAGGCCTCTCACCGTTGATAGACAGCGTCGATAAGATCAGGCTCCTTGACAGGAAACAAGAAGTGCCTCATGAAGGAGCGATGTGCGATCTTCTCTGGTCCGACCCAGACGACATTGATGGCTGGGGTCTTTCGCCTCGTGGTGCCGGATTTCTGTTTGGCGCGGATATTGTGCGAGACTTCAACCATAAAAATGATCTATCGCTCATCGCTCGTGCCCATCAGCTCGTCATGGAGGGATTTAAGGAAATGTTTGACGCCAGTATCGTCACTGTGTGGTCGGCGCCGAACTACTGCTATCGGTGTGGCAATGTGGCGGCCATTCTCGAGCTGGCGGAGGATGATTCAGGTACAGGTGTCTTTGCGCGCAGCAATGGTGATGTGGGCCGCAGTGACGGCGGAATTAAAGGAACCGATGATTACGTGCTTCTGCCCGGGCCAGCAAGGAGGTATCGCGTGTTCCAGGCAGCGCCGCAGGATTCAAGGGGAATGCCGGCAAAGAAACCGGTGGCAGACTACTTCTTGTAGTTGTAGGCCGCGGTTTTCGGCTGATAACAGGACTCTTGGCGAAAGAACCGAAAGTGAGAAAAACAAAATGAGAATACCTTAGCGACAAGCCAATGAGATGGTGAACGGTACTCGGGCGTATGTGTTCCTTTTTCTTTCTTTTCCTTTTATTCAATGTATGTGTATGCAACTTGCAGGATAAGCAACGGAGTTTGAGGACTTCGCATGAACAGAATAATTCTCATGATCTACGAGCGCCCCTACATGCCTCTCTTGAGAGCCGGCCATAATGAAACCTTCCTAATCCCGACATCACCTTGTTCATACAACATAAACTACACATGTGTTACCGAATCCGCTACTCTGCATCACCGGCCTCGGCTTCTGGCGAGCCCTTTCTCCAAACTCGAGTTCCTCCCCAAAGCGCTCCCGAGATGTTCTAATCCATTCGGCAAATACGCCCGCCGTCTGTTCGCCGTCCACGAACACCTTAGCTGCGAATTCCCGCTGCCGATCCAGCTTGTCCTGGTAGTCAGCCACGGTGGCCGCTGCGTTGGCGAGCACAATCTCCTTTTCTGCTTCTTTGTCCGCGTGCTTAGTGGCGGGGCGGCACGTCTTCTTGATGAAAGCGCGAAGGTCTTCCAGCGTAAGCTGTGTACCTGCGGCGTCGAAGCTGTCGATGGAGATACTATCAAGAGCGTCAAAAACCTGCTGAAGACGCTTCCGGTGCTGTTGATTTTGCACGTGATCCTGCGTTGGGGGATAAAAGCGGGAAGGCGTCGTTTCGCAGAGCTTAACGAGGCCCCTGAGGGCATTACGGGTCGCCTGTTCCCGATGGTCTGAGGGCTGGAAGACGGTTTGCAAAGCGGAAATGCTGATGAGGCTTCCTCCGAACGGCAGACTCTGGTCAGAGCATATGTTGTTTGTCGTGGAGGGATTAATATGATCGTTGCTGATGGAGTACATACGCTTATGCCTACTTCTGATGCCCAAAAGGTCTCTAAACGTGCCTCGAAAGCCCCAATTTCTTGGTTCATCTTTAACTTGCCCGCCTCGGAGGCCACTTAGGGGTGCGGAAAGCTGCCTGTCAATATGCCGTCTCTTGCTTGAGCTACGGAGGAGATCTTCGCCATGTCGTTTCCTAGAGTTCTTAGGTATGTCGGGTGCGGCACCAAGATCCATCTCTATATGCCATTGCGTTGTCTGTGTCGCTCTGTCATCCTGACCATCTAACCTCCAATTGGTGTGTAAACAACCACTAATATCATCAGATGTCTGACGAGCCCTTGTAACCTCGTTCAACAACATCGGCTGTAGCCCAGTCCGTACGAAGCTGGGATCGGTGGTCGACCACGGCTTGGTGTCGAGTGGAAGGAATTGAGACCTCGCCCTGGGAGATTGCTGTGATTTATCGCTGGTGTCATCAGGAGAGGGCAAAGAAGAAAATGGTGGCTCTTGTGTCAACTTCGCAGTCAGAAAGGGGGACTCTCGGCTTTCAACTACAGGAAGGAATAGAGACTCGCTCGCGGGGCCTGTGGCGGAAGATGGCCCACCAGATGGAGGTGTTGGGGCCGCCTTGAACAGCCGTGGGGAATCTTGCTCAAACTCTGAAAGCTGCGTCTTCACGAGCAACAGGTGTTGTGCTAGCATGCTGCTCATACTACTGAAGTTCTCCGGGTTCCAGCTTGCTTGTAGGCTGATCAAGATCGCGCTCAAACTTTGGATATCTTCCACCAGTCTCTGTGGGCAAATTCGCGCCTCGTCGAGTTTGCCAGTCCTGGCATTGTATACAGCTAAATGCCTCTCGATTTCGACTCTTTGCGATGTCGCCAAAAGATTCAAGAACACAATTCTTTGGTTCGGACATTTTGGTCGTTGCTGTGGTTGACACATCTGGTACAGTAACTGGACAAGAACAACAGCAATGCTTGCAAGAACAGGGTGTCAGCGAATATAATCACGGGGTTTCTTGGTTTCTTTAAGAGACGCTTGAATTCGTGTTCTTTTTTTTCCAACCCTTGGAAAAGGGCACTGATCGTGCTACCAAACGAGCCAGTGATGGCCTTTGATGGTCAGTTGTACGCAGCCTCACTACTTGAGAAACATACTCGTCAATGCTATACCGTATCAAAGAACACTTCAAGGTTTGACAGGCATTTGATTGAACTTCTCGAAGTACCAGACGGTTTCGGTCCTGGCGAACGGAAGGTGTTCGAGGCACATTGCGTCGGCTTTGTTCTTGTTTGCCTTCTCTTGATCTCCCTTGTTGGGAGGGATACAACAGTACTTCCGTTTCCTTTCTTCAACTTCGTAGTCCTCTTCAAGATTTTGTATCTGGGGTTTTTAGAAAAACAAAAACCTTGAGGACACAGGGGTACTATCCGGTTGTCTACCCGAGGCTACGAAGCAAAGTTACGACAAGTTTCACAGATATGGTGTGGATAGATTGACTGTCGGCCTTTCTTCCTATTGCATTTTGCGATCTGAACTCGGCACGTGGATTGTATCTGCGTGTTGTTGGTTGTCTGAAGGCCTTAGGCCACCTCGTGGAGAAGGGGGAGGATACTGATTCCACATTAGTTCACGGGCGTTGTAATGTGATCCTACAACAGTATCTGACGGCATCCAAGGGTATGCATCCACGTTGCCAGCTTGTCGTGATCGCCGGCCTTCTGCGCTCGAATCTGTATCAGACACCGAGGCAGGACCGGAATGGCTAGCGCTGCCACCCCCTAATTGGGAGGCAATGAAGTTTGGAGGCTGAGGTATTGTCTCGTACGCAGAATATGAAGGCGTAACTTGTGCGCGACAATTCGGTGGTAGAGTGCTCGTCGTGTCTGCGCTGGTAAAAGATGGGTGGAAGTCGATTGTCTGGTTTTCTCCATAGCCCTGTAAGTTCATAACCAGGCCACTAGACGGCTGCATGTGGTTTGGAGGCCATCTTGCCCCGTGTCTGATTTGATCTTCGGTGGCAAACCGTTGACCTGGCAACTCGCCAACCTGTCTGTAAGCCGCTTGAGGAATGCCAATGGGAGGTGCAGACTCCATCCCGTAAGGTGATTGACGAGCATCCTCAGGAGTGGCAGCATAGCTGTCAGCCGGAGAATTAGATCCCGTGTCATACGAAAGAACTTGGTCGGTGTTTGTGTGCTGGCTTGGTGAACGTAATGGTTTGGTCAAGTCGAGGCAATCCGGCCTCCTCGCAACCATAAGACTGTCTAATGCAGACGCCGCATTCCCCGGCATGCTGCTTCCCGAAGGGTGCCTCTGTAGTCTATGGCGGTCCGTATATTCGGCTGTACCGGTCTTCAAGAATTGATCGACCTGCTCGTCACTTAGACCCACGTTGTTGAGAAGTTTCCGTAGCTTCTGGTTCTCGTTCGCGACTCGACGTGCAGCCTGCTGAACCTCTGCAGAGGCCTCTATGCCTTTCAACTGGCATTCTCGAAGACGCTGCTCGAGCTCCTGGACGTATTCCTTCTTCCGAGCCCGTGAACGGCGCTGGTTGTCTCGGATACGATTCCGTTCCTTTTCCTGCAATACGAATATGTTGGTAAATCGTTCTTTGGCCGCTACCGACCGTTGCTGGCGTGGATATGTTTATTTGAAATCAGGTTGAGGTACTGACCGCATCCATTGGCTTTCTACTGATTCGGAACCGCAATATTAAGTAATGGCAAAACCGGTATTCTAGAGAAAGGTGTAGTGTTTAGGACGAGAGGGGTTGGAAAGCGGGTAAATGCCTTCCAAATGGACACGAGTAAAATCCAACTAGATGCCACAAGATATTGGTCATCTACCAGAAGTAGAAGGTAGTGGGGTAGGAGGCTTTAGCTCGCATCTGTTTCATCAGAGGACGAAACATGAGGATGGGAGTTGGAATATGAACTAGTGCGCATTGCGAGGCCAAGGGCCCTGAGGTATGACATATTACTGCAAGTAAAAGCAAGCGTGAAGAGCCAGCAAATCATGAGCAATCAAAGAAAAATATTTACAAAAACGAGTGGAGGAGGCCCTGCCTAACATGGCCGAGGCTGGTCCGAGGGAGGGTGGGCAAGGGTGCTAGGGTTTAGTAGGGGTTTCTTCCAAGACGCTGGCAGACTAGAGCCAACCGTGCCGCTAGGCAGAATAAGGAGGCGAAGCAGCCGGCCAAGGGGTGGGTTCTGCATCTAAGAGCCTTTTGGATGCCAAATCACAATTCAGATCGGATCGCTTTAGCTGGTGTTGATGGACATATAGCACCTTAAAGTCAAGGAGAGGAAATGCCCGAGGTGAGCATGGATGAATGCAAGATTGGGGGGGCGGGTAACGAAGCGGCTGATGCAGAGGCGAACTGGGGCGTCGGAATTTTGAAAAGAGAAATCAGAGGCAAGAAAGATCTAGCATAGGATCTGGTTTGTGGAAACCCGCGTATGTGGTTGGGAACAGTCGCCTCCTAGTGGAGCTGGCCTCAAGAGATTTCAGCAGGTCATCAACCACCTAGGGGGCGAAGGGTTTAATTGACATTAAAGAATTTGCCTCGGAGACCAGAAGCTGACTGCCTGAAATTAGGACCCTGGAATAGAAGCCAATAGGAGAGAAAGTCGCCTTCAATAATGTAGAGTATTGATATCATTCGAAGTAGAAAGTGGGAGAGGGTGCTTCACACAGCCCCCTTGGCTTTTCCATAAAAGACTTCAACGGCGGCGCCGGGGCAAAACATAAGCGAAAACTTGTGATTTACTCTTGGTGATGAGAAGGGATGATACAGGAATTAGAAACGGACCTTTAATTTTTCGTTTCTTTTCCTGCCCACTGCTGACAGGCCGCCAGTGGCGCGAGGATGATGCAAAGTCTGAAAACAGCAGCGGAATGTTTGCGTCTTCCTTCATAAGGATTGATAGGCGGGCCATCGGCGTGAGGTAGGACTCGTTAAGCTATTGCGGCGGTAATGCTACGAGAGACGAGGCACGGCACAGCATGGGTATACCCGGGGGAAACAAGCCCGGGGCTGCCGCGGAACCCTGGACTCCTATTTTATTTTTGTTATTTATCATGTGAAAGTATTGGTCCGTTGACGGCAGCATCGGTCGTGTCCATGTTGTTAGAGAAAACGTAGAATGCGGGATGCCAGACAAGTCGGTATATTTGCACCATTAGTGGATAAACAATGGTGCGTTCTCTATTGGGGGGGCTCATCATAATGGCCGATACCCGAACATAGTTGAAGAAAGATTCTCAAGAATATGATTTATTTGTCTTTGTCAACTCACTGCCCTTGTTAGTTGTAAGAGACACAGCACGCCCAAGCTCACTGCGGAAGACCCTGTGAGTGGTTCATGGTGTTTACTTCACAGACGTGGTGGCAATAGCGAGAAAACCCAGAGCTGATGGAAAAGAGCGACAGAAGAACAGATTGTGGTCTAGACCATCCAAAATAGCTGAGAGGATTGCCTTGTTAGTGTGCATTGTTGATGGGATACACGGTTCCTTGTCAGTTTCTGCGATGATGTAAGAGTGATGTTTGCTCGTGGGCGATTCAAAGTCCTGAGTGTGGGTTCACGAGTCATCCGAAGGACAAGAAAGCCGCCCATCGCTGTACAAACCTAGGCCACAGAAACGCTATGGTTCGTCTTATTTGCCCAGGGTCTGTAGATTGGGGCTTTTCAGGCGGGGACAACCCTTAAGGGTCTTCGTTTGGTTTGCCTCCAAAAGCGATCTGTATATGAGTAGATTCTAGGCAAGGAGCATCCGGCAGACACAGCAACCGGAGATGTCTTGCCTAGGCCTGCCTGCATGTCTTAGAGCGGAGGAAGGCGGGACATGTTGGGGTTACAGCACGAGCTCATAGATGTGGATGTCTGGCTGCTAGTGTTGGTAAGCGGCAGGCGGATGCTCCGTAGAGCACTGAGACATGGAGAATGGAACATGGCTTGGAGTCGTCAAAAATGGAGACTTCCTGGCTAATTGGAGGCCGGTATAAATTGGGGACGGAAGTGCACCACGGCCATGGGAATGGGGGAGGAGGTGGTGGTGAGAGGAATGTTCTAACCCTGCCCAAGTGGGATTCCAGGCCCCCACGATCGCTCGATGGGAAAGCATTGGCCCACGATATTTGCACTAACCGTCGGCTCACCGTTGATTGCCATAAATCGGATAGCTTGCCTGGAGTTGAATAAGTTGCCGAAGCTGGTCCATGCCAAACCCCCTGCTTTCGTCTGTCCCTAAGCCGCGCTAGCATTACTTCCGGGATCCACATTTATTCCCAGCTCTACCCGTTCAGCGCGTCACCGCACCGCTCGTTTCTACTATGCTCTCATGTTCACTGACGTATCCATTTCTGTGCGGTCCCTCCACCACACAAATGTCACGCATGTTTGACGACACGCCGTCTTGCGCGGTATGTGATGAAATTCTAGCAAGGCCCACTAATTTCGCTCAGTAGCCAGCACCACAAGGCCAAAGTGCGAGGTGTGGCACGCCGAGTGCCAGGCGCAAATGGCAGCTTGAAGATTCGATGCTTTTGTTCTCTTTGGCCACTTCGGCCCCTTACCTCCCCTCTTCCCTCCTCCGCCTCGACCGCGCTATTTTGAAAAGGGGGGAGGCACAAGAATTTTCGGCTGTATCTGACCTCGTTCTCGTTCATCTTCTGAACTCGGGAAATGTACTACATCGGGGTGCCTCGCCTGTGCATCTTGGCTTGCTGCCCGCCTCCCCAGCGCGTTCCACCGCCATAACAGACATGCATTAGCCCTGCTATCACACAATCTGACAGTACCTGATTGCTATAGTGCCCGGTTCTCCCACAACAAGTCTGAAAAGGTGACTGGCAATACTGGTTCAGTAACACCTTAGAAGCTGTAACTTTGAGTCTCATTTATCACATCTGACATCCCGCTCACAGACCCTAACATGGGGCCAAAAGCCTTCCGCAGGGAATGTTTGAAAGGTATAAGCCAGCTCGTCTAAACAGTAATCTTTCTACGCCAAGTTACTTGCCGGTCATGGGTTCCTTGTGAGATAAGAGGCTTCAAGCCAGGGGGCGAGGAAGCACAGAGGAAGAAAAGAAACCCCGATCAAGAGGACCTATCGACAGCAGCCCTCGCTTAGACAATGCTTACCCGTTTTGAGTGAGGATTTTTACACCGTGTGTCTCACCCAACATTTGCCAGTTGCCAGTCGCCTAAGAGACCGGAGCTGCTCCGTAGAGCCGCAGCCAATCAGATATGCCTTTTTTGATCGTTTTGCGCTGTGGGCCTCCCTAGGCAAATGTCACTTGTGGGCCTTGAAGCAATGTCACTGGTGGGTCTCCTCGAAGCAAATGTCACCAGTGGGCCAGCCACGCATTGGCAACTTTGATATGGTATTCATCCAGCATGATGTTCTCCAAATCAGCCTTCCTTTGTGCCAAATAGCTGTCGTCATGACTAATGGCGGAGGCAATGGAACGTTTCCTCGCTTGTATGAACCGACGCTTACAAGCTTTGAAGCGTGCCTCGGTCATTTTTCTTTGCGCATCCTTGTAGCACCAGATGCAGAGGTTTGGTATATCGCCGCCTTCTGGTATCGTGGGAGGTATGAGGAAAATCTCCTCCTTTGTGATGTGGCGGGTAGGTATCTGATGCCCACATCCATTGTAGACGAGTTCGTGTCGGCAAAAGGGACAGGTGTCGTGGTCTCGAAGCCATTCAGACAGACATCTTGCCCCTGCAATATGTCCACAGGGCATGATTGCAGGAACACTGTCAGACAATCTTGCCCCAGTTTCGGTATCCGCATTCTCATCAAACACAAAGCGACTTTGGTGACACACCTGGCAGATCAAGTTCTCAGGTTTATCGATCAGAAAAGTGATCTTGGGGCTGGGAAAGAAACACCCAACGCCCCCATCGGCTCCTGGATCGTGGGGTTTCAGCCAGTTGCTGACGCGGGGCACGAATGCCTTCTTCAGCCATGAAGATTTCCCCTTGTCGCCTTCCCTGTTTCGTCCCGCAACATGGCGCCGTATCTCGACCCTGCCTATTCTTGGGATAGTAACCATTGCGCCCAGACGAAGGACTTATCTCGATGATTCGTCAGTTTTTTTTGTAGGTGATTGCCTTGCCGATATTGGATTAAGATCTGCCGTTGCAGTGGCTCTAGGTATTATAGCAGTATTGGAAATGAGATTGTTCGGGCAGCACAACGTCGCTGTCTCGCGTCTTCCATAATACAATGAATTATTCGGGTGAACTATGTATAAAGTACAGGCACTGGAAACCCGTCTTTGTTCTATCTCCTACCAAAAACCATTAGCTATTGGAAGTATTGTTGCTTCCTGCACGCTTTGCCACTGGAAAAACCCACTGCTGACCAGATACCTGGCTTTCAGCGAGCAAGGCCTTCCAGGCAAACTTGAAAGCGTGTTGCTTGCAGGTGTTCAGCCCCTCTTGAATTGGATTTTTTGACACGACAAATCCGTCTTACTGGATGCGCTTCCTCGACTGCTTTCCTTTCAAGGCTTACCTCAAAGGCGTTTGGCTTGCGAGCGGACAACGGCGGGGTTCGAAACAAGTATGTCCACTGCCAACATTAGGCTATGTATACGGATATTCAACGTGAAATTACACGTCTTAGCCTAGAGGAACCTGCTTGGAACATAATATGGGCCATGAATTTCTGCATTATGCTCCACACTACCCGCGTTGAACGGCTTAAACCCGACCCTTTTGGCTCAGGTGAGAATAATAGACAGTCCAGGGCTATAGACGGGATCTGAGTACGCCCGAAGCCCGCTGCGATCCACGAGATGGAAGACGAACCAAGGTTAGGGTACCCTAGCACATCACCTTGAACATTTCCACAGACAAATGCTCAACCCAAGTGAGCGTTTGAGGCATCTATGAGCAGGACAGCATAGCACTGATGCCTATTAGTTGTTTCCAACTTGATGGAGCCCAAGCGGATGACGGTTTCTACGGTCGCTTTGAGCAGGAGCCTCGCCCCATACTACATCTCCATGTGTACTGTAGGATTTTGGGTGGCTCTCCGTTCCAGGTATACCGGAACAGAACACCCCCCCTTTTCCCCCAACGCAGTCCGGAGGTTTATGCCCGCTTCTGGGCACGTAAGACTCCATAGGGATTTGTTGGGGTAGAGACGTGTCGGCTGAACAGTAGATCGTCGTTTTGACCCTGTGTTCGATCGAGGTGCAGCTGTCTATCATTCGGCAACTATCCCTGTGATGCAGAGCTATGTTTGACTGCCAGAAAGGCTCATGTTGATCTTTTTGTTCCATATGATACGCTGTGATACCTTCGGCTACCACGTAGCAAGCTTGGCCTGAGACCATGGCTTTGCCCACGCAGGTCGGTGTGAGAGATGGAGGCAATGCATGGAGATATCTTGCATTACCGCCAACGCACCAAAATCCAGGATCTTGTTCTGGGCTTGCTTTTACTTGTCGCTATCTTACCTGCGCTCTGGTGTTAAGGGGCATTCAGGCAAGTCTACCTTCCTGTTGAGGAGGTGATCAGGCGCGGGCTTGCCCGGTCAAAGTTGAGACGTTGAGAGAGCCCAGAAAGTCCCACAAATAGCCCTGGTATTATTTGTTCTTGATGCTCTCATAAAAGGTGTGCGAGCTGTGCGAGCTGTGCGAGGGTCGCTGGGCTTGACGGATATTGTATGCGAGCTGTCGGCCTTTCGGGCTAGGTTTTCACCACCGTTCTTCTCGAGTAAGAATCGGCCATACCCCTACGTCTGCCAAGGACCCCTTTTAATCATACCATGGGGTTATTGATTTTCTGTGCCTTATCGTGGACAATGGATCACAACGGGTCCCCGTTCCACGAGCGGCTATGCCAATATGATGGCGTGCCGCTGGCGAAGAGGGTATGCTATTCATGACACATTCTGGAACTGTTCTAGGGCAGTAGTAGAACAATCGATACATGCACCAAATTTGATTCAGGTTAAGCAGAATACGCGGCTTCAGCTTCGGCTGTGCGCAAGGTTCTAGCAATCGTGCACTATTTGCCTAAGTAGCTCTATGATCTTTTTTTGTCGTTAGAGCCCGTTTTTTTTTTTTTTTATTACTGTATGATGGTTCATTGGAGCCTATAAGTTGTGTTCTTCTGCGGCTCCCTTTTCATTTGGATATCGCAGGGTCGAATCTCGAAATACGCCCTTTTTCAGCCTCTAGCATTTATCATGGGTTTGAACATTCACGCCTTATTCGCCATTTAGACCTGTTGTTGCAAAAGAAACCTCTCCCCAACTACTGCATCTTACGTCTCGGCCTAGGCTTTCCGACATCAAAACATGCCAACGGCAGATTCCACGGGTATGGGCGCACCACGAAATAATGATGACATCGTTGCTTGACTCGCCACACGGAACAGGTTCCGTTACCGCACACACTTCTACGCAGCCTCCAGAAGACTTGCACTTCTGCAACCTAATCTTTATCAAATACAGCCAAGACTGCAGCTTGCTAAGTAGGCCATGAGACTAATCTGTAGTTGGAGGACGACCGTTGTTGCAACGAGATGAGATGCTGTATTAGCCAGTCAGATTGATTTGCGAATGGATTCAGCAAGGCACCCATTTCAAAAGGCAGATTAACTATGCCAAGAGATCCTAGTTGCTATCTCCCGTCTCTGATGTAAGAATATCTGTTGAGTATCCCATTTTCTGTGGTACCGACCTTTCTAATACTTGTCTCAGGGTATTCGAGCACCAAATTCAACTTTCCATCTCGAAATCACTTTGAAGCTTGTACAACGATAATTGGAGATAATCTATGTTTGATTGATCCATATGATCTTTTGCTTCCTCGTGATAAAGGCTTCGAAAGGATGAAGTTGGAACCCTTCGATCTGATCGTCTGGTGTCAAGAAGCTGAAGACATCACCAGCCACACAGCCACAGGGTCCTCCTAGCCAGATGCGGAGGAAAGGGGATACTTCGGAAAGTTGGGGTCATCCATTGCACAGACCACTTTGGCCAAAAAGTCTTCCCGAGGTCAGCCAAAGCGCCAGCTCCACCTACCGTCAATTCGGCATCTACATGTATCGCCGGCGGCGCCAGGCAATAGCGTCATTTTTCCAGGGACTGGCCAAGTATTTTTGTTCCTATCACACTCTTTTATGTGGTATCGTCAAGCAAATGCATAGAGCGCGCGCACCGCGTAGCATGTCTTTTTCTGCATCAATACCCCTAGACTTTGATCTTTTTTGACCTGCCTGCCCGCAAGTCACCATGCGCGGTGCTACTACATCTTCCCTTCCCCTCCGCCGACTCTTGTCGCCACCAGTTAGCCGAAGCCTCCCGAGACGGACCACTCTCCAGCGGTCCCTTTGCACAACCTGTCTTGCGAGCAGGTCAAGCGCCAGAAATACCAGAATCACAGTCGCACAGAGGACTTCGGCGCCATGCACTAAAAATGTTGGGCAGTGGAGGGCATCATCAGCGGTAGCGGCCGCGACAGAGGAGAATGGTGGTGGGTTCAGTAGTAACAGGCAATGGTATTGGGACTAACATAACGCAGTCAAAAGGGACGACTTTGGTCCAATTCAAGAGTATGACCGCCGTGTCGACAATGGCATCCTGCGGAACGACGAGCACCAGAGAGGTAGGATTTATCGCTAGAGGACGATTAGGATCACATGCTGATGCGAAATATGGGCAATAGGCATTATACAGAGCCTCCAGCACCTCCACGATGAGCTGGTAAACTACCACGCGCCCGCGGTCGTACATCCGACTCTGGAGTCCTTGAAGCCGGCAAAATCGATGTTCGGGTCCTGGTTTGGCGGCGGCAAGGCACAAGCCGCGATCGGAGCAATCCCGAGCAACTTGCCCCGAGGACTCTACCTCTATGGCGACGTCGGTAGCGGCAAGACGATGCTTATGGACCTGTTTTATGATACCCTACCGAGCTCTGTCAAGTCGAAGACACGCATTCACTTTCACAACTTCATGCAGGATGTCCACAAGCGCCTGCACAAAATGAAGATGCAGTACGGCAACGACGTAGATGCCGTCCCTTTTGTTGCGGCAGACATCGCAGAGAAAGGCAATGTGCTTTGTTTCGATGAGTTTCAATGTACGGACGTAGCGGACGCCATGATTCTGAGAAGGTAACTGTTCAAAGGGCAACACCTGAAGTCGGTAGTACGGCAGCAACTAACATCAGCAGACTGCTTGAATCACTCATGTCGCATGGCGTTGTACTTGTCACCACCTCGAACCGACATCCCGACGAGCTCTACAAGAACGGGATTCAGCGCGAATCCTTCGTTCCGGCGATCAAACTGCTCAAGAGCAGACTCCACGTGATCAACCTAGACTCCCCGACAGATTACCGCAAGATCCCTAGACCTCCTTCTGGAGTCTACCACACCCCTCTCGACGCGCATGCCGCCTCTCATGCTGAGAAATGGTTCCGCTTCCTCGGCGATCCCGAATCCCCAGAGCCGCACCCAGAGGTACAGAAGGTCTGGGGTCGCGAGATTCATGTCCCGCGAGTCAGTGGCCGTTGCGCATGGTTCACATTCGATGAGCTTATTGGAAAGCCCACGTCTGCCGCTGACTATCTCGAGCTTGTGCGAAGCTACGACGCTTTTATCGTTACCGACGTACCTGGCATGACCTACCGCCAACGCGATCTAGCGCGGCGTTTTATCACTTTTATCGATGCCGTGTACGAATCACATGCCAAGCTGGTTCTTACAACAGAGAAGCCTCTCACTGAGCTCTTCGTCTCCCGGGCTGAGCTGGAAGAGTCACTTGGTAAGCAAGGCAAGGATGAAGCGGGGCAGGGCGATGGAGCAATGAGCCACCTACTTGAAGACTTGGACCAGAATATCGATTCCATCAAGGGCCTTTCGGGCCTATTCTCTGGAGATGAAGAGGCCTTTGCGTTCGCACGTGCGCTCTCGCGTCTGAGCCATATGGGTAGTCGCGAGTGGGTCGAGCGAGGCATGGGTTTGGAGCAGCAGGGCGGCAAGAAGGAGCGTGATGACTGGGCCAAGGTCAGGAGTCGGCAGATGGAAGACAGCATGTAAGCGACCGCGTACGGCGCATAGGGAGGGAAGCATATGCCCGCTGGGTCGCGGGCTGGGTAGCATTGGGCACTATTGATTTTGTCCCGTTCCAACATTTTCTTCGCAGGCATAGGATACGTGGTTTGGTTGTATAGGAGGGAAGTCCGCGCACCTGCAGGATATTCACATACCCCAGTCGTAGGAGTAGTTCGACATTAGATACCATTATATGAGGTCCAATGTATGAATTGTTTCATAACTTACTCATCACAAGCCATTCAGTGCGCCGTGATGACTGTTTGACAAAAGACCGGTGCGGCTCTCAGTCAGCATATGTGCCAGAGCCTCAGCATTGATTACAGAAGCTTCCGCCCGGTCCGATCCATTAGTAGATACCCGGAATCAATACCCACTTAACCTCTTTCTTGAACTGTGTCCATTGCTCGCCGTACCGCTTGGAGCAGTAATCATTCAGCACCGGCACTCCTCGCGTAAGAAAGTCGACGGCCTGCCACACGCCCATAATAGTACCACCAATGAACCCGGACGCAGCCATGCAGTTACCCCCACGCCACAGCGCGTACCCGCCGTAGTTGATGTGGCGTGCCCAGCTCCAGAGCCCTTCCTTGATAACCTTGCCCTGGTTTTCGGGTTTAGCCTTGAACTTCTTGCGCTGGATCTCGGAGGCCGTCTCGAAGTACATGCCGAGGCCAAAGAAGGCGCTGCCGAGGACAACCTGATACGGCAGGGACGTGCCCGGGAAGTAGAGTGGAGAGGCCATGACGGATGTAGAGGCGGCAAGTAGAAGAAGAGAATTGGCGCTGTTGACGAGGGTGTTGTAGAAGCTCACAGTGAGGGCAGCGGAAGGGCCAAATTCTTCGGCAGAAAGACTGATGAGCCAGTAAGCCTGCTTGACGAAAGAACCAACAGACATGCCAAGGAGGACGAGGTGCGGAAGCGGGAGGTTGAGGTTATCGAGAAAGGAGATGCCTGTATTCGAGGCGGCGCCAAGGGTAAAAAGGGTGTTGATACCAAGCTTGGAGAGTATGGATGCGCCCCAGCCGCCAGCGATGAGCTTGTATTGCAGCACGGGGTCGAGGCCGCGAAGACCGACAAAAGTGAGGATGCCTGACACGCTCGTCCCTTTGACCCCCCGCTGGATGAGGTCAAAGTGCTTCTTTTGGGGTTTAGAGTCCGCCATGGTATAAGCAAATTTGGGGTAAGTGATGAAGGAATTGGCGGTTGGCCGTCTGAGGAGTCAACCAGGTTATCGTCGGTCGTCAGGATTGAGTTGTAGATCAGATCAGGGTGGTTGATAGCGTCGCGACCACAGATCCTTCTGCAGTGTGGCCGAGGCCTTTATAGTTGCGCCGGGATGGGGATTGGGGAAATGCGATCTTTCCTCTTTATGATATCATCTTCTGTCATGGGACGAAAGGTTCTCATCCGCTTGCTAGGTCTGATCCCCCATGTTTTTGGGTAAGTCCAAGCTGCTTCATAGGCTATCTTATTCGGGGAGCCCGTCTCAGCTGAGCTTGATTGGGTAATTTGGTGCAGCGTCTGGGAGTGGATTGGAAAGATATCCGCGCCGAAGAGGCACGTATGCTTGTTCGAGCACCGATTTGTTATGATTGGATTGACAGGAGCACCTAAGCGCCAATTCTTCCACCTTTGCTAGCTACTATAGTGCTGGTATTGGAGTCGCAGATGCTACAGGGCGGTCAGACCCTCGACCCGAATACGTGAGGTCGGCAATTGACTGAGCCCAGCGAATCCCGTCGGATTACACTTGGGTGTTTAGTAGCCAATCTGACATACTTGTCTCTTCAAGCTCACTCCCATCACTCAGGGGTACAAATAAGTCACTTGGGGTTTTCATGGCTTTTACTTTTGAACTGTAGGTGGTGCCTGGTTCCTGACATGTTTGTGGAGCGCAGCTGTGGCGTAGTTTCATTTGGAACGATGCCGCTGATCATCGCACGCCCAGCCAACATACATACATCCATAGTATTGGTTGAGTTTAGCTCATCCAGTGCAGAGGTCACAAGATAAAAAGCTTACAAGAGTAATCTGGTTTGTGCTTGTGCGCAGCTTGGTATGAACCACCCAAGATCGGAATATTGTTTATACTTTCATTGACCTGTGGCCGGCGATGGTATCGCCCACAACAGCTGGCCCTAAAACTAGCAACGTACCTTCAAGTGGGCCTAACATACGCTCTTTTTTCTGGTGATGGAAGTTCAAAGACATCAAGAATCAACTAAAAGATGTCCCGTAAGTGTACGTTTGAAAGCTAAAGTATCAGCCGGGGTCGAAGGTGACTGGTGAATTTGTTTTGTCGCGAGTTTCTCCTTGGTTCAAGGGACTTTGCGCAGTTTGGAGTTGAGAAGAAGGAACTGTTTGCAAGTCCGGCGCCCAATGGTTCGTCTGATGCTTATGGGAGAGAGGTGTCTCATGTTGTTCGTTTCCCCATCGGGCATCCACGACTTTGCTGAAGCCGCATTGAATTCATAAGCGGCCTAGATGTAAGATTTCCAAAGTAGATGCTGGAATTAGCACTGTGATTCTCAAACGGGCTTGTTGCTCGCCTTTTACTTACTTCCAAAAGTAATTGACAAGAGCCGCAGACGACCTAAGGAAGTTGTTAGTTCAATATGACGTGATGCGCTGCGGGCGGATATCCGAGGTAAGGTACGGATATCTTATCGAGATCCTGGTAGTGTCTGATAACGCGGGTGTTGTGTCCAGGCAACGATACTGGAGGGGCAATGATGCAAATGTGGGCCTCCTTGGCAAAACCTCATCGATGATTGGACTTTGTCGCCGTCGGACCCGTTCCAGGCTGGGGAGCTAGGGTCCTGCGTAAGCTGTCTCAGTACGTCCCTGTCAAGCTAGTGTAGGTACCTACCTCTTAAAGCGGACGACGACGTGACGCCGCCGTTTTCTCTCTACCATCCTCCACCCGCCCACCTCCCGCATCATTCCCTTCTTGTTTCCCCAGATTACCCAAGCTCAACATGAAGGTCGCTAAAGCTTCGCTCCTCGCTATCTTGGCACACTCGGCCAGTGCCCGCTTTATCACCAAGGATGAGATCAACCACGTCCAGCTGTATCCCGCTGGGTCTGAGCCTGAGAAGTACCTGATTGAGCTCGCCCCTGGCGACACTCGTTGGGTCACCGAGGAGGAGAAGTGGGAGCTTCGCCGGGTAAGACATCATCGGACTCTATTGTCTTGTGGTTTGCGACTGACTCGCGACTCTACAGAATGGCAATCGCTTCTTCGATATCACCGACCACAAGGATTTCGGCACCGCCCGTCTTCACACCGCGGCCAAGGCCAAGAGCGTCTTCCCTGAGAAGTGCCATCTTCAGGACAAGGTCAAGCCTCTAATCAAGGATCTAGACAAGTCCGAGATCCAAAAGAACCTCGAGAAGTTCACAAGTTTCCACACCCGCTACTACAAGTCCGACTATGGCCGCCAGTCGTCAGAGTGGCTGCTTTCCAAGATTAACTCTATAATCAAGGATGCGGGTGCTGATAAACATGTCTTTGCTGAGGCATTCCCTCACACATGGCAGCAAAGCTCCATTATTGTCACTATTCCCGGCAAATCCAACCGCACCGTCATCATTGGTGCCCATCAAGATTCCATCAACTTGTGGCTGCCCTCTATCCTCGCCGCTCCCGGCGCTGACGACGATGGCAGTGGCTCTATGACCATCCTCGAGGTTCTGCGCACCTTGCTTAAGTCCAAAGACGTCGTTGAGGGGAAAGCCGACAACACTATCGAGTTCCACTGGTACAGCGCTGAGGAGGGTGGCCTCCTTGGTAGCCAGGCCATCTTTAAATCATACGAGCAGGAGAAACGCGATGTTAAGGCCATGCTCCAGCAGGATATGACTGGTTTCGTGCAAAGGACGCTCGACGCCGGCCAGCCTGAGAGCGTCGGCGTCATCACCGATTTTGTCGACGCTGGACTGACTGACTTCATCAAGAAGGTCATCGTCGAGGTAAGTCCGCCCCCCATCGTAACTAGCACAATTTCTTGGCAATGCTAACAGCCCAAATAGTACTGCAAGATTCCTTACATTGAAACAAAGTGTGGCTACGCCTGCTCTGACCATGCCTCTGCCAGCAAGGCAGGTTACCCCTCTGCCTTCGTTATCGAGTCGGCCTTCGAGTACTCGGACAATCACATTCACAGTGTTGATGATCTTATCAAGTACCTATCCTTTGACCACATGCTTGAGCATGCCAAGATGACTCTTGGCCTTGTATATGAGCTCGGCTTTACCAACTTCCCAGCCCTTGAGAAGAAGGGCGAAACCTTCTCGGAGGAGTTGTAGGAAGCTTGACGAGGGTGATACGCAGATACCTCGACTACGAGCCCTTTTTACCTTTGACATGATTGACGCTTCAATATAAATCGGTTGTTCAAAAATTGCATGCACCGTTGCGAACTCAATCTCCGTTATGCCGTTTTGTGGCCATTTGCCTCACTTCTGTGAAAGCGTTGCATGAAAATCTAATGATGACAAGTCTTGATTACGGAGCTGAAAAACGACACGGGATATCAGAATGAAAGTTCTAATAGCGCATGTTTTGGATGATTCAGATGCGACGGGTAACCTGGACTACGGATCAGTCTTCAAGCATCATCTTATATATTCGTGCATGGTCTAAGTGGCGGGGAAAAGGACAGCGTATACATTCCTGCCGAATGTCTTGGCTAGCCAGCCCTGTAGCATTGCAACAAATGATACCTTGAAATTGTTTGGCCTTCGTATTGTAACTGTTACACAGTGAAAGCCGAAAGGGAATATTATGTCTTTCCATTAAGAGATTCACACTGAGCGTTGGACGTCCCCAGAAATTAAAAAATATTTTTTAAAACCGAACATAAAAATTTCAAATTTCAGCTGTATTTATCTTCACCAGCTGACATGAAGCATTAGGGGGTCACTCGGGCTTCTTTCATCACTATATCTCGCTGAAGAACAAAGAATCTTCTGAAGCCTGCAGGCGGTCAATTATGCTTTCTCGGCAATGTGGCAGCGCTCACTTCAGTTGTCGAGTCAGTGAGAAGAACCTACCATCAAAGGCTAAAACCAAAACTTGACAAGCCACGTGCCTCTTGACCATGATAGAGTTGGGAACTAAATGGTCGAAGAAGCGTCGTCAAATTAAGACGCAGGGGCACCCAGGCGCGGTTGCCTGCTTCAATGCAGATCCCACGTGCCTGGACAAGCCGGAGCCCCACTGCTCGGCGTCTACCGTCCGGGAGACTTTCCCACTCCACCAACTGACTTCACTTCTTGCTACTTCTTGCTCACCCACAAACACAACTACCAACGCTCACGCTACCCAGCCAGCCTTTTATCCTATGAAGAATTTTGCTTCTGCATCAGCTCATCCAGTAAAAAACGGCAGTTTTCCCGTCTACCAGTCACCTCACGAGATATTGGGCTCCAGGTTCTATCGTTTTTGAGTAGATCGAGTCATTGCGCACAGAGATAGCGAAACACCCCCCGCCACTCATCTACAGTGGTCACCCGCCGCCAATCACGCATCAAAAGTCAACATGACAGAATCCTCAAACGAGGGCGTGTCCAACGCCATCGCTGCTGCGCCATACAGTCATAGGCCACCCAGCCCGCCCTACATCCCAATTCCTATGACATTTCCCAAGGGATCTGACGCTTCTACCCTGGTTCCTTCCTACGACAACGTAGATTCAATGCATTTGACGAGCGATGATCTCAACATAATCACTCGAAACGTGAATCAGACGGCTACCGACAGGTCAGTCGGTTGGAGTTATGAAGCCCGTCGTCAAGCGCAATCAATTCTCGACTTTCTTTATCTTGGCCCTCTATCTGTCGCCCGCGACCAGGCTTGGCTCGCCAAAGAAGGGATCACAATGATCATTGTTTCACGGCATTCAAGAGTCGCACAAGCCCGATTGATGAGCGTTGACAAGGTAGCCCAGTCACTCGGCATTTTGGTCGAGTACTTGGACGTTGCCGACAACTATGAACTAATCAGAGGGTTTCCAGAGGTTGTGAGAAAGATCAACAGCCATCTTCTAGATGTCTACCGTCGTCAGGCGTTGGAAACGCAGGAGGGCCATATGATCATCGACAACGGCAACTTCAAGGGCGGCAAAGTCCTTGTCGTATGCGAGACGGGCAATGATCGATCTGCCTTTGTTGCTGCTGCCTATATCATGACAGTGTACGGAAAGGGCATGGTTTCCAGCGTGCAGTTTGTCTCCGTGCAACGCTTTTCAGCCAACTTTGACGAAGACGGCAAGAGGATGCTGCAGGCATACGAGGATATCTTAACTGCCCAGAGAAACGTATCCAGCGCAACGAGACATGTTCCTCGAGCCGGGCAGTTTGACGCACGCACAAGCGGAAACAAGCGAAATATTGAGGCGACGCTTGATGAAGATGACAAGCAAGAGGGCGACGGTTACGAGGCATTTGCCGTAGACCGCGAACGGTATCAAGATAGAGCCAAATTCGTTCCTTTTGTCGACCCCAATCAAATATGAGAGCTACACATGGACTGTCACGGAAGCGGCTTGGAGCGAATCAAGGAGTATCTGGCGTTGAAGGCGAAGGACTCGGGGGATTTCGGTGGGGGGGTTCTACGTAATTATTGCATCCATGGGTATTGCAGGAAGTAATTTGGTTTATAAGCATAATAGGCGTCAAGGCAGTCAGTATACCCGTTTCTTTCGCCGACGACGGCGTATTATAAATATAGACACCTGGCACTGTGGCTAGGGCAGTTTAAGAGTTTTTCTTCTGCGTTATCTTTGTGTTTACATGATGTTCCTCAGAATCGTAGTTTTGCGGCCGTTTAATCAGTGATCGATTTGGGTTGAAACAAGCCCTAAGAGACAGATTAAACGTTTCGAGATATCTAAACGGGGTATCAAAGGCTCACTTAAGCCTAATACTTTGGATAAATAAGAATTAAAATTAGACACTCCTCACTAAATGGCCAACCTGATGTCGTGGGGTGTAGCTAACTCTGGTTTTGGGGGCACGGTGACAAGAATAATTAGGAGGTTCGTTACCTAGAGGAAAGTTGGAGCTAACAATCTCATAACAAAACCGATGGATGGATGTGACAAATTGAACTACCGACTTACATTTGGCCTTTCCGGTTCATCGGGCTGCAGACGTTTATTGCTACGTTATATCTAGTCTCTTTATCTCTTAATCGTCTGAAGGAAGGAGTGCCCCCACCACCACCACCCAGGCTGACGCTCTTGCCTACTCTTCTCTAAAGAGGAGACTCAACGTAAACAAACCCTCCTTTTCTGTTTTTATTCTACCTACCCTTGATTTCCACACGTCCAAAGCCTTTTTTTTCCTTTTCCCACCTTCGCCTTCGCTTTTGACCAACGCATCATAACCCTTTTTCTTTTATCACTTGTTTTCATGTAGCTTTTTCATCACTTCCATTCATCAACAGGTGATGGAGAATAGCAGAGTTACTTCAACGAACTAGCTGTAAGTGTCCTATCGATTTCAAAAATTCTGTGTCCTGCGCGTCCATCACGCCACAATGGAGGAATACGAGCACAACAGCGAGGGTAGGCAACTGCGGCTGTCAACCTTGGCTCACCAACCAGGCCGGTACGCTGAGGTGATCGAACCGGGCATACAAAAACCAGCTTTCACGCTTCCAGATCCTGTGTTTGATCCTGAACTTTCACGCCATTGTGCCTTTCCTACCATACCCCTCGACCAGAACCCAGGTCCTAGCGAGGTTTTCAAAGAAGCCAGGTCCGAAAATGTGCTCAATGACAGAGACAATACAGAGCAATATTCGGTGTGTGATGAAGGTGAGTCAGTAAAACTCTCAACTTGCTTTGCATTTTTCTAACACTACATGGACCTGCATAACAATGAGGCTTTCGGCTCGGGCTTTGCGGCTCAATCCACCCTTCACAAAGACAGGGAAGGCGAAGCCAGAGAGGGAAATGACATACAGATGAATATTCTTTGCGATACAAAAGACGGCATTCAGCGCATGCCCTACCGAGGAGAGAGCTTCAAAAACTTCTTGTTTGCGGTTACGGAAGACCTAGACTGGGGATCGCCTGGACCTGAACCTCATAGCCCTCTGCTGAAGTGTGGCCGTAAGTTAGAATGGCAACCCCACAACAGCGTTTGTGCCACTGGCGAATCGTCTGCCATCAACAAAGAATGGGATAAACTCACAATAGGTGTGCAATGGGCACTCATTTCAACACTCTGCAGAATGTTCCCTTTCTCGAGTGCGATTCAGACTCTACAGCTTTCTACTCAACAAACTACGTCCTTCGTCCAAACCTACATACAATGCCATGAGAAGATTTCGGCATGGTGCGAAGAAATCGACCGGACTACAGTGTCTGATCTTATTAGATATGCTGAGTGCATGGAATTATCTGTGGATCAGCGCAACATTCTTATGCGGCCCCAGCTGCCGACCGACATACTTTTCACACATGAGATTGAGCAGGCAAAAACATACTTGCGCAAGATTCATTGCAGTTGCCTCATTGAAAACCTTGGACAGTGGCGTGGCACTTCCAGAAACTTTGTGGATCTCCCTATCGAACCTGCAATTTTGCACGTGTGTCGTTCCACGCTTAACCAGCAAAGAGGGCAAGCTCCTGTAGCTGTCTCTTGTGTCGTCAAGGACCGAGTGCCAAACCCATGGCTTGAACGAATGGAGTATGAGGACACTCCTGCCGGCGATGCTCATGTCAGGGATTATTATTTGAATCCGGCTCTGTTCACCAATCTCGACTTTACAGCATTACAAGAGAACGACCAGCTTGAGGCAACCGCAGGTGGTACCCCAGAGGAGTCCAACGAGGTTGACAGTCGATCTTTTTTGAGTCCACAGTCAACTTTTCAAAATGCTCCACTTGATTTTGGCTTGCATGATAGTTCTACGGAATCTATTCAAGCCAATCCTTTTGTCGAACAGAGCCAACATGCTGACGCAGGACCACAACGTACCATCGACCAAACTATTGGGAAAGATAACGGGGTTGGCAACGCTTTAAACCAAGACCGTACTGGCTTTTACCTGAAGTCCCAGCTTAAGAAAAATAACCAACGTCCTTGGACTGGAATAGCTTCAGGCTTTCCAACGGAATTGCAGAAACGAACTACTGAAAACGACATAACTATTCATGTTGGTACTTCGCAAGCAAGTTACAAAACGAGATCTGCTCAGATCGAAACGTCTTCGATGCGTCATCAGCAAAACAGAAGTTCCGCTCGATCCTACCCGATGACATCGAAAGACGCAGCGCCCGGAAGCATGACACTTAGCCATACAGAGATGGGGAAAATGCCTAGTTCGTATGACCTCGGAATGAGCACCGTAGCCTGCATCAAGAAGCCACTCAGGAATATAATACCCACCCAAGGAAACGGTAGTTACATTTCACCATACATCATAGACAACTCTCCTGATTCAGAGCCAAGATTCGAGCTCAAGAATCCCAAAGATGCGGTATCACTTGACCTAATCGTTGGGGCAAAAGGTAAAAGGGTCGGTAGGTCGACTAACAAAAGAAGGGTCTATGACAGTGACGAGGATTACCAGCCATCGCCGGAGAGGTTTCTGAAATCGGATGTTGGAAAGCCATATCTTCGACAGAAAAAGGAAACTGAAACCTACACGATGCAATCACAAAACCCGATCCAGCCTAAGCAGCGCTCCCCCAGTGTTTCTTCACTTGCCAAACGCCGGCGTGGCCGTCCCCGCAAGCACGCGAGACTCGAAGACGGTGCAGCCCAAGCATTCGAGACTCAAATCTCTCTGAATAACTATAATTATGACAAAGTTAGCACTCGCCAAGTTGCTATACCTGGAACCTCTTCCTCGGAAGTAACCGCTCAGCAGGCCAAAGAGTCGCTCATTGTAAGCCATATCCTGGCGTTTAGTATTTCCCTCTGTACACACTGACTTACGGATCCCAGCCTACGGTACAGACTTTAGATATAGCCGAAGAAGGTTATCGAAGCTTTCTGGGCGCCATTACTCCTACTATAGCTCATCAAACACAGACAACAATGGCCCAAAATACTGGTTCTATGCCAGTCACTAACAGTGCCGCCAATATCCAAGCACCTGGAGATATACGCCCTGAACCAACTCGAGTAGGGTCGTCCGCATGGAACGCCGCTAATCGACAATCAATCACCCATGTCAACTCGGCCCATGTCAACTCGGCCCATGGCAACGCCCAAGAAATTTTAACTCACCAGCGCCCTCGCAACGCCACAATGCTTGCTGGCTCATATAACCAACCGCATCTTACTCATTACAACAGTTATCAAGACTTTTGGAAGAATCATGAAAATGGACAGCAATTCTGCCGTGAAGCTGCTGTCCGAGGAGCAATGGCCGAGCGCACTGTGCAAGGTACCACTGCATCCAACACTATCACTCCCGTCTTGGCCAATGTGAACATTTCTTCTCAGCTGCCGGCCCAAGTTAGATCAACTCAGAACCCACTTTCTCGCCAAACATGTGCTCAAAGAGCCGCATACATTACTCGCCTAACTGCTGTTCACGAAGCCAGCGAGAAGGATGGCGAGCACTTGCCCGGACTAGCGGATGGCGAAGCGACATCAAAATCGATGTGAAAAGACAAGAAATATTGCCGCCCATGATAAATTACAAACAACTCCAGTTGGATTTCCACTTCTACAGAACCACGCTTGCGATTTTCAACCGTGTGTTTGAGGATGGAGGCTTACATTTCACAGGCCCGGTTGAATGCGGGTGTCACATGTTTATTAGAGGACTCTGGATGACACCTTTTTTCTTGCAAAATTTCTAAGGTCGCCTATTACTGCAGGTGATTGAACAGCTGATACTTTTGGAAGATTGAACAAGGCCTGCCTTCTAGACAACGGCATGTTCATCATGTTGAGATATACAAACTTGGTACCCTTTGTAGTGTAGAAACGAATGAACCAGGGTTTTTAAATTACTCTGTTTAATCGTGGTGTTTCTTTCTCTTTTCTATTTCTTAACTTCAAATATGATTGCTTTTCCAAAATAAAAAGTTCATCTAGATAGATGAAGGCTTACTGATTACCAACTTTCCTCGTCCATGCCACATGCCACATTCTGGAGATGGAGCTTAGGCAGGAAAAAATGAATTGGGCCCTTGGATTAACATTTAGATATATTGACGGCCCCGAGAGAGTATAGACTTATGGTTTGCTTTCCAGAAATGATGTGATCATGATTTTGATGATATGAGAACCGGTCAGAAGGTCGTTGGACTGTGGAAGGAGCTGGCTGTGTTATGTAATGCTTGCTGAGCTAAGCCCGCAGGGTACCCTGGCTGACGATTGTGGACCGAGCTTGCATCACCGAGCTTCACAGGACGTTACGCCCAGTCAAGGCACAGGAGCACCGCCTCCCACTTCAAGAACCACCCCCCCGATTACCCCAATCCACGTCCTTGGCCTAGCTTCCCAACGCGGCCCTACTCCCTACTAACGACTTTCCACCCAGTAACGATAACACTGCTGCCACCAGTCTTCGCCGTTTATAACTGCCGACCTGAATTCGCGCCCAATTTCCTCCATTGGTCTTCTAAAGAAGGCAAACTAACCACGCCGCCAAAAGAAGGCTCAAGCAAGCCCCCCTCGTTTACAACTCACCTCTGATTCCGCTCGCCGACGCTGCCAGCCAGCCAGCCAGAACCACTATGGCACCTCGTATTGAAGCACAAGAAATTGAGACCTACTGGAATATTTTCTCTGCCCGGACCGGCGGGTCGCAGTACCTGACGGGAGAGCAGGCCGCACCGGTGTTGAAGAACAGCGGCTTGACAGATAACCAGCTTGAGCGGGTGTGGGATCTCGCTGACGTTGACAATGATGGCAACCTTGACTTTGAGGAGTTTTGCGTTGCGATGAGGGTCATCTTCGACATTCTGAACGGCGTAAGTGCTGCCCCTATCCCCAGTATTGCGCAGCTTGCTGACGTGGTTGCGTCCGACAGGAATACGCAGACGTTCCCACAACTTTGCCGGATTGGCTCGTCCCCGAATCCAAAGCACATCTCGTCCAGGCGAATCGCGCACTCACGGGGAAGCAAGTGGCATTTGAGCAGGTCGAGGATGACCCAGACTCACCCGGACTGAAAGACGGTTTCGATTGGTACATGAGCCCCCAAGACAAAGCCAAGTACGAGTCGATATACCAGGAGAACCGGGATGCGCGGGGAGAAGTCGCATGTATGTCCCAGCACCAAAGTCCACTGCATTCCATGCCCAATGCCTATTTACTAACATGCCATTCATTCTAGTCTCATCCTTGGAAGATCTGTACGAATCCCTCGATGTTCCGGACACCGACATCCGTTCTGCCTGGAACCTCATCAACCCCTCGGCTAGCCCTTCTATCAACAAGGACGCCTGCCTCGCCTTCCTCCACATTCTAAACAACCGGCATGAAGGTTTTCGCATCCCGCGCACCGTGCCTGCCTCCCTCCGTGCCTCGTTCGAGCGCAACAAGATCGATTACCAGCTCGACAACAACTCTCCCGCAGCTTCCCGATGGGCTACAAAAGCCGACGACTCAACTGCGACAGGCCGGAAAGCAAAATTTGGCGACCAGTATCTCACCCGCCTCGGTCGCAGCGGCTTCAAGTCGAGCGGCACCGACTTCTCAACCTCCAAGACGGATGACTGGGAAGAGGTCAGGCTCAAGAAGCAGCTACAGGAGCTCGATGAGAAGATTGCGCGTGTTGAGTCTGATGTCGAACGTAAAAAGGGAGGCAAGCGGGACAGCAAGCCGGCCCTCGTCAAGCGCGAGCTTGAACAGTTGCTCGACTACAAGCGCAAAGAGCTGCGGGAGCTTGAGGAGGGCTCCGGCAAGGCCAAGGGCGGGGCCAGCCTTAAGAGCGTGTCTGATGATCTGCAGACCGTACGGGAGCAAGTGGAGGGCCTCGAGTCGCATCTGTCATCGCGGCAACAGGTGCTAGAGCAGCTGCGGAGGGAGATCGAGGATGAGAAGCTCAGCAGATAAAATGAAAAGGGAAGAATGCGGCGGTGTGACGAAGACGCCGCTTGTTATAATTTTTATCTCTTCTTTTCGTTTCTGGAGCTGGCTGGCGGGGCTGGGAATTGTTGACGCCAAATTTACGCGGGAGTTGCATCTTTTTTCTTTTCTCGTTTGCTTCACTTATGCACATGTGCATGTAGGGCCATAATCATCATCTTCATCACTGCCACGACAGATGATCATCAAGGAGCAGTTCGAGGAGTAAGCACGAGGAGAAGACTGCACGGGATGGAAACGCGGGAAGTAGTATAGCGCGAGAAGAATCCCCTCCTCATCTCCTCGTAGAAGTGATTTTTCTTTTTCTTATTAAGAGGATGTAAAATAAAATGTAAGTACAAACAAACATTCGAGAACATTGAACTCAGCTTCATTGTGTTTATTACTCAATACCAGCCGCTCACCACTGCGAACCATTGGTGTACTTTGGGAGCCAGTCCGAGCCCAGCGTACGGCCCTTGACAGCCCAAACGAAGAGCGAGGGCACCTTGACCCAACCGACACGGCCAGCGCCGCGGCTGCGGCCTGTAGAGCACACAAAGATGTCGACAGGCATACCCTTAACAACCTGCTGGTCTTTGCCCTTGATGGCAAGCTCGATATTTTTGACAACGCCAGCAGCCTGTTGAGGAAGATGTCAGTCATTGATGGCAACGCCCGTTTAAGTTATTAAAGCGATTAAGAAAACGCACCTGCTTGTCCGCGGCCATGAACCCCGCGCGGGGCTTAGAGACCAAATCTCCACAGGCCCAGACGTTGTCGGCGCCCTTTACGCGCATGCAATCATCCACATTCGCATATTTACGCTCGGTAAGTAGGCTGGCGTCCAGAAACTCCGAGTTCGGGACTAGGCCCATGGTCGGCAAATACAGGTCTGTCGTGAGGGTCTCCCCGTTCATGAGCGTCACTTCAGTCTTACCATCGGGCAACGTCCGTGAGTTGGAAACCCTGGCGCTTCTCTTCACCTGCACGCCTAGCCTCACAATCTCATTCTCAATGCCCTTTGCAGCTGTGTCCCCGCCAAGGATCTCCTCGTCGCCACTCAACAGGATGACCTCCTTATCTTTGTACTCGAAACGGATCTCAGCGGCAGTCTCAACGCCAGTGGGGCCGGCGCCGGCAACTACGATGTGCTTGGCCGCCTTCACTTTCTCAGCCGTCTGGTGCAACAGGCTCAATGTCTTCTCGTGAGAGTCAGCGCCCTTCCAAGGCATGTCGGGGCTGGCCGAGCGAGCGCCGGTGGCTAAGACGAGATAATCATAAGGTAGTGACCTCGGGCCGGACGAGGTGGAGACAAGGGCCGATTTACGGGCTACATCGAGGCCGGTGGCGGTGCCAAGAACGAACTCGAAACTTTCCTTGGGATACTGGGCGAAACCAGGCTCAATCGCCTGGAAGATCTGCTCATCTTGAAGGACGCCTGGCACGATGGCGCGGACAGAGGCCATATTCCAGTAAAAGTGGGTCGTCTGCCATAATGTCAGCACCTGACTGTGTTTCCTCTGTCCCCTTGATTTGGCCGGAGGCAAAATCCCCTCCTCTCGAGCAGTGTAAGTCATTAAGTCTGACCTGACACATAGGATGATAGTGGATCAGCTGCAGCCACGGGCCCCCCCACGGTCGTCCGAAGCTTACGGCTGCTCCAGATCGGGTTGGTGTGAGCGTTGCCCGGCTTCCCGGTTGCTGTACCAATGAAGATATGCAACTGTCTTACCTTTGAAACGAGAATAACTCTAAGATCCTGCTCTTGCTGGCGTGTATACTTGAGCAACCGGTGCGCGACTGCCAGGCCGCCGTACGAGGCACCGAGAACAACGACTGTCTTGACCATCTTGAATGCGACTTGTAGCTCTTGAATCGGGCCAGATATCGATGTTGATTTGAACGGTGTAGGTAATAGTACCCAGTTCGGAGTTGATAAGAGTAGGGTAAGATTCGTCAGGCAAGGCAGATTTCGCAATCGAGTGCCTGGCAGCAAGAAAGAGTTCGTCAAATCGGTAAGAAAAAAAAGTCTTGAAGATTAAAACAGATACCCTGGAAGACTCGGGGGCCTCTGGCCTTTATTCATTCCTTCAGCTTACAAGGTCCGAGACTTTCAGAGCCAAGCGGAATATAATTGCACCAGTCTGCTCATCCACGGCGAATACGCGTCCTCGCCCAAAGCTGAACTAAGCAACAACGCCAGGGGGCCTTTAGTATTTTTGGATAGGTTTCAGTGTCCAGCCTGAACGTCCGTGCCGTTGGTGATACAACATACGGTAGGTCAGCCCGAAGTTGTTATCCCTCCGAGGCTTGGAAGCTGTCGGTCCCCCGATGTCCGTCCGGGCTTTCCCCACACGCTCGGACCATGATTGATGGACTGCCATTTGACGATGTCACGAAAGAAAGGACGAAAACGAGATTGTAATATGCTCGATGCAAAGGATCGATGCATATCGGAGGCTGATGGTGGGATTGTAAACGCCCTTCGCGTTTCCTAGCTGTTTCCTAACGGGCTGATGTCAGTCATCTCGATGTGTCATGATTGCCTTGGATGCGCTGCAGGCTAGGGAATGCTGCGCGGTGCCGGCACGCAAAGTCATTCGATTCGCCAATTCATGGAGACTACTAAGTGAAATGGCAGTCAGGCGTCGCGCGGGAACTTTATGTAAAAGTGGTATTGTTAGCTGTTAGAAAGGTCAGTGGCCATGATCTTTATTCTTGACATTTTTCCGTGCAGATGTGTAACATCGAAAAACAACGTATAAATTACGTAGGTTTTGCCAAAGCGTATCATGTTTATGCCCCAGCCAGCTACTTGGCTTTCCGGTAGGTCGGACGCCCTAATGCACTATTGGAATAGCAACGTTATTCTGGAGAATTAGATTATCTGGATGGGTTCATTTCAATGGCCGAGCATTCGCATAGTTGACGCAGTCCGAATGCTGCAGGTTGCACTGGCCTGCAGGCCGGAAAGCCAGGTTCTTCTGCACACAGTTAAGATATGCCGTTCACTGTAACCTTGTTGAGACCAATAAAGGTGGTGACAATTCGTATTCGTGCCACCCAACTTGACCTTCGGTTCGCCCACTATGCTACTTGTGATGCTGCCAAAATCCAACTCATGGCGGGTTATAATAATTGTAAAATTGAGTAGGTATTTGGACCAATGAAACCTTCGCATGCCCTCATTGTCAGTTGGCATGCTGTTGTCCCTTGACATCGGCGGCAAATGCCGATCGTGGAGGGAGCTGCGGCAGCTGCCATGAAAACTTGTCCCTCTGAAAGGTCGGCACCACAAGCGAGATGCACCTGGCAGCAGTGAGCCGAGGCCAGATGGTCACGTTGCTTCCTGTTGAGGCTTGTATAGCCCCACTCTTGCTGGAGAGGGCCACCTGCAATGCTCTGGCCCCCCATTCCTTCTCCAAAGCTCCGCTGCTGGCTGCAGCACCTGCACCTGTTCCTGAACCGTGCTGACAGGGCGGGCATAGCTGCTATCCGCTGTATGATGTGCGGGCAGGGGCCTATTTAGTCTGCACTAGAGCCCAGCCTGTAAGATCGCAGTCGGCAGCCTGTGCCACCGCACCACTGAGAAGTATGTGGTCTGTGGCGGTGCAATCAGCAGCCCAACCTAATGACAGCATCAGCTGCCCCGCGCGCATATGATGAAGCGTGAGTGGACCTCTTAACCCCGCCAAAAGGTCCAACTCTTGCCTCCGCCTCCCAACACTGAGCAACCTTCTCCACGAAACGCTCAACAATCCTTCTACAAACACTCTCAAGACCACGAGAAACTTCGATTTCTAATTTTTCCTACTAATCCAATTCACACTTCCACCATGTCTGCCCCTCAAAGCGAAGCCTTCAAGCAGGCTGTCATCGACAGCAAGAAGCTTACCTCCAAGCCCAGCAACGACGAGCTCCTCAAGCTCTACGGTGTGTCTTTACCTGATTTCACGCAACGCGAGCCATTCCAAGCTGACGTTTTGTGATCAATAGGCCTGTACAAGATCGGCACTGGTGAGGACTTCTCTAAGGCCACCAAGCCCGGCATGTTCGACCTGAAGGTAAGACTCGAATGTCGATCACGTTCAGCGTCTATCACAGTTGAAGAGCTAACAGAGTATGTGAAACAGGGCAAGGCCAAGTACAACGCTTGGGAGAAGCTTGCCGATGAGGGCAAGACCGCTGAGCAGGCCCAGGAGGAGTACATCGCCCTCGTTAACCAGCTCAAGGAGGCCTACGGCTACGACGCCAACAAGGAGCCCGAGGCTGTTGGCCAGTAATTGTCTGCAAACACGGAAAACGAACATGAGAAATGATACGGTTTGGAGCGATATGATTAGCCCATAAGTTGATACATAGCGGGAAAGACCAAGGATCAACATAATGATACCATATGTCTCTTGACGGGAGGGTTGCATCTCGTGTGAGTATGTGTGAATGTGTTCTGTGTCACAAGCCTACTCAGCACTCCAAGACCTACCCATTCTGTCCGGTTCAGTGTGGACCATCGTCGCAACCCAAGGTATTTCGTCCTTCCCATATTGCTGTAGTGGGAGGTTGTAGGGTATGCGTAATCCAACCACTGGGTTGCCATCTGCAGAGTCCCTGGAAGGCATGTCTGTCTCAAATGTTCCCACCATGGTCGCCTTGTCGGCAATGAGTGAGGGCCACACCAAAACACCGATTTCCCATGAGGCGATCCTGACTTCTTGCCCCGCTCCGACTGCTTCTCCCCATGCCTGCTTTGACATATTGGCCGATGTAAGGATTGCCCAGTCGACTGAATTTTCACCATATCTTATATACGTCTTAATGTGCGGTGCCGCTCGCTTTCTGCCGGCCTCTTGGTTTGTGGCAGTGTCCGGTAATACTGTGGTCCAGTTAATCGTTTGTTTGAATTGAAAGCAGGCAATACACACATACCCTTTCCATTGGGAGCATCATTCGCCCAGTGACAAAACATAGGATGCAGGTAAGCCAGTTGCTTTGCCTGCTGCTGAGATTGGATCTTCGTATGAATCGACCCACCAGACGCATAGCCATCCAAGCTTCGTCTAATCTCATCTGGCGTAGGAAAAACAACTCGGAATGTCGGTTTGGGGTTATCTGGAGACTTGTTGCTGTTCTCGGATAGGGAATCGAAGATACAACTCTGAAGCCAGCTGTTGGTAGCACCTAGAGTGGCGATGGATGAGATCTGAACCACAATTTCTGACCTTCTGCCCTCTTGCACGGGAACGGTACGCAATGCACGCTTCAGGGCCAGCCAGCCCCATGTGGTTTGAGAAGTATCATGAAGTGAATGACGGCCAGGAACGCTTGCAATAAGTGCGGCTCGAACACTTGAAAAATCGTATCGACCTAGCTGATCAACTAGGTCTCTAACTGTAGGCCTCTGAACGTCATATGCTCTTAGGTAGCTCAGAAGATCATACTTGAACTTCTTGCCTGTACCAATTGGGTCATTGCCCATTGGCACATCCTTTTCTTTGAGAAGAGGAAGCAGAGGAGACATCCAAACAGCATTTGTCATATTGGTCCAGTCCTTGGCGATCATATTAGCAGTGTGTATGACTACTTGGGCTGATTCGTCGTGCCGGATCAAAATCATCATCTTGGAGTGGTGGGTGCCAAACATCTCTGGCATGAAAGCGCAATGAAGCTGTACATTACTGTAAGCTGCAGCATCTTCCTGCTATCTTGATTAGTCAATGGTCGTCAGCCTGCACATGGACTGCTGCGGGCTTGCCTGGAGAGCCAACCGATTAGGATCTTCCCTCTTCCAAAATCCATGGACAACGTGAACCTTAACAAAGTTTTTAGTGTCCTCGTCAAAGTGACTCATAAGGAAGTGTATGTCGTGTAGAAAATTGAACTCCCAGCATTCGGCAATGAGAGGGTCCCCGAGTATGTCCTTGAGTGTGATGGTGTCTTGATTTGCAGCCTCTGGTAGGTCTCGAATCCTGGTAAGCTGAAACGGCGACTTGATGCGCTGGCCTGTTCGATTTCTCCTTCTAGGAGGACTGATCGGTTTGATGAGAGACTGAGGTCTATCGGAAGCGGCTGCGGCCGAAGTTTCTACTTCCTTGATATCGGATGTGCGAGCTCTTTTGGTGGGTCGCTCCATATTGGCTAACAGTGATAGAGGCGAATGGTGGTGACGGGCCCGGCACAATTGTGCAGGAGGGTAATCTTTAGTCTAACTGCACAAAGAGAAGCAGTCGACAGAAAACCTCAGATAGTAGTATGAAGGAGAGTGTTTGCTGGAAAAGTTGTGGTCGGTTTTCCAGAGCGTAGGGGAAGGGAAGGTAGGTGCCTACAAAAGATCGGCAGGCAAGTGCGGCCTTTAGAACACATACCGCTAGAGCGGATTGCTGGCTCTGCAGCTTGCGGTCCACTGTTGGTTTTCACACCCAAGAATTCGTGGGATGGTAGTAAAAGCTTGAAAACCCCCTTGAGGATGTTTATATCCTCATGTTTCTTTTCAAGAATGACAATATGATATTGTGCTAATGTTCCGTAGGGGCCTCCACGGTGACGAATTGGGCATTGTGTAATGTAAACAAGGTTGCAGGGTGGGCCATGGCTTCACTACTGGGTGGCATTAGGTGCCCCGTCCGCGTGGAACATGTGGGCGAAACCAGCACAGAACGCTCAGAATGGGAAAAGTGGTGTTGTTGGTTGGAAGAACTAACTAACTGGCTAGAGGGCTGTGGAGGCTGGCTAAGACCAGTGGTGGCGGCCGTCAGCCCACGTGACGGGCCGGCGAGGCCTGCCACCCACACCCCCTCTCAGACTCCTCAGCGAAAAAGCAGTAGAATAATAGGAAATACAGGAAAAGTCCCAAATCCTCTAAATCCGAGGAGTTCTCAACTATTAGAAAACTCGGTCAATTACCGGTTAAACCTGGCCAATAGGAGGCTATGAAATCCTCCGAATCCCGAAGTCTCAATATCAATAGTCCCACAGTCTCAAAATCCCCCTCTCAATCCAATCCCTCCGCCATGCCCAACAAACGAACGAATTCCTTGTGTTTGACCGCAACTAGTGGCTTCGTAAGTCTATCGGCGGCCATATCAGCGCCCTTGATAAGTCGGAGTTCGATGCTTTTCGCAGTGTGAACCTCCTGTATGATCTATTTGTATCGGACGTCGATATAGCGGGTTCGTGCCTCGTTGAGTAGGTTCATGACGTTGTCGTAGCCGTTAGTACTGTTAGTAAACATGATAGTAGGCGTAGTGATAGGTTTGCCGAGCAGTTAGGAGAGGCAACGTCTGATCCACTTTATAGCAATTGCCGTAGGTATGAGATTAATGAATTCAGCCTCCGTAGTGCTCAAAGTCACGAAAGTCTGTTTCTTTAACTTCTAAGCAATCGGCGCACCAGCAAGGAAGACGACGTAACCACCTGTCGAGACTCGTAATAGCTTGTTATCAGCGAAAGAGGCATCTACAGCAGCGTAAAGCCCTAACTCGTTGATCGTAAGGATGCCTCCAAGTACAATACCGAGATAAACGGTGCCTTTAAGGTATTGGAATAAGTACTTAATAGCACGAAGATAGGCCTTAGAAAGCCTTGAATTCGCCTGTGACAATTTACTAACGGTATAGGCCATGTCAACGCGAGTTCTAGCCACTAGGAAGTTAAGGCAGCCGGTTTGTTCGATATAAAGTTGTTATTCGTCAAGCAAGCACTCGTTCTTATCCCAGGTGACAGGCAGATCGTCAGTAGTCGCCATAGGCGTCTTAACAACACTCAAACCATCAAAGTTAAATCGTTAAAGCACTGCTTTTACGTACTTAGCTTAGGAAACGAAAATCTTACCGGCAGCCCTGTCGCGTTCAATCTGTAAACCGAGAAAATCGGTAGCCTCGCCGAGGTCTTTAAGAGAACAGACCTTCTCGAGGAGACGACGAACTTCTATCATAACCTGCTTATTAGGAGCAGCGATAGCGTTATTATCGACGTATGTAAGTATATACGCTTTGATCTTGTAATTAACAAAGAGATAAACCTCCCTATCAATAGTAGTAAAGCTAATTCGTTCTATTTCACCCTTAATAAGTCGAAACCACCAAAGTAGTGATTTTCTCAAGCCATAGAGTACCTTATATAACAACCATACCTTATTGTCTTTGGTAGCATAGCCAGCGGGAGGCCGGACGTATACCTTAACCCCCTCTAGAATCAAGGCGGCTAGGAAGGCAGTATCGAAATCATACACTTCGTATTTGAGATTAAGAAGTGCGATAACTACGAAGAAGAGTCGGGTAGCGGTAGCAGAGGCAACTATAGTATAAACCTCTTATAATAACCAGTCACCTTTCTTATAGTTTCTACAAACTATATATCGGGCCTTATAGCGCACGATTTCGTTGTTTTTATTAGTTTTAATATTACATACCTACTTGCTAGGCAGGACTTTAGCATTACGTAGTAGGTAAACGACTTCGTAAACCCCCTTTTCCGTAAATTAAGTTATCTCTCGTTCGAAGGCTTATTCCTACTAGGGCTATTGTAGGCTTTTCTACGCCTTACGATAAGACTTCGGGATTACTACGCCGTCAGGTAGGACTTTCGAAAAGGCAGTAGTAGAAAGTATACTAAGAGAGAATTAACGAGAAGTTAGTAAAGCTAGAATATTAGCAGATAGGAAGGTCTTTTTAGTATAAGAGCGTACGCTACTAGCGGCTTGGTAGTGACTAGGTAGTCGCTAGGCCGAGGCGCGGTAAGGTCGAGAGGACTCTGCCGGCTGACTCGTTGCTTCCTTAACAATCGTAGAGAGGGAATTAGGGTCCTAGTAATCAGTTTCTATTGTTTCTACGGAGGCGACGAATTCGTCGTCGTTATTACGTAGTATAGCAGTAGTCTCTAACAGGTTCTCTAGTAGCGGAGACATAAGATGTATATCAGTAGGTGCCATCGCTTTTTTAACGATAGTCTTATCTGGTTTAGGATTACTAGTCACGGGTTTTTTACTTTTAATAGGCTTTTAACGGATAGTATACTAGATGATGATATCTAGTTTGATAAATACAGCATTATGTTTAATTTCATTAATGTTAGGTATGCTAGTAGTTAGAGGCAATACTGTCTTGTACGGTTCCTTACGAAATCGAACATCTCTATAGCGAATAACCTCCTTTCGATCAGGCAGGTAAACGTAGTAAATATAGCTACGAAGAGAACCGTAACCGACGAGGAATCCCTTGATTACTCGTGGTTCTATCTTGGCAGAGCGTATAAGGCGTCGAGGGCCCTTCTTGTATACGTAAGCAGCATAGTTAAACGTTCGGAGATGTTTAATATAGGGGGCCTTACGTTTAGCAGCCAAGTTTAGCTCTCTCGCTATGATCTCGTAAAGGCTTAAGTTACCCTTAGAGGGTGTAGGCAAGAGGTTAAGAATCTAAGTCACCGAATCGATGCTATAATCCTATAGTTCCTCTAGAAGGGATATGTCAATTAGCTATATCCAGGCGCCTTCGACGATAGTACGACTAGCACGCTTAATAATACCGTTTATGGAAGGCGTGTGGGTAATAGTTGTGTTGTAGCGAGTACCCTCGAAGTAGGGGTTGTTGAAAACCTTGATTAGCTCGGGAGCATTGTTAGAAACCTAAACCTTAGGCTTAAGGCTAGTAAGACTATAGAGTTTAGTATCCCATTTCTTAATAACTGCCAAGATAGTAGCAAACTTATAGTTAGGCAGAAAAACAACCCAGTAGTAACTACTATACTTATCCATAAGGTATAGAACCTAACGGTTCCCTTTTATTAATAGGGGAAGAATACTAACAAGATCAAGGTGAATTTCATTGCTAATACTTATAAGTAGAAGTAGTTAGTCTCGACTAATCCGTTTAGTAGATTTGCTAAGATAGCAAGACTTATAGAAAAAGGAGTCAATTTCCGACGTTATAAACCGAATGCTAACACGGCGGCAAGCCTCTACAATACGTAATAGGTAGGCGTAAACCAGCCGGCGGTATATCAGTTCAAAAGACGGTCGCTAGGTAGCCTGCAAGGCGGCAAGGCTAATAGCAATATCTCAAGGCACGTAATTCCTAGTATCATAAGTCTTAACGACGCAGACGTTAGAAACCTAATAAACTTTAGCAAGGGAAGTACGCTGTATTACGTATATAAGGCTTAAGGTCTGCTAATTATATTCTACGTAATTACAACGAAGTTTTCTAAGGCTTAGTAAGTTAGCTAGGCTAGAAGGGTTATACTTAACGTTGTAAAGTATCTAATCGTGAATAACGTCAGGGTTAGTAGGGTCTTAGGTCTGGAAGAAGACGGTGCCTACGCCAAGTAACCAGACTAAAGCGCCAGAGGCAGAAGTAGAAGGTGCTAAATCGCTCTTTTCAACATACTTAACGAAATATCGCAAGTTATTAAAGGTTAAAGTAGTATAACCAGAATCGAGAACGATATCGTCTCGGGTAATAAGGTCATTGCAGGCAGCAGTGAAAACTACTGGGCTAGCGATAGAGGCAAGGGCAGACTGGCCCAAGATAGCAGGTAACGCTCTAACAACAGTCTAGCAGGTACCATCAACAGAAGTAGGCTGATCCCAGCGGCAGCGATCGCCACACACATGCTTTCTCGCTTTTTTAATTAACTTATCCCGGTTAATATATGTTAGAAGTATAAGTATATTATACTTCTATTTTACTTATTTATCCTATTTAGTCTTATCTAAGACTTAGTAGGACTTACAAAAGTAACTAGCTAAGAATGGCTGCTTGCTAGTTTAAACATATGACATTCAGATCCCTATGGAATACTCTCTTTAACCTTATCTAAAAGTCTATTTAGTTAAAGAAGATTCTAGTCTGATTTATAAGCTGCTTTATAAGCTAGTTGACGTATATACTTACGTATACTAAACCTAGCTTATAGCTTCCTATATTAGCTATTATAGGCGACGTTATACTACTATATAACTAGCCTAATTCTCTCTCTTAGCTAGCTATTAGTTCCTCAACCAACTCAGCTTCAATATAAGCCTATACATTCTTTACTATTAAAGCCCTACTTCATAAGTACAAGTTCCCTTACTCTAATACCCTGTTATAAGGATATCGTACTATCTACGAGATTCCTACCTACCGTTCCAACAATATAGTATAGAGGGATAAGATTAGGGTAGGCGACATAGCACTTCGTAGTCTCGTAATCACAGTTATAATAGTCGCACTTCTTCTTTTCCTTAGTAACAGTAGAAGTAACGGTAGTAGTAACGGCTAGAGAGGCAGGACCCCCACTGCCAGCAGACTTGCCTCTAAGTATATTACGAATAGTAGCATAACTACGCTTTTGATCTTCGTCTTAAGCAAGTATATAAATCGTATCGGCTACCTTATTCTACGTAGGATAGGTAGCGCCTTTCGAGGTAAAATGCTTATATATATCAAGAAGTCGGTCCTTAAAGAAATTAAGGAGAAAAACGGCAAGGAAGGAGTCTAGCAGACGACCGTAAATAATCTCAATACGCTTTCTAAGGTAGTAACAGCGATTAAGGGCATCGTAAAGTATCTTATAATCGTTAGCAGTAGTCTTAGCAAACTCGTTAACAAGGGTAGCTATAGCATCTTATAAGATTCTCGGAATATACTTCTCAAGCCCCTACCACAACTAGTATAGGTTTCCATCGTCAATCCAACCCGCTATACAAAGTCTATCAAGAACCGATTCGCTAGCGTTCATAAGGAGACTATACGTAACGTTACGGTTCTTTCTCTATTCCTCTATAGCGATAGGGTTAGCAAGGCAAGGGACGTTAGTCTTAAAGAATATCTCGAAGTCGTATCCTCGCAAGGTCGCTATAACAAGCATACGCTAGGTGTTCTAGTTGGATTCACCTTTCAAGCGAGGGAGAGGCGTGAAGACGGTCTTGAAGTCGTTTTAAGACATCTTGAAGTGAAAAATAAAGGTATCATAATAGTGCGGGATAGACTTATAGTCGTACCTCGATCATAGGCGTTTCTCCGAGGCTATAGCTTTAGAGGCGTGTCTATACGTTAGATAGCTTACTTTCGCTGCTACCTACGCGTGCTGTTAGAAAAGGAAGGTATTAAAGGGTAAATAGTACTAAAGAAGTATGAATGTTATGTAGGAGGGAGAATCTTGCGTAAGAACGCGAGAAATAGGTAGAATTGTGAGATCCGACCGTAGAAATACGGTAAATCGAAGGGAAGAATAAATACTCGTAGAAGATACAAGAAACTAATAGGCTGGTTCGAAAAACCGAAGCTAAAATAGTTGAATTCTCGTGAAAACGAGGAATCGAAGTAAAAGTATGGTTATGACTGAAAAGTCTGTTGTTATAGTAGAATTCCGTGGTGTTCGTGAAAACCAGTGGGTTGTGGTGGTCGGTCGCGTGCTACGTGATATTCGTGCGCGCCAGGCAGCCAATATCGCGTCAGAAAGTGAAATTCGTCAGCGAAGAGGAAGGAAAGAAAGCGAGAAAATCGCACAGAAGGGTAAATAAAGCGAATAAAATCGCAAAAATTCGTGAATCAATAGAAAATTGACAGACGAGTAGAATAATGGGTAAAACGACGTTATTCCGAAAGAATAACGCTGGGCTCATAACCTGTGGGCGAAACCAGCACAGAACGCTCAGAATGGGAAAAGTGGTGTTGTTGGTGGAAGAACTAACTAACTGGCTAGAGGGCTGTGGAGGCTGGCTAAGACCAGTGGTGGCGGCCGTCAGCCCACGTGACGGGCCGGCGAGGCCTGCCACCCACAGAACATAACCTTAGTGGCATTGTTTAAACCAGGATGGCACCCATTAGCTCCCAACTTATCCCATCTGACATCAACCAAGAAACATTTGTTTGCCAGTTTCTACACACTACTCCGTCTCGTGTTCTTTCTTCCAACGTATGTAACTTCGAGCAATCAAGACTGAGTAGCTATATTTGCTGCATAGAGCTATTGATACCTGGATGTGATGGCTCAGCCTATTGATGCATCTTCGATGCTCTCAACTGCATCGAAGAATTCGGTGCCTTCACTTTCGTCATCCATGTCATTGTCACCGTTATCATCAGAAAGAACCAAAGCACTGTTGATCTCATAGGCATCTGACATCAACATAAGTCCAAAATGCCGACTTGTGCTAGGATGAACCAAGCTTCTGTGAAAGATTCGGTTATAGCTTTCATCTGTTATGGCTTCCCCTCCTATCTCTTGAATGCGGTTTTCCGAGGCGAAACTGCTCAAGTTTCTCAATGAAATTTCTGAGTTTCGTTCTTCGATCTCTTGGAGCAGATGTTTGAATGCTAACATCTCGTCATACGTTGGCGCCACCTCACCCGGTTGCCGCCTTCGAGGGTCACCAAGCATCCTGGCTATCATTATCTTCATTGGCGTGTCGCCAGCCGTGTTTTGTTGATTTGAGTTGATTCCTTTGATATGAGCACCTCTTAGAATCTCGATGAGCTCTGAATTCGCGCTCTGGGCGGCAAAGTGTAACATGTTCGATCCCTCTTTGTCGGTGGCGTCTTGCCTAGCTCCGCGTTGCAGCAAAACTTCTAGCAGCGCAGCATTGCGCCACAAAATTGTGTCGTGGATAGGCGTCCGGCCTTCAAAGCTTGCCTGTTGGGATGGAGTATCAAGGTCCATTCCGGCATTGATAAGAAGGTCAAGTGACCGTTCCCAATTGTGCCTCCTCGGATCATGGCTTTCGATATTGCATGTTCCACGAGCTCTGTATGACAGTGGGCTTTCTAAGTTCAGATCAGTTTGGATGACTGTTGCAGCTCCATGAGCCAGTAGCAGTTCAATCATCTCCGGGTTGTCGAAAGCAAAGATAATGGCAGTCTCCCCAATGGATCGGGAGGGGCTTGTAACTCTAGCATGGACATCTGCCCCAGCGTCAAGAAGCTCTCGAGCCATTCTCACTGACCCGGGAGGCTCATAGTATGCTGCAAAGTGCAGTGGCGTCCAGCCGCCTCGTGATGTGGTTTCTATACCAGTGCGTTGGTGGAGAAGGATACTGAACGAGTTATAATCGCCTAAGTAGATGGCCCAGTGCAACGGAGACCACCCAATGTCGTCTAAACTATTTAAATCGACAGAAACTTGAAATGTTGTATGTGATAGCGGTGTTTGAATAATGCCGAGCACGGCGTCGTGTGTCGGTGTTGATTTTCTTCCTTGTTCGTCTTCTTGTGATGCGAACTTCTTAATCATCTCGCGATGCTTAGGCTTGAAGCTACCGAAGCAATCTCTTTTCATAGCGGAATGCATAATCAAACGATAGCGCTTTACAACAGTCCTAGACACTGTCAATGTTCGACTCAACAAGAATATGAATACATTTGACATACCACCCAGTCCAGCTCTGTGTGTTTGTGGGCCAACCTTGCTCAAGAAGAAATTCTGCAAGAGTCAAGTTGACATAACGAAGGGATAGCTAGAATAAGTCAACCTGGGATACGAAAGAAAAGCAGGCCTGCCAGGGCATCGATTGGGATCAAACGTACCATGAGAAGTGAGCATCCATCTTCGTCAACATCAGTAGGAAATATCGTTGAATTTGAAAGGCTTTGTTTGATCCAGTTTTCATCAGAATTCAAGACAACTGAAAGCATTTGCCCACTTGGCACTATTCTTGAAACCTGGAGATGTATTGTAGCTCCTATACCAGTCAAGCCGTTCCAAGACGTGGCGAGCGTGGTAGCTTGAGAAACGAACCATTTTGGGAAGAGGTAAACAAGTCTCAAGGAGGATTGATTCCTGCAACCAGTTACGTCGCACTTCTCGGGCCTCAGGATTGGCATGCTATTGCATTGAAAGAGCAGAGAACTAAATACTGTAGGGATCCACTCGGGTGTTTGAAAAAAGGAGGTGAGATGGCACTGGCACTTGCAATAGAGGGAACAGGATTGCTGAGAAAATGCGAGAACGAATATAGGCACTGGGGAATCATCTTTGGGAGTCGATGACACCAAGTTGTCATGATGGCCAACTCGCAATGTGCGTCTACGGTTGGTCAACTCGGCATGAGCTTGGTCGAGGGAAGCGTCTATTTCGTTGGTGTTGTCTTGATTTGTTTGACCAGCAGTCTGGGCCCCCTGAAGCTGTTCACTGGAAGATCGGGAAGAAGCTGCTTCGACGATTTGTTTTATGTCTAATAGCAGTCTTGTTTGCTTTGCACTGCGTCACTATTAGTCACTACGAAGGATATTAAACAACATAGAGTAGCTCGAAAATTCACCTCTGTGATGAGATAAGGGCTCCGAAGCACAAGATCAAGGAGCTTTTGGTTGTGTTCGCCTTGGATCGGAGCTCAGTAATCTTGCTCTTTTTCCAAACCCACATTCGCTTAGACACCTGGAGGTCTACAGGCCTCGGTGCTTGTTGATCGAATTTTGTGAGACCACTGCAAAGGTCTTCAAGCTCTTTTATAATGACTTGTAGATCAACTGTTAAATTCGATATCGCCGACGCACCGTGCAGTGGCACCATAACGTCTTCCAAACTCTCCTTTCCGATTTCTTCAAGTGGAAGTTTAACCTGCTCGATGACTGCTTGAAGTGTCGCCAGTTCGTTGACGAGATCGACAAATTCTGCTGGGATTTGGCGCAATGAGAGAAGCAACTTGACTCCCTTTCCAATCGCAAAAGATGCCTGAGTTAGAGCGATAGCGCTCGCCGTGACTGAGAGGGGATCCATGATGATGCAGAACCAAGGATGGAAGGCTCATTGTAGGGTTTTTAACGAGTGCATTTTGGTCGCACGCGCAGCAACGTGCATATCAGCTGAGTATTCAAACGGGTCATTTTTTGCCCAAAAAGCAGGCTGGACTGCAGGATGAAGTAAACACAGCTGTTGTGATTCGCTGTCAGCGGTTCAATACAAGAAGCTTACTCAATGCGGTTATCTCTCATACTGCCTGCGCCTGTGCATAATTGAAGGTTGGCTCTCGATTTGACTGAAGAAGCTGGAAACAGAACTCTTTGAAGAAACCCATAGTGACTGTAGGGGGATAAGGCTTTTAGAAGAGAACGAAGAAGCAACCCGAATTGATGACAGAGGGTATAATGAGGGGTGAGTTAGGACGGCGAGGCGAGAATATACCAAGAAACCGACAACTTCTGAGCATTCTCCTTTAGCAATGTTTGTCTGATGAGTATAGGGTACACTAGACTTCTCAGGATCACTACAAGGTCACATGGAGGGATTCGTTTGTTATTTTACCTATACGTCCAAGCCTGGTCTTCCTTTCTTAAAACCTCGCGTTTAAAAAGTGGCTTTGGAAATGGACATCAACTGGGTCCAGCTAAGCCTAAGTGAAGTACCCTGGCGCGTATGAGCTGAACCATCCGACTCTAAGTACAACAAGTCACTGCCAAATCAAATGTAAGTTATCTCTACATCGTCAGCAAGTATAGACTTGTATGCTATGGCTCAGGAATATTATGAGTTTCCCACTCTCGAAGCGTTATGTTGATGATCGGCATGATTCTGGGGAGCGAACATTCAGATTTCTTTCCGAGGTGATGTACGAACACGCATCGGAGGTGGCAATCTGAAATGGAGAAGGAACTTTACTATTCTTATCGCCAGTGGATTCGCTTGGGGGCGCTCTAAATTGCAAGGTCGAATTTTGCCGGGCTTTGAGTGGTGGGAGTGTGGGCGCAGCAGGGTGGGCAGCTGGCATTACACGCTCCTACAGGCCCCGCTTAACTCTGTCGGCCTGGCCAGGCACACCAGCACTGGAAGGAAGATTCCACTTTCAAGACGGCCCCAGGCTCTTGGGCCGTCACGTAATGTGTGGTAAAGTTACCGTAATTGCCTCATCTTTAAGGCAGCCCATTCCTTGTTTGGCCGGGCGCAACGGCTGGACCTGGACCACGCTACAGAATCTTGACACACGGCCTTCTCCTGACCTGCCAGTCCTGTCACTCGCTTTGTTGGTCCTGTTGCTTGGTTCCCCCTTTGCCAAAGCACCATCACCTTTTTTTTCCCCCCTTCGACGCCGCTGGACGAATACGGGAGGCTTTGGCGAATGACGAACGAAGGGAAAGATTGATTAACTTTCTTTGCCATCATACCCTTCATGTCTCTGTCTATTCAATAGGTTTATCTAGACCCCTTTGTAACCCCTCGACCACATCACGACACGAATCTAGCGATCCACACGTACCCGCCGCATCTTTGCTCTTTCCTCGACGACACTTGCGCTTCGTCGCGCCCTCTCAATCCATCGCGTCCTCAATCTATACCGCCATTGCTTGACGTCTCTTGTTTTTCTTTTCTAGAAGTCTTCGCACCACGCGGTGCTACCTCGTTCCCGCCATGAGGTTATCTCCTTTATTCCTATTTCTTGGCTCGACCCTGCTCTCAGGGGTGCAGGCAGCAGGAAAAGACCAAGATGATCGGGAAAACACCTCCTTCAACTCAATGAAGGTACCCCCACTACTTGAGCTGACACCCGACACTTTTGATAAGGAGGTGAAGTCTTCGCAGTTTATGCTTATCAAGCACTACAGGTATGTCTCCCCCCCAGATTCCTGCTACGCTTCTCCTCTCTTGGCTGCTCAAGTAACTGATTCGTCATAAACTAGCCCTTACTGCCCGCATTGCATAGATTATGCGCCGATTTTCCAGACGCTGTACGAGTTCTACTACACTTCGAAGCCCGAGAAGGAGGACAAGCCCTTCACAGAATTTTATGACTTCCGCTTCGCCACAGTGAACTGCGTGGCATACTACGACCTTTGCGCTTCCCACAAAGTCGCATCATACCCTAGCACCATCCTTTACAAGAACGGCGAACAAGTCGAATTAATCAAGGGAGTCAAGGAAATTGACCAGGTTAGCCCCATCATCGAAAAGTACCTCGAAGCCGCCAAACCCGGATCAAGACCCCGAAGCCTCCAACTTCCTGAGGCTGGCGATAAGTACTCTCCCGACAAAGCGCCCGCCAAGGCCGACGATCCTAAGAAGGCGGCAGACGACAAGGCCGACGTTAAAACTGATGCGAAGACCGACGACAAGGCCGATTCCAAGGCCCCCGCAAAGGCTGAGGAGAAGCCTGATGTGAAGGCGCCGCCCAAGGAAGAGTCCAAAACCCCGCCAAAAGCACCTCCTGCGAAGGATGAAAAAGTGCCCGCAAAGGCAGATGAGAAGACCGAGGCAAAGACTGAGGCAAAGACTGATGCAAAGACTGATGCAAAGGCTGATTCGAAGCCTGACGCAAAGGCCGATGCTGCCAAGGTGGAGACTAAGCCATCTACCACTGCCGAGAAGGCTGTTACGGCTCCCACCAGGGCCATTGTCAAGAAACCTACCGTCACTCCTAACAAGGAAGGCATATCTGTGCCTCTTACTGCTGAAAAGTTCCAGACTCTGGTTACAATGACCCAGGATCCCTGGTTCGTCAAGTTTTACGCACCATGGTGCCATCATTGTCAGGCCATGGCGCCTAACTGGCAGCAGTTGGCCAAGGAGATGAAGGGCAAGCTAAACGTTGGAGAGGTGAACTGCGACGTGGAGTCGAGGCTTTGCAAGGATGTCCGCCTTCACGGCTACCCCACCATTCTTTTCTTCAAGGGCGGCGAGCGTGTCGAATATGACGGTCTTAGAGGCCTCGGCGACTTCGTTCACTACGCTGAGAAGGCTATCGATATCTCTGAGGGAGTCCAGGATGTGGATGCCGAGTCTCTGAAGGTCCTCGAAGAGAAGGAAGAGGTTATTTTCATCTACTTCTACGATCATGCTACTACCACCGAGGATTTCATGGCTCTCGAGCGTCTGCCTCTCAGCCTGATCGGCAAGGCCAAGCTTGTGAAGACGAAGGACCCCGTCCTTTACTCCCGCTACAAAATCACCACCTGGCCCCGATTGCTTGTTTCCCGAGAAGGTCGCCCTACATACTACCAGCCGCTCACACCTAAGGAGATGCGTGATGTCCATGGCGTATTGCACTGGATGAAGTCAGTTTGGTTGCCGATCGTTCCCGAAATGACGGCTTCCAACGCCCGCGAGATCATGGATGGCAAAATTGTTGTTCTTGGTATCGTCAACAGAGAGGACCAGGATGGCTTCTTGAGAGCCAAGCGCGAGTTGAAGAGCGCCGCCAATGAGTGGATGGACAAGCAGATTCTTCTGTTTCAGCATGAGCGACAAGACCTGCGCGATGCTAAGCAGCTTCGAATTGATGAGGCTGAGGACCGTGGCGACCAGCGTGCCTTGCGACAGGCCAAGGCTATTCGTATCAATATGGACAAGTCTGATCGGAAGCAGGTTGGCTTCGCTTGGGTCGATGCCGTGTTCTGGCAGAGATGGATTCGTACTACTTATGGCATCGATACCAAGGACGGGGATCGTGTTATCATCAACGATGAAGATGTAAGTTTGCTAACTCATACCCTGCTCAAAAAAATACTAATCGTATACACAGAACCGCCGCTACTGGGATACTACCATCACTGGTAACAACATTCTTCTGTCACGCACATCGATCTTGGAGACCATCGGCAAGGTCGTCACTTCGCCGCCCAAAATCAAGCCCAAGCTCACCATCTCGAGCTTCGAGAAGGTTTTCTTCGACATGCGCGTTACTTTTGTCGAGCATCCCTACCTGACGATGGGCTGCATTCTCGGCTTAGCTCTTGGTGCTGCTTCCTGGTTCCGCGGCCGCGTTCGCCGTGGCCGTGGCGGTCACTTCCGGCTGGAGGAGTCCTGGGGCAACAAAGAGCTTATGAAGGAGGGTTTGCTGGGACCCAACGGTAACGGCAAGGTGGACTAGAAGGCCGGCACGCGCGGAGAGGGGATGAAAAAGGTGGAGGAGCCGCCGTGTCTCCTTACACGGGAGTGTCTTCGGAAGTTGGACTAATGGAAAAGCCATAATGAGGCTATGACGGTTTGGGGTCCGACTTGTGGCTTGTTTGTGTCCGTGTACGGGGATGGAGATGAAGAAAACAAAAACCTACAGCATTGCGATGCCTAACTCACGGAGTTTGACGGGGTCAACATTGAGTTTTTTTCTTTTCTCTTTATTTTTCGTTTTGTCTCCGATGGAACTATGGGGCAGGGCAAAGAGGTCTGTATAATATTCCTTTGTTTGGCGGTGGAAATAGCAATGCCCTGCACATACCACTTGACAGATTATACATTGTTTATTCGAGTTCCAACAAAGGCTTTGTTCAGTGTTGTTCTGTGAGAATGCATGCATTTGAGCAGGCGGGGATGGCATGTTGGATGGATGTGTCAGTCACGAATTAAATTGGAAGTTGCAAAGCATTTCACCGCCCTCTGTTATTGAGAATATCTCCTCCCCCTACGTTTCCCTTGAGAGTTGGGAAGGCACTGGCAATTTGCAAAGCCAGAATATCCAACCCGTCGGCAGTGAAGTGGGTGCTCCCTACCCAACGGAAATGAGCACTTGGTTACATATATGCCTTTCGTTTATTTCTTTTTCCAAATTTGAAGTATTCAAATGTCAAACGTATTTCGCCTGTATCTCCTCGACGTTTACTTGTGCCTTCTTACTCACCTGATGCCGCCGCCGTATCTTTATGTGTAAAGCTCATTCGTGAGACCGTTCAGAGAAAGACCCTCCTTAGCAATATCGTCGACATCAACAAGGAAATCGAGGGGCATCTCGACGATGTTACCACGCACGCGGTTGAGCCAGTCCTTGACCTCGCGCACACCGCCGGGGAACTCCTCCTTGACGACGTGGCCGTACTCTACCTTACCGGACGTGTCGCCTTGGTTCTGGGCGCCGGGGATGATGAAGTGTCGTGAGAAGAATTCGTCGTAGTCTTTCCAGGTACGCACGTGATCGTTGGGCACGTTGTGGAAGACCTTGGAGAAGACCTCGGTGTTGGTGCGCGCAGTACCTTCCCATAGGTCCCAGAACTCGCGGGACATGGGATCCTGTACGAGGCGGTCGGCGTGAGATCCCCAGTCGTAGACATTGGGGCCGCGCTCGACAGAGGTCCAGTTGTCGTCGGGCCGATCCGGACGCTGGTGTGGCAACAGGCCGAGGTGTTTACGGAAGATCTGGCGGCGGAGAGAGGCGGCGAACTTGGAGGCAGTGTACGGGCGACCTCCCATCTGAGACTCGATGGGAGTTGGATCTTCTATGATGACGGCGATCTCGGAGTCATGGTTGCCAAGCTGGGAGCGGTCGTTGAGGTTGGCGGAACCAACAATCACGAGATTGTCGTCAACGATGAGCAATTTGGAATGGATGTAAAGCTCCTCGCTGACGAAGGCGTCCATCTCGGCTTCCGGTTCGCCGTGCCAAGGGACACTGTGCAGGTCCGGGCCGGCTTCCATATAGCACGATGAGACGGTGTCCCAAGTTTGGTCAGAGACGCGGGAAGCAGCCTCCTGGTAACGATCGTACTGCGTGTTGCGGCCGCCCCAGGAGGCGTTGGTGCCTTCGCCTCGGGGCTCGTATCCGGCACCGACGGCGTCATCATGTTCGCGGCGGGCGTCCTCGTACGAGACGCCGCTCTGGCGTTCGGCTTCGGACATGGTCGAAGAGACGTTGATGCGGTCGTAGTTGCGGAGGTTGTAGAAGCGAATGTAGCGGCCAGGGTCCTCAATGCCGCCTTCGCTGCGGAGGGTCTCGATAATGCTGTGACCTCCTCTGCTGATGGAATTGTACTGGAACTCCATGATGGCGCGGGTACCAAGAGCACCGTCGGACTGAAGGTCGCCTGCAAAGGCAGGGACCGCAGGCATGTTGACAATGAACTTGAAGTCTTCGCCGTTACGATGAGCGCGGATGATACGGTCAACAATGGCGCGGCCAATCTTGTTGGTTACGGGACGCTGCTCTTTGCTGGTTGCAGTAATGAAGAACTGTCATACGTTAGGGGGAGCAACTGGAAATGGCATAGAGGCAGAAGCTTGCCTGGTTCTCCATGTAGACGAAATGTTGAGCTCTTGTGATGGCGTCGATGTAAGCGTTTGCGATGGAGTGCTCGGTGGCGTGACCCGAAGACCACTTAGTGCAGCTTTACTCAGTTAGCAACCTCAGTCCAAGACGGTATCCATTTCTGATTCTACCTCCGAGTAAGCTGAATGTTGGCAGACTGGTCGCCGTGCTCCTGTCGCAGGGGCCTGTTGTCATCATCTTCGTCGCTGACCATCAGCCGGCTCATACCACGGTTGATGCGATCCGAAAGGTCCCCGAAAAGTTGACTGGTTTGGTGGCCGGCGCCGCCAAAGAAGCCACCGCCCTGGCCGGTCTCGGCAATTCTTCCGGACTCCTGGTTGGCGCCATCGATCCTGCCGTACTTGCCTGGGTTCTTCTTGGTGTACTTGTCGTCGAAAATGAAGTTCCTTGACTCGGATTAGAATTACAAATCGCATTAGACGACTTCATGTGTATAAAACCAACCATCTATCAACAAAGAAGTCTGAAAGGTTCTGGACGATGGGGCCGTTTAGGCTGATGGCAACGTCGGACCATCCCATCCTAGAGCTCTTCGTGCGATCGACTTATTACGGGGTCAGCGACGAAGCAGTGTGCTTGAAAGTATGTTTGCTTACGCTTGTTCTGTTCCCAGTTATCAACATCAGCAAAATCATAGACACGTGCGTTGTTGTAGTCTTGACCGGGGAAAACGATAGCATCTAGGTTGCCCGGATGGGCGTCGGCAATGGGATGGCCTATGTCCGAGTCAACACTGAGACTTGCGGTGTTAGCTTTGTCAATTTAGACTCACTGTTGGTGTCCCATCTGCCAAAGCCTAGAGTCTGATTAGCAAAATATAGAAGAACTAGAGCTCACAACTTACACATATCGAGACCCCCCATAAAGGCGATCTTGTTATCGATGAGACAGAGCTTCTCGTGATGCGCCCAGAAAAGAACGACGCCATCGGTGGCAGTTCCATAAATGGTCTTCAAGGCATCGGTGGAGAACTTAGACAAGGTGAAGGTGTTCAAAGATAGGTTTGAAAAGTTCTGGCCAATCTCACTATTGAGATCGTATCCCGTAGGAATATGGTCAGGGTGCCGAAACACGCCAATGTTGGGATGAAGGCTTTCCAGGTAGGTCCTTGTGTGCTTGGCGGGAGTATTAGCACGAGTCAAACGCCGATTATGGACATGAACTGATCTGTTAAAGGTCACTTACAGAAGACTTCACTGTGTTTTGTAAACCATTAGCATGAGTATGAGGGCTTACGATCGAGGAAACTCACGGGTCAGTGCGGCCTCAACTTCCTTGTAAACAATAATATTGACCTTGACGCCTCTCTCGGCAGCGGCCTTGAGCAGATTATCAAGACGATAGCGCTCATTGGCAGAGGGAGGGCGGCGCAGGTACAGCTCTGGGCTCAACCACCAGTCCAGGATGTAGATGCTCTCGCGGGCCTCTGTGTGATCACGTGGTCAGAAACATACAATGCTGTCAATAGAATGCTCGCATGTGCTCACGTTCAATGGCCTCGGAGACAGCCCAGAAGTAGGAACATCCGTCGACGTACCACTTGGCGTGGCCGGTGGTCTGCGGGGCAAAGGACTGGTATCGGTTCTCAACATGGCCATCGGGATGATGCCCGTGGCACTCATGGCCCATGTGAGTGTGTGCGTGCCGCTCCTCTCCAAAGAAGGCTTCGACATGTTGCTCCACCTTGCGGAAAAGGTTCTCCATGGCGGCGAGGCGAGATGAGGTTTAATGTCTGGAGTTGGGAGACTCAGTGTGAGGTTGCAGCACAGAGTGCACTAGAGACGATTGCCACAACAAAGGGTGGTTGTGTCGTGGACTGAGCTTTAAGAGGAGGGGAACCGGGGTTGACGTTAACGATGAAACAGGGTCTATATGCGACGTCAGAGGGGTAGCTCGCAATTCAGCTGCATGTGAGCACGAGGGGAGCGGCATGAGGCAACTTACCTATGTGAGGTACATTAGGTACTTCGGATTTCCCTCACCTTGTTGCGGTGAGAGCGAGACGACAACTTTCGGATGGCCCGTGTGTCCGGGCTGCCGTAAGTGGATAGGAACAGAAGGTACGGAGTACCAATACTCCGTATATATTGCACTGATTAAATAGCCTATGGAAAGAGAGATCCCCAGAACGGTTGCAAGGGTGAGGTGGGCAAATCTGATTTGTCTGTAACTTGTGTCCTTCAGCAGTTCGACAGCTGGGGGGGTTCATCTCCAGGAGCCACCTGTGGGGGGGTAGGCTGGAACGATTTTGTGGAAGCAGTTGCTCAGCCCAGGCATTGTCACAACTGGGTGGCCAAGTACCTAATTGCAAACTTATTCTAAACGCAATGCCTAAGTATTTCAATCCTTGGAAATTCAGGCAGTGAACCGGTTCCCTCAGTTCGATTCCTGGGTTTCGTTCCGCATCTAAGCGACACTGGAAAGGATCGCTTCTAGGTTACGTATGCGCCATGGAAACTAGGATTAAGGCCGCCAAGTGCTGTAGGCACTTGATTAACAGCAACTTAAATTATTACATACAATGGGTAAATATGGCCTGGCTGATCCAGGAAAAGTGCAGAAGAAGGGTTTTTCCATGGTACGGCCCGATGCGGTGAAGTCTGTCGAAGACTATTGCACGAAGACCATTGCAAGTTGCAACCAGCGAACTATCTTTTCCAATCGTCAGTGGATGGCCCGTCCCTTCGCACCAACCTGTAATTAGTGCATCTAAGGTTAATTGTCAATTCTTCCATCATCCATGCGGGGACAGACAGACAGGTCCCAGGACCCTGCCAAACGTGCGTTGCCCCTTGCGCCGGGAATTTCCTCGAAGCGGGCGGGCTTGGAACCAGTACACGGGAGACTGGCGCGCTAATTCAGCCTTAGAGACACCCGAACGGCAAAAGGAGAAAAAAAAAAAAAAAAAAAAAAAAAAGAGGCTTCCGTTTTTTGTGACCTGGCCTCCATGAGTAAAAGGCAGTTGACAGGCGCCCTCTTCTACAGTCAAATCCAAGCCCACAGTGCCTATCAAAACTCCCTTTGAGAAAGCTTGAGGCCAGATACAAGGCCCGGCAGCATCCTTCGTTCTCAATTGACCCAGCCTAGGCTCCACACAAACGACCCGGTCACGCCTTTCTGTCTGGGTGCTATATCGCTTCACCAGAGGCTGAGGTGACCTTTGCCGCTTTTCCCCTCATTTCTCAAATTATCGTCACTCTCTCACTTTTTCACAACAACGGGTTGTCAACTACGCGGTGATCTCTTCGCAAACAGCCAGGTTTTGAAAAAATTCTTCGTAACCAACAGTTCAAGCCCAAAGAAAATCGGTTTTTCGGATGAATTCCCTTTCCTCTTCTATACTCTTCCGTCCAACACCGTAGTCCTGGTAAGGTTTGGTGGGCATTTTCATAGGGTCGAAAGTCATACCGTTCCTGCGTGGTCGATCTCTGTCAGCTCCCACCCGCCTGCACAACTTCGACTCCGATAACTCTCTCAAACTACATCACTGCATTGTGTTAACTGCCAGTTATACTTTAACCAGTCAACCTTTGTAACCGTTCCCAAAGACTAGGGGAAGGCAACTCTGCCACGATGTCTTCAAACTCAGGCACCCCCTACATGTTCTCGCCAGCTGATCATACCCATCTCATCCCGTATCTGGCAGCCCTTCATGCCGCCTGTATCAGTCAAGATCGGACGCTCGCAACCTTCCTGCCACCTTTGTCTCATGAAAAGTTACTGGGATGGTGGAAGGAGCGGATAGCAGAGGTCATTGACGGTACACGCTTGATGCTGATTCTTCTGGACGAGTCTGAACCAGGATCGAAACCCAAGGGAACTGAACTTATGGGTGTTGTCATGCTATGGATGCCCTACTCCGAAACAGGCCCATTCCGTGGCTTTGTTGAGAAGCTTCTTATCAGTCCAAAGTTCCGTCAGCGCGGTGGTGCTAGGATGTTGATGAGTGCTCTGGAGGGAGAGTCTCTTAGGAGGGGACGGACGCTGCTAGTAAGAAGACGAAACTCGGTTTCCAAACATGATGCTGATGCACTCCTTAGATGCTCGATACCGCCGCTGATAGCCCAGCTGAGGCTATATACAGGAAGTTTGGGTGGACTGAGGTTGGCAGGATTCCCAACTACGGTATCAGTCCTGCGGTTCCACGACAGTTAAAGGACGAGGTTTTTTTCTACAAGCAACTCCAGGCTTAATGAACGCTTTTTTTCTGCCGGCGGCGTTGAGGGAGGACACTTATTCTAGACATTCGGGCGTAACTGAGGCGACTCATATTTGCCAGTCAATCCCGTGGAGAGTTGAGAACGGAGTTTGAAATCCAAGTGGTTGTCTTGTCGTAATGTTCACCTGACCGACTCCTAGAGATCCCGACCGCATGACTTTCGGCGTCTGGCCGTATAACCCGGTAAGCCAGCCAAAAGTGCTCGGTGACCGTATCTCAGAACGACGTAATCCCGTTGATGCAAAATAATGCTTCTTACTAAGGCTTCACATCCTTTCAAAATGCCGCCAAAACCAGATTTTGGCTAATGTGTCCGTGAGACTGCTTATCAATAAAGTCAATCGGCGACACCTCCGCAAAACCCCACCCCGAAGCTCAACTCGCCAAACACCCCGTCTGACCTTTCCATGCCGGGACTGAACCAAGCTTGGGAATGCGGAGTCGGGGGAATCTCGTTGGTTGAAGGCTTCTGGAAGACACAGAGCCCGAAATCACGCAATCCATCCACAATCAGATATCACCAGCATTTGGCGGCATTTCGTGTTCTGCACGTGAGGGGCAGCTTAAGACGTCTCGGCTGGGAGGGGAAGTTGGGGGGATGTATGGATGCTTAGCTCCAGGGCCTCTCACTACTGGCAATGCCAAGCTGGCCTTTTATTTAAAGAATGGCGCTCGTCCCGTTGAACTATCAAATCCATACATGTTTCAATAACATTGCACTTTTAGCTATTGCTTCCGTTGATTTCATCATGTCTGCCATCCAGAAGAACGTCGAGGCGGCATCAGAGAGATATTCCTCCACTTTCACAAAGGGCCACTTGGCTCTGCCTCCAGCGAAGAAGTATCTTGTGCTGACTTGCATGGATGCCAGAATTGACCCAGCGCAAGCCTTCGGCATTGAATTAGGCGATGCACATGTCATTCGCAATGTAGGAGCGCTGATCCGGTCATGCTGAGTGTCAGCTTAACTTACAAAGACCTCCAGGCCGGCGCTTCTGCCATAGATGCTCTCCGCAGCATCGTCATTTCGCAACAGCTTCTGGGCACGCATGAGATTGTCCTTGTCAAGCACACCGGTTGTGGCATGCTCACTTTCAAGAACGAGGACGCATATGCGCTGGTTGACAAAAACCTTGGGTACGTTCATGTGTCACAAGATTTTACTGGGCTTACTCTGACAATATTGTGTCTAGTGCTGAAGCGTCGTCGGAGCTTAAGTCTCGCAAACTAGACTTCCTACCATTCCCTGAGCTGGAGGAAGCCGTCAGGAAAGACATCGGCTTCATCAGGGAAACGAAGTTGATCCCGGAAAATGTGACGCTCAGCGGCTGGATATACGAAGTTGAGACGGGCAAGACGAAGCGTGTTGTTTGAGATCCCTAAGCGAGTGGATAGAAGCAGTGTGTTGAGGGGACGGCAGGGCAAAGTTGGGCGTCTTTGAGTGTTTGGCGGGACGCGGCATTGGTAATTTAGTGTAGCAATGTTTTTTTTTTTTCCCTTTCTTTTATACTGAATAATTGTGGGCGAGAATCTTGTCACTTGAAATGAATGTGTCTGTTGACATCAATTGCTATTGCCATTGGTCGTGCATCCCCAAGAGGTACTTTGATCAAGTATCAGCGCGCCAAAGTGTTTGCAGCTGAGGCAGGAATTTGGCCGTGCTGGGGCTAAGGCAAGTGGACCTGAAGTCTCCCGCTCGTTCGGTCCCTGCGGATATTTAGTGATGCCGCGACGCCACGATTGGATGAACAGCGGGGTATGTGGCTTCCTGTTCCCCGCCCTGGTTCAGGTCCCTGAGTGCAGAAAGCTACCAATCGTGGTCGGCCTGAGGCAGTAAACAAAGGGGCGGCAGCCCAAACGCGGTCCAGTCAGAGAAGACCATGTCGCGCCTCCCAATGTTTACACCGGGGCAAACATCAACATCGCAAGGGTTGCTAGCAACAACAAAAGCCCATCACGCACAATTCACCATCTCCTCTCCTCCCGACCGTCATACTCTCCTTTCGTATGTAAAAACAGGGACCTTGTCGAGCTGGCACACTCGCTCTTCTCCCCCTTCTCTTTTCTGTTACGATCCGTTGTGCCAATTGCGCGCCTGGTCCGCCCAGCTAGCCGTTTCGCAAATTCTATTGCCCAATCTTTTTGTTGTCGACGACCGATTCTTCTCCTCGGACTGTAACGACTACTGCCTACCGCCTACCTGTGTACCTCCCCGCGCCTCGGGGAGCGCAAACAACTGTACAAGATGAGTTCCGATATGGACGGTTCGGTGTTTAGCATGGGGGAGGAGTCGGATTTTGCGCCGGTATGTTTGCTTTTGATATAAATTTCTTGTTCCGCTGTGGATTCACCCGTCAACGGTTCAATCGCATTCGTTGTACCCTTTGTAGACTGGAGCAGGAGCGCTCGGTGCAGGTGCGCCTTGCGATACCTACTTTCTGTCGCAACTTTGCGATTAGCCTTTTCGCGCAATACGCAAAAAAGCTCACCCACGCCTTGTGAGAGGGCTATCCCTTTGTCGCAAAATCAAAGCGACCAGGCTAGCCTGTCTGAACATCACGAAAACCACCACCCTCTTGCGCCCTCATATCTACGTTATGCCCTTTCAGATGATACACTATTTTACTTTCCCATGAGTCCTGTCTAGCCTCGCCTGCAAGATGTCCATGCCACCGCCGGAGCAAGCTGCCCTCGCGGCGCCTAAACCGGCTTCAATAAAGGCTTTTTTCGAGTCAGGTACTGATCTGTTGCAGAAGCCCAAGGTCAAGGCTGCCGTTAAGAAGGCACCAGCGAAAAAGCTGACGCAAACCACTCTCAAAACCAAAGCTGCACCCAAGAAGCGAGCGAAGCCTGATAGCGACGACGACGACGCCGCATCCACGTTCTCCAACACACCTCCCAGCGCTAAGAAGCTCAAGAAAGCTCCTGCTGCTAAGAAGTCAAGCGGCAACCCCTTAGCCGAGATTGAGAACGACAGCATGGCTGTCGACGACGACGACGAACCCCCCGCCTCGGCGCCTAAGACAAAGAAAAATGCTACCGACACCTACCAGAAGCTCACTCAGCTTGAGCACATTATCAAGCGTCCCGATACCTATATTGGCTCAGTCGAGCCTACTGAGCAACCCATGTGGGTGTTCAATAAGGAAACGAAGCTTATGGAGTACCGCAAGGTCACATTCGTTCCCGGTCTGTACAAGATTTTTGACGAAATCTTGGTTAACGCTGCCGACAACAAGCAGCGCGACGCGACTATGACCTACATGAAGGTTACTGTTGATCGTGAGAACGGAGAGATTTCCGTCGAGAACAACGGTAAAGGTATCCCTGTTGAGATCCACGGAAAGGAGAAGATCTACATCCCGGAGATGATCTTCGGTCACCTTCTCACCGGTTCCAACTACGACGATGACGAGAAGAAGACCGTCGGTGGTCGCAACGGTTACGGTGCAAAGCTCTGTAACGTTTTCAGTGAGCAGTTCACCCTCGAGTGCCAGGACTCCAACAATGGAAAGAGGTACAAACAGGTCTGGACCGACAACATGAGCAAGTGTGGCAAGGCGAAGATCACGAGCAGCAAAACTAGTGACTTCGTTCGTGTCACTTTCAAGCCCGATTTCAAGCGTTTCAGCATGACTGGCATTGACGACGACCTCGAGTCTTTGATCCAGCGCCGAGTCTACGACATGGCTGGTACCGTCCGCGGTATCAAAGTATACTTGAACGGCACTCACATCAAGCTTGCTTTCAAGGGTTACTGCGAGATGTACGCCAAAGCTATTGCCAAGGAGCGTGGTGCCGAGGAAGGCGTCGAGCCCAAGGTTGTTGTTGAGGTTGACAAGACCGACGCTCACCCGCGTTGGGAAATTGCATTTACGGTTTCAGACGGCTCGTTCCAGCAAGTTTCGTTTGTCAACTCAATCGCAACTACATCTGGAGGTACGCATGTCAACTATGTGGCCGACCAGATCACCGGATCGCTCCTCAAAACCCTGGACAAGAAGAAGAAGGGTCATGCGCTCAAGCAGAACCACATTCGAAACCACATCTTTATTTTTGTTAACTGCCTTGTTAACAACCCCGCGTTTACTTCCCAAACAAAGGAGCAAATGACCACTAAGGTCAGCCAGTTTGGTAGCAAGTGCGCTTTGACTGAGGAATTCCTAAAGAAGATCGCCAAATCAGACGCCATCCAAAACATCATTGATTTTGCCGAGAAGAAGGCTGACAAGATGATGGCCAAGAGCGACGGTAACAAGCGATCCCGCATCAGCAACTCGAAACTTGTTGATGCTAACTTGGCGGGCACCCGCCATGGCCACGAATGTACCCTAATTCTCACCGAAGGTGACTCTGCCAAGAGTTTGGCTGTTGCTGGACGTGCTATCCTGGATCCCGACCGCATCGGAGTCTTCCCTCTGCGTGGTAAGATGCTGAATGTACGTGACGCATCGATTGACCAGATCACGAAGAACCAGGAAATTCAAAATATTAAACAATTCCTCGGTCTGAAGCACAAGGCTGTCTATAACGACACAAAGGGTCTACGATATGGTCACCTGATGATCATGGCCGATCAGGATCACGACGGTTCTCACATCAAGGGTCTTCTCATCAACTTCCTGCAAGTTCAGTACCCATCCTTACTGCAAATCCCCGATTTCTTTCGAGAATTCATCACTCCTATTGTCAAGGTCTGGCAAGGCCCGAACCCAAAGAAGCCTCAGCGGCTCAAATCTTTTTTCACCCAGCCTCAGTACGAGGAGTGGAAGGATTCTCACAAGAGTGAACTTTCTCGATGGCATTACAAGTATTTCAAGGGTCTGGGTACCAGTTCAAACGAGGACGCCCAGGTCTACTTCACCAACCTCGATGACCATCTGAAGGAATTCAACACGATGCAGCCTGACGAGGCCGATCTTTTCGAGCTCGCTTTCTCCAAGAAGAAGGCTGACGCAAGAAAAGAGTGGCTTGGCAATTTCGTGCCGGGCACGTATCTCGACCACTCTACCAAGTCCATTACATACACGGACTTCGTCAACAAGGAACTTATCCTCTTCAGTATGGCTGACAACATGCGATCCATTCCGTCTGTTATCGACGGACTGAAGCCTGGTCAGCGCAAGGTTATGTATGCCTGTTTCAAGAGGAACCTCGTCAAGGACCAGAAGGTCATTGAATTGGCTGGTTACGTCTCCGAGCAGACATCGTACCATCACGGTGAAGTCTCCCTCCAGCAAACCATCATTGGTCTTGCGCAGAACTTCGTGGGCTCCAACAACATCAACTGCCTTGAACCCAGTGGTAACTTTGGTTCTCGTCTTGCCGGCGGTTCCGATGCTGCCAGTCCCCGTTATATCCACACCAGACTGTCACCGTTTGCCAGAAAGATCTTTTCCACCCTTGACGAACCTAACTTGGAGCCTCAGTACGAGGACGGAAAGAGAATCGAGCCTAAGGTCTACGCGCCTGTCATTCCCATGATTCTCTGCAACGGTGCCGATGGTATTGGCACTGGTTGGAGTACTTCAGTTCCCAACTACCATCCTGTGCAAATCGTCGAGAACCTGAAAAGGCGCATGGGCCGTCTCACCCCCGACAATCCAGAGGGTGCGCCCTTCGAGCCTATGATGCCGTGGTTCCGTGGCTGGAAGGGCACTCCTCAGGTCGCAGAGAAAGACAGATACAAGTTTAACGGTATCTGTGAACTTGACGAGAAGACCGGCGAAGTCGTTATTACTGAGCTTCCCATTCGTATGTGGACGGATGATTTCAAAGCGAAACTGGAAGAGGTCATTAGCGGTACCAAGGGCCCAGTCTGGATCAAGGATTACAAGGAGTTCAACGACCACAAGAACGTCCACTTCGTTATTCAGATGGACGACAAGCATACCAAGGATGTCATGGCTGATGGCCTGATGGAGAGATTCAAGCTGAACAAGCAGATTGCGACCTCTAACTTGGTTGCCTTTGATACTCGCGGCCAGATTCGCAAGTACGAGAATGTTGAAGAAATCCTTGAGGAGTTCTACCACTACCGTTTGGATATGTACGCCGAACGCAAGAAGCACTGGCTCGGCGTTTACCATGCGGACTTCAGGAAGCTGTCTGAGCAAGCCCGTTTCATCAGGGAAATCATTGATGGAAAGCTCACCATTTCCAAGAAGAAGAAGACAGTCCTTGTTGAGGAGCTTGCTAAACGCAAGTACGAGCCGTTCCCAAAGAACAAGGATAAGGAGGTCAAAAAGAAGAACACGGACGAGGAGATGGAGGGCGGTGACGAGGAGGATGAAGAAGGAGGCGACGAGCAGGCGAATGCTTATGACTATCTTCTTTCTGTGGGTACCTTGTTTGGTTGTTACGTGATTTTTGACTAACTTGATCCCAGATGCCACTTTGGTCCCTGACCTACGAACGTCTTGAGAGGCTGCAGAGGCAGATTGACAACAAGAAGGCAGAGCACGATGCTCTCCTTGCCCTGAGCGAGAAGGATCTCTGGTGTCAGGATCTTGATGACTTTGTGGCCGAGTGGGAGAATCAGATGGCCCTTGACGCTGAGATTCAAACATCTATCCGGAGACTTGGCCGCCGTGTATCCAAGAAGATAGGTGCAGGCAAGGGTCGCAAGGCCAAGAAGGACGACGATGATTATGAGCCCGAGCGAAAGCGTGCCGGGGCCAAGCTCAAGGCTGCTGCTGCCCCCAAGGTTACAGAAAAGGCTGCCGAGAGATTCGCTGCCATGTTTGAGAAACAGAAGACCAAGACCAAGGCGAAGGAAGATGCTGGGTCTGACGCATTCTCGGACGACGACTTTGCCGCTCTTGGAAAGAAGGGCGCTTCTAAGCCTGCTGCTACGGCCGACAAACCTCAGAGAGCAGCAACGACCAAGAAGAAGCCTATTTATACTCTATCTGATACCGACGACGATGATGAGGACTTTGCTAGCCTAGGCAAGACGAATTCTGCTGCCCCTGTAGAGTCGGCGGCAGAGGAGAGCTCCACGCAGAGCCAGAAGTCTGCAGCAACCAAGAAGCCCTCGCCTCGGATTGAAGAGTTAGAAGATAGCGAGGACGACTTCGAAAACATAGGCAAGAAGAGCACCAGCGAGAAGCCGGCGCCCATTGAGCCTGGCAGCAAGAGCAATGCTTCTCGTACGCAACGTGCCGCATCGACGAAGAAGTACATTATCGATGATCTTTCTGATGAGGATGAAGACGACTTCGAGAGTACCGGCAAGAAGAGTGTCTCCGCCGAGCCTGCACCGGCCAAACCGTCAACCAACTCCACTGCTGGGCGAGGTCAAAGAGCTGCTACAACCAAGAAGCGGTCGTACATTATCGACGATGAGTCTGATGAATCTGGTACCGAGGGCGGACAGATTGGAGACATTGGTTCCTTGGTCCGCGGCATTGCTGGATCTGCCAAAGAGTCGCAATCTGGCCGACTGAGCCTATTCGCTATGAACCGCCCTGATGGCCATGACTCCACCCTGCCAAAGATCAAAACTAAGGTTTCAAGGACCTTTGGCGGTGATGATGAGGAAGTAGACGATACCAACTACGAGTTGCTCGCACGGTCATCGCCTCACAAAACAATGACCAAGGAAGATGACATTGACAGCTTCCTGAGCGATGATGGTGCGCCTCCTGCTAAGGCTTCGAAGGCCTCGAAAGCCGCACCGGCCACCGCGGCGCCCATCAAGAAGCGTGGTCGTCCTGCAGGATCAAAGAACAAGTCCAAGGATGCGGAAGCGCCAGCTGCCGCAAAGCCAAAGCCCAAGCCCAAGGCTGCTGCCAAGCCCACCACGCTCTCTCCTGCCGCCAAGGCCTACGCTGCAAAGAAGGCTTCTTCGAAGCGCGTGTTGAGCGACGATGAGGATGAGGATGTCGATATGGAGGACCCTGAGTCTCCGCCTCGCCCGGCAGCTAGAGGCCGACCTGGTCGCGCGGCCGCTACCAAGGCCAAGGCGAAACCCAAGTATGACTTTGGCGACAGCGATGATGCCGACGAGCCGAGCGACGACCCGTTTGACATGGACGAGAGCGATTAGAGATTGCAGTAAAGGTCGAAATTGACGCATAGTGATGCGTGAGCGCGTGCGCGTGTAGTAGGTGTGTGTATATGGGACAGGGAACGGCGAAATGGGGATATGGTGGGCGGTCTATTAGAGAGCAGCTATCTTGCTGCGTCTCTGAACTTGCTTTGCTTTATGACACGGTATTCTTATGGTCTATGGGAATCTCTCTTTTGCTCTCTTTTATTTCCCCACGCCCACGCAGAGGCTAGAACTGCCAGCTTGCCAGCTTGTATTGTTAAATCTCGTGCGTTTTGTACCGAATACAGAAAAACGTGCAATAAAGATTGCCAACGATTTTACTCCGTTCCACGCAAGCGACTTGACACCGCAATTATCACCTCGTCAGTCATATCTTCGATAGTCGATGTGGCTCTCTCTTACACGCTGAGGACAACCAGGTACCGTCAGAGCGAACGAGGGGCAACTAGACACATACATATCCGCTGTTCATGTATACACACGTAGGTGTGACTTCGCTGCAGAGTTTTTACACTTGCCCTGCCTGTAGACGTGGGATGTTAAAAGTAAGTGGTGGGAGGAACTGAGGTCTAGTTAGGTCTCGCGATCCTTTACTTGGCAGTGTCCTCGCCCCTGAACTGATATTCAAGTCGCACGCTAGAAAGTCAAAAGGGTGGGCTCCGATAACAAAGTAAGGGTCAGCAGGAAATAAGGCACGGTTGAGGTAATATGTATGATACGCTCCGACGCTGGCCAGTCTCGTCCATACTTGGCCAGCTAACGAATGTACATTACCACCTCCCTTGTGGGACACAATCGAGTATTGCGGTCTTATCATGGAGTCACAAAAGAAACGGGAAAGAGAATGTAGAAAGAACTTGTTTCAATGCGTCTCCTAGACAATCTGATGATCCCCCTTTCGCCATAACCGTGTGCCATGAAGAGAGAACTAAAAGCACGACAATACACTACATGCGTACACAATAACTTGTTCCACGTCCTCGTCCCTATCTCCACTTGGAGCCACCCCACTGCTTTGATATTATCCTTTTTGTTGCTCAGTATGTGCAACCAACTCCTGCCAAAAACCAGTCGCAAACCGTACCACGCCAAAAAAATGTCGTAGAATTGTGGTGCGTGATCTCATTCATGTCCGTCGTTAGTCGTTCCGTTGTCGCCAGACCAGTGGCATACACGTATATCCGCTAGCCTGTGTACACTCAGAAAACCAAGTCGAATGAGAATAAATTAGGAGGCAACCATGGGGGTCTTCTCGTCGGGAACAACGGGCTCCTCGTTCTTGAGCTCGGTGCTGGGGGCAGCGGGGAAGTCGTTCTCCTTGACCGCGGGGGCGGCAGGAGCAGGAGCAGGGGCAGGGGCAGGAGTGGGGGCGGACTTGGGGGCAGCTTCGGGAGAGGCGGAGCGACGGCCGATCAACTGCTGGGCCTTGGCAGTGTAGTCGCCCACGTACTGCTTGGTGATGTCGGCAGCTTGGGCAGTGTGCTTGCTTGCAACGCTGCGGAACTGGCTTGTTTGCTGGTTGATTACCTCGCCAGCCTGCTTCAGTTGAGCGTCAATGAGCTCCTGGTTGGAGGTGTAAATCAGGGGAATTCCAAAGACCGCAGTGGTGGCGATGAGAGAAAGACCCCAGAATGGCACGATCTTGACGAGGTAGTAGGCGATAAAGGCACCAAGGAAGGCCTGCGATGAAGCATGAGGTTAGTTCCGATGATGTCAATAATTGTGGGGAGGGTCACGCGAGCAACTTACAGCAGCAGAAGCACCAACGTTCTCAGCAAAGAGAATGCGCTGAGACTCGATAACGAAGAAGTTGATGAGCTCGTGGACGTCTCCAATCATCGCATCGAGTGTATCTCTGGGGATGACGTAGTATCGGCGAGGGCGGAGCTGGGTGGCCAGACCGTTGTTGAGGACGAGCTTGCCAGCGAGCTCGGCCAGAACGGTGGTGCCCAGCACCATCCAGGTCAGCTTCAAGCTGTACCGCAGAATATCGAGGTAGCGGGCAGCGAAGATGAATGTGACGATGGAGGCGTAAGCAATGGCGGAGGCACCTGGAACTAGCTGTCAGTGGGAGCTAGGTGGGAAAGGAAGCTCAAGCAATCACATACGAGGGTTGTTCCACGAGATAAGCTCGAAAAAGAAGGAGTGGTAGTGAGTCAAGGGTTGGCCAGTGGCCGCGGGGTTGGAAGGAGTTCTGCGAGAGGCGGCGAGGTTACCGAGCTCGACGGAAGCCTTTGCGGACTGGTCTTTGACATTCTGGGCGACAGGGCCTGAAGGGAGAAGCATCGTTAGCACTGGAAACTTACGCCGCAAATACGTCATGCAAACAAGATAAAGAACTTACCGTTGGAAATTTGCTGGTAGGCAGCAGCAGCGTCTAGAAGAGGGTTGTTAGTTTACCGGAGGTTGTTGGGCGTGAATATGAAGCTTGAAACACTAATCGCCAAAGTTAGCCGGGTTTTTCTTCAGAGGTTGCGATAGCAGAATCGGAAGTCGCGGGGCCGATGAAGCTGCAGCAGCGCGGTGACAACGTACCTTACTGTCCTTGGTGGCCTGGATGTAGGAGTTACCGTTGGCAGAAGGAGCCGTGGTCGGGGCGTCCGGGAAGTCGGCCATTGCGATCAGATCACGATGATTTGATTGGGAATTATGAGCGGTGTTGCTTTTTGTAGGATGCTGGCGGAATTTGGGTGATCGTGTGACGGCGGGATGTATAGGACGAGCACCAGATGTTTCAAGAATCGGAGCTTGGTTTGTGTTGAGTGAGAGAGAAAGATCAGATCAGGTCAGATAAGGGCAGCTAGGAGCTGTGGAAGCAGGTCTGGAGATAAATAGTAGAGAGGTAAGAGGTAAGGCCAGGTGTTGGGTTGCTTGGGTTTGTGATGATTTGGAGGAAAGTCTAGAAGTTCAGGCAGATAAGCCAGAAAGGTGTGTGTGTAAGGGTAGAAAGTTGGTAGCAGGTGGAAGGAGAGGGAAGGGGAAGAAAAAAAGACTTTGTGTGTGTGTGGTGCCGTGTGCGGTGCGCCAGGCGGGAGAGAGAGAGTGATGCAAATGAAGATCAAGAAAGGAGCATGCAGAGTCCACAGGGGCCGTCCGTGCCAACGCCAGCCCTGCAGCAGCGAAGGAGAGCAAGCACCACAGTCGGCTCGTTCTGGCAGAACAGTGACGCTCTTCGCTCCAAAACAGGACCTGCTAGCCGGGGCGGGAGGGCCCACGCAGCAGCAGGAGCTTTCTGTCCCTTCTCGCACTGTTGCTCTCTCCCTTGCTCCCCTTTTTTTTTCCCTTTCCCTTTCTTTTCAACCCTTGCGATACATTACACACTACGTTGTGCACTACGTACGGATGGGTACCTTTTTCCTGTCGTCCGCATCGCTGTGCTACCTGGGTTTACAGTACTGCCATTTCAAGGTAACTGTTTTGTGGTGCTCCTGCAAAGCGCTGGGTCATTGTCCATGAGGTAGCACTATGCATTATACCATCCAAGCTCCACTGGGCTGCTGCTGCCGGCGAGGGGCCCCCCCTGGCTCGGTCGGAGTGTGGCTAGTGTCCGCCGCTCCAGCTTGGTTCCGCACACTTGATGACGCAAAAGGTGTGCCACAGCAACCAATCGACAATTGTACCCGAAGGTTACCTATCACTGACGGCACTGCAGCACCCAATGACGAGGTATCGTCGCCGTCCTCGCTTCTTCTATATACGCCGCACCATTAGACCACCCCATCTTTGGCGTCATCCCCCCGTAGCTGCGTGCTTTTGGACGCTAGTGATGCAGGCGGCATGTGACGTCCATCACGCCTTTTCTACGAGTCTAGACCTAGCTGGCCCGGCTTTTGCAGCAGCATGTTTAAAATAGGCTAGATGAGAGGGGACCAAAAAAAAAGTGTTGTGTTCACCATATCATCATAGTAGTGGCTGTGCTAGGTTGGGGGGTAGGTAAGAACTGACAAAAAGCCTGAAACCATAGCATTTTTTGGTACACGATACTGCTGTCATGTCTTGAATTTTTTTTTCTTTTTTCTTTTTTCTTTTTCGGACCTTCTGTCTTTATCCCCTGCCACAGCTGTTGGTATCCGTGGCCACAATAATGCATGCTCACTCTCACGCATGTTGTCGTGTTCTTTTCTACACCTCCCAGCCACAGTTGACAAGACATGAGTTCTTTAAAGTGGTTGAGGTAAGGTCGACGCAGGCATGGCCCTAGCTCCCAAGCTACGCTGTAGCGTATCGTATCGTGACCCGTCCACTTCCAGCCCCTCCTCCTCAGCAACCAAAACCCGCGATATCACCATCAACTCCCACAACTCCGCCGCCGCAATCGCTGCTTTCAATGCGTTGCCCTGGCTCCTCCGAGTTTGATGCGAGGAGGGCCCTACTTTTATCATCTCCGATACGGTTGCATTGCCAACACACCTACTCCAGAGTAGATCTCCTCAGATCCTAGCTCCGACCTGAAAACCCCGCCCGATGCACGACCGTTGCGAGGGTTACGAACCTTCAGACGAACCTGCATGTGAAGAAGGACTTGCCCCAGAAAACCCAGACCGCAAAATAACAGCAGACCAAGTGCAGCTCTAAGTGAGGGAGCACATTAACCCGCCTCTCACAATTCGTTGTTGGTGTCCCACGCTGTCGAGACGGCCTACCTCTCCGTCCGGTGCGGACTGCGGTCCGGGCTTTTTTTTCGTTTTTGTCTCTAAGCTGCCCCAACAGGACGGGAGCACGTGCTCCTATCTACATCGTTCTTCCCGCCGACACGTGTCAAACGCCGCCCAGACTCTATACCAGACGGGGAAGGAGGAAACAAGAGGATTGTGATCAGACTGACTGCCTCACAGAGGGGGGGAAAGAGCGAGGGGCGGGAATACAAGTTGCTCAGACGCCCAGGTCATTTCTGGCACATCTTGTCACTGACAGCGTCACCCTTACCCCCTGGTCGGTTGTGCCTTATGTTGCAAGACAAACCAAAACCAACACGGGATCCTTCAGAAAGGGTTTTTTAACCCAGCTAATAGTATGTCTCAGAGGGGGGGGGGGGGGGGGCCTGCACACCAGTAACACTCTTATCAATATTCACTTCGCCTAATGCCCCTCTTTCCGCTTGCGGGAGATAGACACAGATAGAAGGGGAAGACGTGGAAAAAAAAAAAAAAAAAAAAAAAAAGTTCTTCCATACGAACAATCCACAAAACCTTCATATTAAAAACAAAAAAAAATACACTCAAAATGCATCTTTTCCCGAACAAAATCCACTCCTGCCACAGCAACCCATCATCAAGACCAGCGTATCCCAGTCTCAGGTTCAGGTCGCGCGCCACACTTTCACATGCAAAACCACCCCCAGAGAGAACCCCCCCCCCTCCGTCCATTTTAGGAAAGGCAATTTATCTTTCCCAAAAGCTGAAGCTCTCCACTCACACACATACATACATAGCACACACATCCACACTTCAAGAGCGTTGTGCACCGCCACAGGGGTCCAACAGCCAAAAAACTGAACTGCAACGCTGAGGAGGGCTTGTCTCCACTTCCAAATAGGGGGGAGGAACAGGGGAAACCATTTGACTGTTTCGGCATCCTTCCATGACAGGCATCAAAGAGCACTAGTGCTATCATCCTGCGCAAAACAGCTGCCAGCGTCATTATCACGACTCGGAATTTCAACACAAAGATGACTCTCATATCATGGTCTCAATTCTGGTTTAACTAAAATGTCCTACTGGTAAAGTTATCTTGTCTGTTCTCTGTTGGACTGACTCTGTGTCCCGTACTCCGCCCGTCTGCCCTTGAATAAGAGAAAACAAAAAAGGGCAGCCAGGGTAATAGAAAAATAAAAATAAAAATAAAAAAGATCCCTAATCATCAAGACGAATATCCATTCGTCATAGGAGTGGTTCCTCAACTCCAATGCTATGTGTAAGAATAGAAGTGTAAAAAAAATGAAGGGTAACAGTCTAGAATGCAATGGCTTTGAATCAGAATAATACTCCTCCAACACGGAGCGCTCGCCAGCGTCCGCGGATGCAAAGTGTTCTCTTTCTATGCGATGAGCAGAACCATGGACAGACAACGAGGCATGGGCGCCCCTTGCGAATGCCATCCTCACCAGAATGCAAAAATGTTCTAGATGCTCCGAATGTCTTCGTTCTGTACCGTAGGAAAGTCGGTGTGATCATCAAGTGCCGTCTTTCATCGTCTCCAGCCCCAAAATCCTCCTCCCGCCGCTGGCGCCGGAGCCGCCGCCGCCGCCGCTGCTGCTGCTGGGGCTGTTGGCGGGCTGGCTGGTTTGGCAGGCTCTGCTGTCGCACCAGTGAGCCGGCCGAAAACGCCCATGGCAGCTGATGCGGCTGCTCCCGCCGCCGTAGGCGCCTGGGCTGCCTCTGCGGCTACGAGGCCCTGCGCCTTGCGTAAGCTCTCCAACTTCTGCTTCATCTCCTCGGCCTCTTGTCTGGCAACGGCTTCAGCGGTCTTTGCCTGGATAAGCTCCAAGAGCAAGGCTTCGTGTTGGTCATCCGTTGGCGGCGGTGGCGGTGGAGGCGATGGTGAGGGAGCAGAAGTGGTAACAGTTGGAATGGTGGAATCGTGTGGCTTAGGCAATGACGATGCCCGCTTGCTAAATATCGATCCTGCTTGAGACGGCGTAGACTTGCTTCTACCCAGTTTCAGCTCCCTCAAGCCGGTGCTGCTCGCTGAGCTCTTCCGGATGGATCCATCGCTGTCATGGCTAGTAGTCTCCGTCTCGGCGGCCGAGACCCGCGCTCTCATCAAGTGTATCTGTTTCTCGAGCCGCTGCTTATCCTGATGCAAGATGCGCGCATGCGAATGAGACTCTCGTACTTGATCCTTAAGAGCAGAAATCTCCTGGTCTAGATCATGTATCTTTCGGTCGTAATTCTGGGACTGCGATACCGCACTGGCGAGCTGGTCCTTGAGTTGCCGTAGTTCCTGTTGGATTTCCGATTTGGACTCGCTCCGTGACCTTTTTACTTCGTCGCTGCCATGGCGCCCAAACCTTTCCTCGACATCATCGAGCAGAGTTGAGAGTTCCTCAGCTGAGGGTCCGACCAGTCCATTGGTCTTGGCATTCTCTTGTGGGTTCTCAGTGGCCACATCTCCCTCGCCTCCCTCGCGTGCCTTAGTTGCGGGGTCATCGCTCGCCTTCAGAGCCTTCAGAGTAGCAACGCTTGCATCTGTGCCGACAGAGTCGTTGCTGGCCTTTTTGCGCAAGCCGTCTAGCAGCGATCGCACAGCCAGTTTGTCCTCTTCGCGCTGTTCTCTCTCTTGCTGTAATTCGCTCGCGAGTTGGGCATGGTTTCGCTGCAATTCGGTCAATGCGGCTAGAAGGTCTTCGATCTGAGTGTGAAGGTATTGGTCGTTCGACTTTTTAGCGCCATTGGCATTGAGAGATTTGGCATTGACGTTGCCGCCATTGACAGGGGCTGATTCGCGGATGGATGCGTTGTCATCGGTGTTGGCAGAATCTCGGGACACGGTGGTCGCTTCGGTGGATGCAGAACTAAGGACGCTGATGGAGCTGGCTTCCATCGAATTGAGGGTGGAAGCCAGGCTCTGCTTGGATGTGCTCCTGCGTAGCATGCTCAGAGGCCGTGACGGAGCTGTGAGGCCCGGGCTCAGGGTGGAGGAGGACTTCGGAGAGATGATGGTGGAGGAAGCCCAAATGCGGCCCAGGAATCGGGAGGCTGCAGAGGTCACGTCCGAGGAACGTGCCGCATTCGCGCTAGCGATCTGTGCGTCTCTGTACCCCTGTTCCAACTGGAGCAATTTCTCGCGCGTGACAATACCAGATAAACTAACGAAATCTTGGACGAATTCGTCTGCGTTGTAGTGGTAACAATCCCACAGGCCTCTGGAAAGGAGAAGTTGCATAACGTCCTCGAGCTCGGTGCACGCTAAAATCCGGGCCTGATTCTTCTGCATCAGGGATAGGGCGACCCGCATAAGGGTCTCCGGGGCCCCCTCGGCAAAGATGACATCGTAGATGCGAAACAGCATTGGCAGGGGACATGTAACGGCGAAAAAGCTGAGGAACCACTGTGAAACATACGCTGGATCGACCTGGAGCTCTTCCAAGTGGTTCGATACTGGTGTCAGGTGCTCGCGCAAAAGTTCTCGAAACTGATAGATGCGCACATGCAGCCCTGACAGGTCTGGCAAGAAACAACTCCGCAGATCATATCGTTCCATCAATCTGTCCATCTCATGGTTAGCTTTGACGTTGCATTCACCCCAAAAAAAAAAAAAAATAAGATTTCTATTGATTTTGTCCCCTCTTGGAATATTGGGATCAACTCTGACACTTACCGAACCAATACGCAGAATGCCTGCTTATCAGGCATGTGCATCAATAAGGGGCCGACAAGAAAGGCCAGCCCCTGGCAGTAGCCGATCTTTGTATCATAGAGGCTGAAGCATTTCAGCACCCTGCCCAGCATGCGCTGTCCGTCGCCGTCTGGGTCGCGGAACATGTCGACCCCTGGGAAACTCCGGCCCAAGTCTTTGCCAATGGTAGCTTCGTAGGGGCTCGACTCGCCCGAGAACTGCTCGTACTGTTCTTCCAACGCGGTATCCCTGGCGCCCGACATGCTCTGCCAGACAACGCCTCGCAGTGGGGGCGGAACACCTTTGCGGATCTTGTTCGAGAGCAGAGTGGGCAAGCGGGCGGCCGTTTGTTGGTAATCCTTGACCAATGCAGCGTAGAACTCGAGGTCGGTCATCGGTGGCGGAGGAAGCATCGAGTATCGAAGGGCCGAGGGCGTCGGCCCGTTTACCATGTGCCGTAGTTGTGCCATTGACGGCGGCCTGGGGCGATTGGTAGCGGCGACTTGTTCGACAGGCTGTACCTTTATGCTCTTCGGGTTCGTAGCCAACTTGTCGTTTTCTTTCTCAAGCATAGCCAGCAACATGGCGGTTGACTGTGATGATTGTCAGCTCCGTTCACCGTAAGTAAGTAGCAACCAGCTGTGCACCCACTCTGTCTGTGTCTGCGTCTCTGGGCTCTTCTGCTTCTGTTTTTTGCAACTCGTCCCAATTCACCTCTTCCTCCTCCTCCTCCTCCTCTTCTTCTTCCTCTCCTGCAGCTGTGCGTCTCTCGGGATCGTCCAGTACACCCTGGAACGGTACTTTCGTTGGGGAGATTTTCGACACTAGCTCTCCGACCTCGTCGCCCTCTTCGTCCTCGTAGCCGACTAGCTCGTCCTGGAGGTTCCTCGTGGCATCCGCAATAGGCAAAGGGGTTGTTGGGTCACTCGGAGGCGTAGTGTCGTCCTCGTCCTCAACCTTTTGTTGTTCGTCCTTGGCCTCGATATGTGTGCTCTCGGGAAAAGGCAGCTTCTCGATGCGAACGGTGCTAGGCCTCCTCCTTGGAGGCGAGTCAGGGCCAACGTTGGTGTCTATGGTAAGGACAGGCGGTTCTGATAGCCTGACGGTTACCATAGAGTCGTGGGCGAACATTTTGGGAGTTGTCTCCCGGTGGTTGCTCTCCTCGTCGGCGGCGGCTGCAGCGGCGGCTGCGGGTCTCGACTCGGTTTTGGCATGCGTCAGCTCTGTGTTGTTGTCGACTTCGTCATTTCGTTGCTGCAGCGCCGGCTCCATTGGCCAGGCCTACTAACCCCCCCTGGTGGGTGTTTGCGTTGGTATTTTGGAGGGGGATAGCGCCAGCGACTGGAATGTATGCTTGCTGGGCGAAAGAGGATCCCCCAGCTGTGATGTGGCAGTCAAGCAGTGCGCAGCCGCGGAGCAATTCCTGGCGCGGTCATAAAACGCAGACCAAGGCCGGTGAAGGGTTGAAGAATTCGAGGTTCGTGGAGTTCGAGTAAGGGGTTTGCTGTGCCTGGTTGGCGGAGGAAGTTCGGGAGTCGGGTCAGTCGAGTCCTCCTCGACCGCGATGCCCAATGGGTGTGCCGGGAACGAAGTGTGAAGACAAGAAAGAGAGACAGAGAGAGACACCACACAGGGCGGCAAGCAATGCGGATCCGGGATGTGCACAAGGTTGTAGGCAGTAAAAGTGACTGGCAGTAACACAGCAGAGACGCGGTTGGCGTACGACTGAGTGAACTGGATGAGTGACTGACTGACTTGAATGGTGGATGGGCTTGGGGACTGTGAGTGGGTGGCTTTCTCCCGAAATATCTCATCCAACGGTTTCCTGGTAAGAGAGGCAAGGGGGTGTCTGTTGGCGAGTAACGACGAAAAAGCAAGGCAAAGCACAAGGTATCCACGCAACTTCGACCTCCTTGCAGGGTGGCGCTCGGGAAGGAGGAATGGGAAAAGAGAGGTTTTGGTTGGACGGCACTGGAGGGGATTGGCCTGTCAGACGCGACGATTGCTCCTCTAGTTTTATCGTTTCATCGAGGGGCCAAGAGTGCTGAAACGCTGGGGAGGGGGGATTGGTGGTTCCAGGGTGAATGTGGACTGAATATTAGGCAGTTTCTAGCAGTGGCATTTGCAGCCTGCAGTAAATTCAATGGAGCGGCTCTCCGTTGCCTCCAGGCACCTCCTTAGGCTCCTCTTTTTTACTTTTCTCCGTCCTCCCGTGTGGTGAATGGTGGACGGTGGACGGTGGACGGATAAAAAAGGAAGGGCAGTTGAGACTATTCCTTCCTGAGGGGAGTGGAGGGACCACACACAAGTCCAACGGTACAGTCCCGTCTCGTCTGGACTGGTCGAAACCTCCACCAGTAAGAAGGGGGATGAGCCAACACTGGTGTCTGGTTGCTAAGGGATCTTAAGATAGGTTTTACCTAGCTACCTAGCTCAGGTAGCTACAAGCGCCGTGATTCGAGTCACCTAACACTACCGCAGCCTACGTTCCGGCTGATCGGGGTTGTGGAAGACAAGAGAAAAAGAAAAAGGGGGGGGGGAAAAGCCCCCAAAGGTAAAAAAAGAATAAAATAAAATAAAAAAGAATGCGGGATGTGCACAGGGGCGGAAGGGAGGGGGAGAGGATGATCAGATGAGATGGGGTTGCGCTGGCAATGGAGAACTGGTGATTCTCGACTGGTCTGGAATGAACTAAGCGGTCAAGACTTCTCAAAGACATCATAGAGTATGTGAGATATCTCCCTAAATCTAAAGATCTTGAGATAGAGCAACCACATAAATTATAGAGACTTGTCATAGGCCTTGATCATTCAACCCATCCAATCTCCATACTGCATAGATTAACATGATTGAGAGCGTGGTATTATCCGTACTACGGAGTGTAGGTACGTACGTGTAAATGGATTGGGTGGACATCAGCAGGCTTTGATGACAACATCTCATAAGCCGAAGGGGAGGGGGGATGAAGGGGCCAGGGGGGATTCAATTTCCCAGGGGCAAAAGAACCATAGCACACGCGCCATTTGCCTCCGCCTGGAACTGGGACATGTGTGATGTTGAACTCTCTTACTAAGGGCACAGTTAACATCCCTTCGCTTAACACACACACATACTCCTTGTCCCCTGAAGTTGTTACGCGTCTGTGTCGCTCTTTTGTTCTTTATTCCCCCTATTCAGTCCACAATGGGCATTCAAAAAAAAAAAAAAAAAAGTGCCAATAGCGCGTACCTGCAGACAATAAGAAAGAAAGGGATGGCAAAAAAAAAAAAAAAAAAGCTCGGATGAGCAAGCCACTTCTGCAAGGTACGACCCGCTAGTGCATCGTCAACATCCGCGACATCCAATCACCTCTCAGCCTGCCTTACATCGAACAAGCTTCCGTAGCTGCATGACCCGGTGGACGCCGCCAACAACCAGCAGCCCAGTAGGACGGACGAACACACGAACCCAAAACGCCCTGAAATTGCCTACGCCAGCGGGCGGGTCATTAATCACACAAAATGTCATTTGCCATTTCTCCTCATTACCCATTTGCCGGGTATTACCGATCCAACCCACAGGCAACGACAACAAAAGGCCAAAAAAAAAAAGTCCAGCCCAACGGCGAGGACGTTCTTCGAGAGTGGAAAGTGGTGCGTATGGTAAAGGCCGAGAGGAGATCATCGCCAACTTGAACAAACCCACCCCGGTATCCAACGTCTCAGATCTATTGTCCAGATCTTGTTCTTGACATCATGAGCTCGGCAAACCCTTCTCTCGAGCCATCCATCGCCCGTCCTTCCAAATGTCCAAATTAATCACATATTATACGCCTGGCGTAATGTAATATACAAATAGACAGGGGGGTGACGGCGTCTTGATGTGCTGCCCAAGGCCCTCGGGCTTTAAACCCACAGACGTTACTGCCTTCTGTTCGGGTCACGTAGTCGACAACAGGCCCCGGAATCCGCCTGACGGGAGATGATGTCCCCTCTCCACATGTGCGCCTCGTAATCCGAGCCTCTTTCAGCTCTCCATGGCGTAATCGAGCCCTGTAAACTCTGCAGAATGCCGCTGGGGAGCGTCCCCGTCTGCATCCTTCCTTCGTATCGTGACATGTACTGTGCGTGAGTCCCCCTTCTGTAAGCTGTGTGTCTTCGTGCACGTTCTGGGTTGGCGTTTTGCCTTCCCCCACGTCTTGATCCCGCCATTTTCTGGAAGTGAACCTTGCTTACTCAGAGCATGCGGCATTCTGCATGGAGTGGCACGGTCGTTGATGATGCTACACTGGTATCGGTTCTCCCGGCCCGAGGAGCGAGTGCCAGGTAAACCTGGGGTAGCTCTTGGGTTTCGGTACTGCATTCCAAGCATTTCAGATAGAGGTCATGCTGACGATGGGAGGATGCAATGTGTTTGTACGGGATTCTTGTAATATTCAAACTGTGTGTCCGCTCTGTCCGTAATCCAGACCTTGCGCCTGAAGGATGTATAATATAACACAATGTGCCGCCATTCCGTCGGCGCGAAACTATGACCTCTATGCAAATCTGCCCAATGGACTCATCATATAACCCCCACCCAGACATCACGCGGCTGCAGCTCTTGAACTGAACATCGAAAAAAGATTTACCGCCAGGTTCATTCTCAAAACTTTTGTTCCCCCCTCTTTCTTCAATGTCGCCATCCCTTTCCTTTTGATCTCTCATGTCACTCATGCACGGCCAACATATTTTGGCGTAGCGCGCACATTTCTCTTGCCTCCATACGTCCGCATCTGCATAATGCGGTACATCTGCGTTATCGTATTACGTGCGATTCGGCTTCGACAGGTTCGTAGTTGGTGGTGGTCTGGCGGGCGATGCCCTTCTCCCATGATCTGGTAGCCCAGCCAATGCAGTGACTGGTCTACCCAATTATGGATACACAAGTCCAATTCCCTCAGTACACATTTTCTGTGATTGGTGTTGTTGGTGAATACCCTGCAGCAGTTCAGGCTAGCTGTGTTGTGCCGTAGCTTGGTGGGTTCCTTCGTCAAGTGTGCTCATCCAATCTTGAGTGCATGGCTGCTCTTCCTAAGACGGGACCATTCCTTGAGGTTGATGAGCTCCTTGCATGTTTTGCATCTGCAAAGGGCGTTGTGCCTGGGCCATGCCAGGGCTTGCCTGATGACCCTGCGGCCGTTGACCTTGTCCCGGTCCTTGCTGGCCTTGCTGACCTTGTGGACGGGCTGGTGTCTGGAAAGACGGCTCCTTTTTCGGATCGGCGTTTGGGAACAGAGCTTGAAGCTTGGAGTAAAGTTCTGATAGGTATTTTGATCGTTCTTCGCGGTCCGTCATCGGGTCCGGATTGTTTTCAGCTAAGTCTCCAGGCGGTGTTTGCAGACGGACTTTGAGAGTCATGTTTAAAGGCGGAGAGGAAAGGTACGCCGGAGAAGGCGGTACTTGAACAGAACCTTTCCTGTCTGCCAATGCCGCTAGGTACGCAAGGTTCGCTTGAAGTCGTCGCATGCAGCTAGTTGTTATGTCAGCCTTAGAATCTAGAGAAAGGTTGTTCGCGTAGGAACTCACTGGCTATAGTCTTGTTGCACAGCAGCCTCTTCTTGTGAAGGTTTCCTCGCCTGCTCCCCCTCGCCTGATGGCGCAGCCTCCTTCTTAAGCTCGCTCAGAGTATGTTGCAGTTGCATGGACTCGAACAATAACTCTTGATTTATTTCCAGCAGTACTGAAAACCGCTCCTGTTCTCGCGACTCGCTACCGGGGCTAAGCGGCGTAGATACCGCCGAAGTGCCGTTGGCAACCGCGTTCTGGGTGTTGGGAGGGAATGTCGGTGTTTGGGGAGTTGTGACAGAGGATATTGAGTGTTGCTGTTGGTGCGCGGCTGCCGTCGGGGTCTGACCATGCGAGGGAGGCTGGGGTGTCGAGAACTGAGACTGCTGTTGCTGGTGTTGCTGAGCGTGCTGTTGCTGAGCATGCTGCTGATGTTGTTGTTGTTGTTGTTGTTGTTGTTGCTGCTGCTGCTGCGGCGGCGGCGGCTGCGGCTGTCCCTGCTGCTGGGGCTGCGTTTGTTGCTGCTGAGGCTGAGGTTGCTGATGCTGCTGATGCTGCGGCTGGTGTTGTTGCTTAGGGTGCTGGGGATGTTGTTGATGCTGCTGCTGCTGCTGCTGCTGCTGCTGCTGCTGATGTTGCATCGCGTTTGTTGGTGAACCGTGGCCCCCTTGCGCCGCGCTCATCGGTCTCTGTGGTGTCGAGCCCAGTGGCATTCCACCCGCGTTCGCCTGTCCTTGTTGCGCCTGCTGTTGCGCCTGCTGCTGCGCTTGTTGTTGCGCTTGCATACGCTGCTGTTGCTGTTGCATCATCATTTGTTGTTGCTGCTGCGGCGTCATGCCTCCGTTCATCGGAAAACCTTGCATTCCGCCAAAGTTGGGATGTTGGCCGCCCGGTGTGGGCATGTTGCCGCCGTAGGGATTGCCTTGGTAGGGGTTCTGAAAGGCCACTGGTACAGACATTGCGGTTAGCAAGCGCGTCTTGTTGGTTAGATGATAAGGAGGTCATGCAGTCGCGTGTTGACGGGTCAATGCTGGATGATGGTGATGATGGTGATGGTCGTGAAATCCCACCCGAAACGGCTTCAACTACACCGTCCCGCCACGACACCCAGTGTGTCCACATTGGGCAGGAGCATGTGACCATGGGCAGCTTCTGAGAACTCAAGGCAGACACAAACCGTCTGCCGCATGGATTGGGCGCATGGAGTGAGAGACAGGACAAGGAAAGGGTGAACTCACTCTGACCATTCGCGGCCATGTGCGGCATGCCGGCGTTCTGCATCATGCCTGCAGGGCCAGCACCCGACATCATGGCGGGATTGGGACCACCGACAAAGCCGGGCTGGCCGCCCGGCATACCAGCGAATTGGTTAGGGTTGTACATCATCTGCTGGCCGGGTTGAGTTGGGACAGAGCCTTGCTGCATGTGAGGGTTTTGGTTTGGAGGTGGGGCGGCGTTGTTGAATGTCGGAGGGACATTGGGGACCTGAAAGCCGTAGCCGGGAGCGTACATGGCTGGGACGGGCTGGGATGGGATGGGCGCGGTGCTATTATTATTATGGTTTTGGGGGGAGGGGCTTGCGGTGACGGGCCCAGGAAACAGGTCGAACGGGGTGCTCAAAGGGAACCTAGTCGATAGAGGGTAGCAATAGACTCAGGCTCCAGGCTTTGCAAGTCAGACACGGCTGGCTGGCTGGCTGATCGGAGGCTGGGCTAAGCTGGGCGGACGAGGTGAGGGAGGGCGCGGCGGCCGCAGAGGGCGAAGTTTCGAAGTGTCGACCGTAACAAGGAAAGAAGGGCGGCGCGCGCGGCGGGAGGAGTGCGTGGAGCGAAAAGAGGTGGTCCTGGCCTGTCCGGGCCGCAGGTTGGCTGGGCTGGATAGGTGGATGGATGACTGGCTGGTTTTGCTGCTGCTTAACGTGCGTGATGAGCAGTGTGGGGAGCAGGGGGTAGGGCAATCAATGGGCCAGGCTATCTCTCAGATAGACAGACCAACAGCCAGCGTGTTGGCCTAACGGGGGCGAACGATTCGACAGGATGGTAAAGGATGTATTTCGAATTAAGGTACAACCATGCATGCGGTACGGATCCGGCTGTCCCTCGTCTGCTCTCGGGGGTGCCTGGGTGAATGAATGGTATGGCGTCTAGGATAGGGCTGGCCTGTTTGTCTCGGTTCTCGTCCGTACTCCCTTCTCTGTAGGGGGCTACTGTCTTTCTGCTTCCCTCTATGGAAGTAAGAGACGGTGAAAAGAGGGCACACGGGGGTGTGGGAAAGCAAACCCGGGGGTGGGCAAAGGGCTGAGAGATGGGTACGGTAAGGAGAAATGGAGGACTAATAGATAGTGGTGCCAGATGGACGGAGATCTGGCGAGAAATGAGGCGTATTGGAGGGAACAAGATTGCTGATGAACGGTTGCGCCGCCCAGGGAATGGGGCCAAAAAAACGCGTCCGGTAAATGGCACGAAGTGAGCCCAGTGAGACAAAACTAGAACATAGGCAGGCCCTGGACAGGCAGACTCGCTGTAACTGGGCTGACGTTTAAATCAGGACCAACTGAGAGCTTGATAGGACGGGATTGTCCAGGTCCCACGAGGATGGTACCTCGAGGGAAACGAACAGGCGAGGAGCGATGAGAGGAGCGGAGAGGAGCGTGGGTGGCGGGTAGGAGATGATGCCGGTACGGTTAAGGTACGGTACGAAGCGAAGCGAAGTGAGCCCGCAGGAGACCAAGGCCAAAACAGAGAGACAAAAAGGTGACCAAATAGCAGATCCGACGACGCGGTGTGAAGTAGTGGTGCGCGTGGAGCAACAGCGGAGAAATTGGGAGAGATAGGACGTGGTAGAGGCGTGCGTGGAACTGGTGCGTTGGTGTATGTGTGTATGTGTGTGTGTGTGTGTGTGTGCGTGCGCGCGCGTCTAAATGCCCAGGTCCGTCGCAGTGCAGTACGCAATGTATGAGACGAGGGTGGGAACTTTGTGTGAGAGGTTCGCCGCGGCAGGTATCGGGCGTACGGTTGAGTGTGTGTGCGCGCGAGTTTGTATGGTGTGTGTGAGTGTGTGGTGTCAATGTCAATCAGGTAATCGCCGTAGGGAAAAACGCAGAAACAAATTTTTTTTTATTTTTTGCCTTTGCTTTCCCCTGTGAGGCATCTGGGGAGGGGGCCATGGGGCCTGAGAAATGTGGACACTTGGTCGACCAGGGCATGCTCTAAAGTGGGGTCGCGCCCGAGACTAAGCAAGGGGATAAACCAGTGGTGGAGGCTGATCAAGAGGGCCGAGGTGTGGTTTAGTGGGGATTACTGGCCAATGTCACTCCGTCACAGGAGTAGACCAACTGCCAGTGTCGGGACCCCATGCACCGAGGCCTTTCCAACATCTCCATCGACGCCTAGACAGGGGGGTGTGCCTGCAGCCACCCAGGGTCAAGTACCGTGTCGTTCACGAAAGAGGGGCTGCGTATAGCAATTGAGAATCTGTTGACAAGTTGACCGTTGACCTTGACTGCATCTCCATGTCTCATTGCTGCCGCTTGTGGCTGTCATTGCGCTGTAGGATGTCACTGCGTGTCGCCAGATTCCCCCTTCTTTGTTTATTGTTCCAACACGCCATCTGCTGGACAGGTTGACATGGCTTTACCACGATTGATATTAAGTCACCCAACCGGCGGCTACGTCTGCGCCAAACCAATCCGCGTGGGCTGCCCGGGATGCCATAGAGTTAAACAGCATGGCGTAATTGAGCGGGACGTTGAGGATGAAAATAAATTTATTTGTTGCCGCTGGCGGCGTGGAACCCGACTCGAAATGTTTCGAACATTCCTAGGCCGACCCTGGCATGCGTTTGAATCATATCTGGACCCCATTCATCAATAGAAGATATCAGGTCCGCCTCCCGGCCCTTAGCTTTTGTCCTATGCAACCATCGGGCAATCTTTTACAGACACCGGCCACCAGGCTCCTGTATACTAGTCCCTCCTTAGGACGTGTAAGTCGTGCCATATGCTGAGTTTCCATTGACAACATCCACAAAGTGTTTGGCGACAATCTCGTCTGCCAAGGAGTCTTGGTGTCAGACAACTGTCCAGCAGAGGGATGAACTGATAGAAGCACTTACCTGCACGCTCCGAAGGATGAAGCTCGTCAAACCACAAGAAGCTAGCCTTCGATTCGGAAGAGTCAACGCAGGCTCGAGTAACCGGATCGCATACCCTGTACACGCCCGTCACATTCGCAGGCGAGTCCAAGTACTTGGCCGGTTCCGCATGGATGTCGCTTAGCAGCTTGTGGGCGTCAAAAATGGAGAAGCTTGCGCCAGGCCACCGCTTCTTGACGAGCAGGTGGAAAGGGGCGCCGTAGTCGAACATGGTATTGGCACTGGTCGTATATTCCAGCATCTTGTACTGATATTCCGTCGTGTTGTAGGCCGTCTTGTTAGGCCAGAACTGGCTGTCTGCAAAGCCCCCACGATCAGTCGCGGCGTACAGGGGAGACTGCTCCAATGGCACCAGGTTCAGGAGAACGAAATGTCGCCCACCCGTCTCGTAGACGTGGTCAAACACCTCCCAGATGCAATCCACGTAGGTCGAGATGGTCGTTCCGGGAGCTTGAGAGTCAGTGAGAAAGGCACCATATCCCAAGTCGTTCGTCCCGATCCACAGCGCATAGACCGTGTTGTTCGCCTGCCTGTTCGGGTACAATTCATTGTAAGCAAGATCGGCTTTGTAGGCCGGGATCTCGTAATCTAAAACCGAGGGGAACGGCTGGTAAATGGCCGGGAAATCTCGCGAGATGATCTTGTTCGAGCAGGTGGCTCCGGCGACGGCGTAATTGTAGTATTTGGCGCCCGTGGACTTGGCCACAAATCGGCCCCAAGCATACCCACCACTCGCTGTAGAGTTGCTTTCCGGGAGGAGGGTGCCGGCAGGCGGAGCGGTACCGTTGTGGTTGATGAAGTAGCCCAGCCTGCCTTCGTCAGTGTAGCTGTCACCAAACGTCACCAGGTTCTCCAGCTTCTTCAGGCCACACTGAGAGGCCGCTACCACGGAGGCGAGGGCAGCAATCTGGAGCAGCAGCATCGCGAAGGTCGATCGGAGGAACGGGTGACACGCTGGTCGTCTTTCGAATCCTCTTGAGTTTCTGAGGAGGAGTGAGGGACAGGTAGCAAGCAGCTACTAAGTCACCAAGCCTGCAGGTGGGAAGGCCGTCTTATACAGGCAGCAAGGGCTTCATCCGGTCGCGCCATAGAGTACAATTGGGCCGTTCGACCGACATTCCGGGATTGGGAGGCGGGGATACAGAGGCGGGCAGAGAATCGCCGCCTATAGAAATGGTTAGGCCGTAGCAAGGGCCATAAATCTTCAATTCATTGCCCATCATATTAGCGTTAAGCGACAGGCAGTGACTGCACGTTCGGTCGAAAGAGGTTCCTTTCGGGAAGCAAACCCCCGGGTCTTTGACCGGGGTGACGATGGAAGATGAATGAGGGGTAATTGGGGACGAGTTCGCCAGTAGCTTAGCTCCATCATCGTCGCATTGGGAAGCACTGGTTTCTGGAGGTCGGCCTGCAGGCGGGCGGCGGTGTGGCACATGGTTGATTTTGAACCCTTGGAGGCAGGAGAAGCGAGCAGACGTCATGCCAACAGATCAATCGGGAGCTAGCAGCCGTTTGATTCGTGCTGACCTGATAGCTTGGTTTGGTCCAAGCATGGCAAGAAGCTTATAGCTTGTTAGACTGATATGTACTGCTGGGAGTCGATATAATAGCTAATTAGCCTGAATACGACGAGGAGACCTGTCACCCTAAGCAAGCGGGGCCTAGTTCATTGGAAACCATTTCATGTAGCGACAACCCGTAGAAGATCGTTTTGCAGTCGGCGCAGGACTTGACGAAAGCATTATTTTAATGCGGGTAGATTTTTGATATAATTCCTTATTCAGAGTTTATTGAGCGGGATAAATGAAAACAAGATATAGTTTGGAAATACCAGATGATTGGACGCAAATACCGACAGTTGACTCGTTTAACAAAGGGAGATGAAACATGATTGGTGCGGTGGCTTGAGGCTCCGACCAATTAATCCGGAGGAGGTGCACTACGCAAGGAAGGCACAAGATGCTAATATCGGGAATAAACTAAACTTGACATTTAGTTCTTAATTTTGTTTTCTTAAGGATAAGAATAACAATCGTTTGTCCATTAACATTAGCAATATTCGCCTCGGCTTCGGCTCAAACACCCCGGAGTCGGTCTCGGCTTCTTTTAATGAGGGCTTTGACTGGTTGACTCCACCTTGAGCCAGAACGGAGTCTTAATTGGGCGACAGTCTTCTACTGACGTTGTCTATCAGGTACAAGCGGGGCAGCAGCAATCAACATCTGTTTTTGTGATTGGCCAATGCCGCTTGGTTTTGATACCGCACAGGTGCCCAGTGCCGATAGTCGGGGCGAAGACCCAGATCTTGAATTTGTACTCCGTTGACTCAGCCAGGGTGTTGATGACTTCACGGTGCTAAAGTGAAGTTCGATATAAGACGACTGTATATCCCATCCTTAGTTGCCCATATTATCAATAACACCTTGCCGATTTAAGATGTCGCCTTTTAACCTGGAAAAATATGCCCGCCCGAATATTTTGGCCCTGGAGCCTTATCGGTGCGCAAGAGAGTAAATTTACCCCTCCACAATCACTTCGCGACTGAGTGAGATTTGGAACATGAAGCTTACACCCCCGGCAGTGACTACAAAGACGACGGAACTAATGTTCTCCTGGATGCCAACGAGAACGCCTACGGCCCGTCACTGGAGTCCAGCTTCGAGGCGGGGGATCTTGGCATCGACTTCTTGGGACTGAACCGCTACCCTGATCCTCACCAGCCAGAACTGAAGCAGCTGCTTTGCAACCTCCGCAACACTCACACTCACACGACGAAGGATCTGGGCCCCGAAAACGTCTTCGTCGGCGTCGGCAGCGACGAGGCCATTGACGCTCTGCTGAGATGCTTCTGCGCTCCAGGCAAGGACCGCATTCTCACCTGCCCACCTACTTACGGCATGTACTCCGTTTCGGCTCAGATCAACGACGTTAGTATCGTCAAAGTACCTTTGAAACCTGCGCCTGAGTTCGCGATGGATACGGATGCTATCCTCGACACTCTAAGCAAGGAGGAGAACATTAAGCTGGTCTACCTCTGCACGCCGGGTAACCCGACCGGCTCAGTGCTGTCCAAGGAGGACATCACGAGAGTACTTGAGCACCCGACATGGAACGGCGTTGTCGTCCTGGACGAGGCCTACATTGACTTTGCCCCCGAAGGCAGCTCACTCGCCGAGTGGGTGCTCGAGTGGCCCAACCTCGTCGTCATGCAGACCCTTTCCAAGGCCTTTGGCATGGCGGGCATCCGCCTCGGCGCGGCCTTTACCTCGCCCCCTATCGCACGCTTACTGAACGCCATGAAGGCGCCGTACAACATCTCAAGCCCTACGAGCGCTCTGGCGTGCTACGCCGTGTCCGAGAAGGGCCTTGCTGTCATGCGGGACAACCGTACCAAGATCCTGGCTCAGCGGGACCGCATTATCGCAGAGCTGCCCAAGATCCCTGGCGTCGGCAGGTTGAGAGGTGGTACCGAGAGCAATTTCCTGCTTTACGAGATGCTGAACGCAGAAGGCAAGCCTGACAACGTCACGGCGCTGGCGGTATATGAGCGTCTTGCCGAGAACAAGGGCGTTGTCGTCCGTTTTCGTGGTAAGGAGCACGGCTGCTTGGGATGCTTGCGGATCACCATCGGTACCGAGGACGAGGTCACAAGATTCCTTTCTTCTATCGAAAAGACTCTGGCTGAGGTCCGCGGCGTGGGGCGTCAACTGGACGAAGAGGCGAAGGAGGCGGCGGCGAGTGGTGTGATTGCTTAAATGACGGGCTTACGACGATAACGTATTCATAGACAATAGAACATTCACAACACGTCAAACACGGTGCATATCGTCAAACGGGCGACATCGGCCTGAAACGTCTAACTAGTATTGGTAGGGTTTCCCGCGGAAGCGCGCCGGCAAAAAGTCCGTATTCACTGGAATGTATTCGATGACACACCTATAGCGGTTTTGCGAGCTGTTGAAAATTTTACATACACGCTATCTCTCTTGTCTGATGTAGTGCTTTGGAGAAAATCGATCAGCCAGGATGAGTAACAGACAGTGATGGCAAGAGGCAGAAGGCAGATGGAATCATCATGAGTGACAGTTTTCGAGCCAGAAACTGACATATACCGGATAAAGAACACCGAAATCACCAAGGGCAATGATACTGACAGCTAAACTAGAAGTCGGGTTTTTAGCAGCCTAAAGACATTCAATAAACAGAGAGCAGGCAAATGGACAATCCTGGGCTCAATAAGCCTAGAGCCAACATCAACGAAGTGCAGGCCACTGCTTTGAAAACAGAAGTCAACTCAAATAACTCGTTAATGAAATAAGGTATGACAGTGCAGCACGCAGCCATGACAACAAGCAGGCACCCAAATTTCGACCGCGACAAGTTTAGTCTTGTTAGATAAATAGGTTGCTTTCCTGGTCTAGCGGAAAGACATATTAAGACCGCCTCACTATTTCATTAGCTAAGCTTCAAATCGCGGCCATCACTGCCACTGTAGACCCCTTTTGCGAAAATCGTCAATGACTAAGACCCAGAGTATTAACTCTGGGTGAAGTTGCATGAGCACAAAAGCCCCCAATCAGGAAAAGTCTAAAAATGGTACGCCGCTGTTTCAAGTATCGATTTCATAGTAACGGTTACCCAAACTAACGGTTCTCATGTTGATCATCCCCCTAAACAGACACCCAATCAGAGGGCCACAGTCGCTCACCACACCTGGTAGTACTGGCCGGGCAGGCCGGTCTTCCATGGGGGTGCCAACCAGTCAGTCGATTTTCACCATTTATTTCCCCCACGGCCCACCTGGCATATGGATACGTCCGTTCAGTACATTTGCTCATTGCAAAGTATGCTGCCCCCGGATGGGCACTGCCGCCCTTTTTCCATCTTCGGCCTCGTGTATGCCTGATAGACGAACAGTTTTTTTTTTTTTTGGCCAGCATCGAATGCTCATCTCTCCAAATGTATAAGTTAGTTTACAAGCTTTCATCCAGTATGAGGGCCATGAAGGGGAGAACTAATCAACAGGGTCCTAAGAGCTGGACAGGATCTGAGAGAAAGGCAAGAGGATCGGGCAAGGATGTGAGGGTGACTGATGGAAGGTCCCGAATTGGCAACAGCCCTTGCCTTATGGGTCTGTTTCCCTTCCCTTCCTGCCTGTCAGGAGCCCCAATGCGGGGAGTGCAGGTGCCTCTCCTAGCCCCTCTAGCCCCTTGGTTTGGACGTTCTTCTCTTAAGACAGCCAGGGTGCCGACTTACAGGACCGGTTGCTATCTTGAATCGTTGCTGTTTCTTGCCTCTCTCTCTTCCCACTCTAGGCTCGTCTTGTTTGTCAGTGTCGGAAGCCGCCTTCCTTGAAACTGCCGTTATCTTGAACTTCCCTCCGTCGATAACTTATTATCTTCCAACACTCATTACGGGCGGTTCATTACTTGTGCATCTGCTGGTCGTTACTTTCACCACCTCTCGCCTTCCTCATTTTGACTGCTGCCTCCCTCTTTCGACTAAATAGACATCCAGTTTCCACATTCTTTCCTAGAATAGACCATCCTTCCTGTCTGGCAATCGGCCTCTTCGTAGACGAAGAGTATATCTACCCAACAGTTCCCCAAACACCCGTCATCCTCTCGCATCCCACATCCCAACATTCATTCAACCGGAAAACATACTCTTGGCCTCTCGACAGCTTGTTTCTCCATCTTTGTACTGGACCAAGCCTTGCTTTCTCTTTCAGCCCTGTGTTCTTTGTTTATTCTTCGTGCCGCATCTCGATTACGATTAGCATCGCATCCACATTGCCAGGACGGCGTCATCTTATCATTCGCTAGGCTCTGGACTTGATTTCAAGGTCTTTGGCCCAGGTCACAGCCAGTTCATCGGTCATTTATAGCCCCCTTCGGCCAGCACCATGGTCATCTTCAAATCAGCCCTCGCTGCGACTGCAGCAGCCGTCGCAATGGCGGCCCCCTTCACCGAGCCCAGCACGCTCGATATCAACAATCCCGGTGAGTGCTGTTCACCCACAAAGTGCCCTTTACATTGCTGACAGAACGATCATACAGATTCTATCAAGGCCGTTGCTGGCAGCCTTGCCTTTGGCGCCATGTCTTACTATAAAGGCAACGTCTCGGGTGATCCCAAGGTATGCTCACTGTTGTATCCACCTATGTGATGGCAATCAAGGAAGAGCTCAACTGACGCAATTACAAGATGGTCGGTGACCTGCAAGACCCCTACTACTGGTGGCAGGCAGGTGCTCTATGGGGGGCCATGCTGGATTACTACCACTACACTGGTGACTCGAGCTACAACGATGTCCTCACCCAAGCCCTCACAGCCAAGGTCAATACAGGTCCCAAGTTTGACTTCATGCCTCCAGAGCATGCCTCCGAGGAAGGTAACGACGACCTTGGCTTCTGGGGCTTTGCTGTCATGGCTGCTGCAGAGCGCAACTTCACCCAGCCGAACCCAGATGTCCCCTCATGGCTCCAGATGGGCATCAACATCTTCGACTCCCTGGCTTCTCGCTGGAACACAACCAATTGTGGCGGCGGTCTGTTGTGGCAGATCTATGAGAGTAATCCCAACGGCTTGAACTACAAGAACTCAGTGAGCAATGGTGGTTTTTTTCAGCTAGCTGCAAGACTGGCTCGTGCCACGGGTGAACAAAAGTACATTGACTGGGCCATCAAGATTTGGGACTGGTCGGTCAATGTAGGCTTCCTTGACGCCGACCTCAAGGTTTTTGATGGAGCCGATGCCCGCGACGAATGCAGCAAGGTCAACCCCCTTTCCTTCACCTATTCTACTGGTATTTATCTTTACGGTGCTGCTGTTATGGCCAACTACACAGGGGAGGCTGTTTGGCATGAGCGTGCCGTCAAAATGCTGCAGACTTCCAAGCACTTTTTCAGTCCCTCTGACAACAGTACCAATATCATGTACGAGCCAGCCTGCGAGACCGTTGGCACGTGCAACACGGATATGAAGACATTCAAGGGATATCTCTCTCGTTTCATGTACAAATCGGCCCAAGACGTGCCCGAGCTCAAGTCTGAGGTCCAGAAGCTGATGAATGTCACTGCTGTCGCTGCGGCCAAGGCATGCGATGCTACTGACAACGGTGTCACTTGTGGCCAGAAGTGGTACACCGGTGGCAATGACAAGTCAGAGGGCCTCGGCCAGATGATGAGCGCGCTCGAGGCTGTTCAAGGTCTGACCGGCGGTTCTAACCTGGAATCTATTCTCAACTAGGTCACTGAGAATGCTGCCTTGGGTAAAATTGAGGTCAAGGGAGATTTGTCTTTGGAATAGGACATCAGAGAGTCCAATACCCAAAACCTCACATTACCGTGTAACCACACATGTAGCCATACTACATGCAATGGCGCTGTGGGAATTGCGTTTGAAAGTTGGCGCATTGTGGCTGTGGTTATTGGGTCGCAGATCCTTTTCTGGGGTGTACTGTGATTTTGATTCAGGGGTTGGGGCGACGCGAGCGATGAAGACAGGCAGAGGCGTATGGATATGGCGTATGGGTGTTGCTCAGCTGAGTGAATGGGAAAATGGGAATGGAGTATTGTTTAATAGGTAGCGTTACTGGAATCACCTAATGATTATGGATAATTCCGCAAGTTCACCATGTCAGATTGGCTGTCCAGTGACACCTCCCTGTTTGCGGTCAAACCAGACTGGATACCAATCGCACTTACACGGAGACAGACAGATAGTCAAGGTTGAGCCGCTCCGATCAACTGCTGATGTTCATCTCAAGTTGCCCGCTCGCGAGCCCGCCAGCCACAGGGACAAGGTCCCTTTCGTGCATGAAGACTCCAATCCAGTCAGGGGGTTGGAGGGTCTTTCGTTCCACCAAGAGCGAATGGACAACAATGTGGGGCACAGGATCCTTTGCTGATCATCTCACTATTACAGTTGATGCTATTCGACGGCCAGCGGCTGCTTTCTATTCATTGACCAGGACGATAGTATACTTGGCTCTGATGCTGAGCCGAGGAAAAGATATCGGGTCTCGTCAGCAAGCAGGTTGTCGTCAGCAGATATTTTTGCATATAACCACCAGACGGGGGATCTCTTGAACAGTGTTTTGAATTTCCAGGGGTAACGTGGCAGAGGGAGGCTTGTTCCCTTTGCCCTGTCCTCCACGTTGAGTTTTTTTTTTTTTTTTTCCTTTCCTTCTTTCTTCTGTCATTTGAACTGTGCCCTTGAAAAGCAATCGTACAACGCCGACATGGGGGGTATAACTCCAATGGGAGCACAATAGGGAATAACAGACACAACCCGCAACATAAAAAGACCAAGCTTCTCCAGCAAAAATGGTTGAAAATAAGGCTTCGCCAGCATCCCGCCAATGTTCGTTCCCAGGACAAAAGCAAAACTCCTGTAATGTGACTCTTCCGCCTGCCGTTTCCCGATACAAGTTCTCTCTTTTCTTCTGTTCATATGCTGCCACTTTTTCCGCATAAGGAATTATATCGCCAGCTTGGTTCTCCTCGTTTCTCGTAGAATAATGATGGGTGTCGGACAGTGTGTTTGTAGACAGATAGTAATAGTGTATTCCGTTTTCAACGGGTCAAGGGGGAAACCAGCAATCGATCATGCCATTAGACCGGCAATAAACATGCTGCATAACGACGCGGCCAGAGTCCAGCGAAGTTCAACGCGAGACGCGGCGCTAGGGTTCGTCTCGGCAGGCATCGAGGAGGATATGGTGCCGGTGTAGAGAAAGTCATCGTAATTTGTACCATCGGTGGGATCAGGAGTAGGGAGGGCATGCGTCTTCTGGGGCTTGTCGGCAATGGTTAGGACGCCCCATTGCACTTCGGAGCCGGACAGGGACGAAGTCCACGAGACTTCGGTCGGCCCTGTGTAGAGGCCATTCGAGTAGCCGCTTTTGAGGCTTGAGTAGCCAGAGCACGTTGCGGCTGTCGTTCCGCCCAGTGTGCAACCAAGGTCGGCAATCCTGTTCACATTCACGGTCAGTCACCCAGAACTGTCGACGAAAGCGAGCCAGAGGCAGAAACATACAGGGTTGACGTCTTGGTGCCGTGGAACTGGAGTGTCTGTTGACCCTCGACAAAAATGAAGGGGAACTCGAGGGCAAGATCGCAGTTTGGAGGCGTTTGCGGCGCACAGAAAATGGTATATGTTGTTTCTTTATCATTCTGCAGAGGGACACGGTCAGATCACTCGACGGTACTCTTCACAAGGGAGACGAGCTGGTGAGAGCTTCAGATTGTTCATCGTACACTTGAAATTACGCTGCCCCGCACCAGCGACCAGCTCTTGGCATCGTAGTGCGGAAGGTAGATTGGGACGGTAGTGATGTCTTTGGCAAGGGCGATATTCGAGTAGACGAGGCACAGCGACAGCAGCGCCAGAAACGGCTGCGGATATTGCATCGTGACGTGACGTGGTAGGGCACTGGGAAGAACAAGAGAACGGGGGCCGGCAGAGGATGATCGGAATGGGTAAAAAGCGAATAATGCGGCGGCAGCAGAAGCCTGTTGTCAAAATGGTTGCTCCCAGAGGCAGCTCACCGGAGGCCGGCTACCCAGACAAGGCACTTCCCGCGAACCAGGCGCAAGGGCGCAAGAGTTGGCTCGGAGGTTGGAATGCGTGGTAGAATTATTTAAGTAAGGTGCGGAAAGGAGGACGGAGGCAGAGGCTCGGGAAGACCTGGGGACTTGCGCTCGTTCGCAGGCGGAGAGTGGGTTCGTTCGTTTCGTGGCTGTAGTGTGGTGGTGGTGGTGGTGGTTCCTGTCCGTCTCTTATCGTAGTCTAGGTGCGCGATAGTCGGTTACTCGTGAGTGTGCTGCGACGTCGGCGGGCGCGGCTGCCGAACTGAGCGAGGGCGTTTGGCTGCCTTAAAAGAGCAAAATGACATGGGGAGGAAGGGCGAGTGAATTTTTGGGCGTCGAGGTCGAGAGAAGACGCTGCGCGGAAATGCGACAACAGATGAGCGAAACCTGGCCAAGTGAGCAAGAGAATGAGAGGGAAAAAAGACGGCTCTGCCAATGCGCCGTCCCTGCCGGCCAAGGCTGGGCGAGAGGAAAAGTGAGCAATTGGTATTCTTTTTTGGCAAGATGGAAGCCAAGAAACGAAGAACACGCCCTTTGCACACCCCAAAGCCCTTCCCTCAGTGGGAAGACAAAACCGCCGCCACCGCATTGCCAATGCTCACCCCCGTTGCCCGCCCTGAGGTGCCACTGCTGGGCGCCCTGTCAGCCAGGTGGGATGGGGCAACCCATCAGTAGCCATCTGGTAATTATGCCGCTGGTGCTGCCGCTGGTACTGGGCTGCTTTTGCTTGGGGGACAAACAAAAAGCCATGAGAGGTGGAAAGGGGAAAAGAGCCAAGAAACGCCAAGACCGCGAAATTCGAAAAAATATAATGAACTGGGTGGGCACAGACACACGAACTGGAGCTCTGAACATGGTGGTGGATGCTGGAGCACAGCTACTGGACAGCTTGAAGGAAGGATACCCCGCCCGTCCCATTTCTATGTTGCCCTTCCCCCTTCCGCCCCGCTGCGCTGCGCTGCGCTCTCTTGGGTGAGGGTCTGAGAAGCCTGGGAAACCTAGACTTGACATGATCGTCGTCGCCAGCGCCTGCCTTCTTCCTCATTCAGGGCTCAAGGAGACAAGTCAGGAACTCCCTGTCCGCTGTCTCCATCCCGGCATCTTCTGTCACCTCAAACTCTGTTTCTTTGTGTTCCTGTTTTGACCGAATGAGAGCCGCCTACATTGAGCTTTGCTCCGTCTCTCCCCCGCCCTTTTCCATTCATTATTTCCACCGTTCCTCTCTGCCGGGACTGATCAACTTGAAGAACTCAATATACGGAGACTGTTAATGTATCCGTCAAGGGTTGGGATATTCACATTCGGGAGTGATCCGAGCTCATAATTCAGGTCTTAGCATTGAGTCTAGGCCCTCTATTTCCAATACTGCGATCGATGAGACTGAGACAGTCTCTCATTGTCACACTACCTACCCAAAATATGTATGTTAGTTAGGCAAGCCGGGTATGTCAACGGCTTTGTTTTGCCCAAAGTGTTGATGTAGATAAGGCAGCAACAAATATGCAAATCCCCATGTCGGTATCAAGCCCAAATGAAAATGTTTCACTGCTTCTTGGCCCAGCCATGTCGATTATCTTCGTGCCGTCATGACGCACTATGGCACCGGCATTGGCATTACACCGTGCAATCACATCATTGCATAGATAGTAAGGAGAGACCAGCTATTTCACAATGGGGGCGTCATGATATGCCAAAAGCGTCATCCGTTGATCTTCGTCTGATCCTCCTGCACTGCTGCGCGCCTGGAGCATTACACAAACTTGCTTATCTCACTGCAACAATTACTTCGGTGGCCGCTGGGCTTACTGCATTGGGCGGCTTGCTGCGTGGCCGAAATGTTGGAGCGAGAGACCGTGTCGCATGTTGTCTGCCGGGTGCCGAGATACGGCAAGATCTTGTGCTTCTGCCGTCGCCTAGTTCCTGGTAGAGACCGGGCAACTGTCGGGCTGCCGAAGTACCATGCAACCCACATCTTATCCCTGGACGCTTCTCCCCTGAGCGGATCAGCGCAACGGGTGACCACTACGACCCACTGTCACCGGAAACCAAAAGCAACCATAACGTCGCCAAGCTGGCGTTTACGAGTAGTGTGGTCCTTTCAACGGTGTCGCGGGCGGCTGAGTATCTTTTCATCTCTTGTGACAATTCGCTCCCCTATGCCATACTCCCCTTTCGTACCTAGTCTAGCTTGCCCCGAGAAAAAGCCAAGCCAAGTTTCCCAAGGAATTCAATGTGATTGTCTATGAACGACAACGGAAGGTATACAACGGATCGGGATGCGTCCGATGATCGAAGTTTTCACATTCCAGCCCAGTGACCGACGCGGAGACGTCAAAACAAACTCAATTCCCACCTTGAAGAATTACCCTGCTCCCGGCCCTTCTTTCTGCAACCACCACCACCCCAAGTCACCTTTCTCACATAGAAGAAACCCCTTTGGCCAGTCAAAAGGGCGCAACTACATCCGGCTGCCTCCATTGCACCTCGCTCTTGTAAATCCTGACAACGCGAGATTAAAGGCACCTGTTTAGCGGGCCGTTTGCTTGTACAAGTGGCTCAAAGGCCGATGTTGACTAAAGTGGTCCCAATGGCCCAATCGGAGAATTACCAAAGGACCTTTTTTGTTGGTGGTAGCCTGAGCGTAGTGGACGCTGTTGCTGCTCGTATACCAAAGTCCCCTCGTCTATTTTGGAACACAAATCAGCAGTGAGTCCTACAAACAGAGGAAGAATGCCATTTTTGGAAAGCCGGGCTTTGCGGCACAGCTCGCCTTGAAGAGCTGGTCATGATAATAATGAGTATATAAATGCATATACTAGACCATTACCTCTGTAGAATGAACCTCTGCTACACCCCTGAACATTTGGTAAGATAAAGCTCGCATCGCTGCATACTCAAGACACAATGAAACGATCCGCGACACTACTTCTCACCTCTGTTGGCGCTTCTGTTGCTCAAAACAGCAACGGCACCAAGATTGACGTCGTTGCCCCGTACTTGGGCAACTCATCTTTCCACGCGTCCGTCAAAGATGTCAGCGCCGATAGGACTACGTACATCTTGGGCTGTGAGGCGGCTACAGCGGTTGCTGGATGTGTTGATTCGGGCAAGGCCGTCGGGAACTTCAGTGGCCTGACCATTATCAACGCGCCTACTACCGTCGAGGTGCACCATACATACACCGACAAGGACGTGTAAGTCGCCAATTCCTATCCCAATAGTCAAGCCTATCTACCGATCGAGAAACGGCATTGAGCAGCGCCCCAAAAGAGACAGACGTCAGAGAAAGAAAAGAAGAAAAACGTTGCAAGATGTAGATGGAAGCCAGCTGATCATCCCTCTAGTTCAGTTAGTTACGCAGGCTACACCACGGGAGATAGCCTCATATACGACGAATACCTCACAAGAGAGGGCACCCCTTACCAGTTGGCCTACTTCCAGATGGCCAAGTCTGATTTCACCGTCCACCTCACCGTGACCGCCGGCGCCGAGAAACTGGCGCAGCAGACGGCCAAGGCCACCGAGCCTGCTCAGGCGGGTGCGTCGGCAACGGTGGCCTCGCAGGCCTCGGCAACCAACGGCACGGCCAAGCCCACGTCCATCTCCATCCCCAACGCCGCCACGTCCCACGCCGCCCTATCGAACGTCTTTGCGGGGTTTGCGGGTGCCGCTGTGGTCGCGGCCATGCTTCTATAAGCCCTCCCAAGTCTGGAGGTCTATGACAAATATGTAAATATGTATGCATATGTGGTTTTGCGCCAGCAAAGAAGTTTGCGTGAGCATGACGCGACAAAAGGTGGTTTAGCCCTGTTCGACGCACCACGCCGAACCAGCGGAAATTCTCAAACATAGTCATTGTTTGGCCTTTTTCGGAGTCATGGTCCTTTACTCATATAGATCTTGCATTCAGTCAAAAGGCTCGTTTGTCTCTGTATGACAATGTTTTTCCTTTTCAGACATTCTGCTTGTTTGGGTCGCCTTCAGCGCCTAGAGGTTCACCTAGATACTTTAGGTTTTCCAATGGAGATGTACCAATGGTTTAGATATGGGATTCGAAATATACATATATCACTTGAGCCGCCTTTCTGACATATCATATTACCTGGCCTGATCATAAAAAAAGGTAAATTCAGTCTTCACTGTAACAAAACAAGAAGAGAAATGGAGACAACAGTGCAACTTGGGGTCGCCCTGGGCATTTTCGCTTTCATTGTCATACTGGGTGCGCTCTCCTTTGCCGCGTTTCGCTGGGTCATCTCGCCGCGGGCTCAGAAGGAGTACTTCCGGCGGAACCGGGGCTTACCTGAAGAGACAATACCAGGTGTTTAGGCTTTGAGTTTCAGTGGAAGGAACCGCGAAAGTAAGTCGGCTTTTGGGTATTAGAGTGTCGTCTTGAAGGAAGGGCATCCAAATTTTCCGAGCAGGAAGGGTTAAGCGCTCAAGAGTAACCTTGACCTGTAAGTCATCTGTGGCAGAAGGGTGAAATCCGAATCTACGAAATCTCCGTTACAAGAGTGTTTACTGCGGATTGCGATACAAACAATATTGCTTCTAACCTCACCAACGCCAGGCGTGCTATGCTATATCGACAGCCAACGGACACTTAAGCACCACACTTGACTACCACCATAGTGTATCATCCTTTTCAGAACATGCGTGAGCGAGACTTGGAGAAGATATCACTGCATTCGTTCCTCGCGCCCATCTTGCCAGCTGGTGCAGTTGATGCAACGGAGTGCCTGTCAAGGTGTGAGCAGGAGTCTCAGGAACGGGCTGTGGATTGAGCATGCCTTATCGCTTATTCGCTTGCGGCAGTACTTGCACTTAACGGTATGCTTAATTATGGGCTCTCTGGAAAAGAATTGATAAATGTGCGCCAGGCCGTAGAGTGAGACGCCGACGCAGAGAAAGGAGGCGAGTTGATTGAGAAAAGAGCTGTTGGTAACGATGAGAAGATCAAGAGGAGAGAAAAGCGACCCAAAGAGCAGACTCACCCGTAAGCCAACACGACAGCGCCGTCATCCTTGGCACGCTCAAGGGTCGTGTACTTGCTCTCGTGAGTGTAGTTTGGACCTCCTTTCAAGACGGCGAACTTTTCCTCTAGGTTGCGATTCAGGGGAAAGATAATGGAGAGAGGAGGCATCAGGATGTTTGACACAAAGTTGTTGACCAGAGTTGTGAAAGAGGCGGCAAGGCTGTTGGCATTTGTCAGTTCCCATAATCTCCATTAAAACATACAGTATTCGACATGAAGCTTTGGGCTGTCCACCAAGCCGAGAGTGAGAAATTGGGTCAATCGATGGAGCACTCACATCAATCCAAAGGCGATCTCGAGAATATTGCCCTGCAGCGCGAAGTCGACGAAACCGTCCCAGAAGCGGCGCGCCTTCTCCTGGCCGCGTTGGATGAGCGACTCCTCCTCGTCTGCTTGGCTATTGAGTCGTGGCATGCTAGCGGAGGCTGAGATCCGGTCGCTGAACGGGAGGGTGATTGGCATCTCGATCGTTCGTTGACTGATCTGCACTCTTTTGCTGCGTGTTAACTGTTTATGACCAGGTGGATGTTGGTATGATACCAAATGAGTGTGTAAGTCCAACCGGCGTGGTCAAAGTGAAGTTAATCGGGGCTAAAGTTGGGATGTAGTTGGGACTGTAGAGCAAGTTTGAGGTTCAGGTAAGGTTGGGTTCTGTCACAGGATGTAAGAGGCTGGGAAGGTGGTTTCCTGTTTGGGGAGGAATGACGTGCCCCACATTCCGGTGGTGTGGGCCGCCGGGCCTGGCTCCGGAGACGTTGCTCCCTCGGTAGTGGCCTTTCCTCGACTGCTCACCAAATTCGGCATATCGTAAAGTAGATGGAGAACTCATGTAACTAAATAAATGCCTTACTGTTTAGCTACTTTATGATCCCCTCAGCTGCTGCCGGCCAGCTTACTGACAGCCGGTGTTCGCCCAATCCACTCAGTTGCACCGGTTTGTGCTGCCTCAACCAACCACCGAGCCAGCGCGGCTCTTTTGTGAACAATACTCCAGCCGGCTGCACCGACAGCGCCGACATATGTTTTCTCATCCTCGCGATCTTGCGCCCACGTTGCGATTTCGTCTCCGCTGCCGCGGATAATGCCAAGGCGGTACACTGTCCAGTCGATGTCGCGAGTGGCCTCTCGGTCCTGTTCGAATACATTATGAATGGAGATTATATTCTGATAGGCTTTGTTGAATAGAGTTCGTAAAAGCCATACAATCAGCCATCGAATGAGATGCTGGCTGTCTTCAGGCTGGTAGATTGAGATGGTCCCCATGGCAAAGATGCGACGCACACCTTGCTTCTGCATCAAGAGCAGCAATGTGCGGTAAATGTCGGCATATTCTCTTCCGGTAGAGGAGTTACCTCCAGGGACCGGCCCAATCAGCGAAATCACTGTATGACATTCCGAAAGTGCGGTTGAAAGGGCCTCCGTATCGGTCAACTCGCCCTTGACGACCTGCGGAGACAAGTTTGATTAGCCGCATGATATAGCAATGAGCTTGCGCCTCATCGTGATTACCTTAAAAAGCGCATTGGATGCTAGATCGCTAGGAATCTTGGCCGGGTTCCGGGCGAACACGACAGCTTTCTGGTTGCGAAGGCTGAGCTCGCGCAGGACACAAATCCCACTGGGGCCTGTTCCACCAAGCAAGAGGATGCTGTCTTTGGGCATGATGCTGATCTGTCTGTGAAATTCTGAACATTGAAGAAGAAAGAAGCAGATTGTTATTGGTATTTACACACTTTTATTAGTCTTATAAGACCGGGGCCTGAGTTGTTAGTGCCATGCTACAGGTTATTTGTAAGCTTCAGCTATTTACTGTTTTCTTATGCGAGCAAGCCACTACAGAACTCGCGGAGATGGAACTTAGCGGCATAAATTCATCCGCTTAAGTGGGCGATACTGTCTAAAAATGGCGGTGGTCTGCGGAAGATGTGGATGAGGCTTACTATATATTATCCGCAGTGGTTTTCGGGTGTTATGAAATATGGTTCTCCGCAGGGGAGCGGATGCAATTTTCTGTATCCGCCATAAGCACGCAGTTTTGGAGGACATAATGAATGCCAGCCAGTGTCTGTACCCTTATCTCCGCTCCCCATCCATCAGCATACAGACACGTTAAATTTGAAAGTGGTTTCGCTAGCATTTTAGTTGTTTGTGCTGTCAACATCGGCCACGCACCGCTATACAGGAGACCGCGCCTTCCAAGGGCAGTCGGACCTCGGTCGTATATGGGTCTTGCTGCTGTGCAAGTAGACAGTGGGACCGACAACACTGCTTACGGTGGCATTCAAATGGTGCGGGACATCCAGAAGAATTTGGGATTCACCCTGAGCATTAGAAAAGAAGCGCATGCAACAACTGGAAAATTCGAGCATCGGTTGTGGTGAATACGCACCCAATATTGGGGAATCATGATTCTACCTTCTGGTATTCTATTATGAAGTGGTTCATTCTACGAAATCGTCTGTCGCATCAATGGTATCTTAGGAGAAAAAGAAAAAAAGAAAAATAAAAAGGATCGTGGTGTCGGATTGGCCTTCGTAGGCCAGCTACCAGGCCACCCTGACAAGTATGCTGCTCAACAAATAACCTCCGTGCCGTGGTATCGCAATCTGAAGAAATAAAAGCGCACTATTGTTTCGAGGTCGATAGAAAACTTCGTTCTTAGAAGCTGCCCTTTTTGTGTCGCTTCTCAGTGTACACCCTCCGACGTGACCGCCTCTCGACGCAGAATTGCGTGACCCAGTAGACGGCCGCGGCAGCCATGACGGCAAAGGCGACCCAGGATATGATCATAAACTTTTGGCCGGTCTCAGCCGAAAGGCCAATATTTTCACCGACATCGTTGATCTGCTTCACACCCTCTCTGGCGCCAATAGTAGTGACCAGACTGCCAGCGAAGAGAACCAAAGCCGCGAGGAAGGCGAAGACGAAGTTGGTAATAGTCATGCGCTTCTTGAACCCCAAGAAGAAAGAGGCGAGAGAACCGAGGATAGCGAGACCGGAGAAGCCGATACCTAGTACGTAAAGGACGAAGATGGCGAGGAGGGCTTTGTTGACCTTGTCCATGGTGTCCTCAATGCTGTCGGGCCAGTCGAGATCGGCGAGGCTCAGGCGCAGGGGACCGACAGAGAGTTCCTGGTCCAACATCTTAGTAAGGTTCACGTTGGCTACACATCAAGTCAGTAAGGCGTTCAGGGTGCGATACGGGGTGAAACTTACGGCCAGGCTTCGGCTGAGTGCAGTCCGAGACGTTGAGCCAGACATTGGGAGCCGTCACATTGGGGGCGAAATCGCCTTGGCACACGTCCATCAAGTGCAAAGAATACCAATGGGAGATTCCCAGTTCATCGGCAAGGCGATCAGCAATGTCGTTGGTGATATCGTTGACAATGTCGTTGGTCTTGTTACGAACGATACCTAACAGCCTGTCTAGTGCACTATCGTCGTCGGATTGGTCAGTGTTTAGGGAAATGACATTCTGGCCCAGGCCAGATGTGTTGAGGCGGACAACATCGTAATCCTCCATGAATCCCTCCTTGTGGCCGGCGAAGAGGGCGAGGAAAGAAAGAACGAAAGCCACTATGGACAATAACAATGGTAATATGGCGGTGAAATGCATGTTGCCGGTAGTAAGCGTTTTGCTTGGGTAAAACAAGATGAAATTGTTGGGCAGTGAACAACGTCTGAAGAAATGGTCGGGAGCACAGTTGCTTTGGTGATACAACCAACAATGTCCAACGGGAAGTGTAGTAGGTACTGCCTAGCACTTGTGATATGGAGAAGGAAACAAGAGTGACAAGAGTCATAAACCCTTGAGATAGCAAAGGGTCCAGGACTTAAAGAGGCAGAAAAAGCGGCCTAAACCGACTGCAGTGAGCCAACCATCTGGAACCAGGGAAAGCCAATGATGCAACCAAGAGACCCTTGGGAAGCATCAAAAATAGTGTGCCGCGATGATGCAGGCGAGGGGTCCAGGACAAGGCGGGCTGTCTCCATCGGCGTCACTTGACTGGACCGGAGGGAACCCTGAACCTGAGCGGCAGTTGGGCGAGGAAAGCAAGAGAGGCGAACATCGTCCGGCGCGACTTGGCTACCCTGACTGCTCTGGCGAATGCTGGCTTTGGCGGGTGGAACAACACAACAAGTTGTGTCGAGCCTGACGTGGCCAAGCTTTTAGTCATGCGAGAAGGGTTGTTTGCTGTTGACTTGTTGTTCAGATCGGGCTGCTGCTACGTAGTAGGTGAGGATGGCAAAGGTTACGTCATCGGGGCTCCCTTCTGAGCCACAACATTTCCTGGATCGACCCAAAGGTGCCCATAGGGAAACCGAGACCCATATCACCCACTCAATCGAGCTCCCATCCCTACATAGCATCGTGCCCATTTTCTGTACCCGTCGACCGGATGGCGCCCGGGAAAACCGGTTTGAATGAGACAGGGATGCGGCGTCATGTTGGGAAGCTCGTAGCCACTAGAGACCCTGAAGGGTCCTGCTTTTGAGGTTATTTGGCGCCTGTGGAGGCTTCTCCATCACGCTGCGGAGATGAAGCTTGGACAGCGCTAAACGGATTCTATAGTAGAGTGCAAGCCTAACGGGAGGAAAAAGATGGACGCGAGCTGCATGTTCCCCAGTTTGATCATCACTTCCTCCTTGGTAGTATTGGACGAAGTCAATTCTTAATTCCCCTGTTCACCATTAAAAAAAATCATGTTTAATCCGAAAACTGAACAGAAATAGAAACAGAGTTTAGGGTCTAACAAATGTACACTAAACAGCTTCAAACCGGGATACTCCTACTCTCTTATTTGATACCTCAGTACCTGATGTAGGTACTTTCGTCCACTACTCACGGGTTCGCTTGAATTGTCCTTCTCTGCTATACGCTATACTTCTCAAGTAAGCAGTTTGATTATTCTGTTTATCCACCTTCCTTTACGGGATAGTGTTTCAGGGGAAGGGTCGCTTTGCTTACTCTGCTGCTTCACCCTTAAAACTAGTGAATCCCCCACGAGCTCCAAAATGCGTTCCTTTTATCTTCTCCATCCTTCCCCTAACTGCCACTGCTGATACTTTTGAAACTACTTGCGCCCATGATGGACAACTCATCCTTGATCCTGTGTTCGTCAACCGCCGACGACGCCTTCGGCCCAATCGTCCAAAATTGCCGCGATGGCTTCGATTTTACTCTCACTTTTGAACAATGTCTTTTTACAATACTCCCTGCCTCCCTCCTTCTACTCGCCGCACCCTTTCGTTTCCGTCAACTTTACAAACTTCCACGCATCGTGTCCGGCGACGCCCTTCGTCTAACCAAACAGGCCGCCATTAGCATCCTCGCCATTCTACAGCTGACTCTGATTGCTCTATGGGCAAATCATCAAGATGTCGGCCGTCTGCGTACCGTGTCCATTGCAGCTTCTTGCACGTCCTTCGTTGCTAGTCTGGTGTTTGGTGGTCTTTCGTATATAGAACACTCGAAGAGCCTTAAGCCTTCGTCCATCTTGAATACATACACTCTCTTATCGCTGGTGCTGGACGGAGCAATCCTCCGCACCATCTGGCTATCGCACTTAAGCGTCGCCATCAGCGCCATCTTCACCGCCTCGTTCGCGCTGAAGCTGGCCATCGTGATCCTCGAAGCCCAGGAGAAGACGCGATACCTCGTTGACTCTGGTGGGATGCCGATTAGCCCCGAGGAGACCAGCGGCATCTACAGTCGCGGTCTTTTTTGGTGGCTTACGCCCCTGCTGTTGACTGGTTTCTGCCGTCTCCTGAAGCCCCTGGATCTTTTCACTCTAGATGAGTCCATGTCAGCCATGGTACTTAATGAGCGATTCTGGCTGTACTGGAACAAGTCTTCAAACACGTCGCCTAGTCTGTCGGATGGTTCACCCCGTCCGCATAGCTATCGACTTATCTGGGCTTGTATCCGCACGCTCAAATGGCAGCTACTCGCAGTCATTCTTCCGAGGCTATGTCTGCTTGGCTTTACAATCTGTCAACCTCTGGTCTTGAACAGGTTCCTCGACTTTTTACAGAATTCATATGAGACCGTCAACTATGGATATGGGCTCATCGGCGCTTATGGCCTCGTCTACCTGGGCATTTCAGTTGCGTCGAGCTTTTACTGGCACAAAGCCTTCCGTACTGTGACCATGTTACGTGGTATTCTAGTTGCTGCCATTTACTCAAAAACGACTGAGCTCAGTGTCGCTCCTGGCGACGACTCTGCGGCCGTGACCCTCATGTCAACGGATGTAAGTCCTTTATCAGCTTGATCAGTATACTGCAGAGGCTAATGGCTGTTAGGTTGAAGTTATCGTTCGGGCATGGCGCGAGATCCACGAGTTCTGGGCCAATATACTTCAGATCTCCCTTGCAACCTGGATTCTAAGCACCCATATAGGATACGCAGCCGCAGGACCGATTATTGTGTCAGTATTCGCCCTGGTGATTACCGTCATGTTTGCACCCGCAACCCAGAAATATCAAGTCGCTTGGATAGAGAAAGTTCAGAAGCGCATTGGTATGCCCCTTTCTCCTGTTTGCGCTTTGAATCCCGTTAATCTCGAACAGGAATCACATCAGCCATGACAGGGCACATTAAGAGCATCAAAATGTCCGGCTTGGCCCAAAAGCTCACACAGACAATCGCCGACCTCAGATTCTCGGAGATGAAAGCAGCCGTGGCTTTCCGGGTTATTGCAGCCATCACATCAGCTGTAGCTCAGATCCCTCTCATGCTCGCCCCGGTTGTTACTTTTGCCATGTACATGGTTATTACCAACAAGACCGGTCAGACGCTTGATACGACAAAGCTTTTTGCCGCACTATCTCTCATCATACTTTTGGCAAGCCCTCTATTCTTCATGTTCGAGTTGGTCCTAGATTTGAGTGCAGCCCTGGGATCATTCCATCGCATAGAAACTTACCTTTTCCAACCGCCACGCATCGAGTATCGAACATTCCCATCAGAATCTCTAACTAGGTGTCATGAAACACACCAAGAAGACTTCTCCATTCATGTTCAAGAAGCATCCTTTCGCTGGAAACCAGAATCTAGCGCCATACTTGATAAAGTCGACTTGAGTATAGCGCCAGGTCAGCTGGCTATGGTTGTGGGTCCTATCGCTTCAGGAAAGAGCACGCTTCTAAAAGGACTTCTCGGCGAAGTGCCGTACACCAGTGGGAAGGTAGCTCTATCCAGCATTCGGGTTTCTTGGTGCGAGCAAAGTCCTTGGCTCATCGTAAGTGACACACAACTATTATCATAGATCAACCCTAACAATTTCAGAACGACAGTATTAGAAAGAACATCATTTGCTTCTCTGAATATGACGAGGATCTTTACCAACAGGTACTAAAGGCTTGTGATCTTGAGAAGGATTTGGTCCAACTCTCGGAAGGTGACCAGACAATTATCGGAAGCAAAGGTCTCGCCCTTAGCGGAGGCCAAAAGCAGCGTGTGGTGAGTAGAGCTGAACCTCGTCGCATTCTACCACATTAACAGCATCCAGGCTCTTGCTAGGGCTGTCTATTCGAGACCCCAAATAGCCTTGTTTGACGATATTTTCAGCGGCCTGGACAACTACACAGCCAAGACTGTTTTCCGCCGTCTGTTCAGTGGCAAGGAGGGAATGCTTCGAAAATGGTGTACAACCGTTGTTCTCGCAACCCAGTCAGGTATGTCTGTTTTTCAATTCGCCGTCCCTGTCCGTGTGGACTCGGAAAGGATAACACATCTCTCCAGTGAGCTTCCTACCCCAGGCAGATACGATTATTGCGCTCGAAGACGGCAAGATAATCGAGACTGGGACGTTTGAAGACTGTCGCAAGGCAGATGGGTTCGTCAGGAGCCTTACTACCAGAGAGGCCTATAGCATTGACGGCGAAGATGAACCCAAGGATTTGGATGTTGAAGCCTCCAATGAACTACCAGCAAGGGAAAAAACCAAGGTAACTGCAGAGCCGGAGGACATGAGGCGGCAGTTGGGTGACTGGAGCGTTTATTCGTACTTTTTTGGAAGCATCGGTGCCATTTTCCTTGCAATCATGCTCTTTCTACAAATAATCTGGGCGTTTTTCTCGACATTTCCAAGTAAGTCGCTCGCTTTTGATCTCAGAGGTGTCATCCTAACGAGCACAAAACAGCTGTCTGGCTGAAATTCTGGACCGACCACAATACCAAAGCTCCAAATCAGGACTCGGCATATTATCTTGGAGTGTACGCCACTATGCAGGTGGGGGCAATCTTTTGCTTTGCCGTGCTCATATGGTAAGTCATAACTATGAAAAATTTCTTCTATAATTTGTCTTAACCATCTATTAGGTTCGTTCTTGTTCCGGTAGCCTCCAAATCGGGTATCAGATTGCACCAAAGGCTTCTTCAGACTGTCATGCAGTAGGTCAGCCCACTCCTTCTTGTCTCTAACGTAGCTAAACACCAAAAGTGCCCCTTTGGCTCTTTTTCAAAGCACGGATATTGGTTCAATTACGACTCGGTAAGCATTGAAGGTTTCCCCTTTATGTTTTCATTTGTTAACCTAGTGTAGCTTCTCCCAAGACATCGGCTTGATCGACCGCAACTTGCCCCTGGCACTTGTCATTTCCCTGGCCAGTGAGCTTCCCTACCAAAAGAGCGTAATTATGTTTCTGACATTAACGCGAATAGGCTTTTTCACCTGCATTGGTAAAGCAGTTCTCATTGCCTCTGCCTCCTGGTACATCGCCATAAGTTTCCCTGTTTTGATTCTCGTCTTCTATTACATCCAACGCGCTTATTTGCGAACATCTCGCCAACTTCGCTTCCTGGACTTGGAAGAAAAGGCTCCTGTATAGTAAGTGGAATTATCTCACAAGAGGCAATGATATTGGACTGAAGCTGACATGTGCTCCTGAAGCACCCACTTCCTCGAAACGCTAACCGGGCTCTCTACTCTTCGTGCCCAGGCCATGGTGTCACCCTCCATAGCTCATTCATACGCTCTCATCGACCGCTCCCAGCGCCCGTTCTACATTCTCCTTTTGACACAGCAATGGCTCACGCTCGTCCTAGATCTGACGACAACTGCCCTGGCCCTCCTTGTCGTCGGCCTTGCTGTCCGCCTTCGCAGTACTGTTTCCGTGGGTCTGACAGGTGTCTCCCTGGTCCAGCTGATTTCTTTCACCGAGACCCTCAAGCTACTCATACAGTTCTGGACTTCGCTCGAGACATCCATCGGCGCGGTCGCCCGAATCAAAAACTTTGCGGAAGAGACGCCAGATGAGATTGAGGAGGATGCCCTGAGGCGGCAGGTCCTAAGATCTGGTGGGCAACAGGTGTTGGATACAATTGTTTCAGGTTGGCCTCATAGGGGTGTTGTCGAGCTTCAAGACGTGTCAGCCTCTTATGCTCAAACTAGTGATGTCGATGACGAGAAGGAGGTCGTGCCCAAGGCCCTGAACGGCATCACACTTTCCATCCGCGATGGCGAGAAGATTGGTATTGTGGGACGGACAGGAAGCGGAAAATCCTCGCTCCTGCTTGCCCTCTTACGCCTGCTGCCGCTGTCTTCTGGTACCATTTCCATAGACGGTATCTCTTTGGACCATCTCCCTATATCTGATCTGAGATCGGCACTCATTGCCATCACCCAAGATCAGTTTGTTCTCCCCGGAACGGTGCGTCAGAACATTGACCCGTTCGCCACAGTCACCGATGAAGCCATCACGCGAACACTCACGCGACTGGGTCTTTGGGATACTATCCAGGAAAACGGCGGCCTGGAGTCGGATTTCGCCGAGGAGAGTCTCAGCCATGGACAGCGACAGCTCTTTTTTCTTGCAAGGACTCTGCTGCGTCGCGATATTGGGCGAGTCGTTCTCTTGGACGAGGCCACAAGCAGGTATGTTCTCCAGATAAAAACCTTCAGATAGGCTTGATGAATCTAACACAAAAGCCAGCGTCGATGCCAACACTGAGCGAATGATCAGGGACATTATTCGTGAGGAGTTCAGGGAGCACACCGTCATTGCGATCGCGCACCGCTTGGATACCGTCGCCGACTTTGACCGTGTTGTGGTGCTCGATAAAGGCCGCGTCGTGGAGGTTGGCGAACCTCAATCGCTGCTCATCAAGGGAGGCAAGTTCAAGGACTTGTGGGATGCGAGCAGACAAAGTGTCCATGATACTTGAAATGGGCGTGGAGGTCACGATTGCAAGGACCCAACAATGATGTTTTCGGTCCTTTCTCTTTTCCATTCCCGCAACTCTTCATAGGATCTGGTATGATTCAGATTTTAAAGTTCCTTTGTATTTTGTATTTTACACCATCACCGGTGTCCATACGTTATCTATATGGTCTCTATCAACGGTGATGAATCTTCCTTTTCCAGCTCTTTGTGCCACAATGTATTTCTCAATCGCCTTGGCCATTTCCGCCGCTTCAAGATACCTCTGGCCGTCCGCTATCGGTGTGTTTTCGCTCAGCTCATATCCGTATCTCAATTTCAGCGTCGAGACCTTGCCCCATGGGCCATTCCAATCGACCTTGTCGTTGTCTACGTTGGCCATGAGAGCCTTGAACCAGGCGCCGCAGCCGGTAAGGTCGAGGTACTCCAAACCGTAAAGGGACCTGCTCAGCTTCCGCAGCTGGATGACGGCCTCGGACCAGTCATCGTCCAAAGTATGTGAGTACGCCCCAGTGCCAGCGTACTGCTGCGTCCGGCCCTCGGGCGAGACGATCGTCGCAAACTTCGCGTTGGGCGTAATCGACGGCTCAGGCCAGTATGCTAGGCTGAGGTGCGTAAGCGTAGGCAGCTTTGCGGCGAGGGTGAGCAGCTGCTTCCACGAGACGCCGGGACCGTTGCTGTGGGCCCCTGGTGTAACGGCAAGACATAGATGAGTGATGTTGGGCAGCAGTCTCGGGGGTGGCGACGGCGCCTCCACCATATCCCAGGAGTCCTGTACCGTCTCTGACACGTCCGCAAGCTTCTGCGGGAACAGCACGTCGGTCAGCTCTTTCATCGTCATGGAGTAACCGATCGAGCCTGTCAGGTCGAGGAAGTAGATGTTGTTGTTCAGCGACACGAGCTCTTCGGGGTCCTGTTGCACCTGCTCGCCATCCTCCTCGTCCATGACGGGGGGTACGAGGATATTGCGCAGGTCCGAAGCTGACAGCCCAGCGTCGTGCCACATGCCGACGTACTTGACCAGCGAGGCTCGCACTCGACTGGGGAGCGTGTACAGGTAGTAACGGTCATAATCCTTCTGGAAGTCCCAGTTCAGTGCCATCTTGCGAAGTAGTAAGTCCGTCAAGCTACCCTTATCCGGCTCGTAGGTGCCTGGCAGGCCCTGGACGGCGCCGCGGGCGACATTGGCGTGCGCGCTGCTGTAACGACTGGCATTGCTGGAGGTACGAGAAAGCCAGCTACGTGGAGGTGGCGGACCGGGCGGGACTCTCCTCCCTGATGCGTCGAATCTTGGGACACGCCTGGGTGCTGGGGGAGGTGTCTCTGGGATCTGGAGGATCTGTCGGAGGGCTGGCGGGACGGTGGGTGTGGCTACTGATATCGCAGTGTTACGGCTTGAGGAGGCGAGGGAGGATCGACGGAGATCGGCCAAGAGTTCGTTGACGCCCTTGAGTTGGCTCTCTGTTTGTCGCGGCTTTTGTATCAGTCTCTATCTAGACGGAACACGGGGTCGAGGGGGAAGGGTGAGGGTGACGCAGTGGGAGACTGACGAACAGAGCTCGAGGCTGAAGCTGAGGCGCCCAATGACGCGGGGGCCGTAGATTGCGGCTTTGAGTACCTGGATTGATGCCTTTTCTTAGGCATGCCCGAGAGAGGTCGAAAAACAAGGAAGCTACAAGGAAAGCTTCCGTAAAGGTTGAGAGTATAGAGAGACGGAGGGACAAGCGCGGGCGCGGCGGAAGAGGGGTGGGGGGGAGGGGTGCAGAGGTAGAGCAAACAAAACTAGCGAACTCTTGTCGCTATTAACTGCGGCAGTTTGTATCTGCCTGGAAGGTAATGCGTTAGCGACAATGATTGAGATCGCTGAGTCACAACAGGGAACAGTCACAGTCCTGAGAGTAAGCTCCGTCAGCTTTGGAGTCATAAGGTATTACCCAGTGGGGTTGCGCGAATCCTTACAGAGTAGAATCCTTAGCATGGTGGCTTGGCAGACTGGGGGGGAACGTTACAACGTCATGGTTAGAGGGGCACCCTCAAAATTTGTTTGTCAGCTTTTGAGTCCGCCCTGATCCGCTCAAAGACTCTGGGCCAGATTTTGAACCAGTCTTTGGCAAACACATGGTCTGTGCTCACCGGCCGGACCGGATAAGGAGTTCCCCGGCCCAGTCTGGAACGCGGGAATGCCTTTTCGCAGAAGCAGAACCCCGCTTGGCGGACTTTCGGCAACCCCACCTCGGACGGTTTGAACCTTCGGTCGGCCTGCTACACGCAAGCTTCCCGACTGTTTATTCCAATCACGTTTATTTGTTCTCCAGTACCTGCTGACTTGGATTGCTTCTTGGGGTTTGAGCCTTCATCCACCTGCCATGTGCCACAAAACTAAGTGCTTTGTCTCCGTTCCGCGAGGGCAAACATCCCCCTGGACCTGATCTGCACACGAGCCTGACGTATTTGGAGAACGCATATGATCTCCATGATTATTTGAAAAAGGGCATGGTTCATCATGTTTGGCTTAGTTCTCAAGGTCCATCTATGCAAAGCGGAGCCGGTGCGACGTAGGCGGCTTCCAGGTCCTAGAATTATCATCCCTGACACTATGTGGGAAGAAGGCTGTTGACAAGGAAGCCTACCGAGGAATTAACCGAACGTTCAAGGCAAGCCGCCATTCAAAGCCTACCTTTTGGGTTCAGACGAGAATGACAGGCAGAAATCTATGCGCCACCAGCCTGCAAGATTGCAGAGCAGCTGCCCACCCTACGCAGCACCTCATATCCCTCCAGTCGAAAGAGAAATGCCCGGTTGCCAAGTTTGTAATCGAAGGCGATGGAGACATAATTGGTCAAATCTTCAAACTTCAATGTGCTTGCGTGGGTAGCGCGAGGCAAACCCAGACTCGAAGCAGTCATTTTCAGTTGTTCCTGTCAAAGTGTCTCAAATCACACGAGGGCCACTCGGTAATTGATAATAGGTTGGCTTGTATGGACTTCGGGCATCCACACTATTGGTTCTTTCAATTTTGCACCGTGACACGGATTCATTAGTCTCTCACTGCCGTGAGCACTTGACCCGTTGAAGATGCCTCGCCCACTTGGCCTAAACGAGACCGAGTTCTGATCTGCAATAAATTCCAGGCGCACAGGTAATGACTAACATGGTATCTAAGCTGTCATCGCCTATCAATTTCAAGAGATTCTTGACAGTGATGGACCCATGGATCCATCGTGAAGATTCTGTCAAACGTTGCATCCACCGAAGCTCATGGCTAGCTCTCGATCCATGGCTTGAAACTGTTTAGGTAACGACGTGCGTCAACAACGCACACCGTGTTTGCTATACCAATGTCCAACTAGAGCGTTGCTCTGAGCTCTCGTGCTCCCGGCATAGCAAGAGGGTCAGGGCCGTGCTGTCAGCCACGCCAAGGCGTGTATCACCCTACGTTAGACTAGGGAATATTGTGGCTCGATGCTCTCATGATCCACAGCTACAGCTCATGAGTATCGGCTCCTTCCCACTTCCAATCGTGGAGGCCTTCCCATGGAGGTAGCGTGCCTATCACCGCATGGCAAGAGGCTTGGTCATGGGAACGCAATGTGGCGCCTGGTGGCGAACAACCTGGTTGACAGAGACTTGTGTATTCATTTATATTAAAAAGGCCCTGTATGGCAAGACGAAGCGAATAAGTACAATAATGTGTGTCCCTCTTTTTAATACATCTAGGATCTAAGGAGACCCAGAGATATGTGGTAGAAAACCTACGTTCAAAAGATGTCCATGATACACCTTTCCGGCAGATGACTGGTCGAGGTTCATATGTACCGTGGTGATTCCGAGGGGGCGGTTCCCATGTAAGTGTTCATCTGCTTTGTGTAGCCAAACGATACAAGTGGAAAGGAGTTTTGAATCCCATATACGTCCTTCGATATGTGGACAGTATGCCCAGGCCCGTCGGGAAGGTCCAGGCTGATATTCTTTGATACAAAGGCAACCCAGATTGTTATTAAAAGCAAGGCTTTGTGTTTCTTTGGGGGAAGTTGATATTTGAGTTCTCATCGTGCGTGTATGCAAATATACTCCCCGAGACAGCTGCCTCCATTCCACTCTCTAGTTCACGAGATGATGAATATGAATTGATTACGGCCCACACCTCCTTTTTTTGTGCACCCTCAATCTCAAGCCGCCGCGCTAGGAGGGCTAGCTGTTGCAAAGTTGGTAGCACCAGGCCTGTTTAACCACGATACTTTGACCTTGGCAAGATGACCCTTGTGCAACAAGGGTAAAGTACGAAGCCGAAGTCAAGATTGCACAGTGACCAATCAGTTTCCCTTGCCAGGGGTGTATAAGGAAGAGATAAAAATAGGCGTGGACGCAAAGGGAGGCCGTTGATAACGAAGCATGAGTGACTACCGAGGATACAAGTTTTCCCTACATAAAAAGTTCAAAGGCCCGGCGCCCTGACCACTTCTTTAAAAGTTTGGTGAGGCAATCAGCTAGTTGAAGAGGGCAAAAGTTCCTTCCATTACCCGTACAGACAGGGGGTGACTCTTTCCAGGCCAAAGGCCCAAAAACTTGTTTCGCATAGAGAAGACGCGGTGAGCCGCTGTCAAGTTATTGACCCAGTGGAGCTCTCTTCTGTGACGCCCTTTTCCGCCGTCACCCGGGATTTCAACCTACGACAAGATGGGGAGCATAACGCGTGAGGTTGTGATGAGGATCGACCGGAAGGAGCAAGAGGATCTCCATTCGTTTCTCCCTTGGCATGTTCTAAGCATACGGTGAGGGTAGATGATTGTTAAGTCTACTGGACTGCTTGGTGGATATGTGTAAACTCCGCGTCGGAGGCACGAATGCTAAAAGGCTCAGGCCAACATCTGCGAGATATTTTCCCAAACATTTAACGCCTTGGAAATTCAGAAAGCCATTCGAATATGTTTCCATCAGGTGCAGCATTGCATAATACAGTACAGAGTACACTGGGATTCATAGGCAAGGGGTGGGCCAAAGAAACAGGCGGCTAACTGCCGTCCTGAGAGCCCAGGTTCTCACGATGGTCTTGCAGCAACTGGCATGAATGGAGACAACATGTGGACAGCCGTAGGACGGTACCAAGTAGGCTCTTGAAAGTACCTGACGGTACATTGAACAGGGTCCGGAGACATTTGCCAAAGTTGAAGCTGAGCAGTGCCTTCAATGCCCAAATGTCCACTATAGTTTCAGCTGCAGATAAAAGTACCGCGCTCATAAACATATTGAGATGAAAGATTGTCCATGGAGACCCGACCGTTCTCGCAGGCGAACATCAAGGAGCAGCTAGTTTCGGGGAGCCTGATGGGGAAATAGCAATGCAGGATCTGTAGTAAAGAGGCCAAATGGGCCTGACTTGGATCCAGGAAAGGAGAAAACCCCGTTAAATGATCTGTGAAGCTTTATTACGCCGGGTTGTTCTTCTTTTGCGCTCCTCGAACTTCTCTGGGACCTGTGTTTGTTGACACAAGAAAGGTATTGTGATTAGACAAGGGAGTTGTCACAAACACGAGAGAGAGTTGAAGGGATATAGAAGAAGCGCTCCATGGGCGACATGGAATGCCTGATGAACTACAGATCAACACAATGAAGAGTCAAGAGCATCCTATCGATGGGGTGTTAGCAGGAGACAGGAAGGTAAGGTGTATAGACTGGAGAAGCCCGGGAGACGTTTAGGTGTGCGGGCGAGAAGGAATTCAGTAAAGAGTTGAAGTCCTTAATACCTTATGTACAAGGCAGCGAGAAAGAGAAAACATAGCCGGGAGAGATTATCTTCTGTGTAAAACTGGGAGAGGGAAGGGACCCAGGTAGCTTCCTTCGTTGACTGTCTAAATTTGACAGTGCCAGACTCTCACTTGGCGCACTCAGAAGCCCTATGCAGACAAGCTATCCCCGTTGTCCAATGACGAGCTGTTTTTGGCTTGGTGGACTCCACTCTCACACCGTACAGTGCGAATCACAATGATTAGCTCTTTTCAGAAGCAGTTCGCCTACATAGAACATGGAGGTTAACGTTTCGACGACTCACTTCGCCCAAACCAGCCCCTCCCTCCCCCGGACATGCTTGTTGCCTCCTTTCTTTGGGCTCCCCCCAAGTCTCGTGGCTCATTTAATGCCAGCAAGCGGCCCTAGCATGGGTCAGTCCCTCCGGTGCTGTACCTAGCAAATTGTCCAGAGCAAAGCATTGAGGAATAGTATCACGCGGTCGACAGCTGTCATTTATTGCCGGTCTACATAGAAAGAAGCAAAGCAGGAGCCATGGATCCCAATTTTCATTAGCTCACCGGTTTCGGTATACTCCTATCAGTCGGGCCAGCCATCTATCGCAGCCTACGCCGCATTTCAGCTCTTGTGGGCAGATGCCTTCCTGCCTATTCAATACTGTATCTCTCGGCTCTCGGATGGCGTCTAGGGTCCTTGCCTATGCGACGGCTACCTGCTTCACAGTGTTGGTACGCTGCCAGTAGAAAGGCATGCTATCCTCACATACCGACGTGGCGGACAGTCCGGTTTCCAGTCAAACACTACGTTTAGAACCTACCCTCCTTAGGCAGCGACCCTTCGCGTACCAACCCGCTCCAATCACTCTATCATATTCTCGTGCCACCACTCCCCCCGCCCCCTGCCGTGGTGCCATGCAGTTGCGACCTCATTTCTGCACACCAGCCCGTCAGCATTAGCACCCGCTCCTCCTCAAGGCAAGCCTACCATTATCCCCTCTTCTGCCCGGATGGTATCCGCCTGCCGCTGATGGAGAAGGCCCCTGGCATCCATCCGTGATACGTCACATCACACAAGATCTGATCTATAGACGCAGGCAAAGAAGGAACATGGTGAACTAGCAACTTTTACAATTTTGCCTGGGAGGGAGGCGACGGCGACAGCTCCGGTGACGGCCAGTATGGCGCCGAGTCGAATCACGCTTCTCATCTAAGAGTGTATGACGACATGCATGTCTATGGCATGTTGTCGACCACTGCAGCGGGATCATTAGCTCTTCTGCGTCTTACGCCAGTCCACCCCTCGAATAAGTGAAGGCAACGTTGAACCTGGCCAAGAAAATGCCAGAACCAGACTCTAGCGGCCCGATCCGACAGGACTGGACCATACTCGACAATGTGGTTTCCAACCCTTAATTAGCGTTTCTACCTGTTCTGGGTTGACCATTGTTCCACCGAGGCCGCCCTGGTTTGTTTTCTGGGAGCGTCAGCTCTAGAGCAATACAAACAGAGCAGCCAGCTGTTCACAATCCTGCCCTACTGGTTGGCAATCGCGGACCCATAGCCGTGAGGCCGCCGTTGGCTCGGCCAGTCCGATTGATCAAGTGGCCCTGAAAATCAGAACCTGAAACAATGAAGTTGACATGAGGCCTCAAATATGGTGGCGCGCATCAAGTATAGTTGACTAGATCTTTCCAGACTAGTGAACGGGAACTTGCACAAACGACAAACCCAACCAATGTAATGCTTCATATTGAGACCGCATTACAGAACACGAGATGCAGAAGCCATTCCTTAGGCCTTGAGCCGAGCTTCTCTGCGTTGCCACTTGCTATTCATCACCCTATAGAGAAGGACCCGAGCGTTTGGAAATAAGAGCGTGTGATTTCCATTACCCTTCTCGGGTATTCGAAGATTTCATTGGATCGCTGCTAAGAGGCACATCTCAACTTGTTCTATTTCTGCGCCTTTTCTGCTGATACCCCGATCAAAGCCTCTCTCGACCTTCCAAGCCTTGGACGAGCCATCCGATGTTAAAATGAGTTGCTAACCGGAGCCTTTACCTGTAGATATAGCACGTTGGGGATTATCTCGCGACCCCATGGCAACCAGGTGTAAGTGAAACCCCGTTCGCCTCGCACGTGCCGTGTTGCGAGTGCGTGTCTGCCGGCCGAGATACACCTTTCCTATGAGCTATGTCCACAATGACCACGTCGAGGACTGATTGAGGACCTGTATCGTCAAGGTTAGAGAATCAAGCCACAAGGCCTGCCAGCTCAACGTGAAAGGCTTAAGGCCGAAAGCCACGTGGTGGATATTCAAAAATTCTGTCGTTGTCGGCAAACATGCTATTTGGGGGGTGGTTGTCTGTGATCCCCGTTGGCCTAGACTGCAAGTTCTCTGGCTGCATGCGATGGCTCTCCATTCATACGAGCTCAAAGGGCTCGGCATTCACCACAAGTTCTATTATCTTCTTTGAATCAATCTCTAAGATCTGATGCAGGGTGCTAGTCGAATATGGATAGTATGCAAATCCTCGGCCTCAATGGTCGAGATGGTCCGCTAAAAGCTCACGACCTGCTTTCTTTTCGTCTGCACCCTGCCGTTGATAGCTCACTCCCTCGCCCAGACAAATAACCCTTTGTAAGAAGGAATATTTTATGGCGTTTCATCCAGATCCTTGACGGACGGGTAGTTGCAGATTTGCTGCATGGAAGGAGAGGTCAGCAAAACTGCTCTGTTCACGGCGAGAGGCCTCGATTGACCCGGCCACATATCGATGCAAATCTGTAGGTCCTCCTCTACAATTCCTTAAGAAAGATGAGGCGCCTGGTACCTCAATTCTAGCGGAGGTATCTTGGGCAGACCAAATGGGAAAGAAACAAATAAAGAGTGGTATTGTCGAGCATGATAATGCCTGCTAGTCAGCTGGTTGAATGAGAGGATGGAATTCCACCTCCATCGCGTCTTCAGACATGGACACAAAGACCTGCTTGCTTGAATAGCCCGCAGCCATGGGCCATTTGGAAGCTTTGCCAGCGAATTCGGGTTGTACAGGTATCTAGCCCCCGCCCGACAACCTCATCTGTAGCTCGGCCTGTTCCCGGCATTTCACCCAAGCCTTGGCAGTAGGCAGCTTTCTATTTTGCGCCATCAACACGCGCACACACACACATACACACGCCTTGATATCGTATTATAGCAAAGGAATCGTCAATGCAAGGCGATATCCGCCTTTTCAAATAGGAGACCAGGGGGGGCCTAGGAACTCTCCACACGATTCAATGCCCCTTCACGGTTCTCTCAACCTCTGCGCAACCCATTTGCTTACATTCAGAGAGTACCCCCCCTCTGCCCTGCCTCTTCTGACTTCATCTTCCCTTGCCCCCGCGACTTAGTGCCGGCGGCAGTGTGCTTGCAAAACTACTTGTCTGTTATTGTTGGGTCTGTGCGACATATGTCAAGCAGGCAATTGCATGTTGAGCCTCTCATACATCTTCGCTACCTCTGTGCAATCTCGAGCCAGCCACATCTGAGCTCTAGTATATAGATACCTTATTTCCAAGATCCTGCACTCTGTCTGCCGTTTCGCATCTTGTCGATTTGGTCATCCGCATTCACGGTATCGGACTTCCTTCAACCATCCAGCTCCGCTTCGAGAACAGTTTCACCAAGTTTCTTCGCATCAGCCACGCTATAGCTGTTGATTTGTGCGCTGCATCACAGCGTAGTATTCGGAGCAAGACGCCAGTCAACCTACAGCGGTTGTCGATTTATTGGCCCTCGGAGGCGAAGACGACGCGGGCTGTATAGTAAGTTCAGTTTGCATCACCCAACCTCTTCAAACTTCAGGGCTTTCTTGAAATATGTGATTTTGCTTTAGTCGAGTGTTGGGTGGCTACCCGAAGCCATATCCACCAGGGGTTGTTGGCTTGGACCCATTCTCCGGCTTTGCCGCGCCTGGCCCTGATTCGCTTCCAGCTCTAGCGGCCATCGCTGCGCTCGCGAGGGTGGCCGTCGAAGCCATGATGTCGTATTGAACTGAGCAAAAGCGAAAGCTAACAATCACCAGGTAGCCCGAGCCCTTCTGCTCCTCTTCCTGCGGTGAGTGGGCTTTCATTCGATTTTGTCTAGAAATGGGAAGGACCCGAGCGAGTATCGGTGCTGGAGAAGATAGGCTCAGGCTTGACAATGAGAACTTGAATCACGTCGTGTCGTGGAGACAGACGTCAAGTAAGCTGGATGGCTTGCCATGATTGGCAATCCAGTTCAACTGCGTGGTTTTGCGCGTATCCGTCGATGAATGGCGGTGTCCCTAACATGTTCCACCATGCTAGCTTCCGGGGTCAAAAGAAGAGGACACCTTCCTCTCTTACCAAAGTCGGTTTCTGTTGCTGACAGCATATTTGAAATTGCCAGATTAAGCAGGATAGAGGGCTGAAAGCAACCCCTTGGCATGACAGGGTCACTTTTGGAAAGTCAACCGCCAGTAAGTGTCCCAGCCCCATTACCAAGATGAAAGAGGGCAGAAAGAAAGCAAGATACTTTTGAGATAAATCGGATGTATTCTCGCATCAGCTTGGAGGAAAAGGTCCAAGGACAAACGGTCCAAAGCAGTTTCGGCTCTGACGGGGCAGGGAAAGACAGGGATGTGAAGAAGCGTCACAGTCTGCTAACAGCTGGGGTGGAAAAAAAGAGGATCGAGGAACTGGGGCGACAGGATCGCTGCTCCAGTACCAGCACCAGTACCACGAACGCCAGCATCAGCACCAGATCACCGCCCCTCTACTACGGCGCGACACCCCTCGTCGCCGGAGACGACCGTCGTATGAATTCCCAACAGCTTCCCAAGGTACCTTTGCTTATATCTCTTTTATTTTTTATTTATTTATTTTTTTCCGGATCCCGTCCCGTTCTATCCAATCCGGCCCTTTCCTACTCTTTCCCCTGCAATGCGACTTGACGCTTCGTTTTTCCCCTTCCTCATCTTACCTACAATTTCCTGAATCGAGACGCTGTACCGGACGGTGAACGACAGCAACAAGAATTGCAGCAGCAGACATGTACCAGAATTCATAAGCGCCATTTATTCTACGGGCCTCTCTGTTGGTCAGTTGGCCGGCCGGCGGATTTTACGCAGCTTAACTCAGCACAGTGCAACACATCACAGGAACCAACCCAGCAGGCCTCATTTAAAAGAGCAGAGACAGCACCTTTGAAGAGTGGCGCCAGGCTCTGTCCCGACGGCGTGACCAGGTTCCGAAGGGCAGCCAGGCGAGGAAGCGGGCCGAGTCTAAGGCTTCGCGGGAAGGGGGTTAAAAAAAAAAAAAAAAAAAAAAAAAAAGGTGTGTACGCGATTTCACGATCTTTGCTTTTTCTTGTTTCTCCGCCTGCTGCACCGTCATCAACGGCAGTTTTGGTTTCGTTTTGTTATCAGTCATTTCCCCTGATTCCCCAGTTCGTGACACCTTCATCCAGCAGTGAGGGAAAAAAACGAAAAGAGAGGTCGCACATGCACTATGAGACGATATGGATGCTCTCTTCGAAGTCGAATTCGTGTGCTGTATCCGGTCCTTGGACGATCAGCTTGACTCTCCCAGGCCTAATGAGGAGCACAAGACTGAGGCAGGCCATGCGGTTTTTCATGTGGATGGGTACCACACCAACACCATGCGTCCGGCACCCACGAGCGTCGCAGCGCCTCTCGCCTCCGAGGAAGGTGCGGTAGGCTGGGCGTGTGTACGGGTGTGTGTGTAGGCGATTGTGTGTGGGTGCAGGTGTGCGTGTGTGTGGGTGTCAGCCTCTCTGCCTCTGTTGTCTTCCTCTTATGGGTGCACTGCACGACTGGTCATTTTGGCTCATCGACTGGCTGGCTCGCTCATCTGCAAGTATATGCTAGAAAGCCAGAAAAGTACACTGTGGTGCTTGATGGTATTGGATTGTACTGTTCGTGCCCCATGTTGCCTCCTCTTCTCTTCTTTTCGCCGCTGCATTTCCTCCTCATCGGTCGGCCAGTCTCAACAAGACGAGGTCCAGACCGGTCAACACCCACCCCTCCTCTACCACAACCACCACCACCGCTACCTCGTCCTCCTCTTCATCATCTTCTCCACCCTCACCTCGTCTCCAAGCTGGTTTAACTTATGTTGCCTCCTTGCCGGAAATTATCACTTCGGCATCCCGAGCTAACTTACTCTTTTCGGTGTGCTGTAGGACACGACTTGCTCATTAGCCAGCCTGTCCATGATGGATCACGCCTAAGGGGGCCCGCTCTCGTCGATCGCGGCGCTTTTTGAACATTGCGGCGGCACAGCGTCAAGATCGGATTACGAGATTTCTTTTACTATTCTATTATCTGTTTTTGAATTTTTCTCTCTTCCTTCTTATTAACCAAACCAAGAATGGTCTAACAAGTCTTGCCGTATAAGCAGGAGTTCGAGCCGTCGACCGGGTATGACTACCTCGATATACAGGCGTCAGGCACTGACATGCGGTAAGTGGCAATGCCATTGGCTCTTTCTGCCCCTCTGCCGGGGAATTAGTTAAAATAAGGTCTCCCTCTCTTTTCTTGTACCCTGCGCAGCCCGCAACATGCTTGTTGGCTTTTATTCCTCTTCCAAATATCCAAACGTCTTGCGGCTTCAGGCAATCAATACGTTCCCATCACACCCCCCGGCCATCGCCTTATTTTACAAGTGTACACGCAGACTTCTGGCTCAGCCTATATCATTCCCACTCGGTTCTCGGTTCCATCTGCCCGGTTGGAGAACATCGTGTGCAAGAGTCACGGCGCAGAAACAAAGTCTGGCCATTTCACGCGGCAACACACGAAGCAGGAAGATTTCAGACATGGAAAGACATGGGTAGCTGCCTTCTGGCACCCAACGTGCCACTAGAAACCCACTGGGGTTCCCGCCCATTGCCGCGAGAGATGGTGGTGTGTCCTTACATTTCCCGATTCTGTATCTGCTGGCCGTTGTACAACGCCGCGCTGCTGGCAGTACGACGAGCTGGAACTGGTCGCACTGACACTGTGTCTTGCATGCGGACGCAGTACAGCAGTTGTCGTGCCTGGCTTTTCATTACTTTGCCTTGCTTTCCCTCGCCTTGTACATTGCTCTCACTTGAGAGTAGGGCACTCGGGCTAACAGCACCATTAGATACGAACACAACACCAGTGCTCCTCTGTCGACGATCGAAGGACCTCCACAGCAACCGACTCTCTTAAATCTGTTCAATCCACCTATAACCACCGGCACCACTCCGTACTCTGCTGACGGCAGCTTCTACCATACTGCTGCCTCTCACGTCTTCCCCAGCCTGGACGTCAGGCCTCGCCTGGGCTCAAAGTAGGTCGCACACCGTCCCCCCCTGCAGAACCAAATCGACTGTTTCTTGCCCGAACAAGACAGAGAACTCTAGATAAATATGGCCAGACTCGTAAACTTACGTGACATTAGCACTTCTGCTACGGGCATGGCACATAGCCACCGCTCCACAGCATTACCTCATCCTAGCACACAGATCAGCACGAGAGACCAGTATTCTCCGGCGACGCCCTCTTTTAGGAGGGTCTCGGAGCACCATCCCAGATCTCCATCATACCCAGCCGCTCTACGACGCCACCCTATATCTCCAACCTCAAGTCCAATTACCAGCTTCACTGCGCCAACTGCTTTGAGAATGGATGGCACTGGTCACTATGCGCCGTCCTCCAGGACACAGACGAGCGTGCCTCCGCTGAGCCCCATCACAAACCTGGGCATCCTTCAGTACACGGACGGAGGCGTACCAGTCAAAGTTGACATACATGGCAACATCGACAAGGGTTTCTTCCAGTCCGAAGGTGACTGGACGTGCTACAGGAGAAATTATTTTTCATGCATCTGCTCCTTCAACCTGAACCCGCACTATCCCGGCCAGCCGCTGCAGTTCACGCAAAGCGGCTCCACGCAATCCTACACAATTATCGGCTTCGCCATGTCCATTTCGGCCGTTGTTGCGGACAACGACTCCCACACGATCGAATTGGTACAACACACGCCCAAAAGAGATAAGGGACCGATAGCGAAGCCTGAAAAGGTGCGACTACACCCCAAATACCATCAGCCATCACACCCACTTGGGCTCTACTCCCATGATAGCGCGCTCGGAGGGCTCCCGAGGCTTGGATTCGCAGACGGCGGGAGTTTCTCAGGCTCGCATCAAGGGAACGACTCCTACCAGACGGAACACACGTTCGAGCGCATCCAGTTCAAACAGGCAACGGCGAACAATGGAAAGAGGAGGGCTGCCCAGCAATACTACCATCTATTGATTGAACTGTGGGCTGATGTAGGCCAAGGTCCCGATAATCTTGTTAGAATCGCCTACCGGAAGTCAGCCAAGATGATTGTCCGAGGGCGTTCTCCGGGACACTACCAGAGTGAAAGGCGTGCCAGCACAAGCAGCGGCCCCGGAGGCTCAGGTGGCAGTTTGACCGGCTACCCAAGCAGCACGATTCTTGGGGCAGACTTCTCTACTGGAGGCGCGATGATGGGGGGCGGTTATGGAGGAGCTTTTGAGGCACGCGGAGGAGCACACTACGGAACAGTGCGCCACCACCCGGAGCTTGAGCCGATGATCCCTCCTGAGGATGCAAAGACCATGGAAACGACCAAGGAGTACCGCTATTACCCCGGTGCTATCTACGAACAGGCTGACGCGGAAGGAGGGGTGGAAATGTTTGCGAATCACAGAAGCGGGCAGGACAGCATGGGATCGCATATGACGTCTAGCTATGACCCGCTTCATGAAAGAGTCAAACGTGACCCCGAAGTTGGCATGCTGCCAAGTATTTTCCAACAAGGGCCACTCATGTCGAGCCAACGGTGCGGTCCGTACGAGGGGAAGACGACATCGACCGGCTATTACCCAACAACTATGGTATCGCAGCCTGGAGTCAACCTTACGAACATGACCTGATACGACCCACCTCGACAATATCTAGGCTCTAGCAGGTGGATCATATAGTCGCATACGGCGGTAACGATACGGGAAACGGGTTGAAAGACGTTGGCAAACAATCGCTTTGCCTTTCAGGTCCCCACTTCTGAAATCTATTTTAGCTGGAGAACTCTCACACAATATTTGGCATAAACTCAATGGCGAGACTCATGGCGTATGGCAACATCACAGGGGAATCTTTTGGGGGATAACGCGAGAACCGAGTGGGAAAGGGTGTATGTCGGGAAGCAGACCAATCTGGCCAGGGACAAGGATAACGGCGAACCGGCGCGCAGAACCAACAAAGATAAACTATGACTTGGCTTGAGGGCTGGGAAAAACTGGCCGACACATCCAATATTGGAAACAAGTCGAAAGGAAGGAAAAGTTTGGGAGACAAAAAAACACTTTGGCGAGAAGGCTCATGGAATACGGAGAAAGACAGGCATTTTTAGGGATACCCGCTTGCGCATTTTGGCTTTTTTTTCGTCTCTTGACTTTCTTTTCGCCTCCCCGCCTCCCCCTACTCTCTCTTTACTTTTTTTTTTTTTTTTTGTGCCGTGTATGGGTTTTTTTGTTGTTGTTTTTAATGATTCGAGGACATGGGACATTCGCTTCAGCAAAGAAAACATTTTTTTATGGTAATCCACTTGCAGGCGCGAGCATGAGGGAGACAGAGAGAGCGGAGGTCCCGGTGAAGGACAAGAAAGGGACTGGTGTTCAGGAGGAACGAACGGGAGTCGGGCTCGCGGCGTCGAAACATGGAGCTTAGGTGTCTCAAATGGACCAGGTACTGGGGAAGCATTCGCGGGCGCCAATGCCAGGTACTTGGTATGTTTTTCCGGAGCCGCAGTACTTGCAACCTATTTTCCTTGTTTCGAAGTACATGCCCACGAGGGCAGAAATTTGACACGATGCTTTGCCCAGAATTGCAAAATCGCGGAGCCAACTTGAGGGCTTTGTTTGCTTGCTCCACCTGTCCGCCTCCTCGTCTACTCGACCATTCGCCGGCTGGAACTGGACGAGTTGTTTGCTTGTCAAGTGTGTGTATAAGTGGACAAATTTTTGCTAAGCTATATGCGATGAGCAGCATTTCCATGACTCATACATTCCTGTGGAGGAAATGTAAGAGGACGTCCTCCAGATAGTGGAAAGAAGAAAAAGGACCGAGGGGAGACCCGCAGGCTATCATGAATGCAAGCAGATGGTTGAAGCAAACTTGGTGTCCTATTGCGGCAGTTCCTTGCATTACTTCCCTCTATCGGCTTGGTCCGGAAACCCTTGATTTCCGCTACCGAGTAACATGAATTGATTGGCCATAAGCGAGGACAACGACAGAAACAGCAAATATCAAAGGATAATAGTTAACAATCATCATCCACGGAATGGATGGTGGGAGGGTGGGACGAGGGAGATGGTGGCCTGGGTAAAGACGAGACTGGCTGGCTGCCATGCGGTACCAAACACAGATTCACGAGCGAAACAATCTCCAACCCCCTTCCCACCCTCTTCATCATCCTCTTCCTTCTCTTTTCTCTTTCCCTTTCCCTCACCCCATCTTGAGGGATACCCCTTCACTTCTCCCCCTTGGCCATTTTCTTCCCTCCTTTTCCAAAAACACGGGACGAAAAGGGCACGGGTGAGCAGCAATTAATAAAATAAAAAAAATAAAATTAAAAGTAAGAATAAACCGCTGGTCTGGTACTATACGAACCTTGTCGGAAACACAACATGAACGATGGGGACGGGGGGGCGGTGGGTGGTTGGTTGGAATTTTGGGGCGGTGGCGTTGATTTGTCGTGAGCCCGTCGAGGCTGCGACAGAGAGCTTGGAGGAACAACAAAAAGCCCGGTGAAGGTACCGGGGGAGGGGGGAGGAGGCGTTAGTTCATGCGAAGGATGCGAGTGGGAGACTCCTGAGGCGCGCATCCTACGGGCATATGCGGCATACGCCCCGAAGAAATGGCGGTTGGCCAGCATGAAAGGGAGGGGCAGGATGAACCTGCTACTTCCCGTCTCGTGCTGGAAGTATGGCTCGCCTGTTTGGCTGTTGCTTGCCTTTCCTGGTGCGCGGGCGCTTGTGTGAATGCGCAGCTACCCGCGAAACCCGGCGGCTTCCTTGACACAAAACTACCTTATGCAATGAGGGTTGGGCAGTGGGAGAGAGAGGAGAGGAGAGGAGAGCGGAAGGCGGTTTCTCGGAGGACAGTTGCCAGGGTGTGGTAGCGGACAAGTCGTAGCACATTGGCACATGCTGGCGTCCTGTCCATGCCGTGGACAACCCCTAATAGTCCTCTGAATCGAAAGTCCTCGGCTAGGCGAAATTTTGACAAGCGGGTTTTGGTTTTGGTCGCTAGCCGTGCTGTGACCATTGTCTGGTTGTATCTGGGGGCACCGAGGTTCTGGTTCGGCTCACAGCACGCAACTCGTAGATACGCGTATGTCATTGGAGTGATACCATTTGGACGTGTACCAATATCATTAACATTATTATTATTATTATTATTATTATTATTTAAAATGTGATAAGAAGAAAATGACTGGACGAGGGAGATTCCAAATCGGTTTATGAGACAATGAAGAAGGCCGGGCAGCAGAAAGGCTGGGGAAGAAGAATGGCTTTACTGCGAGGGAAATACTGAAACAGTGGAGAGAGTCCCTGCAAGTCAACGCATCCAAATTGCTGGGAACTAACAGATGATCTCGATTTGGATTTCATCCCCTCCCCGGTTCAATTGGAAATTGCAACCTCCCCTCCCCCTCCCACCCTATTCATCCTTTCGTTCTCGTTTATTTCCAAATGTTTGCTTGTTTTCAATGAAAGTAGCGTCGCCGGGGTTGGTTGTTTCTTTGTCCATGTGAGGCCCGGTCAACGCTGCCTGCCGGGTGGTGGCTTGCTGAGAGATTTGGGAAGAAGTAAAAAAAAAAAAAAAATAATAATAAATAAAAAATCACTGCATGTCTCAATATATCAAAGTGCATCCCGGTGGTGTAAGTCGGGGGGAACAGAAACGACGTTCAAATTGGGACGGCTCCACCAGGTTCAGCTGATGTCCAATTAAGGTTTTTGAGTGACATTCCTTTCCTCATACCGTCTGTTTTAGTTTAGAAGCTAAAAGTGTTTTAGTGAGAGTCTTAGACTCTGTAAGGATAAGTCCGGTTTTTTTTATTTTGTTTTTATTTTTTATTGAAGAGCTTGGGGGCTTCTCAGAGTGAGGGGGGAGAAAAAAAAAAGTGGTTGGGCAGAAAAAAGAAAAAGCAATATACAACAAGAAAGGGAGGAGGGGGGGAGAGACGCGCAAAAGATTGCGCCATTTGCACGCCCTGGTTAGCTGCTAGCATGGTAGGTAGTACTGCTACATGGCGGTAATAAATTTGAGCCTTGGCCCTGTATATGCTGCGTGGCATGGCGGTCGCAGGAACGGTTGGTTGGTTTTCTCGGAGCTTCTTGGCCTCGTGCTTATACATAGCACTGGCGGTTCTTTAGCTTGCGTAGTTCTTGAAATGCCCGTGTCTTTCCTTTAGATCGTAGCAGATAATAAATGACTGCCCAAGTTTGTGAACTCAAAAAAAAAAAAAAAAAAAAAAAAAAGTCAGGTTTCGTTGAAAAAAAAAAAGCTAATGGCGTTAGTCAAGCAAGAGGGGGATCCGTACCCTGCCTCCCAGGGAGCTTTAGCAATCCTCAGTTGCGACGTCCGTAGTCACTAATGGAAAAGAGGCTGGCGCAGCTGTACCGTTGAAGGAGCTGGTTTGCGATGACTCCAAGGAGGGCAGAATCAAAAGTGCACACAGTGCGTGTCTTTCAGCGGTGCTTATACCAGTACTAGTACTAGTACCTCCCCCGGGGAACGGAGCCCGGCGGTAAGCCTGAGACCCGGGGGAATGGAGTCACAGTGGGGTTGGGGGGAAAGGAATGTGATGAGGGTGATCACCCGACACTACTACTACTACTTCTATGTATAGACCCCGCCAGCCACGCTTTCTGCCCTGGGCAGCATATCTACATGGTTTTGACTTTGTATCCCCCCCTTCTTCTGCGCTCTTGCGCATACGCTCGTTGGAGCTACACAATGCAATGGTAGGGCGGTTGATAAGCCGGATGGCCCCGAAAGGGGGGGGTCCAGCGATGTCAACGCCCTGCCGAAGATACGCTAGTTTAGGCCCATGCAACTGCTACTACCCATGCCAGCTGAAGTGAAGCCCGAAGGGTTTATGGAGAGATGTACTAGTTTAAAGCTACATTTGTATTCTCAGCCGTCGGTGAGAGTCTCATACTCACCAGCAGTATTCGCTAAGATGCCACAGTCGTAGAGAAACCAGCAGCCACGTTGTCCGAGGGAGATTCTCTATCCCCCCCTTCATCTCATGGCCAGAGGTTGTCTTTACGTTACACAAAGTTCTCTCTCTCTCTCTCTCTCTCTCTCATACATACTCTCTCAGCCTTATGGGAACCATCCTTCTCCCGCCTCATTCCACCTTCCTGTTCATCTTGCCTCCCATCTTGGCAAGGCTTTGAGGTCTGGATGGGAGTCAGAATCCTGCCACTTCATTCCGGAATGCAAAAGGTGCGGTCTCACCACATGCAGATCATCCCCATCTCCCGTCCGACACTAACATCGTCGCTAGGGCTTACCACTACCACCTTACTGATGTGACGCGTGCTTGTTGCCTTCCCTACCTTTAGCACACCTGTTATTTTTCGTATTGGCTTAGCTGCCTATCCGCCCTTCAGACGCCTCACCGATTCTGCAAACCCCGCCATTAGCCTCCCTTCCAATCGGACCACCTATTTCCCCCTCATCAAACCCCAGCCTGGAAGAACTGTCTACCGCAGCTAGGCATGGCTTGGACAGTGATTCCCATTAATTGGACGCACTGAACTGCCGCTGTTAAATCACCCGCAGGCGGTCTCAGACAACGTTTCATCAAGTCGCCTTCGTTCTTGCGTGCCCAGCTCTGTTCCATCCGTCATTCGTTACAGTACGTGATCTAGGCTTCTCATCGCCCGTTTTCTATTGCATTTTGGCTCATCCGAAGTTTATACCTCACCGGGGCTGTCAGACAAACCTAGTGGCCCCTAGAGACAGGCCAAATGGAACAGACTGCAATCCACCTTTTCTTTCCCTGGAATTCTTTTTTTTTTGTTTTCTTTTCGAGCGACATGTGTACGTCGTTAATGATTCGTCGTGTCTCTGGAACATGCACAGCAGCGGGCATATTTGTTTTTTCTCAGTGTGCGTTACTAATGGCCGTGCATAGAATGTCTCACCAAGGGGAAACTCATCTATCTCACTATGAAGTCTGGCCACACAGCTGTCTCCGCTGGTCTCATGAAGACGAGCCTAAATGACGATAGAATGACGGTAGAATGACGACCCAGCGACGCCCATGTGACGAATGAGATTCCGCTACTGCGATTGAGGCGTCGGTTTCTGCAGGCGGCATGCTGCCGACCTGTTTCGGTCTCCCTAAGGGTTTCGGGAGGTTGCTTTTTTTTTCGAGCGCGGCCCGAGGATCAACGCCGTAAAGGCGCGGCTGGCACCGCGCATTGGTTGCCGGTTGTGTGTTGGTCTAGTAAACTTTTTCGTCCGGAACGAAATGTTGGTATCGGCTACTGCAGTCAAAGTAAGAAACAGGTAGGCTGTCTTGGGTGGTAATGTTCACAGTTCAGAGATTCAAACGGCCCGTCGAATAGGAGCATGCCCTCGACCTGGATTGCTGAGGGGTTTGCTTCTACTGAATGCATGTTTGATATCCGTTGACAACTGTCTTTTTACCACTAGGCAGTTGGAGACCTATATTATGTATTTCTCAACAATATCATCCACTTTCACTAATAGAACACTAACAAAGCAAATTTCAGTGAGCCATTGGCATTGCGGGAATCTACTTTGGTGAGGATCATGACTGGTGCAGAATGTCAGTTACGGATTCTCGAGTTTATAATACAAGAAATTTGCAGAACATGGAGAACTATATTAACTTTCTACTTGGATGGCATAAGCGCTACGGGGTGGCAAAGGGAGGTGTATAAGTCGGCCGTTACTATACTCAATCGAGCGAGCCGATGTTCAACCTTTTTTTCATCCAAAGTCAACGGGAACGGCTTTTGATTATAGGCCTTTTGTCTCTTGCTTACATCAGATAGGTGCTTCTGTACACCAATTCGCTGGACCCAAACTAGGAAGAGAGTTTTCCGTGAGACCAATAGGGCTCTTGATCCATGATATCGGATGCATTGAGGGGCCTTCTGAAGCGGCCGGGTTGGTAAAATATTATATTTTGCCACCCTTCTACAGTCACTGTGTCTTTATTTTCAAGTATTTTGTGCCTAATGTGGTGAGAATCTGGGTGGTTGTCATGGCCTAATTTGAATGATGTGGCAGCGCTCAAAGAGGAATTGGGCAGAGATGAGAAGGTCTTCTCCAATAACGCTATATACTTGAGCCCAGAGACATACAATGGTACGAACTCGAAAGACGGCTAAATTTTAATATGAGGCGACTTTTGATACTCAATGTTGGCTTTCGAATGCTGGCGGCCGAAGAAAGCTGATGGAATTCTTGAAAGGAGCCTGTTTTATCCTTGTCATGAGCTTCTTGAACCCTCAGAGGAAACCGCCATGTCTTTATGGTTTTTTAATGTATCTTTAGCAATTTATTTCATCTCATAGATAGTCTTTCATGTGGAATCAGCTACCAAGATGTACCCTCTATCAGTCGAACATGGGTTATACTTCTCGACAGAGAGTGGCACGAATTATGGCTATATCGTTGCGCGGTTATTGTCAAATTCTATCGACATGGCTGTTACCGCCGTGCCTCTCACTTCATGGATATTAAGCCATCAACCGACTCAAACCTATGAAGCGGAGCTGAACATGATGCAGATGTGATGAGACGTATACGAAGCAAAACCCATCCTCTGCTTTGGGCAGCAACCAAACCAAATGCTTCCTCTGCTATAACCGTGACCAAAGATATCCAGATAAGCCACTAGAGTTAATAAAAATATAAAAAATAAAGGCTCACTGAGTCAGTTGAGCAATTCAACTAGAAGTATATGGCGTTGTATAACCATCCTACATGCCCACCTGTCGTGACCGTTAACCTACCCAACCCATGTTAACTCACTGGTGCCATTGAACGGACACATATACAAATAAATCCGTTTAAATGTATCGCAGCAACCTAAAACTTTCATGGTAATGGGTTCACTGATAGTCTTCATTCAAGGTGAAGAGAGGGGTCAGTTTTGCATGAGTTCATGCGGAGCTAGGCAAGGGCGAGCAGAAAGACATGGAGATCGTAAGCTTCGAAAACGGTACTCATGAGTTAGACCAACCAAAATATATCAAAGGGGAAAAAAGACTTGCCTGCCTTGACAGTACGCCTGCAAGAGTCTTTCTGGGGTGTGTGGTTGTGTAGGCAATTATGTGAGAGCATCTCTTCCTGAACAATGCATATGCTGCAAGTTCGAGATGTGTATCGCATTATGCTACCATCATAGAATACCCAGTGAAACCACCAAGGTGAATTGCCAACTCTGAGAGATATAGAGAGCTAGGTTAGGTATTTTTCAACTTGTCAAACGGGGACTATCAAAGGTCCAACACCATGACTTGATTTCTGCTAGCCCAAAGCTCTCCATGTAAAGAGTCAGCGTTTTCACTGAGAGCTGTATTGACCAAAGATAGTAAAGAACTCATTATTGCTACAGATCTCAGACAAACACGTACTGCAGTACATCCAACAGGACGAAGCCAGAACCATGAATAGCGAGTAGGACAACCTCGAGTACGTGTTTGCCGGTGGACATGTGATCTATGTCAACAGCCAAACTCATTTCCGGGTAAAACAACAGTGTTAAAGAAGGATACATGCTAAAGAAAGGTTCAGACGCTACGGTGTAGACGCCAACGAGGCTACATCTTTCAGCCGTCAAAGGAGCCTTGAACTCGCTAGTAAGTTCTAAGCACCAGTGGTTCGTGCTAGCCCGCCTTCTTGGCTTACTTCAACAGTTTAGCGAAAATGCGAATTCTAGCCTTCACAACGATTCATGGCTAGTACCGCTTTCCACTTCTATCCTGTTCCAATCATCCGCCCAATCTCAGTGCTGTGTCAACAAAGACTCAGTCCGCTTTAGGAGCACACCGGATGCACCATGATCAATCAACGCCACAGCCTAGAGTCGAACCATGACAAAGACAGCAATCGTACACAACCAAAAACAAGTGGCTTAATTGTGGCCAAAAAGCAAAAGAGAATCTCCTCGACGGGGAATTGAACCCCGGTCCCCGGCGAATCGTTTTAATGACAAGCCGATATCCTCACCACTAGACTATCGAGGATTGGTGTTATTAGATGTCAATTCTTAGAGCGAAGGTGGATATAACCTAGTGATACCCACTTAGGGTTTGCTGGAAAAGATGTACGCCACTAGGACATAGTACGGTCGGGGGCAACCACTGGCTTACATTTAATGCGTAAATATTACTGTATTCGATTCTGATAGTAACTTTAATGTGTTGAACACTTAGAGAACGAAACTGAGTTTCCATCCTCGACTGGTGTCAGTGATAAACAGACCTTGACATACCTTACCAATCCCCATGTCAAGCTGCCAACACATGTGGGTAACGCTATTAGCTCCCTCACTGCATGCTTTTCTTTACACGACCTCGCTCTGGAACACGCTTGCGAATTTCGTGGCTTTATACTATACATATGTCTATTTTGAGCACTCGTCATTAATGGCCGCTTGATGTACATGTCTTTTTCGGTTTTTTTTTTTCTTTTTCTTTCTATATTCATTTTTCCTCCGCTGATTTCTAAACCCCTTTTACTGTCTGTAAATAGCATCCGCCATCTTAACCACCTGACACATTTCAACAGCGTCATGAACCCTCACAATGTCCGCGCCGCCCTGGACGGCTGAAACGACGGTAGCCGCCGTGCCCCAAATGCGCTCTTGCGGCTTAGGTACGCCGGTAATCTTGCCGACGAAGCTCTTGCGACTAGAACCAAGCAGCCACGGGAGACCCTCGAGGCCGGGCCAGGAGCGGAGCTCATCCATGTGACGCAGGATCTCAAGGTTTTGAGCACCCGTCTTGGCGAAGCCCAGACCAGGGTCGAGAATGATGCGCCAACGGCGCACTCCCGCTGCCTCGGCCTCAGCGACGCGGTCGAGAAGTTCGCGGGCAATGGTGGGAATCAGGCCTTCAGGGTAGTCTGTCAGGGAGTTCATAGTCTTGGGGGTGCCGCGCATGTGCATGAGGCACACGGTGCGATTGCTGCGGGCCATATAGCTGAGCATCTCCGGGTCAAGCTGCCCCGCAGAGACGTCGTTGATGATGTCAGCACCTGCGGCGACTGCGGCCTCGGCGACTGAAGCACGATAGGTGTCGACGCTGAGGGCCAGGTGGGAGAGCTCGGGAAGGCTGCGGACGAGCTTGATGACAGGCAGCACACGAGCGAGCTCTTCCTCGGCGGGGACCTCAGGGCGGCCCGGAGCGGTGGAGGCGCCGCCGACATCGATCATTGTTGCACCGGCTTTAGCGAAGGATTGCAATGTGGAGACGAGGTTCTCGGGAGTGTGGATGCCACCATCGGAGAAAGAGTCGGGGGTGACATTGATGATGGCCATGACGTGCGTTTTGCGAGTAGGGGTGAGTGATACGAGTGGTCGGTGACCGGCAGAGATAGGAGTCATTGGGGAGAGAGGTGCTGCCGCCGGAGGCAGTTCATTGAGGTAATCAAATGTGAGTTTCCAAGGCTTGGATGCGTAGATGGGCTTGTTGGGGATGAGTCTGGGCGAGTATGTCAGTTGTCGATGATGGTAAGAAATGAGAAATGGGCCTACTCTGCAAGGGGGCGCAAGACGAACTCCCGCTCAGGGATGCCAATATGAGGGACCGTGAGACGGGGATGCTCAATGTTTTGGTCTCCATACATGAGAATATCCAGATCGATATTCCGAGGACCCTTGTCAATGAACTTTTGACGGCCCAATGTGCGCTCAATATCCTGCAGCTGGTCGAGGAGAGCAAGGGGCTCAAGTTCAGTCTCAACCTGTCATTGTTCAATCAGTCTAGCTCGGACTCATTTATACAAACATGAATCATGCAGCACCATGACACCACGGATGAGAGAAGTTGTTATTGAAAGGAAGACAGAGTGTGTCACTAACCTCGCATGCTCCATTGACAAATCTATCCTGGTCTAGAACATACATTGGCTCCGTCTCCCAGAGGCTACTTGTGCGCTTCACCTTGATGCCGCGACGGTCCATCTCGGCGCAAGCCTGCTCAATCCAACCTACTCGGTCGCCAAGGTTGCTGCCGAGTGCGACGTAGGCGGTCGTCGGGCCCTTGAAACGGTCGGCGCCGTTACTGCCGCATCCGCCGCCGCCGCCGCCGCTGCAGGCACACCCGCAGGCCATCCGGGTCTGAGCGGCGGTCATGGTCGGAGACAGAGTCCGGATGATTGGCCGGGAGCGGGAGCGGGAAAATGTATCAGTGATTGTGGAGGCTGATGCAGATGATGTGCAGCAGGGTGTGCGCAAGGAGAAGGAGCTGGTTGTGTAGCAGTTTGCTGGTGTCGTGACCTGGAACCGGACAAGTCGCGGCGTTAGGGCCTGGCTGCGGCGCGCATTGTTTCTGCGTGCTAGGGCACAAGCTTGCGAAAAGAGGGAGGGGTGGCGGAGGGGGATCGGAGGTTTCATCATCGCAAAACTTGAAGGCGCCCACTGAGAGGATGAGATTGTGTGTGTGTGTGAGTGATGAGGGTCACTGTGAGAGAATCTTGCAACCAATGAGAATGAAGCGTAGTGGTCCCCTACAATGATATTGCTTAGGTAAGACGTGGGCTTGCTGCTGGAGACAGGCAAAAAAAAAAAAAAAAAAAAAAAAAAAAACGTGGGTACTCCGTAGTCTCTTTCTCAAGGGGGCGACACCCCCGTTCAGAACTGATAGGCTGTGGAGTGTTCAAAGTCGATACGGGCCGCTGCCTACTATCTGATCCGTATCTTCGGGGGCCGGCACCCGGCGTGGCTTGGATTCGTCCGTGGTTGCACCGGGCTGGAGGTTAGATCATGTCATGATTCAAACAAAGTTTTCCTGGTCAATTCCAAACGAGCTAGAAGCGGCATAGAATGGGCTGCTATTGACTCGGACATTGGGCTTACTCTAAGCCCATGTCGCCCTTTGTGAAAAGCGACCGTGGCCTGAGAGAGTGCGAGTGCGCTGAATCAAGTGCTTGAGCTAGCCCTCAGCATCGGATACAAATCATGAAATCAAACCGAGGTCACCACCCACGAGTACGCTTATGATGTGCCTCACTCAGGATATGCATGCGATTTATGCTTTCCTGTAGCACTTGTGAATTGTCCCCTCTTATGGGTTGGCCCTCGGCATCTTTTCCCCAGATCCACCCCGCTGGGCTCATTCAGCCGTGGGGTCCATCCCAAACAGGCCTAGCTGTGCAAGTCACAGGTGAACCTCGGCCCATGGCAACGCACACTCCGCCCCTTCTTCCCCAGGAAACCAGCCCGGGTGACGCCAGGCGCTACTGTCACTGCTGACACTCTTATTAAACCGCTGATTGCCAGCCCTTCTTCTTGCCTTGCTGCTACCGCAACTCTCCTTCGTCTACAACCCACATTCCAGCCGATCTATTTGTTCTTGTACAGTTCGTGATTCATTATACCCAGGCTTTAAGCGTCATTACATATCCACGAAATTCAGACACCATGGCTTCTCCTCGTAAGTTGGTTTCTCTCAATCTCACTGTCACATGCCACGGACTGACACGTTGCGCAAACAGAGCAGATTCGCACCCCCATCACCGATCTTTTCAAGATCAAGCACCCCATCTTGCTTGCTGGCATGAACGTGGCCGCTGGCCCCAAGTTGGCTGCTGCTGTCACCAACGCCGGCGGCCTCGGTGTCATTGGTGGTGTCGGCTACACCCCAGAGATGCTGAAGGAGCAAATCGCCGAGCTCAAGGAATACCTCAACGACAAGAACGCCCCCTTCGGCGTTGACCTGCTTCTTCCCCAGGTCGGTGGTAGCGCCCGTAAGACCAAGTAAGTCCTCTACATCCCGGCTGAGCCGGCGCAAGCGTCCCAGACAAGCAGACTGACGCGTTATCGTCAGCTACGACTACACTAAGGGCAAGCTTAACGAGCTGGTTGACATCATTATTGAGTCTGGTGCCAAGTTATTCGTTTCCGCCGTCGGCGTCCCCCCCAAGCAAGTCGTTGACAGGCTCCACGGTGCCGGCATTGTCTACATGAACATGATCGGCCACCCCAAGCACGTACAAAAGTGCCTCGACCTCGGCGTCGACATCATCTGCGCCCAGGGTGGTGAGGGTGGTGGCCACACCGGAGACGTCCCAACTACTGTTCTCATCCCCGCTGTCGTCGATATCTGCAAGGGCCACAAGAGCCCTCTGACCAAGGGTCCTGTCCAGGTCATCGCCGCCGGTGGTATCCACAATGGTCAGCTCTTGGCTGCTGCACTGATGATGGGTGCCGGCGCCGTCTGGGTCGGAACTCGCTTCATCCTGACCGACGAGGCTGGCGCACCCAAGGCGCACAAGGAGGCTGTCCGCACCGCCGGCCATGATGACAACATCAAGACCCTCATCTTCACAGGTCGTCCTTTGCGCGTCCGCAGCAACCCGTACATTGAGAACTGGGAGACGGAGCGCCAGCAGGAGATTAAGGAGCTGACCGCCAAGGGTGTCATCCCCTATGAGGCCGACCTCGAGAAGCTCATGAACGAGGGTGGCGATGGCAGCAACAGCGAGGGTGGCAGTGACAACAACGCCTCTGAGGTCGATATTGACGACGCTCTGGACCAGTTCCGCCCCTACCTCATGGGCAAGGCCGCTGCAGTGTGCAACGAGCAAAAGCCCGCCAAGGCCGTCGTCGATGAGTTTGTCAACGACGCCGTCGCATGGCTCCAGAAGGGAAACAAGATGATTGCCAAGCTGTAAAACTGTAAAATCAATTATGCTTCACCATTTAACGAGTTGTTGGTTCGCATGTTGGGCGACGCCAAGGGAAGTGACCCTGAGTTGGTGTGCCCGGAGTTATGAGGCTCTTGTTTGTACATAAAAGAATGATCTAGGATGGATAACTGCTAGCATTTCATGAACGAATTATTATTATTATTATTATTATTATTTCCCTTTTTCAGTTACAACCTGGCAACCAAACGCACGTAGCGATGAGCCTTTCAATCAATTGCTTGGTGCCTGTGCTCTTTGCCTTGGTTGTTGCGGCAATACCCGTGATGGAATTGAATTTCACATTCGACTATTTCGGACGTCAGCAGTTGAGATGTTCCGAGCTTACCGGTTGCCTCGGCCATTGACTTTGCGCATTCTCCTGCCCTGGCGCCTAGTTTTCATGTACACTGCAACGTCAGACGCATGACCCTTGGAAAGCTGTGCTGCGCCGTCTGAGCAGTGCTCGGTGGTATCAGTGCACAATGTCACATGCCAGCCATGCTTGCTAGTTCAAGTTTCTGAACAATAAAAGAGCTCAATTCTATTCATTCATACTTATGTATTACCTAAACCAACAGCTGTGTCATCACTCCATCGCCGGCTCTGTCTGTAGGCTTCGTGCTAAGATGCATTTAGAAAAAATAAAAATCCTCCCCAGCACTCGTCCTCCTGTCCCTCCCACCCGCAGGCTCGGCGGATGGTCCGTGGCAGAACACAAGGTATCTTTCGCAACTGCTCGGCGCTTTTCCCACGTCCCCATCTCCCTTCTTTTATAGGTCTGAGCTGTCCCAACTGTAGATACCGATGAGACGCGTTGGTGATCTTGTCTGTTCGTAGCAAATTGAAAAGCAATCAATCTTTCTTCCCTTTTCCCAATGCCGTACGCCTTCGCATCAAGTCTCTCAGCTGCCAAGGTAGGCACGAATGGCACCCTGGAGCTTCTGGCTGGCCTCGCCCGCCAGCTGGGTGAGGTTTTCAAGGTCGTCGCCAGCCGTGATGCCGAATCTGCGAATGAAGTCCTTGGCAGCGCCCTCAAGATCGCCGTACTCCTCGGCAGGCTCATCCTCGGGACGTCCGAAGTAGGCGTTGGAGGAGATAGAGGTGGCACCCTCGAAACCTTGCAGGCGCGTCTTGGCCTCCGCCTGAGCATTGGGGTCGAACGATCCCTTGCCGAAGAACTCATCTGAGGAAATGCCCTTCTGGCTACCGAACTTGCTCCGGGCGTAGGTCTCGCCGTCATCTGCAGAACATTAGCAACATTCCTATTTCGATATGAGAATTAAACTCCATACCCTCAGTAGCGGCCTTGATGGGACCAACAGAGCCGAATCCACCAGCAGCAACCTTCTTGGGTGCCGCAGCAGCCTTGGATCCACCGACTTGACCAAAACCCAGTCTAGCGACGCCCATACCCAAGCGCTCTACCTCGGCGTTGGACTTCTGGCGGGTATGGCTGGATGACCCGTAGCCTCCCTTCGGGCTAGTAGGGGTGGCAGCAGAAATAGTGTCAGACTTGGCGGCCTTCTTCTCCTCTTCAGCCTCGGGATCATAGCCCAGCTTCTCGATACGTTCAGCCTCTTCCTTGGCCTTCTTCTCAGCCTCGTCAAAGTCAATGATGTCGCCGGTTACCTTCTTCACACCAAGCTTGGGAGCTTTCTTGGCGCCCAAGATGTTGGCCTTGCGCGGGCCACCAGTAGCAGTCTTACGCAGAGCGGCAGAGGTAGTTACACGGCTGGCTGCAGGCTTGTTATCACCCTCAGCCTTGGAAAGGGGCGAAGAGGAGCGTGCGATATCCTTGCCGGCGCCATTGTTGGCGTTAAGGAAGGGGGAGGGAGTTCGGCCGACTGTTGGAGGGGTCGCAGTTCGAGAAACAGGAGGCGTGGGCTTCTTGATGGAGGGCTTGTCCCAAGAGGAGAAGAAGTCGTCGTCAGGTTCGCCGGATGGGGTCGAGGTCTCAGCGTCGGTGGCGTCGGTAATCACGACCTCGTTGGGGTACCTGATTGTCAGTCAGTTAAGCTGCGATATATCAAGACTTTAATTTGACGCACTCCTGAGCATCCCTCGCGGCACGTCTCTTCAGCTCGTCCTTGTACTTGGTGGCAGCATTGGACTGGTACTTGGTCTTGGGGTCTTTGCTGTTGAGGGCCGCAGTGCCGCCATTTTGTTGAAAGAACTTAGTAGCCGACTCGTTTCCGCCAACCTTCATCAAGCGCAATTGGTCCCATTGCCACTCTACCGAGGGTCAGTCAAAGAACACATATCCTAGAATTACAGGAACGTACGGTCGAGGTTGGTGGAGCGGACGAATGAGATGTGAACGCCGAGATTTCGGTGGTTAGAAGAACAGTCGAGACAGAGGTAGATACCGAACGGGACAGAGGTCCAAGTAGGGTACTTTGCGCCGCAATCAAAGCAAATCTGTGGTGTACGTCCAGTCAGATACAGATAGAGACAGATGGCAGAGAAGGGCGCAAATGCAAGGCATTACCTTGTTCGCAGGCTTGGTCTTCAACTTCTCGAAGATCTTCAGCGACTGCTGCTTGGAGGCGAGTGCAGCCATGTTGACGGTTCGTGCAAAGAATACGAGTCTGTACTTGTGACCAGGTGTGCTGCGCGACCGTGGTGAAGAAGCGGCTCGAGGGAATGAAAACTGCGGGTATACAAAGATGGGTGCGCCAGCGAGAGCGAAACAAGGAGCAGAGGTATCTGAATTTCGTGTCCAAAAGTTCAGGAGACAGTCGCCGCCCTTCGGTGAAGTGGCATGTAATCAATGCGCTAGTCCTATTTCGGCTAGTTCCCTTTTCCCCACAGTGGACTGGCAATTCGAATTCTGCCAAAGGCGGTCAGTCACCTTTTGCAGAGGTCGAGGACCCAGCTACCCTGGAGCTCCAGCTACCGACGGCCAAGCTTCTGGACGACAATCTTTTCAGTACATCGCCCTCGTACGATGGCTGACGTTGAGCCGCCATGATGAAACTTACTACTAGTGCGACCGCGATTCGCGTACCATCGACTTTGGGCCTTGCGCCGCGACTACAACCCTTGCTTCTACAGCGACACTATGCGACACAGTACGGTCTGGGAACGACCTCTACGCCTGGACCGAAACGGAAGACGGTCACTCCGTTTAATGATACCGGCTCAGTTCCTTGGTCTGAGCTTTCGACGGGAGAGAAGGCGGCTAGGGCTACGCAGCAAACCTTCAACTTGGGTTTGATCTTGGCTGGGTTGTTCGTAACGGCAAGTCATACGATAACTTACCCCGCGGCAACTGTTGGCTGACGCTCATGAGCGAACCAGGGTGGAGTGGCATATGTCCTGTACACGGACGTTTTTTCCCTCGACAGCAAGACGGCACATTTCAACCGAGTCGTCGACAGAATCAAGAGCGATCCAAAATGTATTGAACTACTCGGAGACCCCAAGAAGATTTCCGCGCATGGTGAAGAGACATATAACAAGTGGCGACGGGCTCGTCCGATTGCGTATGAATTCAATTCCATCAATCAGGGCCGCATAGATCTGACAAGGATAGTTCGACAATCAACACCGATTCCAGGGGTCATGAGCACTTGTTGATGCACTTTTTCGTATGATTTCCAACTCCCATACCCCAGACAGTCTAGCCTGACTTTGTTCTTTAGGTCGAAGGACCCCTTAACAGAGGAGTTGTTCATTTGCACATGATCAAGACTCCCAGTAGTGACGGGTTCGAATACAAGTACCTCTATATCGACGTCAAGGGACATCAAAGGCTGTACTTGGAAAACGCGGATACTGGGTCATCAGCTTCTGGAAAGAAGGGTTTCAAGTTCCTTGGCATAAGCTGGTAAACTGTATGATAGAACGAAGATTCGGTAAACGGGGAGTACGGCTATGAGCATTGTAAGATAGCGGTATTATAAGTCAGGAAACCGAGGAATCCGGGATCAAGCCTGCGACCAATAACCAGCGAAGGATATGCTATTCAGGTTCGCAACATTTCTTCCCTATACCTATGTTTTCAATTTCAACGTTTTTATATGCCCCAGAACCATTTATACTTGCTTAGTCTGCTCTCGGGCCGTGTCTTTGTCTTGAGCCACCACCACGTCAAACCCTATTGAGAACAGTGAGTCGCTATTAACCAAACGTGGGACTGAGAACCCAAGGTGAGAACTCATGACGCCAGGTAAAACCGGGAAACAGCAATCGAATGCAAACACGACTGTTACAATACTAAGCTGTTATCATTTCACACACAGTTCGATGGGTCGTGTAGGCACAGCATAGAGCGGAACAGCCTTTATACAAAGAGAATCACAAGCAATCCCATTCGGTATCACTAGTTTCTGCCATTGCTTAAGCATATTGGGTGCAACGGATGACCCGCTTGCTTTGAGACGTCACGTTGTGGCCCCTTCCGTTACAAGTTCGTTCAACTCTGTTCAAGATGCTTTCTTCCCAGCTTACGGGTTCACGAGTCGGGAGTACAGTCTTGCAGTGCTTCTAGGTTAATATAACTGGGCTCTCTGTATGTCAGACACTCGAATTGCAACCATTTACACAAGTCGCTTCGTAATTTCAAATGTTCGTGTCAGTACTCTTAATAACCTCGATGTGGGAGCGTTCCAGAGCCCCAATGGTCGCTTATTACAATCGATACCACTTTCTAGAAGAGCCAGAAAACAATAAATACCCAGGTACCAGCAGTCGGCTAGCGATATACATTATCTCATGGCTATGTCGAGGGCACAATTTGAGCCTGCCGAGATTTTCGCCCTGGTCGAGACTCTCCAAACATACACTCATGGCAGGAGAGTATGTGGCTTTTTATGGACAGTAGTTCTTCAACGGGTATAACCATTTCTTTCCGCATATGGTAGGCATTAAACAAACTTTTATTGGGTTTATTCGTCTTCTTGCGACTTGGAAACATTGTATCTCTCGGATATTCTCTTGCTTCAAATCATTCAATCGCTAAGCGCTTTCCATGTTTAAGCATCGTGTGATATGGCAAACTTGGAAGAAGTATTGAATCAGAAATGTAAAGAACATGGTACAGTCCCAGCCTGAATGAACCCTTGAACCGCGTTGAACCAAATCTACCAGGTAGTTAGATTCTAGATTGGCTAAGTTACTTCAGCTTTATCGTTTATAAACCGTATCCTAGATCGTAATCAGACGTTCACTAATGTTGGCATCTTAGGAGTCTTCGTCAATTAGGGTCAACATCACAAGAGGAAGGCAAATCCTCATTGAAACATTTCGCAGCTATGTCAGAGGAGCAAAGCCCCCCCCCCCCCCCCAAAAGTATACAGGGCTAAGGGCTATAGTTCGTGATACCGTCTATATTTTCTTCCTAGTTGACATCGATCAGGAAATGTACCCAGACTAACTTCCAACTGTTGTTCGACATCAGTGTGTAACATCTCTGTCTCTGTCGAAGAAGCGAATCGAAATCTCGGGAAACCCAAAACATCTCTACTTGTTGGGAGCTACTCTGGTTCGCAGTGCCATCAAGCCAATATTCAAGAAAACAACTACAATCAATGAGAGACTCTTCCTAACTCACAGTTGTAAATGTTGGAACCAGTATTTCACTGGCTTGAAGGCTCAATCTCTTTCTTGATAATCAAACTCCACAGAGACTTTTAAAAAATATAAAGGAACAAATTCAGAATCAATGAAACACTTCACTTGGCTGTTAGAAATCGTGGTAGGCTAGGTGCGGTGACTGTTCATCACTTGCATGGGAGTTTGCAATCGATAAATCGGCACGTTTCAAAAGACTTCAAAACCCAAGTTGCAAAAAACTGGTACGATGTTTTAAAGTCCAAGTTACGATCATCACGCTCCACAACTGTGCCACATTTCGTGTTCAGGTCTAGGGTCGTCAAACCTCACAATACAAACTCTACACCCCGCCCCGTACGTCAATAAGCCACATTCAACACTTTCAGCTCTCGGTTTCATTTGTTCTTGGGTAACTGGAAAAATCACGCACAGAACACGCACGTAAGCCTCTTGTGGTTCCCCTACTGGCTCCCTCACAGCCACGTAAGCGAGGCCGTAAGCAGGCGTCCTCGAGAGGGCCCTGATTCGCCCAAGTTGCAGTTCAGCGCTGTTGCCTAACGGAACGCCCTACTATCCAAGCGCGCATACCTAAGCCAAATGCACATCTTCAACCACGATTGATGGCTTAGGCAACCGTGCCATGGCCGCAGAAGTCGAGATGACTTGCGTGGAGTACATTGTAGGCGAACCACCGACAGGGCAGATACGAGAGGTAATCCTGCGTTCAGCAGCAAGATGTAACAAGCGGCATATATGTAGATTGAATTCCCAGGCAGAAAAGACGCCGGTTTCTTTGCATGTACAGCCACGATTGTCCGTGCCTGATTACTTAGCCTTCTCCCACAGCCTCTTTCTACGTTAGCGTCGCAGTCTTATCCCCTGTTTATTAATCACCTCATCTACAGAGGCTCGCCGTAGATTGAAGGGGCCATTCATCAAATGTGTATCCCTCGCCCACGCAGACACAGATCCTCAAGTTCTTCGCCTATCACCAACATCCCCTATAGCCGCCTGCAGTCACCGCCCCCAACACCCCGAATGGCTCCCAAACCCACTTCACCTTCACTACCGTCCACCGGTGTCGGAGCTATGCCGGGTCCGTCCACGGCAGCTCGCGTTTCTTCCCAGCATGAGCGGCTACTCTTAGAACTACTCCCCTTCAAGGAGGCGAGCAAATTCCATGAATGGCTCAACAGCCCCTTTGTACGCGGGTCGTAGAACGAGTTCTACATCGATTTCTTCCGTGCTGGTGGTGGAAGCGGGGCCGGGAGTCCCGCCGGTGCTCCGGAGCCTGACAAAGCCCGCACGGCACAGACGGCGCGTGATGCGCTCAACTCCCGCAAACCAAAGTACCTGGTGTATCACCCGGACAAGACGGGCTGGACCCCAGAGGACCACTACGTGCGCTTCATAATCACCCTTGTCGCCGACAACATGCTCCAGAGCTTATGGTCCGAATCAGAGTGGAAAAAGCGAGGCCTTGACATTGCCAAGGCCGCCTATGAAGTGCTCATCTTCCTCAAGGCTACCTTGTACGCGGATCCCAACCCGCCGAGTTACTCGGCATGAGAATGAACACGAGCATCTTCTTGTTACGACGGTACTTGGGAATGATTGAACGGGAAGGAAACACGGCGCACTCGGCGTTCGGTTATGGCTCTCTTTTTGGGAAACAGGGAACAAGCATTGAGTATTTGAGTTTCTCGTAAGGTTGGCCAATCGCGATGACATTGGCGTCCTCATGGCATCAGATAGTCTAAGATCAGATCATTTAACGACACTTCATAAAATGTCCTTTCACATGTTTTTTTTTTTGTCTTCAGTAAGAGGAAGACAAAAAAAAACAAAAAACAGTAGAACACGTCATATCCTGCTCATGAAAGATGTTGAGACTGAACAAACTCCCGTCCCGCCCTGCACATGAGGTTGAGTTGATGACCGCATTCCGGGAACCTTCACATGGCAAGATGACGACGATGATGGCTGACGTCTGGACAGGAATTCTGGACCGGCAAATACCCCTTGCAATCTAGACTTCTGCTGTAAAGGGACCTATCGTACGTTCATGCGACATCAAAAACTAACACTCTTTTCCCAACGAACCCAGTTCCAAGTATGCGGGCCCGACATATAGTTGGCATGTGACAAAGGGTTCAGAGAGCGAGAGAGTGGGAAAGAAGTAAGTGTAAGATCAGAAACTCCGAGACTGAGCCGCAAACCCCCCTCAACTCCCGACTTGGCACATACTTCCCGAGACGAAACAAGACAACTGCCCCGGCGAACTCTGACGAACCGGCGAGATACACCGAAACAAAAGAGTTGCCATGAAGAGGGGGAAAACCCCAAGCAAAAGAAAAAAAAAAAATTGACATTGAAAATGGAGTTATTTTCTTTACAAACACACCCCCTCTCTAACTTCTCAGTCTCAACCAGGAACCGTTTGCACATGCCGCGAACGATTCCCAAAAAAAGAAAAAAAGAAAAAAGAAAAAAAGAAAAAAAGGGCCGAAATGTTTGTGTGTACTCTTTCTCTTTTTCTTGCTGTAAAATATGTATCCTCGGCTACATTTGTCGCATTCGAGGCCCTATGGGAGAAAGGGTTGCAAACGCAACAACTTTTTCCAGGGAGGCGGCCTGATGGCGTGTAACCTTCAAATATGCATGGTCCATAAGTTTGCGCAATCAAGTCTTTGACAAACATGTTGCATATTGCAGCATGTATTATTCCAACAGAAACATTAACCAAAGAGACATATGCAGAGTGGTCTAGAACTCGCGTATGCGAGACAAGAACCTCGTAGCGATCAAAGCCCTTGAGCCAAGCGAGAAAGTGATATTGCAACGCTCCCCAGCCGGCCAGACGGAGAGTGACTCCGATATTGCAAGGAGGCTCCAGCTCCGTTCAGCCTCGCTTACGACCATATTTGATAGGAGAAAACAGCGGCTGGGGCGCGAGGGAGGGAAGAGAGGGAAATGGAAAGAAGGGGGGGGTGTGGACGGACAGGTAGAGGAGCGGGATTGTGCAGGACCCGGCTGCAAGTCATTGATGCAAGGTCGACCAACTTTGTCATGTCTTTTCTTCTTTGGCTGTCCTCATCGCCGAATCTTGCCTCTACACTCGCGGCAGCCGTTCTGGCGACGCTCTAGAAAATGCAAGGTAGAGACATCGTTTCGGCAGTGGGCATGTCAGCGGCGACGGCATTGGGGCGGCAGACGACGTGTAGCCACGCAGAGAAGCTCAAAAGAGAGGGGGAGCAAGGGGTATGTGGATGGAGGGGGGGGGAGAGCAGCGGAGACAACAGAGACAAAAACAAAGGGCAAACGTAGCAGATCCAAACAACGGTGTGTATGTTTGGATGTGATGTGATGGCGGTGGTCTAGAAGGGGGAACAGGCGGCGGTTGTGCGGCTCTCAGGTCCCAAACGACAAAAAGTCGGGGTGGTCGCCCGTAAGGATCCGGTAAGATGGAGCCAGGGTTAGACGACCTCCGCATGATTGAGCGGCATTATGGGCTGACCAAGAAGCGGGAGGCGCCTGTGGAAGAGGTTTCTGATGCAGCAGCATCGTCTCAACTCGGGCGTTTCGACCAAGCACTCGCCGCCTTCCGCCTCCACCCTGTCCTCCACCTTGTTCTTTTTTTTCTTTTCTTGTCTCCTGCTTCGAGGGTTGCAACCGGATGCGCGGCGAATGGGCGATCGTATGCGAGAGAGCGGGAGCAGCAGCATCAAGCAGCAGTAGTAGCAGCAGTAGCAGCCCAACGCAAAGTTTCTTCGGGGCTAAGCTATGACTGCTTTCGTGGTCTCAGGGCCATCGACGTGCGTTGTCCTTTTGCCCCGTTCTCCCCGGCCTTGTAATGCAGCAAGGAATAATATAGTAGCATACTAGTAAAGGGGGCAGCGGCAGCAACGGTAACAGCAAGTCGTAACAGCGGGTAACGAGTGACAGAGTGGTTTGCTACGATTGGGCTGGGATGGACGACATGACAGGCGTATACAACTGTCGTACTGCGAAAAGGCGGGTGGACGCGCCAGTAGTTCGTCGATCCGGGCAATCAATCTACGCTTTTCTTAGACTCGTGTTCCTGTTCACAGCCTCGCTTTGGTGCGGGTAAGGTGTAGCAAGCTAGGGTCGGAAAGATATCGACTGATGATGAGGGAAAACATGGGTTCAGGCGATCCGACCACGCTTCCATTCTCATTTCTCATAGTCTCTCCCTAGCAAGCACCCTCTCTGTGTCAATCCATCTAACTGTCTCTATGTCGCTCGGTCACCATGGGCCGACGGGTGACGGCAGAAGTATATATACGGTACGTATGCATGGATGTAGGTAGGTGGTAGATAGACAGACTATCTACTGCTTCATCGCTAGGCTTGGAGTTCCGGAGCCAGGATCTGGCAAGCTGGGCTGTATCTCTCGATTTCCACGATCGTAAGATGGAATGGCGTTATGTTTGGTGATCAAGCGGAGAGACAACTTGGATGAGGCGGGGTAGGGGGCGCGCAAAAAAACAGTGGAAACACTGCCGGCTCCGTCGGTGAGATGTCACTCTAATCATCCTTGGATGCGAGCCTGTGATGCAACACGCCGTCAAAAGGGGGGTGGACGACAATAACTCAAAAATTGTGCGCAGCACAACGACATGCGAGGGCGGGCAATTGTCCACAAGAGTATCGCGTGTGTGTGCACGACTTGATGAAGAAGTAGACTTCCTGGGACCCTGGAGAGCCTGATTGCGGCGCAGAGGGTTATTGATTGACCTGGGATGCTGTCCAAGGGCCAGGAACATCATGATGATGAAGCCGGTCTAGACTTTTGGACTCATAATCGCTATCATAATCGCTACTACATTACGGTGGTACGTAGTATGTAGCAGCAGCAGATATGCGGACCTACCTTGCCGGAGAATAAAGTATTAATTAGTGTGTACGTACATTGTACGTAGTCGAGCCCAGGCAGAGGAGGTTGGGTGGGAATAACTTCAAACCAGCGCCAATGCAAGTGGATGGGGCGGAATTATGTCACCAATTGGTGGGATCGCGGCATTAAAAAATTGACAAGAGGACGTGGTAAGGAATTAGGTCAGAAACTCAATAGAGGCTAACACTTGTGCTGTTCTCGTAATTCCGCACTGAATGGACTTACGAGATGGCAACAGAAGGGCCGCAGTCGCAGGGCTGTGACCAAAGCTCCAGAGGGCCAGGAGAGAGAGGAGGGTGTGCGGCTAGCAAAACGTGCCCAAAGATCTGGGGCTCTAACGGAGGGCGAGATAGTCGCGAAGCGGGATGTGACAGGGGAAGCCTTAAAGAGACGGGGGATTTCCAGTTTAGGTGGGTGAAAAGGAAGGGGAAGTATCGCGAAGTCACTCGATCTCCAGAAATACCTCGTCGTCTTCAGCGCTCTCTCCGCGGTCTCGTCCAGCGCAGGTGCGCTATGGCGGGATTCCCTTCAGGGCGCTTCCAGCCTAGTGTGGATGGTGCAAGTATTGTAGGAAGGGGAAGGAAGAGGGAATAAACCCGCCCCCTCCCCCCACAGAGTGGTGGGCCTCTTTGCCGGCACCACTAGCTGTGCGAATGTACCTTTTGCCCTGTGTGCCTGCCCTGAAGTGAGGTGCCAGTGCAAATGCCAATCCAATGAGCGGCGGGGTGCGTCCCACGGTCCAGCGCTTTGGCGTCCCTGTCCCTGACATGGAGGAAGCCCCCCCGGGGCCTTGGGGGAACTTGGCACGCCGGTGAGCCTGGCAGAGCCTTTGGGGCGTCCCAATTACAGCGCACTTTCCGCTGTACGTAGGTGGGGCCACTCGATCTGACGCCATTTTTTCCTTCGAGAACAAACGGGGCAGTAAAAAAGATTTCCCCACGAAAACCCGCCACCCCCAGCAAATCCCCCCCCCAGCAAATGCCCGCACAAACAGGAGGACCTTCGGCATCTTAACATCCAGCCATCACGGTCCTCTTCTTCCCCCTAGAGCCTCCAGCCGCATTCGGACTTGTCCGGCTCTAATGACACGACACACGCACACACTCACTCCTTCATCCAAGGCCACCACCACCACACTACTACCTTCAGCCTCTAGAACCCACTCATTTCACTTACTCACTCTGCCACTGTGAGGCGATTGCGCCTACGTATGAGATAGTATAGCTTACCAAGAAGTGGAGTCTCCAGACAGTCTAGCAAAAAGGTTAGGCCTGGGGCCAAGGGGCATTCAGTGCTCTTTTTCTTCACCCGTGTGGTCCGCGTCAAGCCGACATTTGGCCGATCGTGACGATGAAATTTCATGCTCTCGGTGGAGCCGGGCCTTGACCGACCGCTGCTTCTTATCGGTCCTTAACCGCTGAATCTCTGGCTGTGGCGGGTCGGCCTTGAATTTTTGGTGGAGTTTGTTTAGTGTTTTTTTTTTTTTTTTACCCTTCCCCTTATTCCCGCCTCACCAGTCACACTCATACTTGACGAGTCTCGGAATTTCTCTTGGCTAGAAAAAAAAAAAAAAAAACTTCTTGTTTCTGAATCTCGTCAAGTCCGAGGCTGTATTTTATTCTTTTTGGTGGCAAGGCCTACCAAGGGGGCCAAAGGGGGCCAAGAGAGGGTCATTACCGTATTGTCGATTCATGCTCGCCCTATCTGTCGGCCAAGCTCCGGCCCTTGGCCCGGTCTTTCTCCGATGGGGCCCTGCCTCTTACTTGCTACCGTGTAGAAATTGCTCGGCTTAATTCGTCGTTATCTCGGCCACTAGCCGTTCCTATCCTCCACTTCTTCTGTGTCGTCGTCGTTGTCATCATCCTCGCCGCCGCCGCCGTCCTCATCCTCGTCCTCCTTGTCGCGGTCGGCCTGCGTTCCCAGGATCAAATCTTCGCTGCCTTGCCATTGCGGTGGCATCCCGGGAAGTGCCGCATCGTCCTCTTGTTCCCACCCGTATCCCTCGCCGTCGTCATCGCTATCGGGCACCTCGAGACCAGCTTCTGCCAGTTTGCGTTTTGCCCGTGGGGTCGTCGATAGCAGTATCGATGGCTGGCCCAGGTCGTAATGCACGCCAATCAGGCCCGTCTATCACGATAACGTGGAGTGTCAGCCAACACAATCTCCGTTCCTGGATGCTCCGCTTTTACGAAATTATGCCGCATCCGTGACTGCCCAACAAAAATACTGACCGCTTCAACTCTGAACGCTGCTGCGCTTTGCATCATGTTCGGCCCAGCTTTGCCGTCTAGCTTCTGCACGCCGGCAAAGCATACCGTTGACGGACTCTCATCTTTCCAGATCCAGTCTCTGAATAGCACCAACCGTGTAGATATGCCATGTTCCCAAACTCCAGCATTAATGGACGGGATGAGCGTCGGACTGCGCTCCAACTGCATCTTGGTTGCGCATTGTGATAAGACTACCACAGCGCAGTTCCGAGTCGCTGCCAACTTCTGAAGTGCGCCGACGACATACTGCAATGCCTGCAGCCGCTTCGCTGACAGGCCTGGACCTGCATGCTATTAGCAGATGCTCCATAGGGTTGGGCCAATCTGCAGACCTTTGCCTAATAGGGGTGCTTTCCTTCCATCCGGCGCCTTGGGGAAGGCGTGATTCACCAATGCTGATAGCGAGTCGATAATGACTAGGACTGTACTTGCTGGCACAGTCGTTGCTCCAGGACGGCAGAGTAGCGCAACTAGATGAGGGAGGCTTGGACAGGTGTAGTGACTGAAGTTGTCCTTATCTACCGCCTCTGGTTTATCCTCCGTTGATCGCTGGAAGCCCTCTGCTGCCTCAATCACCGAGACGAGCCGCTGCCCGCAGACTGAGTAAGCACAGTCTTCAGAGATACGTCAGCCTCAACGAACTCCTACACAACGTGGTAAATACTCGGATGAACCAACCTACCCACACGGCTCCTTGGCCCTGGCGCAACGCATTTGCAACAAGTTGTATGCTTTAGGAAGAGTTAGATCCGTACTTGATTTGCAAAACTGACAGATCGTGAAAGAGTTTGATACCATACCCTAGAGCAGTCTTGCCTGAGCCCGGCGGCCCCCAGACCTCGGTGACTTGGCCTCGTTGAACACCTCCAGAGCTTTTTGGTTCTGCCTTTTCAGCAAGATTAGAGCACCCGAGGGCTTCATCTAGAAGCTTAAGTCCTGTTGGAACATGCCTCAAAAGATCATTATCCAAGTCTTCCAGCACCTGTGCGGCAGACACAGTGGGCAATCGGTCTATGTCTCGTGAGCTTCAAGGTTCCACTGTAGAATGCTGCCAAAACGTACGCGTGGAAGGAAGATCAAAGCTGGAGATGTCCTCCTCGTGAATGGAGTGATACTTTTCCATATCTAGCACGACGTCCGTGGATTGTTGTCTGTACCTCGGAGTACTCCTGTTAATTCTACTCGACCTGCCTAGAGCCTTAGTTAGAAATTGGAGGAAGGCACACAGTACGCGTGCCTCTATCCACACACACGCGCGACTTCGTACCCACGCCACATGTCACTAGCCACACTGTACTGTGGCTGAGCATGGAGATGTGCAGTAGATGACCACTACTCTTCAACGCAAAGAAGGAGCGGCCATGACACAAAATCGGCACTCAACCAAAACACCATTTGCTACCTAACATTCTGTCTGCCTGGGACCGGAAGCCAATCCACATTGGTCGTTTCCGACTGACACAAGAATTTGCCCTTTCCAATGAGCAATGTGCAAGTGCCAGAATAGGTCAGAATAGCTGTGCGTCACGAACGGAGGCGGTTTGTAACCTCGAAACCGGAGGTTCATCCATAACGAGGTATCCGCGACCTAGCAAATTAGTCAGAGTCACCCATACCGGTCTTTTCTTTGCTTCACGAAACACTTGGCTTCATTTTCCGTCTGCGATTGCGGCCTGCACAGGCAAAAGATACCTATGGGTATGTGTCAGTCTTACCGGCTGGTGTCTAGTCATCCTAGGCATTCATGCCTACCGGTACCGACTTGTTGGAACGTTTTGTGAGAAATTTCACAGACTGCGGGACACATTCGGATGACAAGAAAAGTCGGCACCCAGATTACTTCCCCGGCCAAACGGGTGGAACGTGGCTGGCAGGGTAGTTTGCTCGAGCGCCGCCATCTTGCATGTTCGAACCTCCTACTATGGTAATTCACCAAACAAGTCTATTTCCATGTCGTCCCGGAACATTCTAGGGCCCCTCCGGTTTCACCGTGCCTGCAAATCTACAGTCGAACCATTGCATCTAGCCCTCAGACCCTGAGGCCACGACTACCGCTCCCCTTTCAGTTATTGCCAGGACAAACTTCTCCGTGGTTTCATCGATTTCTCCGGTACCTCTGGTTCAAAAACCCTGCTACTAGTCAAGAAACCCAGACAGAAGCAGGCATTGACTCTTGCTTTGGAGGAGGAGTAATTGAACTGTGGATGGGTCGCCGTCGCCATCGACCATAATTTCGCCGAGAGTAACCTCCAATAGGAATCGACGACAGATGCTTTGATCATGCCCATCAACGCCATTAACTCTCGAGACACTTGCGACGTGATCCCGCGTGGGGCACTGCGGGGTTCGGTATGCCTAGATTGAGCAACTTATTGAATCTTAGGGTCTCCCCATGGGATCCAGGACGATCCCTCAAGGCAAGGGCTATTGTCCGCCCTTCTGGAGGCTGAGTGTAATATCGAAAGCCAGCATGACCTGTCCAAAACGGGCTCTCCTCGGCTCGGAAATCGAGACGGTGGTTTTACTCCACAAAACGCTGCCAGTCTTTTTGGCATGAGCACACTGCAAAGATCCTTGCGAAGATCCGAAGACGTATCCTACCGACAGTGAGGGCCCAAATCGCCCTGCAGTGAGAGCGTGGTTGAGGCTCAAGTTCTCAACAAGAGCACAACCAAGGATCCTCCCGACGAGTATGCTTTCTGCCAGAACAGAAGGTTCGAGGACCGCATGCCACGGTGTCACACTCGCCGTTGGGTACAAGCCCCCACGGTTTAAAACCGTCAGTCAATGCCTGCCGGTTCCATCCCGAGACCCGAGCTCGGGTCTACGGATAATGGTCATCACTTTTTTGGAGGCCCAGAGATAAGTGAATCCTGCTTATTCTAAGCTGGGCGCCGGGCATAAAACGTTCATCTCACGAACTGGGGATATTTGCCAATGTATCCCCAGGTGGCATGGGTGCTTGGTGCATGGGGTTGATAACGCGGAGGGCAAGCGGAGTAGTCTTCATCCGTATTCCTGTTCCGCAAAATATGTGGAGAGCTGATATCGGGGCTCGGGCCAGCGTTTTGCGGCGCTTCAGACTGCCTGAAATCGCTCGTTCACAGGTGCGGTTAACCAAACCGTGTCAGGGCGCGCAACAAGTTGGAAAGTGTGTCCGGTCGGTCTGGCCAGATTTTGTGGCTTCTGCATTCATGTGCGATGCAAGGTACGCGCTTCCCCAGCATATTTCATGTTGAAGAATGTTACCTTTCCTCCACCAGTCAATTGCAGTTCCCCAAGCTTAACCGCTGACATCATCCCTTGAATTTTGCCTTCGGGAGAAAGGGACCGATTGCTTCTAGGGTTGCCCCCCTTTTTTCTCTCCTTATCTTTTCACATGTGAAAGCAACGAGGGGTCTATATGCATTTTAAAACTCAAAACTTTGACAACGGTAGGAAATTCGAGGACGGAGCGATGCCCTATTGAGAGAAGAGTCTCAACGCCCTTTCATCTGTTTGCGTCTTCCTGAGGCGACCAGTACTTGACAGAGATTTCACGGGCGCCACTCACATACCGCCAACTCCGGCCAAACAAAAACTCAGAGCAGTTGGCTCTCCTGTTTGCTTGTGCTCATCGGGCAATCTCGGGATTTCAAACCCCCTCAGAAAATTGGGACTCGGGGGTATAACTACACACCACCTGTTGACTTTCACGCCTATAGGCGTGGCTCTGACTCTCCCCACATCCCATCTGCATTCTCTGTATTGTCCCCCGTAAAACGCCATCCCCGTTCCATTCCCACGGCCCCAGATGTGTCGCCTTTTTTGGGAAGCTGGTTTCAAGCACAGGCGTGCCCTGGCAAGGAAACCTGGGTCTTCCCCCCCCAAAGGACCGACAACACAATACTACGGCAAACCATCTCGGTTCTAGCTCTTTGAGCTATCGCCCTGGCCTCCCGAGGAATATCGCGGGGGTGCTTCGAATCAGAGGCAAGTCTGGGGAAGCTTGGGCAGATCCAGTCTGTCACTGAAGAGCTCGGTTCATTTCCGTTGGACCGCCGAGCCATAAACTGACTCATGCTTGGTTGAGTTTCGTAATGAACTCAGAGGCAACCGCGGCAGCCTCCGGTTTACGCGAGGAACTGAGCGATAGTGCTATCGACAGTATTGAGAAGTCTTACAAGAGAGTCATTCACGCTGACGCTTGTTAACTAAGGCGTTCTTTGATCTCAAAGACATGGAAATCCAGATTTGTACGGCTTTATGGACCTCGTGGCTCCTGCTCGGCCTGGGCCAGAAGGGTTTTGGACATCGAGGAGACCGCGAGAACACTCTTCCAGGGGCAGAGGGTTCGAGGCCGCAGCAGAAACAAGGCCAGCGGGGTTCTCTCCGCCCCGAGTCGAACAATAGCAGGGTCTAACAGCACAGGGTTCTTGTCTCGTTGAGTAAGACAAACCAAACAAGCGTAACTCTACGAGCATCAGAACCATGCATTGCTCTCATTACTCCCGGCAATGCTAACGCCAGCCGTCTCTCGAGGCCCCGCAGATAGAGACCTATTATGCAAGATGATCGTTTCTGCCCCGCGAGCTGTCGGGGATTTTGAGTGTAGCCGGTGGTGACAGCTGTGGTTCGCTCTATGCCACAATGGTGTGATGAGCGTATGATTCTCCCTAATTGCGCCTCCGTTCGAGTACCTGATGACATACCTAGCACCAATTGCAGTAATCATGCTTGACAGCTATGAAGTCTTAGGAGAGCCATCATAAACGTCTCGCCTTGCAGGATAAGTTTTCAGGGGTCGTTGGGAATGTCTTGGCATTACATCTCAGGGCAAACCTCACGAATAGCCGCCAGATCGAGCTGTAACTTGGTCCGATCCCTGGCACATAGAATGGGTAGTCGCAATGGGAGCACTCGGGACCAGAAGCCGATGGCATAGCCGGTCTCCGGCTTTGTACCCGGGAGTATACAAAGCACAAGCAGTTATTTCATCATCGGGAGTGACACAGAATCAGGCGGCAAAGAAAGTGGCTTTGATTTGTAGGTGCCACCTAAAGAGAAGGCCGCCTATCTGTCCTAGTGGCATCCTGATTGCGATACAGTATCTTTGGTTGAAGGCCTGCAGAATTCTCATCGAATGCGATGGACCATTTAAGCCCAAGGTCTGGATGAGTCGCTGATGT